TAATTTGTACCCTCTACCCTAATGGGGTCCTAATTTGTACCCTCTACCCTAATGGGGGTCCTAATTTGTACCCTCTACCCTAATGGGGGTCCTAATTTGTACCCTCTACCCTAATGGGGGTCCTAATTTGTACCCTCTACCCTAATGGGGGTCCTAATTTGTACCCTCTACCCTAATGGGGGTCCTAATTTGTACCCTCTACCCTAATGGGGGTCCTAATTTGTACCCTCTACCCTAATGGGGGTCCTAATTTGTACCCTCTACCCTAATGGGGGTCCTAATTTGTACCCTCTACCCTAATGGGGGTCCTAATTTGTACCCTCTACCCTAATGGGGGTCCTAATTTGTACCCTCTACCCTAATGGGGGTCCTAATTTGTACTGTTCTCTCTTTTTGGGACACCCTACGGGTTGGGTTGGGTCTCTCTTTTAATCTTTTACCTCTTCTTTCCCTTTTCGTCTCTCTCCTTCTTCGGGCCACCCTACGGCTGCTACGCATCTTGCCTTGTCTTCTATCTCTGCTTACCCTATTCTACTCTTGCCTCCGCCGGCTTTTCCATACCACGGGCCCACCGCCCACCCTCTACTTACCCCTACTTTTTCTCTCTCTCTCCTTCTTTGGGCCACCCTACGGGTTGGTCGGGTTTCTCTCATCTATCTTTCTGTCCTCTTTTCCTCTCTCTCTCTCCTTCTTCGGGCCACCCTACGGGTTGGTCGGGTTTCTCTTGTCTTTCCTTCCTCTTTTCTCTCTCTCCTTCTTTGGGCCACCCTACGGGTTATACGGGTTATACGGGTTTTTCTCATCTTTCTTTCCACTTTTCCTCTCTCTCTCTCCTTCTTCGGGCCACCCTACGGGTTGATCGGGTTTTTGATCTTTCTTCTTTTCCTTTTCTCCCTCTCTCTCTCTCTCTCTCTCTCTCTCTCTCTCTCTCTCTCTCTCTCTCTCTCCCTCTCTCTCTCTCTCTCTCTCTCTCTCTCTCCCTTTGGGACACCTTACGGGTTGCACGGGTTTTTCGTCTTTTTGTTTTTCTTTTCCTTTTCTTCTTCTGCTTTTTTCTCCCCTGGGACACCACCCTACGGGTTGGCCGGGCATCTTGTCTTTTTCTTCCATCATTTCTCTTACGATACCTGCAGGGTTGGGTGCATTTGATCTTTTCTTCTATCATCATCATTTCTCTTGCGATACCTGCAGGGTTGGGTAGATTTGACCTTTTCTTCTCTTTTAATTATTCCTCTCTCTCAAGATACCTGCAGGGCCTGTCTCAGCCCCAATTCCGGATTAGATCACACAGTTTGCTGCTCTGGATCCATCCTTCCTCTATCCTCATTCCTACCTTGCTCTTCCTCCTTAACCATTCCACTATCAACGTGCCGGTATCACCATTCTCATCCTCTCCCAGCTCGCCCTCACCCATCATCCAATCCCATACCTCGTCCCTCGAACTGAACAACAACCCTAACGCTACCGATCTCAGTTCCTCTCGTACCCGATGATCGCCCCCGATCTCTCCCTTCTGTCCACACCACCCTTCGTTCCACAACTTCTTCCATTTGATGTACCTCCCCTCTGCCAAACTCATGTCTTTGCCGTCTCTTTTGTACTGCTCACACAGCATGCATGGTCTCCAGCATTTGTTGCAACCCGACGACCCTTCCATCTTCGTCCTGGCCAGTTTCCCATCCATCTCTTCCATTTTCTCTACCAGTCCTAACGTCTTGACCAGTGGACAAGTCCTCCATGACGTGTGCCTGCGCTCCGTCTTGCCCGATCGTGCTGTGCAAACCGTGCAACAACCTCTGTACATCGATAGCTTTGCTTCGAACCCTTCTCTGCTGCTGATATCCGAGCACATCGGACGTTTCGACACTCGGGGGATCTGTCTGCTGTGTTCCAGTTCTTCCACGGCTGTAGCTCGGGCTTCCGGGGTCTCTTGTCGTTCTCCCACTTCTGTTTCTGTTGCTGCTGCTGCTGGTGCTGTCGCTCTAGCCGTGGTGGCGGTTGTTGTTGTTGTTGTAGCTTCCATGGTCCCGGCATCGATCATGATAAAGTCGTCTTCATCCATGTCCAGATCCTCGAATGATGAAGTATCATCATCATCCTTGTCCTCCTTCTCCTGACTCTCATCACCACCGCCATCATCGAATTGCCTCATCCTCTCCCCACTCTTGTAAACCAAAAATTCCTTCACCACCCACATCGAATTGCTCATCATCTCTCCCCATATCCGCCTGTCTCTGGCCTGGCCGCACCACGCTGCGTAAGCCTTCCACCCCTCCTTCTCCTCTTCCACCACTCGATTCGGTTCGAAGCCGGCTTTTCGGATGATGTTCCTCCCGATCGGATCTCGAACTGCTGTCATCAACACCGGTACTGCTATGCCGGGCCACTGGCATTTTCGTTTGGCGTCTTCCCTGGTGTTGCACATCCTCTGGTTGATGCCGCACTTCCTGCAAGCCTTGCTCGCCTTTGCGTATTTGATCTGCTTCCGGAATGTGTCAACATCGACAATTGTCGTTTCGTCGGCCTCGTCTGTCACCGTCAGCTCTCGACTCTCGCACTCCCGGCCACCGTGCTCCAGATGTGAGTCTTTCTCTTCTGACTTCATCCAACACATCGGACAGCCGAGCTTCATCTCGTCTAGAGCCTCTTCGACCATCTCCTTTTCCAGCTCGGACTGCCTGACCAGCTCTGTACCTGCTGCCACCATTCCACCACCACACCTGTCGCACGGAGCTTTGGGGCGTGATGCTGGCGGCTGCCGCCATTACTACAGTTCGTCTCGCTCTCGGTCTCGCTGTTGTTGTTGTCGCTGCCGCTGCTGCTGCTGTCGTGACACTCCTGGATCGTTTCTGCCGCATCGAAGTACTTGCCTAGCACCAGCCTTCGACAACCCTCCGTCTTGATGTACTCCATCATCGCTGCTCCGTCCGGTCCGAGTGCCTCGTTGTAACGCTCCCGCGTCCCTTGCTCTTCTTCCTCCCACCCTTGCTCCAGCAGTACGATCGAGTCCACTCTCTCGTTGGGATCTCGACCCGCTCTGCCCGATGCTTGGGCGAACTCGATCAGTCCGTATGGCAGTCCCGAGTGGATGACCGCCTTGACGGCCTCGTAGTTGAGTCCGGTGCTGAGAGCTGTCGTCGACACGATGAAGCCGCCGTTCGCCTTCCACTGCTCTAGCGTTTCCCCGCCGTCGACGTGTCCGGCGTAGAAGAAGCCGCAGCCTAGCTTTTCCGCCATCTCCTCGCAGTCTTTCTTGCTTCGGCAGTAGACGACGGCCTTCTCTTTCCTGGTGCTCCGTAGCTCGTCGGCGACCTCTTCGCACACTCTGGCCGTCTCTTCGACCAGCTTGCCTTTGCCGATGTCCTGTCTGACGGTGTAAGTGATGTTCTCCCTCACCGTGCATGCTCGTATGAGCGACATCATTCCGATGCCGATACCTAGACTTCGTCGTAGCTCGACCTCCATGTACCTTGGGAGTGTGGCCGTCAGCATCACCATCGGTACTCCTAGTGACTTGAGCTTCTCCAGCTCCACGAGATGCGGTCTCCAGCTGTGCGAAGTCACCAGCAAGTGGCACTCGTCCACCACCACTCGTCTCAGTCGGCCCTGCTCCGCCATCTGCCGTGCGTACGACCAGAAGTGATCGTGCATCTTGTCCACGCTGACGACCACGAGAGCTGCTGGATCGACGGTGCTGTGACTCCATTCTTCACAGTCACCCACCGTCTTTTGTGCTTCTCGCACCGTCTCGTCGATGAGCTTGCGGAACGGTACCACCACGATGGTCACCCCGACGTCTTCTTCCAGACAAGCGGGTGCGGTGAAGAGTAGAGTCTTGCCTCCGGCTGTCGGCAGAACGACGGTGAGAACGTTGAACCCACCGTCCATGATTCTCCCGAGCGCTTCTCCTTGTGCTTTCGATCTGTATCTGATCGTCACCGCGTCGTCGTCCATTGGTTTCTTGAGTGCTTTGCGTATAGCCCTCTCCTTTTCCTGTGCCGTCGGTCTTCTGTAGCGTTGCAGCCTCTCGCGCCTTCTTCGGCTTCGTTCGATGATCGGACTGTCGTCTACGTGCTGCTGCAGATGCTGTTGGTGGTTCCTGCCGCTGCACCTTGGAGAGTACCTGGATTCGTCGTGGTGGTTGTCATCATTATCGTCATCGTCGATGTAGATGACTTCGTTGCTGTCGTTCTTGTCGTTGGCATCATCGTTGTGTGAGTCGTGCCTGTTTCCCTCTGTCACCGGGGTCGGCATTCCGTTGTTGTTGTTGTTCGAGTAGATGCCCAAGCCAACGATGGGGGTCATGGGTTGCTGTCGTCCCTGCTGCAGCTCCTCTCCTCGAAGTCTTGTCAGTTCGAATTCTTGTGCCTTGAGCTTCATCCGCAAGTCTTCGATCTCCTTCTGCTGCCTTTCGGATTGTTGTAAGAACGGTGAGAGATCTACTGTCGTCGGAGTGGCGGCAACAGTAACAGCTCCTCCTTTTGCCGCGGGCAGTCTCTTGATCAATCTCTCTTTCTGCAATCCTTCAAAGTCGACGGTTTGCATCCCATCGTCTTTGTTGCTGCTGCTCTCGGCCTTTCTTTTCCTCTTCGGATCTCTGTGGTCGAGCTCGAAAAACCTGTGCCAGCTTTCGCTGAGATCGCCGAAGATGTCGATCGACTCTTGGTTGAGATACTTCAAGATGTCCGCTCTGACCGCGTATCTGCCGGCTCCGGTGCCGAAGCCGCCGGCTTTCTGTAGCTCGATCGCGTTGCCCTCCTCGAGATCGTCATCCATATCACCCGCCTGGGCTTCTTCCGGATCTTCGGCCTCCTCTCGGTAGCCTTTGGCGAACCTCGGTCCGACGAATCTCCTGCCTAGAAAGACGGCGGCGTGTCTGTAGTTCTGGGTGTGTAGCTTGGCCTTCAGTCGTTTGGCCGTCTCTCGTTTCATCGTGTCGGTGAGCTTCTGCGTCTCCCACGGGCCGTGCGAGTCCGCCCAGATGTAGTCACTCCATCCTTGACCGTACTGTACCTGCACCGACAGCAACTCGGCGAACGCCCGCACGTGGGTGAGATAGATGACCGCGATCTGACCCAGTTTCCACGGCAAGAAGCGTGGCACCATCTTGGGCATGTCGAGCATTGCTTGTGACTTGTGGTAGCTCGTCACCGTCATCACTCTGCCGTCCAAGACGAAGACGTTGCGGTGGTTGGCCACTCCGTTGCGGAAGCGCAGACTGGTGATCTCGGTTCCTCTGGCGGGCTGGCCGCTCAAGACGTGCACGCAGAATATGAACAGCTCCCTGAACTTGTCCACCCTCCGGAGATAGTTGGCCACCAGTCTCGACTGCCACTGGTCACCTCTGCGCATCTTCTTCCCCTGGTTCGAGCCTAGCATCCTCTTCAACATCCAGTCGAGACCTTGTGCTTCGAGATCCTGGTTCGGGTCGGCACCGAAGTACCAGCCTCTCTTCTTCACCGTCATGTCGTCGGTGATGCTATCGAGATCTAACACGAAGCGATCTGCCTTGCGGCCTGCCCACATGAGATCCCTCCACATGTAGTCTTCGCAATCGTCTAGAGCGGAGCGTGCCATGGACTTGAAGTTGTACACCGTGAACTCGATGCTGCCGAGAGCGACGCCGGCTCCGTCGTGAGTCCAGTGCAGCTTCCCCCTGGGCGTGGAAGTTCTTTGCGATCTTCTTTCCGTACGCTAGCAAGCTCAACATCTCTCCCATCACGCTCATCGATCCGTCGGCTAGAAACTCTTTTCTCTGCTCGAGAAATGCCTCGAAGTCGGCCTCCCCTTGGTTTTCGCGGTCGAGTGATGGGAGCAGAGCTTCGGCGGTCACGATCCTGGACACGTACACCAGTCCGGCGATCATGTAAGAGTAGTCGTTGCCATCGCGTAGCCGAGCGTTGGTCTCGTCGATGCCCATCACGGCCATGAAATGGATTAGAGCGCTGTCGAAGCGGTCGTTCCACACCTTNTTGAACAACAACACCCGACTGAGCTCTACCATCGCTGGGATTTGATCGTCTTCTACGGATGATGTGTCTCCCTCGAGAACGATCAATCTCCACACCTCCTCTAATGCTCTTTCGAGTTGGTCGTTCCATGGGAAGAGCCTCCGAGCATCGTGCATGTGATCTTGTGCTTGCCGTCTGCCTTGATCGTGTTGTGGATCTGTGTCGGAATTGTCGTCGTCGTCGTCGTCGTCGTCGTCGTCGTCGTCGTCGTCGTCGTCGTCGGTATCAGTGTTGGTGTTAGCATTGTACACACTGTTTACCTCATCAGTGTTGGCGTTAGCATTGTACACACTGTTTACCTCATCGCTGTCGCTTTCGGTATCGTCATTGTTGCTGCCATCGCCACTTGACTCGCTGTCCGTGGCTTCGTGACGAGTGCACCATACTCGTAGACAGTAACAAACCATTCGCTTCCAGTACCCGGTGTACCGTTCTTGACTCTCTGGATTCTGCAACCGGGATAGCGGTCTCACGTCTGGCTTGTGCATCTCTGCACTTCGAAGCCAACGACGCAAGCCTTCCGGCATCGAGCTCAGTCCTGAGACACCCCTCTCGACCATCTTCTCGATCACCGCTGCTACCTTGAGTAACGCTTCTTCATCCTTCTCGGGCAGCCGGCTGGTGTACGAGAGATGGGTGAGATTGCAGTTCTTGAGATGCTCTCTCCATCTTGTCTTGTTCCACCATCCGGTGTTCTCGCATTTCTCAACCCTGTCTGCTAGTATCTCCTGCTCTTTCTGCCATTGCTCTTTTAACTTCTGGAAGTCATCTTTGATGCCGTCGAACTGGATCTGCTTGGCTCGGGGAGTGATTCTCCGACACTTGCTCTTTCCCTATCGATCTGATCGGGTGTCTTGACGACAAACCACTTTTGTTTGCCTGAACTCTTGCAAAACGTCTGGATGTAGACATCTTTCCAGCACTGACGGTCTTCGTCAGTAGATTTCCAGCCGTGTGCATTACGACAGTGTTTGCCGATGTTGGTACGGTCGCTGGTGGTGAAGCCGCAGTGACTGGGGGAGTCTGTTGTTGTCGATGCATCCCCTCGTACGTCTTGTTCGCCGGCGGTGTTGTCCTGGTTGTGGATGCAGTAGTAGCCTGGGATTGGCTTACACAGATACTCAATTGCCGGCTGTCCTGGCTCGGGTAGACGGACTGTGGATGGGTCTGGCATGTTGCGTCCGCTGTGATGCTGTCTTAGTGCAGCCCTTGCCTTCTTCGACGTAGAAGTGTAAGAAGTATGGACCAAGCGCAGATGGCTGTCTAAGCCTCGCACTGCGTAGCCGTGTTCCTTGCAGATGAGAACTTCGTGCTCTGCTAGATAGACGTAGTTCGACATGGCTGCTGCGATTTCTTGCTGCTCTGTCTCCTCAATACTGCCTTCTTGACGCGTCATGACTCTAGCTGTGTCGTCCTCGCCGGCTGGCTCTAGAGCGTATTCGGTCAACCGATATGCTAGCTCCATGTCTTCTGGCTAAATGCAAGTCGAGATGGATAATTGTATACTTTCTCTCTTGCTGGATCGTTCATAAGAGAAGCTTAGTGTACGTATGGAACGATGAATAGTGGCAAGAAAAGATAGAGCAGAGAAACAGAACGGAGCGAGAGATTCGCCGACGCGTCTTACCCTTCTCGTAGTGTCTCTTATCAGAGAGCTGTCGCGGAATACACACGCAGAACCTTGCTTGTAGCATTGTGCGACCTGTGGGCTGATCATGCGATAACTATGCATCTTACTTGCTGATGGTTTGCGATATCTCATGAGAATGGTCTAGCGGGACACATGTCTGTCCAATGGGGTGCGGGGGGCTAAGCCTGGGACGCCTCCACCCTTGTCAAATCTAATATATATGCTTCGCGTTTCCCCGCCACGCTCTTGCGTTTCTTCAGAATTCAGCTTAGCGTACTATCTTTCTCTTCCACTTTCTCTTTTCCCCCTCTTTTTGTTATCTTACACCTTGCTTTTCTCTCTTGCGCGATTTTCCTGTCTTGCTCGGGCAGGGTGGATCTACATAAGTTTGGCAAAGAATCGAATAGTAGTTGTCACTGCAACTGTAACGATGGCGGGTGTGAAAAATGTCCGCACACGTGTTCTCTATCGACTTGAACCAAATTCTGTCGGTGCTGTAGCGACCGCGGATCTCCAGAACGATGTCGCTTCTCCACAGCGCCTTGTCCGCGACGCTTCGCAAGTGCCGTCAGCGGTGCCTCTTGCACCTCGGCCCTCTGCACTTCCTAGCACGCAAGCGGTCGCCGGACCGAGCGCCCCTACGGCGTCTCAAGTGCAACGTCAACACCAATCCCTTCGAGCTAGAGCCGATGCTGGAGAGACCGAAGCTCGGCTCCAGATGATGTCGCCGGCCGATGTCGAATCGGAACTGCGCAACCAGAGACTCCCAGACAAGCCTGACGTCTCGATCTGGGACTATCTGAACAACCCCGGTCCCGATGTCTCACCTATACAAGCCGCGAGCGACCTGCTTGCTGCTGCAGCCGACCGAGCGGAGAGCGCTAGTGTCCAAGCTGCTTACATCTGGCGATGGGTGAAGATCAACAACCTGTGGGACACTCACCCAGACCCAAACCTTCGTAGTGAACAAGCTTTCATTAACAGTGTTGCTAATCACAAAGTGGTCAAAGTCATGGTCGTCGTTGGCACCTCTGCTCAATGGTCTAAAGAGAACCACCAGCAATCCATTGCTGAGATATGGGGCGACAACTGGCTTGATACTATTCCTGCTTCAATGAGACCTGCCGAGTCTGTCAAAGACCTATCTAAGAGAATGCTGAGTGAAGTGGCCATCACTAGTGCAAACGTGCCAGATCAGCAACAAGCTGTGATCGGTTGGCGTTGTGCTATTGAGAGACGTCTTGATCCTGCAAACCGTCCTCCTCGAACGCGAATCTTGAAGACTCGTAAGCTTATTCCAGAAGATGTCAAGTTCTTCAACAGTACCATGAATGCATCCGCCTCGAGCGTTCGGGAAGATGTGCTAGAGCTGATGCCTGTGGTCCCGACAACACCGCAACAGCAGCCGACTTCTGCTATCCGAACAAAAGACAGTTCCCGGAAGAGAAAGCGCATAGAAAACGATGATCTTACTATCGCCAATCCTGATTTGGAGCCAAGTGATGGTACAGATTGTCTGGATAATGGTCCTCAAGACGTAGCGGAAGCTACGAATACAGTACGCCGAGACGGCGAGTCTCGAATCAAGAGAATCCGTGGCCATCGGATCATTGAACCAGTCACTCCACCTTGCGAGTCTCCTGCTGCTGGCCTGTCGCAACTGTTAGATGAAATTCCCTTAAGCAGTTTTGATAACGAAGCGGTGACATCGGCTGATGGTTCTGATAATGCGACAACCTGTGATGGCCCTGAATTCGCTCGCATGTTTGCTAAATTTGCTGAGATCCACGCATATTTCGAGAAGCATGGCACCTCATCATCGAAACTTGTCCGTAACTGTTGTGACTCCTGTCGCGACTATACGCTTCGTGCCCTAGCATGTCTGAAAGCAGATCTTATACCTTCAGTGGCTGGTATTGAGCAAGTCAAAAACATATATTTGGTGACCGGGAAGTGGTTCCAGGCCGGACGCTCAATGGGACCACTCAAGAACCTACTCCTCACTTGCAAAAATCTAAACGCTTGCTGCGAGTGGTTCAAGATTCTTCTGACGAAGAAACTGAAGAGTTCACTATATAGATCACAAATTTGACCATATATCTTACTCCCAGATCTTTGGTGTTAATGTTGTTGGGGTGACCTTGCATGCCTACAAGAAGTCGGGTGGAGTTGCGGGCGCAATTCTTGGCAAACTTCGAAAGTCATACTTGCCATATTTTGGACAACGATACTCAACAAGTCGCAGCCAGAATCAGAAATCTAAATGGTGCAATTGCCTTTGTATCATATTAACTCATCTCTACCATAGTTTTACAAATATTGAGTCGTGTTCATACAACTTACAAGATCGGGGTTCTACTACGGGTTCAACTTCACTTCTACCCCGCCAAGCGCCGAAAGCATAACCCCGCGAAACCCTTTTTAGACGGGCTGTAGTGCAACCCATGGATTCTATTAGCTAGGTATAGTAATATGCTAGTAGTTAGTCTAGTAGAGGGTATAAGAGTAAAAAGTTAATTTATTGTTTTCGATGTTTACATGCTATAAATAAGCGTTGCATGGCCTCTTAATAGCTATAGCACCGACGTTCTAGGCGTCGGAGCCGTAGAGGGACTACGCACTAGTGTTATCGTCGTAAAGAGAGGTGGCTATGTCTGTTTGCGGGGTTTCTTACGCCGAGGCCATTAAGATTGTCTTAACATTAAAATTTCCTCTATGGAGACCACGTTCCTGACGAAAACATTGTGCATTTCTGCAGCTACACTGTGACTGTATTTAGCACATGGGGAGGATGTACGCCGAATGTCAATCGTGTCCCCAAATGTGGCAGCATCTCGAAGTGCTTTGCGAGTCTATGGAACATCGATCCTAACGACTCCCAGTCGAGACGCCTATGCCTGACGACAAAAACAAAAATCTACATGTCTACCTTCTCAATCCTGATAGTCGATTGTTTCTTGGAATCATCCGCCATCATCACATCTTCTTCGACCGGCGGTATTGTCCTGCCACGAAGCTGAGCCCATACTGCCTTCCGCACAGATCTCGCAAATAATGCATCCATCTCCTCGAGGGTAATGCCNTATGACTTTGTCAGTACACCTCAAGCTGGTCAGAGATGCACAACATGCATACCTTTGGTCTCAGGCACGAAGAAGAAGGACCAGATGCCCATGGCTATCAGGATGACACCGAAGAAGAAGTAAGCTCCATATCCAAGATCAGAGATCATGTACGGTGTTGATCTTGCAATGATAAATGATCCAAGCCATGTGTCCGCTGTTGTCAGTGCGACGCAAAGCATGCGAATGTCCAACGGGAAGATCTCAGAAGCTNNATTTTGACATCAGCGTTCATTCGCATATGGAGAACAGCATGACTCACCGTAGGTCCAAGTGATGCCCTGCCAGGTTGCGCAAATGATGAAGGCATTGACGTACACGCAAACCATGGCCAGATAACCCCATCCATTGCGTGTCGTGTCTCCTGCCGCCAAAGCAGCGACCGGATCGGCCCTCAGAACATAGCCTCCGATGTATAACATGGGTACGCAACCCAGAGCAGCGCCCCAGATCAGACCCTTGCGTCGACCAACTCTCTCCACGACCACCATGGTGAACGTGATCATGCCCAATGTTTTGGAAATGCCATAGAAGCCGGTTGAAAACAGCTTGAGCGACGTGCCGGGTACTCCGAGAGATTCAAAGATACGTGGTGCATAGTATGTGATGATGTTGACGCCTGTGAAAGACTGCAGGAACATCAGGGCAAGGCCAATACCCATTCGGTTTCGCACGCCTTTCTGGAACAGCTTCTGAACTTGCTGCTTTTTGCTCATCTTGTTTGTGCTTCGCTCCTCGACTTGTAGTCGGATCTCATTCATCTCGTTGCGTACGTACGGGTGGTCTGCTGGAAGATTTCGCAGGTTGCTGATAATCTTCTCTGCTTTGTCGAAGTCGTCACCTCTGGCCAGCCAACGAGGACTTTCTGGACAGAAAAACATGCCAACGCACAGGAGAACACCTGGCACAAGCTGTAAAGCCAAGGGTATCACCCATTGAGCTTTGTTGTTGACGTTGATGGTACGATCTGTAGCGTAGTTGATCCAGAATCCTNNGCACGGCGTGGTCAGTCAGGGTGTCATGTCACTACGACAGGTCAACGACTCACCTAGCATGCCACCACCTTGCGATGCAATCTCAAAGATGCCGATCAATCGTCCACGAATAGAAGGTGGAGCTGTTTCGGAGATATAGACGGGAACAACAAGAGAGCAAGCTCCAATGCCGAGGCCGGCTACAGCACGTCCAGCGACAACCATGTTCATAGCACCATTGGCGGCGGTCATCAGAGTGGCACCCACAAGGAACACAGCTGATGCCGCCATAACAGTGAGTCTGCGACCATATTTCTCCGCAAAGGGAAAGGTAAGAAGTGCTCCGAAGAAACACCCTGCCTGGAGAAAAAGATCAGCCGGGCCTGACCACTTGGGATACTGGATGCTTACTTGGAATGTTGAAACGATGTTCCCCTGCACCGTATCACGATGTTTCGGAGAGGCATTGGCAAGCCCGAAGTCTCTACGAAANGAGTCGAGCGCCATGGTGCCTCCAATCACAGAGGTATCATAGCCCACTGTGCAGACCAAGTCAGTAGAGGTAGGGATATTTGTACGCACTGACTTACTGGCAAGGGCACTCATCGAGGCCACGAAGGCCACAAGATGGATCTTCCAGTTGCGAACCTCGGGAGGATCTTGAGTACCGGTGGCGTGTGTCGACCATCCCATTCTGGTTTGATTGGTTTCTTTGAGAAAGAAGAAAGTGCTGAGAGTGTTGTTTGGTTTGTGCTGGATCTCGTGAAGAGGTTTGCTGCTTACTGACTGTTAGCTGTGAGCCATGATCCACCTGGTCAACGAGGATGGCTTTATAGCACCTTGCCGTCAACTACCAATGCGCCCATGGCCTCAGTTCCTATACACCATCCACCAGTACACAAGGTACAAAGGTATCTTCCAAGACATGCCCAGCCATTTCCCCATAGGTTCAGACGACAGATCTGGAATCGTTGTGGAGCAATATCTTTGTCTCTCCGCATTCCTCCGCATTTCTCCGCATCTCGGTCACCTTCCGAGGGCGTGATCTAAGACAAACTGACTCGACAGCATGCCATGACCTCGGGTGACCATGATATGCCGTTGAAGTATCTTGAACATATCGTTGTATCTTCTTGGCTGCTTGAGCTGAGGTGCAAGCCAGGACACTAACCGCCATCGAAGGCATTCTTGAACCTCAACTGATGGCTCAGAAACGACAAGTTTCATGTGGTCTCGAGCTCCCGAGCACATCAGGATGCCCGAATCGATCTCGAGGTACAGTAGCTCAGGTATGTCTGTGACAGTGTGCATTTGAAGTTCGAGCGCAATGGCAATATTGTCCATTGTAACTTGCTGCCGATGTTGGCAGTATCCCGACCGCTGCTAGCTGCTTCATGTCTCTCAACAGTTCCTTGGTATCACAGAAAGTACCAATGACTGTATCTCTACGAGACAGACAACATTGCATCTGCCGTCTCTGCTATCTCTCTACCCCGCTACCCCGCACAAAAGAACACCCTATGAGAGATACAACTGTGCGACGAGAAGGATCGCCAAGTCAGCGCCACGGCAATACAAAGAATCCCCAAGATTCCAAGAGCACTGCCACACCACAGCTCCTACGCTGATTCGCCATCCACAACCTATCCTGGTCTTGACCACCGCATTGAGTCGTTGAACTTGTCACACCTATCTTGAATCGCACGATAAGATGCCGCATCCACGGAACGCAAATGGCTATAAGTCATCTGGGCTGGCATCTCATACTTTTCACCACCACAACACGACAAGACTGTACGCTCTCTAGTCTTCTATCTCTTGATCGTTCCATTTACCTTACCTACATCGATGGGAGAAACTTACATCAACCCTCATGAAGTCCGCAACCAGGGCGGCTCTGGCAACACTCTTGCCGATGGCAGCACCATTGCTAATCTTGACGGCTCCGTCGATGAACCGCCTATACGAAGCGCGGGCTCGTCCCACTATCTGACTGGAAAGTCAGGGNGCGAGACTCGCTGCATAGAAANNAAATTACCCACGATCGAAGTCAGAAACGACCCAGATCAAGGTGATATCGCCGTTTGTGCTCATACCTTGACTGGCATCGAGGTTGCACAACGCCTTTGTACCGATGCTGAGTAAGTTCCCATGTTCAGAAATCCTGATACCACCCATCCTAACACTGAATAGCNNAAGGGACTTCTCGAAAATGATTGCGTTCTGCGTCGTGAGAAGCATGGTCGTAACAAGCTCGAGAGCTCAGGAAGCGTGACCTGGTACAAGATCCTTCTTCGACAGGTCTCCAACAGCTTGACGCTCGTCTTGGCCATTGCAATGGCACTTTCCTACGGAACAGGAGACTTTATTGAAGGTGGCGTTATCACTGCTGTCATTGTCCTGAACATCGTTGTCGGCTTCTTCCAGGACTATCGCGCAGAGCAAACGATCCAATCTCTTCGTGCCATGGCAGCACCTGCTTGTCGTGTGGTCCGTGAGAACGGCACAATGATGAGCATCAAAGCTGAAGACCTTGTTCCTGGAGATATCGTGCAGCTCGCCACTGGTGATATCGTGCCTGCCGACTTGAGACTTCATTCAAGCATCAACTTGGCCACAGATGAGGCTCTTCTCACTGGTGAATCCAAACCTTGCACCAAGGATGCTCTCAAACGTCTTACTCATCTCGAGTGTGCTCTGGGTGATCGTATCAACATGACTTACTCGTCCACCACCGTCACGCGTGGAAGAGCACAAGGTATTGTCACCGCGACTGGTATGAACACCGAGATTGGCAAGATCGCTCAGCTCCTACGTGACAAAAAAGGTCATGAGGACAGTTCAACCTTCATTTCTCGTGCAGCCCGACGTGTGCTTCATGGTATCAAGAGCGCACTTGGTCTGATCGGAACACCTCTCCAGGTGAAGCTGTCCTACTTTGCTTTACTCTTGTTCGCACTCGCCATCCTCTTGGCAATTATCGTCTTCTCCACCAGTCTCTGGGACATTGACGGTGAAACTCTCATCTACGGTATCTGTGTCGCTGTAGCCGTTATTCCAGAATCTCTTATTGCTGTCCTTACCATCACAATGGCCATCGGCTCCAAAGCCATGGCTGCTGGCAATGTGATTGTCCGCAAGCAAGCTGCTCTTGAGGCTGTCGGCGGTGTCACCAATGTCTGCAGTGACAAGACTGGTACTCTCACTCAAGGCAAGATGCTCGCCAGAAAAGCCCTCCTCCCAAGTGGGAAACGTCTGACCGTCGTCAACGAACTCAGTCCCTTCGACCCGACTCGTGGTGATGTCTTGGTTGACAATGTCCGCCTGGAACCAGCCTCGGTCAACGAAGTTGATGAGCTTCGTTACTTTTTCTCGACCATCGCGTTATGCAACATGTCAAACGTCATCCCACCCCAGGACGATCAAAACCTCTGGTCTGCTACGGGCGAGCCTACAGAGATTGCTTTGCACGTTCTGGCGCGCCGTGTCGACCAGGGCAAAGATGAAGTTCTCTCTCGAACCGGCATGTCTCTGCTCACAGAGCACTCTTTCGACTCATCTGTCAAGCGCATGTCCGTTGTCTATAGCTACGCTGATCCAAGTCGCACTATTGTCTCTTTCACCAAGGGTGCTACTGAGGCACTTCTGCCTCTTCTCGATATGGAAGATGGCCAACGTCGTGAGATTATACACCAAGTCGACACCATGGCCAGTGAAGGTCTACGTGTTCTCTGTCTTGGTTACCGTCATCTCGACGGAGGCGATCTCAAATCAATCACTGACCGTGCCTTCATCGAGGCCGAGGGTTCTCTTACCTTCGCTGGTCTTGTCGGCCTTTACGATCCTCCTCGCCTAGAATCTGCTGGCGCAATCAAACAATGTCAAGCAGCTGGTATCGTTGTTCACATGCTTACTGGAGACCATCTCAAGACTGCGACCACGATCGCCAAGGAGATTGGTATTCTTGGGCCTGACGTGTATGGTTCAAATGCTCAGACCGCTGTCATGACCGCGATTGACTTCGACAAGCTGACTGATGACGCCCTCGATGTCATGGATCCATTGCCGTTCGTTCTTGCACGTTGCAGTCCCACCACCAAGCTTCGAATGTTGGAAGCACTTCACCGCCGTGGTCGCTACTGTGTCATGACCGGCGATGGCGTGAACGACTCTCCTGCTCTCAAGGGTGCCGACGTAGGTGTCGCCATGGGTCTGAACGGCAGCGATGTCAGCAAAGAAGCTGCAGACATGGTTCTGACTGACGACAACTTCGCATCAATCGTCTCTGCCATACGCGAGGGTCGCCGTCTTTTCGACAACATCCAGAAGTTCTTGCTCCATTTGCTGATCTCAAACATCTCGCAAGTCATCCTGCTGCTCATCGGTCTAGCATTCAAAGATCGTCATGATGTATCGGTGTTTCCTCTGTCGCCTATTGAGATTCTCTGGGCTAATCTTCTCACCTCATCCTTCTTGGCCATTGGCCTGGGCATGGAAGAGGCATCTGCCGATGTCATGACCCGCGCCNCCNACAGCCTGAAGGCCGGTGTTTTCACAAAAGAACTCATCGTAGACAAGTTCATCTATGGTACTTTCATGGGAGCCCTTTGTCTCGCCTCCTATGCCATTGTCGCTTTCGGTGTCGGTAACGGCGACTTGGGCTATGACTGCAACGAAAGCTACAACTCTTCCTGCGACTTGCCTTACCGCGCCCGTGGTACGGCATACAGTGTTCTTACCGTGCTGCTTTCCGTCATGGCCTGGGAAGCCAAGCACCTTACCCTGGGTCTCTTCAACATGGATAAGTCAACCAGCTTCATCGGCAACCTGATGAAGAACCGCTTCTTGTTCTATTCCGTTTGTGCTGGATTGCTCACACCCATTCCTATCATATACATCCCTGTGGTCAACAAACAGGTATTCAGGCACACGGCTTTGACCTGGGAGTGGGGTCTGGTGTATGGCAGCGTTGTCTTGTTTGTGTCGCTTGTTGAGACTTGGAAAGCCATCAAGCGTCGCAAGGGATATGGAAAGAAGAGTTGGAACGAGAAGTACATCGAGAGAAGTGATGACAGCAGTGTTTTGACTGCTGTCTAGGTGTGTTAATGTCTCATTCGGGTGGGTGAGCGACCTAGAATGGCCTGACTCTGTCGCTGTTAGATTTCAAGTTCTTTTCGTTTCGTCTGTCTCTACCTAAACATTCTCCGGACTGGAGTGATTTGTTTTTCTGTTTTCAGCATATTCGATTCAACATCGATAGTTTCCTTTCATATCCTGAACAAATCGAACTCAAATCCGATGACAACTTCTCTTACCAAGAGCGGGTAGACGAAAAGTTCAATCCTGATGTTGTAATTGCTGTGTATGGGTTCAACGAAAGATCGGAAGAGAAAGCGCAAGCTTCTGACGAGATCCAACGGAAGTATTGGACGACTGGAACTCCCGCACAACCACACAACTTTGCCACCTACACAAAACGGCTGCTGCACAGTGGACCACTGGCGGGCAGTAAACCCCACCTGCTCGCCTTGTACCTTTTGTGGTCTTGCATGGTTCGAACAAGGTCGAATCGTTGCTGCGTGACCATGCAGCTGACATAATCGCTGCAGCCACGCAGAAGTTTTACGCTTACAGAGGCCTCTCTTTGTTTTATCGCTGAGGACACACTAATGAGAAGTACTTGACACAAGGGAATACCCGAGCCTTCTCGTATCGATACGAGCGACGCTAAGTCTACAGTCTTTTGGTCATCTCGCTTCCACAACATCTGAAACAGCTTTCTCATATACTACATCCTGACAACGAGCACATGACATTCAAAAGGGGACTATCTGTCATCAGGGCGATGAATGCGTTTGTGATCTCCTCGTCCCCATGTACTACGCTCCATCATGACTACGACGCTCGTGTTCCACATTCAACTCAGTCATTATGATTATCATCAACTATTTCTATAGTCCTAAGTCAACAATCGGCAAAATTATCCGGCTCTCGTATTTGCCACCAACATGAACATGGTGTTTTCCATGGTTCTGCTGCTCGGCTGGTCTTGGTCTGTTGAACTTTTCAAGTTCCGGGTTGAGCGAGATGTATCCGAAGATCTGTACCGAAAGCGTCTCCCCCNNTGCCTCGAAATGAGTGGCGCCTGACCATATTCCAATCTCCAGCTCAACAACCTCACCCTTGGGAATACGTTGTTCTTCATCATGTGGGTGGAAAGGAATGTGATCGTGAAGTGTCTTGGTCCGATCAATCTTGCGATGTGAAGCTCGCAGCATGCCGACGTTGCCCTTGAAGTAGAGGGCGCCGTTGCCTGTCTGTCCTTCGGAGAGATCGTAGGTGCTCTTGATCTGCCATCGTTCTTTCGGAATCTGTACGTGGACCAGTGGATGTCCATTCTTGTCTAGCTTGCGCAGCTGGACGTACACATTCATGTCGTCGTGGTCGGTGCAAGACATGTTGATATAGATTTTGGGAGGACCGAGAAGTGTGGTAGGCTTGTCGAATGTAGTATCGAATTTAATGCGCTCGCTGCCCTCTGAGTCGTAGGAGTGCGTGGACTCAGTCTTGACGNNGGGGGAAGGTGAGAGGGTTTTGTCGCCGAGGTAGTAGGTAGTGAACTTGGTCTCGGGATGAGGGAAGTCGGGCAGTGCGATATTTTCGATCGGAGGTTTGTCGCCATATTGTAATACAGACCATCTGACTTTCGGAGTTTGCTCCCAATCATTCTTCTCCTCTTTGAGGTAGCGGTCGAAGAACTTGCGCAGCTCGAGTCGAGACTCTTCTATGGCCCATAGGTCGAACCACTCCTGCCATGCATTCCACTTGATCCATTTGTTCTCGCTGTCAATCTGCATGTAGGCTCGGATGGAGCCCATGGTGTGCATTGCGGCAAAATCGGTACCGGTGATGAAAGCTGCGCACTTGATCTTTTCAAGGGCTGCACGCTTATCCTCCCAGTATGCTGATGAGAGAGGATATCGCGAGTACATTTCCTCGAAATCTTCATATCCATTTGTGCCTCGCACAGTGAATTTGGTGATGAAGTTGTTGTTCGAGATGGAAAAGATCCCGCCCCTGGTAAACTGCTCACGGCCCAGATCCGAGCATCCTTCCCATGGCGCGATGGCCTTCAAACAGGGCGGATTCTTGGCTGCGATGAAATATTGCGTGATGGCCAAGTGGGAATTGCCGGCCATGCCAACATTGCCGTTGCACCAGTCCTGATGGCCCAAAAATTCGACGACGTCGTATCCGTCCTGCGCCTCTTGCTCACCCATGATGCAGATGTAACCTTCAGAATGACCCGTTCCTCGAGAATCGACGTTGGCGACCGCATATCCCCACGCGCAGAAATCCTTGGGATCCACACTTTCGAATGTCTCGTATCCGGAGGTGTCGTCTGGTCTGAGACCGAGCTTCCATGGCAAGTGAACGGCGATACCGGCCATGTTGTACTTCTTTCCGTACGGCCCATAAGCTACGATACATGGAATTTTTCCCTTTGCATCGGCAGGGCGATAAACGTCGGCATAGAGCTTGACTCCGTCTCGCATGACGATTTCAACATCGTTATCACGGATGATGTCGCATTCTAGCTTTTTGCCATCCTGGTCATCCCACTGCTTCTTACAGTGTCCTGTCTTGAGTAGATCTTGTCGGCCCGGGTGGAAACCCTCGTAGCTGTTGTGGCCGATGGAAGGTTCGCTGATTGGCTTGAAGGAGATCGGTACCGGATTGGCGCCCTGCCAATCTACACCCATTGTTGATATGTCGACGGCCGAAGGATATGCTTGTGCAGGATAACGAAAGCGATGGTGATTCAAGGCAAGAAATCGTGCACATGCTTTGACTAAAGTACTGTGCTCGGGACGTCCACCCATGCCGACCGTTCATAGCTCCGGAGAAAATCCTCGGGGCGGGTAGGTGGAGAACCCCGGGAACTCGGCCACGCTCGGCCCCCAGCAAGCCTTGAGGCCAACTATGACCGATTCGTCTCAGAAGTTCGCGGACGACATGGCACATCGATAATTCACATCTAAATCTCGAACAAACTCGACTTGACCCATCCGAAAGAGCTAGTAGATGAATAAGTTGTCCCGAATGTCTTGTCATAGCTGTTACATATGGACTCGACGATAGTTCGGACGAGGAAGCGATACCTGGCTCGATGAATGAATTACCAATAGATGTCAATCTCCTCTACTGGTTTCAGACGAAATTTTCCAAAGAACCCACCACCTCGCTCTACCATCGCAAACCTGTCATTCGGCATGACCGAGCGCCTCAGCTTGCAGGATTCCGGAGGCTTGTAGGCTGGGCGTCGATCGCCCTCTTTGGACCGCTACTTCCTTGTTTCTGCACATGCAGACGAGACAGCGGCGCTCCTGGTTTCGCACTTGCAGAAATACGAACGCCTGTCGCTTGATGCGAAGCCAAATCGAAAGCTCCGCTGGGTTCATCAGACTTTGACGACTGCATCTTGACGCCAAGATTCACGCGGTGGTCTACTCAGGTCGTCGAATATGTGCGACGGTGGTTAAGTTGCATGTCTGTGCCTTCATGGAACAGCCCAGCCTCTTTGAGGGAGACCCTCACATATAAGCAGCATGGCTTTCTGCTCGAACTCATCTTCATTGCCCACCTGTCAACATGGACGATTCAAACACCAGACCCAAGTATGCAGCAGTCAAGACATCAGACGTGGAGATCAAAGACAACCCTGCAACAATGTCTAGGAGATACTCCGACATTGTAACCAGTGCTCTCATAACGACGATTCCTATTCTCATCCTGTCTGGTGTGCTTCTGGCCCTTGTCTTTAATCTTTCGGTCGTCCAAGGACCCTCGATCTTCTCGCAAGACCAACAAGATACTCTCGACGAAGCTGGAGTCTATTATGTGAACATCAGTTCGACCTATCTCGTGTTCATCGCTTCATGGTCCAGTAGCGTTGTACCCATGCTTGCGACATTCTTGTTGACTCTGGCATCGTTTCCGATCGCAAATGGTGTTTTGAAACAGACTCGTCTTGAAAAGCGCACTCGGAGCCTTACTCCATACCAGTTTGCGCTAACACTGAACTTCATTAGCGGAGGGGGTTATGGCGCTATGTGGAGATGGGTAAGGTATTTGTTCACGCAGAGAAAGGCCCAAGAGCGACAGGCACACGCTTTGACACAGGCTGCCTGCTTTACATTGTTGACGTTATTGCTTGGGTAACCTATCGTGAATTCTCCATCACAAGGCCCTGCTGACACGACCAGATTGCTGGTGATATTCGCCGACACTTGGCTGCACATTGCAACCAAGACAGTGACCTTCACTCAATTGCTTGAGGCCAATGATTCCCCTGCGTCCTACGGTTTTGGGCTCAAGGAACCATGCACACTCACCAACAACTCCTACGAAAGTTCCACATCTGGTGGAGCATGCAGTCTCAATCCGGCAGCCACGAACACGTTCCTTATGAATGGAACCCAATCACTGCAAATCCTGAACAACGTATCTTCTCTGGCCACTGTTTCCACAATCATATCTGGACAAGAGTATGCTTATCTAGCAGTTCCACCTTCGGAGAAGTTGGCCGATGAAGATTGGAGAGCTGAATCATTTGCCCTACAAACTCAGTGCCGTCTTGCATCCGAAGAGTGCAATATGGAAGCTACCCACGGCACCAACACCCCATTCAAGTGTTCGAATGCTTTCCAGGGAGATGTGACGCAGAATTACTAAGGTTTTATCGCAGCATTCTTCACAGACAGTATCATGTCTGATAATAGCACGTATCTTGGAGTGGAGAATCCTTTCTATTTTGGCATGGCAGCTCTTGTAAATCCAAGCATTGGCAACTACAGAGTGCCGGATACTGTGGTTCCTGTGCACGGAGGTACCGCCTTTGTACTTCTTTGCAATACTACCGTCCTAGACGTGACGTATGATTCCATCAATGGAACCATCTCAAATTTCAGTGGCGTCCTCAGCAATGTGTCGACTGCCAACATCTGGCAGAGCGTCATGTCATCTACATCCGTTGGCGACTACAACCTGAAGCAGGCGGCAAGCCTCGCAGCCATGGGCGATTCGTCTCAGAAATTTGCTGACGACATGGCGTTGGCATTCAGCAAGACAGCACTGGCTGTTGGCGCTCAAGCAGTAGAGAAACGACCACCTCTCGCTGTTCAGTTGAGGTTCTCGTTCCTTGTAGCCAGGGTTCCAGCTGCCCCACTGTATACGCTTATCGGAGCAAACATGCTTGTTGTCTTTGCTGGAGTTATGCTCACGATCATCGCCCTGGTAACTTCGAAAGGCAAGGTCAAGGAAGTCCAAAGCAGGTTGTCGATTGTTGGTCTTGTCGCAGATCGATTCGAGGGTAAGACAGCTAGGTTGGCAGCCAAGGATCTCGATGAACTATTCCGCGAGTCCAAAGGTCAAGAAACTTCGAGAGTTGGTATAGATAGTGCTGCTGAAGGTGGTTTTGAGTACAAGACCTGGAATGAGGAAAGACTCCGAGACATCGTCCCTTGACGATCTATCTGCGGATAACCATACTAAGACTTCTTTAAGCGACGAGTACATTCTGGACATGGTTGTTGCTTTTGGATTAGAGCAAGTATGGCACCTGTGATGAGAAGACAACGCGCATGAAGGTGGTATATATTTTGCATTTAAACATAAGATTCAATTGCTGTCCCCTCTATATGACTAGGAAAGTTTCGTATCGTTGAATGATAGTGGCGTAGTCGTTGTACCATTCTTCCAGCCATCCAGTCGCGTCGAAAAATCTGGTTGTCCAACAGCTCATCGTAGGATCAAGCAACTTCATTCCCGATGTCAACATCCTCAACTTCAAAGTACACTGCTCGATCTTGAAGCAATCCTTGGCCAGACACTGCCCGTAGGTGTTTCCTGGACCTGTAGATGCTGCCAATGCAGTAATCAGAACATAAAGAGAGTACAGGACGGTTGGGGCAAAGGAAAATGTCGGCAGAGCGAGAACAAGAGCAGGATCCATGTTCGTGGCAGTGTCGACTACAGCGTGACAGTGACCAACCAGTGCTTCGAGAGCCGTCCTGAGCGGTGGTATTATGTGGTCTGGTGCGGGAAAGTCTTTGACGGATATGCGACCTGGGATGAACGGTGCAGCGAACGATGATCTGTTCGTTCGAGTATGCAGCACAACCTCATACAACCGAACCATTGCAACATGGCGCAACACTTTCAGTATCTGTGAAGTCGCAAGGAAATGTGGTATCTGAGCTGTCCATATATCGACCTCAGACTTGAGACGTCTGATGGTGAGATGAGTGTCGTAGTCATTTCCGTCCACATAAGTAGCAAGATGGAACAGGTGTAGTTGGCTTGAGATCTCTTGCACCAATCGGGTAATCCGGACGATCTGACAAAGCAGAAGATCGGATGTTTCACCTGCTTGTTCCAAGTAAAGGAGACATTCTTCGTGATGATGGTCCCAAGGTACTGTGTTGGGCCGGCGCATGTCAATCGACGATGTTGAGAGTGCAATGTAACAAGCAAGCCAAGTACGCCGAGCTTCTGGTGATGTTGTATCTTCGACCCGGGCGAAATATGCCGCAGGTGAAGGTTGCCATGAAGACCCGGCAATACCAAGGTCAACTCCCATGTCTACAGCAAGCTGCACAACCTGGTAACAACTAGCTTGCTGATCCTTGCGAGTAGACTTGTTCCAGAAAGCCGTGATAAGCAGTGCCTGGACAAGTTCAAGCGACCGTTGACCCCTGCTTATCACCTCGTCACCGAGTACACGCATCATCTCTCGCACCAGCTCATCGTGCACTTCTAGCGCAGTGCCTTGCATATTGTGCGTACAAGAATAGACCAAGATAGACATGAGAAGGATCGGGGTCTTGGTACGAATCTCATCCAGATCTGTAGACAGCCGGACGACTGGCCATACAACGCTGACTTGGTTTTTGNNGAAGCAGTCAAGCAAGATCAGCTGCTTGAGAAGCGGAATGCGAGCATCTAGAAACGACAGGATTGACGAATCCTTGTCTTGGAGCAGACTTGCGGGCGAGCGACTTAGCGTAGTATCGCTACTCTGATCCAGCAAGGCGGCTTTGAGTTCTCGAATCTGAGCTTCGAGTTGGCTGATGCGGTCGCGTTGAAGACGCGGCGCTGATGGAATACACTCCACATAGTTGCGCACGCATCTCTCGCAAGCACTTCGTGGCGAGGTGGCCACATCACACTTGATCTTAAGCCGATGGCACTCTTCGCAAGCGCGGTTCCGTTTTCGCATGTTTACTCAAGATCGTACGATACCTTCGATGAGACGAAAGTGTAACTGTGGCTTCCATCTGTCAGGCTGTGACAGCTTATGTCCAGGGTGGAGATGCCGGCTAAATTTGGCCGCCGTGAACGACGAAAGTGGACGAAACACCGGAAGGAACTGGCCAAAAATAGACAATCCGTCATCATGGACGCCATCGGCGAGATCTGATCGCTCGACTGTGAGGGCAACCAACCGATCGAGGGGGCAGGAAGCGGAGCCAAGTTGAAGGATGAGCGCCAAGCCGGTCGAAGGTGTCTCGCTTGCGCTTCCCATGTGCACTCCATGTGCTCCTTTGCATGATTCCCCCACAGATGAAAGTATCGGCAGAATTGCGCCGTCCTCTGTTTTGACCTGATGTCGCTCTCCTCGATAATTGGCGGACAGTCTCTTCTCGGAGCTTGGCAAGGGCTGAGCACCTTGCTCGACACCATGCGCTGTGAGACTGCTTGATCCTTCGTGCATACCACTGCAATATCGAGTACGGAGGAGATGAACGACAACGCAATTTTCTCGATCGTAGTCCAATGTCTACGACCACTTCGTCTTAGTATCGTTGCATGACTGCTGCCTTCGATGCCTTGGACTCCTAGCCAGCCGGGCTACAATTGCACCGCCATGGGAAGGCAAGGTATAAAGATCAAGATGGGAGCCCATGGAAGATGATTGCTGAAGTATCACAACTCGAGACCTTGCACATCAACACTCTCCAATCAAGCACTTTCAGCTATCCTCCACTATGCGTCCATCAATCTGGTTCTTTGCCTCCATGGCTGGCTCTTGTTTGGCTCAGGGCGATCTGGCCGGCCTTCTCTCTTCTCAATCAGACCTCAGTACTCTGCTTGAGCTTGTTGGCTTGGTCGATGGCCTGGCAGAAACTCTTTCAGCGGCTTCAAACATCACGATTTTCGCCCCAACCAACGAGGCTTTTGCCAAAGTCCCACGCGACGAACCGGAAGGTGCTGCCATCGAGTATCGCAACGAGACCATCGCAGTCGCAGCACTTCTTGCCAATCATGTCTTCAAAGGAGTGTACCCTTCCGACGTCATTACCAACGTTCCAACCTTTGCTCAGACCTTGCTCAATAGCTCCTATGTGACTGCCACTCAGCCATTCTCCAACATCACCGGTGGTGCTTACAACGGGCTGGTCAAGAATGGCGACGACGTCTGTGTCTTGTCTGGAGAGGAGACAATCTCCACCGTCACTCAAGCTGACATCAAACTGGGCGAAGGCATCACGATCCACAAGATCGATACTGTTCTTTCCTTTGGTGCTCCTCTCCAGCTATTCACATACCGTGCTGGATATCGCGCCATGAACGCCGCCCTCGAGGCAGCAAACCTGGGCTTTGATGTTGGTCTGAGTGGTCCGGATCAGAAAGGCCTCAACATTTCTGACTTCACCATCTTCGTTCCGACCGATGCAGCTTTCGATTCCATCGGTTCAGTGCTTGAGTCGGCCGATCTCGAGACACTCCAGGAAGTCCTCAAATTTCACATCATCCCCAACAACGTCATCTTCTCGCCTTCTCTTAGAAACGTCACTGTGCCCTCGCTTCAAGGTACCAATTTGACCTTCACTGTTTTGCCTGACGGTTCCGCCTGGGTCAACAACGCGAAGATCACCTTTCCAAACACCATCTTGTTCAATTGTGTTGCTCATGTCATTGACACGTGAGTTTGTGCGATACAACACGGATGATACTCAAACTGACTGATCACAGCGNTTCTGGCACCTGGAGACTTTGATCGTTCCTCGTTGGAACCTTCAGCTCCTGCAGCAGAAAGACTGTCTTTCCCTAGTGCTTCCCCGGTTGCGGTCCTGCCGTTCACCAGTGTTGCGTTTGAAGGCGATACAATGACTTATACATCGACTCCTCGTCTTCTGCAGACCATCGCCGCTGTCGCAACTTCTCGACCAATTGCCAATGCCACTTCTTCCAGCCCGCCTCTTGCTACCTATACTGGATCTGGCATCAGCCTCGCTACTAGTGCTGCCATGGTCATGGCTGTGGCTATTGGTGTTGCTGCCTTGTTGATTTAGATTCACCGAGCGCGATGGTTTCGATGCAATTGTTTGTCACGAGCACGAGGTGTGTGGATGTGTGGTGTTGAGTGGGGGGTCCAAGTCGGCCGAGCAATTTCCAGGTTTTCGTTTGTCGTGTGCTTGATGGTTTTGTTACTGCTTTTGGTATATCTAGCAATAATATAACATGCAATTGGCTTTTGTTCTAGAATGCGGCCTCATGTCTTGTCGTGATGTTCGTGTAGCTAGAAGACAAGTGCATCAAACAATCTGCGATATTTCGCGCCTGATAGCTCTTCTCTGTACATGAATCTCTTGAGCAAGGCTTCCATCTTTCCCCAGGTTCTGATGTCAGTGTGCTTCAGGAGCGCACTGATATGCTCATCTCCACTTTGCGAAGGGGTGGCATGGCTGTTCAATGTCATTTTCGCCCAAATTGCTAGATCCTGGTACTTTGTGCCCATGAGCTCGTGTGTTTTAAGATGTTGACATGACCCAACATGGATGTCAAGGCCTGCCTGAGTGTCGAAGATCCATGTCAGGCCTTGCGCCTTGATGCATGCCCACATCAAGGGTTCATTCGCGCAGATCATGGCTGATCGGATGTGGTAGCAAGCATTCAGTTGGAGCTTGTCCCACTGTTCCTCGTACAATTCGTCGGGTACTGCCGAGACGGAATGGCTGGCACTCCATGACAGGATTTCTATGACAAGTTTGCGGAAGTCTTCGACAGAACGAGGTAAAGTGTAATCAAACCTCGCACAGTTAGATATCGTGCTCAACAGGCTCAACGCTTCGGGACGTTCGGTTGGTATGACATGGAAACCTAATGGAAGACCACTTGGTACCACTGTCCCGTTAGAAAGAGATCGTACAGTCGAGAACGCGTTCTCGGCAATGTATCGCTCGTTGGTGGCTTCCTGAAAGCACTTCATGGCCACGTCCGTAAGTGCAGCAATGCTGGTTTCTTCCAGAGCTCCCATCGCAAGAGGCAAAGTTCTCCATGCCTGCATGTGAACTTTGTACGACAGATGATCACCGAACCTGCGCTCCCAACCTGCTAGAAGAGCAATAGAGATCGAATTCAATGTGTCTTTTGGCGTGTGGACGATCGTTCTCTGAATGCCATCAAGCAAAGCCCCTCGAAGAAACAATAGACCGCTTCCGAAATCATGATTCAATTCGCGTCTACTGAGACCACATGTATTTGCATAAGTCCCGGCGACAAACATGGCGGCGTCAAAACATATGGTACCGCCAGTGAAAGCGTTCCAAAGCAAAACGCGATCAGATTTCTGACCCATGGAAGCGATGGCGTTTGCGTCGCGAGAACGAAGTCTCGAGAAGAGACGTGCGATCGAGTCGTAAGCAAGTCTGTCCGCCTCATCTTGTGTAGTCGGTATTGTTATCGATGTCGACTTCTGTGGTGCTTTGATGGCTTTCTTTGGTCCCGCTGCTTTTGCGATGGACTCCTTCCTGGCGATAGTGGCTTTTCTCAGACCAGAAGAGGTGTGTGCGACGTGCGCCCGCACCACTCGACGCTGCTGTTTGTACACGCCAGCAGCTCTGCGCTCCGCCAAAGCTCTGGGATCATATTCGACCCATGCGAAGGATGGTTGGTCTCCAGCATCGTTGGCCATACCGACCGCTCACCCGCAGCGGAGATGTAACGATGTTACAAGGCGCACAGCAAGGTTCTCGTCAAGGTTCGAGCGCCCGCAAACTGGTCGGACTCAACTCCGCACGAGCCAAGAGAAAATGAGAAGAAAGCGCGTCATTGCCTCCCAAGCGTTACACCGGAGTTTTGCCTCAGTCCGCCCTTCGCTCTGTTGTGTTTCTTCACGATTCGAGGATATATACTGAGTCAGACATGTCAGGGTCCGGATCCAAAGCGATAACTGCAGGTCTAGTTCTCTGAAGAAAACTGAGAAAGATTGACGAAGAAGTCATGTTTTGTATGACCGAGCAAGGGTCGTGGTGTTCTTCCTAGACGTGAGTTTTCTCCAGATCGAAATTGAAACGAAGACTCCCAGGACCCCCACATTCAGAAGGCTACTAAGCGCTGCCACGTTATCTGACTTCGACTCTCAAAAGTCGTCTGAGTTCGACGAACTGGTATGTATACGTTATGTGGCCGACAGCTCCTCGTTGTCGATACAAAACATTGCTAGTCGAGGAGAGCACCCCGTTTTGTCTTCTCCAACCCTGGCATTGGAATGAAAAACCTTGGCACGCCACAACAGGAAACTTGTACGAGGTCGTCGGTCAAGACTAAAAAATTGTAGGCTCTTGCATTGTTGGCGCTGAAAAACAGCCGGTCACGCAGCCGCAAGCAAATCGGTATTGTGACTCAAAATAGCGGATGCTGCTTCCGATGTGCGGACCTTGGTTGCCGAGGGCCATTTTGACCCCGCCTCGGTGTCTACAGCGGCTCAGCGAGGAATATGGACACATATCGCATATGAAAGCAGATACTGCATATTTCGACGAGAGTGCCAGAACACTCAGGCTCAAACTTCATGATTTCGACAACAGAGCAACTAGAACAAGGGGAGCCTTCGCCGCCTGCCATGCAGTATCAGCGGCTCGGCAGCAGTGGACTCAAGGTCTCAAGAATCATTCTAGGCTGCATGAGTTTTGGTAATCCGCAGTGGGAGGGCAGTCCGTGGATCCTCCCAGAGGCTGAAGCGCTGCCGCTCTTGAAGAAAGCCTATGATGTTGGTATCACTTCTTGGGAAACCGCAGACAGTTATTCCAATGGTCAATCTGAAACCATCATTGGGAAAGCATTGCAACACTACAAGATACCTCGAAGCCGGGTTGTGCTTATGACGAAGTTATACTATCCGGTCCTGGAAGACGATCCCAACGCACGACCACAACCACCGCGTAATGAAGGACCACTTGTGAACCAGATGGGTCTCAGCCGCAAGCACATCTTCGAAGCTGTGGAAGGTTCCCTGCGTCGATTGAATACGACATACATTGATGTGCTACAATTGCACAGACTCGACCGCGACACAAATCCTGAAGAAATCATGCAAGCTCTCCACGACTTAGTCCGCATGGGCAAAGTTCTGTACATTGGTGCATCGAGTATGCATTGCTGGGAGTTCGCTCGCTTGCAATACATAGCCAAGATGCACGGTTGGACGCCTTTCACAAGCATGTCAGGTCTTCACAATCTTCTATACCGCGAAGAGGAACGTGAGATGAATCCGTTCTGCAATGCAGAAGGCGTTGGTCTGATACCATGGAGTCCGATTGCGAGGGGGCTACTGACACGACCATTTGATCAGCAAACAGAAAGGAGTCAACAAGATGTCAAAACCAAGAAATGGTTCCAGGGAGATCAGAATCGTGAGATTGTTGGGAGAGTGGAGAAACTGGCGATTGAGAAACACTGCACCATGTCCGCCCTAGCAGTAGCATGGTTGCTCAGAAAGGGCGAATGCCCTATAATGGGTCTCAACAGTGTGAAGAGAATTGAGAGCGTTTCTGAAGCATTTGCTATCGAGCTTACAGATGCGGAGATGAATTTGTTGGAGGAGCCATATTGCCCATTGGCAGTGCAAGCGATATAGTTGGACTTCATAGTTTGCTCCTACGTCACATCTCACTTATGAAAACCACTGCCCTCTCCATGCTTGCCTTCCGTGAGAACTGGTCCGTCAGCGCAAACTCATCGGGCTTCGAACGTCCGTAATCCAATATGTTGACTGTGTCAATCGTGTCGGCTGCGCAATCCGAGAGCGGAGCGCTAACAGGATCGGACGTGACCTTCCGGTGTGCAGCGTCCCAAACCCGGAAGTCGGAAGCAAAGGTGTCCAGTGTACTACGGTGATCCACGATTGACCACATATTTGGTCCACATCGCAGATATTAGATATGGGACTTCCCGAAGCAGAAACTGCTTACGATCAACGACTTGGATCTTTAACAAACTTTTAAACATGCACGCTGTTCGATCCGAAGACACCACAATTCTGATAACTGGAGCAGCGGGCTTCCTCGGTCAAGCTTTGACTCGAGCTCTGCTTCAAGAGAGTCCTTTAGCCACGATCATCTTGACTGATGTTGTCGAACCTGAGATTCCCTCGAGTTTGGTGACTCACAAGTCTACTACTGGACACATTCGCAGTCTTGCAGCAGATTTGACCATCAGAGAGACATGCGAGCAGCTCTTCACCAGCAAGCTTACTCATGTGTATCTTTTGCATGGTATCATGTCAGGTGCTGCCGAGACCAACTACGACCTGGGCCTTCATGTCAATGTTGACTCCATGAGACACATCGCCGACGCATTGCGGAAAACTGAACGCAAACATGCTGTGAAAGTCATCTTTCCTTCTAGTCTTGCAGTTTTCGGCCCTGCAAATGACAGCACCGTTGTCACAGAAGACACAAGAACCGCTCCCAGATCTTCTTATGGTGCAGAGAAAGCCATGACCGAACTGCTTTTGATGACCTCTCAAGACGCGGACTCATCGATGCTTGTATCGTTCGACTGCCAACAATCATCGTTCGCCCAGGAAAGCCATCCGGAGCTGCATCATCTTTCTGCTCAGGCATTATTCGAGAGCCTCTGGACAAGACGGTGTCGCATCTTCCAGTAAAGCGTGACACTAAACTCTGGGTCTGCTCAACAAGGACAGTGGTGCAAAATCTTGTCTTAGCCAAGAATATCTCTAGCGAACAATTTGGTTCTGGTTCTCGGATTGTCAACCTACCCGGTCAGACGGTCACGGTAAAGGAGATGCTTAATGCGCTGATGGAAGTTAGAGGGAAGAAAATCGTTGCGCTGGTTGAGGAGAAACCAGACCAAGCAGTGGAAAGCATCGTGTGCTCGTGGCCTGCGATGTTCGATGTTTCGAGAGCGAGCAATCTTGGTTTCGCAGAAGACGTGTCATTGGTTCAGGCGATTAGGGATTACATCGAGGATTTCATGTAAGATTTCCCGCTTGGTTCGTCCTTGCGAAGTTTCTATCCATCTTGTCTGCACAGTATGATTCTGAGATCGCGGCTTTCCCTGTTTAGCATCTATTACCTTCGTAGGAGTCATGAACAGCGCAATGGACGAACTCAAACTCTTCAAATTCTGATTCTCTTGTGACGACAAGAAAAAAGACTCTTGAGGACTAGAGCATCGAAAGGCTTGTTGCAAAGCACGCAAACTCGAGAAGAAGGGATCTTGGTTGATTGGCAGATATCATGTACACGTCCATGGAATTCAAACCAGTCTCTTGCTTGTCTGATTCTAATTTCCGATTCAATGCTCTATCACTTAATCACAAAGATTCGATCACTGCCGGACTCAACTGAACATACTTGATCTTTTGCCGCCAGTAGGTGTAAGCAGCGTGAACTGTACCATCACCTGACACAGCCATACTTGGATATGACAACTCTCGGTTCAGCTTTTGCTCACTGTTGTTCGTCATACAATAACCATCGCCATCCTCGAGCACCTTGTGGTTCCAAGTTTTCCCATTATCATCACTCCACGCAAGACAAAGTGGCGCTCTAGGAGCACCCCAGAAAGCCTTTCTACCACCATGTTTGCTGCTCTGGTTCTTACGGTTATCTCCAGCTTCGGCGATGTCGTCGTAGAGACCTTCACGCTGACCCTGAGCATTGGCCTTCGAAGAGTGGTTGTAAATTGCCAGGACCCTGCCAGACGGCAGCACATTGAAACAGATGCCAGCATTAGGATTTGGTAGACTAGTAGCGACAGGCTCGGTCCACTCGATTGCATTGCCAGATGTGGACATGTAGATGTTATCCGCCCAACGGCTGCGGAAGAGGCCAAGATAAGTACCATTCTTGAGCTGCTGCACCTCCATATGAACACATCCGAAACTGTTCGGCACTTCTGTCTCTGTCCATGTCTTGCCACCATCCTGAGAGACCCTGATGCAAGAGATATCATCGTTGCCGATCCAGCGCGTTCCCGGCTCAGTTCGGCATTTGAAGATGGGTATCAACCAAGACCCAGTACCCAGCACGATCATAGGCTGCCTGATGAAGGTGCCAGGCTCTGAAAACAGAAGTTCGGGTGAGCTCCACGTCTTGCCAACGTCTTCAGATATCTGTCGCTTGACGATCGCCGAGTCCTGGTCTCCAGCATTCTGCGATGTGTAGAGTAACCAGATTTCGCCATGTGGTGTCTTGAACAAGACAGGGTTTTGTTCACTACGAGTCTGGTCAAAGGTCACCCTCTTGGCAGGGGACCAGTGGCCTGCTTTTGAATTGAGCTTTGAGAGGTAGATACTGATGTCAGGCTTGCCTTCCTGGCTGCCACCAAACCAAGCACACAGAACATCACCGTTGTCGAGCAGAAGTAGGTTCGAGGCATGACATTGTGCTGTCGCGGATGGCACAAAACATGTCAGATGTTGCAAAGGTTCTGGCGACTGAGATAGGATAGCGTCCTCTGGTGCAGCGAGTGTTTGTGGTATACCCATGTTTGCCAGCTGATGGTTTGCTGAGCGTCTGGTCGTACGTAGTCAGCCTCTTGTGTCAGAGGCACAGCTTGTTATACACCTATTAAGAGAAGATACAGTACGCGACTGATCTCCGGAGTGAATCCCTCGGAGCCTTAGGGTGCGAGATATTCGGCGAGTCTCCTCCGTCCTACCCCGCACACAAAAACAGAGTTTGGCACGGGAGACTTCCGAGATAAGCACCATCCCCAGGTGATCACCTCCGCTTGGCGTGGAGGAGCAATGCGGAGGATCAACCACCGCTTCAAGGCAGTACAACGATACATGTACCGCGGTGGTATATCAGTACCTCTTCTCAACCACCTGATTGTCGTCCTAACCATCCACTTAATCTTCATCACCACCACGCTCATATCTCCTCTATCAACACAACATGGGTGGTGGTACTAGTATCTGGGCCAGCAAAGAGGCTAAGACAGATCCCAAAGCAATCTTCAACTTCCGGCTTCTCTACCTCCTCGTCACGATCGCCTGGGCTGGATGCTTCTATGGGTTCGACTCAGGCAACATTGGCGGCATCCTTACTCTGAAGTCGTTCGAAAATGCTTTTGGCCTGACGGGTCTGTCGCAGATCGAGCTAGACAATCNNGCAAAGTATGCACGATTACCAATCCGATTTCGGCACGAACTGACAGTCAGATAGGGGAATATCGCCGCAATGCTCGCTGCTGGCGGATCTGCAGGCGCTTTATGTGCTGCTCCCACGTCTGACTACTTCGGCCGCAAATGGTCTGTCTTTGGCTGGGGTGTGGTCTTCGTCGTCGGGGCTATTATGCAGATGGTTGCCGACTACGACGTACTGCTAGCCGGACGCTTCATTGGGGGCATGGGTGTGGGCGCGAGCTCTATGTTGGCACCTCAGTTTCTGGCTGAGAATGCGCCCAAGTCTGTGAGAGGATCTATGACCGCCAGTTACAATCTCATGATTGTGACCTCGCTCATGCTGGCTTTCTGGATCAATTACGGAGTTTCTCTCTGGAAGTTCAAGGGGGTCAATCATGATAACTCTCAATGGTGAGCATAAGTTTATTGTGGTGGCATATGGCACAAGCTGACCACATAACTACATAGGCGTGTGTCAATGGGTATTCAGCTCGTTCCAGGAGTTCTCATGTGTATCATGGTTCCCTTCGTACCCGAGACGCCTCGTTACCTTATCAATCATGGCAAATCCGAGCAGGGTTTGGCCAACCTAACTCNNAAGATGAGAAACCTGCCCGCCGAGCATCCCTACGTTCAAACCGAATATCAAGAGATCGAGGCTCAAGTCCGCTTTGAGCAAGAGGAACATCAAGGTCATAGCTATCTGGTCATCTTCAAAGACATCTTCACGAACAAAAGCAACTTCCAGCGCTTTTTCCTGNGCTGTCATGCTCTTTCTTTTCACAAGTTCACAGGCACAGACAGCCTGAACTATTATGCTCCATCCATCTTCAAGCTCATTGGTATCAAGGGCAACTCAACCACACTTCTCACCACGGTATGACATCTTAGCATAATACTTGACACTTTGTACTGATGAGATGCAACAGNNGGCGTCTACGGCTGTATCAAGGTAGTCACCACCATCTTCTATGTTGGTTATCTTGTAGACCGCATTGGTCGCCGCCTTCCGCTCATCATTGGAGCCACAATTCAAGGCACTTCAATGTTGTATCTCGCACTGTACATACGTTTCGCTGGTAAGGGAGGCGAAAGCGTTAGCGGTACTCCAGCGGGCGGTATTGTTGGCGTAGTCTTTATCTACCTATATGCTTTTGGTTGGTCCTTTGGACATTCCGTAGCATGCTACGTTGTGGCAGCTGAGATTTTTCCAACCAGAATTGTGAGTACACTCACACNNATGTGCAACCATGGCTACCTACTGACTCTCTCACAGCGTTCAGTTTGCATGTCGTTCTGCTTCTTCGTCAACTGGATTGTGGACTATGGCATCACTCGCGCGACGCCTAACATGATTACCGAAATGGGGTACGGCATCTTCCTCCTGTACGCGATGCTCACATACGTGGGTGTAATTTTCATCTTCTTCTGTCTACCAGAGCTCAAGGGACGCTCCATCGAATCGATGGACGATCTGTTCCAGCGTCCCTTATGGACTATGTGGAGACATGCTTATCCTACTGAGGAGGAGAAGATCAGGCACGATGTGCAGGATATGATCCAATCAGGCAAGCTTGACGATGCAATGGAGTTGGAGAACAAGCCCAAGAGCGCTGCAGTGCATATCGAGAGGATCTAAGATAGCAGATGATGGTCTAGCTACGTTCCTATTGGAATTCACATGACGTCTATGTTCTCAAAGCAAATCATTCGTACGTTTCCGGTGATCATCGCACTTCTTCCCGAGTCAGTCATGCCCTGAAAGCCTATCAAATGCTAATGGAATAGTGGGGAAGTGGCAATCGATCCGAAGACCAACTTGCGGGGTTTCGGGGACTGTCGGCAATTGACACCAGTTAGGGCTTCAACTCCTGTTCTACTTCTGTTCGTGTTGCTTGAGACTCTTCATATCATCCCTCCATTCCAATGATGTCAACATCCAGCAAGCGAAGGCGTAGTGATGCTGTCGGGTCACTTGATGAACTTGAATCGCAGTCAAAACGCCCTACAGGGGGACGTGAAGAAGACTTCAGCGGCTTGTACTGCTTGTCGAAAACAGAAAATCCGATGCGACATGCCTGATGAGCAGCCTCCTTGTTCAAGATGTGAGCGTCGTGGCATGAATTGTGTTCTTCATACCTCCACACGGGTGGTTGGCGTTACGGCCAAGGATATCGATTTACTCCGCAAAGATGTGCAGAACATACACGCTGTCCTCGGCCGTGTCTGCGAAAGCCTCTCTCTGGAAGCACCTCAGCTGATGGCTTCCGCCTCTGAGCCTGTCGAACCGCAGAATACTTTACCAATGATACCAGAACCTGGCGAAGAAGAATACTGCGAACTCTCTCCTCCTGCTTCTCCTTCTGATGTACACGCACCAATCGACACCATTCTAGGGAACTCGAAGACTGATGCGAGTCCTGGAAACAGCCCAAACTTTGGTCGCCGTCGAGGCACAGGAGGCTCTGATTTGATCACAAAAGGCNTGATCACTGTGGAGACCGCGAATAGATTGTCACACCACTATTTGACACATCTAGACCCGTTTTTGTACGGTATAGCCAGTCACCACAGGAACGCCGAAGCTATTCGCGAGGCATCGCCAGCACTTCTTGCGGTTGTTTGCGCTGTTGCGGCTCTTCACGTCGACGGTGATAGAGAGGCTTTCGAGATATGCAATCGGGAGTTCCGCAACCTTGTTTCTTCTTCGCTCTTCGAGAAGCGAGATGTCGAGCACATCCGAGCTCTCTGCATTGGTTCTTTTTGGATGATGAACGCATCACGGATTTTGTCCAGTGATGCTATACGTCGAGCTGCCGATGTCCGTCTACATCATCACTTCTACCGCCTCAGTACGATTCCTAATTCTTTACCGATCGAGGAACAGACTGCTCATCGAGACCGTATCCGATTATGGTACCTGCTTTTCATTAGCGATCAACATCAAGCCATCCTTCACAATCGTGACCCTCTGATGCGACAGGAGTCTGATTTCAGCGAGCAGATGGACTGGTTCCTCGCCAGTGGTGGGATGACGTCCCAAGATGCTCGCATTGTTTCACAAGTTTCCCTCCTGCACATTATGAGTCAAATACGAGACGTCTTTGGAGCTGACGCGAGGAAGCCGCTTGCTAAACCAATGGGCATTCAATTCAATCATTTCACGCGGGAGCTGGATCAATGGNTACTCGCATCACTCGGTGATATTTGGTAAGCACTTCTTCTTGTCTTGCCCCTGTTGAAAGAGATGCTCATGATCCATGGCTTTTTAGCATCACATCCAGACATTGGCAACTTTCCAGCGGCCGGGCTCCGCATGCACCACCAATTCGCGAAATTATTCCTTGGCCATCATGTTTTCAGAGGTCTGAAGGATGATACCATACCAACACAATTTTTGAGTGCCGCAGCAACGGCATACGAGACTGCTACGAACATCTTCAGTATTGTTTTGGAGGATCAGGCGTTCCAAAGCAACCTTTTGNGTATGCCGCAATACTTCCACATCATGATATCTTTCGCTGGGCATTTTCTACTCGAAGTCTGCGCAAAGCACAGAGATCAGCTTGGCATGAATCTCGAAGTTGATTTGCCTCGCATACGTGCTGTCCTTGCACATTTCGCGAGGATCAAGGCGATCCCTCAGCATGCCATCACACGCGTCACGACGGGATTGTTGCGCCAACTTCAGAGGTTTACAGCAACTCTGGGTATTGATTCTGGCCTCGAAGGGAGCCCTTTTGTGGCAATGGATTTCTTGAATGTTCCAGGGTCCGGACCAGAGATTGCACCTGTCTCTGAGATGAATGGAGCGGCTTTCTCTTTCGACATGCAGGCCGGCAATATGATGCCATTCCCTGATCTTCCGATTTTTGCCTTTCAAGACTTGGATTTCGACTTCCTCAACTAAGCGGTTGTGAACTTTGTACATTGCTCTGTCTACGAGGTCTAGACTACAGATCATCGTGGAATACCTTCAACCCCCAGTCTGGTCGATTGAATCGATGTGGTTTCTCAATTGCCAGTCGATCTATCCTCTCCATCTCTTGCCGGGACAACTCTACATTCTCTCGAAGATTCGAAGCAATTCGGCTTGGATTAGTGCTCTTGGGTATCACACTCCATCCTTTCTGCAGGCCCCAACTGAGCATTACGTTGCCAGTCGGTACACCTCTCGCTTTCGCTATCTCAACAACTGCAGGCTCTTCATGGAGTGTACTACCAGTACCACCTAACGGCCCGAACGCTGTCTGATGGATGCCTCTGGCTTGGCAGTACTCGTGAAGCTTCTTCTGGGGCAGCAAAGGTTGAAGCTCGGTTTGGTTCACGGCCGGTGTAACACTTGCTGTCTTCAAGAGTTTCTCGAGGTTAACGGTCGAAAAGTTGGCGACTCCGATGGCGCGAATCTTGCCTGTCGTCAAGAGCTTCTCCATCTCCTTCCAGGTATCGGTGAAGTCCCAGCCTTGCGCATGAATCTTCCGGTCCTCCTTGCCGTACTCTGCATCAGTGTCTGGTGGTAATGTGACAGGCCAATGCATCAGCAATAGGTCGACATAATCCAGACCAAGATCTTGCAAGGACTTGTTCAAGGCTGATTGAACTCTTTGATGATCTGAAGACCACAGCTTTGTTGTGACGAAGTACTCGGATCGTGGTATGGGTGCTTTCTTGAATATCTCCCCAATTTCCTTCTCATTATAATACAGAGGCGCACAGTCGAAGTGTCGATATCCTGCTGCAAATGCGGCTTCAACAGCTTTACCTGCTTCGCCGGGGCTGCTTTCNCAAGTGCCAAAGCCTATCGCAGGGATTTTCGCTCCAGTGTTCAATGTAAACTCGTGTATTGTTGCCATTGTCCCTGTCTTGTCGAACATCAGCCTCAATGTGTAGATTTATGTCCGGACTGCATACCGATACCGGTGGAAGATCGTGTATCTTCTTGAGTCTGGAGACGTGACAATCACATTGAGACAGTGGTTCCAAGAACTATTTACACGAGACAAATCTGTGTACGCTGTCACAATCTTCGACTATTGATGCCGGACAAGAAGTCCATCGCAAGCGCTCTTCCGAGAAAAGTGGGGCCTCTGCGGAACTGGTCGCCGCAAGTGCGGGGGATACGCCGTACCCCTCGATTTGACCGCAGCAAGCTCGTCCGAGTTCGGCATATTATTAGTCCGTGGGCAACTCCATTGTCATTCGTTTTCTGCTCACGCCGGAGGTTCGATCACACAGCAAACATCAGGACCAGGTTCAAATGACACTATCTCAAGTCTCGGAAACTATCATGCCTTCATCCACAAGAGACAGTGCCATTCCAGGAGGTGTGTGGTGTCCTGTGGTGTCCTTGTACAGAAACACGCCTCGTCAAGAGGTTGATCTCGACGCATCACGCAAATACTTTGCTTTCTTGATACGAGGAGGCGTTAGTGGTCTCGTACTCCAGGGCTCTACAGCAGAAGCCGCACTCTTGTCGTCATCAGAACGCATAGATCTTATCAAGACTGCGCGACAAGCAGCGGCAGATGTCGGCAAGCCCGACTTCCCGTTGATGGTCGGCATCAGTGGTCAATCTACGAATGAGACCCTGCAGTTGGTCGACGATGCGGCCAAGAATGGAGCAGACTTCGGCCTGTTGCTCCCGCCCTCATATTGGCCCAAAGCTGTCACCAATGATGTGATGGTCGAATTCTACGAGGAAGTGGCGGACAACAGCCAGATTCCGATTGTGGTTTACAACGTACGTTGAGAACATGCGACTCGTGGTGCGAATACTGACAGCATGTAGTTTCCTGGTGTGACCAGCGGTATCGACCTGGGCGTGGACGTGCTTTCGAAGCTGGCCAAACATTCGAACATTGTCGGAGTCAAACTTACATGTGCCAATGCCGGCAAAGTAGCCACCCTGACTGCACAATACACACCAGATCAGTTTGCAGTATTTTCCGGTCAATCAGACTGGCTACTCCCATGTCTTGTTAGTGGCGGTATGGGCTGCGTCACGGGAATCGGTAACGTCTTTCCCAGATCAGTGGTCAAGTTGTATTCGTTGTGGCAGGAGGGCAAGCTGGATGAAGCTCGACAGCTGCAAGGCCAGGTTGCACAAGCTGAATCGGCTTGCAAGAAGGGTCTCGCGGCGACCAAATTCGGAACCGCGTACTTTGCCGGTCCTGCCGCAGGACTCGAAGACCAGAGTTTGTTCCTCCCGCGAAAGCCGTACAAGCTAGCATCGAAAGATTTGCAAGCGTCGACAATCCTCACCATGCAGATTTTGGCGAAGTTGGAGTCTTCTTTGATGTGAAGAAGTTGAGAGAAGAACACGTCATCGAGACATTTTGACTGCGCATTTTGCCGAAGTTTTGCCTGCCCATGGTGCTCTGCTCCGTCGTGTTGCCGTGTACAGAGAGATTGCGACAACAATCGTGTTAGGTCATTTCCAGAGTCTCTCGTGCTTCGAGCCTAGACTGGCTACACCATGATCAATTTTGGGGCCTTAAAGGCTATAGAGAGGACAAAATGAAGTTTCATGGTTTATCCTCTGGCAGTCAGCATTGTGCTGTATGTTTTCAGTGCGTCAATCTTGCGAAGATAAAGTAGAATTGTAAAGTCGAGCATTGCACAAGCAGGATATCATCAATCACAACCAAACTATATCACATACGAACCCAGCCTATAGAGGACAGGATTATGGTTCCAGAAAACTGTGTACACCATCGTGGCCGTCAGAATCTTGTTGTCGTCTCGAAAATCGCTAGTCAATGGTATCACCCTGTCGATGATCTCGTGATCTTGGCATCGGATGTTTGCTTCGTTGCCATCACGTCATTCATTTCCCGTTTTCATAACGTCACGCGTCTTCCAGTCACACGCGTCTCTGAGACACATCGATCTTGAAGAACATCCTATGCGACCGTTCTCAAGTCGCAATGCCGAGAGCGGTACCTCCAGATTGTGAGAATGTAGCACGAGTAAGAGGACTTGACTGATAACGCGGTAGCATGGTGAGAAACATGGCTGCGCCTACAGGTTACATTCATTGACTGCCGTCCAAGCCTCACATGTCGGCAAAGAAAGGTTAAGTGTAGGTCATGACCCCGGAGGCGCATCTTCCATCCACTTATGTACCAACACAGGCNNGATGGCCACCGACCTACTTGCCAAAGATGTGCGAAGCGAAGCCTGCTCTGCGAAAGGTCAAACCCAGAAAGAAAATTCGTTGTCTACACAGCTACATCCACCTCAGGTTTTCCTGGAAGAGAGCCCGAGGCCTCGCAGACATCGTCAGAACATGTCCAGAGAGCTGTCAATCAATCACAACTAGCCAGAGAGACGGCGACGTCAGATACAGTGACATGCTTACGGGTCCCAGATCCAATCAGCCCTGTAGAAGATCTGCGACACGAGGCCATCGCTGATCTCTATCATCATTACGTCGAGCATCTTGCAGCTTGGTATGACCTTTGCGAGCACGAACGCCTGTTCGAATCTCTGGTTCCTGCCAAAGCTCTAGAAGTATCAGTTCTGTTCAACGCCATCATTGCCTTTTCGGCTCAGCACAAAGCATTGAGTGATGCGAAGTATGAGACATGCAGCACGTTGTACCATAGCGCATGCATACAAGAACTCCTCAGCGGACTCAGCGCGTTCAGTCCTATCTTGCAGGAGGACTATCTGGTGGCAGCTTGTTTGTTGCGCTCGTACGAGATTCTCCAAGGCAAGTCATTCTACGCTTGAGATCATGAGCCCTTCTCTGATCACACCACAGCTGATTCAAGGCAAGAGCAGCGACATCTCTTGGGCGCTTACCGGTTCTCATCAACGGAAGAAATCGACATGACTAAGACGGGCTTGCTCCAAGCAGGAGCTTGGAACTACTTGCGTGAAGAGATCACAGTCGCGCTGGAGTGTCAACGGTCAGTACGCCTAAACATTCATCTCGACATCCGGAGCGCAGTGTCTGGTTCTGATAGCATGCACGCGAACATCATGACTTACATTTTGGCACGTGTGATCAACCTTTGCTTTGGTCAAGACGAAAGCGGACAGACTCTCGCATTCGATGAAGACAGTTGGGCGAAGCTAGATGCGGAACTCATGTTTTGGAGTGACAACTTACCAGCTACCTACGCACCATATTCGCGAGCACCANAAAAGGGTAATTCCTTTCCATCTGAATGGTATCTCCGACCATGGCACAGTAAGTCAGAAGCAGTTCAGTCAAAGGTCATCTACTGAAAGCATACAGTCGCTGCTGCACAATACTTCCTGACATCTAAGACGCTGTTGTCGCTGCAGAACCCCAACACACAGGTTGATCAGAAGGATGTGGAGAGATTGTGCGGCATAGCCTACACAAATGAGAACAAAGCTGCCAGAGTCAATGCTTTCGGACCCATGGCATTCTGTAAGTTGTCACGCTACGGAGTACGATCAAAAGCTGATTTCACATAGGTGGAAGATTCCTCATATGTTCAATACAACGAAAAGCTCTCACAAAACTCTTACGAAATAGCAGCCAAGATATTGGATGGCCAGTTCATCGAATCGTAGAGGACTTGGAAGCATTTTGGAATGGTTGATCACAGGATATGATGCTTCGGCGACGAATTCCATGACTGGCTAGCGTAGGCGAAGCATCTCCGCGAAAATCTTGCGGCATGCCCCACCTGTGCCAACATTGCCCTTTCTAGTTAGCGTTGGCGAGCACCTGTACGTACATTGGTATTTGCTGACTTCACACAAAGCTCTGACTGGCTATAAGTCCTTGATTGCTCTCTCTTTCCCTCTCTTCATGCCAGTTTCTACCTCTTCAGCTTGATACTCTTGCACATTATATTGGTGACACCTTTTCAACCATGTTTCCAAGACAAATCTTAAGGGCTGCTCCCTTTACTGCCGCACGCCATGGCAGTTTCGCAATGAGAAGTCAGTCCAGCCGTAAGCTATCTTCCACTCCAATCACTGTTGCTGTCACACCAGAGGAGTTAGCTTCAAGGAAGCTAGGATGGCACAATCTCGAATTAGCTACACGTGCCTTGCACCGTGATGGACTTGTGGTATTGCAAGATGTCATTGAGCACTCGAAGCTCGACGCTCTTAACAAGACTATGGTCCGGGACGCCCTCAAGCTCCAAGCTCTGGGCGACGATGGTCCCTTCAACTACAACAAAGGGTATGTTTGGTTTCATAATCCACAAGGTCACGTCTAACAACCACCTAGCAATATTCAGCAAGATCCTCCGATGACAAAAACACACTTCGACTCTTCAATCTTCCTCAATTCTCTAGCTACGCAAGTCACGACATCCGTACTCGGTCCCAAACCACGCTTGACATTCATGTCTGGCAACAGCGCACTCCCACCCGTACCAGGAGTGACACCACAATCTCAGCCCGTGCATACAGATGCAGACTTTGACCATCCGGAGTCGCCGTTTGCTCTCGTGGTCAACGTGCCATTGATCGACATGGACATCACTAACGGCAGCACAGAAGTATGGCTCGGTACTCACACCATTACTTCTCTTGCAGCACAAGAAGGCAAGCAGGGCGACAGGGCCAGCGGCCGGATTGCCAAACATCTGCTTGAGCAACGCAGGCAAATGCGAGCGCCCTGCCAGCCTTTAGTGAAGAAAGGCTCAATTGTCATCCGCGACCTCAGACTCTGGCATGCCGGAAAGCCGAACTCCAGCAACGACGTTCGGGTCATGCTTGCCATGATTCATTTTGCACCGTGGTATCGGTAAGACTAATTCGAATCCATTCACATCTCCAAGTTGTGATATTGACGTCTTATGGCANGAAATGCGATGGATATTGAGTTCTCTGAAGAGGTGCGGACCATGTTGAAGGGTGAGGGCAGTGAACTCCAAGTTCAAAGTACATTCGTCCCAGAGCGAACAATCATGGAAGGGTACCTCAATCGCGGCTATGGAAACTCATACAACTTCGACCAAGAGTCAAGACTTGAGCACTTTTGAATAGCTAAGTAATGCAAGTATATAACTGATTTCAAGATTGATACAGTGAGCGGCAATATCTTCTAAAAAGCCGGAAAGCTCGATCCTATGGCGCTTCAATACCTGCATCTTTAATGGCGCTTAAGAGGGCGATCATGAACTTGTTCCTTCGAGACGCCCGTAGGGCCTCGTTCGAGAAGTTTGANCTACGAAGAGAGTCAGCAGGGAAGGTAAGAGATAAGAGCGACCGTGTACTCACCTTATGTTTGATCTCGATCATAAGATCAAGCTGATCCAGCTTGCCAACCCCGACAACTTCAACCTCGATGCCGGGTTGATAATCTCGCGCATTCTCTGACGCTCTGACGAACTCTTCGAGATGAACGCGCAGAGCATTGATGTCTGCTGAGTTGGTCGCTGCAGATACACTAAGTGTAATACGTTCCTTCATCGCTTTGCTGCGAGAGACGTTCTCAATCCAGAGGGTATTGGCGACAGCGTGAGAGACTTGAACAGTCTTGTCGTTGTCGACGCGGCGGAAGACACTGTACATGAGTGAGATGCGTTCGACAATGAGTTCAGTCTTGTCAATGTCGACGCGATCTCCAACATCATAAGGGTGCTTGACGAAGAGGAAGATGCAGCATCCAAGGAACTCCGTGACCGTGCCACCAATAGCGAACGCAAGACCGGTCAGAACAGACCAGAGTTGAGCAGTCTTACTCGCAAGGGTTTTGCTGAAGAAAGCAGCATAAATGAAAGCAATAGCAACAAAGACTACAAAGACAAGCATGCGATCAAGGACCTCGATGGCTTGGCTGATGTCGTGCATGCTCGAAGCTCTGTTCTTGCGTTCCTGGCCCACCTCCATGACGAGCATGATCATTTCATCCAGACTGACATCGCCGTTGCAGTCTTTGTCGAGAGCATTGAATATCTCATCAGCTTCTTCTGCTTGATTGGGCCCAAGCACCTCTCGAATGTCTTCTACAAGGAGCACGTCCTTGCCTTCGGGGACGAAGCTGAGCCACAGGCGACGTGCCAGTGCCTTGGAAGCGCGACGAGTCTCCAGTGCTCCGATAACAATGGAGTGTGCCGAGTTGGGGTTGAAGATGTGCTTGCCCGAGATCTCAGATGCAATGTTGCCGAAGGCCGAGGTAACCTTATCTCTGGCACGACCAATGTCGTTAATGACAGTGGTGCGGAAGCCTGCCTGACCAAGTTTCTTCTTGATGCCCGAAGTGTCAGGGTCAAAGATGTCGTAATCAAGCTCGGCGAACTCCTGAGAGAATGGTGGTGACAGCTGTCGGGAAGCATCATACATGATGTCCAGGATCGAAATCAGTCTCTTTGAATCCTTGATCTTCCTGTCGTATTGCTTGCGGTGGTAGTTGATGCTGATGAGCTGAACAAAAACTTCTCGGCCAAGAAGACGGCAGCGACCGCGATAGTCGCGNAGACAGACTGTGTGAAGCGTCTTCAACCATTGGTCGTTGCAGTGCCCTTTATCGAAGGAGCATATCACAGGGACTGTGGCCCAATTTGCGATAGAAGCAAAGAACAGACTGATAGGAATCTCAAGAGTCATCAGAACGAGCGAGTACTTCCTGATGCCTGTGCTGATGAGACCGCATGCGCCTTGAAAAACAACAGGTAATGCCTTGGCTAGTATCTTGCAAATCCACAAGCCAATCCAGACGACTTCTAGCCAGATGAAGAGACCAAGGAGACGAATGTTTCCAGCTCTTGCGTCCTGGTAAACGGTATCAAAAAGTGCAAGAGGGATGACTAGAAGTGTGGCGACTGGCAGCACGTACAAGGCATATCGTGTGATGATTGAAAAGCTATGAATCTTCTTGATGAGGTTGCCGAGCCGTGTGAGGGCACCATTGGTATCGCTATCAGTATTGAGTATTTCTGCTTGGTCCAGGGACGAGGTCGTTCTGCGCCGGCCTTGCAGTTGAATGGTAGGGCGTTGCTGAGGCGATTCAGGCGATTCGATGGCTGTTGTCGTGACCGTAACGTCGTCCTTGAGCTTATTGTTGACAGCACCATAAGTCGTGATCTCGACTGGTATGATTGCTTCGTCGCTGGCCATCTTCGCGTAGAGAGTCTAATGTCGACTTTGAAGATCTCGGTCTCAATGACAAGTAAAACCAGAGCAGATTGTTGTCCTGCAGGATATGAAGAAACAAAGCAGACAAGGATGTTGCAGATCAGGAAAGAGCCGAGAAGACTGAATATATATCGTCTCAAGGCTAGATAGTAGTGCAACGACTCTGAGATTCCAATAGTCAGCTTCTAGCCATTCGTGTTAAAGCTTACGGAACCTGATCGCGTGCCAGCTCATCCCAGACAGAGTTGTTGTTACAGATGTTCCGCTCCACCATTGTCCTGTTTCGAGCTGAACAACTCTGTCCGCGGCTCACTCCCTTGCTCTCTGGAACGCGATAGCAAGTCTGCTGATATGCAAGCGAAGTGTGGTAAGTATGTTCTGTCGCATGTACCTCAGCTACCTTACTGCAGTACTCACGTGGTTACCATGCAAGAGAGCAATTACTCAGCCAATCAGATAACTCAAATCATGCTTCTTTCTGTCCCGCGTGCCGCTGCCTGTGCTGTATTTGGTACGTACCTGTCTAAATCGGTTCAGCAGTCCTAAGAAGAGCCTCGACTATGCTTTTAGCGATAAGCTTAGATCTCGGCCGCGTCCGATGCCCACATCATATCCTGAACGCAAAGCAGGTTTTGTTCACCGTGGCTAGAACTGGAAACAGCTGTAAAACGAAGAGTTCCTAATGGGAATGCTCACTCGGCCTCACCGACCGAGCTACGGGTGAACCCTAGCAGCATTTGCGAGCGTCCGATGACAGAATGCAATGGTATACTCACACCTTACCTGAGGCTCAAGACAGAGTGAGCGCGAGGAAAAATGGCTATGTTCTGATGGTGGTGACGCTGACTGAGAAAACTCCTCAGAAAGAAGTAAATCCTCGCGCTCAAACCAGAAGTCTTTCGATGATTCGGAGATGACCATGATCGCGTTGCGTCTTCGATGAAGTCTTGATGCAAGATGGAAACATGAAGCAGAGAAGATCCTGAACGTGAAAGGAGCGGGGGCGCTTGTGGGGAACCGAGCGCGGCTCACAGAATCTTGCAGCAAGGATAGCCGTGAAGTGTGCTTGCTTACAGAACGTCAAGTCACTGTTCAGCGCTTGGCGCTCTCGTCAATCTTGCCCCCGCTCTCTCCATCATTCTTTTACGATAGGTCAATTGGTCTTGAACAAGAGCTAAGGCTGATTCCAAAGAGATCAACTCTGTGAAGTCGATGTAACACAAGCATGGGCAGGAAAGCTTAGGGTCAGGTCAGTATGACAACTTTGAACTTGCAGTTTGAATGTTCTGTAAAAACTCTGCGCCATGCTTAAACTTCTTGCTGCGTTTCAGCTTCATGCTTTGAGGAACACAGCTGAGCAGCTTCCATGCACGATGTGAGCTTGCGCGCGGCACATTCGGCCAATCCGACGCGCCATATCTCTGTGTGTATACTCTACACTGCGACTTGCTGCAATGCATCTACGATCACCCTTCGGTACCAACCCTAAGCACACCCTCACTGATCTTGACACCCTTGAATGAATATTCATGCGAGCTGCAACTCTACTTCAGCTGGAACAATCGTACAGACAGCGTCTGGGCAGACTTCCAGCGCAACACCACCAGCCGTGACAGAATTCGGAAAATGGCTATGAACCACCTAATTCAGCTTGTGTGCTGCAGGCAGGCTTGACGGAGTCTTGCCGTGAGCATATATACCTGCGTTGCTCAGGAGTTGGTAAACAGAACATCATCTCTCTTCTCTGTTCTTTCCACCATGTCGACTAGCAAAGAGACACCAGAAGTCAACACCACCTCTCTCGACAACGAAGAGCAGGCCTTTCCCGATCCTCAGTGGAGGACAGGACTGCGAGCCAGATTCCCTTGGACCGGTGCCATCGCTTTGTTCACCATTCTTCTATGTGCGAACAGTTCGATCATCGTGCTCCTTTTCTCTGATGGAAAGAGACAGAAGCACTGGGCAGAAAAGATTGGACCAAGTGTTCTGCTCTCTGCTTTCAATGGCATCGCGAATATCTGCTTTGGAGTAGCTATTGCAAATGGTGTTGCAATCACGTGGTGGAGAAAGGCTCTCAGAGGCGCCACCATCAAGGAGCTCCATCGTTCTTGGCAATTTAGCTCGAGTATCAAGGACGTTGTGCTCTATGGCAAATACTTCAACTTCATCGCTCTGGCTGCACTGGCGGCAAAGTTGACCATCATCGATGGCATCCTACTACAGAAAGCTGCTGGCACCGAGATTTATCCTGATCCTCCTCGCAACTTTACACTCGAGATGTATGTCAACGATACCATGCCTGTCACAGCCACGTTTGCAAACAGATCTGGCAACGAAACCGCTTTGGTCGATTGGTTCAGCAATAACGTTCACTACTGGTCTCGATCTGGCGGTATCTACGTGCCAGGGGCTTACAACTCATCCTGTAACGGAACATGCGTTTTTGACGTTCATGGTACTGGTTTTGCTATCGATTGTCAAGACGAGGAGATCGATATCGACTACGGCACGGCGGTGTCTCAAGAAGCCATTGCTCTGTCTCAATCCAACGATTCTTCATCTCTGGACGTTACGGGTCAACGGACCCTTTTCGAGATCAATTTCAAGGCCGTCTACGGAGCTACTGGAGTGGATGGCGACTATGCCAGGATCGAGATGAATCTTACTTTCACAAATGCGACGGCGGTTGAGGATAATCCTACAAGTTGCCCAGGCAAATTGACTCGCCATCACTGCATCCTGCGGCCCGCCATCCTTAGCTATCCTGTCACCATAGAAGACACGACCAACTCTCAAAGCGCTATTTCTGTGTCAAACATGTATCTCGGCTATAACACTACCTCGTATGGTGGTCAAGTCGCCTACTATAGCAAGACTTCTGACACTTTTTACACGGCTGAAGACGACGGATCAGAGTGGACTAACAAAACTTTGTACAATCCGGAACTGCACCAACTGAACGACTACTCTGTCATCAGATATAAGGATGTGCTTGAGGATACCACATTCTTCACTGGTGAAACGCCGACTGTCATCGGAGGAATTGCCGATACTCTGAATCACTATCTTGCAGGAACCAGCAATATGTACGACGACAGAGGTCGATTTGCTGTGAGTCAAACCGGTGTTGCTGGGATTCTACCCTTCAACTTCCAGCGCAATTCTTCTGATGGTTGTGATTTTGTATATCGGGACCCACTGGACTCCACCATTCTACAGATCAATTCTCTCATGTTCGTTTTGGCTGTTGATCCATGGGGACAAAACGGCGACAACAACTTCACGCTGACTGAGACCTTCAAAGCCACACAATACGGCTCGAGCATTCATTATGTGACGAATCGCCGCTATATGTGGGGAGCACTGGCTTCAATGCTATTCTGCATTCTTTGCGTCCTGCCCAGCTACTGGGGCTACTGGCAGCTCGGTCGCGATGTCACTCTGGGGCCATTCGAAATTGCAAATGCTTTCCGTGCTCCTGTGCTCGATCATCCGGCTGTTGCCAATGCTGGAGTCAAGGATCTGATCAGAGAGGTCGGACAGAGGGAGGTCAAGTACGGCGCGATGGTTCACAACGATGCTTCAGGTCGACTAGCTATCGCCGAGCCGGAAGCCGTGAGGAGAGTTCACCCCAGGATAAGCGACAGGAGATTTTGAGCGCGATAGGTTGTGGAAGTTGCAGGGTCGAGTCTGTGAGGCAGTTTTCGGATGTTCGCATAGTGGTCATTATAGCGGCATGTATACAAATGGATTCACTGGTTATCCTTGAGCAGCAACGGGGCGTGCTTATAGATCGTACTCTTTCAAGTAACCATGGTGAAGAAAGGACGAGGCACAATAGTCGTGAGAAGTACATCACTTCGCAATCCGTGCTTTGAGGAGATTCAGGGGGATTTCCCGTGGATGATCGTTGCCTAAAGAGCTTTGATGACTTGTAGTAGAAGATGACGAGTGCTGATTGCGAATCATCTGCTGCCGAGCTAAATATATCAATTGGGAACCGAGACACGTTCACAATTGAGATTCGCGGCTTCTAACGGCGAGTGTCGGACCCTTTGATTTTGGGCTAGATTATCCTGGCCCGACGATTTTCAAGCACGCTTTAAACACCACACTTCCTTCTCTGATCATGACATTTGGCGGACATCCTCTTGGCACATGACTTGAGCGAACGGTATAGGGTATCAGGAGTGATCAATCCCAAGTGTTAAAATATTCTATCCAGGCACAGAATCATGCATCTTGCGGGTTGAGCCCCCAGATTTTGTGAAAATCTGAATACCGTTCCCTCGGGCCGACATCCGCGGACGTGCATTCCGTTCCTTACATACGTGGACCGTTCAGGGTCTAGGCCTGTCAAGCCCTCAATCTCCTTGAACCACAGGCATCATGAGGATGGTCGCAAATCGCGCATGGGAAAGTGAAACCCCGACTTTCTGCCATACGTCCCGAGGTCCTTTGGCTTCAACGTCGAACTTGTCTGTATACAGCAGGTCCGACACGCGTAACATGATATAAATTCGATGAGACCCGTGCACGCTGGACCTCCAGGAAGAAGGTTGGAGAGAGAAGGACGCGATTGAATATGGAACAGGTCATAGCACGGATCCTGTACGGGGTTAAATGTTCGCTGAAGACCATCAACGCTTTGTTCGGTCTATAGTTGCTTCAAGTCGCTGCCTGGTACGACTTGCATGATAGAGTAGTGCCTCATCCAATTCCAATTTTAGATGTTCGTGATCTTGTGCGAGTTGACGGTGCCTGGCCCAGACCCACACTGGACGGGACCCCTGTATTCAACGGGTGACATGTTACCCCTTGAACCGAAGTTTCTTTGAGGTTATCTCCGGATAAAAAGCTTAGCTTGCTTGACTACATACTACTCATACCGAGCACTGTTGACTGTACGCGTACTCTCATTGGACAATCTCGTATTGTTCCAGCCACTCGGTACAGCAAACCGTTCCTGACTATTCTACCCAAGTAAGCTTCAATCATGTGGTTCATTCGCGGCGGTCCTCATCCGTAGTCACAACAAGGCAGATGTAAAAGCATCATGTCCCAAGCAGCATGTCACTCATCGTCTGGTCCTGTTCCCACCCTTTTATTAGACCTTCGACCTCCTGTGCCGGACAACAACTCGATCCATAAACATCGGTGCAGCAGCCAAAGCATTTATATTCACTCGACCTCTACTACTGTATGCATCTCAAGAACTAATTGTTATTATTACTTGACGTCTCTTCGTGATCGCTGGACGCCATGGTACTTACCAAACTGGAAGAGAACTTTGGAAGACCCAATCACGACCATGCAAAATTGTCTAAACTAGTCCCTTACTCGGGCCTGATTCTTACGGTCTCGTGCGTGGTCATCTTCCTTGCTCGAGTATATCTCCTGGAACCACTTGTCAAACGCTTCACAGATCAATATAAGCACCTAGATCAAGCACAAAAGAGGAGCTTCATCAATCATTATGTTGCCGCCAGCATCAAGCTACTGTTGGTCGTCGTCGCTGTTTATCCCGCGGTCATGATCATCTCTGGACGAAGGACTCTACAATCCTCCTTTGGTAGTTCGAGTGCGAGTGTCACATATGGCGATCTACTTCTCTGCGTCTTCGAAGTATTTACCTCGATGTACATCTTCGAGCTGTTCTATCGAGAGAAAGTCAGTTATATCAGCGCTGCACATCACATCGGCGCCATTATCATCACACAAACAGCCACTGTGCTCTTCCACGATCCACAACATAGACAGGATGCTGAGCTTGAGTTCATTCTCTGCTTGCTCTGGGGTATTTGCCTATCCCATCCATCGTTCGACTCCTGATACTAATAATGAACAGGTATCTTCGACATTCTCGCCGAGTTCTGGCCCCACGCTGCCGTCATCATCTATCGTACCTGGCCTGAGAAGCATATGATTCTCGCAGACATCTTCCTTGCGACAGCAGTCCTTGAGGTCATCGGTACCGTGGTCGAGACCATCACAGTTTTCACAATCTTCTTCTCGCTATGGAAAGAGTGGACCATCGAGTTCAAGGTTCTGAGTCCAACACTACACCTATTATTCAGCTGTGCGCAGCTCTGGGGAGCAAGAGTATTCTGGCTCATGTCACAACAACATCGCAAAGCTGCCGATGGCAATATCACAGAGGGATCCGGTCCAGAAGATNCCAGCGCCTGCCTACCAAGAACACATCATCATCAAGAGCAAGGAAGAGTCCATCGAAGGTGTTCAGAATTCCGAGCAGATGGTTTGAAGCGAAGAGTCCTTACAAAACAGATCAACACCGTGGTGAAGCGACTTTTGAAGTCGTCCGAGTCTGTGGCCATCAATGGATTCGACTTTGTTCGGCTTTGATGGACGAATAGCCAAACGAGACGTCGACCATGATAGCTATGGAGATCAATCAGATGTCTGGTCGTTTTTGTCTACCTCCTTTCTCCAATTCATCCAGTCTTTGTTTCTGCTCGTCGCTGAATCCTCTCCAAGCTTGATGTCCTTTCGCTACTTCATCTTCGCAGAAGATATGCACAACAGAATCCTGCGACCGCTCCCATGTGGCTGAATCCTTGCAAAGTGCCATGTTGAGGTCTGTTTCGTCTGGGCTGTCATGGTACTTCATGTATATCAAGCTCTCGCAATGCTTACAAAAGCCTCTGATCGCTCGAGATTCTTCCTTGCATGCGATGTTTGATGAGCCAAGCTTGCCATTTTGGAATGAGGAGTTATCGCTAGTGAACTTGATGGCGTGGTTCGGGAAACAGCCGTAGAGTATAGGAGACTGAGTAGGAGAACTTGAACGACAGTCTCCGCAATGGCAGAAGCAGAGTCCAGATGGTGGCATTGTTGAGCTCCAGGAGACGCCAGAACATGAACACGAGCCTGTCAAGTCTTGGTCTTCTTTGCGAGGGAGAGAGGTCATGGTGTTTGTAGTACTTTGGTCCGACGCCAACATCGTGGGATAATAACGAGTATTAACTTGTGGTCAAGTCGTCTTCCTTGTTCTGTGAGATGGAAGAACAAAGGTGGGGTAAGACGTATTTCTTGCTGCTGTCTGATTCAATCCAAGGCAAGCTTCACTGCTTACGTAAGCACCTGCATCTTATGTCTTTACATATGTGCATCTCTCTTTAATGCCTGTTCTGGTGAAGATCGAGGGACCGTCCGGTAAGCGATTGCGAGAAATTCATTCCCTGAATCATGATTGACATATATGATGTTCAGATCATTGCCATGCGGCGCAAACATCGAGCCGACCCCGACTTCACGCATGACCCTGAACATTCGACGCGGGTGAATCATGTCCGACTCTGGATAGGCAAACAAAATACTTAAAGGTGCATCTATGCTGCTTTGGTCTTCGAGAATTGATTTTGTTTTCCAGTTTGAATCCAATTCCAATGGCACCTATCAAGATCGGACTTGTCGGTCTGAGCACCTCATCAGCAGTGACAAACTGGGCCGTACTCGCGCATCTGCCATACCTAAGATCGGACCAAGGAAAAGCCCTTTACGAGATCGTCGCTCTCTGCAACTCTTCCATTGACAGTGCAAAACAATCAGTCAAACACTTTGGGCTCGCTGAGTCTGTCAAAACATACGGCTCACCTGAAGATCTCGCCGCTGATCCCAATGTCGAACTTGTTGTATGCGTGGTTGGAGTGAAGAGCCACTACGATGTTTGCCTTCCTGCCGTCAAAGCAGGANAAAATGTGTATACTGAGCTTCCGTTCGCGTCGAACATGGAACAGATGCAAGAACTCGTGGATGAGGCTGAGAAGAATGGTGTCAGAACCATGTTTGGCTCTCAGGGTCAGGCTCATCCAGCCGTTCATTTGATCAAANAGATGATAGCCGAAGGCAAGATCGGCAGACCTCTGAGCACAACTGTCATAGGGGCTTCAGGTTTTCCCCTGGACAGACCTCTACCATTGTCTTTTAGAATGCTGGCAGAACGTGAAGGCGGAGGTAACTTCGCCACTGTGTGGTTTCTGCACAGTAAGTTCCACATACCTCGAACACCATGCTAGTCTGACAAAATTANNGATATTAGCTGCGTGCTGGAAGTCTTCGGTGAGCTGGCAGCCTTCAGCAGTATAATGGGTATCGACCACCCGACCGCCGAAATCATGGATCCAGCCCAAGGCGGAAAGGTATTTGAGAGCGTTAAGAAAGACACTCCGGATAACATTCTCCTCCAAGGCCAATTTGAGTCTGGAACTTTGTTGACATACCAGATGCGTGCCGGCAAAGCCTTTCCTGGCGAGCCTGGCTGCCGTTGGCTCATCAATGGCGAAAAAGGAGATATTCAGCTCACTAATCCTAGAGGCTGTTTTGACATCGAACATATTGGTATCGAAATCAAGTACAGGAGAGCAGGAGAGGAAGAGACAGAAGTAATCAACCTGCCTGAAGACGAGCTCAGTGGACTTGAGCAGCCAGCTCAGAATGTCGGACGTCTGTATGACGCTTATGCGAAAGGGAAGACGGACTCGTATGCGGACTGGAAGGTTGCATTGAAAAGACACAAATTGATCGAGGAGCTGTTCAGGAGAGGTGATGGCACTCGACCTTTCGGAGAACCTGCTGCATACAAGTCAGTTTGATGTCAGGAGTCCCTGGCTGTGTCTGCATCTACGAACAGTTGTCAGTACGTACAGGGTTGTATAGTGTTGCGATTGAGAATGTTACATTCCCGCCAGTTAATTCTTTCTCTCGTGCAGTCATTTGTAACTTGCGCATGTCCCTACTTTTGATGTGAAGGTGCCAACAGCAGGCTTCAGCAGTCTCATCGGCACGAGGAGTGGAGATGCAGGATTTAACATACTCGTGATCACGACGAGGGTTCAAAGTTTGAATCGTATGACATTCTACCTGCAGATGACCATTGATGTGAAGATAGCTTGGACAATGGTGGAGGAAATCGGACCCGTTTATCTTCAAGAATTGACCAGATTTCGATTACCAATATCATCAACAGCTTGCTTTCCCCATCGCTACACCAAGAACTCTATTTCATATCATGTTAGTATAACCTTTTCGTAACAAACAGTGCGTAGAGGATGAGATGTCTGGAGAGCGGAGTTTTGTCTTTTTCGTAACCTCCCGCCGGCTGACCATGGATCCGCATTCTGCAATCAGACGGCGCCCACAACTTTCTTTCCCTTAATGTTGGTCCAAGGTGTAAAAAGGCCGATAATCACAGCGTAACCAGAAAGAGCGATCGTCAATGCGAATGCAACCTTCAGACCATCCATATACGCATGCAGAACCCCAGGCAGTCCACTTGCATCAAACGTCTTCCTGATCTCTGTAGCGCCCACAGCGACTACAGCTGCAGGGTCCAAGTCAGGCGCGTACTTTGTCAGACCCTGGACAAGCGTATTGCTGAATGCACTTTGCGCAGCTTGGACAAACAACGCACCTCCCAAAGTCTGCCAGAACATCAGAAGTCCAGTCGTGGTGGAGATGTCTTCGGGAGCCGCAAGAGCCTGGCCAGCCATTATCGGTGCCTGGAAACAAAGACCAATACCTGCGCCAGCCAGGACTTGCCACCCTACCCATGCCCCTGCTTTGGAATTGATGTCAAACGTGTAGATCATGCCCGAAGCGATGGTAGCCAAGGCAGGACCGACAATCATCATCGGAGCAAAGTATCCGAAACTTGAGATGAGGGCTCCAGAGAGAATGGTCAATATTGTTTCACTGACGATGAGAGCNAGGCTTCGAATTCCAGACTGTTCCGCGCTCACACCCAAGACAGCCTGGAAGTAGATGAGGATATAGTACAAGAGAACAAAGAAGGCGGATCCAAGGCTGCGCGTTGTGAAAAATAACNNATGTCAGCAATTGTCAATCTCGCAAAGGGAAAGTTGAACTCACAAGAGACTGAACAACGATCCGACCCAGACCACTCTCTGTCGCATGATGTTTGGTACGATCATGGCCCGTTGCCCTTGAGTGTACTCCACAATCGCAAAGACGATCATCAACACACCGAACCCGATCAAGGTACCAACGACGTCTGCTGATTTCCAAGACTTCGTGACGCCGCCCCATTGTAGAGCAAGAAGGAGACATACAATGGCAGCCATGATCGTCAGCATGCCGAGAATATCCATGTGCTTCAGTTTCTCCATTAGCGTAGCCTGCCTTGCCTCATCAGATTTTGATGCTGCTGGAGTGCGAAACACGAAGAATATGATGGCCACCGAAACAGCACCAATGGGCAGGTTGACATAGAAACAGAACCTCCAGGTGACCGAGGAGTCAGTAAAGGCACCTCCAAGCAAAGGACCCAAGACACTGGCGACACCATAGGTCGCTCCCATGATTCCAGTAAAAGCCGGACGACGAACAGGAGGCACTGCAAAGGCGACGATGCAATAAGAGCCGGTGATCACGCCAGCCGCTCCAATTCCAGTGATGGCACGGCCGATGATCAACATTGTGCTTGACTGTGCCAGACCACACAGCAAGCTCCCGAGCTCGAAGATCATTATACCACTGAGGAAAACGCTTTTCATGTCGAAGTACTTGTAGGCTTTGCCCCAAGAAGCCTGGAAGCCAGAGACGGTGAGGAAAAATGCTGATCCGTACCATCCGACATCGTTCAACGAGTGAAATTGATCTTGATGGTTCCTCTATCAGTCTTTCGTTCGAAAGCAGACTTTTTACATACCAGTGATCTTTGGGATAGCCATTGCAATAATGGTCATTTCCAAGGAGGCAAGGAACATGCTCAGAACCAGTGCAACAACGACTGCAAGCAGACGGAAAGATGAGGGATATTCTTCTTCGTGGGGTTCATCTCCTATCGTGACCTCATTTTGTGCTTTCTCATTGCATGAAGCCGTATCACCGATACTTGAAGACTCAGAAGGGAACATTGGGAGTGAGGTGTGAAAAGCCCAGGCTGTCGTAAAGGCAAGGGTAGAATAAACTGTACCTCAGGATACAGAATTGTTTGGCTGCGTGTTGCCGGGTTATGATGTTCTATGCTCGATGAGTGCAAGCCACCAAGATAAAGTATGGGGATGATTTGGAGACAGGTGATTGTGGCAGATGACAAGGCTCACGATTTTGCCACACCATAAGTCCTACATATATTGAGGCAGCGTCGGGCATGACTTCAAACGACTCAGCTCCAGGTCCATGTCCGGTGCTGTTGCCAGTTTACCAATCCGACTCTTGACAAAGGCCGGCTAGATGGAATGCTCCGTGCCAAAGCTCTTCATTGACTAAGCGACGGAGTTCCGTCGAAATGCCAAGCTCCTCAGCCGTAAACTCATCGCACACGTTGAATATGATGTAAAGACAGGACCAACATCTGGACGTTGATCTCAGGCCATGTTCTGTTTGGGAAGCTCCTTTGCTATCTTTAAACAGTTTGTAAGCTGCGCATGGAATGTTCTATGTTCGTATCCCAATGCATGATGGACCTTTTGACGTCTATTTCGTGGTAGCAACCTTGCGCCTGGCAACCTCTATCTGTCTATCGCGATCTTGTGCTTGGAGTGAAAGATAGATCACTTCCCAATTCTGCTGATCCAGGCATCAACAGATATCCGGCTAACCCTCCGGATCATCAGTCCTCATCGCCAAGTCTTGAAGTCTGGCAAGAATGCCTTTGAGTAATGGCGTCTGTAGCTCTGCCTCCTGCAATATCATGACACAATAGCCTAATGTGTTGGCAGGTGTGATAGCTGATGATCCTCCATCTGCAAGTTTCAGCACGGGCATCCCCTCATTGAACCGCAGGTATCGCGCTATAGATGGATACTCAGGCATCACACCATTGATTGGAAACGCAAGACCTGCCTCTCGATCACTGATCGAATACGTGCGATGTTCAGCGCTTGGGGGCGTACTGTTTGCGATGCAGGTGGCCCACATACTGATACCTGCGCGGTAGACTGCTGCCGCCCACCAAGGAGGACGGTCCCGGTCTGGCATCATGCCAACCAGATTCAGCACTTGTCCACAATGCACATATATCTGTGCTTGTTCAGCCTGCAACCTCGATTTCGCCCAGAAACTTGTGCAAAAGTCATCGGCTGTTGTTTCACCCCTGGCGAACGCTTCCATCTCCGGAAAGCATGTCATTGCGTTCAGAGAGATGAGGTGATAAGTGATGAGATTCGCAAACGTCGCAGAGCAAAAGTGCGATGGTTTTTGAGGCGCTGAGCTGCTTAGTTGATACCATTGTTGTAGCGTTGCTTGGACTTCGTCGAGTTGCCCCATCAGACGGTGGGCTTGTTTGTTGCTTCCGCCGCTAGAAAAGCAACTCAGACATTCGTGTAGGTGGCAGGTCAATCTTTGTAGAGGATGGAGTATTGCCCGAAGCTGAAGGGGCGACAGTCCTTGCTTTGGAACTTTCATTGAGGCGCCATCGTCCATGAACCGGCGAAAGAGTGGCGGCAAGGAAGAATTTAGCTGCTTGTCGGTGTTGCGGCTGTAGTCTCCCATAACTAGGTTCAGCCAATCTTGCGCACTCTCCGCCTCCCAGAGGCCATTGTCCTTGGGGAACTCCGTTTTGATGTCTGCCAAGCCTAATCTCGGTGGGATGTCTTGGAATAGTGAGAGTTCCTGGTCAAGAATTACCCAAGCATAAGCCAGTCTGTTCNNAAAATCAGCCACTGACTGCGCGCGGGAGCCATCACGAGTGTACCTGTTTCTGCCCTCGTGTTCCTTCCATGTTGCCCAGGCTGCATCGACGTCCATACGACCGTTCACGCTTGGAAGGTTCAGTACCTGATGATCAAGGATACCAGAGTGTTTTAACATCTATCAGAAGATACGTGAGCGAGTATAAACAAGACCTGACAAGTGGAATTTACTGAAAGGTACATTGAGTGCTGGCTCAAGGCCACCTTGCTAGAGTTAGAGTGAATTCTTCAGGGGAGACCGAGAATAGGAACTCACATCCATGTGCCACCTTGTGCCGCTCCAGGATGCAAGGTTGAGGTACACTAGTATGCAGCGGAGCATATCTGGCTGTATCGACATTGACACGTTCTTCTCCAGGATATCAAGCATGCCAATTCTACATGCTTCTGTAATTCCCAGAGCCAAAACCCTTGCTTGAGACGTAGGATGAGCTATTAATGCGCCTTGAGCAATCCGCAGCAGAAGCATCAAACAGGATACATCTTCCTCCCTGCCCTCAAGTAGTCCCCTGACGTCAGAATTTGGCAGCGGGTATATTGAATAGAAGGGTTCATAGTGCTGGATGTAGCTTCGGAAGTACATATGCAGGTCTGAGAGGGATGGCAGCGTGACAGTAGCGGAGACGCGGCTGCCGCCCTTAAAGTGTGTTTCCCAGCCTTTGATCAAAAAACATTGAGCAAGTCCCATGAGCTTGTCTCTCGTGGTCGTCTCGAACGTGGCAAGGATATCAATTCCTGAATCACTCCTACCATTGTTTTGTGGCGAGTTGGATGGAATCGAAACACTTGACGCTCTAGACGCTTGAAGCAGTCCTTCGAGATAGAGACGCCCTAGATCTGGATCGATAGCAGAGTGTGACGAGGATGTGCATCTGAACATTGGCCACTGCTCTATCGGATTACGCATTTCATGATCCACTGGAGTGTCGTTTGGTGGAATGTCCGACGAACGGGGTGTGACACTAGCCGTAGAACGTGAGTTATTGCACACATCATCTACACGGCCCGGGGGGCTCTCAGATGCGCTTTCGTCCGAGATCCGGGAAGAAACAGGGGCCGCGGCGACAGCGCCAACGTGTTGGTAGAAGTAGGCAGCATCGTATGTCGTTGGATCTGTGAATATCACCTCGGAAGGATAGGGGTTTGGATCAGCATTTGACATGGGGGCAGTCATTTCATGATTCCAAAAGGCATCGTCGAGATTAGAATCATTTGTGTATGATTGCTCAGGCCATTTGTGGAGCAGTGTGGCATCCTGAGGATTTGGAAGGAAGGTGTTGATTGCCAATGATTGGTCGGAATGCTGTGCGAAGCTTGAATCGCCAGTTGGATGAACGACTGCTGTACTACTGTATGAGGGAACGGTAAGGTCGATGACGCCGGTCACATTTTCCTGCGTCTGCCGACGCTGGAGATACGGTGCAGGACGATCGGCCCTTCGAGTTGCTCGCATCTCGCAAACCAAGTTCTTGGAAATGCAACGCGAGCATGAAGGGACCTGCGAGCATTTTTAGTCGACCCAGATCAAGGCATTGTTTGTATAGGTCGGACGATGCGATATTGAGTGCAAAGCAGGACTTACTTTGCGGTCGGATTTTGCCTTGGCTTTGGCACAAGCAGAGCACGCAATCAATTTTGGTCCCATGGACGCTGAAGAAGTAGAAGCAGTTCCCGTAGGCACATCTCAAGCGTCGGACATTACCTCTGATTGGCAGTGAGGAGTCAGAATAGCTTTAGATGGACGCGACACAACGCCCAGCACAGAGATAGGTACACAATCGATGACAGACGTTGGACGCTGCTATATCTGTTGCACACTCGAGAACAATGAGTGGAGTTCTCATGTGCTAAAATAGCGTGCTTGTCCAAACTTGTTGAATGGTCGGAAGTTTGTGATGGACAGCCTGTCAGCATGAGAAGGATTCAGGCAGTCGTCCAATCCTCGTAGCCTCGGACGGACCTGACCGGAGCTGAGGCCTGAGACAAGCTGGAGGCAGATGCACGCAATAAACCAGGTCGCGTTAGTGGAGGGGTAAGAGGGCTTATCGCTGAACCCTTTCATATGCGCCAATGTAGATTCTTGGCTCAGCGGCTGCAGTCTTCCTCCAACTCGACTTTCTTTGTTGTTCACTTCCGGTATGATGCCCTCGGGCCCTGAAGAACGATACGCGCGTACGTACAGAGCACTTCACTGCATGAGATGGCTCATCTATCTTGATCGGATGGTCGTGTTTTTGGTAGAGCGCAGGCTTCTGCAGGCACAGCATTGTTGTTGGAATGTTGGGCGCGAAGGAAGCGTCGCTGATCATCGCTGACCAATCACTGAAGCTACGCCCTGATCCTTCCGCATTCATGCATAACTGGAAACGGCCTATAGCGAAGTTCAGAGCATGGTCGTTATCATAATATCATCTGTCTATTATCTTGTTCGCGCACGCAAGAATCTGCAAACACAACACGTATTAAGCTCTATCCTCTATGTCTATAGCAAGCTCAGGTACGTACCAAAACTCGCCCAGTATGCGCAGCCATCATCCCAAGATCATCCTTGCGATGGAGGTGAACTTTGCTGTTTCGACCTCCAATTTCTCACGCTGCATGGCGGCGTGGTAATTCTTCTGCACGAGCTCCCTTCTCTCTGCACTTCTTGGCTTCATCTCGAACGGAAAAGGTTTTGGCCTACTGATCAGATAAATCGTGTAATCATGCGACGGGACATGCATGTCTTTTCCAAGTGCATCTCGCTTCCGCGAGATTGTCGAGGCCCACGCCATGGCACCCATCGCGATGAAGAACTCAACTTCGACAAGATCCATTCCTTGACAGATTCGTCGACCATAGCCGAAGGTGGTAAAGTTCTTGATACTCGGGTATCTTGTCAAAGGNCTCTTGGTATGAGGGTAGCCTGGCTCGAGCCATCGAGCTGGGTTGAACACTTCGGGATCCGGATACTCTGCGGGATCACGGGTAATTGCCCATTGAGACGGATGAATGTGACTTCCTGCATTGGGTTAATCGGCCGGTGCTTCGCTGGATATATTCACCAGTCCGTCATACCTTTTGGGNATGAACTATCCTTCGTAGACGTCGTCTTCGAGAGACTCGTGTGGGATGCTGCTGGGAGTAACCGGCCTCCAACGCATGATCTCCTTGATTACTGCGCGAAGGACTGGCATGTTCGGGCTATCCTTGGGNCTCGGGGGCCTATCCCCATATACTCTATCAATCTCTGCTTGTAGCTTTGTCTGCCATTGAGGATACAGAGTCATTGCGAGGATATATGTCATCAGTGCGCTTGCAGTAGTCAGTATGCCTGCTGATTATTAGTTCACGAAGATAAGCTCGGCTGAGGTCGACACACCAGCTAAACCAACCATAGCCACCACATATGCACTCTCCACATCTGACATTTTTGATTCAGTCTGCATGGCCAGCGCTTGGCTCATATACGAGCTGACTGCAGATCCAGCTCCNCACTTTCTGCTTGGTCTGACACGCTCCTCACGCTTCCAGGGTGATAGCATTGCAGGAAATTTTTTCAACTGAGGAATGACATTGGTGAGATAAGCACCGGGAGAGATCGCCTTCAGCAGTGCATGAGAGTGGAAAGTGACCTCCGGTGCGTGATCGACGTCTCCAAATGCCAGGCGAGAAATGACTCGTGAGGTATACGCTTCCATGATATCCTCGTACTGAGTAGGGCACTGGAGAAGTTCGTGGATGAATTGATAAGATTCTCTCATGGGCAGATCTTTGTGCATTTCGCGGGCTGATTGTGTCATAATTTGTGTGACCATTTTTCCCTGTCTGCGCCAGACATCTGCGAAGATCAGTCTCTGTAGAGANACAATCTGGCATATGGTCATCGCACCGTTATATCCAAGTAATGGCAGGTACTCGGGTGCAGTCTTGCTGTCTTCAAGATTGTTGATCGGGGGACGGTCTGAGTGAATGGTAGCTCTCTTTGCCAGTAGTTCCGATGCTATCTTATCCGACGCGATCCATACATGGTTGGTGCCAAACAGGTTGATCTGATAGATAGGCCCATGTCGATCAGACCATTGCTTGAAGCGTAGATAAGCATGGGACCTTGGGATGTCCCAGATTCTGCCAATCACTGGAAGACCGACAGGTCCAGGCAGCCATTTTGTGCCTTGTGGCTTCTGTGTTCGCTTGTATTCGCAAACAAGAATCCATAAGAGGCATATACTTGCCACGAAAAGGTAGGGAAACATGTTGAAAAACGGTGATTGATCGTATACTGGTGCTAGAGTTGCCAATGTATGCAATGTCAGGACACTGAAATTCTTACAAACTGGTTCCGACTGTTATATGGCGACAGAGAACTGGTATTGTGAGACTCATACCAACCTTCTTCTTTCTTCAATTGACGGAGATACGGAATACCGTAAGACCCCACTGTAAGCGTAGTGGTAGAGGCAGTAATCCTGGGGCCATACTCACGAGGCTGACACTGTATGTCTTGTCTGCTTTGATGTTTAGCGGATATCCGAACAACCGCTGAGTCTCGGGCTATGCGATCTCTGAGACGAGAGCGTGGTTCCTATGGCAAAGTTCGACACCATTCCTACGGTGCTCCGTTTTCTGAATCGTGTCATCATGGTTGGAGTCTAATCGTGTCTTGGTGGCTTTATCACGGGTTTCCATCCTTCTAGGAACCATTTCCTATCGTGCATCGAATGAGCAGACCCTTTTCCGTTGGTGAAGCACGTTATCCGTTATGCTGAAGTTACCGAATGGTCGAGAGTTCTGAGCTGAGCTCTTCCAAGAGCTGCACCTCATCAGCCGCTTGAGCTCCGTAAGTAAGCCACATGCGTCGACTTTCAGGCATCCCATTAGACAAAAGTCAGTGAGCGAAGCTTCGGACAAGCGTGAGTAATACGCGATTTACTTAGAAGACTGTTGTGGTGGGGCTCAACAGAATGCTTCTCGAGTCCCTGCATCCGTGGGGTTGCATGTGGCTATGCTGATGGCGAACGCGTATCACAGCCTATATGATATTATCACAAAGGACGACTGCAAGAGCGGTAGCCTGAACAGGTCAAAGGTAGGCCAGCGACGGCCCGTCCCGATTTTCCAAACATCATGGTCCGGAGGATTACATATGCAGGCCTGGCTTGGCAGGAACTCAGGGAGAGGAATCCAAGTCGTTTGGCAGCACATACGAATCCAAAAACCTGAAATGGTATTGTTACACACGTTGGGCTGACTACTGATCAAACAAAATCAGCATTGGATTCGGCAGTCCTGGTGCCCCCAAGCAGGCCTCAAGACGAATGTCCATAACGCCTGACATTTAACACGAGACACGCGATGATGCGATCTGTTGAATAATTCGACAACAAAGACAAATCCATGCGCAAAGCGGTTATGAATGACGAGATCATATATCATTAACATCATGACATTGCATTGCGATGCTCTCAATCGAGTAACAACTATCTGTCAAATGTCAAACTCCCTGCTCCCAAAGCCTCTACTTCACATTTTCCTGTTGCGGAAGCGAATTGCCGCCATGGGATCTGGTATGACGCGAATATCAATCGCGAGGTCCCTGGGCCGCTCCATCCCCGGCATGAGTTCGATGTCGTAGCGGGTAAGTATCTCCGCCAGAAGCATTTTGATCTCATAGCTTGCGAAGAATCTTCCTGGGCATGCGTGACGGCCAACACCCCAATGGAGTTGATCTGGACCGGTAGTCACNAAACTGCGAGCATTTGTCAGCCACAATCCAATTAGCATCCCAATGGACAAGCTTACTTGATACTTGTTGTCATTGCCTGGAAGTGCACGTAGTTTCGCGAAGCGGAAGCCATCGAAGTGCTCGGGATCTTCAAATAATTCGGGGTCGAGTGCATTGGGCCCGGCAGCAACTCCGATGTGAACTCCTTTTGGTAGAACCACGCCATTGGATAGCGTGATCTCGCGTTCGACCTGGCGGTTCATCGTGACNTCGTCCTGTCAACATTGGACTTATGTCAGACAAATGCATGAAGACTTACCAAGACCAGGTGGTCTGAAACGCTGTGATTCTTTCATGAAGCTATCCATTTTGCGTAACTTTGCTATGCTCGCTTTCGTCCATTCAGAACCTTCCTCAGCCTGGACCTTGCGAAGTTCTTCTCCGAGCGGCTCGATATATTCAGGATGGGAAACCAGATCGAAGAGTGCTTGAGCTGTTGTCATTGTAGTGGTGTGAATGGCGACGTCAGAATTCAGCATTTGTGTCTTGGTCACGTAGTCTGTATCAGAGCCGTTGTTTCCTTCTGAGTTGTCTACGATCCATTGAACCATGTCCGAAGGCTTGGTAAAGTTTGGATCCTCGCGCATAGCTCGCTGACGTTGCTTCATGATGGGTTCAAGCAGGTTGGCTCCATTCTTCAGATAGCGACGCACATTGCGAACTTCTGGAATCATATATTGCATGATGGGATGCAACAACCTGGGGTAGCACCAGAGCTTTTCAGCGCCTACAAATCCATCGATGGTATACTTCAGTGTTGCTTCTAACCAGGTTACGTTGCGACTGAGTGGAAGGCCAACGAAGATTCGACCAGAAAGCAGTGCCACCAGATGCAGAAGCATGTTGTAGAGAGGTATCCCCTTCCATTCTGAACAATCTCCGATATGCTTGGTGACTGAGTAGTCAACTTCGTCCTGCAGTTCTTGGAGAATGCTGATGATGTTCTTTGTCAAGTCGATCTTGACTGAGTGTACGAGCGTATCATTAACACCAAGTCCGGTGTATTTCCCAAGAAATCTCGCAGAAACTTGGTTTTGGAAGCTCAAGACACTCTCTGGCAAAGCTTTGATCTCATCCAGATACTTGGGTGGAACCATAACCATAGCATGATGAGCAGTTGGTATGGTAAAAGTAGTGTCCTTGTGCTTTGTGTAACCTTCCGAGAGAGCCTTGTGGAAATCGCGGTCGCCAGGTTTTCCGATCTGAGGCGAATTAGTCACTTTCGCAGTGCTCCGAAAGGATCGCAGGCAATGTATCAGGTATGCGGATGCAACGAGCAGGAAGCTACTCAGAACCTCAGGAGAGATAGGCGACGAGCGTAGGACTGCCACGTGTAGTTCGAAAGGCGCCATAGTTGAGACTAAGGGGTAGGTGTTGATCGTGACAGATACTGGACAGATTGATCAATATTGTAGGCAAGAAGTCAGCTAGACATCGATTATGATGTCCCTCTGTGACAGCATATCCGAAGAAGGATCCGGAGCTAAGAGTTGAGGGCTGATAGGATGTGACACGGAATACCGTTAAGCACTGAGCCGCGAGCGGAGGTCCTATGTCTGAAGACCGGTGAGAACATAGTACGCTTCCGACCCCGTAGTGGAAGGACCCCCGTGCATATGCATAACATGGTTTCCTGGCTGGCTAGTTCAGCCTTCCGAACAGCACTCTATGCATAAGGCTAGCTCTTGAACAATTCATGATGAGCATCAGAATGGCGACAGAACGAAGCGATGATATCTGCTGGTGGTCGAGTTAGGTCAAAACCCCTCAGCATTGAACGAAACAACTCGAATAGTAAGAGTCACCGCCGGGTGGCACAAAGATTGGGAAGATGGAGAAAATTTGAGAATTGGCAATTGATATAGAGAACTAGTGTTTAGAGGTGACGATATATGCTGAACTAGACAGGAGACGTAGGGAATATGAATCGAGGAGTCGATCACATAGGAGAGATCAGAGGCAGGATGTGATGCCTGGTTGAATCGTCTCGAGTTTCGCGAAAAGCTCTTCGGTAAATTTCTTCTGCATCTTGCGTCCCTTCTCGCTATCGATATTGTCACCGTTGCTGTTCAAAAGGTCAGTTGGGCATCTCCAAGTACAAGGATGAAGCTCTTACGGGAAGACTTGACAATCCATCAAGAATGCGCCATGGGCTTTGGTGCTGATGTCAGGACTGGCGGCGTGAACAAGCGTACGACTTCCTTGCTCGGTTGCGCGGGCGATGATAGAGATCATGAGATTCATGATCAACTTTTGAATCNNCCTAGTGGAAGTGAGAATTAATACTGCTGTCTTCGCCCCCCAGTGATGTTTCTTACATGAGGCATCATCTCGGAAGATGTCGGACTTGCATGCTCCAGGGGTCAGGTAATCGATGATGACATTGGATTCTTCGTTGATTGGACTGCGAGCAGCTATTTCGCGAACTGTGTAGAGCAGCAGAAGCTTGGACACTTTGTATCTANNTGGAGGGTCAGCGATCTTTGTTGCGAAAGCTTGCCCGATTGGATCTTCTCACCTGTCGTCCATGTCCACTCCCTCCTTGTTGTTCAAAGCTGCGTACAGTGAGCCTGTCGTTTCGGCCTCCTTGAATTTGGCAATGTATTGAAGGTCAGATCCCACGAATGACAATCTGCCGCGGACGCCATACTTTTGNGCACTTTCTCGAAGCTTGGGAAGGACTGACAGACCGAGAAGGGTTGCGCTGGTCACGTTGATAGTGACAGTACTTTCTTCGTCCTCCTCAAGTCGATATTGGGTGGTCAAGATGCCGGCATTCTGGATGAAAGCATCAAGACGATCAAGTTGCTGTACACGTTGACCGAAGGCTTTGACAGATTCATAACTCGAAAGATTCAACTCCCACACTTCGATGCGATCGCATTTGAGGTGTTCGGAACTGGCGATGTCTGCTGCTGCGGCTTGACCCTTCGAGATTGTACGGCATGCAAGAATGACCCTGACAGCCCCCAGACGAGCAATGTGTCGGGCAGCTTCGAGGCCGAGACCAGTATTGCTTCCAGTTATGATGACGGTCTGACCAGCGAAGCTTGAGTTTGGGTACGGCAGCTTGGTGAAAAGCTGTGAGCGTAAAAATGTTGTTGCATAACCCATGATTGCAGGTACTTGGTAGGCACGGTGTAGGGCGGGTTATGAGCGAATGCCAGGAACTGATAAATGGTGATTCTTCAACAGCTTGACAGCTCACACTTGTATGAACAAAGGATTGCCAATGAATCGTGTCGCCAGAGTCAAACAAGCAACAGCTGACAAAGCGCATGCATCGCACGGCATGATAGGCGCCGCAAGCTGATAAAGCGAGTCCTGTCTTGTTATTTACAGGCCAGGGTCTATACTAATCTGGAATGCGGATCCCCGTAGCGCCGGACTAGCGTAATTTCTTCCCGCCGCTAGCTCGGCCCGCATCAGCTGGTGAGCTCCAGGGTTTCGCCGTCGCTCGCCAGCTTTCCTCCGCCAATTCGCTCACCGGTGACCGGAGAGGTCATCGTGGAAATGCCATCGTACCCTGCTTGTTGCGTAGCTCGATGCAAGTCATTCTCCGTATCCGTAGACCAGTCTACCCTGAATATAGTTGCGTATCCCTTTTGTTGAAGAGAACATGGAGCGTCTGAAGCTATTTACTCCGCTGCGTTCACCTTCTTGCACCACGAACAGCAAACCGTAACTTGCCAGGATCTATCATGGCTTTCACAGTGTTCTCCAGTGGTATAACGATTTTCGCATGTTTCGGTATCGTCGTTCTCTATCTTGTTCTCCTGGCAGCCTACAGACTTTATCTGAGCCCCTTGGCCAAATTTCCTGGACCGCGCTTGGCCGCTTTGACACTGTGGTATGAGTTCTATCTTGACGTGGTCAAGGTCAGACATGCCCGTAAGCTTTTAGTATCTGCGATGCGCTCACCAANNATTCAGCATGGCCAATTCTTTAAGGAGATCGAGCGGATGCATTCAGTCTATGGTCTGTATCATATCCAAAGACAACTCGNNGCCCAATTTCTTATACCAACAGGTCCCATCGTCCGGATTAGCCCTTTCGAGATCCATGTCAAAGATCCCAAATGGTATGATGAGCTGTACACCAACGGTAGCCGGAAACGAGACAAGTCAGCTTGGTTTGTCGGTCGATCAGGTGGCAAATCAGTTTTCGGAACCATTCACCATGATCACCACAGACTGCACAGGGCCGCTCTCAATCCGTTCTTTAGCAAACGCTCTATTGTGGCCTTCGAGCCAGTCATACAGTCTACCATGGACCAACTTTGTGTAGCGCTACAAGGCTACATCGAGAGTGGGGAGCCCGTCGAGCTTCAAACTGCATACATGGCTCTCACTCTTGATGTCATCTCCCAATATGCCTTTGGTGAGTCTCTCGGACTAGTCAAGAAACCTGGCTTTTCTCCAGAATGGAACAAAATGCTTCATGCAACCATTGGAGCGGGGATTATGAACAGACATCTTCCTTGGTTAGCAGACCTAATGATGAGTCTTTCGACATTGCTCGCGGCTTCAATATCGGGCCCCGTTGCTTTCTTCCTGCGTATCCAACAAGTAAGGATATTCAACACATTTGGTCGCCNNATGTCTGATTTGCAGCAGGATGTCCGAAAACAGGTTGAAGAAGCGTTGGCTCGAAAACAAGATCCAGACAGGAACCATCGGACAATTTTCGAAGAACTTCGTGACAGTGACTTGCCACCTCAAGAGAAAACTATTGAGCGCTTGATGGATGCAGGATTCATCCTTGTCGGAGCCGGCGGAGAGACCATTGCCCAGACGCTGGCTGTGCTTACCTTTCACCTACTGAACAATCCGCTCGTGCTTTAAAAGCTCCAACATGAGCTTGATGATTGGATGCCAAATCCAGAGGAGCAGGTCTCCTGGCAACAGCTCGAACAATTACCTTATCTGGTGCGTATCCCATCTCTGGATTGGAGCTGTTGGCAGTTGACTAATCAGACCTCTCAGCGTGCTGTCATTACGGAAGCGCATCGGGTCCAAGCTGTTATCACGACTCGATTGATCCGTATAGCGCCAAACGAAGTGCTCAAGTTCCAGGACTGGGAGATCTCAGCAGGCACCCCAACAAGCATGACGACTCACTTCATGCATCTTGATCCGACTCTGTTCCCTGAGCCTTACAAGTTTGATCCGGAGCGTTGGCTCAGTCCATCTACAGGACCAGATCGTCTCGAACAATATGTCGTACCTTTCTCAAAAGGCAGCAGGGCCTGTATTGGATTGCAGTATGTGTTGATTGCTGAATTCTGCACCAGACCCCTGCTGACAGCATCATGAAGCCTTGCCAGTGCCGAACTATACCTTGGCGTCGCCAAAGTCTTCCGCAAGTCTGATCTTGAGCTCTACGAGACTAGTTACAGAGATGTAGAGATCACATGGGATGGATTTGCTGGCGGATTCCGTCCTGACTCTAAAGGCATCCGTGTCAAAGTGGTCGGCGAAAGGCAATGACAACCTCGATCAAGTGACAAGGCTGCATTCTTAGGTGCTCAATTAATGTTTGGCAGTGATAGATGTTTCTCAGTCGAGTGCCTAGAATAGATTTACCACTATCATGTACTTCCCTCATATCATAAGGCATCCAGTAATCGGCTTCACCACAGAACCAGCAACCGCTCCTTTGTTTCCAAGGAACATCGCTTGAGTCAAACTGCATAAGACTGGGATGGACATATGTCTGTGTACAGTGAATTCCTGTACCAGAGCGGAAGGCCCGAACCACTCTAAATTTGGAGTCTCTATACGCTATGTAGCGGCTCAAGAGTGCCGATACTGCGGAGCCCAGAGCTTGCCCTGCATCGAGCCGTATGGAAACTCCGGTGCCAGATGAAGGAGCGGCACGAACCGCTGGCGGAAATCCGTACGGGATGTTGTCTCCGGCAATATTACCGTTCTTACCTCGTGAACTATCCTTTTCTGCCGCAGCCAACTCCTTCTGACTCTCAACGATCCTTTTCATCCGCGCGGCCTCGAGAGTCCCAATGTCTAGGCTTCAATCCATATCCGCCACTACTCAGGCCCACCACTCTAATGTTGTCAGAACCAACATCTCGTGCCGTGGTCCGTTGTAATCATACTGACTTTGCCGACTCCTTGTAGCTTGGAGGATGTTCCTTATCAGGTCCGTCTTCAACGCTTATACTGAACTATTGGCTTGCACCAGGGCTGAAGACCTACGCGAAGAGGTCAGCATCCTCAGCCTCTCGACGCAGGATCATGACCAACACCCTCCCAAGATCTTGAGAGTGGGCCTTCGGCTCGAGCAGCAGCTGGGTGTCTGGGAGTCAGACTGACACTGGGGTGCGGCTGAGAGCGAGCATCGTTAACACCACATTTGAGTCTCGTATCCGTTTTAGGCATACGATGGAGTCCGGAAGTCAAGGCCCTCGCCATTCAGAGAAGGGTTCCATCCTGCGCAGGTGTCAGAACAAGATATAAGAAGTCGAGACTCGCGGACATGGAAGAGAATCATCATACTCGACAGCGCTTCAGACTTGTAGATCAGTCAACTCTCCAACGCTTTCGACATGCGAACTACACTTGCTTTGCTCTGTATCTACTGCTCTTTTGTCCGGGCTTTTCCCCTATATGATAATCTCAAGACCGCTCGAGCTTCAAAGTCTGCTTATAACTATGTTAAAGCTCCTGGGAACGCTTCTTACGATCATGTATGATCTCCTATGTCGACCTTATTTGAAGTGTTCAGTACACTAACGAAGCAGGTCGTTGTTGGTGGTGGCACTGCAGGTCTGATTGTAGCAGCTCGATTGGCAGAAGACCCCAAGGTCAAAGTCGCGGTGATCGAAGCCGGAGACTTTTACGAGGATGTCAATGGTAATCTGTCCATAGTCCCAGGCTACGGTGCGTCAGTATCGACTCCTGCCGTGGACCGGGGCTTCAAATCTACACCGCAGCAAGCTCTCAATGGTCGGCAACTCGACTACAGCAGAGGCAAAACCGTGGGTGGCTCTTCAGCAACAAACTTGATGGCGTACCATCGCGGCACAACCGACTCTCATCATCTCTGGGCACAAGCTGTTGGCGATTCTTCTTTCGAGTGGGATAACTTTCTTCCTTACTTCCACAAGAGTGTCAGGTATACAGCGCCGAACAATGCTCTGAGAGCAGCAAACGCCAGCGTGCCTGACCCCAGTATCCAATCTTACGGCAACGCAGGAGGTCCTTTGGATGTCACTCATTCCAACTATGCAGATCCGGTTTCCAGCTACGCAGGATCGGCTTGGAAGGAACTAGGTCTGAAACAGCTCGAAGATCTGACCAGTGGGTCTCTGATCGGCAACCAATATTCACCAGCCACGATTCGTGCAAGCGAACAAACGCGCTCCACGAGCAGAAGTAGTTTCCTGGAGTACGCCGTCAACAGTGGGCGCAACAACATTTTTCTCTACAAGACCTCTTTGGCAGAAAAGATTAATTTCGCAAACAAGAAAGCTACTGGAGTGCAGGTTTCGTCGGGCTCTCAGAGGTTTACTCTGAAGGCTAAAAGGNAAGTCATCTTAGCAGCTGGAACGTTGCAGACGCCGCAGCTGCTCATGGTATCGGGCATAGGTCCAAAAACCACATTGACACAGCACGGCATCAAGGTGATCATGGACCTTCCAGGAGTTGGACAAAACATGGAAGACCACCTTTTCTTCTCCATGGTCTACAAAGTCAACGGGGTGACACTATCACAGACGTTGACACACGCCGGATTCGCAGCACAAGTTGAAGCCGAGTACAACAAGAACCACAGTGGCATCCTGACCAACACAGCAGCAGATTACTTCGCATGGGAGAAGCTGCCTTCCGAGTACATGTCAAATCTATCTCCACAAGCACAAACCGATCTCGCAGCTTTTCCGTCCGATTGGCCGGACTATGAGGTAGTCATTGGGGATGTGCCATTCGCAGCCGGCACAAACTATGCCCAAGCGATTNGGTATGCTACAAGTGGCATCCGCGCGCGGTAGGTTTCACAACTCTTAACACAGCACCTTTGTCGTGAACACATGCTAACACCTTNNTTATGTGTAGGCAATGTCAGCATCTCGTCAGCCAGCATGACGGACCCACCACTTATAGACACACAAACACTGGCAACGACCACCGACCAGCGGGTCGCCGTGCAAGTCATCAAACGCATGCGAGAACTGTGGTCGACCAAATCATACAGCGCCATCACAAGCAGCGCAGACGAGATCCTGCCAGGCGCTTCTGTGCAGTCCGACGAGCAGATTCTCGAATACTTGCTAGCCAACGCCGGATCTGGTTTTCACTGTGCTTGCACATGTGNNAGTAATGTTGTTTGAGAGTCCTGTGGAGCCGCAGAAGACTGACTTTATGATGTACCAAACACAGGCAAGATGGGTAGTTCCAATGACGCGAATGCGGTCGTCACAACCACTGGTAAGGTGATGGGAATCAAGAATCTGAGGATTGTCGATGCTTCTACCTTTCCGCTTCTGCCTCCTGGCCATCTGCTGGCTACTGTCTGTGAGTTGTGGCAATCCTCCCCCGAGACGAATATCATCAGGTTCTAATCATAGTAAAAACAGACGCCCTCGCAGAGAAGTTTGCAGATAACATCAAGAACGGAAGATAGAGACAAACTTGACAGCGGTCAGAACTTTTGTTGAAGATAGAACGGCATCAGATGCGTAAAATCACAGAAGAGTGATTACAAGATTTCTAGAATCAGGTACATCACAGGTTCGATGAACTCGACTGGCAGTTGTATGTGCTTTGATAACTGGATTGCGCTCTCATGGGGAAGTCCTCAGACTACCTTCTGATTCAATGATTGTTGCGACAACCAGAAGTTCGGAGTCTGCGTGAAAGATACAACCCACAGAAAACCGAGAGCAATACCACTTGTTTTGTTTTTTATGGTCTGTCAAAAGTGGTAGATCCTGAGTCGATTTGCAAGTCGGGGTATGGTGTGACACATACGCATCGCCAGAGTTTTAAAGGCTACATTTGTCAGCAACCACAGTACCAAAATTCTTCAAAATAATCACCCTGTAGAACTACCAATCTTCATAAGCAGAGATTCTGATCAATAGAAAGCCATATCTGACAAGACACAAAGATGTCGGTTGCAAACTCTATCCTCATGTTTCTTCACATGATCGAAGAATTCATATTTGATACTATGTTCTTATATAAATACCAATAAATAATTCCAAGAAGCATGCTTGTCTATCGGTCTTGTTGACAAAGAAAGTATGCAACATCCGTTTAGAACAAGAGAAAAAAAGTCTCGTTAGGTCGATAGCTCTGATAGGAGTTGTGTCGATGGTTTGGATGTAAACTGATCGATTGTCATTGACGAAGATGGTTGATGCAACGATACTCGAGAAAGATAATTCTTGCCTTCGATGCTCCAAATCTTGAATTTTGGTGGCACGAGCAGCGACCGGATTTTGGCACCATTCAACAGGTCGTTCGTATCAGCCCGAGCCAGTGCTCGCGGCAAGTCTTGCTCAATGCCGGCAACCATATGTCTATGCGCGACCCTCATCCTAGCCACTTGCGGATCAATGTCGATGAACCAGGTATCATCCACAAGCGATGAAATCTTGTTCCAAGGCGCTTCGTCAAGAAGAAGCCAGCTACCTTCCAGGATCACGAGCGAAGTGCTTGGCCCAATCTCGATTGCACCTGGCGTGGGATCTTTTCTCGCATGGTCAAATCCAGGGGCTCGCATGATCGCCAGGCAGTCAGTTCTAGATTCTCTCAGATCCTGAACAAAGTCCATGAGTTTCGTTGAGTCGAACGTCCAGTCAGCGCCCCTGCGTGCGTATGCCTCAGCACTGTTGGGAAGCTGATCGAGAGTGCTTTGTGGATAGTGGAAGCCATCCATCGGAAGCACTTGGGCCCATGGCGCCCACTGATCTCGGTTGAGCAGTTTGACTACCTCTTGTGCTGCAGTCGACTTGCCACTGCCGGGAGGACCTGCAAGCGCAATGATCACGCGTTTTTTGGGGTCGATGTTGCGCTCGGATGTATGAATACTGCGCGCCCGGAGTGCCATGAGTCCATAGGTGTATTCCATCCTTTCCCTCGACTGCAATCGCTGTCGCCATGATGATCGGTCGTGCTACGCCTGCAATATGTAATCTCGCATGTATCTCTACGCTGGTGGTTTCTTGGAAGGTGGTAAGCTGATTTAGGCTGTTCCGACAGGTTGTTGTTGGGTCGGATCACAGTGCTCCGATGTGAAGCTCCGCCACAGCTTCGACCACGACAGCATCGGTCTCCATGGTACGAGCATCGGACCAACATCACGCATCCATTCTCCGACACTGGAACTTCAAGGGCCGAAGCGTGTCATGACGCGAATTGCCCTCGGACACATGTGACTAGATCGTTGACTCTGGAGGGGTGTCAAGCGTCCAAGACCGATATATTGTCTCCGATTCCCGTGTACTGAAAGGGTACAAGACCTCCTCTGGAACCGGAAGAACAGCTCATTACCTACATTACACATCCGTATCTCACAACAAAATACTTCTCAAGATGTCTATGACTCTCGAAGATGGCAAAGTGGTCCGCCAGCCAAAGCCGGTCCCAAACACACCCTCCGATGTTTTTGAACAGCTCAGTATGAAGGGGAAAGTTGTTGCCATTACCGGTGCATCTGATGGCATTGGATGGGCCGTCGCAGAAGCCATTGCAGAAGCCGGTGGCGATCTTGCTCTGTGGTACAACACGAACAACGCTGCGATCTTGAAAGGCCAAGAGATTGCAAAGAAGCACGGAATCCGTGCCAAAGCATACCAAGTGGAGGTCTCAGATCACGAAGCCGTCAGAGTCGCAGTGCAAGAGGTCGTTCAAGATTTCGGAAGACTCGATGTTTTCGTCGCCAACGCTGGTATGGCCATCTCGAAGGCGATCACCGAGCAGACTATTGAGGAGTACAGAAAGCAGATGTCTGTCAACGGTGCGTAATCTTCGAGGCCAGAAAGTTGAAGTCGATCACTGACAACCCGTANNGTGGACGGAGTGGTGTTTTGTGCCAAATACGCCGGCGCCGTCTTCAAGAGCCAAGGGTTCGGTAACCTCATCATCACATCGAGCATTTCTGCGCACATCGCAAACGTTCCTGTTGACCAACCTGTATGTTCCTGGCGATAAACTCCATACATATCAACGTCTAACAAGTCCAGANTCTACAACACCACAAAAGCTGCAGTGAACCACCTTGGAAAGAGTCTGGCACGAGAGTGGCGAGACTTCGCCAGGGTCAATATCGTATCTCCTGGATTTTTCGATACTAAGATGGGCGCATCGCCTCTTTGCATCAACGAAGCATATCGCATGACCCCGTTAGGACGCATGGGTCATGTTAAGGAGATCAAAGGGCTGTTCCTATACCTAGCAAGCGATGCCTCATCTTATCAGACAGGAAGTGACACCATCATCGACGGAGGCTATGTACTAGTATAGGATGGTAATTAAAATTTTGTACACGCTAAGGCGTTGTCTCACGAGAACAGACAGACCGTACTGTGCATCTTCGGGATATCGACGACAAGAAGATTCTCCTAGAAAGTCATTGATGCGACTTGATTATTGTCATAGGCTTAAGAAGAGTGGCAGGCGTAAGGATCAGAATTGGCACAGATCTGAGGAATCATAGGCAATGAGCGAAGAACACATTCCAAGGCATGTCAACCGTCCGGTAGGCCAGCTTGTCAGCAATGGGACAGTAACCCCCCGCCGTCTTTTGTCTGCTCCTCCACTCGAGTGCTGCATCACTAACGTCCCATGCTTGTACAAGTTCACGGCCCACACTGTTTGTCTTGCCAAAATCCTTCTGCAAACGAGCGAGGTCTATTGCTACAGTAGTCCTGGTCTCTTCCCAGTGCGCAGGATATCTGAGTTTCAATCCGGAATCTGGAAAGGGTGGCCAAAGTCGTTCATACCTTCGAAGAGCGCCTGTAGTGTTGGGTCTGCAGCAAGGCTCCATTCATTAAGCACAAGTTCGGCTATACCGTGGTTATCAAATGATTGATGGTAAGATCCTGCATTGCTAGGACTCGTTTGGAAGACTCCACCCTGAAAACCTTGAGCTAGTTGTATTGAGAGCTCGTGACGATAATCCGCTTCTCCGGCGTGGTTAGGTACAAGCTCATTGTCCGTTGTGAGATGATCTGGTCCCTCACTAGAAGTGTGCAGTCCTGAAGCCTGTCTCAGCATCTGCCGTAGACGAAGCGCGATTTGGAAAGATCTTGCGGCTGCACTGCTCGTGCTGATCAAGTTCTGGAGACACTGACATGCCTGACCAACGATAGTTTCAAAGTCTTGCAATGAATCGTCATGACTTTGCACAGACAGGCGACATCTTAAGATATATTGTGCACTGTAAGACAGAGTGGCTTGGAGAGTGAAGTAGACAGCGTACCAACTCAACCCACAATGGAACACTTGTGAATTGGTCTGGCAGAATGTCGCTATACCAGAAATCACACTGGCTGACGTGGACTGACACCGCGTTCCTAGTGAAAGTTTCTCATGCTCATCTTTATGATGTCGTTGACTTGAGAGAAGCAGCAAAATGAGTAGGTTCGATTCTTTCCATAGTACGATCTGTCTTGGTCCGACGAACCAGGACGGCACATCAGCAGAAAAGAAGTATGAAGGCAAAGACGTATGCCAGTTTTGGATCATATGCTCCATGACGCTGGTTTGGTGATCCAAATCAGCACAAGGAGTCACGCACATGAATTGTGTGAAGACCCGGTTTGCGATCTTGGTAAGCCTCGCCAATGCAATGACAGTCGAGGAAGTGGTGGGATAAGAAACTTCCGTGACACTGCCGGAGTAGGAATCATACGCGGACTCATCAATATTAGATGGAACTCGGACATCAACAAAAGTGTCCGGGATGAGCGTGGGTCTGCCTGTCGTGATGTTGAACCAGCAATCGAAACAGCAGAGTATCCAAAATAGCACGCGTCTTCTGTGTGAATCGAATGGCTTGACACCTGCGCTCGGAGGCAGCTCAAGATGGAGTGCAAGCCCGAGAGCCATTCTCAGGGCTATTCCTATGTAGCTGTACCCTGTGTTCGGCCGATCTCTCTTTTGAAGGTAATTTCCGAGGAGCAGAAATGCTTGGACGTTGTTCAAGGAACCAGATTCCAGGACTTCGGGTCTGATGCGTGAGCGAGCAGCTTCGTAGTATATCGAACTCTCCTCGCTGCTATATCCCGACACCCATTCGCCAATGGCAAGGACCATATAGTACGTAATATGCCAGGTTGACCTTGTTGACATTTGCTTTCTCGCAGCGTACTGCTTACGAAATGTTCCTTCATGGAGGATGGGGTAATACGCATTGTATCCCACGAAGAAAGCCGTAATGAGCTGTTCGTGTATACAGGCCGTAGCCATCGATTGTCCCGGTATGTTGGCAAAGAGTTGGCGTGTAGGCAATGTTGAGGATGCTTCAGCTTCGACCGCGGCGCCGTCTGCGTCCAAGTTGACTTGCGAGGGCAACAACGATGAAACAGACTGCAATATCTCGAAACCAGAACTCTTTCCTATAACATTCACCATGAGCATGATATGTCAGACTACAATCGTGCATAGTGGCCTTACCAAGNNATAACCCGAACCATTGCCATGTCGTGTCAGAGATGCCATACCATCGCGGGTATATTCGCCACTGGGCGAAGGATCGTTCGCGCCGGCATCAAGGCCCTCGTTCCACTCATAGGGACCTGATGGAGGGTCTTCGGGATTCTGCTGGCGATGTGGTACAAAACGATGCTCTGGATTTTGGCTTGCTTCTTTTTGCCCATTGATACTGCCGGCATTGATTCGGGCTTCTTCCAACAGAGTCTCAAGTTCTCTGCATCGCGCTTCGGCCGCATCGAGGTTCCGCCTAGTCAGCGAGGTTCGTTCATGTGGCCCCTCAAAGATGCATGGCTTTCCAGCCTTCTGGCAATACGCGCAGAATTCACTTTCTGGTGCCGCGACACACTTGGTCTTCCTCTTCTGACACTCCAAGCATGCTCTTTCGGACGTCGACCTCCGAACTGTTCGCGTTGCTGGCATCGGTCGTGATGATCGGGTCAGATCGATGGAGCAGATTTCAGGACGTCGGAGCGTAGCTGGCGATAGTGAAGAGGGGCAGTGAGGGGTCTTTCTTGGCCGACCGTTATCATAGACTGGTTCATGTGTCCCTTCGGACAACAGTGCTCCGACGCTTCGGTGGAAATGTTCACCTATCTCTTCTGAAGCAGGCAAGATGAGAAGTAGAGAATATAACCGAAGCAATAATGTGCGACCGGCGACAAAAGCTACGTGATTTTCCTATCCACACAACTTGATCACTCATTCAGAACGAACATGACGATACACGCCTCGACGCAAGTGCCCTCAGCAGATTCAGCCAGGGCAGACCTTAGCAAACGATCAATTCCTCATATGGTGCTCAGTACAGGCGATGCCAGCTCTCTGACTGCACCTCCCTCCTTCAATTATGGAACTGCATGTGCCNGAAAAAGATTCAGGGTGAAGGGCAACGCAATCGTCACTGGTGGCACAGGCACACTTGGGTTCGCAGCTTGTGACGCTCTACTAGAACATGGTCTGGATGGACTTGCCATATTTGATGTTAATACGACTCAAGACTCCGAGCACCTCACGCAATTGAGAAAGCGTTTTCCGCAGCGCAACCTCGCCTGCTTCCAGGTCGATGTTACGAACGAAGAAGCTGTCCAGGTAGCGGTTCATGCTGCTGCAGAACTTCTTGGATCGATAGATCACCTCCTCTGCTTCAGCGGTATCGTTGGCTGCGTTGATGCTTTGGACATGTCCGCTGCCCATTGGCGTCGTGTTATAGATGTCAACACCACGGGCTCTTTCATTTGCGCTCAAGCTTGTGCTCGACAGATGAAGGCTCAAGGGTCGGGAGGTTCGATAGTCTTCACTGCATCCATATCCGCGCACAGAGTCAACTACCCGCAACCACAAGCTGCCTACAATGTGAGTAAGGCAGCACTCATAACACTCAAGAACTGTCTCGCCGCCGAGTGGGCTCGTTACGGCATCAGAACAAATTCTGTCAGTCCTGGGTATATGGATACAATCTTGAATGAGGGACCGGGTATCGCAGAGGCAAGAAATATCTGGGCGCTTAGAAATCCCACAGGACGTATGGGCACTCCTGATGAACTTACAGGTGCGATTGTCATGCTGTCCGCTGCGAGTAGCTCGTACATAAATGGAACCGATATCGTGGTTGATGGTGGTGCGATAGTCTTCTGAACAACTCAGAGAATTAAGTGTGTAGATAGTCTATCAAGTCGAAGATCAGATACTTCTTTCCATTGATCCCTTGCGACACCGTGCTGCTAATGCTGGTAGCTTGGAGGTTATGCCAGAGCACACTCCAGAGAATCTACCGAAGAAGCGTCCTGGTCTGTGGGCACTACATGAAGATTGTTTTCTAAGAGCACAATTGAGCAACAATTCAGTTTTGCGATCTCGACACAGTCGAGTCCGTGTCCGAGCGAGGATACTTCTCTGATCGGCATCCTCTAACATTCTTGGAAGCGAGAAACGCCTGGTGGCATGGCAGTACACGTGCTGCAGCTTTCGACCATACCAAGTGCGTTTGTCCCGAATTACCGTTCCAGAGTTGTCATCCCGAGCCATGCTCGTACAACGACCATGAGCATGGTCAGCGATGTGCAAAAACGTCGGCTCACTCCCCTTTTGAGATGAGCCGCCGTCGATGTTACATGTCTGGACAAGGCGTGGCACCTAAATTGACATTTTTAACAGCTTCCATCAACACTGTCATCCGATTATTGGGCTATCCCATGGTCATGTGCCTTGCTAGGGGCTTCAAACAGCTTTTTGTGGTGGATGGTCCAATCACAAGGACAGGACGTCTTCGGAGCACTGCAATCCGACAACTCGTGAAGCCCCTTGGACCGACGATGCCCTACCACCTCCAACCTTTTTCTGCCCATGGGGAAGCGTTGAATACCCCAGAGAGTCCATCTCCGCACCATACCCTCGAATCTTATTCGTGATGTAGTGCGGCGCCATCTATAAGATACAGTCGATCCCTGCCCTTCATGCCTCTTGCCAGATTGCATCCCACGAACATCACTATCGCCCAACAACTATACCTTCGATATGACCGATCACGATTCCAAACAGGCTGAACTCAAAGACGCAGCAGTTACTCAATACTATGAGAACTCCGAGGACGCCCGAGGTGAAGTCCTCGAGACAAGATACGCTGGTGAGCATCCAGATGCCTCATCGATCGAACGCCTTGGTACTCATTTTCTGNCAGGACTTGGACGCTGGCTCACTGTCAAGACCTTCTGGAAGGCGATGCTTTTCTGTCTAGTCCTCAATTGGGCAGCACTTAACGATGGTGTCAGTGACCCAACTTGACTGTGCGGAACAACACTGAAAATCAGCAGTNTTCAACAGCAAATCCCAGGCAATGTCATCCCAATGCAAGCATTCATCAACCAGATGCACGATACGACGATCGATGGGAAGCCAGCTGTCAGCGCCAAGGTCGTCTCCTACTGGCAAGGATTCGCAGAAATGTCCAAGACCGTCGGCATGTTTGCTGGAGGATGGTTCGCCGACCGATTCGGCAGGAAGTAGGTCGCAAACACTTCATCGAAGATCGTTTTGTCACTGACCGTGATACAGGNNAAAGCAATGATTGGTGCCATCGTCGTTCTTCTCGGCGGATCGATCACTGAGATTACTGCACATGACTGGCAGAGTTGGCTTGGTGCAGCAGTCTTCGTCAGACTGGGTGTCGGACTTGCTCAATCGATCCTAATCACATACATTTCTGAGATCGCTCCCTTCCAGATCCGTGGTATGCTGATCGGAGCATACCAGCTCTGCCTAAGTTTTGGACAGCTTATAGCAGCCATCGCAACTCAACTGGTTGTCATTCACCAGCCGACCAAATGGAAGCCACTGATCGCCACTGAGTTTGCATTTACTGCTGTTAGTATCGCTGCCAGCAGATGCACCAATTGAGACGATGGATACTAACCTCGTTATAGATCCNTGATTATCTTCATCTTGTTTGTTCCTGAGTCTCACATCTATCACTCCCGCAATGGACGCCACGAACAAGCCAAAACATCAATGATGCAACTCTATGGCAACATCCCAGGCTACGACGTGGTATGTGATCCCGATCACCAGTTCAACCAGACACGTACTTACAGGTTCGAACCAGNNGAACATGAGTATCGAGTCGTTCAACACGGTATTGAAGCAGAATTGGAGCTAGCTTCAGCTTCACGCAGCTCATCCTTTNTCGAGATATTCAACAGCCAGAACTGGCGAAGAACACTTGCTGGGTGCCTTGGTATCTGCAGTCAGTGGGCTGCAGGTGCCCCAATTGTCTTCTCTTACTCGACAGTGAGCCTTCTCTGGAGTCTGATATCATTCACGATCAAGCTGACTCCTGGCANNGTACTTTTCAAAGTCGCCGGTCTTGCAGACCCATTCCTCGTCACAATCATCACGTTCGTACCTGCCTCACCGCGATCCTGGATAGTTCTGACCATTGGCAGCTTCGTACTTCTCATCGTCTCGATTTCTGCGTCCTTGTATGCTTGCGAGCACATTGGACGTCGACCTCTGCTTGTCGNNGGTGAGGACTAGAGTGATCAACACAAAACAAAGGGCAAAGAGACTGACACATCGCACAGTGGATGTTTCTTGATGTGTGTCTTTAACATTTGCCTTGGCTCTACTGCTTTCTTCCACACTGTTGGAGCAGGCAAAGCAGCTCTTGGCTTCCTGTTGCTATGGGTCATCTGCTACGGTGCGTCGGCTGGACCCATTGGTTTCGTCGCGGCTGGAGAAACATCGACTCCTCGTCTAAGAGCCCAGACAACCTCGTTCAATCTCGGATGCTATGGTCTTGGCNTTGTGAGTCATTTTTCTTCACCTTTTGTCTGCTTCTACTGACACAACTATAGTGTCGTCTTCCAGTGGACAGTCTCGTACATGATTAGTCCCGACGCTGCTAATCTAGGTATCAAAGCCGTCTACGTCTGGGCAGGACTCCTTGTGCCTTTTACCGTTCTCCTTTGGCTCTACTACCCTGAGGTAAGTCAGATCGTTTTGTGGGGTTAAGCATTCACTAACCTTGATACAGNNACTTATGGTCGTACTTATTGGGAGCTGGACGAACTCTACGAGCGCAAGGTTCCTGCTTGGAAGTTCAAGAACACCTCTACCACCTCTGATCAGAGTGGTCACAAGAATACTGCTCTCATGTCTGATCGCGCCAAGCAGGAGGTCAAGGCGACAGTCTAGTGACATTGCTGGCGAAAGACTGCTGCTATAGGCGGGTTGGTGACTCGATGAGCAAGAATGCGCTATGTGAGCATGGCTTATATCTAGCGATTACAAGGTGTTTGCGCAATCTCTATTCTATAGTTTCACACATACTTAGCAAAGATACAAAGACATCCACATCTCCCAGCCTCACCTCCTAGCTTCACCTCCTAGCCTCACCTCCTCCTTGGCAATAACCAAACCCCAAACCCCTAAATAAACATCAGGGATTGGAAGTTCTGACATCACATATACTTTACCGACCACGTGGACTTCTACCAAGTTTCAGGCGTGCCATGCTGGTTTCAAGACTGTGGCCATGGTGTGACATTCCGGACAGGCGGGGTTTGCACATCCCTGAACACGAACAACGTCGCCACCACGTGACGCAACATGTCTTGACGTCTGCTGTAAGGCCACCAAAGGCTTCCCACGCGACTCTCGAGTTGCGTAAGCAAAAAGAAAGGCATGACGTCTCCTGATGAGAACCTTCCAGGAGAACCTGTTTCAGTTGTTTGTGTTCAGACCTGTTTCCGACATCAAAGTGACAGCCACACAAGAGAGTGAGGAGGAGAAGGAAGCAAAGAAAGTAGAGATCGAAGAAAAAAAGAGAAACAGTATTCGATTATAGTCACTCAATGAACGCGGCTCAAGACCGAAAGGAAGTAGAAAGCTGAAAAGACGAGGCCCAGCCATCCGCATCAAATTCCATCTCCATTAAGCATTCCCATCACAAAGCCCCTTTGGATTTCGATGACTCTCAAAAGGTACAACCCTTTAAGAAGAGCCAGTGAGCTTGCCAACCATGTACTTAGCACCCATGTTCTGCACACTGGTGGAAAGAGGGTATGAAAGGTGCTGAGCATTGATACCGAAACCATGGGTGGTGTCGCAAACACCATCGCCAAAGGCACAGACGTCCATAGTTTTGGGGACCCAAGCAGAGGGAATGCCGCCGAGAAGGGCAGAAAGACCATTGACGTTCTTGGTGGTGGTGCCGCCGTTGGCGTCGACGTTGCAGGCAAGGCCGGAGCGGTGCTCAGGGTCGCCGATGAGGAAGACACCCTTGACGGCATCCATGGCGGCGCCGGTGAGCTTGGGCATGGCGTTGACGGTGGCGGCGGCACCTTGGGAGTAACCTTGGAGGATGAAGCACATATTGGGGTTTGCGCGGAGGGAAGAGGTGACCTTGTTGACAATNCTATGATGACACAGTTAGAACATTGGTATACTTTCAGTGATTGGGGAACGACATACGTCTGCGGTACCGAGAGCAGAGTTCTGATCGGCGGCAGCCAGGTAGACAGTGTTGTAAACAGTGCCACCAGGGACCTGAGAAAGAGTCTGCTGGTTCATAGTTCTGAAACCGGAAGAGGGGCCCTGCAGTTCACCAGTACCACGGGTCGAGATGATGGTGTATTGGGAGCAAGCAGCACGCTTCTCCATCTCGATGGGGCTGGCAATGGCACCTGCAGCGAGGCAGACGCTGAGCAAAGCACCCTTAAGGCTGATATCCGAAAACATGGTGATGAATGAAAGTGTTGATGAAAAGATATCGTTTCAATCGTTTTAATAGCGAATGTTGGGAGTGTTTAGATTGAATGATCTGGAGACTGAGGGGATGGCAAGGCCTTCTTTATAACCAAGTCTTAAGGCGGACCTTGTGATGCACCCACCTACCTCTGTCGCGGAGCTAAATGAGTATGCCAATACTGGCGAGGCCCATGATTCAGAGGCTCGTTGGACCGACCTGCTCATACCTCCACAGAATAGGCCTTGGCTCGAAGACCGGTTTTCCAGCTATACCCTGTAGTCACCATGATCATCCTTTGCCATCCATGACTAGTGCTTGGGACAACTCTAAAGTCGGTTTCAAGCTGCTGCACGTCGAAGCAATCGAAGGTATTCGGCGTGGGCCAAGCGTGAACGAGTGAAGTTTGATCCTCGGCTTGAGGCAGAAAAGGCGTCTGCCAAGTCAAAGCTTTTAGGCGAGCGTCGATTATCAAAGCCACAACCCGTTTCATCTCCGCACAACCGGAAGATCAGTGTCGCACATACGTGCCATCGGGCACGTCGGGGTGGAATACACGCATAATCGACACCTGCCAAGGCTCGAGCTCTAAGACCCCCTGTGTCAATCAAGGAATTGAGTTGTGTCTGACCGAAGTGGACCGTGAACGACCTGTGTCTTTTTCAGCCGCGAGAGCGAACACCCTTCTGTATTTCTTCAGCCGGCGAGCATTGATGACACACCTTCGCTTAAGCACGTCAAGTTGTTCTGAAACACTCCACTCATGGGGGCTGCTAAGAGTCAAGAAACCGAGGCACTCGAGAGACCGAGGAAGGAAGACACATCTTTCTGTCTTGATAGGGTAGAAAGACTTGTTTGCCATGTTTCGTATCGCGAGGGCATGGGAATTGAAAAGTCAAACCGCCATGCCCAGTCAAGAAACACACTCGTGTTCAAAGCCCGGAAAGTTCAGTAAGGAGGATTCTTCTGGTGTTTCATGTTATAACTTCCTGCTCTTGATGCCGTTGTATGCCATGCCCTATAACGTGCCCTGTGATACTTTCGATGATCTGCGTGAGGCACTTCGCAATCGGCAAAGCAGGCAGATCACTATTGCTCCTATATCGGGTCGGTCCCATATACCTCGATGAGGGCTATACTTTTCGTATGCGTGACTCATGGCCACAGTGGTAATGAGGCGAGACCGGCGAACGTGACGGAAGCAAACGTGGATGTGCAGGCAGCTACAAGAATTCGCTTGCATGTTCCAAAACAGCGTGGCGGGCGGACTATCCTTTCTGCCCTTGGTGGGTCGGCGAGGATGCCTCTTTTGGTGTGGTGCGATGGGAGGTTCGATCAATGCATAGTCCGCGCGATGAATGACGAATGGAAGGACATAGGACGAGCATGAACACGGGTTTGCAGAAAGGTAGGTAGTCAATGTCGTTTCACAAGATCACAAGGGCAAGGACCGCAAAGCAAGTACATGGCAGAGGCAAGCCACGTGCGGGAAACCCGTCGGGAAGGAACGATCCAGATTAAGAAAGAGTACAAGTATAGATTGTAGCAGATACATACGATATGCAACCATCACTCAAGCAGGAATTCAGATAGATTGCACATCAAGAGATCCAAATTGGATCTTCGGACAAGGATAGTGGTGTGCTGAGGCTCAGACTCGGACGAATCACAAAAGGCTTCTGGATTATTGAACCTCGGTCCTTGGCTACTTTGATGCAGAGAACGAAACATGGATCATGGATGTTTGTAATAGCCCATGACACGCAAACACAAAACAACACCCGGCAAAAAAACTCCTTGTCTGCATGCTTGCTTGTCCCTCTCCTGGAATCAGGGAATCTCCAAAAAACGCCGGAAGAAGAAAAGAAGAACCCCCCTCTCAAGGCTAAACTCCACAGAATTTTACCTGATGCCATCAGTCCTGCCATCTTTGTCCTCGGACTCTGGCGCAGCAGTGGGTCCACTGAGATAAGTTTCCTTCTCAGCATCCTCATACTCTCGCACCAGATCCATGACTACTTCTCTTGCATCGTCGAACTCTCCAAGACCATCTCTGAATGCATCTTCCCTTTTGTATTGTTCCAGGAAGGCGTTGCGCTTACGGAGGCGATCGTATTGGAAGACGATGCGCTTGAATAAAGTCGCAATGCCCGTGTGGTTTGCTAACATCAGGCCGGAGACGCGAGGAGTGTGCGGGCCGGTAGTGTAGGGAGAGGTGCGGGTGAGAGCGACTTGAATCGAGGCCGGGCCCCATGGGATGAAGGTAGCGAGGCGGCGTTCGCGGATACGAAGGAGAGATTTGTGAACNCTGTAAAGAGTTGCTATCAGCGTCTGTTGGAGACATTCGGCAGGAGGATGGTAACTCACATCAGTGGGGTCTGCTTCGCCCATGATGATGTTCAGGATACTGATGTAGCAGCTGTTCTTGGAAGGGTTGGAGCTGACCATCCTGTTCTTCGGCTGCAGCAGTCTGCGCATGACTTCGAGTACAGTGGTTCTGCGGACAGTCTTTGCGGCTTCGACGTTCTCGCCTGTGAAGGGGGTGTAGCTGGTCTGCAGGAAGTGGCAGCGGGGCGTGGGGATCAGAGATGCGACGATGCCGACGAGGTCGTTGTGCATGTAGCCAGGGTAGCGCAAAGTTGTTGTCGAGGCACTCATGACGGTGCTGACGAGTTGGTTGGTTTGTTGGAACGAAGGTGCTTGGACGTGCAGAGTGTCTGCTGCAATGCGTGACAGGGCGCCATTGTCGAGGACGATGACACTGTCGGCGTGCTGTGTGAGTCTCTTCATGGACAGTAGCGAGTTGTAAGGCTGCACAACGACATCTCCTGATTGTAGCGTGTCGGGGAAGACGGAGTATGTCTGGATGAGTTTCTTGGGGAAGCGGTCGTTGAGTCGTTCCAGCAGGTATGAACCCAGACCTGAACCTGTACCACCTGCGATTGAGTGCAGCAGCATGAAGCCCTCGAGACTGTCGGAACCATCTGCCTCGCGATCGATCATGTCCAGAACCTCCTCTTGCACAGTCTCGCCCATGGAATAGCCAGCAGCCCAGTTGTTTCCAGCTCCGGTGCCGCCGCTGTGGATGTAGAAGTTTTCGGGGTTGTAGATATTCTTGTACGGGCCCGTTTGGATTCCATTGAGGACCTGTGTCCTGTTCAGCACCTTCGTTGTTAGAGGGTCGAGTAATCATACTCTGGGTTCGAGGTCCATCAGAATGGCGCGTGGGATGTAGCGCGTGTCGTCGGACTGGTAGAAGAAGACATCCTTGCGGTCTCCGCCTTCGGTCGCAAAGTCCTCGAGGTTGCCGTCGCGATTGATGCCGTGTTCCTGGCAGAGTTGTTGCCAGAATTGTGAACCCACTNNGCACTCGAAGCGTGAGTCGGCGCATGTGAAAGCTGCTAGGGGACTGCCCTTACCGCTATTGCCGCATTGGCCTGCTTGGAGCGTGATGATTTCTCTAAATTACCATCAACATCAGTCCTGAATTTATTCAATCATTCTGGTCAAGAGACATGACAAACCTCGGCATGGCTGCGTTGGGGCATGGCAAGGAAAAGGTCGTGGTTTGCGGCGGCCAAGCTCAAGCCTGGGAGACGCGCCCGATCGCGTTGTCCGACAACAGCTTCAACCCCGTCACTTATTGACCTCAGTAGACCCTGACTAACAATAAGATAAATTTCTTGAATTATCGGCTAATGTCCAGGGAAGAAGAAAAAGAACTAACAATCGCTAATCTCTGTCCTGTACGCGATCCATTCTACCCGCTGCCTGTTCAAAAACACATTTGCACGTCATATCGCTATTGCTACACATTATGGGATAGTACTGCCACGCGACCGCCTCTCAATCTACGAGTTGAGCTGTACGTAGTTGCCTGTAATGAATGTCAGAACATCTCTCGAAAAGTCCAGCTGTCGAATACACTTACCGGGGAATTGTCCTTGTCTTGCACCAATCTTTCCAATCCACCATTCATTCTCGTTGGCCGTACGTTGCACAATCTCAATTGTCTCGCCAGCGCTGAAACTAAGGTCGCCTTCTGCTTGAGCTTCGTAATCGTACAGTGCCGAACACGTTTCTGCCTGAGGCACCCCACTAAATCTCGATGGCTTGGGCTTTGGTGGCGGGGGCTTGCTCTTTGCGATCGAAGACATGCGCGCGAGCCCACCGGTTGTCGATCCAGTAGCTGAGTAAGGTGGAGGAGACGTCGGGTTCCCGTCGGTGATCGACAGCTGAGCAGTAGACGACTCAAGAGCAGGAGCTGTGGTCTTGGTCTTGCCCTCGATGGCCAATCTGCCGGCGCCGTACTTGCTTCCAGCAGGTCGACCCAGACCTTTGGTCTTGAAGTGTACAATAGTCAGAGCCTCGGCCTTTTCTTGAATATCTCCGCGCTTTTCCTCAAAGGCTGCCTCGATGTCCAGGGTCAAGTTGAAGTAGCCAATATCAATGCTCTGCATGCGCTCGTGCAACGTGTAAAAGACGTTCAGCTGCATGTAGTAGAATGATTGGAACAAGGGAAGGATGAATTCGCGCTCAAGGCGGAACAGCTCGGGCAGCTCATTCTTGAGCAGGTCGTTGAAGTAGTTGTAGTCCTGGGTCGAGACCTCGACTTCGTTCTCTGCCTTGTACAGGGCCTTTTCGTCCTTAAGCGTCTTGTCCTTCTTGTCCTGTAGCTTCTTGAGAGTAGCTCGGTGACGATCGTAGTCGAGCTGTTTGTGGTCACGCTTGACTGCAGATTTGCGGACCTGCTTGATGATCTCGAGGAGCTCGTCGGCGGGTTTTACGATGCGAGACTCGATCATCTCCAGTTCAGGTTGCAGCGAAGCCTTCAAGTCTTTCACAATGGCCTCGTACTCCTCGCAAGCGCGGATGCCCTCGGGATTGCCGTCGACGACGTAGGAGGTTGGGTCTGAAGCACGACCAGAAATGGGCTTATACAAGTCGGCGCAAGCTTTTGAGAATTCGATCTGGTGGTCGAGCATGCCGTTGATGGACTTGAAGTACTTTTCGGACTCATCGTGCAGACGTTTAGTCTCGGTCTCGAGCTCTGAGAAGCGACGTTCGGCGTCAACATAGATGGGATCCTTTGTGATTTCACCCATGTTGAACTTTTGCTTGAACTGCTGAGGAGCNCTGGAAGAGAGTCAGCGTTGGACTGGCGCATGTGATGGCAGAGTACGTACGCGGGTGACGCTCTTGGTGAAGCCTTTCCAACTCATTCTGGCGGTGTTTGCAGTCGGTCAGGCCGGATTGACAGAGGTTGAGGTAGAGCTGTATGATAGTAGGAGTAGGAGGGCGAAGAGAGCTGAATGTAGATTGAGAGAATGGCAATGGGGCTGCTGTCCGTCTTGGCTCGTAGATTCGCAGCGTCGATCTTGTCGGGGCTGGAGTGCAGGCTGTGGCTGTGGCTGTGGCTGATGCTGATGATGCGGGATTGTTTATAGTATGCACAAAGCCGGTTGCTGCAGTTGCATGTGCTACCTGTGCTGTAAGAGATGCGTGTATAGAGAAGAGAGGATCAAGATTGCAAGGCAGAAGAGATGTCCAAGGTCAGGACTCAGTTGGGTGCCTACGTCTTCGGCCTCGCTCATCCGGCCGCATCATCCCAAAAACGTTCGTCGTCCAGCCTTGGCATTTTGCGCCGGCTACGTCAATGGACCCCTCGGAACTTTCAACAACTAGAAGGGTCGCTCCTTCCAATTCCTTCTCTCGGCCGAGCATCTGTTAAAGCCGACTTTACTCAGCAGCGACGCCAAGCCTCTGACAGTCGAGCTTCGGTCCAAAAGTCGCATCTGGAGTGACATCTGCTGATAGACACATTTGCCCTCACTCGACACACCTGAGATTATAATGTCGTCCTCGTTCCCCTCTGTCGCAAGGCAGGCCCTCCACCAGTCTTCCAGACGACTCTCGACTTCCTACCGCCCTCGCCTTCTCTCGTCCCGCATCGCCGCCACTCGCTCATATGTCTCCGAAAGCTCGCCGCGAAACGCCACTATCAATGTCGAGTCGACCATCAAGGCCGACCAGAAGGCCTTCCTCGCTGAGACTGGAATCAAGCCAAAGGATGCCACCATGCCTGCCACTGGCATGAGCGCCGAAGCCATGATGAGCCCTGCCGCCGGTATCCTCAAGCAAGCAACCGTCATGGACCAAGGCTCTCGTCCCATCTACCTCGATGCTCAAGCCACAACTCCTACCGACCCCAGAGTCTTGGATGCCATGCTCCCCTACTTCACTGGTCTTTACGGCAACCCCCATTCGCGAACCCACGCCTACGGTTGGGAAACAGACAAGGCTGTTGAGCAAGCCAGAGCACACATTGCAGAACTCGTCGGCGCAGACCCCAAGGAGATCATCTTCACATCAGGCGCCACTGAATCCAACAACATGAGCATCAAGGGTGTCGCCCGCTTCTTCAAGCGCGGCGGCAAGAAGAACCACATCATTACCTGCCAGACCGAGCATAAGTGTGTTCTCGACAGCTGTCGCCACTTGCAAGACGAAGGTTTTGAGGTCACATACTTGCCCGTTCAGTCAGATGGCAGAATTGACATGAAGGAGCTGGAAGCCGCCATGCGCCCCGATACCATGCTTGTCTCCATCATGGCTGTCAACAACGAGATTGGTGTTGTTCAGCCTCTTGAGGAAATTGGCAACTTGTGCAGATCCAAGAAAATCTTCTTCCACACCGATGCTGCTCAGGCCGTAGGCAAGATCCCTCTCGATGTCAACAAGCTCAAGGTTGATCTCATGTCCATCTCTGGTCACAAGCTCTACGGCCCCAAGGGTATTGGTGCTTGCTACGTTCGCAGAAGACCTCGTGTCAGAATCGACCCCATCATCAGTGGTGGTGGTCAGGAGAGAGGTTTGAGAAGTGGAACCATTGCTCCTCCTCTCGTCATTGGTTTCGGTGAGGCTGCAAGAATTGCAAAGGAAGAGATGGAGGTAAGTCAAGCATTGCTCAGTTTTCTTTGGCGTATTTCATACTAATTTTCGTTACAACAGTACGACACCAAGCGCATTGCTGCTTTGTCCAAGAAGCTGAGCGACGGTCTTCTCTCCATGGAACACACCACTCTCAACGGATCCCCCGAATTCCACTACCCTGGCTGCGTCAACGTCTCTTTCGCCTACGTCGAAGGTGAATCTCTTCTCATGGCTCTCAAGGATATCGCTCTGTCTTCCGGTTCCGCTTGCACATCCGCCTCCCTCGAACCCTCATATGTCCTCCGTGCTCTTGGAAGCAGTGACGAGAGTGCTCATAGCAGTATTCGTTTCGGTATTGGTCGCTTCACCACCGATGCCGAAATCGACTACGTGCTCAAGGCTGTGCAAGAACGTGTTGCTTTCTTGCGTGAATTGAGTCCTTTGTGGGAGCTGGTCCAAGAAGGCGTTGATCTCAACACCATCGAGTGGAGCGGTCACTAAGCCTTACGAGAAGAACAGATTGTACAGGTCATCAAAAATTTGAGTAGGGCGTTGAGCATTTTGGTTCTGGACTTTTTTTTCTTTGGGAAGATGATGTGAGCAGGAGCGAGAGGAGAGCATACCCGACATGATATACATTATTTCTTTTCTTGTACTTTTAAAATCCGACATTACGAACCCATTATTCCCACATGTCGGAGTGCCTTTGAGAGCGAGAGGGAGTGTTTTGAGCACTGTTGTGATTTCTTTTCTTGTTTTTGGTTTGTCAGTTAAACAACCACTTGTGTTCGATTGCGCAGGGGTTAAAAGGACCAGGGTGACACTAACCACCTACTTGGAATATCAAGTTTCCGATCTCACAACACTTGGATGGATGTCACCGATTAATACTAAGTGTTCTTAGATTTTGTTGTTAGTGACTTGGAGAGATGGATGGGTGCTGGTATATATAGCTAATGTCTTCTAGATATAAATCCTTAAGATTGGAATGCTGTCTACAAGCTTTGTATAATCGGTAAGGCAATAAGCAACACGTGCAAGTATAAAGTCGCAAACAGAAGAAGATCTCAGTGGATTTTTATGTATTCTATCAAGAATTTATGTTCATTACACTTTGAATCACCGAGAGACCTCTCAAGACCGTCTCACACCAGCGATGTGCGGCTGGGAAACAGATTCATCCTAAAGCTATGGTGGTTCTGCTCCTTGGCCTTTGCGTCTTCTTCTGGTCTTGTCATTTGTGCATTGCTACAATTTGATACGTGGTCGAGTTGTTTACAGAAACAGCTGTATTTGCATCGAAATCTATATGTAGAGTATGCCTATACTCAAGAAATGCGCCCCAATGCCCCTACGAAAAACGCCTTGAAAGTCCAAGATGCAACAACCTTGCTTCTAACTCAAATCAAACCCAGCGCCAGAGTTGACGGCATACAACAACTTCTCCCTCAACATCTCTTTACTCTTAAACCTCGGCAACTTCAAAAGATTGATACACGTGCTCGCAGTAGGGAACCTATGTTCATCATCCCCCGAATCCCTAATCGTAAACCTAGGATTCAGCGATCCAAAGCCAAGCAACGGAGCCCTCGGCGTCGAAGTCACAAACTTTAGAACTTTGCGTTTTTCGGCGTCGGGGAGTTCGAGCATGGTTGCCCAGAAGAGTTGGACGGAGGGNTGTTCTTGGCCGTCGTCGCCGATTGCGTAGACGCCGTTGTAGTAGGTGTTGGCACGGAGGTCGGCGATATCGATGTTGGATGCGGCACCACCGATGAGGGTTTGGAGTTCCTTTTGGTTGAACATGTTGAGCCAGCTTGGTTGGATGATACTGGAGAGGCCGGTGAGGAAGGCGTCGGTTTGAAGTTTTGATTGCAGGGCAAGACGGTAGTGGGCGACTTTCGAGATATAGATTAGACGGTTGCTTCGATTGACAAGGGTGTTTGCGCCGTTGGTCGTGAGTTCGTACTCGATGGTCTTTGACTGGCCGTTGGGGAGTTCAACTGTGCTGTTGACGGCAAAGTACGTGCCCCATTCGGCAACATCGCCAGGATAGTGCTTCAAGCTCATCAGTCCTTGGTACAGTTCCTCGTCAAGATCACGCAGATCGTTGACTGAAGCTTTGTAACTAGACTCTCTTGATGCGGCACCTCGACCGCCAAACAGAGCCCACTTCGTAAGGAAGAAGCTGGCAAAATTAATGTCGATGAGAATGCCTTCGTATAGACATTTACCAACAACGCGGCCCAGGAACTCATAACGATGCAAGAGATCTTTCACAGAATCGCGATGCTCCTCCATGTCATCAGGATATCCAGACTGCCGCAGCATCTCTTTGTGTGCTTCAACACTGGTCGGGTTAGGGTACAAGGAGTGTTGGCTGTTTTCGGTGAACAAGAGCTTCTCAGGATTGAAAGCTTCCGTGGTGATACTGGTCAAGAATTCCTTGGTAACACCTCCACCATCAATACCAGCTTCCTGCAGACCAAACTCGTCCAAGAAAGTAATCTGGATTGGCTCCTTCAAGCCATCACCAAGGCTGTAAAACTGCCTGAATGCGTCCTCAAACTCATTCTTGCGGCGAATGCTTGCATGATGCCGTCCAAGCTCGGAATCTTGACCACCAGCCGATGCAAATGCGATCCTATGCCGCCAGAGATCTGGGTCTGTGTGTCCACCTCTTCGAGACATCATGTCCAAGCGGACGAACTCGCGAAAGATTTGAATTCTTGTCTCGAAGGGTATCATGAAGGGCATGTTTTGTAGAATCTCCAGACGAGGAGCAACGGATTGCAGATATCGTACTCTACTGTCGTATCGATTGTTGCGTTGATAATTTCGCTGTGAACGTGTCATGGAGATGAACTCGGCCTCGTCCCACTCTGCATCGGGTCCATCATCTTCGCCATCCTCGTCAGCCTGTCGTTGTAACTGTTGTCGTCGTTCGTCTTCACCGACTACGGCTGATATGAAATTAGCCATATCAAGTCGAGATGTCATCAGCCAGTGTCCTTTTGGCAGGAAGTTTCTCCTCGAGTCTCGCTCATATATAGAACGAAGCAGACCGGTGACCAGACCCTTCACATAGTCAAGACTCATACCAACAGTACCTGCCACTGAGATAGTCTGTGGATGCGCTTCGGGCTTTGATTCAACAGCGTCTGTATGACCACCAAAATGTCGACTCAGATTGGCGGTGCTCAGAGGTTCGAGGCTTGTTTCGAAAGAATCTGTAATCTCTTGAGAGTTGAAGTACATGGCAAATCCCATATTCTTCAAGAAGACAGTCAGATCTTTCAGGTCGTCTATAGGAAGCGCATTGGTGTTGTCCCGTAGACTTGCGCCCGAGTTTGCCCCAAGAAACTCTTCATCGTCCATGATCTTGAGTAAGAATGTGAACATTTCAAGGAAAATGAGAATGACACGCCATTCTTCATTTCGCTTGGATTGCTCTGCTTCATATCCTGGTGGCTTCCAAGCAGAGACAGAGGACTTTGGGGCTTTCAANAGGTCGACAGCTGCGCGAGGGTCTTTGTGAATACTTGCAAAGATGGATGTCGAGCGCATGCCCTTCCAGAAGTAAGAAATAGCAGGCACGGTGTCTTCTCTGTAAGCCTGATCTAAGGGGCCGACATAAAGCCACATCCGAATGTCATCAGCACGTAGAGGGAAGATGCGCAGTAGTATTAGGGCATAGCTAGCCAGAAGTTGCGAATCCGATGCATCATCCAGCATTGATGTCTCTGACGTCGCAAGCGGCCTCGGAACCAAAGAACTGATTGCATCTCTATCGACCAAGCGGGAGAGCTGATCTCTTAGGAAGCGGTTGAGATGGACACGGGCAGGATTTGTGGCGAGTACTAGACGATCGTAGTCTTTGTTGGTCATGTCCAGAGCAGGGGCTTCTGGAGCGATGACTTCGGCCAAGGAAGAGAGAAGGTTCGCAACAACGGGCACATAAACCGAGGCGAGTACCTTGTCCTGCTTGAGATATATAAACTGGCCAAGAAGCCATAGACGGCGTCTTGTGTCCAGTGTCGTAGCTGAAGATAGATTTGAGATGGCCTGAGCCAGTTTGTGGAAGTCGACTACAGAGGTAAAGTAGTCAAGAGTGGGTTTCTCGAGAGGAGTGGTAAGGTAGGCGGCGGCGAAGCCTTCGTAGGCAGCGGGAAGATGCGAGCTGAGAGGAGCTGCTACAGCTTGTTGGAAGTTCGGAAGTGATTGATCCAATTTGGAGAGGGTAGTGTAATGGTCGTTTGAGATTATGGCTGTCTCGTGTGGTATGGTGGTGGCCAGGAAGGTCAAGATGGCCAGCAGATCATTGACGTGGTGAGGCTTCGGCTGCCGTAAGGCATCCAGGCAGGCCTTCTCCAAGCGGAGGTGGTATTTCGAGGCAGTCGTGTCGAGCGAGTGCTCAGAGACGAAAGAGATGAGGCGCTGGACATCGCTGTCGTTGGAGGGCGAGAAGAACAGCAGGAGAGCGTTCAAGCGTTGTATGGAATCCAGGTTCGTAGGGTCTTGGGCATCCCACTGCTTGCGCCATCCATCTCTTGTCTTGGTGCTAGAAGTGTGACCTCTCCAGACTCTTTGTATCGTCTTAGCGGCACTCAGCTCTTGTCTTTGCTTCTGTCGTTGTTGGCGGTCTTGGTGGGCGTTCTGTACGGCCGTCTGTGGACCGCCAAAGGGGTTGCTGGCGGCAAAGGGGTTCGCGTTCTTGCCCGAGAGGTTGACCTGGCGTGGTCTGCGCGATGCTCCGGTGAATGACTGGTACATGGCCTCTCTGCTGCTTTGTCGTTGGTCGAGCTGGTCCGGGAATGACTGTAAAAGGACGGCGATTGCTAGATTAGTCCCAAGAGATCAGACCAAAGCAGAACATTCTCGAAGCAAGATGTAGAGAGTGTCGGGCTTCAAAAGTGATGGCTGTTGCAAGACGCCGTCGCCGCCAAACACACCCAAGCACCGGATTATCAATGTACAACCAAGACGTCACTTGCACATGACTCGCGACACTTTCCACCGCCTCGTATTCTCCAATATCACTCTGTAACCCTCTACTCTATTCCTCAATCATACAGCATTGACATTGAGAAAATGCATTGATTCCATCCTTCAAAGAGCAGCCACGTTCGAGCTTGCTGCTGATAGGTCCCTCGGTCGCTCCTTCTCGCTTCTGCCTTGTGCATCAAATATCGACGCCAAGCTGTCGCATATCAGCCTCAGATATGGCCTAGAAGCACGCCCTCGTGACAAGCCTATCGCTCACATATGCACTCATCCGTTATTCATATAATTAGCTTACCTCTGCCATGGCAGACCGTACCTCATTCGATTCTAGTCACCAAGACAATGATGAATCCGAGATGGCCCCTCTCAATCCAACAACCACAACTGTTGTAGACCTGAACTCGCCAGTCGCTCGAGCAGCACTGAACTATTCAAACCAGCCGTACAAGTTGTACAAAAGACGTTTTCTTGGTCTTTTCGTCCTTGTTATGCTCAATATTATTGTCAGTTGGGATGTGCGTTGATTCCTTCGTCAAGACTTCTTCTACCTGGCTGATAGCCCACAGTGGTTAACCTTCTCGGCCGTATCCAGCACTGCCGCCCAATTCTTCAACGTATCAGAAAGTGCTATCAACTGGCTCAGTACTGGCTTTCTATTTGCCTTCGTTGTTGCATCTCCGTAAGTCTCTTTGATAATCTCTGAACATCAAGTGGCTCCAAGCAAACATGAGCTAGCTCCACACTGGACTTTTGCTACCCCCCGAGTGCTAGAGGATGAACTTCCATTATGCTCTGACCACACTAGAGAGTAAAGTATACGCTGATGAAATGCACAATACTATTAGAAATGGGATAGTGTCCACTGAGAAGCGATCTCTCATCAGCTCTCTTTGGACATATCCTTATTTCTAGATAGAATTGTGCATTTTTATAGCCACACGCGTTACAGACTTTCGCACACGGGGAGGTGGTGAGTGGCCATGTTCTTTTGAGGCTGCGACTGACATCCTGCCCGTAGATTCACTATATGGGCTCTGCACAGAGGCCCCAAGACATCGATCGTTATCTCTGCCTTGTTGCTATTCATAGGCAATTGGATCCGATATGCTGGATCTCGAGCCGGCTCACATGGCAACTTTCCAGTTGTGGTTCTAGGCCAGATCATCATAGGCTTTGCACAACCCTTCGTTCTGGCCGCGCCAACCCGCTACAGTGACCTCTGGTTTCCTGAAACTGGTTTCTTTGGTCGTGTCTCTGCCACAGCCATTGCCTCGCTGGCCAATCCTCTTGGGGGTGCTCTTGGCCAGCTCATTGGTCCTCTCTGGGCGACTACTCCAGAAGATGTTCCCAATATGGTTCTTTACACAGCGATCGTTGTAAGTTGAGGAACGATCGAGTTCGTTCAAAGATCCTGACATGTTTCAGNNTCCTGCGTAGCATGTTTACCTGCTTTTTTCATTCCTTCAAAACCACCGACACCTCCTTCTCCCGCCGGAAACACCAAGAAGCTTGACATAACTGGCTCGATGGAGCTGCTGAAAGGCAACAAGGCTTTCATGCTGGTCTTCGTCGCTTTCGGAGTCTACGTCGGCTTCTTCAACGCTGTGTCAAGTCTCATCAACCAGATATTCGAGCCATATGGATTTACAGAGACAGACGCCGGCATAGCAGGTGCTATTTTGATTTTTGTTGGTCTGGGAGCTTCAGCAATCGTTTCGCCATTCGTCGATCGCACGAAACAGTATCTTCCAACAATGAAGTTGTTGGTCCCGCTGATAGCAATTGGTTATCTGCTACTAATATTCATGCCGGAAACACGCACAGTAGCAGGACCGTATGTTACTTGTGCGATACTAGGAGCAGCTTCATTCTCTTTGCTGCCCTGTGCACTCGAGTACCTGGTCGAAATCACACATCCCGCCAGTCCAGAAGTCAGTAGTACGATATGTTGGGCAGGCGGTCAATTGCTTGGTGCCATCTTCATTCTCGTCATGGATGCATTGAAGGGCGGTATTTCTGGCCAGCCTAAGGGCTCTATGAAAACAGCACTTATATTTGAGGCTGTGGTTAGCTGTCTGGCTGTTCCTTGTGTGTTTGCGTTGGGTTTCTTGGACAGAAACAGTATTGGTTTGGGTCGTAGAGGTGCTGAGAATGCTGTAGATGGTACGGTTGAGGAAAGCTAGGGCCTCACGCCTTTGTAGTTGTTTCAACGCCCCGTGTCGTCATATTGAGAAACAGGAGGTGTAGGTGAATGGCAGTAAACATACGAGGCTTCTATCCCATATACTGGATCTCCAATCTGCATAGTTTTCTTTTGATGATACTGCAAAAATACATAGAAGTCTACGATTCTGGAAGAGGGTCCATTGAGAGACTGCAACGGGGAGTAATCTCACTGGAAATTGATCAAGTTTCGAACACGATTGTGCATTTTGATGGCTGTTATAGTATTTGCCCACTATGGGCTCGGAGACAGGTAAGAATGGCTAGTCCTAGGTTCTATCCAAGGAAAGGCCAAAGGGTCATAAAATACTCTTTGCTCATTCTGGCAAAACGACTAGCAAGATAAATCATCATCCATTACCGAGCAACTCCGCCTCTGCAAGTCCCCTAACCACCCCTAAGCAATCTAGACCTGTACCCTATTTGCCCCAATCGANTCAAACAACCTCTTAAACCCTTCTTCCATCACATCATCATCCTGTGCGAAAATGATTCGAAACCATCCCGCTTGCTCTGATTGCAGCAACGAGCCTTTTGTGATGTAAACCCCGGTTTCTAGCATTTTGGTTGCGAGTGCTTCTTCTGCTGCCCATTCGTCTTTGTAGGCGGTTAGGTCGAGGAAAGGGTGGAAGTTGACCNNTGCAAACGTATTAGCTGGTTTGTGTTTACTCTGTAATTGACGAAAAGGCGAGAAAGAAAGAGGAAGAAGGTTGTTAGGATATCCACTCACCCAGACGAAAAACCCAGCATTAGATCCTGGAGAGTACTCTATGCCGTAACCATCAAGAATGCTTGTGCACTTCTCATACCTCTCTTTCAATACTCTCTTGCTCGTGTCAAAAAACCCAGCTTTCCACTCTTCGTCTTCCAGCATTTGTGTAGCGAAAAGTTGCGCTAACGGACCACTCCAATTAAACTGCGACACTGCTGATACAGCATCCATTAACGCCTTGTTGCGGCTATACAAACAACCCAACCTTAAACCTCCAGCGGCAAAATCTTTACTCATGCCGTAAACAACGTGTAAATATTCTGGGGATATGTAGGGTGTGGTATCAAAGGAAAGGACAGACGTAAATGGTGTTGAAGAAGGCTTGAAGACAGAGAGAGCGTAGACTTCATCGGCAAGAAGGTGTATAGAGTATCTGTTGCAGAGTTGCATGAGTGCTTTGATAGTTTCCAGAGGATAGCAACGACCCAAAGGATTATGAGGGTTACAAAGCAGTAAAGCACGGATGAAAATTCCATTTTCTCTGGCTGCAAGTAATGCGGTCTCGTAATGTTGGATTGAAGCGACAGAGAACTGATTAGTGTTGCCAAAAGACACAAAAACACATTGAAGACCTGCTTTTGCGCCGAAATCTGCGGGAAATGCTTGGTAGCAGGGTCGTGAGATTAAGATGCCGTTGTTGGGTGAGGCTATTGCGTGGCCGAATGAGTCAAACAGAGAAGTAATTCCATTTGCGAAGACCAAGTCATCGGGTTGGATGCGAGAGAAAGGATGGAAGTAGTTGTTCATGTGGTTGGCCATTGCGGTGCGCAGACGCTTGCTTCCCCAGGGCCCTTCACCGTAGGTAAATGTACTGGTAGTTGTTTGTAGTTTGGTGTTGGCGAAGGCTGAAACTTCTTTTGTCATGATGTGCTGTGGATGTAGGTTAGAAGAGGTGGGAGATGGTTAGAGAGGTGCAATCCTCACGTTCTCGGCTGTGCCCATGTCGACGATGCCGTTGGGATTGTCCTTTGCGTGGTAGAGGTTGGAGAGGATCGGCTGCAGACGAGCTTTGAGACTGGTTTGCGCCATCGCTCTCCCTCGTTCTGAGAGTGTAGCTTCCGACATGATTAAGGGAGATAGTGCTGCCTGTGACAAGACACGGGAGAGTATGAAAACGATAGAGAACACCACCACGAAAGGATTGGGTCTAGAAGAAATATACGAAAAACATGTTATCGCCCGTATGCTGAGCAAAGGTAGAGCTGATTAAAGGTAGTATGAGATATAATGTTACCGTATCGTATAATAATTGAGGTGAAGTTGGCCCGGGTGTGTCAAAAGAGGGGGAAGATATATAAACCTACTCTGCGCCCTTGCATTGACAGCTGCCTGACGAGACTTGGATAACACCTAACCATACATGCATGCAACGGGTTGAAGCAACAGACGCTGATTGGTCTTGTTCTATCTCTACTCCAGGTATTGGTGGAAGATATGATCTGTGGCAGGCAGAAGGATAAAGTGAAGAAGGTCGACAGAAAGAGGCAGGTGCGCGTCATAAGGCGGTGAGGCAGTCGCAAGCCGAGTCAGGGCGCGCCATCGGAGCTTCAGAGACCGACGCTACTCGCGAAGGCGGAGACAAGAGCATGAGCAGCAGTCGCCAAAGCAATTCCCATCTGTGTCAGTCCCAGTTCTGCCTCTCTACTCTTTCGTAGTCCAAAGACATTCTACCCAAGCACACTCCTGCCATGCCGAAGCACGCTGTTCGATTTTTGTGTTAACCCCCTGACGACTGCTTTTTTCTGCCACTGCGTCTCTTGTCTCTTTGATCCCCGTCGCACTGCACCATCCACGCAACCGCCATGCCGCCGACCTCTGCCGTCAGAAAGGCCTCGATAGCCACCACCGATACAAACTCTGGCCGTCGTCAATCTGCTCGCCAACCGCGAACATCTACCTCGAGACCCATCAACTACTATGCCCGCACCTTTGGCCAACTCGACAACAATGATCACCAAGATCCCGATCCACCAGGCTTCTTTCCTGCTGTTCAGTATTTCGCTGACTCGATCGCTGCCCTTCCGCGTGAGGTTCAGCGTCATATCACTCTGATGAAAGAGGTCGAGGCCAAGGTCTACGGTCCTACAGAAGCCTTGAAGTTTCTAACGTCTAGCATCCTGAACAAGCCCGCTCCTCTCTCCCGCAACCAGCCCTCCTCTCCACGTCTGCTATCCTTCACCGCCCCTCCCAGCGCCACGGCCAGTCTGGCTGGTTCTGTCGTCAACGGAAACCAGCCTCTCACCTTCGACCAGCGCGTTCAAGACGACCTCGAGTCGCAACAAGACGAACAAGCCGATCATGCAAGACGCTCTGAATTTCAGTCCCTTCGTCATGTCATCGGTAACATGATCACCAACCTTGACGAAAAGAACGTCGTCATGGCAGAAGCCAACCGTGCACTCGCCCAACAGCTCGCTCGTCTCGACAGCGTCATGCCCCACATTGAGAACGAGATCAGCGAAGAGTCACGTCTGGGTAGTTTGACACACTGGGCCTACCAGGACAATCGCGCTAAGAAACAAACGACAACTTCACAAAATGAGCGCAACAGAAGAGACGTCGCTGCCACGAGCAGTCTTGCCGCTGCCGCAGCTGCTGTCCACGACCAAGACATTGCCGCAGCAAGAGGAGAAGCAAGACGCGAAATCAAGAAGACAAACCGTGCTCAAGCCATGGATTCAGACTTTGACGACCGTCCGACAAAGAGAGCGCAAACCGGAAAGTCGCGAAAGAATGCTGATGCGGAGTCAAAAGCTAGCGGGCTAGGAATTGCCAATGGCACAGCCAATGCGGCTACAACAAAGAGAAGAAAGGTCGAGAAGGCTCCTGCTACTGCTGGTGCACCAGCCATGGAGCGTTCGGCAAGCGGGATGAGCACCGTGGCCAAAGCTGCGAGAGGAGCTGGTAACACAACACCAAGGTCGACACCAGCAGTCGAGACGACGAAANAGAAAGGAAAACCAGGACCCGCTCCTGGTACTGGCGCTGGAAAGAAGAGGTATACACAATTGTAACCCCCAGGTGTGTACACCAGCTAATCCGATCGACNNAGAAACACCGCCCTCAACCAGATCACAAACTCACCAAGATTACCCAACTCCTCACCCGTACTTGGGAATGCACAACTACAACCCGAAACCATCTCCAGACCTACTTCCTCTCGCATGCGGCAAAACTCGAATTCGAACTCGACATCGAATCTACAGCATTCGCTGCTTCCGGAGAAAGAAGTCAGTCGTCCAGCATCGGTCGCCGACAACAAATCTGTCAATGGCAGTACCAACGGACTTGTCGAGCCAATTGCACCTTCGGTCGCGTCAAGTAAAGAGGCCAAAGAGAGTGTTGAAGAGGTGGATGAAGACACGATGAACGTTGAANAAACGGAGAGCACTGGTCAGAAGCACCGACCGGAGTCTTTGAAGAACGAAGACGTGACGATGGAGGATGTCAATACGGATCCCCGACCAAGGCGCGGATCAATAACTTCGACTCCACGCACAGAAGCATTCCCTGATGTGGGCGTGTCACGAACTAGGGGTAGACACCTTCACAATGGACGCTCTCGTGGTAGCAACACACCGGACCATTCGGCATCGGGGCAAGATAGGAAGAGCAGAGGCAGACGCAAGAGCGGTAGCGGAGCTCACATCCTCAAACAAATTGCCAGCTTCAACCGTAGCCCAGATGCTGGAAGACGCCGCGACGAAAGCAAAGACTCTGAGATTTCAGAAGACGACGGACATGGACGATCATCAAGAAGAAGCCAACCCCCTCGCGTCACTACCGTGTCGAGAAACAGACGCGATCGTGGCAACGGGTCACGAGGAACGACGACGTCTCGACGAACAGAAGCATCTCAAGAAGTGGACGACGATGCAGCTGAAGTCGAGATGGAAGTTGAAGCTGAAGAGGTGGAACAAGCAGCAGATGAGGATGAAGGCGAAGAAGGCGAAGATGGCGACGAGCCCAAATATTGCTACTGTGGACAGGGCAGTTTCGGGGAGATGATTGCATGCGACAACGACGACTGCCCGATGGAATGGTTCCATCTTGGATGTACAGGGTTGCGAGCAGTACCAGGTGATAATGGTGAGTGCGATGATGTCTCTGTTTTAATGGCTTCACTGACACAATCGACAGTCAAATGGTTCTGCGATGTGTGCAAGGAACCCAAGGGCAAANAGGCCAAGATGATGGCCAACAGACATTGATGGGCATGACGAAGATGATTCAGTTGGGAACATGGCGTTCATAGAGAGGAGAGAGGATTGCATGGACAAGAGAGGTTGGATTCAATTTCTACGGCAGCACAGAAGTAGATATGTACATGACCCATGGAGGCTTCTCGCCGAATGATCTAGATCTAGATATGTTCTATGTGAAGGCGGTGAGAGTGACTTGAGTGGCTCTAGGAGCTGTCGGCGTCGGCAGGTGCGGGAGCATGACGCGTGCCTTCCGGGGCTTGGCTGGGCTTCGGCGGGCTGCTGTGGACACCAACTGCATCTCGCGGGGTGTGCTTGGATGCTTCAAGGAGTCGACCAACTAGTCAACTCTACGCTCCCACACAAACAAGACATCCAAGATGGCTGACGTGCCCATTGGTATGCGCGCAATTACTTTCTCTGCAGTCAAAGGCACGCGCTAACAGACAGTCAGTGCTCGATGGCGGAACGGGATTCCTCAAGGCTGGCTACGCCGGTCAGGTACGCCAACCACCATACATGCCCACCTACCGCTCAATCCATACTGAAACGTCGATGCTATACNAGAACTTCCCCGAGCAACAGTACCCATCCATCGTCGGTCGCCCAATTCTCCGTACCGAAGAGCAGGCTGGTCTAGATGTCCAGCTCAAGGACATCATGTGCGGTGACGAGGCCGCTGCTGCCAGATCCATGCTCCAAATCACCTATCCCGTACGCCGCATCCGACAACACCCCCGCTATGCCTGTAGATACTGATGCGACGCCATGCAGATGGAGAATGGTATCGTCAAGCGCTGGGACGACATGCAACATCTCTGGGACTACACCTTCTTCGAGAAGATGAAGGTTGACCCTACCGGCCGCAAGATCCTCCTCACCGAACCACCAATGAACCCCTTGAAGAACCGCGAGATGATGGCCGAAGTCATGTTTGAACGCTACAACTTTGGTGGTGTCTACGTCGCCATTCAAGCCGTGCTTGCCCTCTACGCTCAGGGTCTGTCATCTGGTGTTGTTGTGGACAGCGGTGATGGTGTCACCCATATCGTTCCCGTCTACGAAAGTACCGTCCTCAACCACCTCACCCGCAGACTCGATGTTGCTGGAAGAGATGTCACGCGCAACCTCATCTCCCTCCTGACCCGCCGCGGTTACGCCCTCAACAGAACCGCTGATTTCGAAACCGTCCGCGCCATCAAGGAGAAGCTCTGCTATGTTTCTTACGATCTCGCCCTCGACAAGCAACTTAGCGAAGACACCACTGTTCTTGTCGAGTCCTACACCCTTCCCGACGGTCGTGTCATTCGCGTTGGTTCCGAACGCTTCGAAGCTCCCGAATGTCTGTTCCAACCTCACCTTGTCGATGTCGAACAACCTGGTATCGCCGAATTCNTCTTCAACACCATCCAAGCTGCCGATGTCGATGTCAGATCAAGTCTGTACAAGGCCATTGTCTTGTCTGGTGGTAGCAGCATGTACCCTGGTCTTCCCAGCAGATTGGAAAAGGAACTCAAGCAACTTTGGCTCCACAAGGTCTTGCAAGGAAACCCCGAGAGATTGAGCGTGAGTAATGTTCAGCTCCCACTTGACATTCACACGGCTAATGAGAATTCAACAGNNAAATTCAAGGTCAGGATAGAAGACNCCCCGAGAAGAAGGCATATGGTCTTCTTGGGAGGTGCAGTCCTCGCAAACATTGTAAGTTTTGATTTTCTCTGTGTAGAGTCAGAGCACAGAATACTAACAAGTAATGTTCAGATGGCCGACAAGGAAAGCATGTGGATATCCAAGCAAGAGTGGCAAGAACAAGGTGCTCGCGCTCTGGACAAGCTGGGCGCTCGATGAACCAAGTCATGCATTTCCTACAAACTAACGAAATCCTCCAAATGCAAATACCAAACATCAGAAATATTCTGTGTATTTTCTCATGTCAGACTTTGACTTGTCGCACTCCATAAGCGTTTGGTCCTGTGTGACTTCTGTCGTTGAAGATCGGGTTGAAGGATTCATGACTGTGATTTGAATGAGGACGGATTTTGTCAAAAAAAAAAAAAACATGCATTGGACATTTTGAGAAGAAAAGTTGAAGTGTTCATGCATGGCTTTTGCATATTCTGTTTGATCCCTCTCTCTAGACTTCCGATAACATCCCACACAAACCATTACTAACCACATACCTAACCTCTCCTTTTCCACCCTGATAGCCAAAGAGTGCTTTTGCTTGATTTTGACTTTTACATTGCTGTTCTGCCTCCTCTCCTTCTTCTGTTTCCCCATCTTCTCCCTCCTGTTTTCCTTCTTCTGCATCTCCCTCTTGCTTTCCATCAATGCCATTCTGCTGTGGTGTGTTACCAACAGAAACAAGAAAGACATAACAAGATCCCTTTTCTTTACCCTCCGCTTGCCAAATACTCCAGAGACAGGAATTGCCTTTTTTGATGCAAGTCTCACAACAGAGGCTTGGTGTGAGCGTTTGGAGGGATTCTAGTTTTGTTTCTGGTTTTCTCTTGCCGTCCTTTGCATTGCCGTTGCCCAGTGCCAAAACACCCTCAACATCAACATCAACACCATTTATTAGTTTATTATCAAAAGTTTGAAACCCCAGATTGGACGTCGCACAAGCAGAGTAAGAAGTCAATGTTGTCGTTGCATGCAGGGTTTGCGTACAAGTTGTGGTGACAGTCCGTGTCCAAGTAAAGGAAATGGTGTAAGGGGTTTTTGTTATTGTTGTTTTGTTTGTTGAGAGGGAGGGTGGGAATAGGTAGGTTAAGGCCATAGATGCTAGAATTGGTGTTGATGGTGATGGCGAAGGTGTCGGGTGAAGTGTATCTCTGTCTCCTGCTTGAGATGATGCTTCTGCTGTTGCTAAAGTACTGCTGGAAGAAGAAGCAGATCCAGAAGAAGATCCTGAAGAAGAGCCAGATCCAGATCCAGAAACTAGAATTGTAGATGTAACAGTACCGTATACCGTTCTATTCTTGAATACGGTTTCTGGTCGCAACGTCACAGTAGCGGGTTTGCTTGCTGTAAGCAGCAACACTTCTGTCGTGTGGATTGCCACTTGGTTTTTGCATATCACTTCCACGGCGAAGAGTCCTGATGTCGGACGCGTCAGGAGTTTTAATTTTTGCTGTTGTTGGGATTTTGGCGTTTGGAGTGTGGATGTTTAGCCACTGCAGCAGCACTCCTCTTCTGCTTTNTTAGTTTCTGCCGAGGAAGAAGCAGAAGAAGCAGAAGAAGCAGAAGAAGCAGAAGCAACCCCATCTCTCACACCCACAAACCCAGTAGGTGCGGTTATCCACCTCGTCGTCCTGGTAGTCAACAGCCTAGTTTCCGTCGCAGTTTTTGTAGTCGTCTCATGTTCCCAATGCGTTTTGGTTCCAAACCTCGTCTCCGTAAGAAAGAAAGTCCCATTAACCGCTTGCACCTCTGTAGTCTTGGTTTTTGTAGCCAACACACTGAACAGCGTTGAAAAAGGCTTTGGCGTAATGGTGATGGTGGAAGAAGTATAGTTGTGCAGAACCACGGGAGAGAGTTCTAGGGTTTGGGGCAAGGAGATGGTGGAGGTGGCAAGAGGACCAGATATAGAAGTAGAGGAGTACAGGGTTGAGCAGAGTAGGGTTGTTGATGTGGTGAGGTGGGATTCAATGTGTAGAGCCAGTGTTGTTGTTGGAATAAGTAAAGCAGATGCGAGAAGTGCATTATACCACATCTTTGTTGCTTATTTCTTCCAGAGATTCCAGAGATGATGGTTGTTGTGTCTGGCAAAAGGAGTGACAAGCAATTGGAAGATTGAAGCAGAATATTGTAGCGATAAAAAGCGACAGTAGAGAAACAGTAGTTTATAGCGACATGCAAAGAAAGATTGGAGATTCAGAGAATCGTTATACCCTGGTGAGCTACCCTTTCTCCTATTCCCTTTGGTAATAAAGGGTTGGGTGGGTTCAGCTGCTAAGCCAAACGGTTCTCCTGGAACGTTTGATCTATTGCCGTCCATCATGCACATCTTCACGGCACACGAGATTCGCATATCGACACAACATGTGACGATCACTTACTTGCTTCTCAAAGCACCTACCTGTTCGTTTCGTGGTTGAGAAAACTGCATTTAATGGCCATGGTATTCGAACTCGTGTGCAGACATGAAAGAATGGAGTGGAGAACTTGGAAGCTCGAAAGTGCAATGCCCCCTGCCAAGACATTGAAAGGGTCCATCTCGACCACCAAGGTCATGACAAAATGTTGATCTGAAAAACAGGCTTCAATATCAACATGAAGAAGCAATTGTACATTGGATATAAGCAACGAAACAAAGGCTGCAGAGTCATCAAGCACCGAAAGAGAAACAAACAATTTCGATCAGACCAGACTCCATCAATCTCCTTGTGTCATCAAATAGAAAAACCAAGATACAAAAGAAGCTTATAAGAACAAAACGCCAGTAGTGGGTAGTAACCACAATATCCCCCCTGTCCCAGTAGTAGACAAGATTTGTATCTGTCTTCGTATGCAATTGCGCTTTTTTCTCTTTTCTCTCATCATGAAGAAAATCATATTCCCAAAACTCCGTTTCACTTGGTATGTGTTTTTACATGATAATTGAAGGAGTGTCGACGTTGGCCTTGATGCTCTTGTGAGGAAGGACACTNGGGAGATGTGTTAGTTGACGATAATCAAGGACAGAATCAGACACAATAACATACCTTCCACCGTTGACATAAATCTCATCACCAACAGTCACGTCGTCACCAAGAACGCAAATGTTCTCAAGACGAGCCCAGCGACCGACAACGCTGTTCCAGCCAACGATTGTGCTCTTGATCCAGGCGTGCTCCTTGACCTTTGAGTTTGAGAGAAGGACACAGCGCTGAAGTCTGACACCATCACCAATGACACAGTTAGGACCGATAACGACATTGGGACCGATCTTGCAGTTGTTTCCAATCTTTGCTGAAGGATCGATCATGACGTTGCCGCCGTGGACATATGACTCGGAGGTGGATGTGAGTTCCTTGCTGCCCTTCTTTGTGAGGGATGAAAGGTACAGGCAGGTTCCTGAAAGGAAATCCTTGGGCTGACCAACATCCATCCAGAAGCCTTCAAGATCGAATGAGTGCAACTGTCCATCCTTGGTCATGGCGGGGAAAGTCTCTTGCTCGATAGAGGTAGGGCGGAGTTCGATGCGGCTGAGAACGCTAGGGTTCAAGATGTAGATACCGGCGTTAATGCGGTTACCGACGAACTCGATGGGCTTCTCGACGAAGCGGTCGATGCGGGAAGGGTGGTTGGGCTTGTGGACAACGACACCGTACTTTGAGGGCTCCTCGACCTTTGTGACAATGATGGTACCCTCATCACCGTGGGCCTTGTGGAAGTCGGCCAATTGCTTGAAGGGGTAGTCGCAGATGACGTCCGAGTTCAAGACGAAGAAGGGAGAGTCGTCCTTACCGAGAATCTTCTCGGCGAGCTTCAGAGGTCCAGCGGTGCCCAAGGGCTCGGTCTCGACGGAGAAATCGATCTTGACGTTGTATTGTTGCTCGTACTGATTGTCGTGTCAGGTTTGCGCAATTCAGCGATCTTGTAGGAGTGGGTTGTGTACCTTTTGGAGAGCAGCAGTCATAATCTCGGGACGGTAGTTGACGGCGAGGACAATGTTGGTGACACCAGCAGCAGCAAGAGCAGCAACCTGGTGCTCAATCATGGGCTTGTTGGCAAACTCGACCAGCGGTTTGGGNAGGGTGAGGGTGAGAGGACGCAGGCGGGTACCGAAACCGCCGACGAGAATAAGAGCTGTATGGACATTGTCAGTCTTGTTGTGTTCTCGCTCAGGACATTGAGGGGAAAGCTGGGCGGCTGCTCACTCACCCTTCATGATGAATTAAGTGTGGAGGGGTTGTTGATTAGAGTAAAAGCGTAGCAACTGAGGATTGGCCTGACAAGATGGAAAAGGTCGAGAAGCGAATGGAGGAAGAAATTACAAGGGACAATTGGGTCAAAGGATTACGAGGGAGGGCTGACGACGGCTGCTGCCACTTTACATAGTGAACAGCGTGGCCGAGTCCAATTCAAGGGGGGACTGATCCCGACCGCCTTGGCAGCTCCCCCAGGCTCAATCCCCTTGCTTCTAATTTCGACCCAACGGCCACCAGCTCCTGATGACACGAACACGACCCCTTTATGCTTTGAAAAGATTCAATCGCCTTGTGACACCACGTGCTTGGTCTGTTCATGATATTTGTCCGACTTGAATAATATGTCGACCTGTCTAAATTTGTATGTAGCATGTACCATGTAGCACCCCTGTTTTGCAACTATGCGCCTTCAACGCCGCGCCCGACAATATGCGATTTGAATGGCCTACCAACTCTTTATATCCTGGACTGTACTTTACTCATTGTAGTGATAAACAAAGTAGTTGGGCACTCCCCAACTGCTCCATCCCAATCGCTTGGCCATCTTTGCGAATCCTTCCGTCTCAATCAGGTGGTAGAAAGGGAATGGTGGGAACATGGCTCCGTCTCTGTGAACATCACCCTTGACGAGCAATGCTGTTCCGCCGACACCGTCCAGGTTGACAATGTCCTTGGGGTTGCCACCGGGATCTGTGAAATTCGTTAGCCAATTCCTTTGTTTATCTGTCTGGGTAAACATACGGCTCATGTATGCCATCAAGCTTCTATATGTGGCCATTTCGGCATAGCCTTCGAGCAAGATCTCGTCAGGGCCCATCTTAGAAGCCAAGTTTTGGGCAGTGTTGCTGTCAATCCAGCTGTTAAAGTCATAAGGTCTGACATCCATGGCACCCTTCTCCTTGTCGTAGAAACGCTGGAAACAGTTGGGTACAATGATGGGCTTGTCGAAAGCGGCCAGATCCTGAATCAATGAGTGAGGAGTCTCGACAATGTCCGAGTCAAGCCAGAGAACCCATGAAGTGGTGGGACCGAGAGTTGTGAAAAGGAGAGCATTTCTTGCGCGCGACATGGCGGCACGGCGCTCTTTCTGGGCGGACATGGCATGGCGATCGTGTTCAGACTGGCTAGTGAGCGGAGGCTCGTCTTCCTGTCGAAGAATGGTGATGGAAGCAAAGCGCTTGCTGCTTGCTTGGGTCCTGGCAATTTGTTCTTGGAGTTGTGCAGTTGCGGCATTGCCCTCGCGGCCCTTGGGAATGATGAAGCCCAAGCTGATGAGGTCGTGGGGGTATGTCAGAGCAACGAGATTGGTCCAGTACTCTTCGTAGAAGCGGGCAAGCGGAGTGAGGATGAGGACACTCTCACGGTTGCCGATTGGGTCCGGAGTGTTGGTGACATTGTTCATGTGGTAGTGGACAACTGGCGGAGGAGGGCCTTTTCGCCGGCCTTGAGGTTGGACTTGAAAAATGGCAGCGAAGGAGGAGAGAGGGCGTTGGAGGCAGCATCTTTGGACTTGAGTAATTGTCTTGCACCGGGGACATGGAGTGCGGGACCAGCATCGGTGGAGGAGAAGATGAAGATGAGGAAGCCGATGGTCAAGAGGCCTCCCAGGACCAGTGTGATTGGATTGGTACGGCGAATGGATCGTGCGACGGCCATTGTGAAGGCTGTCGGGGTTGGTAAGCATGCGACCAGTGTGTCTGTATCAAGGAGCAACTCACGAAGGGGAAGCTGTTCCTTGTGGCTATCGGATACTGAGCATAACTCAGCCTTGATATGGGTATGAAGAGGATAGACCTCCTGGAAAGAGGGTTACAGAAAGAACAGCGACAGAGTTTCTTGAGGACAACGGAAGTCCAACGCTTTTCCCGACGCGTACGCACAAGCAGCAGCGACAGCAGACAGCAGCAGCCAACAGCCAACAGCAACTCGGCGGGCCTTCAGCCAAAAGTTGCGGAGAGCCCGCTAAGGGGTTCGCTGTGCTGCTGCTGCATCTCAGGAGCTTGTTTCAAGAAATCGTCCGTGCTTGTACTTTTCCTTCCAGTCACGTCACCACCCATGATCGCTCTTTCCTAAATCCATCTGCACCTGCATGTTGTTGTAACTCTTGAAGAAAAGAGGTCAATCATGCTGCGTCGCACATCGCAATGCCTGTCACGGCGCCAGCCTTCTCTCCTGAAGCCACGCTGCCTCAGCACGACTGTTCCGCATAGACTGGCTACTCCGACTTCTGGTTTCGCTCCAACATGGGACAAGATCAAAGAGACACTGAAGCCTCCGATCCATCAATTCATGCCAAAACCTCACCCTTCCTATACCCTTGATACCCCCACACCGGCAGACTCGGACCGTCTCCTGCGCACATGCACCGTCCTGACTTCAGATCCCTCCACCACCCCTCTCCAAGACTTGCTCGATCGCATTCCTCAATTCCAACAAGGGAACGAGTCTGGTCTCTTTACCGACTTTCTCCTCCTCGTCACCCCTTCCTACGCCGCAAGCCTGCGTAACCAGAAACATGTCATTGAACAAGCCTTGACCCGCATCTTCCCTGTGCAAGAGTTGGACAAGGACATACATGACTCACTCGGCGGAGATTCCAGGGAAGCCGTCCGACTCGTCGCTGCAGTTGTCGATAGGTTACCCAACCCTTCTGCACTGTCTGCTTCTGCTGTTGGCGACACCGGCTCAGAAGGAATTGCATTGCGATTGATCGCCAATGAGAACCCAATCTGGAAGCCGGAACTCGCAACCGACGACCCTCGTGCTGCTCTCTCCGACAACAAGTTCCGTTTCTTGAGCTTCCACCTCAACGACTCTTCTACGCCTTCTCACATGCTCCCAATTGTACAACTACCTCTTGCAAACACCATCTTCCACAACGGTCTATCCTCTACTCTCATCTGGCGCAAATATGCTGTGCAACAAGCCGGACAGGGCCTCACTCAGATAGATGAACAAGTTTGTGACTCGCATCGTGTCAAACTTCCTCAGCAAGCAGGCTCTCATGAGGCCAACTCTCTTGCTCTGTCTGTACCTCTTGTTCCATTGACATCTGCCAGATCTGTTGTTGCATGTATGGGAAACATTATTCGTCGCTTGTCTGCCAATTCTGGTCTCGGTCCTCAAGATGATACAAGGGAAGCCATTCTAGCCTCTCACGAACTCGAGCAGTCTGTTACTTCGTACCACAAAACTCGCGGCCTCTCTCCCCGTGCCGTCTCTGTCTGGGCTCTCGTCATCCCAGAAAAGTCCTTCACTGGAGGTCTATCAATGGCAGCCAAGGTCCTTGGCGAGCGAAATCTGCCCGAGTTGTGGAAGGCTGGTTCTGACCATGATACCGATCCTTCTCAGCCCAACCTCTTGACCTTGTTACAACATGGAGCTCGTCTCCACAAGGTTCTCTCTGGAGGCGGCGGTTGGGGTAAGAAGGCTGGCCTCCTTTCCTTGGATCCTGATACTGGCTACGGTCAGCATCCGTCATGGGAAGAGATTGCACCCGCGCAACAGACCGAGCCTGAGTATATCCAAGGTCTATCACCCGTACCAGCAGACTTGCATCGCATCTGGGGCTTCGAACCTCAAGAACTTCCTAGCATTGTGAACAAGGGAGATTACATCCAATTCTACATCTCACCATCTGCATCTTCCGAAGAAGCACCCGCACAGCCTGAGCCGGCCGCGAGCACGCCAGACCAGACCACGTCGAATGTCAAGACTGTAGAGTTCGGCAGTATCCCTAGTACCGTCGACGACATGCCGAGCGGTCAAGCATCTCCATCAGCTGCACAAAGTGTTGTGCAAACATACCCGAATCACTTTGGTGCTCTGTCCGAAACTGGCATTGCCATGTTTTTCGGTCTTAAATCAGACAAAGCATCTTCTTCAAACATTCATGATGCTACTGATGCAGCTACAAAGGTCGACGTGCCTTTTGGCCGAGTCAGATCTCAGTCTCAAACTTCGGCAGCATCTTCCAAGCCTAAACAGGCTGCGACAGGCTTTGGTTTCTCACCGACAAAACCGTTGCAGTCAATGTTCTATGGCCGCTATATATCACGACAGCTCCTGTAGGTGGCCTGTGGCGCATCAATTCCAACACTTCGACCAACCTGACCCAGTGCAGATCAACCTAAGACTGCCTCAAAACCCCAGAAACGAAACTTTGGGTCGAAGAGTAATCTTCGTGACGAGGCCATGCCTTCGACGCATTCGAACAACATCTGGCAAAATGCCTCGAGCTCGGCCATCTCTCGCAGGAAGCTGAAGAAGACCATGCGGATACCAAAGATACCGAACAAGAACTGGACTTCGAAAGACATTAACGAGGCGCGTAAAGCGCTTAAACAAGCTGGTCCAGACACTGGAACGTCAGGGCTCATTTTTAAAGGTCTGGAGGTCATGACGAGGAATGCGGCAGACACACCCCATGATCAGGACTTTGTTGACAGTCTTAGAGGCCAGCGGCTCAAGTCCTGGGCCACACAAAAGATGCGAGACGTCATCTCGCCCCAAGCTTTTGAACAATGGGAGAAGGATGAGACCATTCCCAGAGAACCTAACGACATCTGGACAGACAAGGATATCCGCAAAGCCCACACTTTCAAGAAGCGACAGTGGAAATTGCAAAAAGCAGCAAACAAGCAAGCCTATCTGGACAGGGTCCCTTTAGCTACACGAACGATGCAAGACGTCCTCACCCCCGAGGCCTTTGGAGCAATGGGAGAAGGACAAGACTATTCCCGAGGAACCTAACGACATTTGGTCAGAGACGGATATTCGCAAAGCTCTTATCTTCAAGGGACAGAAGTGGAAGTTGCATAGAAAGCCCAAAAGCCTGAACCTGGACACGATCTCATCGATACCCAAGCCACCTCAGCAACAAAACCCTTCCGTCCACCAGCACAAGCAGCAAGTGAATGCCGATCATGCCGAGAGGAAAGCAGATGCAGCAATACAAACGATAACATCTTTGAGACTGTAAGCTCAGGCCCGCGCCCGTAGTCGCGTTCTCCAAGAAGCCTTTCGCGGTCTACTCTCGCCAGCCCAACAGCATCGTGCTAGCGTCCAAAGAGCTTCGACCCTTTCCAAAACGTCTCACATCAGTGAGCCACTACTCACTAAGCGCATCATGCATCTCATCACCATGCATGAACCTGGATGCCCTCGCATACGCATCTATGAGATACTCAATAGTCACCGCTCAGCTCCGACTAAAGGAACGGACGATAATCTTGGAAGGGAAAGCAAGACTCAAGCCGAATCTGAGGACTATATTAGAGAGTCAGCAAGTCAGGAAGAACGTCAAGACAGGCTTTTGCAGGAGACTGAGATGAGGGATCAGCTCGGTAGATGGAGGACTGAGATGAGGGATCAGCTCGGTAAATGGAGGACTGCTGCTGAAGAGTTGAAGGAAGCTATCGAGTTGAAATGGCCCGAGGAGAGCAAAAAGAAGAGGCTGAAGGATGTCGTTGAGAAAGAGATGAACGAGATTCGGCGGGTCGAAAAGAGTGTTGATGGCTTCTTGGTTGAATAGAAGGAGGCGAAGCCTGGTGAACAAAAGTCTTTCAATATTATGAGCATCCTAATGTGTGAATAGTGCTCTTGTTCCTCTATGTACAAATATTCTATGCTCACTCAACCGCAACAAGTGCAACGTCGAGGTGACGAGGACACACCGACCCAGAAAACGCCAATGTGCAACACCCGCTTCGATGATGCAGAAAACACCCATGCATTCCCAATGCCATGCAACAAAAGCATCCAGACTCAATCCACCTTTCGCCTCTCGTCTACCTCAGCGCCATCCCCCAATAGTCAGACGACCTGCACCTGACTCTTTGTCCTCCCCGCAAACCTGTTACGATACAAAAACCCGAAAATCGTCGCCAAGATCCAGACTCTGAGCACATCCAACCAGGTCCTCCAACTCAACGCTTGCGTTTCTGTATCGCTGTCATCGTAACTTTTACACACATCCAAAAACAGCTTTGGATCGTCTGTAATAACTCCATCTAACTTCTTTCCAATACACCATTTCATTTTATCCACCTCGTTGACCGTCCAAGCCAACACAGGTTTTTTCGCGCGTTCTGCATCGCGGAGGAAGGAGGATCCGCCTGGTGCCATTAGGATTGGCAATAACATGTTAAAACTAACATTTGGGGAGTTTAGAAATTGGCGTGCGTAGGAGATTGAAAACCCGATGTGTGTGCAAGCAAACCCGGGTAGATAGCGAGATACAAGCGGGATGTATTTGGCTGCCCAACACCCGAAGACTATGCGCTGCTTCCAGGGATGAGAGGGTAGGCTTGGTGTTGATGTGATTGTGGAGGCGATGAGCCGGATTATGTCTTCGGGGTTGTTGTCGAGTTTTATATCTAGCAGTACCCAGATGTCTTTTCTTGCCTCGTCTGCTAGGNNGAAGGAAAGTAAATCGCAGAGTCGCGGCATGTGTTGCTTCGGCTCTTGGGTTGTGAGTAGTGGTGCGATGAAACTCCAATCACAGTCGATTATCTTTTCTGGACGCCCGAAACATCGATTCAAGGTGTTGTCGTGGGAGAGCACCACCACGCCGTCTTTGGTTATGTGCACGTCGGTTTCTAGGGCGTGCGCGCCGATGGAGATAGCGCCGGCAAAGGCGGCTAAGGTGTTTTCGGGGTACTTTGCTTTGTAGCCGCGGTGGGCTATTGCTTGGGGCATCCGTGGTGTTGATGGGTGGGAGGATTCTTCTTGTTTTGTTGTGGCCATGCTTGAGAAGGGGAAAGTATCTGGTAAGAAAGAAAAACATGAGAAACTAGGTCTTTTCCGAAAAGTACGTGGAATTTGATTTTTCGGGAGGTAGGAAAGTTGCATGGAATCTTGTATGGTCAAGAGAAAGGATGTGTTTCAACCAATGTCGACAGAGAGAGAAGTGAGATGTAGAGGGTCAATGACTTACATGCAGGTNGTGTTATGTTCTTCCTCGAGATTCATCTTGTCAGACATTTGTTCGTAGCACCCAGGTTGAGTAAAGACCGGTGGAATGGAGAAGCGGCGCAACAGAGGTGTATCTTCGTTCGCCGCCATCACTTTTCGATGTCGAACAACAGATGTCAGGGTAGTATAAGAGAGTTTTTGGCGATCGCAGGAAAATGTCTTGAATGTGTTTATTATTCTCCGCAGCGGGCCTGAAGGTCGATATAAGTGGTTCGGCTTCGTGGAAATAATAATATGAATGATCTGCGACAAGGGTTCCGTGTGTTCGTATATTGTTTGTCGGTAACGTTTCAGCTTGGGCGGGTTTGACAGGCTTCTAGAGGAGATTGCGCATTCGCGGGACGAGAGGCGTGGTGGCGTGGTTAAACGAGCTTGCAGCGACAAGAGTCTTTTGCTGTATGCTTTGCGGAAAGAAAGAGGAAAGAGTCAAAGACGACGAGAAGAGGATTCTAGGGTATTTGAGAGATAACCTAGGTCATCAGGGCAGTAAGCTTCCAACTGTCCACGGTTGAAGCTAGTGAAATCGCATGCCCCCATGCCCTCGAAGGCTCGCCCATCTTTTGCTCGTTCGGCGTGGTAAGCTAGTCATCCGCTAAGGTTTATAGTTAATTTTAAGCATCGTCGGGGTCAATCGTTTTCACCGATCTTTTGGTTGTTGGTTAACCAATTTCATCGATTGTTCGTTTGTCAAATCAACGCCTTGTTTTTACTGCTGAAGGATTCTGCTCGAGACAGCTGAAGGAATACCTTATCGCACGGTTTCCAGGAGTACACGATACAGAATATGCAGCATCCCGAAACACCTCGTACACTCGTATGTACAGCCTGACTCGGCCGCTACAGAAGCATGACCAAGGTGAGACTTGGTTAGGATGACGGATGCGAAACTGTTTGTCGTCTCGACAGCTTTACCGTCGCTGTTCACCGTACCTGTCACTTCGGACATGTTTCGCCTCTGTTCACGAACAGCCTCACGAACCAGGAGGCCTGACGTGTTTCCTTATCTCAACACACCGGTAGATGTCTCCTTAAACCTTACCAAGCTTTGGTGATCGACCGCAAGCATTCTCGCAACATGACAGCTTGCAGCTTGCAGGTCAGGCGCGCGGGTGTAGCTCCAATGATAATCCCGTCCACTCCATAAAGTGGGCTATTATCATCTGCTGCGGCCGACGGCAGCGCGAGAGCAGAATATGGTTATGCTAATGGAGATCACTTGCACTGGATTGCAGGTACGCGTGTTGCACTATCAGGCCGCGAAGAATCTTTTGTCCATAGCTTTGGGACTTTTCCGGTAGCTGAAGGTGGGACGGAAAACAAAATGCGGATGGAGCGAAACTTTGCTTTCGCGCCAGCCACACGACATGCACGTTTTGAAAGTCAGGATTAATTCTCCGATAGGGATGAAGACGAGTTTGAGAAAGAGGCTCCTTTGCTTTCTCTTCTACGACTTTCTTCTAGACGTCAAGAATGGAAGACGAGTCCTTCCTAAGACAAAAACGACTAGTTTTCCGCGGGATAAAGGCGAGTCGTGCAACAGCAAAGACGTTTGCCTCGGCATGGCCCTGAGAGACATGATTATGTCAGTGGCTCTTGCTCACCGATACTTCCTTCAAAACAACAGACTAACATCCACACTGACAACATTGGCTTGCTTACTCGGAAATAAACAAAGGTACTACCGAGACAAGTTTGTTACATCTTCGTGACCCGAGCAGTCTTTGTTTTGAGCTCACTCACACTGGTTGGTATGAAACGCACAGCTGGACCCCAGATCCTTGACTGTCTGCCCCAGGATTCGCGAGTGAATATGGAGTGACATGAGGTGCACGTCACAACGTGATCATGGGTTGGCGACCCAGCAAGGTGGTTCCCTTTGAACGATGTCTTGAAACGCAGTTGCTCTTCTATCTCCTCGTATTCTGTTAGCAGCTGCTTGATGCCACGTCGACATTATATCTCTTAACTTTGAGACAACCACAAGCACCGTAACAACATATTCTGCAACTTAATTGTCGAGATGACGAACGACAGTACAGAGGTACACCACGACTTCCAGGCTCGACCGCCTCACAGCCATGTCCAGCGTCTCGAACGAGCTCGTAAAGCAGGTCAACCCGTAGATGAGCAGCCGCAGGTTTGATACACGCACGCAACGAATCTCTTCTTTCTGAATACTGAACACATCAACNAGGAGATATTCTTCGGCGTCGCAGCTACCAAGAGACCAAACGATAAGATCGAAGTAGGCTTCTGTGCCCACGATGGCACCTACAGCATGGACTTTGCTGTGCACTGCATTGAAGCTAAAGGTGACGCCGCAAAGACCTTCTCTGACTATGTGGTCATGAGAGTCAAGAATTATCAAGATGAACACCACTACAAATACCTCGGCGCTGGTATCTCCAAAGCTGCTCGCGAACTCTCGCCAGATCTGCCTGCTAGAATGTGGGCCGAACTCGACATTCCCACTTTGGAATTTGAGAGAAGTGTTGTGGAGAGCGATCATATCAAGACTCCTGAGGTCGATGTTGATGAGGAGGCTGATGCCATGGCTAGAAAGTGCGTCGGCATGTATGGCCCTCAGAAGCAACCTCTTCTTCAAGTCGGCTTCTTGAATGAAGTCTCGGTCGATGCTGCTGGCCATACCTTACTCTGCACACTGGAGCAATATCGCAACACAGTCCGTAAGACAACATGGGATGCCACAATGTACTATGCCGAACGTCTCAAGAAGAAAGGCATCAGGATGGCCTTCCTGAATGCTACTCCTCAAGGTGGAGGTGTTGCACTAATGAGACATGCCTTGGTCAGACTAGCCCGCCTTCTCGAAATCGAGATGAAGTGGTATGTTCCAAGGCCTAAGAATGAAGTCTTCCGCATCACAAAGACCAATCACAACATCCTCCAAGGTGTTGCTGAGCCCAACGAGCGCCTTACCTCGGAGCAAGCCGAAACAATCAAGACATGGATCTATAGCACTGCCAAGCGTGACTGGCTACGCAAAAAAGGTCCACTGGCCAAAATTGAAGACGGAGGTGCTCATATCCTTNTTGTCGACGATCCCCAAATGCCGGATATCGTGCCTCTAGCAAAGGAGATTGAGCCTGGTCGTCCTGTGCTCTTCCGTTCTCATATTCAGGTCAGGGCTGATTTGGTGGATGGCGAGCCCAAGAGTCCTACTGCTGAGGTTTTCGATTGGTTGTATTCGCGCGTCAAGGAAGCGGACATGTTCATCGCTCACCCGGTCAGTGACTTTGTGCCAAAGGTTGTTGAACCCGAGAAAGTGGCTTACTTGCCTGCAACTACTGGTAAGTTTTCCACCAAAGAGTGATCCCATATTTTCAATATAGCTTACACATACGCAACATCAGACTGGCTTGATGGCTTGAACAAAGAGCTCCGCAAAGAGGATTCCCAATACTACTTCCGCAACTACAACACCCACTGTCAGCGCTCCAACCAACCACCTCTCGCTTTCCCTGATCGCGACTATATCGTCCAGATTGCGCGTTTCGACCCATCCAAAGGCATCGACACCGTCATCCGCTCCTACGGCGAATTGCGCAGAAAGTACTATGCAGACACCGACCCTTCCAAAACACCACAACTCTGCATTGCTGGTCACAGTAGTATCGACGATCCCGACGCAAGCGCCATCTTCGACAAGACCATGGACCTCATCGACTCTGAGTACTCGGAATTTACAGACGACATCTCAGTCATGCGACTTGGACCTATCGATCAGGAACTCAACGTCTTGATGAGTAACGCAAAGATCTGCTTGCAGCTGTCGACGCGTGAAGGTTTCGAAGTCAAGGTCTCGGAAGCTCTGCACAAAGGCGTTCCGGTGATTGCCACACGTGCCGGCGGCATTCCTCTACAAGTCGAAGACGGCAAATCCGGGTTTTTGGTTGATACTGGCGATCATGAGAAGGTCGCCGAGTATATGCACAAACTGTTCACTGACAAGGACTTATACAGCAAGATGAGTAAGTATGCAGCTGCTCATGTCAGTGATGAGGTCAGTACAGTAGGAAACATGCTTTCCTGGCTGTTTTTGGCGGATACGATGGCTGGAGAGGAGGGAAAGAAGTTGGACGTGAATGGACGCTGGATTAATGATCTGGCAAGAGAGGGGGCTGGAGTGCCTTATGAAGAGGGCGAGCCCAGATTGCCTAGACATTACAAGACTTGAGACAAAGAAGATGTTAAACGAATGTCTTTTTGGAGGACAAACGAAGGGAGTAGGTCCTCCTTCAAGAGTCTGAGTATGAATAGCCATCTTGTCACGCATCCTCTCCAACCAGTTTCCCCAACCGGTCGTGTCTCTCTCCTTGTCTCGCCATTGACGCCATTTCTCGCACCTTTTCTTGACCCAGCCCCTCACAGCCTTCCGTGTCTTCTCTTTGAAGAGTAGCGGCAGCACCAGGAAGATCACTCCCCCACCATCATGTAGAACCACCAATTCCACGACGCCGGCCCGACTAAATCAAGGCCCGGCTGACGGCCGTCCTTGACCTCCACCTGAAGATTGATTGTGAGTTTGACGCCGTCCTGAGACTATGAGGTGGCGACAGGTGGAGGTGATATTGTCGGAGCGGCCGTCGTCGAGGCCGTGGCGTTGATTTGAGTCAGGGCCGACGCGGGAATGGTTATGACGAAGGGAACTGTCATGGTGGCGATGGTGGGAGGTGTCCGGCTGGTGCTGGGAGAAGACAGAGGGAAGGCCGTGGCTGTTGAGATGAGGGCGAGGGCCAAGGCGAGGGCGAGAAAGACGAGGCGAGACAAGTTGAGAGACATTCTGACTTTCGTATCAGTACATGTTGAGGATCTTCTGCATTTGTTTCAGTGCTGTAAGTGGATGGAATTGACATTGGAGCTCCAGGGTTCAACTACATTTGGAGCATCAGGAGTTGGAGCAAGGGGTCAGCTCCAACTCCACGGAGTTACCTTGGATGGAGCTCCATTCCATCCACTTACAGCACTGGTTTGTTTCGACTTACTTCGGTTGGGTACTTGTGGTGGATTGGATGGGTGACAAGATGGTTGGGAACAATGATGGCTACAATATCGGTCAGTATCGATGAGACAATGATGGGCGAGGTATGGATGTAACGTACAGATATGCTTGATTATTAATGATATTAATAAAAAGCAGTCTCGATGAATGTTGTTGATGGAGAAGAAGAAGAGAGGAAGGAAACGCGATGGCAAATTCGAGATACCCAAGCTTGCTCCAGGAGAGATATAGGAAGTCGCGCCTCGGGAAAACCCCTTCTGTGGAAAATAATGCTCAGGAGGAAAGATCAAAGCATAAAGACCGCATTCCCTCTCCCCCTTCCCTGACTCACCATGGTATTTCTTGGTCCCCTGATATCTGACTCACATTCGTAACTTTATATATTCCAACCGTTCCGCGTTCACCACGTATCCTTCTGGCAATCGAGGACACTCATCTCTGTCAAGAATTCGAGTGCCAAAACTCCACATCAAGGTCTCCAAGAAGCGATGGATCTTCCTACTGACCCGCCCCCACCTTACTCGTCCCTTCAAATCACAACTTCTCTATCAGCCGCACCAGATTCAACTTCCGCAGCCCCGAAAGAACAACACATCGATCCAGAAACCGGTGGTGAAGCACTTGTTTACGAAGAATGGGTACACCACGCCGATCCTTGGATATCCATCTGGTCGCGCCGCTTTGGAACCATATCTCCCGACCATGTCAACGTTTCCTATGGCATCAGCAACGATACGAAGCGCCCTCCCTTGCGTGACGAGCCGGACATCTTCTTCACTTGCCGATTTCGACCCAGAAGTGGAGATGCAAAGGACAAGGACTCCATCAACATGTACTGTTGTATCGTAACGGCGATGTTGGTATTACACCGCAAGGCTGGAGGAGAATCTTGTGATTGCAACTGGTGGATGTTGAATAGCTCTTCACATGGGTGTGCTCTGCGCCCGTGGGGTTTGCTGTGGATCAAGAAGTGGAGGCGAACTAAACAGCTCAGGAAAATGATAGGGGAACATGATAGATTGTGCTCTTGTGGATGCTTTGATGTTGCTGCCTGAGCGTCTGCTTGCTTACAGTACATCTCTGGCAGGTCTCCTTGTCAAACTCCTTCTTGAGGCACAGCTTACTGGAATTTTCTCCATACCTATGCTTCTGGTTCCCAAGACAAACGTACATTTCCAAGCTTGCTGCTTCCCATCGATTTGCTCCCAAGTTCCAAGAAACTCATGCCTTCAAACCACACTTTTGTACATATAAGGTCTTCCCTAAAGTGTGTAAGTATCATACACACACTCTCACAACCACTCCCACCATGTTTGTCGACGGAGTTCGTCTCTCTGCTTGACTCGTCAACGGTGCCGCTTCTGATGCCTTGTCCCAAATCAGCCCCTCACGGCAATCCGTATCTTCTTGGAGAGTAGCGGCAGCACTAGGAAAAGGGATCCCAACACCAACCCGTAGAACCACCAATTCCACGATGCTGGTCCGACCAAGTCAAGGCTGGGCTGGAGACCCAGCTTGATTTCCAGCCAAAGAGCGATTGTGAGTTTGAGGCCATCCTGCAGGTGGAGGCGATATTGTCGGATCGAATGTTGACGAGGCCGTGGAATTGATTTGAATCGAGAAGTACAATGTAGACTATGAAAGGCATAGTTTCCGGAAACATGGCTTATCCATAGAGAGTCGACAACTCATCGCTTCTCAGTGGATGGTATCTTGTTTCCTGTTGCTATTGTGCATTTTCACAGGCACGCGCGTTACATGCTTTTGCTTATGGGGAGCCCACCACTATATGGTACCGTGAGAGAGAGATACACATAGTTGCAGCAGCTTGTGAAACAACATCAAAGAGCATGTGTCGGTTGCAGACAAGCACTGCAGCCTTGTGATGGAAGTCGATTGCTGACGTGTTTGCTCCCGAGACTGGCTTTCATCACAAGGTCTGTCTCTCACTCGAATCTGGCAAACGTCGACCTGTAGCTTTGTGAGACATTTCACTCTCACTAGAGCTTACTCACAACCTTACTTCCGCACAACTTCTCCTTTTCCATCACGGCCCTTGCTTCCAACCACAGAACTCCTTCTCGCGATCTGATATCACAACGTTCAGTCTGTGCACACCACAATGCCATACGCCGACTTCTTCGAATACCGCCGCTCTGGCCTCCTCGCACTACTTGAACGCATCGAAGAAGGAGACCGCGATGAGCTCGACTACATAAGTTCTAAGATCTATACCGACACTCGCAACGACTCTGTCCCGATCTACGACCTTAGCTGCTTTGGTGCCATCATGAGTCTATGCCATGCTGACTGGATGGAAGCTGAGGTATCTTTGTTGTTCATGTCGTTTGTTTATTTGCCGCTGACGCAGTAAATAGAGCGGTCGTCTTCTTACTGCTCACGCCTATGTGTTGCAACGCGCTGCTGCAGCTACTCTCAACCCAAACGCCATCGAGAACATTGATGAAGAGCTCCGTCGCCTTTTGCTGTCGCGCCTGAACGCAAAGCAAGAGGCTTCTGCTCGAGTACCGGCCTGTTCAAGGTGGGTCCAAGGTTTCCGGGCGCGAGAGTACCATACACTGGTCCCATTGGCGATGTGACTGAGATGAGACTGGTCTATCGTGACCTCGGATATGCTCACAAGATCAACGAGTTCGATACTTACCCTGAGAGAGTCATGAATGACGCTCCCTTGAGAAAGGCTTGGGAGGAGAGAGCTCGCAGATTGGTATGCACGTCCCCTTTTTCTTCTTGATTGACTTAATTAACCATGAACAGATTGACGAGGGTCTGATTGGACAACGCCAAGTCAACATGGACACTTTCGGCCGCGAATTCTATCCCTACTACAACGTCAGGCCTGGAGACACCATCTCGAACGTTGTCATCGCGAAAGATTCCAAGGGTATTCCACAGGTTGTTGATGCCACCATCGTCAGCGGCTCTAGCACTACGACCAACGATCAGCAGAACATTGGCGTCGGCGAAGAGGACGAACATCAAACTGAGGGACACGATCAAGCCGAAGTCGAAGCTCTCGAACGCAAGAAGGCCAAGAACCGCAAGAAGAACCAGAAGAGAAAGGTCAACAAGAAGGCTCAAAAGGCTGGGCAGCAAGAGGAAGAGGCCTCGGAGTCACACCTTGCCGACCACCTGGCTGAGAATTACACTCTGGAATCGAGTGATACCGTCGTGGACGATAGTGGCTTGATTGAAGGTGTTAATGCGTGGACCATTCGCACTTATGTTCGCAAAGTCCGGCGGCGAAGAAGACAGCGGAGAAGGCGATGAGGAGAAGTGAGAGGAAGTGAGGAAAAGAGACGAAGTGAACAATTTGACTCTCCAGCAAAGAATTGGGGAACACGCAAGCTCCTGGTAACGTATGACTGTTTCGAAACAGCGTTGCCAGCCGTAGAATCAAGACTACACATCAATGGCCAATCAGAAGTCAGTGAAGCGATTTTCCCAATCATACTCATTCCACAAGACCAGCATTGGGCGTCCAGAAGTTCTATAAACCATCTTGACCCATATCTTCACCGTAGACGGCTTGAAGAACGTTCAGATACGTCTTCCAATACCGCTCCAATAGATCTCTGACATCTTCATAAATGTAAGGTGGTTGCTCATACCCATGTCGAGTAACCCATCTCCATTTCCAGTCATCCGAGCAGTCGTGTTTGCACCAACAGAGCCAGGTACCGCCACCGGCACAGCTGTGCACATCACCCATGGTCAACATCACAGAGGTCTCGTAATCCAAGCACCAAAGACCTACAGCGTTTACCAAGTACTCCTGCTCCAGAGGAAACTTAAGCGATGCCAGAGGCCCAGAGGCCCCATCAAACGCATGCGGGATTCCACAATTCGTGTTTCCTATCCCTGGTCCTGTCAATGACTCTGTGAGAGCGCAAAGTTGCTTGAAGTCCTCGGGAAGCGTCAAAGGATCTGTTTCCAGGATTGCGCGATCCTTCAGCATCGCTTCAATCTCTGTGAATATCTGCAGTCGCTGCTCTTGTGGCAGAGGAGGTTTTGTGCCGTCGTCGTCGATCAGATGCTTGAAGTCGCTGCCGCTCTTTATAGTGTTGGGAAGGCGTCCACTGCCAGCCCATTCTTCATACCACACGAGCTCGAGCTCCTCTGGGTCAGTGGTATCAGGCGATACTTCGAGAATCTCAAAGAGTTTGGCAAGACAGTTTTGTTTTAGTTGCAGAATACGAGAGCGATGGAGCTCAAAAGCAGCGCGGATGTCAGCATCCACGGCCTCAAGAGACATGCCGAACCTTTGAAGACGATACAGTTGGAACAGCGTCCTCACTGGACAGTCGAGTTGTTGTGCTGATCAAGATCTGAAAACAAACCTTCGCAGAAACACCGACAGCAAACGACAGACCGGGTTCCTCACACAAACCGTTTGCTCACACGATATCTCAGGAGATTGAGTGTTGTTACTGTTTGCAAGGATCATTCATGTGATTGATTCTCCCTGCCGCAAAAAGAAGGACCGATAGGATGAAAGGAGGATGAAGGAACGCAGTGGGTCAGCATGTACATCATACGAAGTGCAGCCAGGGTTCCTCGTGCCGTGGTGCAATCTTGGTCGTTTTGAGGCGGAGAGGTGGAGATGTGGAGTTTCTGCCTTGGAAGCACGGCCATTTCAGAAAGCGGTCAGAGGGAGCCATGTCGGTATCTGCAGATAGCTACCTTGCACACGTGTCGTAAGTTAACATCGTCATTGTTGCTTTGCATGATAAATCGATTAATTGATTGCTTGCTAGTGGAAAGTGCAAGCAGGAAAGAGGAAGTTGTGCGACACATGCACGTGTGCTGGCCATCGTGAATTTGGCTGCGAGTCGACAAGCACATCGACAGTTTTTGAGCAATTAATCGTTGGAAAACGCGATGCCCGATGTCGATTGAGCATGAAACTTAGAACCCCTGCCAAAGAGTGCTCACACGGACGGATCGCTGACAGCGCTGTTCGTCCTTGGTTGCGACTCAAGGACGGACAGAAGACCGAACAAGCTTTGATTGGATGAGCAGCTTGCCTACCTTAGCTATCACCAATATCCATACCAGGTCTCAGAACGCCGTCTTCAGTCTGTTTGACCCTCTCGTTGGCTTCATAGACAGTATTCTTGCCAGCGACCCATAGCAACATCTGCGTCTCGCACATCTCAAACATTGCACGCACCGAACTCGCTTCTCCCCCGTCCTCTTCCTCCGGTTCTTCCACCAGCAGTAGTGTACCATCTTCCAATGACCTCTCGTCCAGAACGGCGAATATGTCGTCGCTGAAACAGTTGGCGTCGTTCTTCTCAAGCATATCCTTTAGCATGAGCCAGCATTCATAAGCAGATTTTTCTGCAAAAGGTGCAGAGGTTGAGTCGGTGTCGACATTTGGGTCTTCATCTTCAACACCGTAGACGCGCGATACATCGTCTACAAAGACAAGGAAGCTATCGTCGTTGCCGTTGCCCTCGTAATTATAGTTGAGCTCGAGAATGCGATTTTTGAGCNNTTTTTTTGTTGGTGTTAGCTCGCGATTTGTTTGAGAGTCTTGGAGGGCACAACGTACCTCAGCTGTAGGAGCGATGGCGCAGCAGATTGGAAACTTGGACATGGCTACGAACTGCGATGCCTGACTTGATAGATTAGACAAGTTGAAATGCGTTGTAGACATGCGAAGGAGAGACCAGCGTCCAGATATACGGTCGTAATAAGCGCGCTTCTGCAGGCAGCCATCGCGAACCTGGAACCGTAGGATTCGCAACCAGGCAACTAATAACAGAAGTCACTTGTAAGATGGAAGAAGGTGAAGAGTATGATGGTAAAATAGCAATTCTATGCATTTCTATGCGTGGTATCATATATGAGACTCTATGTCTCTCTAAACTGTAAAAAAGCAAAAGTGGTATCTCTATGGTGTTTGCGCAAACCCCCAGAAGAAGCGGCCAGGCTTCTTCGTATACATGTATAGCGCATCTAGTGGTCGTTAAAAACACACAAGGGTCATTATTAATAAGAGGTGAGAAGGAGAGTCATAAGTTATGTCTCAATCTCTTTAGGCCATCTGGCCACCGCCGTTGTAGGCGAGGTCTTCTTCCTTCTCGCCAAAGCGAGCATCCTTGACTTGACCGGCCTCGTCGTCAGAGGACTGGAAACCGTACTCACGAGACTTAGCGTCGATTTCGTCGGGAGTCATGTGAGGAAGTTCCTTGGCGGCGGTAACGTAGTTCATCTTCTCGAGATAACCCTTTGCAAAGATGAGATCGATCTCTTCCAGGGTTCTTCCCGAAGTTTCCGGAAANAGGAAGTAGATAACAGGGAAGAATGAAGCGTTCAGAATGGCGAAGAAGAGGTAGGTACCCCAATGAATGCTGGAAATGAGCACAGGAGTGATCATTACGATGAAGAAGTTCCACAACCAGTTGTTGACGGTAGAGAAAGCATTGGCCTTTGCACGAGTCTTGAGAGGGTTGATCTCGGCAGGGTAGAGCCAGGGCAGAGGAAGCCAGGTGGCACCGAAGAAGGCGATGTAGGTAAAGAGACCAACGGCGGCACCCTTAGCGGAGTTAGGATCACCGGGAATGAGGCAGGCGAACACAAGGACCATGGACAAGCACTGGCCGACAGTACCGTAGAGGTAGAGCTTGCGACGTCCAACACGTTCGACAAGGAACATGGAAGTGGTCGCGAAGAGTGCGTACACAACCATGTTGATACCGCCGAGCAGGAGCGAAAGGTTCTGACTGGTGCCGATAGAGTCGCGGAACAGGACAGGGAAGTAGTAGATGACAGCGTTGCAGCCAGACAGTTGTTGCATGAACTGAGAGCTAGCACCGAGCATCATGCGGCGGAAGTGCTGAGTCTTGCCACCAGTGAAAAGAACCTTGAAAGAAGTCTTCTCACCAAATCCGCCAGCAGCCTTGATGGAATCGAGAATGACGCCAGCCTCGATCTTAACTTCGGGATCATCTGCAGGCTTAGCGTTGAGAGCTGCCAGAATGACTGTAGCTTCGTCTTGACGGTCGTGCGAAAGAAGCCATCTAGGAGATTCGGGTAGTCTTGTCATGATAATAAGGACGATGAGAGCGAAGACGATCTGGAAAGCAATGGGGAAGCGCCATGTAAGGTCGGCGGGACCGTAGCTGCAACCGTAATCAATCCAGTAAGCGATCAGCGTGCCGACAGCGACGTTGCCACCCTCGATACAAATGACTTTGCCTCTGTTGTGGGCCTTCGAACACTCGGCTTGGTACGTAGGAATAGTCGACGTGTTGATACCGTTTCCAATCNNTGATGTTAGTCAGTACGAGGCTCGCTCGCTGAAATGCCTTGGTGGTAAACTTACACCTGTGATGAAACGTCCAACGATGAATTGTGCTGTACTTCCCGCACTGGTGCCGACACAAGCGATTTGAATGACAACACCAATGATCATGGTGATACCGCCCATAAAGATAGCCTTACGACGGCCAAGTTTGTCGCCGAACTTGAGAATGAAGATAGCACCACAAAGACAGCCGACAGCGTAGATGGAGACAATGAAACCTTGCCAGCTGCTGTTGTAACCGGCCTCGGGGAAGGCATCGAGGAAAGCTTCACCCTCAATGATACCAGACATGACACCCTGGTCATAACCGAAGAGGAGGAAATCGGTGGTGGCGACGGTGGTGATGAGCATCTGAAGGGCTCTGCCAGAGCGGCCCCAGTATGTGGGAACACCCTCGCTGTTTCTCGTGACAGTACGAGTCATCTTTCCGGTATTGTCTAGCAGTACAGGAAAATGGATCGTCCGTGAAGGGATCCAGAAAGAAGAGCAGATGGTTGCGGAGTTGTGGAGGGTCTTCCCTGGGGAGGGACCCATTTATATATCTACAACTACGACAGGGAAAACTCAAGCACCCAAACGCAACATCAATGACGGACAAAACAGCCGTTGCGGAGAGAATGTGGATGGTGGGTCAAAGGGCCCACAGACAATTTTCGCGACCAGTCCGCCGAGATGTTGAATCCACCATGAAACATGTCGGGAAAAGATCTTCGAGGGAATAAGACGTCGTTGAGTGGGAGCTTTCCCGAGCAAGAGTCGGAAGCCCTCGATTAGTGCTTGGCGATGATCACATGGCGTTTCTCTAACGACTTGGCACAACACAACAATAGACAAGTTGGATCCAGCCGGTGGCCAACGAACGCAGAGTCTGTGTGTTGGAACGAATTTTTCTCTCAGGGTTTGGCGAAAAATTGTAAAAAGCCAACTTGGGAAGAGAATTTACCGGAGCATGATGTCACATACCGCTCTTTGTACCGAAAATAAGCTCCTGTCGATGGCGGGTGAAAGCTTTGGTGGCGCCCACGCTTGAGTCAAGCATAATTGGTTAAATGGCGTGGGTGGCGTGTCTGTGGTTTCAAGGATAGATTTGAGGCTCGCTTTGGGAGCAAGCGTTTTTCACCTTTTAGTCAAGCTCCGTGGAAGAAATCTCAATACGATTCAGCATCGGGACGACATGCTGCTTGTCGGTGTGTGCTCGGCCGAAGACTGCTCAATGTAACGGGTTGGCAATTTCTTCGATTACGGTTGTTTGTCACTGGTGGATTTTATTCCGAGGAAAAAACTGGAGCCCAAGGCCGTGTTGAATTGCATGGTAACGCCTCAAACCAGGATGAAGGATTGATGTACGCGAGCTGTGCTGCGATGCCTTGATTGATCGGTAGCAAACTTGCAAACGCAAATGGCAAAGGCCGACTGATCATCCAGCACATGCATCTCCCACATCTGAGGGAGCACATGGGAGTAGCGCGGAGCATGCGGAGTATCAGGTCTTTTCAACCTGTCACGAACAGTTGCCCCTGTTGAGCTATCCGTGCTGCAAGAGATCATCGCTATGGCAGGTTCTGTTATGTTTCGAGAAAGTGTAAACTCCGAATTCTGTTACCGGTGGTGCTGATAGCGATCGGCAAACGTCGGTTGTTGAACCGGACTTGCAAACAGTGTAAGCGCATGTGATTGGAAGTGCTTCAATATGCCTTCAGCTTGTGCGTAGTCGCAACCCTACTCAGGACGTATGTTTCGCATACACATGTCGTGCGTGTCGGTGTCGGGGAACAATTTCGGGTGAAAGTGGTGCCATGAAACTGCCTAGAGAAGAATGGAGACATCGCCAAGTTGACAAGAGTCAAGGGCATGCTCTGTCGCATCCTACGGTGAGCCTCGAAATGAGCGGTATGTAGCAGGGTAGTTGGAAGAGGTACATACCCGAGTCTTGCCGATAACAACGTCCGAGGATATGCTACGCAGCTCGCCGGCGCGATGAGGTTGTGTAGCATCTCCTGCGGAGCCCCTGGCTCCCCGCCCCCACGACTCCACATATACCGGCACGCTCACCCGATTGAGGGAGAGAAGCACGTAACCCTGCGCATGACCTCCGACCGGGGACGGCTGAATCGGTGTGTCTTCGGTGAGAACCCCAGCATATGCACTCCTCTTGCACTCCATGTCTTGGAGGTGTGCAGCGGTTTGATTTGGAACTGTTAGCGAGGGAGATGATCGGGATATGAGACGACCTCCGCGGCGTCTTGCAGAACATGTAGGTTAAATGTGCATTTTAACCGGTTCCTTGAGCTTCTTGAAGCGTCATCAAGTACAGCAACTTGTTGGTCGAAGTCTGACAGCAGCAGCTCCTGGAAACAAAGTCGATTTAGACAGACATGCATCGTTTAAAGAGCCCCGTAAATAGGGCATGAGATTTGCTGCTGATCTATATCCCTAATCACGAACCATTACACGTGCGGGACACTGCCGGTGAGCCCTGGTGTCTGTCTGTCGATCGTGTGTCATGATAGAGAACTGAGATGCGAGATGTTTAGAGATGGTCGATCAGAGCAGTTGTTGATCTGAAGCAGGGACGATGTTCAAACATGCAGTGTGCCAATCGAACCAGAGACGGTATAGCTTGGTGACCGAAACAGTGTTCGGCATGTGGAGTCGATGAGGGTCGTTATTTAGTTTGTTCCTCGAATAGATAAGCTGCATTCAGAGTGGCCAGTTGGTACTTCTGTTTGAGCATGGCTCAACGGGAAGATGTGGTAGTAGAGATATTTTGGAACGACTATGTGGAGGCATTTACAAGAGAAAATCGATACAGGCAGAACTGGCAATCTACGCTTGGACTATCAATCGATTGGTTCCAGAGAACTCACCTTGGAGAAGTTGTTGGTGCTCGAGCGGCCTGATCATGGACTTCGTAACGATTGCAGAGAGCCGTAGTATGTCAACTATGCGGGGCGGTATCAAAAGATTGAATGATAGGTAAGCCACACAGCAGGTCAATTATAGCGGTAGAACACGGTCTCTGAGGCTCTCTGGAATATTCAGACCGTACGATTTCAACCTCATTGATTGTTGTTGATAGAAAAGGAGAGAGGAGGTCGAAAGAAGGTCTGGAGGCGTGAGGAGAAGCAGCAGCCGGCAGCCGAGAGGGCAGGCTCGTGCACAGCGGTCGCGCCTGCCCCGCGATGACGAGTTTCAGTGGGCGTAGCTGTTTGGACTCTGGACTCTCTATCGCGTGCAGTCCATCAATATCAACTGGAGCAAGACGGAAATTTGAATTTGTGGAGGGAAACAGTTCAATTGCGGTCGGAAGGATATGGCAGGATTGCCTGATCAGGTGCTGCAATGGCTCTACAGCGTCCTCCTAAATGTAAAATCACGTCTTGTGCATGGCTCAAGATCAAGGTCACTAACCACAAGGCCAGNNGAATACCGAGACGCACAACGCGCCTACAGCGACAGTGTCGCCGCCCTTTCGGCATATCCATCTTTATCACCGCGAACCGATGTATACACGTATAACACGGGGCAGCCCGCGTTGCTGTTGCGCCTATCAGGCACCCTCCCCGTCAACTTTCGCGGCACGGTCTACAGATTTCCCGTGACGATATGGCTACCGCATGTTTATCCTATGGATCCCGAGGGCATCATGGTGTTTGTGATACCAGGAGAGGGTATGGCTATCCGGCCAGGACAACACGTCAGTGTCGATGGACGAGTCTACCATCCCTATCTGCGCGATTGGTCGGTGAACCAACGTCCGAATATCGTCGACTTCTTGCGCCTTCTTCAGGATGTCTTTGCTCGAGAGCCTCCCGTGGTCGCAAAGCCTGCACAACAATCGCAGNCCCGTCCAGCCTCAGTCTCCCATGCAACGACCTCCTCCTCCGCCGAAAGAGCAACCTCGACCACCACAATCTCATCCTGCAGAGATGCCTGCTGGCGCCCCTCCTCCGAGACCCCCGAAGCCTGGAGAGCAGGCTCATGCCTCTACACCCATTCAAAATCGCAATGATGGCCCGCCGTTACCACCTCTACCACACGAGCGAGCTCAACAATCACCACAGCTACGACAAGGGAATGGTTTCGACAATTCGCAACCTAATCGCTACTCTAGAGCTCCACCATTGNNCCGCATCAGGTCCAGCCAGATCACAGGCAGGCTCCGGCCTCTCCTCTGGCACCAAACACACATACCTCTACTCAGAGATACACACAACCTGCGCCATTACCTCCACCGCAACAAGATCAACAACACCAGATACCCATTCGTCCAGCACAGCAGCAGTACCCTCAACAATATCAACAACCGCCCCAACAGCATTTCCAGCAGATGCCTCCAAACATGTCTGCTCAACAATATCCGCCACAACACGCCCCTTACCAACAAGCTATGCCTGTGAAGCCTGCTCCTGTCCAAGACCTTCTGAGTGACCCCTTCGACGTCAGTATATCAACAACGACTTCCTCAGGTNCCAGCCCCTCCGATCCCGCCAAATCCAGAAAAGAGCACCTCCTACAACTCTTATCTCAGTCTCTGGTCTCTCAGATACATCAGAAAGTAAACCAAAACACGTCCGCTCTGGCACCCTTGCGCGCTCAGTCAAACGCTCTCCAAGAAGCACACTCGCGCCTCAATGCTGAGCTCTCCCAGCTGACTGCCCTGGATAATACCCTTACGAATAACGAACGTATCCTCCATCAAGCACTTTCTGATTGCGATCGCGTTATTGCTGATAGCAAGTCCACTCCGCAGCCACCCATTGATGATGTTCTCGTGGCCCCCACTGTTGCCTCGACCCAGCTGTGGAATCTACAAGCGGATGAAGCAGCCATTCGAGAAGCTTTGTGGTGTCTGCAGCGTGCTGTGGGAGCTGGAAGAGTTGGCTCAGAAGTGTTCATTAAGATGACCAGGAGTCTGGCCAGAGAACTGTTTTTGAAGATGGCTCTGAGTAAGAAGCTGGCCAAGGGGCTAGGTCTGGACGTGGGAGGCAGTACAGCAGGCCGCTTCGTAGGCGATGACGGATATGGATACTGAATGAAACTGTAGCATAGCATATTGAGTCGACCATAGGAAAGTCAACAAGCGCTTGACTACTCGAACCTCCCCCTGATCAGAATATGATTGGAGAATGAAACAATTTAGTAATGCTATTCAGCTACGAATCTTCCCATGCGGTCTGAATACTATCCGAGGTAACCTTGTTGTCGCTTCGATCTTGTCACAGTACTTCTTGGGGGGTACAAACAATGCGTTCGGCGCTGACGTCTCAGACGAAGCTGAGTGAACAACAGAAAATTGGCACTGTACCAGCTACACTTTATCTTAAGACTCAAGACTACTTCTACATACTTACAAGACCCTCAATTGTCTATACTGTGGCCCAATAAGATATAAAACGTGATGATCGCGATGTTATCGTCGATTGTGAGTTGGAAATGATTGTCGAGGATGCGACCCTGGCTTCGGCCTTTTGATGATAACCTCAATAGCCCTGGTTCACCTTCTCACAATAGCGCGGAGCTACATCATGCCATTTCTCAACCGACATCATAATATGATCTCGGAAAGACACAAGATGAACTTGGAGACGTGAAGTACGACCATCAAGAAAACAGGCAAGTCTAGGCGAGTCGCATACCTCCACAACTCGAAGCTCTCTCCATGTTTCCAGCGCGTTGCGACACGAGTCTCAAAGAAAAACAACACCACCACCCAACAACGCGTCTCACCACCCACCACTTCCTGATCTCACTCGCGCAAACCAGCCTCTCGCAACGATAACATCCCAGCGACCGCAATCCCGCCGCAAACACTTTGTTACAACTACCCGAATGGCAACACCACAATTCCCGACACGCCCTTTCCCAGGCTTGGGTCGCGCAAGCACTGTAGGCCAACAACAGCAACAACAACAACAAGCACCCCAAAATGCAAATACATACCAACCGCCTAGTTATGGAGGGCCGTCGAATACGTACAATGCAGGGGGTGCAGGGGCAGCAGGACAACGAGACGTGATAGCGCGACAAGAGCGCGAAAGAGCCGAGCGCGAACGACGGGAAGCAGAAGAGCGCGCAGGAGCCTTGGATGCCCTGTCCGAAGAACAAAGGGAAGAAATCAATGAAGCTGTTCGTGTTTTCTCATTCCCTTACTTTCTCTCAAAAGTCTCAATCGCTGACGAAAATAAACACAGTNTTTCCCTTTTCGATCTCGACAAAGACAACCACATCGACTACCACGAACTCAAAGTCGCCCTCAAAGCCCTAGGTTTCGACCTTTCGAAATCTGAAATCTTGACACTGCTCCAAACACATGGAATCCCTGCCTCGTCCACTACATCCCACCTCCCTGCTCCCACAAACGCCAAACCTTCTNTTTCAGGCCCAGGGCGCTTGGTATTGCCGCACGCTTCTTTTGTGTCCATTGCTGCTGCAAGGATCCTAGCACGAGACCCTAGAGACGAGATACTCAGGGCGTTTGAACTGTTTGACGCCGAAGGAAAAGGAAACATCAATCTAGGGGATTTGAGACGGGTGGCTAGAGAGCTTGGAGAAGGATTGCAAGAGGAGGAGTTGGTGGCTATGATTGAAGAGTTTGATCTTGATGGCGATGGTGCGATTAGCAGGGATGAGTTTGTGGGTATTTGCTTGGGATGATTTTTTTTGCATCTTGCCTTGAAAAACCCACGAAACTGCAGAAGTGGGCAGAGATTGAGGACGTAAGGCATGCGCATTTGCAATTGTGTTTTTCTTGAGTTTTGGATGGTTTGGATCTGGATGTGTTTTTTTTTCTTTTCCTTTCTCCTTTGCGCAGCGTTGGCGTCTTACTTGGTGTTTATGCGGTCTTTGTTTCTTCAACCATGAAAGCAGCTTGCATCGGTGTTTTGTGCCTCTCTCAAGGAGAAGGTTGCAAATCAAACACTTGAGAAAAAAGAACATTTTCGTTTCCTCAATATTGTCGATCTGGCGAGAAGAGTGTCTTTGAAAGACAACAACAGCAGCACCTCTCCACAAGTCTTAATGATCTCACGATATCAATTTAACAGCCAACCCTTCGAATCAGATCAGATTGTGATTTTATCATTCTTGCAAGGGGGAATCCATCTCATTTACTTTTCCTTCTCGGCGAGCACGAAGCGGCGTTCCACTTCCATGACCTTCATCTCGTCGCCTTCAAAGCTGAGACGCACGTAATCGCCACGGTCGAGAGCGAGATCTTTAGCTCGCCAATTCGCACTCACTTCTGCCTTGTAGAAAGTAGTTGTGTCCTTTCGTGTCGTTATTAGCAATTACTCTGTATTGGGTATGGTCTTCTCGCAATCCTATAAAATGGGTGATGATTAGATGAATGAGGTTAATCGACTTACAGGATATTGAGCCAAGACATGACGGCCTTTGTTCAGATCAGCAAGACCTTTGTTTTCGGTGGGTATGGGCATGAGATGGGCGACGGAAGCTCGGTANGGAGGTGGCAGTTCGCCGCCAGGCACTGGATCTGGATCTGCGTCTTGGATCTCGTAGCGGCGTTGTTTGCCTTCGCCAATGACGTTTGTGACGCGGCAGAGAATGCCTTCGCCTTCTTGGGTGCGGCCTTTGTTACGATAAAAGACATGGGCGCCGAGGGAGAGTTGCAGTCTGCTGGATCGTGGTTCGTTTGCTGTATTCTTGTTAGTATGGTTTGAAAGATGGGAAGAAGGGAACATACCTTCAACACTGGATGCCACACTCTCAGCCCCATCTTCGAGCTTCACGCTGACTTCTCTGGTGCTGGTGACACTCCTCTCTCTATTCCTCTCTCTACTCTTTCCTTCCGGGGCCAATCTATCAGTCGTCCCCTGTCTACCGCCCGGTCTCGGACTCTGAGTCCCACTCGCCTCGTCGTCAATATCCATACTCCCGGCCTTCCTCTTCAACGTCGCATTCCTACCTTTGGAACTGCTATGCGACCGCGACAATTGCAACGACTCTTCAGAAGCTTCGCGCAGTCCGGCGAGGATTTTGATGCTGTCGAGCAAACTCATTTCATCGGATTTTCCGTCGATGATGTGGCTGACTTCTTCGCTGATTTTGACATTTTCGCGGTAGAGGGATTCTAGGCGGTCGTCGAGGGTCACGTCGGTGAGTTCTCCTGCTTCTGTTTTGGTGGAAGAAGGAGTTCTGGTCAGTAATTGTGGCTTTCTCTTTTTTTTTTTTTGTTTTTTTTTTGTTTCTGGTGTTTTGGCGTTTTCGATATGGGAGTTGTTGGATGGTGCATGTGGCATATTGCAATTCAACGACTTTCGCGAAATGTTGAAAGTTTGTAGGGACTTACCTAATAAAGCAGCCTGTTCCTTTTCCACATCTATAATCTCTGCTCCAATGGCCGCCGACCTTGCNCTAAAACCGCGGTAAGATCAGCATTTATCCTCTGATATCATTCATGTGTGTTGAAAAGTCCTTGACGAGGTGACATTTGTTCTTCTTTCGGGTGAAATGATATGTAAAGCAGAAGAACGGGAGAAACCGGAATAGAAGAACAAGAAAGACACACATACCACCATACTATCAATCTTCTTTGCTCCTTCTCTGATCATATTCCACAACCTGCGTTCTTCGTCCGCATCTTGATTCAAACTGGCCCTAGGCTGGCGATTCCGTGATGACATTTGGTATGGGGGCGTGTGTAGTATGCTTCCTTCGACAGTAACGACGTGTTCTCCAAGAATAATTGACCAAAAGGTACAAGAAACAGTTGCGGGCGATTGGAATGGTTATTACAGTGTTGAAGTGTAAAGCGCGATATCCTGGGAAGGTCGATCAATGAATGAGAGGCAAGGGTTCGCGTTTCGGGAGTGTCGTCGAGGTTGACCAATCAAACGGCGTTTTGTGGAGGCTTAGTCACATGTGCGCAACGGTATTGAAGCGACGACGACAATTGGAGTTCTATACTATTGTAATTTCAACCTGAGTTATCATTCACTTTAGCATTAAGTGAATGCAGTCTAGTGGTCGCTACTAGATCTAGAAGTCATAGCCTTATGTGTCTTGATGAAAAGCTTTAGTACAAGCTAAGTTGACGCGTGCACCACTCCGCCGAGCATGTTTGCACCAAGATGCCTAAGGCCAATATCTCGACCATCGCCATCGTCTAGAAGCGGCGATGCTTTAATTGACCAAGGTCTCTAACAATCCAGAATCTGTCACTCTCATGAATCGAACAAAGAAACCCGTTCGCAGACTCAAGCATTCCTCGTGACAACAAAGAAAATGCTGTTTGCACTGAGGCGAGAATCAAGTATACATGTCTTTCTTATCCTTTCAAATATGCTTCCTCTTCATTTACATTTTTTTATCATTACTGTAACACTCTTTTACACTCTCTATCGTAGTCATACCAGCATCTGTACAAGAAAGACCAAACAGTTTACCTCAGCATCCGAACCACTCCTAGATACAAGTCTCAACTCTTTGCACCCTCAACTGTCCTCCTACACCGACAAGACCAAAAACACAAAACGGCCAACAAAAAATGTATCTTCCAACCATAATCCCCTTACTCCTGACTATCTTCTGCTCTACAGTCCATGCTCAAGACCCAACTGCCTCCCAAAACCTTCAAGACCAAGATCTCATCTCAGCAGCTGCATCCGACTACTCCGTCGCAACCTCTCTAATCGTATCTATATTCTCTTCAGCCACTGGTCCCATCGATAGTGTATATGCCCAAGCCACTTCCGCCGTAGGCTCCGTATTTGCAGACGCAAGCAGTGGAATCAGCAGTTTAGTGTCCGAAGTCAGCAGTGAAGGAAGCAGTGTATGGAGCAAAGTCACAGCAACAAGCACACAAGGACCAGAGACGCAAAGTACAGTCACCGTGTCGAAAGTTGAAGAGACCAAGACTACAGCAACTGCATCTGCTGCTGCTTCCACCAGTGAATCAGAGGCCACCAAAGCAAGGAGGAACAAGAAAAGCGCTGATGGGGTTTTGTTTGCTGCTATATTCGCTGCTGTCGCTTATCTCTAGAGGAACGCTGATATCGAGGATGGGACGCGAATAGTTGGATTAGCAAGGCATGAAAGCAACAAGGCATGGAATCAACACAAAGAGTGATTGGCAAGAAACAGACTGATTGGTTCTTATCATCGAATTGGCTTTACTCGGCTGTCTGTTGCATACCGACTCCCAGACGCAAAACAATCGCCCTTCTCTCCTACTAGCTCTTTAAACAGTAAAATTACAAAATCAATGTATGCAGAAAAAAAGCGCAGAACAAGCGAATTCGGGGGTATGAAAGCCTCTCTTCGTGATGCAAGTGGAGAAAAGAGAGGTCTTGAGGTCACTGTCAAAACTTCGTAACCAAAGAAAAGCACAAATAAGCCACCCAAACGTGCGAGTTCAGAAGTGAAAAAAGAGGTAGAATAGAACAAGAGTATTCAAGAAGAATTGAAAATGTCGAAAGGGGAAAAAAGCAGCAAAAAAGCAACACACGGCCTGAGTTGTTCCTTTTTCTGTTTTGGTGTTTGTCTGATATTGTGAGCGTGCCAGACTGAAATCTGGCGACTTGCTTCTTCCTCCTCTTTGCCGTTGGACTGATAAGCGGCGGAGTATTATGGCCGATAAGGGGGTAGTAGAGATATTGTGAGATAATTGGGGTATTCGCGCGTATGGGGGTATCAAGTTGGAGAATCGGGTGTGTGGATGTCTGAGCCTGGCGTAGGCTCGGTCGACAAGCGGGTGCTGTAAGATGTGGATGCCGCGGTGCAGGCTCTTTTCAGGCGAATGGCTTATTTCGCGGGCACCTTGATGTGGCTGCTCAACCAGGCAAGACCCTCAAAGATACCTTCGCCGGTGGTTGCGCAACTGGGCTCGACCTTCCAGATGTGGTTCTTTGCGATAACATTGAGGTTGAGAGCGTCCGAGACGTCCTTTGGTCGCATGNNGCTGTGTGGAAGATACATGTCAGTATGCGAATCTTGTTCGAGTGCTCGTGTTGTTCGTCTCTTACATCCATTGACATCTTGCTTGTTGGCAAAGACCAGCAGAAGGGCATCCTTCATTTCGCGGTCTTGAATGATGCGGGTCAATTCAGTGCGAGCCTCGTCCATACGATCGCGGTCGTTCGAGTCGACGACGAAGATGAGGCCTTGAGTACCCGAGAAGTAGTGTCGCCATAGAGGACGAATCTTGTCCTGACCGCCGACATCCCAGACATTGAATTTTGTGTTCTTGTATGTGACGGTCTCGACGTTGAAACCGACGGTGGGGATTGTTGTCACATCCTGGTCCAGCTTGAGTTTGTATAGAATGNNGCTGTTTGTCACGTCGGGTCAGCACATTGCGCATTGGCGGACATGGTCGCGCGACTACTCACTCGTCTTGCCAGCAGCATCAAGACCCAGCATCAGCAAACGCATTTCCTTGCTGCCAAAGATCTTGGCCATCATCTTGGATATTGAGCCGCCCATGGTGAATCTGTGTGTCGTGGGGTCGGAATAGGGTCTGATCAGATGGTCGCACAAAGGATTGGTGCAGGTGAGTAGCCGGTAGACGGAGTGGATCGAAGGAGGGAGGCGGTTGGGCTGAGGTGAATTTTTGGCAATGGGATTGGAGCCGTTATGTCGGTTTCAGAGATCAACGGTAGCGTGCTGAAACGGGCGTCGCTGTTGCTTTTGCTAAACCTGGGCGTTTGTGCTCGTGCGACGAAACTTGTCAAGGAGAGAGGACTGGTCGACAGGAGAAAAGAACACAGCAGCTCCAGCAAGGGTGTATCTCTGCAATGACTCGCTCTCCGTCACGCCAAAAGAAAAGAGAAGTTGCACCAAGCCCCTTTCTCCCCCTGCTCACCATCTCAAGAACGAGATGGGCGGGCTTGTAATCTCCGCCAAAGAGACTTGGGTCGAGCACGGCTCGCAAGGAGACCCTGCAGCAAGCACCAAACTGTCATCTCGACCAAGACAAACATAAACCCTCCTCTCCGCGTGTTTCAGCTCTGTACTCATCAGCTACTCGAATAAGCCCTGTTACTTATCCGAGCTTCGTGATACAGTCATCTGCCACTTGCCATTGGTGTCTCTATTCAAAAAGTCTATTGTCTCTATACAAGATTGCCCATCCGTAGTGGGTCCTCGACCCTGAACTTTTAAAGGTACCATTGTTTGCTGCCCTCTTTAAGCCCACTCTGTTCTTGGTACTCCGAGGATCGATTCCTCTTTGCCTCGGAGCGTCCGTCTCACAATCAAAGCATCCTCATAACACCTTCGAATGCGACCAACGCCATTGCATTTGCCGGAAAAGCGCGCAAGAAGCACGGAACGAAGCCGCGCCAATAGCCCTTCCATCCATTCTCCCTTCCTACAGCTCTCGCGGCATCTCGCCAGCGAGGGAACTTTCGGTTCGCCAAATCGTCTGTCATGATGCGTTGCTTGATGACATCCGAAGGATAACTCGTCAGCCAGAAAACTTGCGCCGACAGTCCTCCGGCCCAAAAGTTGATAGCTGGTGTCGACATTGCAGTGTTCTTCTTGAACCATCTCGTAAACAGATCATACGAACCCCACCAGAAGAAAAAGAAGGTACGGAATATCAGCGTCGCTCCGAGTCCATGATATAACCCTCGTAATCCATGTTGGCGCAAGATTTGGCGTGAACAATCTATAGGACCAGAGTACAGACGTTTCGACTTGTCGGCTGAATACTGCACCTGCAGGCGCGCTTTGACGTGTTCGACAGGCGCAGCGATGAACGAAACCGTGCTTCCGGCCATTATTCCTGCAATGGCATGGCCTATCGTCGGTAGCGTCTTGTCCGAAGGCACGGCGTATACGCCGGCTGCGGCTCTAGTCTCATGCATAGGCTGAAAGACACGCTCGTTCAGCAGTTTCCGGTAGAAGGTCAAGCTACCCAGCATCAGACTGTCCATGAACATCCATCCTACCAGCGGAGGAGTGGCTCCTTTGTATAATCCTTGTGGCCCTTCTTTTCTGATGGTCTGCATCAAGCAGTCCAGTGGTCCATTGAACTGTGATTTTTGTGACGTCTGAAGTCTGACTTTGATCGTGTCGAAGGGGTGTCCGACTGTNGCGGTTGGTCAATTGCTGTGCGCTGGGAGCATGTGATTCGTAAGACTACCTGTCAATTTGGCGATACCACTGAAGACGCCGGCGACAAAGCCCTTGTAGTTTCCAGCTGGCTGGGCCTTCTTGGGCATTTCGGTCTGGCCATCATGGTGACTGCGAGGCAGAGACGCCGCGTCTGTTGTAGTTGTTGCAGACATATGTGTTGGCGGAGAAAAAAAGCGTTCAGGTTATTACTGAACCTGCAGTCATTCCGAGGCAGAATCAAACTGCTTGGGCTATCTGTCGACGATGGCTGGGATTCGAAAGACGATGCGACGCAGACGAGTAGATAATTTGGATTGCTGAACCGGACTTAGCACGGACTTGCGAAAGATGGCCATGACGTGCAAGAAGCTTGTTCGATTCTCAGCCTGCATCGATCGGCGTGCCTTGATGGAAGCCTTCACGTTTACCATCTCTCTTGCTCGAGCACTTTTCGTGCAACAGTGCAGTCCATACAGACTATAACACAGAAAGAACTTAATATTAAGAATGACTTTACATGAAATTGTCCCGAGTGCATACTACGTAAATTCAAGGAGACGGAACACAACCAGCGTTCAAGCTTCGTATTCTAGCTCCAATCATCAAGCTCTAGAGATTCATTGCCAAGTCATTGATTTGAACCTGAGCCCTTGCAAATTGACTGAGGGAGTTCCTTCTTGTGCAACGGTATAGAGAAAGTTCAGATGGAAGGAGGAAGGAGCGGAGTTAAGGCAGGGACGGATCAGGGTCTGTGCCTTCTTGTTCCAGATGGGGCCAGGCGTGTTCGATCGCGACGCCAACTCTAAGCCAGCACGTTGTTCGATTGAGTAATCATGTAGTCTCAACATTTCTTTCCTTTCCATTGCACTTTCTTCAGTAGATTCACTATACAACAATGGCAGCATCATCAGAAAGAGTGGTCGATTCGGCCAAGGTGTGGACAACGCTCATCACAAACACAAACTACCTCTCGGGCTTGTTGACTCTCGACTACTCGCTCAAGGCCGCTGGCAGCAAGTACCCTCTCGTCGCTCTCTACACCGACACATTCCCTCCTGAAGGTCATGCCGCCCTCAAGGCTCGCGGCATCCCTTCCAAGCGCATTCCCTATCTGCTACCTTCCATGTCCAAGGACTACAGCAACGACCCTCGCTTCTACGATTGCTGGAGCAAGCTTACTCCATTCGGCCTTGTCGAGTATGAACGCGTTGTCCAGCTCGATAGCGACATGCTCATCCTCAAGAACATGGATGAGTTGATGGACGTTCCCCTCGATAGCCCCGAGCTCGCTGGACGTGGTGACCGTGTCTTTGCTGCAAGTCACGCTTGTGTCTGCAACCCTCTGAAGAAGCCCCATTACCCCAAGGACTGGGTACCTGCCAACTGCGCATTCACCACCCAGCACGGCAATCCCGAAGAGGCACAAAAGACAGGCGCTTCTCCTCTTGCAGGTCTCGCCATGCCCAACGGAGGTCTCCAGGTCGTCGTACCAAGCAAAGAAGTCTATGATCTTATTCAGGAAGGTCTACAATCATCTGTCACCGCATCCTACGAGTTTGCCGATCAATCAATGCTCAGCGACCTCTTCCCAGGCAGATGGGTCGCTCTTCCTTACATCTACAACGCTCTCAAAACCATGCGTTGGGAAGGTGTGCACGATGCCATCTGGAGAGATGATCAAGTCAAGAATGCCCATATCCTGCTCAGTCCCAAGCCTTGGGATGAGAAGGGCGACGACAAGGGCAAGAACGATGAAACACACAAGTGGTGGTGGAACTACAACGATCGCCGCCAGGCAGATGAAAAGAGCAGGAACATTGACGATGGCTTCTAAGCGCCTCGTCAGGATGGTATATATGCTGACAGTCGATCTTGGACGATTTTTGATACCCAACTGTTTATGATCAACATATAATATATTCTGGAAATTTCACAATTATGTGTCCCCGTACTCACATATTCTTAGAGGAGGATGAGATAGCCATCAATACTGGTCTGCTTCAACCCATCTGCTTTGCCAAGATTTGCTGACTATCAAAACTCACTCATGCAACCTCCTCCCTCCCGCAACGACCCACCTTTTCTTACAACCTTTATATACAATGTTTTTCTGGCTCCTTTGACAAGCCAAGAAGCCGTGGTGGTGCAGTGGTCAGCACACCCGATCCGGTAACCTAAGTTCCTAAAACCGCTTACCTAAGTCCCTAATACTCTCTCTCTCAAGGATCGGGAGGTCGCGGGTTCAATTCCTGCTCACGGCGCTTGTTGTTTTCTTTTTGCTTCAGCTTTTGGTTCTTCTGTCGCTGGAGCGACTCTCCCACCCACACGCTGAGACATGCCTTGTATACTCGAGTTCTTCGAGTCTTTGTTTGCCAAAATGCATTGCATTGTTATGTTCTTTGATCACTAACATTCCCAAACAATGCCTTTGTCTCTAACAACTCATGTTCTTTGTCGATTGTCAGACAGTTTCAACTGAAGCAACTCATCAGCGAATCATCGTAACAGCTTCAGAAATCCATTGTAAAATCGCAACAACGCCAGTGGGTCTCCGAGTAGTGATATCGAAATATTGATAAGACCTCGAGTCTTCCCCTGTGGACTCGATTTCCACTCTACCCACGACCAAAGGAAAAGTAACCACCCCCAAAAGAAAACCCAGACACCAGCACCACCATCTAACCCACCAGATCCACACAGCAAGAACCAGAAAGAAAAACAAAATGCCTTCTTCCTTTCCTTGCGCTATTTGCGGTGCAGCCTTGACTGGCAACACCTTTGAATACCAAACCCACATGACGAAATCCCACTGGTCTGGTGCTAACAACTCATTCCCTCTGCCCTCTATCTTCACCAGCAGCTCGATGCCCAGTCCTACTTTACACCCCTGCTTCTTCTGCGACACTGCTTTCTACAACATCCATCACATTGCTAGTCACATGATTACCTCCCACGGCTCTGATTTACACTCTATCTTATGCCCAAAGGCTGGAGATGACTCTATTCGTGAGTCTGTCTCTGCGTTTCTAAATGACTTTGCTGCTTCTGGGGCTGCGTTTGTTGGTCTTTGCGATTGTTTTCCTGGTCATGCTTGTCACACTGATGAGTCTGTTGTGGCTTATGATTCTGGCATTGGATCTCCTGTCTCTGGTACGTCTACTCCTTCTCCTTCTCCTTCAAACATTACCCCTAGAGTTGCTGAGTTTTTTGCTGCTGTAGGCATTAATCCTGCTTCGTTTGGCGAGCGTGTTTATCTCTACCCTTTTGAGGCCATCTAACCCTTAAAGAACTGTCTGCTATTGTGGTGGCTCAAGTTTTCTTTGGAGTCTTTTTTGCTCTTAGTCTTTTGCATCTTTGCAAAATGCATGATAGAAAGCCAAAACATTCAAAATATCAAAATCAAAAATAAAGATAAGATCGTCCCTGGTTGGACGATTAAAACCATTCCTTTCCTGATTTTCTCTCCGTTGTCTTGTGTTTAGTAGTAGTAGCAATGATGTCGAAAAATCATTAATGAATTCCAATCTCATCTACGTACATTAGAGGATCTCTCCTTTGAACGAACATGAGGATTACTTAAAGACGAGTAAAAAGACTGTCTTCTCTAGGCTTTATGGTATAGTATACCGTCACCGGAGAAAGAACTACCCACTAGCGACCGAGTAAATCACATAAGTAGGGGGTAAAACGATCCAAGTAAGAGTTGTGGATTTTCTGGTCAATCATAGGTGAGAGTGACTGCACTAATCTCGTAGCTCAAAAGATCTCAACCTCTTCATGCTTCTAGGAGCTAGCTTGGTGTCAAAAAGTGAGATCGAGGACTAGGGGTGGTACCCTGAGCTAACAACAGCTTGAACCTTTGCAGATTGTAGGAGGAAAACAAGTTGATAATCACAAGTATTTTTCATTTCTCTACCATCTCCGTTCAAGAAACCCTAACGCCACGCTTTGAATGCCCCATTTCCCTTATTGACCAATCCACAAATACATTCCTTCTTACTTTTTCTCTTTTGCTTCCAGTCAAAGACTTTCATCTAACCGGTCAGACAAACAAGAGCAGCTTCGAATTCATCGACAACTCTCTCCTCGAGCTTGTTCTCAATGTCTTTAGCGGCGACAGCGGGCTTCTGTCTGGCCCACTCGGTCTCACGCTCACCAATAGGCGTGATGCGCTCACGCAAATTACGTCTAGTGCGCAAAATGGTCTCGACCTGTTCCTTTGCATTGGCACGATCGAATTCCAAACTAGGAATCTCGGCAGCCGAAGCACCAGAGCTCGCTCCGACTGTTCGTAGTCGTTCAAGGATGAGAGAGATGAGCGAAAGAGAGTGTGTCTCGGTTGCAAGTCCGAGTGTGATGTAACCGGCGAATTGGTGGCGGAGAGAAGGTTGCTTGTTCTCCAGATCTGTTTCAGCACGGCGAAGCTGGGCAGGGAAACTGTTGAGGAAAGCACCAATCTCAGCGGCAATTGGTGGACCAACTGCTTCGAGGAGATTCAGACACAAAGGAAGTATGCCCTTTGACCAGATGGCGAAGACGCGAACAGGTTCGTCGAAGGGACCCTTGCCATTCATGTTGCGGAGGTAGTGAGACAGATTGGCGGATGAGAGACGCGATAGCACGCCTTCGACTGCCATCTGTTCTGCGATAAAAGTGATGGACGAAAGCTCAAGCAAGAACAGGATAGCGAGTTCACCGTAGACAGGGTCGACTGTGTCAGGTGTCACAAGACGATCAGACCACGAGTACAGGCTTGTAGCATAGCGAATAGTGCCAGCATCAGCACAGCTAGTGGCAATAGTCGAATGCGCAGAAGCAATACCAGGAATGCGGAGGATACTTTGAAGCAAAGCTGTCAACAGCACAAAGTCTGCTGGCTGAACTGATTCAGGGTTGGCATGAACATTGCTGCACAGTGCCCTGAAGTTCTTGTGTACGGCCTTGAGGATCTCGAGAGGGATCACAGGGACGACTGGAGCCGATCGCTTCTCTTTCTGAACAGGGTTGTAAACCTGAGGTTGGAGCGCGAGGAAGAGAGTACGTAGCAGCGTGCGGTAGTACTCGACATCGCGAGGAGTGGAGGCGACCTCAAAGTCCTGATTCGAAGTTCGAACAATATCCCAAGCTGTAGGGAGCAAGTCGCGAACAACAGCCTCTTTGGATTTGATCGAGGTCAATTTNTGCAACAAGACAAATGCTAGGTCAGCGCGAGTTTGTGCGATGTTATCGAACAACGCGGCTGGGATAGATGCTTCCATGTTTGCAGCAAGTGACTTCTGAACAACGGTTGCAAGGTCTTTCTGTAGCGATGGAATGTCCTCAGCGAATGTGCCGAGCATGATAGCCAGCGCTTTCCAGCTCTTGAGAAGATCGACTTGGGCTTCGACCAACGACAGGTTGACATTGGCTCTTGCAACTTCTTCGACAAATCCTTGATTATTGCGACCACTCCAGGATGATTCAAAGTCCAGCATTCGGCTAGCAATTTTGCGATCGTAGTAGTAATCACGACCGAAATCTGCTTGCTGGAGAGAAGTGCGCTTGAAATTTTCAAGCTTGCATTGCGGGAACTTGATCGCAAAGTTCTTGGCTAGGTTCTTGTGTAGCGAGTGGTTGTATGCATTCACTGCAACTCCATGTTCAGTGAGGTATTGCAGCTTAGTGGCAACATTCTTTGCGGTTGTCGTATCGCCAATCTGGCGTGCGTTGTGAAGGTAACGGGCAAGAATGTCTGAAGCGTAAGAAGCCATCTTGATCTCGTTGGCATATCGGACGGTGCTCTCCAGATCAGACTGCTTGCTGTTTGGTTCAATCTCCGCGAGCCAGTCTGCTGCGCTCTTGAGAAAATCGGTATGTTTACCAATGCCGTGTGTTGCCCAAGCCCACTGGTCTTGTGCCGAAGCAACGAACTTCAAGATAGCCATTGCCCGTTTGGGAGAGATGTTCTTGATGTCAGCCAGTTGATCTAAGGCATGCTTCAGTAAAGCTTTGCTGCCAGTAGCCTCGCTCTTCTCAGTAGCCTTCAGTCTATCACGAGGTGTGGTGCCAGTAAGCAAGCAGATAGAAAGCCATTGTTGTTTGTTACTGACAACAGCCGAGAACATCTCCCAGATTGCGCATTCCACATTGATGTCTTGCAAAGGCTGGTCCAGCTCTGCAAGGACGGTCAGGAAACTCTTTGCGGCTTCCGGGCTCAAGTGACCAAGAAGAGAAGCTGGTTCCGACTCGGACTGGTTCAAAGTGCGAACAACGCTTGTGAATAGGGTAGCGACTGATGCTTTGTAAGAGTGTTGAGCAGCAAAGAGACGCGCAAGCAGAGGCATAGATTGCAGGAGGTTCTTGGTGAGATAACCAGCCTTGCGATCAGTGAGTGAGCCAACATCGAGGATTGTTGAACAGAAAGACAAGGCTGCATTAGTCTGGAGTCTGATTGATCTCTCATTTTCGAGAGGTCCGGGGTTGATCGAAGCAAGACCCGAGGTGAGGATGTTCAGGAGTGGATGGAAAGTCAGAGAATGAGGACTATCTGCCAGATACACCTTGAGAAGATCTTCCGAAGCTTGCGCAAATACACCAGTCAACTTTGCGGCAACGGCTTTGTTGTCATCCACGCTGTATGCAAAGTTGAGAATATCGGTAGCTGCGTTGAGGATACGCGTGCTAATCTCGCATCTTTCTGAGGGGNNGAAAACGAAACGCCAGCTCGGCGAACTCTGCAGTACGTCAAGAAGGATACGTTGGAATGCTGCAAGTACTGCACTAGTTAGCTTCTCGGGTGTGGTTCCAGTTGCATCGGCCGGATCGTCAAAGCGAGTAACAGCTTTTGTGGTGGACTTGCGCGACACAGCACGGGTAGCGACATCTTGGATCAATCCCTCGAAGAGACCAATGCAAGCACGAAGCAAGTCATACTGTCCGATAGGCAGCTCCGTAGCACTGACGATTGCGGCGAGACCACCAACATTGTCGTCAACAGAGAGCAGTCGACTGCGTGTCAGAAGCGACCAGATTCTTTCCGGGTAGATAGACACCAATGACTGCATGAAACGGACGATGTGAACCAAGAGATACAACGAACCCTCCGATCCTGGTTGTTCAACTTGAGCATGCAACTCTTCCTCGAACATCTGGAAGATGACTCTGACGATATCGTCATTTCTATCGAGACCATAACTCAAACGGCCGAGAATGTGTTTTGCAGCATTAATATCGTCCGCCTTCACAGCAGCATACACGAGAGAATCAACGAGCGCAATGATCTCGGCGGCTGCCTCTTTNTCAACAGCTCCAGATGCTAACTCGATATAAGTTGCATTGGATAGTCTAGTTGCGAGGAGCTTGCCGAAATACTCAAGCGCGGAATGCTGGTGGTGCCAGCAGACGACATAGGGACTGTTTTGGTTCGCTAGGATACCAACGGTTCCTGGAGGAATTGTCAGGTCTGTCTTAGCTTGACCAGCATCTCTACCGGACGTGAGACGCATATGATGAGTCCTGCCGTCTCTCGGGACGAAGAGTGGAATTTTATCAAGAAGCTGGATGTGATTTTGCAGTTCGTCTTCTCGATAGTTTTCGTAGCTCCTCTCAAAAGTCTTTGGTAGGATCTGAGTGAGTGTAGACATGTTTTCCAGAATTGCGAGAATTTCTGAGTCTTGTCCATCTTTCGAGGCCCGGCTTTGACTGATCGAGAGCAGACAGTTGAGGAAAGGCCGAACTTCGTAAGCATAGCGTTGTTTAACTTGCTCGAAGAACTTACCGCCCATACCACTGCCGTCAGTCAAGAAAGCTTGGACTGGCTGCACTGGATTACGAGCTCGTGTTCGTGAAAGATTCGGAGGCACTGTATCGTAAGATAGGATTGATAGCACTGCTTGGACCACATCGGGACCGTACTGGAAGAGATGATAACCGGCTGAGACTAGGCTGAAGAGTGACATCTTGCCACAAGCAGCAACGTAGAGATCAAAGTCGGCTCCAAATGCAAGTAGCAGGCACTCAGAAAGCGATGTCACCATGTCGAATGTTTGCAGACCGACGACTGCAGCGTTGGCCATGAAGCCAATGACGTCTTCTCCCTCGACAGGATGTGCGTTTAGAATCGCGTCTAGTGAGATTTCGGTCTTCGTCTTTGTCTCGTTGCTGGAACCATCTTCAATCTGAGATTGTGCCTCAGCACGGCTAGCCAGGATGGCTCCACGAAGACTCTGTGCAATGATGCTCCATGCAAGTATGGCAGGTCCAGCATGCCTTATGCCGAGCTGAGCTTGTGCAGCACCAAGAAGAGTAGAGGTGACCAAACGAACGCAGGCCTCGTCATCAATGTAGGATGTACCGGGCAGTTGAGGGTAATCTCCAGTATTTGGTTGTAAGTTGATCGACTCCACAGTAGCTCTGACCTTGAGCACTTCCAGAGATATTAGAGAGGTCATGCACCGAATGATAATGCTCAGATCTGAAGTCTCGGGACTTTCGGGAAGCGCAGAGAAGAAATACGTCGCATCCATAAGGGAAAACCAAAGAACGACCGGTTCCGCTCCAGAGATCTCATTTTGGGCGAAGATGTGGACGTAAGCCAGACGCAAGATCAGGACAAGCTGAGTAAAGACGGATTTTATGTAGGAGTTGGCAAGGTCCTCGTCGTCAGAAAGCAAACCCGACCAAGATTCTGGGTTGAGTGATTGCAGTTTTATATCCAGAGCATCCACACATTTGCAGAAAAAGGAGGGGCTGGATGTCGCTGTCTGGGTTCGGAAGACAACAAGAGCAGCTTCCAGGAGCGAGACCCTCGTATTGACAGAGGTCGACTGCAGATCCTGAGGCAATGCGAGACCGGTCAATAATGCAGACAAGGCCAAGATGCTTGACTTTTCGGCGTAGAGGGTATTCAATAGCCTGGGACGTCTCTGTTGCTGAGTATCGAATAGCGACTTTTGATCTGGTTCGGGGGTAGGATTAATGGATTGGCGGAAATGGGCATTCGCAGCGGCGTTTTGGATTCCAAGCCGCTCGTCCTGGGACCACTCGGCCAGCATGCGCGAAGCAGAATGCTGCTGCCATTCGACCAGAACAATTCTCAGAGCGTCCGTCTCTTTAATGTTAGCTTCTTTGGACAACCACAAAGCATCCTCCTTGATCTGATTGATATCATATTGGCCAGATTTAGAAGGGACAGCGTTGATGGCGGCAGTTCGGGTTTCGAAATCGGACTTTGACTGGGACGTAGGAGGCAGGAAAGGTGTGAGAGGAGCGCCGAGAATGTCGAGAACGGTAGGATCTTGGAAGAAGGCGTCGAGTGTGGGAGAAGAAGTGACGGAGTCGAGAGCAACGACAGCTTTATAGGCAGATTCCCATGATNNCTAGAAGGATTAGCACAAGTTATCGGTGGACAGAGCAACAGGCGCATACAGAAGAGGAAGCTCGCGAGCCAAACATTTATCCAGAGCTGGAAAGTAGACGGCCGGTGGGGAGGGCACCATTGTGCAGATGGCTTTAGTGTATGAGCATGCGCGCCGCTCCAGGTAGTTCGGAATGGCAAATTGCGCGACAGCTGGAAAGGGCGACAGAGGGTGTATTTGACCGTCTCGAAATGGTAGCTGCAAAGACGAGAGATACGCCAAGACAACGAAACGCGACTTTGGGAGGAACTTGGAAGGAGCTCCAAAATGTGGGGAAGCAGCCAATCACGCTGACTCATCCACGCCTTCCAGATCTTTATTGATGCTTTCTTTGGCATACCAGATATCACACTGCAATCACCCCTGCAACATGTCTAACCTGGGCCTGGTCGACCACTCGCCCTTCAACGCCGAGCCTGCCGCTCCAATTCCTACCGCCTCCAATCTTGTTCTTATTGACAACTACGATTCGTTTACCTGGAATGTCTACCAATATCTGTGTCTCGAGGGCGCAACCGTCACCGTATACCGCAACGATGAGATTACAATCGACCAGTTGATTGCCAAAAACCCCACCCAGCTGGTTATTAGCCCTGGTCCTGGCCACCCCGAAACAGACTCCGGTGTTAGCAAGNATGCCATCCGACACTTTGCTGGAAAGATCCCCATCTTCGGTGTCTGTATGGGCGAACAATGCATCTACTCCGTCTTTGGTGGTACTGTCGAGAAGACTGGCGAGATTCTCCACGGCAAGACCTCCCCTTTGCGACACGATGCCAAGGGCGTCTATGCCAACCTCCCTCAGGACATTCCCGTTACTCGCTACCACTCGCTTGCTGGAACTCACCCTACTCTTCCCGAATGTCTCGAGGTCTCCTCTTGGATTGCTATTGGTCCTGATGGAGGAAAGGGCGTTATCATGGGTGTGCGCCACAAGGAATACGTTATTGAGGGTGTCCAATACCACCCCGAGAGTATTTTGACCGAGGAGGGAAGACTGCAGATCAAGAACTTCCTGTACATGCAGGGCGGTACCTGGGCCGAGAACGATCGTCTGCAGAAAGAGGCAAAGTCAAATGCTCAACCAGCAAAGACCAATGGACAGATCAAGGACAAGCAGACAAACATTCTCGAGAAGATCTTCGCCCGTCGCAAGGAATTGGTTGCTGCCCAGAAAGAAATTCCTTCGCAAAGACCGGTCGACCTCCAGGCCGCCTACGACCTCGACCTCTCACCACCTCTAATTTCTTTCCCCGATCGTCTCAAGCAATCTCCTTACCAACTGTCCTTGATGGCTGAGATCAAGCGTGCTTCTCCCTCGAAAGGCATAATTTCAATTTCGACTTGCGCCCCTGCTCAAGCTCGCATCTACGCCCTCGCCGGTGCCAGCACCATCTCCGTCTTGACCGAGCCTGACTGGTTCAAGGGCAGCATCGATGACCTCAAGGCTGTTCGCCAAGCTCTGGCTGGTATGCCCAACCGCCCTGCTGTCTTGCGCAAGGAGTTTGTCTTCGATGAATACCAGATCTTGGAAGCCAGATTGGCTGGTGCCGACACCGTTTTGCTTATCGTCAAGATGCTCGACACTGAGACTCTCCACAGATTGTACAAGTACTCGCAGTCTCTTGGTATGGAGCCTTTGGTCGAGGTCAACAACGAGGAAGAAATGAAAATCGCTGTCGACATGGGCTCAAAGGTCATTGGTGTCAACAACCGTAATCTCACAAACTTCGAAGTCGACCTGGAGACCACCAGCCGTCTCATGTCGCTCGTCCCCAAGGAGACTGTTGTCTGTGCTCTTAGTGGCATCGCTGGATCAGAAGATGTTGTTCCTTACCAGAAGAACGGCGTTGGCGCTGTTCTTGTTGGCGAGGCTTTGATGCGCGCAAAGGACACTGCTCAATTCATCTCTGAACTGCTCGGTGGAAGTGTCAAGTCCGCTCGTAAGGAGTCCAAGAAGACACCAATGGTCAAGATTTGCGGCACTCGCTCTCCTGAAGCAGCCAAGGCTGCTATCGAGGCTGGCGCTGACTTCATTGGTATCATTCTTGTGAAGGGCCGTAAGCGATGCGTGTCTACTGAGACCGCTCTGCAAATCTCAAAAGTCATTCACGAGACACCCCGCAGTGGATCAGCCGCAGCTTCAGGCGAAGAGTCATTGCCCGTATCAGCAACAAACTACTTCGATCATACCACATCACAAAGCTTGGTCCACCCACGACACGCATTGCTCGTGGGTGTCTTCCAGAACCAGCCTTTGTCATACGTTTTAGAGCAACAGAAGCTTCTCAATCTTGACATTGTGCAACTACACGGATCTGAGCCGATCGAGTGGGCATCACTTATTCCTGTTCCTGTCATTCACGCTTTCCACCCTGGTGATGCTGGTCTTGCTACTCGTGGCTACCATGCATTGCCACTAGTCGATTCTGGCGCTGGCGGTTCTGGTGAGCAAGTGGACTTGACACAGGTTCAAGAACTTTTACAGAAGGACAGTGGTCTACGGATCATGCTTGCTGGTGGTCTCAACCCCAACAATGTCAAGCAGGTATTCAGTGGACTTGCCTCTAACATGAGCCAAGTCGCCATCCTAGATGTCAGCAGCGGTGTCGAAGAGAACGGTGAGCAGAGTCTTGCAAAGATTCGCGAGTTTGTTACTGCTGTCAAGGCTGGATCTTGATCACATAATGAACAAAATTAATAGAACAATGCCTTTTACTTTCAGACTTGGTCGCACCATCACTTCCTTGGTTCTCTTCTTGGTCCATCTGATCTATCACTGATAGTCACTTCTGATTACTCTATATTTATAGGCTGCTTGCTTCTCTGGCAAGGAGAATCTGTTTGTTGATTGTTCTTGACGGCGAATGTAAGTCTTCCTCTCGATCGTGGCTTCACTCGCTGGTTCGGGCTCACTCAACATCACTACTAAGACGCTCTATCAAGCCACAACTATTATTCATTGCTCTTATTCATCATCTCCTTCCTTCTCCTTCCGTCTTGCCTTTCTTCAAAGTTCACATCAACTTCTACTCCTTCTGTTCCTTCTACCCTTCCACCTCTACATCTCTCTGGTTCCGCCACTTCCATCCTTCTACCTTCTTTCTCTCTCCTTCCACTATCTTATACAACATACCTCTCTGCATTCTCATACTATCTATCAGGATCACGAACACTTGCCTGGTGCAGTTCGCTTCAGATCTCAAAGATCTCTAGAGATCTTCTCTGCTTGATTAGCGCGAAGACTCTCCGCTGCATCTCTCTCTTCCCATCGGTCGATTTCTACCAAAGCCTTCTGACTCTCCACACCAAGTCAATACCCAATCGCAACCACAACCATGGCTCCAAAGCTCAAGAACGCCGTCATCTGCTTCTCGGGCACCTTCGACGACTCCCCAGCCATCCTGCAAAAGTGGACCGAAGCCAACAGCGGCACCTACAACCGCAAGCTCACCTCCAACACCACCCACCTCGTCGTCAGCGAAGCCAACTGGCGTGCCCGCGTCCCTGAAGTGAAGACCGCACTCGAAGACGCCACCATCAAGATCGTCAACTACGAATGGTTCGACGACAAACTACGCCTTGCCCACCGCGTCACCGAAACCAAATACCTCTGGGCCAACATCGACGCGGAGCAAGTCAAGCAAGAAGCCAAGGAAGCCCGCGCGGCCTCTCGCGAAGCAAAGCGCGCCGAAAAGGAAAAAGAACGCAAGAAGAAAGATGCAGAGAGCATCAACTGGAGCGCTGCGTTGATGCAGCACACCAATGCCGTTGCCCGCGTTGATTCCAGCAGCGAAGATGAAGAAGACGAGGAGAGTGAGGATTCGTCTGTTGAGCAAACCAAATCTCTAACTCAGCAGTTTTCCAAGGGAGCTAAACAGGCAAAGCAGGATTTGATGGGTGAGAACCATCATGTTTACATGGACCATACTGGTTTTGTCTATGATGTTGTGGTCACCAAAGCTTCGGTGGAGCTTTCGCGTTTGGAAAAGGCTTCTATCATTGTAAGTTCTTTTGCTTGCCCTTTTCTTTTTTTTTTTTTTTTCCTCAAACAGATTTGGCTGATTGTTTTCTTCTTCTTCTTACACNAGATCTACGAAACCAACGCTGGACCTCCTCACTACTACTCCGTCATTGTCAAGATCCCTGAGAAGACTGATGTTGACGACTACGACCTTACCACCGTCACCAATGTCCCCTTCGCAACTGCATTCAAGTGCATGCGCGACAACTTCAAACTCCTCACCGGAGTTTCCTGGGAAAACCGCATCAAGAAGTTCAGCGATGGGCCTTCGCTAGCACCTCTTCCCCGTCCCAAAATCACAGTCTTGCCTCCTGCTGCATCCTCTCCTCCTGGAAAACTCTCCAAGATCTCCAAGAACACCAAGCAACAGCAAGAAGAAGCCACCCACGAGTCTCAGGAAAAGAACTTGGAGGCGGGGTTTGCGGCTCAAAAGTATCGGTACAGATTGCCTGCAGAGGGATCACCGAGGNGCACTATGCCCGATGGCTCACACCACGTGCACCAAAAGGAAAAGAGCGTTTGGGAGTTATTTGGCAAGCACGCAGACAGAAGTGCCGAAATTGCTGCTGCTAGAGAGGCCAAAAGGAAGAAATCAAGAGATNTGAGAAGGATGGCTTTGAAGAGACAGAATGCACAGCAGTCTAACAACAACAAGACTATGGAGGTTGTGGTTATCGAGTCTGATGACGAGGAAGAGGAAAGCGGAGAGGAGGAAAGTGGAGAAGAAGAAGCAGAGGATGAGGAAATGGAGGATGGATATGTTGCTGTCAATGCTGCTGGCAGGGATGTCGAGATGCAGAGTGTTGACTCTGTTGACGACAACACGGTTGGATCTGGCATGGAGGACTACACCATGGTCGATGCTCCTACTGCCCAAACCTGATCAAACAGCACTGCGGGATCTCAACACCTTCGACTTACGACTTACGGCCTACGACTTACGACTTTACGACACATACTGGATCTCGACCTTTTGCATCAGCCGAGCTCAGCCTTTCGAGCTCAGACAAGGGAGAAGGGAACCCAATCTTTTGTCTTTTTCTTTTGCTTTTTCGATCTCGTTTTCTTGCAAATTATGGAATGGGAGGCAGAGCAGCACGAGATACTGCAGAAATCGTGGACTTTACGAGCACTGAAGCCTTTCAGATAGGTGCTTTTCATTTAGTGGCACTTTCTTCAAATCAATCAAATCTTTGAAGGTTCTCTGCTTTCTCTCGCACAACGCATACGTTGCTGACTACTGATCCATGAGAATTGATGATTTTCTAAGCAGGAATTGCCAGTCTCGCTCAGAGGTTGTGCGATAAACGTCTATTCTCGTAGTAGTTCTGCAAGCTCAAGGCTAATGAGCATGTTCCGCATGGAAACCCGGACAGTTCAAGCCATCTTAGAGATAGGTAGTCTGAGAGATTGCAAGCAAACGGAAAAAGTAAAAGGCGCCCCATGTAGTATTTCGCAGTGTTTGGTATGGGAGGAACAGAGAACAGGCGTAAAATATGTATAGAAAGGAGGAGCGAGAAATGGGTCTTTTAGTTGCTTCTCTCGCCGCCCTTTGCAGCTCTCAACTCGTCCATCTTTGCGACGCGCTTCTTGAACTCTTCGTATTGGCACTTTTCGTATGAGTGTCTCTCGTTCNNTGTTTCGTTGTGTCAGAATCATAGATTGTAAGGACAAGTGGATCGATGGTTTATCGGGTGTCGAAGCCGTAAGGATAGGGATGAGCGTACCTCGCACTTCCAGGGAAGGTAGTACTCGTTGTGTCGGCAGCGGTTCAACGGAATCAAGAGGTGGGCGCAGGTGTCTCTGTAGGCGATGGGGAGTCTTGCGTCGGACATTTCCTCACGGGAAGCAGCTGTTGATTCACCAGTTGATCAGCATCATGATTCGAGCATTCCAATTGACGAGCGAGGGTGCAGAGCGGGTTGCAAGATGTGGGTGTTTGCGCGTGGACTGAATTGGACGGTCGCAGGAGGCATTGAGAGTAGCGATCGAGGGGGAGACGTACTGGTCGAAGGACCAGCTTCGAGGCCGACGGCATGCTTGATTGTTTCGGTGATGGCCATGGTTGTGCTTGTGTCTTGACTTTGGTTCACGACAGCTCCTTCTGCTATGACATTGGATGCGGTCGCATTGGCCGGCAACTCATTTGTGCCAAGGCCGGTCTCAGTTCACAGGGCGGAAGCGCCAAGGCCTTCACAACGCGTCTCACGTCTCCCTCAAGTCGACCGTGTCTTCCTCGTGTGTCGCATCAAAGGGTGCATCGGTGCGTCGCTATCCCGAAATCCAGATACTGACAAGCGCTTGCATGTGCTAAATCATGACTACAGCATAGCAATCATTTCACGCAGCAATCAATCTGGCTTCAGCTCGCCTTTGCGACGACAGCTCGACCTCTCTCTCTCTCTCTCGCTCCTCCACCCTCTCTCTGCTTCTTCACTGCATGACCGACCATGACGGACACTCGTATCTACTCGGCTACATACAGCAATGTGCCTGTCTATGAGTTCAACATCGAGGGCAACCATGTTATGCGACGTCGCTCCGACAATTGGATCAACGCAACCCACATCCTCAAAGTCGCCGATTTCGACAAGCCAACCCGTACCCGAATCCTCGAGCGCGAAGTTCAGAAAGGAACACATGAAAAGGTCCAGGGTGGTTATGGAAAATACCAAGGCACATGGATTCCCTTACCCGAGGGCCGCCAGCTGGCCGAACGAAACAGAGTCCTCGACAAGCTAAGACCAATCTTTGACTTTGTTCCAGGCGACAGGAGTCCGCCGCCTGCTCCCAAACACACAACTGCTGCGTCTAAGCCGCGCGCCAACAGGAAGCCTGTCAACAGGGTACCTGCACTGTCTCACATCTCCGAGGATGTTGACATGTACCATCATTCAGAAACACCTGATAATGTCACGGTCGCTTCAGAATCATACATAGACGACTACACCTACCCTCAAGACTCACGCAAACGCAAACATCCAGACGACGAAATGTCGCTAGCCGACCAGCACCACCAATTGTGGGCCGACGAACTGCTGGATTACTTCATGGTGCTTGAGAACCCGAACGACCCTTTCCAACCTCCTCCCATCCCACCCAGCGACATAGATCTCGACCGACCAATCGACGAAAAAGGACATACTGCTATGCATTGGGCTGCTGCCATGGGAGATCTAGCTGTCGTCAAGGATCTCATTGGCCGTGGTGCGAATATCAATGCCGTGAGTAATAATGGCGAGACTCCACTGATGCGTGCTGTCATCTTTACAAACAACTACGACAAGAGCACTATGGATCGTCTGGCTGGCTGGCTCGTGACTACCGTGCCTATGGTCGAGTGGTTTGGCAGCACCGTCTTCCACCACATTGCAGGAACAACCTCGTCGAAATCAAAATATGCTTGCGCTCGCTACTATCTTGATTGTATTCTTTCGAAGATGGCAGAGACTTATTCCCCCACAGACATTGAGCATGTACTTAACCTGAAAGATCGCAACGGCGATACTGCTATCCACATTGCTGCTAGAAATGGCGCAAGGAAGTGCGTACGAAGTCTTATCGGTCGACATGCTTCCGTTACCATTCCCAATGATCTAGGAGAAACAGCAGATGATCTTATCATCTCTCTCAATCGCCGCCGAAGAGATGGCCGCCATCGTGCTATGTCTTCTTCGCCCTTCCAGATGGACCCAACCTCTCACAACTCGGCCATGAACCTCGACCCAACTCTCGAAACACCCTCATCCCATAACCCACTGCTCGCTTCTGCGCCAGGCAACACGTCTATTCCTTCGAAGCCTCATCACACCTCCGAAGCAGGATCCGCTCTAACTAACCAAATCTTCCCTCTATTACTCAGCAAATCGGAAAAGTTAGCCGCAGCCTTTGATGCTGAAATCAACGAACGTGAAACAGATGTTGCAGAAGCTGAGCGAGTTGTTCAAGTGCGCACTGCTGAGATCGAATCACTGAAAAAGCAATCAATGGCCCTTGCAATGAGTGACCAAGAAGATGAATATGATGCTCGTCTACAAAGGCAACTCGGCAACTTGATCTCTCAATGTGAGAGCTTGATTGAAGACGAACAAGCCGCAGATCTCCAACTCTTACTCCGACAAGTCTCATCACAGCTGAACTCAAACAATGACATGGATATGAACGACTATCAAGACGAAGGCATGGAAAAGTTGTCTTTGCTGTTATCTATCAAAAGATTAAAAGAGGAGAGAATGACATTGGTGAAAGAAGTTGTGGCAAGCCAAGCAGAAGCCGGTATGGGAGACAGGCAAAAAGAGTATCGAAGGTTGGTTGTGGGAGCGTTGGGAGTCAGAGATGAGGATGTTGATGGTATGCTGCCTGATATCGTGGGCGAACTTGAGGAATGGCAGGGTATGGAAGGGGGTGTGGTTGGGGTTGGTGCATAGTGATGTTGATATTTGGGTTTCGATTCAGGGCTGTACGAGTGAAAGAGGGGAGGAGACGGAGAAACGCCTTTGTTTATATGGTGAGGTTTCTCATGTCCTTTGCTACATTATTATCCTCCACGATAAACCTTCAAGGCTTCGTATCGAGCATACAAGAACAGAAGGTATTCTCTGCAAACATCATACTTCAGAGGACCGAGGTGAAACTTCTCAATGAATGCTGGTTTCGTCAAATTTCTAGGACAGAAGGTGATGATACGTTCCCATGGCTGTTCGTGATGAAGCCTAAGACGTCTCCGCACCCTGGCTTCAATTCAAAATTGTGTGATCAATTCTGTTTCTTCCATACCTTCAACCACCGAGTCTTGCCATTGTCTTTCGTGTCTGACCTTCGGTCTCCACCTCATCACCCTGTCCGAGAACCCGATAATTTGAAGCACGGAGAAATATCGCGTTCCCTCGCGACACACGATCATCGCGCGTCATGGTGACGGCATGTGATATACCACTTTCACGTTCTCGCGGAACAAACCCCGGAAGACAATGACACCCTAACAAGGAACTGCCGAAGAGACATTGGTCAGCTTAATTTAAGTGGCCGAAGTCGACAACAAGCATTGACAAGGATAGACGAGGAGCGACGCTCCAACAGGACATGAACGTCCTTCCCCAGTCAACCCTCCCCATGGCTTCAAACGTCACGATTGCGGGTACTATGTCGTCTGCGGTCGCACCTGCCATCTTTAATTATGGGCTCGCTGACCAAACGATGACCCACGTTGAGCTGGCGATAAAGCTGGGTTATAAGTAGTCTTTTCTGCATCCGCTCGAAACCTTCTTACCTGATTGTTTACTCTATCATCTTCATCACTAAAGTATAATCAATAATGGCACCTCCAGACTTCAACCAAGCAAGCAGACGTGCAAACCCACCTGTCTACACCTTGCAGGAGGGTAAGTTGTACAAGGTTCAGAATGAATCAATATTTGACTAACTGGTTACAGGTGCACCTGTCTCTGATCCTTCGGCATCCCTGCAGGTCCGTACGACATATGGCGGTGGTGGCCTAGGTATCCTGGCCGATACTCAACTCATCGAAACACTCGCCCATTTCCCTCGCGAACGCATTCCTGAGCGTGTAGTACACGCAAAAGCAGCCGGAGCATGGGGAGATTTCGAAGTCACAGAAGACCTCTCAGACATCACTGATGCCAAATTCCTCAGTGGAAAGGGAAAGAAGACTCCTCTTCTTGCCCGTATCTCGACCACTGCTGGCGAGAGAGGTGCTGCCGACACTGTCCGTGATATTCGTGGCTGGTCCATGAAGCTCTTCACCGAGGAAGGAAACCAGGACTTTGTCTTCAACAGTCTGCCAGTCTTCTTTATTAGAGATCCTATCAAGTTCCCCAGTGTCAACCGCAGCCACAAGAGGCATCCTGTAACGAACATTCCTGACCCGGACATGTTCTGGGACTACCATATCAACAACCAGGAAGGTATTCATGCATTGATGCATCTCTTTGGTCTCCGCGGTATTCCTGCTTCGGTGAGTCTCTTTTTCTCAGCGATGGCTCCAATATAGTGCTAACGATCTGGCATAGNNCTCCGTAACATCAACGCTTTTGGTGTTCACACATACAAGCTCGGCAAGCAGGATGGCACTTTCGTCTACGTCAAGTGGCACATCAAGCCTGAGGCTGGCATCAAGAACCTTCATGCAGATGAGGCACTCCGCCTCGCTGGTGAATCTCCCGACTACCACGTCAAGGATCTTTACGACTCGATCGAGCGTGGAGACTACCCTAAATACGATGTCAACCTCCAGATAATGAACCCCAAGGAAGCAGAGGCCTCTGGTATCAACATCTTCGACAACACTTTCACCTGGCCTCACGAGAAATATCCCCTGCGCCCTGTCGGCAAGATCACATTCAACAAGAACCCCACCAACTACTTCCAGGATATTGAGCAGGCCGCCTTCTCTCCTTCAACAATGGTTCCTGGTGTTGGTCCTTCAGCCGATTTGATGCTCCAGGCACGCATGTTCAGTTACCCCGACGCTGCACGCTACCGTCTTGGACCCAACTATCAACAACTTCCCTGCAACAGACCTATCAGCCAAGTCTACTCACCCTACCAACGTGACGGCCCCGGACGCATGGATGGCAACTACGGTGCCGATCCTGACTACGTTCGCAGCAGCTACACCAAGCTTGCACACGGCAGCCACGAACTCGCTACTCACGAGCAATGGGTCGGTAAAGTAACCTCTGCATCGACTGACGTCACAGAGAAGGACTTTGAGCAACCCAGACAGCTGTGGCAGACTATGTTGAAGGAAGACGGTGGACGCGAGAACTTCCTCAAGAACTTGTGCCCTCATCTTGGTGGTGCTTCTGATGCTGTTATCGAGGAATCTATCAAGATGTTTGCCAGAGTCGATGAGGGACTTGGCAAGGATATCTCTCAGGGTATCAAGAACCACAAGGAGGGCAAGTCTATTGTTTAAGCGAGCCTTGAACATGAGATATGATGGGTTGTTTTTAATGATCATGATGAATATATCCTACGTTACTTGAACAATCCTCATCTCGGATCATTCAAACTATGAATGTGAAAAACACTTTTCTGCAAATTGCCAACAAGCTTTCCTTACTTTGAAGGATGCACGCCCTTGGGCATCTGGACCTTGAACACCAAAGCCTGATTATCGAGATTGTAGCCCGAAGCGTCTTTGTAAGGGTATTTTCCACCATCCATGTAACCTGTTTGCATCAAAAGTCAGTTTCCATAACTACGTTGACATAAACAGGATCCAGATGCACACATACCATTCTGAGTGATGAAATCATTATCACTGAGAGAAAACACAAAGTACTCTCCATCATTTCCATCACCGGTAACAGGGACCGTAGCAATAGACTCCCACTTCTCATTCAGGAGGCCTGCATCCTGCGCACCTCCATTGTGAACACCGAATCTGTTGAGTTGGGCATTGACATTAAAGTCCAGGAAAGAGCAGTAGCTTGCTGGTTGCACTGCACTGCTCAGCACACCCTTTGGGCTAGCAACAGAAGCGTTAAAAGCGTCGTAAGTAACCCCTGCAATATTCGTCGCGTTGGAAATGTCGAAAATATCAATGTGGCGATACACAGAAGTTGACGAGGCTTGACCGTGTCCAGCATTGGAGTCTCTAGCCAGAATAAAGAATTGCGTGGGTGTTAAAAAGTGGATCTCGGACTGTGCGGCTACTTTGTCGTTGTCGTTGTATAGAGGCAAGGGAACAATGTATTCGGCTTCATACACGGCAGGAAAAGAAGCAGAGTATTGCAGCAAACGCGCATAACGTCTGTTTTTCTTNTTGAGACCGCCTTCTTGGTTGAGTGCTGATTGCATCAATGCGTAAAGGTGTTTGCCATCTGCAGAGGCAGTTAACCCTTCCAAGCCTTGGTTGTTTGCTCGTCCCTGCGTAGGATCCTCGGGCGTAATCTCCTCATCAGGATTGTACACCGGTGGCGAATCAGCACTGAAACTTTCCGTTCCATTGCGCAAAGGAATATATGCGTTAGGAGGCCGAATCGCCTGTATCATCTTTCCAGAAGCAGAAAATTGGTAGATGCAAGGACCGTATTCGTCGGAAACGTAGAATGAACCGTCGGGATTGAGGATTAAGCCTTCAGAGTCTACGGAGACTCGGTGGCCGCCTGTGCCGTTGTTTCCAAATCCATCGCCGGTGTAGGTTGCAGCTGGTAAGTCTGGGAATCCAGGGAATTGGAGGTAGGGGCCAGTGACATCGGGGTCCAAGCCAGTGACAGGAGTACCACTAGGGTCGGTAAAGCGGATTGTGTCCAAGTACGAGAAATGCAGATTAGGAGCTGATGGCGACTCCACAGTCGCGTTCTCTTGCAGAGCTAATGTGATCTGGAACTTGTGGACTCTGTTCTGGTAGTTCAAGGTACCTTGAGTGTTCCAGCCTCTATCTNNGTTCAATTCCACCACTACATCAGCAAAAGTGTTTCGAACTCAATCGGGAGTTGCACTGTCGTGGTTCATTGAAAGTGCAGCAGAAGCAAAAGACTTACCAGGTAACGCCCACAAAATCCCTTGATAAGAGTTTGGCCCCATCTTCTTCCAAGTCTTTTGGTCAATGGCAATGGACGACCCAATTCCACCCAGAGTATCTCCAAACTTGTCTCTGGCATCGCTTTTGATGAAGCCATAGCCAGCCAATTCCTGGTAGACATAAGTCTGACCTCCACAAATGGTGGAATTGACAACGGACGAAGAGGAAGGAGCACTAGGCTTTGCGGGTGCTTGGGGAGGAGTGGGCGGTGCAGGTGCCTTAGGTAGGCTTGGAGAGCTTGGTGCATTGGGAGCACTGGGAGGAGTAAGGGGAGCAGGAGGACTAGGTGATTGAGGAGGCAGAGCAGTAACAAGACCACCAACAGCTGCCAGAGCAGCCAAACGAGAAAGCAACAACATGATGCCAAGGAAACAACAACTAAAATCCCAATTGACAAAGGATAGATACCTACTTCCCCAAACATCAAAGCAGCAACCTGCCTCTTATATACCTACCTACATTATTTCTTAGGGAGGTGGTTGAGGTCAACATCAAGAGCTCCGCGGGCCCGCTCCACTACGGCAAAGTAGTCATTGTGCATAGAACAGAACATCGCCACAGGTACATTGGTTGGCCTTCTCATTCCCCTGGAAAGGTCTCCACTACTGTTGGCAGTGCCGACCAAGTCTCGAACTGGAGTTCGAAGTACCACGAGGAGACGTCAAAGAGCATGATTGGCTCACAAGCCGAGCCGCCTGTGCCAAGACTTTGATATCCGTTGCGGCGTGCTGCGCACCTTTGAAGATCAACGAGCAGAGTGTTGAAGGGGAGATGATCGACTTCAATTGAGAATGTTGCAAAAACGAAAGTTTGGAACGTGGATCGAAAGTTTGAGGTCCCGCTGCAGGCACGTGTGAATCCAAAAGCCACATGCGAGTTTGTGTGGAGCTGTCGAAGTGGAGAGGCGACTCGCAGCGTTTGTACGGCGGAACAGGAACAACAACAAAGGAAGGGAACTTCATGGGCTTACAAGTGAGGCTGTTCGATATGCAATCTGTGGAGGTAAGAGGTGCAATTCTGTTGCACACAGAGGAAACCATCTGATTCATCAAGATGGGAAGAACACAATCGGTGACCACATGTGACGAGCACACGACCTCCTGACGGAGAGAGAATATAGCAGATTAATACCATAGCAGAACGCTTCAACAAGGTCCGGATTTGAAGAGTTGGATAGTAATGGATGACTTTTGTGACAATTTGGTTCTAATGTGAATTATCTCGAGTTTTCGACTCCAAGTCCAAGGACACAACAACCATTCTTTGCCCTCGTACCTGAAAATACAAGATACAGTAGGCTGTGAGTGATTGCATAGTCTCTTGGACAAAGTACCCTCCAGGACTTGAAAAGTCCCGCGGTGTAGAGTCCGACTCCAGCAGCAAGTCTGCTGAAGGATATCCTGATCGCGCTTTGAGAAACATCCAGCCATCAGGTCAGGACGATCAGCCATTGAGAGTTGTCCACAGGGATGACAGCTGCTCAGCCCTGAGTAGGTTTTTGAAACATAAGAGACGCATGTTCTCTTCAGAAGTCGCAGGACTCGGCGATGAGTTCTGCGAGCTCTTCCAAGTACTTCTTGTCCTCGTCGTCAAAGCCGTTCTTGACGGCACAATCGACATCGATAATAGCAACAACNCTAGAACTCCATCAGTCCACATTCCCAAAACACATTCTCAAACACCTTTCGCAGTGTTGTCTCCAGAGGCCTCAGCAGAAACAACAACAAACCCACAGAAGAACAGGAAAACTCACCTTGCCACTTTGCAGAATCGGAACAACAATCTCAGAAGCACTCTCAGCATCACAAGCAATATGTCCAGGGAACTCCTCTACATCGGCCACTAGTTGCGTGGTCTTGGTGCTAGCGGCAGTGCCACAAACACCTCTGCCAAATCTGATGGTCTGACAAGCTACTTTGCCTTGAAAGGGTCCAAGGATCAATTGGTTGGTTGAGGAAGAAGGGTCAAGAACGTAGAAACCGGCCCAGTTGGTCTGAGAAGAGGGAGAAGGGAGAGCGTGGAGGGCGTGCCAGAGGAGAGAGGCGGCATTGGAGAGGTTACTGTGGGTTTGGGTGGTTAGTGGGTTGTGGGAGGACGGAAGTGGTGGCAGGGTGATGTGGTTACCAGACCTAGGTAGATTGTTGTTAGCTTCATGTTTTACTTATGGATTGCAGTCTTCGCAAAAGATGTTTTTTTTTTTGGTACAAAACACGATGCTGTTGCTGTGTACGAGACATCAAAGCGATTGCATGAATGATTTTTTGCTTGCGTGGAGCATAGTTGAGAGTCATGACAACATGTAATGGTTGATAGCGATAGTTGGTCAAAAGAAGAGATGAACAGAAAAGACTTACCCAATTCCTCTGCTCATAAAACAATCCTCTTGCTTGTTCCAGAACTTGAGTGTAAGCCTCCTGCTTGCTCACATTGGAGACAAAGTTGGACGCGTCGGCATGCACCTTTACCATATTACTTCAGCAATTGGATTGGCACTTCTTGAGCTAGTACCTTCTTACCATGATTGTTTGGATTCTTCTTGGATCTTTTCCCGAAAAGTGAAGTACCTGCTATACAAAAGAGTCACGCGACAACAAAAAGAGAGTCAAGTGAAAAAATTACGGATGTATCGGGCATCCCACTCCGCAATTTGCTCGGACCACAAACACATTTGGAACTCGTGGAAGATGGAAGAATGCAAAAACAGGCAAGCACGCCATCGCGAGTGATGTCTATTTCATGGCAGCAGACACTCTGGCATTGTGACACGAAATTTATAGACATCGTCCATGACCGTGACGCAACGCGACCCATGCCGATGAGTGAAGTCGCCGCGCATAGGTGGAAGCCGCTGATACCCGACGATTGTGAATTTCTGATCATGTCAGCTTGGCTAGAGGAATCACCCTGCCCTTTCACAGAAAGACATCAAGCGAACACGCATATCATCTAGGACGAAAACATGCTATAACGATGTATGAAAACACAAATATACAGTTGATGCTACGTCCTGTTCCGAAAGAGCACGGATTCTTTGCTGCTGAAAGTCGTTCATCTTGATTCGCGATTTGCAGTGCGTGTAGCAACACTAGGAAATGGTCTTGGACAGCTTCTGAGGAGGAAGGTTCACAGCAACAGACTTAAGAAATGATATGTATGATCTATAATCTCAATGAAGACTGGTATGCAGCAAAAAGCAAACAATGCAAAACGAGGGAAACAAGAGTCGATCCCTCTGATATGAATGCACGCCGCAGGAAGGCGTTTTGGTATCTCTGAAAGCAAAATGAGGAAACAACGCAAGCAAGGAAAAATGCCCAAAAAGCATACAATATACAAAACGATGCATGGGAAAAACAAGGGTAAAAAGAGGCAGAGGATGTCTTCTCAAATGTCCTTCTTCTCCTCATCCTCATCCTCAACCTCTACATCCGCATCTGCCATCTCCCATCCATCAACAGCAGACGCATCTTCACTTCTTCTTCTGCGTCCGCGCTGTTTCATCGCATCTCTGATCTTTTCAGTGACTTGTTCATACCCGCCTTTAGAGTCAATGGTGGTCATAGGCTTCATGGCTGTGAAGCCCATGCCGCCATCACTGCTCGTGCGACTACGATTGCGACTGCGCGAGCGGTTGGGAGTGTGAGGTCGTGATGAGAAGAAGCCGAAGCCACCGATGTTGCCAAAAGATTCGTTGCGAGGCAGGTGAGTAGTGTTTTGGCCGCTGCCACCTCCAATACTGGCACCTGCGGTGCCCGTGCGGCTGAAATAGCCTGCGAGGTCTGGAGAGGTCATGGACATGCGGTCGTATTCGGAACTGCGGCGAGAGCGGGGAGTTTGAGGCTGTGAGTATTGAGGCGAGAGTGGGTGGTTGGGATCAGAGACAATGCGCTGGTGGTCGAAGTCGGGGTACAGTTCGGGACCAAGCTCGTTGATGACTTCTGTCACTTGTTCGACCAGCGAAGCACGCTTGGCTCTCAGCTTGACTAAGGTATTGCCTGACGATGGCCCCAAGGAGAGGATTAGAGGACGCAACGACTTGACAATGTCCATACCAACTTCACCAAAACGGAGAGCGGCAAATGTTATGGCTGGGAACAGAATATAGCCAAAGGCAAAGACAGCCCACAGAGGAACCCATTGCGGCACACGGCTACCGATACGGTTGTAGTGAGTCCATATGGCCAAGATGATGTTGTAGAAATTGTAGAGTAGAGGTGCGACGACCATGGATACAAGCAATTTCCAAGTTGCCATGACATCGCGACCTTGAATTTTGACCGTCGAAGCTGCCAAAGCTTCACGAGACTTCTTGATTGAGTAGACTTTGCCAGTGATGAAGACAGGAGCGAAAAGGACGAGACCTGGAAGCACGGCAACAGCCAGCACGAGTAGCTTGCCGAGGCGGTAGAAAAGTGTAAGGATGACCTTGAAGATGGAGAACTTGGCGTAGCTGACTTGGTGATCACGGATGTTGAGCATCATCAGCTCCTTGTTGTATGCCAGAATAGCCTTCTTTAGATTGACAATCCGAGGATCATCCTTGTAAGTGGTGTAGCCTTTGACAAGACGTCTATTGAGCTCGACGACCATTGGCAAAGGAAGCTTCTTGCCCTTGGGATTGTACAAACGTCTTACTGCTTGAATGAGNCTAGACAGTGTTAGGGTGTGACTGACATATGTTTGGACGAAAGCTAAGCTTACCATGAGAGTGTCGTAGTCAGGACTTGTGACGGTAACAGAGACGAGAGCTTGATAGACGGTTTCCAAGACTTGACCAACAGCCTCACGCTTTTGACCATTCTTGTACATCTCAACCAGTTCATTGGGGATCTCAACAGGGGTACCGAATTCGACGACAGCTCGCGAACGGAACTTGTGGGCGTGGAAATAGTTCATACCACAAGGAACAATCTTAACGCCACAATTGGGATCTTCTGCAAGCGCACCAAGAGCCATGATAGCGACACCAGCTGCTTATGATTAGTCAAGTCATGTAACGATGAAGTCGCAACATACCTTTNNCAAGGGCAGCAATTCAGTTCTGTCGTGGCTTCCACCTTCAGGGAAGATACCAATGCAACCGCCCTCATGCAACTTCTGGAAGACGGAAGAGTAAACTTCACCCTGATCAACATGGGGAGCAATCTCGAAGTCTGTGCCTTCGAAGCCTTCAGTCAACTTGGCATCAGCCTTTTCGTCTTTGACTTCTTGACCAGTCAACTGTCGCATGGCAACATTTCCGCTGAAGGGCTTCTTCAGACGAATCTCGTTGGGACCCAGAATCTCCTTGATCTCAGTGTTCGCAAACTTGTTCTTGAAGCTCGGCAGCGCAAGCACTCCTCCAACCATAAAAACATCCTTGTTCTCAAAGTCCGTGTCAACACCCTTGAGCAGAGTCGGATCGCCCTCGGGATTTGGCAGGTATATTTTGCCTTTGGCAGGCTTCTTCATGTCCAAGGCACGACCAACAGGCACTGAGCCGACCATTCTTGCACCCCAACCAATAAACTTCCTCTTCATAGACTTTTCGGCGATCAAGAAGCAGATGCGGCGGTAAGCATCCCTACGCAGAACACGCATCAGGATCAAGGGGTCGACAAATTGGTTGGCGTGAGGAGCGGCAACGATGATGACGGGGCCATTGCGAGGAACTTTCAANGAACTGCGAGGGTGAACCTCGCGGAAGAAGAGGTCGACAAGGACGGAAAAGGTCCACAGCCAGGCATCGTAGACGAGATTTGGCCAGAAGTTGGACTTGGTCTTGCGAGTTGACGGAGCCATGATGGATGTGGAGCGACGTGATTGAGGGTACGATGTCACGTCTCGTGTGGAACCGCAGGACAGATATACGAATGTCTCTTCTCCACTAGGCGGCAAAGTGGCGGAGGGACTTCTTATGCTGTATCACTCGGCGGATGTGAAGATGTTCGCGATTGGGCGCGGTGAATTGCAGGCATCCGTTGCGGCGCGCCGCGGGAGGAGAAACGGGCTCACTGCAATGTATTGAGTGAGGGGAAAGTGGGCGGTAGTCGGTCCAGAGGAAAGCACCTTCCAAAATGCGTAGAAGGATGTCCAGCTCGTACTCTCAACGTATGCTGGACGGGCTCTGCATATGCTGGTGGGACTTCAACAACAAGGGGATTCTTCTTAGGACCAAGGAGCTGGCGGGGCTAACATTTCCTGGGGAAAGCTGACCCTGACCGCCAATCGGCTCACTCTTCCGATCCGTGTCATCATAGTCAACGTTCCCATGTCACACAAATAGATTACCATATAAGGGCAATACCTGCTTGCTTCTGGGATACAAAAGAGATGCTACCAGCTATACACAAAGAAACAACGGCTCCTGCCTCAAGCAGAACCACCTCCAATACCACCAGACTTCGCCCATCGCCCGCAGAATCGCTTGTCCTTCCATTTTAGAAACAACGCTCGCAGAACAAGAATCAAGATAGAGTCATTTGATCTTTCACTCCGTAGAGCTCGTTTAGAAGAGTTTAGGCTTGGAGATCGGGTCGCCGGCATCGTCGGGGTACACCCACATAGCTAGGGCGATGATGATGTATGTACCAATGCACATGGCTCCTTCGAGGTAGTTGCTCTTTCCATCGGCAATCAGGTAGTTAACCACGAGAACACTGACAAAGAAGACAACAGTCTCGAACATCTGGAAGTGCAAAGTCATGGGCTGTCCCATGGCCCATCCGAGGAGGACAAGGAAAGGAGTGACAAACAGAGCAATCTGGAGCGAAGATCCGATCGCAACACCAATGGCAAGGTCCATCTTGTTCTTGTACGCAACAACACATGCTGTGACGTGTTCTGCTGCGTTTCCGACAATGGGCAGGAGGATCAGACCAATAAATGTCTTCGAAATGTGCGCCTCTTCAACGATAGCATCGATCGAGTCAACCAGGTACTCGGCACAGACTGCGACAGCAACTGTGATAATGACAAGTGCGATGGCGGCGGGAACAGGCTTCAGGACCTCGGGTTCCTTGTCATCCTCTCCATCCTGCTGCTCCTCGTCGAACAAGTTGGCGTGAGTCTTGAGCTGGAAGAAAAGGTAGAGACAGTAGAGAATGAGCATGATGATAGCAGTGCCGTGGGAGAGAATGAGGATGTTGTCGTCGGTGCGCTCCTTGGAATTGGCCAGAGCTGCGTAAAGAGTGGCAGGGATGATCAAGGAGGCAGAAGCGACAGCCATAAGGGAGGACATGGTCGAAGCAACGGTCGAGTTGAAAGACTGCTCCTGGTGTCTCCAGCCACCACAGAGGAAACAGCAGCCAAGAACGAGAAGGATGTTGGAGAGGATACTGCCGAGCATACTGGCCTGAACAATGCGAATTTCGCCTTTCTGCAGAGCGACGATCGAAACCNNTAGGCAAACATTGATTAGCTGGGTCTCCTTACGGCACATGCGCAAGATTCAACATACGATCAATTCGACAGCATTTCCGAAAGTCGCGTTCATGAGACCACCAATTGTCTGGCCTAGCTTCACACTGAGCTCTTCGGTAGCAAAACTCAGAAGAGCAGCAAGAGGAACAATAGCCAGGAAGTTGACAACGAATACGGCGGTAGGGTTCATGCCCAAGGCTCCGAGGGCAATACCGACAGGGACAAAGACGAGCAGGATGTTGACATAGTTGCTGGCAAGGACGGCCCAGGTGGTGTAAAGGAAGCTCATGGGATAGCTGACCCAGGCTCTATCGTCGTCCTTATAGGATGCCACACGCGTGCGCAAGCTCTTCATGTTGCCCAAACGCGATGTGCTCTCATTGACCAGAGGAGTGTTCTCGTCGGCGTCGCCGTTGGCGCCATAGTTAGGACCATCCATCGAGGAGCGTGATTCACTGGTTGAGGTTCGTCCAGCGCGTCCAAACTTGGATCTTACTTTGTCTTTATGCCAACACTTAGTATCAGTAAGATGCGCCAAGTAGGATGTCAAATGTTCGGTAGCGGCGCGAGGTAAGGTGGACTGTGAATTCCTCTGTGCGAGGCCAGGTAGATGGGCAATGGACAGGGACCGAACGGATATCACTCACTCATGTCTAGAAAGGGAAGAGAGAAAAGAGAGCCAAGTGTGGATGAAGGTCTTAGCTGAATATGAGGGTCACCGGACTCGTTGGCTCAAGGATAACTCTATTCTACAATGTGAGCTGTCGCGACGGGTGAGTGGTGAAAAANNGACCCGTTGTGGAATCAATGAAACCCGCTGGCACTGTTCAAGCCAAGAGGAATGGAANCTGTGGTGGAGGCGCAGCACAGCACGCTTGCAGCAAAGAATTGGGGACAGAAGATGGTGCGAGATGAAGAGCGGCGCAGAAGTGACAAAGGAACCAAGAGAAAAGGTGTTGCACGAGGGCTTTGGCCGCACTCTTCCGCCAAACAACTTCTTGGTTTGTGGTTTTTGAAAGGGAGCTTTCGTAAAATGAAGTCATTGAGGCTGTGCAAACTGGTGTATCTAAACCTAATTTTGCTTAGAGCACCTTGCTCTCCCCATCTTTATACCCGCCGGTCATGTTTTTCTGAAACACGATATCTTAACGGGTCTCGTGTTTCTGAAGCAGAAAAGGCTTTGCTGCAGGCGAACACTCAAGGAGATGGAGTTGTCGCGATGGAAGATGCTGAGCGTGGAGTGAGGAATTCTTCCACAAGGTATGGGTAGATCGTGGTACCTCTCCCCTACCAATCATGCCGTGGTAGCACCACCACCACTGCTCGGGCTGCAATAACTGGGATCCCGGTTGCACAATTGTCAGCCATGTGCAGGCATCAAGAAGAAGTCCCGGTATCCGGAGATCGGTTGCACGTTTATGCAAGATAGGTTGGCGACCTCTTACGACCTACCACATTGTCTTGCATCAGAATTCATATGGCAGATGCGCTGTCATTATCTACAATATGCAATGAAATGAAGTAGGCAGAATGATGTGTAGCATCGAAATTAATCCATGATATACTCAGAGAACAAAATGACTCAAGAAGAAAAACCCAAATCCCAAAATGAAAGACTACACCAGACCAGAAACCCCAAGATACAACAAGAAAAGACATGAACTCCTTGGTGTATACCAGCTCAACCCATCATTTCCCATGAATGCTCCTTCGCATATAACACCTGTTCCTCTTGAATACGCCATCGACGCCATCGCAAGAACGCAGTCAGAAACATTGCTGTACTGTATCGTCTAACGACCTTCGATAGCGTATCCCTCATCAGGGCCTCTGACAATGCCCACCCTTCTGGTACCTGCGTCGTGTATGATCTCGTAGAGTCGGCTCTTNTGCGCCTCTCTTGTAGCTCGTAGGCTGAGGTAAGTACCCTCCAAACCCTTGATCTGCTCATCGACAGTAAGGGTGCTTGTGCCATTAGACCTTACAAGAGGTGAGACGAGCTTCTTGCGCAGAATTTCTAGATTGCTCCTGAGTTGAAGCAGGCGACCATTGTGATCAACAAGAACATGCTTGTTCTGGATGGTGCGTTCGCGGAGAGACGAGAGAAGCTGCTTGTTCTTCTCGAACTTCTTCAGCCTCGAAGCATTGACTCCGATGACTCGAGCCCACAGCGAGGCCAGCGCCTCGTTCTCCTCTCGCTCTTGTGCATCGGTCTCGCGAATGACGACGCGCTGTAGATTGAGGAACTGTCGGTCGATAGCCTCGAAGTGGGCAAACAAGCTCATACTGGCAGTCAACTCATTGTTGATGCTCTCTTCGAGTACGCCGAGGAAATCGGTAAAGGTGCGTTGGAGAGTGGCGCGTGTGACTTGGGGTGCAGTGTGGCCAAAGAGTTCAGCGACAATCTTTCCAACTGCAGTCTGTTCTCCTGTACGGTGATCTTCGAGAAGACCAACTCGCGACAGTAGAGAGTGGAGATTTGAGAAGGCCAGCGACATGTGTGATGCTGGCAAGGTGTTGAGCTTGGTGAGCTCTCTCTGTGCCCACTCCATGACAATGAGGATACTGTCGATGTCGCCATCGACTCCTGCAAAGAAGCGAGTCAACTCATGAGCGAGGTTCTTCAGACTGTCCGAAAGCTCGTCGAGTTCGCGCACAATGATGGGACCTGAGGTCATGTTGGTTGAGCGAACGCTCTCACCCAAGTCCCATACGGCAACGCCAGTCTCGCCTAGCTGAACGACTTGGCTATGACCGTTTTCACTGTAGTACATCAGAGGTTCAAAGGACTTGGCCAGGCCAGCCACCTTGACAAGGTCAGGGGTGGGTCCAGTCACGGGTTCTGAAAACAAAGCGCGAGTGAGAGTCAGTACGAACAAGGCTGACATGAATGTGAGGAACGTAGTGTATCGATTCTTGGTAAAGCGACCCCAAAGTTTGCGGAAATGGGCTATGACTGCTTCGATGGGTTCTGTGCGCTGTTGCACGTCTGCTCGAACGGAAAAACGGATATCTACCATCCTGGTCAGCCGTCATGATCAGTGCAATCACACGACGATGCATACANNGTTATCATGCTTGTCCGGCCATGATTGTTCCCCTTCCTTCTGCGATTGGGCCATTTGCCTTCTCTTGTCTTCATCTTGCTTGAGGACTGCGGCAACGGTAGGACTGTAACTAGGTTCTGGGCTCCTGCCCTTGAGAGGACTGATGGGTAGAGGAATGCCCGCTGCTACTAAGATATCTTCATCGTCATCATACGGCGTCAAACCCTTTCTGTATTCCTCCGGACTGCACTCCCTGCTTCCGTATGGCGACATGAGACCGGTCTGCTGAAGGTGATGCTTGAACCAACCACTTCCTGCTTTGCGCCAGGCGGGTGGTGACCAACCTCCGTCGATATCGGGTTGGGTTGCTGCCTCGGAGTAGTCTGAAGCAGTCGGGCTCATGAACTGGATGCGCGCATGCGAATCAGGTCGCAGAAATTCAGGAGAGTTTGCGCGGAACTCAAAATCTTCCATAGACGCGTCGACCGAAGGGTGCGATTCGTAGATGGGGCGAGTAACAGTCGTGCTCATGCTATGGTGGTGGTATCGTGTTGACGGAGTTAAGATAACGGGTACTGATAAGCTTTCGAGTTGGACGATGACGAGTGTACAAGGTAGATTGTTGTATATGTATCCAAGGAGCAAGGATATATGAGAGAGGGTTGGGCGAGTAGGTCATGAACAGGCGCAGCGGTCAAGAGTGATAGGCAAGAGCGCAAGACGCTATCAGTGTGACTGGGCCGAGAGTCAGTTGTGCGCCAGCCCTATCAGGCACGCGCGTTGATCAGCTCGCGGGTGTCGGTCTTCTGTTTGACCAGAGAGTGTTTGTTGCGCGTTTGTGTTCAAAAGTACCCGAGTGGAATTGGACAGTGTATAGTTATGCGCGATGAATAAGAAAGAGGATCACCCTAGAAATGAAAGCGGGAGGTGCGAGGGTATAAAGAGGGGTAGTATCGAGACCTGGTCTTCCACCAGCCACCCGAATGTGCAGGCGCGACGCTAGCTCCGCATGTCATTGGTTACATCTCGTCCGGACCGCCGTTTCTTGATCTTGCAGCTGGTCAAAAGTCATAGTTGCGACAACATTTGTCTCTTTCCGCCCTAGAAATCACCTTGCTTTTCCTTCGATAGTCCATTTCGTCCATTCTTGGAGCGCGTCCTCGTGTTTGATTCGCGCACTTTGTTACTCAAACTGTATCTTAGTCTGCGATTCGTGCCGTTGATGAGTTTCGGCCCAATCCCATTTTCGAGCCGACCCCACCATCCTTCCGCCGTCTTGGGGAGTTTGAAGTCTCAATCAGAGCCACCAAGGTGGTTTGCGCAGGCGTGCGCTTGAAGGGCCACTTCAGCTCTGCAACCTGTTGCCGTTCCTCTGTTTGTCTGCTGTACGAAATGTCTTCACAAGAGCGGAGTCGAGGGCTCTTGCAGCGGCGATCAGAATCAAACCCCAAGCTGCACCTCCTGTCCTGCTGACCGCCAATTCAGCCGCCTCTGATATCACACAGCCTAACTACTCGAGTGTCGTCTTCGAAACAATACACATGGCGGTGTCTGATCTTGCAAACCGACATGTTTGAAACTGCGTTAGGATCCGTATCTATAGCCACAGCACGGTAAATACTCTGTGAGGATTAGCACAACGAACGATACAAAACTCGATCTGTCAATCTCCATGCATGAACAGTGCAAGGGCTGCGGGTGGCCGCCCACTGAAGCTTGACCTGATCCACAGTCTCGTATCTTGTACAAAAGACGCAGGGCACAACGCCAATCTCATCCTTAGAGGTTGTTGTGGAACTCTATCTTATGTGATGAACACCGCGACCTCCCCTTCAAGGTGCCTGTCATTGCGACGGTAATTCCGAGCAACCTTGCGTAGAACATGGTAAGGGCTCTGCAACAAGTAGTCTACAGGTGGTACAGGAGATGTGGGTTGCAAAGCCACGCGAGGACTTCTGTACACTTCTATGGCTCGATGTGTGGCAGATTTACGCTTTCGAGACACGAGCAATTGTCGAAACTCGATTTTCCGGCGACCTCTCACGAAGTTGCCGACCACGATGGCTCTTGATGCTCGAAAACGAACAAAAGACATGTCAAGTCGTTGGTCATTCTTGAGGCTCGAACCTGCAGACATGCGGCTTCCTTGGAGTCAAGCATCCGAGATCCACACAGCACGCTCCTCTCCTCGTCTCGTGCTTGCTCATCAGCACTCAGCCTCCTCCATGCATTCAGCTTCTCAATGCATGTTACTCGCGCTCACAATTGCGCAAAGCTCTGCGCAGTCTCCCAGGCAAAATGCTTGAAAAACAGATCAGCATTAAGAGAACAACCGAACTATTAGCCGCTACGATTAGTTGAGGGTCAACAGCAGCCCGAGATAGTGAAACCGAGGCAACGGAACGTCCACGTCCACGTTTGACCGACCCGTCCCGCCCCGTTAAGAACACCCTGAGGTTTCTGACAGCTCGAACGACAGAAAGGACACGACAGACCGGGCAGCGATGCTCTCATGAAGAGTACTGACTGCCTGGAAACCTTGCAGAAGAGAGAAGAGGGAGGAACATCGATTTATCATCGTGACAAATGCGACTCGTGATGCGAATAGGCACGGGAATAAATTTGTTGCAGCACTATGCGGATTTGCTCGGAGAACGTTCATTTCACGTGGAGATGCGAACGGGTTCGTTTCTGTTGCGAGCTTGCTTGCCCACGCTTGCAGCAGAACTGTTTCTATGCATGATTCTTTTACAACTACCGATATTGCTTCACGAGATGCCACAGGATTTGCGATTCAGGAATCCACCTAGGAAGCAATATAACAGAGGTCCAGGTGCCTGAGAAAAGGTCCGAGCCCCTCCGGCTCCGCATCGCATCATCATCTGGCTGAATGATAGCTGAACTCCACCTTCCAACCTTAAATTCTTCACCTTTAGCAGAATCACAACCAAGCTTTTTGTCGCCGCTCAACCGCCTACTCTGAACGCCCCCCTTTCTCACTCTCTCACGCAGTCCTAATGCTCTTGGGCAAGTCGTGGTGCATCGGTTGTCGAAGATGCATCGCGACGTCGAGGAGTTCGGCCTCGATCCAATCTCTACGATTGTAGTCGGCGCGGTCATGTTCTTGTTGACTGGGCTTGCGTTGTTCCTGAGGGTATACGTACGAGGCGCTCTCATCAAGTCTTTTGGCTGGGACGACAGGACTCTCTGTTTCGCTTTTTTTCTTTACACTGGTAATTGCATTATCCTAATACTCATGGGTGCAACACAAGCTGTTGATGGTATTGAAGCCCTTTCTGCTTCTCGGAAACTTGCANAAGGTCGGTTCATCGAAGACACAAGCTCTGACTGCCAAGCTGACAAGAAACAGCTTTCAATCGCTGGCATAACCGTCTGGAACGCTACCGAAATCTTCATCAAGATATCTGCTGCATTGTTCTTTCTCCGACTGGTCCAAGAAATCTGGCAGAGGCGTGTCATACTCATATCAATTACCATTTATGTCATGGTTATGACAACGGTCATCTTACTCACCATCTTCCAATGCGGAGTTCCCTCGAACATCTTCATACACCGCAATTGCCTGGACTGGGACTCTGTAATGGGACCCATCAGCTACTTCAGTGGAGCCTTGACAGCATTAACAGACTGGATCTTTGTCCTGACAACTGTAAGTCTCGTCTTGAAAACCAAAATGCCGCCACGAGCCAAGATTTCCANNGTTGTGTTGCTTCTTTCTCTGGCCGCTATGGGTAGCATAGTCTCCATCGCACGGATTCCTTTCATCCGCGGAGGAAGATATCAACTCAGTACAACTGCAAAACTCCCTCGAGTAGTCATTCTCGCAGCTATAGAAGCAGGCATTGGCATCATCGCACTTTCGCTGGCTACGCTGCGACCACTTGTCAAGACCTGGATGGATGCATTGAGTAGCAAAGCTTCCTCATCATCTGAGGATGTCGAGCGTCAGGTCGCCGCTGCTGCGCACCGAGGCGTGCCAGCTGTGGTTGTCGCTGGTCCTTCTGGAAACCAAGAATGCGAGGTCATTGACATTGAGATGGCGAGACCCAAAGACAGACGGACGGATTCGCACTGGAACGATCAAGTTATTGCGACTATCTCGATGCCATCGGAAATTTCTGGAAGATATGGTGTTCTGGATAGTGTTTATTCTGCCGACAAGCATGAGAGATGAAACCTCCTCGAAATCCGGAAGGATGTTTATATCACAACAGCCACAATTATGCAAGGCCATAACAAAGCGCAATCGCTTGGATCCTTGATAATTCCTGGATGGCAGTCCCTTTGGGTTTGGCAGAAGCAGTCTGAGCCACTTTTCGGCACAGAGGGTATTTCGTACATATGGATTGAGGTCCTTCTACTCGTTCCTACTAAGACCTTATAATGAGCCAGGCTCCGTCTGCAACACTACGCCTCCCTCACGATCATGATCGGCAGCCACCAATCTGTTCAGCCAGGTGGCTATTCTCAGAATCGCTTTGCTCGTCTGCAACTCCACGATGGGGAAAGCGCCGGTCGCATAACCGCTGGTGGCTAAATCGACATCCTTAACAGCGCGCGAGAAAACATAGTCGCAGTTCAGCGCATTGCTATCGCGAGCCCAACTGAGTGCACACTCTAATGGTCTAGAAGGATCGCTACAAGCTATCCATTCGGAAGAAGGGATTGAGAAATCGTCTTCTTGGATGCGAGAGACGAGATGCTTGAAGAAGGGCTGGATGGTTGTGTTAGGGAAGCTAGTGACGTTTGCATCAGCGTAGACGATCCAGCCATCCCAAACNCTGCAAGCACGAGATATGTTTAGCGTCAAGGATGAAGACGAAGGAGAGACACAAGCATTGGCAAGACTTACAGCATGTAACTCGGTGGTCCGATTGGCAAACACAACCTCAATACCATTACCTCCAGCGGCAACACCAGAGGCATGCAAAGGCTGTGCAATATCACCCAAAAANTGCACAACCCATTTCAACGCATACGAACACATCAAGTCCTCACCACCAACCAAGACTCCACTCTTCACTTTCTGCACACAGTCTCTGAGTATCTGCGTCTGGTTTGCAATAGCAGAAACCACACACCCGCCCTCAGAGCAATCACGATGATAATACACATTACAATAATGCGGAGGGTTGTCGGCAGAATCTATCCAATGCCATTGGTAGCTAAAAGCGCCTGAGGGAGTGTGGGCGTAGTCGTCTGCCCAGGCTGCTGCGAGGCCGATGCTGTTGTTGTATCTTGGCTCGAGGATGTGGTAGAGGATGGACTTTGTGGTGGGCGTTAGAAAGTGTTCTGCACTGTGGCCGATTTGTTGGTGGACATCTNNGGGTGTGCTGTTAGGATATTGAGAGGTTATGGTTGGATGTGGACTTCAGATACCCTTGTTCCAGGCGATTGACCCGGATGCCATGAAGGCACTGGCGATGACGATTGACTGGACAAGCATGTCTTATCCTCTGTCAGGAGTGCGATTGAAGAAATACAAAAAGTCCGTATAGTGTTTCGAGAGTATTTGGCTGATGGCTCTGACGCTTCAATGTCTACCTTGTTATGTATCGATGAGTAATGGAGAGGGAGCGTGGTCGCGATAAGATGGACTCGACGGATTGTGGAGACGATTCGGCGATTGGAAAATGCGGGGTGAAACATGTCAGGGACAGGCTTAGGTGGCCTTCGCAACTTTACTCTTTCACATGTCAGTCAAGTCTTGATAGTCACCATGAATGGCTTTTCCGACCATGGGCTCGACGAGGGAGCTTTCGGAGAGTCAAAGGCCACTTCGGTCGTAAAGGCCTTTGACGCCTTTCGTACGCGACAATCTCCCCTTTCCTCTTGACAAGGTCGCTGACCCCAAGCAACAGCCAAAACCAAACCCTCGTACCAGACCAAGACGCAGAATGGAGGAGTGTGGACGCTCTTCCTTGCCTTTGCCTCGTTCCTGCTGGCAGTGACCGAGGTGCGCCGCTGGTACGTCGGCGAGACACACCACACCTTCAGCGTCGAANAGGGCATCTCGCACAACCTGCAACTCAACCTCGATGTCGTTGTTGCAATGAAGTGCGAAGACCTTCACATCAACGTCCAAGACGCTTCTGGCGACCGCATCATGGCCAGTCAAGCTCTATCCCGCGACGCGACCCTCTGGTCTCACTGGGAGAACACANAAGGCGCCCATCACCTTGGTGGCAGCGCTGCCGAAAGAGGAGGTCCTGACTACCAAGAGGAAGACGTCCACGACTACCTCGGCGCCGCCCGCAAGAAGAGAAAATTCCCAAAGACACCACGATTGGGTAGAGGTGCTTCACCCGACTCGTGTCGCATCTTCGGCAGCCTCGAACTCAACAAAGTCCAAGGCGACTTCCACATCACCGCTCGCGGCCACGGATACATGGAGTTTGGCCAACACCTCGACCACCAAGCCTTCAATTTCTCCCACCAAATCAACGAGTTGAGTTTTGGTCCTTTCTATCCTGGACTGGATAATCCTTTGGACAATACGCGCACCACTACCGATCAGCATTTCGAAAAGTTCCAGTATTATCTTTCGGTGGTGCCGACGGTGTATACTGATAACCCGTCTGCGCTGCAAAAGTACTCGGATGCTGCTGTGCCTTTGTCTTCGGGTGATGACTCTGTTCCCCAGACTCGTTTGCCTCGCAACACTATTTTTACAAATCAATACGCTGTCACCGAGCAATCGCATATCGTCTCTGAACGCCAGGTTCCTGGTATCTTTGTCAAATTTGACATTGAGCCTTTGATGCTGACTATTGCTGAGGAATGGGGTGGTATATTGAATCTGTTGGTCAGATTGGTCAATGTGGTCAGTGGTGTCTTGGTTGCTGGTGGCTGGGTCTTCCAGATTCAAGAATGGGCCAACGAGGTTGCGGGTCGTAGGAGACAAAGAAGACAAGATGGTTTTGGAGGTGTACTCACAGGGAGAAAGAGCATGGATGAAAAGCACTAGTTTCTGCTTTGTATTGAGCACTCAAAAATATTGTGAAACAACCAAAGAATTGGCATATTCGTTCACGCGCAAGTAAGACTTTAAGGGGACCACTATTCCGATGGCTTAGATCACCCTCTTACGAGATCTGATGAAGTAAGAGCTACATACTCCTTGTTCTACATCGCAGAAATCGTACTTAAGCCATTCCTAAGGACAGTTGAGTATTGGACAACCACCACCACCACCGTCACCACCACCACCATCATCATCATCATCCATTCACTATATGGTGGCTTCTACTCAGCCCATGGTGATGAGCAGAGACATACAGACAAACCACCAGGTTAGGGAGAGAACAACAAGGACCAGGTCACTGATCCCTACAACTGTTTGCATATCTCCTGACACACGACCTAACCAGATTGATTTCTTGACATTATTCACTGTGACTGCCTTTTCCATGATGTAGGTCTTGTGCTCGATAGTCTTGGACACAGACCCGGTTGTTTCATTCTTCAGGATAGACAGAACCTGCTTAGCCTCATCTCTGCGAAACATAAGGCTGACCATCAACCAGATGTCTGGCACGTCTGGGTTGGGCCTCGGAACTAGGCAGCATGGTGTTCTGTGCATTTTGAGAGTGTGGTGGTGTCATCGAAGTTGTGGGTGTACTCCGAAAGAATCATACTCGAACTGGAGTGATCTTTTATGACAAGCAAAAGTGAATGTAAAAGTGTGATTCTATTCTGCTCTGCGATGTGATGTGATGTGGTGTGATGTGAGAGGGTAAGCTTGTGTTTGGCCATGTGGTCGTTAGATTCACTGTCAAGTTGTGCAATGTCAGTGTTTTGTTTGTTTGCTGAGTCTGAGTCGCGCGTCTACGGGCACCACTCCATCGGTCACTTTGTACTTCACTGTCTCATGAGGATATTGGAGAAGTGATACTCAAGGTATCTGATGATGTGCGATACGAGTTAGAGATGCGCTGGATGTAATGGTCTCTCGTCGAACAATATCCAGAGTTCTTTATGTTAGAAGTGCAGCAGGTACATGTATCTCAAGACTTGCAGAGTCTTGCTTGCATATAAGTAAAACATGCCATTGTGTCCGTCCAATTCGCTTCAAGTATATGTGAACGTCCAATCCGCAACACCTTACCCTCGAACTGTCATTGCCAAAACTACATCTCAGACTGCCCTCCCTCACTTGTGTCCATTGGCTTGCTAGCTGATGAAAAGTCTCCGCTCGACGAGATCTTTTACCATGACACCGTTTCGGATTCACAAGTCAAGCACCAATTTCACCATTTTTGGAAGAAACGAATATCCGGGAACTGCGTTGTACGGCATGATATCTTTGCCTCACATCTAGGTAGGAGAGAGAACAGCAAAGACCAGGTTACTGACTCTTAGAGATATTCTGCGCATCCCCTGATGCGTAACTCAGACATATCAGACTCCTGACATTGTTCAATAAGGCTTCCTACTTTGTTTGTGAGGTCTGGTCACTGTTCTCTTACTCTTGTCATAGACCTGGTTTCGCATTCTCCCTGCGTATCTTTTAAGTACTTGCAGTTGGTTGTAGCTGGCAAGACGCTTATTCTGATAGTACACAATGTGGTGGAACCGGAACTTTGCGTAGCAGCCATCAGGACAGAACTATCGGACTGCTTCTGGTATGATCATTTCTGTGGCTCACACAAGTTTATATAGGGACTTCTCAAATAAAGTGAAGAGAGCAATGTGAAAGAAGGTAGAGAAACTGGGGGATACGAGCATCTTCCGCACGTGTTCTTGCGAAGAAGTTCTTCTGTCAGGGAGTAACTGATCTGACATGTATTAGGATTTGGACCAGATTGGTCAAGTACGATAACCACGGAGATTGCAGAATCGTACGAGGAGCGGGTCGTGTACTGTCTTGCAAGAGACCTTTACAGCATGCGAGCCCGTGGAGGTTAGGCCCAGGTCAACGTTCGCGATATCCATCAATATCCCCTTCAGAAAATCCTGGTGAGTGATTACAAAGTCGATGTTGCATGCATACACATTCTAAAGAGATACTTCGGATCAGCATGCTTCAGCATATATCGTTCAACCTTCCAAGAGTATCGTGTAGTTTTTCAACTGTTCTACACATCTAACCAACGGGTCTGAGCCAACCTTCTCAATCAACACTTCAAGGCTCACCGGGCCAAATCTCATCAGCAATGTCCCTAACCAACTTCAACTTCTCTACCATATCGTCGTAGGTCAATAGGTTGCCTTCACTATGACTAGCAAATCCACACTGCGGGCTGACACCAATTCTTTGCAATGCCTGTTCTCTAGTCTCTCCACTTCCCTGCGCGACAAAGTCCGCAGCTTGCAACACTCTCNNCACCATCTCCTTCTTGTCCTCTAGCTTGGGGAATTTGCTGGTTACCACACCCAAAACGACGAATTTGTCTTTGGGCAAGTGTTTCAGAGGTTCAAAGCCACCAGCACGAGGGGTATCGTATTCGAGGTAGTAAGTGCTAACATTGAGGTTTTGGAATAGTTTGGTGGCGATGCGGTCGTAACCTCCCTCACTGAAATGGCGCGAGTTTACAAAGTTGCCGCGGCAGAGGTGGATTCCTAGATGCATGTCGGAAGGACGTTGGAAACAGGAATTGTAGAAGGAAATGTAGGCGTCGAAGAGTTCGTCGGCGGTTTGAGTGTTGGATTTGTCTGCTGCCCAGCCGTCGAGCATTTTTTCGGAGCAGAAGTCTGGCGGACAATTAGTCAGGATAACTTTTAAGATTTAGGGTGTGAGAGATGGATGATTTCACGTACAGGCGAGGTTGGGGTCGTCGACTTGGGCGTTTCTCAATCCTGCGTCGTAGAGAATCTGAAGCTCGGTCTGGTACGCCTTTGCAATATCCGCGAAGTAATCTTGGTCGTTGGCGTACACATCCTTTGGGTAAGCTTTGCCAGTCTTGTATCTCAAGTGGTANCCTTGTCAACGTATTAGCAAAAACAATATGGCGAGAAAACTGTCGAGATACCAGTTTGGTGCAGCGAGCGTGAGCTTGATGTTTCCCCAATTCTCCTTGGGGACGATGCTCTTCATGTACTCAAATTGTTCAATATAGCTGCTTTTTCCAGTATGTTCGATCTTGCCAGTGCAGATCACAGTCTCTCCAGGCACATGGTCAGCCTCCAAGAATGCAGCGATATCGGGCACATAAGGACGGAAGATATCAGCATCGGGTCCCTGAATTTCAGTGAATCCTTTGAGGGAAGGGAAANNGAAAGTGCCCCAGAACATGTGACGACGATACTCTCCATCGCTGACGGCGTGGAAACCGCATTGGTCCTGGATCTTGACAACGTCTTTGATTGCTTGGTCTTCAATTGCTGGTAGAGAGTCTTCAGATGCCTTGTGTTCGTGAACGTCACGACGAGCGGTAAGGAGGTTGTCTGGACGCTTGAGAGAGCCCAGATGCTCTGCTCTGAAAGGAGGGTTCTTTGGTGCTGTCATTTTGGAGATTCAATCCACAATACAGTACTTGAGTAGGAAACGTGTCGAAGTGCAACGTAAGAAGAGAGGGCTGGAGGGAGCTAAAGGTGATGTAATGTCACCTGTGGGGTAATCTGCGTACCCCACTGTGGAGTGATTGTTGTTGACGCTTAGGATCTGCTTCTAGAAGCAATATCGAGCTATTCGTCGTCTTCTGATAGCGACATGTTTTTCTATGCTGTTGATATAACACACTACCCCGATTTTGGAAGCCATTCTCGACGGTGTTCTTGTCAAGCTCTACAGTACGGTGTACTTCTTCAGCAGTTTCGAAGTTGCCTTGGCTCTGAAGACTTTGTGGACGTCACTCCTCGTCCTTGACCGAGCGCTCTCAGATCTTCAACAACAATATGCACCAGACTTTCAGGATCTTGGCGCGAGCGACTTCTCTTACCTCCAGGCTGAGATTGAGATAGACGAGTGTGCGGGCCATATATGTCGCACCTTGCCGTACTTTAGCCGTCCCGAGTGCAAGACGTCAGGCGCATTGTGTATCATGGAGCCTCTACACTTTATTTACAATCACTTTCCAGAAAGGAACGCACTGCACCATATGGAGTGGTATCGAAGGGCTAATTGACTGATTCTCTGACACCGCCCAAGGTGTTCCTATTTGGCTCACGTTGATATTTGCAAATTTTGTTCACGTGTTGATATTCGACATATGATAATCGAATCAAGTCCACTGTTGATTGACAGCAATCAAATACCTAGTCTTGCCTTTAAGGCATGCGTAGGGCGATGTGTCGGTTAACGTTACCAAGAGAAATTCCTACGTTCTCTATCGATTCCATCATTCCCACCCCATATGATTGGCTAAAGTCAAACCTCCTTCCTTGAGCTCAACCTCAGAGCCAAGCTTTCTTCACCTCACACGTGCTCAGCGGCTGAGAGAGAATATCAATCACCCTAGGGGAACGTATTCACCATGCCTCCAACATCTCTATGACTGCCTGGGAGTGCAAAAATCAAGGATATCGCCTGCTCAACATGCATTCATCAGTTCAAAATGCCCTTCGCCAGCTAAGGCCGGATTACATACCCTTCAGCTTCCGAACTGTACGCGAGTATCAACGCGACGCAAGCAATGCCTGCAAACCCAACACTCAGCATTTACCCTTCCGGCTTGCAGATGTGCTTCTGAGAACTTGGGATCTGGGATTTACTGCTTTTGGCGGACCACCTGTGCATTTCCAGATCTTGCATCAACGATTCGTTGAAAGCAAAGGTGCATATGCTGCATGGGTTGACGAACAAACTGTATGTTTCTCTACCTTCTTTAGCTGCAACAAAATCCTCATGGAACAAAACTGACATCCGAGAAATAGTNATCGTGAGCTCTTCGCCGTTGCGCAAGCCTTACCCGGACCAGCAAGTACGAAAATGCTATTTAGCCTTGTCATGTACCATGCTGGTCTAGTATGTGCTGTCTTTGCCTTCTTGATCTGGAGTCTTCCTGGAGCTGTAGGCATGTTCTTGCTCTCAATCGGTGTTGGCAAAATCAAGGATGTACTGCCGGGCCCTGTGTATGGTCTTCTATCTGGCTTGAATGCGTCGACGGTCGGCATCATTGCCCTAGCAGCTGTACAGGTAAGTTTGAGTTGGTTTCATACTGCGTTCCTGGCTCTTCAATATTGGTTCGGTTCTTCACAAGTCAATGCCTGATATGCTAACGAAGGCATTTGAAAGCTTGCGGCTAAAGCCATCGTTGACCCTCTTTCTCGCATCTTGGTCATCTTCGGTGCGTGTGCTGGACTTTGTTACACGGCACTGTGGTACTTTCCCGCTTTGGTAGGTATTGGTGGTGTTGTGGCAGTAGTCTGGGATCTTTACCTCAGCCGCGCGATCTGTAAACTTCGTGCCAAACGGCAGCAAAGGCGTATCAACCAACAGCGCGCGGTGGAAGAGAGCGATCCAATCACCACAACAAGCATCCCACTTCAGGACATGTCTTCAACACAAGCATCGTCATCTCAGAGACGAATTGCGACCCAAGAGCAACCCTCTAAGCAGCTGACCACGAATGCCGAAGCTGCCGAGCGTATCGCGGAAGATATACCAGAAACACAAGCTCACACCTACGCTTTGTCCATATGGCAAAGTATCTCAATCTTCTTGCTGTTCTTCGCCTCCTTCGCCGCAGTCCTCGCTGCGCGTGGTGCTTTGATGGCTCCGCCCTTGGTCCTCGATCTCTTCGCAAACATGTACCTAGCAGGCACTATCATCTTTGGTGGCGGTCCTGTCGTCATCCCTCTGCTCAGAGAGTACACTGTACAACCTGGCTGGGTCTCTTCTCGCGACTTCCTCATAGGTCTAGCCATCATCCAAGCATTTCCCGGTCCCAACTTCAACTTTGCTGTCTACCTTGGTGCTCTGGCTGTTTCTTCTCATACGCAAGGACTAGCTGGTGCGGTACTGGGTTTCATCGGTATATTCCTTCCCGGCCTTGTTCTCAGCACAGCTGTATCAGGTATCTGGCAGATTGTGCGCACCAAAGCTCTCGTTGTAAGTGTGCTTAGAGGCATCAATGCTACAGCAGTTGGGTTGGTATTTACTGCTGTATACCGTCTCTGGGAGATTGGATACTTGACTCCAGATTCCGGCCGAGGCAAATCTTTGGCTAATGACCCTTGGTGGGTTGTTGTTGCGGCTGTCACATATTCTGGCGCAGCTTGGTTCGAGGTACCTCCTGCACTGGCAATTCTTGCAGGTGCTGTGCTCGGATTGTGCTGGTATGGTGCAGTCGGGAAGCAAGTCTTGGGACTATAAATTTCGCTAACAGAAAATGGCGGTTCTTGATCTGTAGAATATATAGAGATCGAGAAGTAGCGATGAAACATAAATAGAGCAGTAACAGCGACGATAGCGACGGCGAGATTGGCTGACTAGTATGTAGCGAGTGCGATGAGATGTGACAGCGACGCCGAGCTGCATTGAACTGCGAGACTAATTGCAGTCTCTCGAATTGGTTAGTCGCTTAACGCCTCTTCTGCCCCCCTTGCGAGCGTTATGCACGGATCACAACTACATATTCGAGCTCTAGCAGCGACAGACGTCGTCAATTCTTTGAGAATAGCGCAGTCTCTTGCCTCTTTGCCAGTTAATACAAGCTCGTGCTTGCACACAGTTCTTTCCGTCGCCAAACCCCTTCCTACCCTCATCATCCAAGATTCAACAAGCCTTGGGAATGTTATCGAGCTTGGACACCACGCCAGTCGGCCCTGTCAACGATACCAAATATGCCGTCTGCCACATCAGAAGCAGACGAAGCAGGAAACTTCCATCTCCTGCACCTCCAACCCAAGTCCACGAGCCGGCCGCGTAATTCTCTTGAACGGGTTTCCAGGCGTTGGCAAGTACTCTATCGGTCGCAAACTCCAAGCTNTTTTCGACCTCCCTCACGTGCGATTTGTCAACAACCATGTCTTGATAGATCCAGTGTAGGCTATCGTACCCGGGCGAGATAGCGACCACAAAGAGCTTCGCCGTGCTTTTCGCAAGGTTGCATTCGATGCATTGTGCAACATTCCTGACCAGGACGTCACCATCATACTCACTTCTTGCCTAAGCGCTACAGCAGAGGATCGAGAAGTCTTCGAAGAACATCTCCGTATCGCCAGCTGTCGAGGCATACCCATATACATCTTCAATATCATCTGCGCACCAAACGAGCATAAAGTCCAACTGTCCGCCCCAGAGAGGTCTGCAGGCACGAAAACGAAATTGCTTGACCCGAAGATCTTGGACAGCATGATGAGCAAGCATCGGTTGATCCGTCTCTCAGACCTCGAGAAGAGTCATGAAGGAGACGTTGAACGAAGGCTGTTCGAGCTGGATACGTCCGGACGATCCATCGAGGAGAGTGCTGCCAAGATATTTGCAACAGTAACTCAAAGTGGCATGGGATAGGTTAAATTGACCAACTGTCAGAATAAAATGGCCGGGTATTAAACTGTAGGAGATTGCTTGCCAAGAGAAACAGGCAGCCACATCCTTCCAATTTTCCTGAGCTTTCTCTTGGACACTCTCATGAACAGTCACGGAATTGGCATGTACGTTCGTAGCTTCTCTTATAAGTAGGCATGTGCTTTCCCTCCCCTTTTTGTTTACCGCGCGACCGAACAGCACTCTCCCACTCAATCAACCGAACGATCATGACAAAGCCAATGCCATCCTTCCATCTCTTCAGACAGCTTCCAACAGAGCTGCGACAGCAAACATGGCAGTACTGCCTTCCACATCGAGTTTTGAACTCGATTACCCACTCTGACACAATTGTCTTCTGGTTGGATAGGGAAGACAAAAACCTCTTACCTTCGCCATGTACCCTTAGACATACAACGCGCCAAAAGCCACTTATCAGCCGTGTTTGTCGTGAATCACGCTCCGTCGCGACCCGATCAGGTGGTTTTGTCACAGATCGCGACCCTGATCGACCCTCTGATACTGAGTGGTATTCAGACTTCGAGTTCGCGGATGCCTGGGTAGACAAGACCCGTGGTGCACCTCACCTCAACTGCACTGCAGTGTATGAAGGTCTATATCAGTACTATGGCAACCCCCTCAACTGCATGATATGGGAGGCCCAGCGATTTTCTGCCACTCCTTCTATCACGTTTGGGTTACAGAACTCCCGTGAATTCGCAACTCAATATTATAGAATCGAACTACCGGATGGGCGATTCGATTGCACCATGCCAAAGCCTGACAACAAGATTGAATTTGTCAACGCCTTCAAGCAAGTGCCTAGCTGGCTAGTCGTCATGGATACCATTGTCGTGCAATCAGACCTCCGCTCTGCAGCAGCCACAGGTCTATTCGGCCTGCTAGGAGATGCCCCAGTACAGATCATCCCAATCTCCGAGGAGACCAAAATCAACAGTTTCTACAATCTAGCCGAGCGCTGCGAACGTGGACGAAATGGCATTGCTCCACAAGATTTCACGCGAAAATCTGCTGATGAGATGAGGCAAGAATTGAGACGTGAGGTTTGGTTAAGCTTCCGATCAGAGGATCTGGCTGCGATCATGCATCCGGCTATCATGTTTCGACTTTGTACGCAAATGTGCAATCACAGCGTTGAGGCTCACATTTGATTGCAAATTCTGTACGGACAGGTTTGCTCCACATCTTGCTCTTCAATCTTTTCTTCAGGACGAATCTCGACAAAGGGGAACTAGGTAACAAGGCTCACAAGTCATGCCTGTTATGCCACTATCAAATGCACCAGGGCAATAGCAGGCGAGATAGGCAACACAGCCTTTGGCATCTACAACAAAGTCGAAGACCCTAGTTCGATTGTCATCAACGTTTTAGGAATGTTGATAGCAGAGGGCAGTATTGCTAGAGCCTCGCGCGACGGTAAGGGCATTGCTGGTGTTGCGAACGCGAGGAGAGGCATATCCGCGGACGCAACAGCAGAACTGGCAAGTGTGTTCAAGAACAACAATGATAAGTTGCAAGGTCTTTCTTGAAGAGTGCAGGGTTCGATAAACGTAGGTTCAATTATGCCTTTTTCCCGAGTTAGTACTTTCTTTTCTCAAGGTACTGTGTAGCATATAGGTACAGTACAAAATAGTCCTACAGGCTACTCCTCCCTTAGAGAGTCAAATCAAGTCTTGCACTCACCAGTTTTTAACACAGCGGGCCTCCTGGCGATAAAGGCAGTTCTTCACTTCCTTCGTAAGACATGAGGGTTCGCTGTGTAGGTAAGGACGGACGAGTAAGGGGAACCTGGAATGGAACAAGGGCAAAAAAAAAACATATGAGGTGGAACTAGTAGTAGTAGGCGGCTGATAGGTTTGCTGCAGAGCCAGGTAGCATGATCAAATAGATCGATCAATCAACTAATCAATCCATCAAGCAAGCTAATAGTAAACATCACTTTTCTAGATAATGAACGCCTGTCTATCTCTGAGCACCAAAAACGAAATCACAAATCATTAGCAGCAGTGAAATCCTCTCCAACGTACACTCTACCACGTGAAGAGCATCAGACTTGGGTTAAGCACAATTGGCAGCAGGAAATGACTAACGATGATGGTTCCAAGCGGGTAGAGAGCGAAAAACTGGTTAATCCTCCAGTACTCGGGAACCACCAACGCAAGCACTGCCATTCCAATGGAAGCGATGATACAGAACGCAAATGTCATTCTGAATTTCCTGATCACTTTAGGCACTTCCTGGAAGAATGTAGTGTTCTCTGCTTCTTTGGATGTGGCACCCCAGTTCATGTCGATGCCAACCAGGTGGGATACAAGAGCTTGTGACACATGCATAGACAATCCACCAAGGAAGATTGACATCAACGGGATCCACATTAGGTTGGTAACGAATGCACGCCCAAGCGATTGCTCTCCAATGCGGTAACGAAGGACGGCGAGAGCGAGGTTTCCAAGGCCTATAAACACCACAATGATGGAGAGATAGACCTGGAAAGAGTTGGTATAATACTTATCGAGGATGGTGTTATACCAGCCAACGATAAAGTAGTTTACTAAAGTGAGCAGCCACGCACATCCAATTGCGTAGTAAGTTCCGATGTATGACAGGACAGTAAGCTTAGACGGGAAAGGCATTCCCGAAGTGATAAAGGTGCAGAAAAGTTTCGTAAAGGGTCCTCGAGTCGGCCAGTATCGTAGGGGATGGAATAGTAGTTCGCTGCAGCCAAATGCATACTTTTCCCAGCGGGCTAGCTCGTCGTATACGGTGAGCGAAACTCCTTCTTTGAAACCATCTCCAGTGTAAGCGCCAAATCGCACAATGTATCCTGCAGACTGCAAGCGGAGTGCCATATCAAAGTCTTCCGATACAGTGGCTTCTGACCAGTACTTCTCTCGTAAGTCGTCTGTACAATCGTATGCGATGTCCTGGATAGCAGACCACCGAAGTATGGCATTATGGCCAACGAATGGCGCAACATCACCATTGGCGATGGCATACTTGATCTGTGTATAAACCATATTCGTGAAGAACGTAATGCCGTTCTCAAAGAAGCTTTCTGTCACATTCATGACGCCAGAGGAATATTGAAGAATGGCGACTTGTGGTGAATCTGTCATCTCACTGACCGCATCAAGTAAGCAATCAGTCGGTACTCTCGTGTCGGAGTCGATGAGAAGGATAAAGTCACCCATCCGAATGTTGCCATCGGCCCAGGTTCGGTTTTCGTCTTCTTCGATCACTTCGTTTAACGCTTTGACGTACAAAGCAGCTTCCTGCTCTTGGTTCCAGTAAGGAGGCCTAGGACTTGGCTCAACCATTTTGTCCTCGACGCGATTGCTGACCCAGAGAGCGTAGTTCATATTCGAAGCTTTNTTGAATTTGCCTCGTCTAAGGAACGGAACAGGATTGTGCTCTCCTTTTGGATCATGACGAGGACGCGCGACCCATCCAATACTATGTTCTTCGTAGAAGTCCTGACGAGCTTGAGCTTCTTCACGAGACAGTAACTGCATACCATCATCGTTAATGAATATGTTTGCTGTTCCGCCTTGCATCTCGTAGGTTGAGATGGCGGCTTTGATGGAAAAAACAGTTGGGGCGATGACACTTTGCAGACCCTCCTTGTAGACTGGGCACTGAATGGTGACATGAGGTAAGACTGAATTCCTTGGGAGTCGCTTGGGTGGAAGTCCGGAGAAGTACTTAGTGTTGCTCTGTACTTGACTGATCGGTCCGAAGATTTGGAATAGGTTGCCGAAGATAGCCTGGAAGAAGAAGAATGATACCCACATGGTGAGTGGAGCTGTCACTATCAACGCTAGACGGGTGTAGACGCCATCGTACATAATTTCCTGAACAATCTTCCTATATCCCGCGCCAAGGGTGACAATAATGAGAAAGAGCGTTAGCGACGTCGTGATCGAGTGAAGCAGCACGATGCGACGCGGTTGCTCTGTCAAGTCCTCTTGGCTACCAGTAATGTCCAGTTCCTGAACAGACGCACCAGCGCTCTTCTTCTCCGAAAATTCTTGTTCGGCGTGCATGTTCCAGATCAGGTCCATGATACTCTTCTCGAGGGATCGACCACGGCTTATAAGTTTTTCTGGTTGATCGTCCCAGACTACCAAGATTCCTCTATCCGCGATGAAAGCAGCAGATTGATGTTTTGCGCAGCGACTTAGGTATGAGATGTCAGGGAGGACCTGGAGACGTAGGTTTCCGCTGATTGGGATAGAGACTTGATCATTGCCGTGGACGAGCAATCTGATCACACGAGTGTTGATCGTCATGGCGCTCTATTGATCAATCAGTACGTGTTGCAATGATCAATTTACAGGTACATACTTTNNGACGTTCAGCGCCTGAATAGCGTCGTAAAAGCCGTCGGATCTGCACAAGTCCGGGGGACAACACACGTATTTGCCACGACTTTGCTTGATCATGACTCCTTCATCGCCTCCAGCATACCAAAGTAACTTTGCCTGCTGAGACCAGAGGTCGTTGACTAGGAGCTCACATCTGGCGTCGTTGAGTCGACTCATCGCAGAAGCTTGTGCATCGCCAGGCTCTTGGGACGATGGAGTGTAAGATGTCCATGCCGTTGGCGTGAAAGTACCGCTTGGTTGTTGCTCGATCTCAGGAAGCTGAACATCCTTGCTGGCTGGCTTGCGGAAATAAGACTTCAAACCCATGATGAACAGTAAGATACAGGTCAATGGCTAAAGCCTAAGTTCAAATCCTGGATCCGGGAAAATGGTGTACCCCTATTGAACAAGGTCGGAGTGTGAACAGAGGCCTGTCGATGGAAAAGAAAAATATATGAGTACAACCCGACTCGATGGATATTCGGCTTACAGGTCGACGTCCGGCGTCTAGAGGTGCTTTATATAAACCATTTTCGTTCTCCGAGACATTCATACACACCATCTTGGAATCGAAATGTACATTCAGCTCAGGTATCTGCCTGTGGCTGTTGCATTGCGGCAAGCTTCCCGCTTCGAGACTTGACATCCAGAATTATTTCGAGTGTCGTTTGGCGGCTTGCTGGAAGTAGCTTTCTATTCAGCTCAGCATCTCGTAGGCGTCAGCTGGAGATTCGCGCTCATACATTGGTTCTGGATAAAGCTAGGCTCTGCTATGGCTGATCCGTCAGCAGGCTCGGTCGATCGCTGCACACTACACCACCAGCGCAGAAGGTGTCTTGGGATCGATCTGGAATTCCACGATGTGTCTCGGAGTCTCCGTTGGACAACGCTGGAAAGTCAATAAGAAAGCTTGTTGCGGCAGGAACTTACGTCTACGTTAGGTGTGTTGGCTGCTGAATTGGGTACAGACGCCACAAAGCCTAGCTGGTTTACAGCTACAAGGCTCCTTCCAGAGTGTCGCGACTTACAGGTGTGCAGACTCATGTCTGGGCGAAGATTTTCAACGCATCCACTTCAGGAGTTCAGCTTTGGTCCCTTGCATAGTATGTAACTTCCAGGTATCCTTTCCGTTCCTGGGATCTGAGGTACCTGAATCTTCTTTGGCTGAGTACTTTTGAACGCCGAAATGCATGACCTCAACTGAGCCTGATACAAAAAATTATCATCTTCAACGACCTAGAGATAGAAAACAGAACAGGTAATTATCGTGAAACTCCAGGTGCATGATTTCTGATTCAAAGAAAACACGGCCCTGCCTTGATACAATTCACTATCACATCCCGACGATCAGTGCAGATCCGACCAATGACGGTGCTTACCAGATCGGCAACAAGCGATACATGGGGCATGCGCTAACCATCAGATGTGTTAGCGATCTCTACCAACTTCTGCCGCATTCAACGGTCAGCGTCGTAGAATTCACTGTGTTGCATGACAGCGGTATGCCGCGAACCGAGGTTGCATCAAGCAGTGTCGAAAACTTACACTAATCGTCGGACGCAGGAACAGTAGTGTGTAAGAACCCGAACCACAAATCTACAACCGACGATTAGGAATAGTCTGCACAATCATAGTGCTTACCACGGTACGTACTAGCCCTTGTGGTGCAGGAACGATCTGTACTCACCCGGATCGCGACATTAAGAAAGACTGTCGGACAGATGTGTCCTGCAAAGAGCGTACAGGCGAGGGTAGCTGCATCTGCCATCAGCATATTATCGTATGACCGGTTCAGGATTATCTCAGCTGGAGTCTTGTACAATATAAACTCAGCCGTTGCAGCCCACAGACTCCAAAGCATAGTAACGTCTAGATCTTCAGTTACCCTTCTCGACCTGACTCGACATTCCAACCTCATTTTGAAGCAATTTTGGATCATCTTCCACCCATGGAAAGAACGAAGCAGGATAAGAAATCTTTCTTGCCACAAGACATCGCGGGGTCCAGGCAAGGCAGGTAGTGGCACGCTTCAAAGTTATTACTAGCGTTGCCGTGTGCCGAGACATAAAATGTTGCCAACAACATGACGCATGTGAGACCTCAGACATTATCTTGTTACCCCAAGACATCTTGTCAAAATCTCAGATGCACTGGGATATGTCCAGAAAAATGAGAATCAACGAGCCTGGAGATTTCTGCTGCTGCAGCACGTCATCGAAATGTCGAACAAGCGTCGTTCCTGACGATGCTTTATAGATACCCTCGTGCCAATATTCACTCAGGTCGAAGGGGAATAGTGGTAAAGCATGTCAAAGCCACGGAGTCCCCCATCCTTCCGCAGATCTTTGCCGGGGCGTCTAGCCAACTTTATTTACTTGGTATCGCCTTCTTGAATTGAACCTGTCAGCTGCCGCTCGGTACGCCATATGCGTATGAATTGATTGGGGTCTCATGTCAGGCGCCCATGAAGGTGCGGGGTCGAAAGTGCGGGGCGGTCTTCCCAACCACTTCTTCAGCTGCTTTCGAAAGTCAACGCTCAGGGTTTGGATGTTATGGCAGAAAACTCTCGGGACATGGCGCGCAAGGTCGCTTTCCAGACCTGAGACGTCACAAGATTTTGTTGAACTGAGTGGGCAGCCAGGGCTAAACACTAAGGTCAAGAGAGCTCGAGAAGGGGCTCAACGAGCCCAAAGCCCCTTCTTTTGATGACGATGATGATGATGACAACAATGGCGAGGAGGAGAGTGTATGGAAGACGTTAACAACGACGAAGAGCTCAATGCAGCTAACATCATGCGCGGCAGTGACTACGAGGAGCTTCGATGACTTTGCGGCTACAAGTTCGAAGTGATGCCCTCTTTCTGCGCCTCTTGAGATCGATACGGCATCTGCGTGATTGTTTAATGAAGAGGTTCGAGATTTAACAGTTATAGTCAAGACGATAAGTTTCTCAGGGAAACATCTTAACTTTAAACAAGTCGAGTACTGTCATGCTAGCCAACGCATCGCCGCGACCTTTATAAAACCTTGGTGGATATGGCGTCGAGGGTGCTGAACTTCTCAGGCAGACATGGATCCCAATCATTGGCTGCTTCATTGTCATCTCTCCCAGAACGCAGCGCATGGGGTAGTGAACATTACGCTAAGCCACAAACGCATCGAACTGCCGGCGGATATTAGCGACAAAGCTTTCAATCCACGGGAGCGAGCAGACAGCTTGTAGATTTGCCCAGGCCTCGACGTCAGGTCGGAAGATGGATTCGGTCGAGCTAAAGAGCATGGTTTTTGAGGCGGTGACGACAATGATTGGCGAGCCATCACGAACAAACGTTATATCAAAACCAACGCCTTCGAAGCACGGCATGCGAATTTCCAGGGATCGCATACAAGGCATCGTGTTGGGTAAACATGTCAATTGGCGAAATATGTTCCAACGAGCACACTCACCTAACAGGTGTGGGAACCTTGTAGGGATTTCTTCCAAGGTCCACAGTCGAACGGACCAGTTAGAGTAGCGACTGCCGTGGTTACAGGCGATGTGCAATTGGTGATTGTCGAACATAACCATGGGCACCACTGTCTCGAAAAACTTGGAAGTCTATCTCCTTGCCTGCTGCTGCATGCGTAACCCAACATGAGCAATCACTCCACCAAACGTAACGACATTCAGGAGAGATGGAGTCACTAACCCAAGCATTGATCTTGACGGGGAACCCTTGAATCGAACTCCCTAGACCAACGAAATTTTCGGTGTTGTTGCTCATTGGGTGTGTAAAGTTTGATAAAAGTAGATTCAGCCATGTCTGAACAGAAAAGGAGAATCGAGTTGTTGAAGGTAGAGATGCAAATTTTTACCAGAGTTAGTGCTTCGGTTTTTCGAATTATCATGTAGTATATATGTACAATATGACGGGCTTCACTTGATGGGAGTAGAATGCGGAAGGTGTCAAAACTCTTTTACTGAAGCCATACTCTCTACTTCCTATCTTGGTCAAAAGCCTCACAGCCCTATAAAAACCTCTCAAGGCCTCGATCCAAGCATCTTCTTCATCCACCAACATCAACCACATTTCAACCGGGATCTGGCCGGATGAATCCTCTTGGTCGCTCTTTGCTACTACGCACGACGGCTACTCCCAAATCGAGAGAAAGCAAATCAACCATAAATGACGCCAGACGAGGTATCGACATCAAGGAGTGTCTCAGGTCCGTGACCAAGTTTCTTTTCTCTCAAGATCCACAATGTGGTGCATGCATATATGCAGATAGACAGCAGGGAGTTATACAGACGCAACGACGTTCAGGAGACTTAGACTCACTAACCCATGCATTGATCTTGACTGAGCCCCTATCACTTCGTGGCATGGTGTGTTGGGAGCAAAGATGCATTCCAAGAACCAGCAGCCATGATCGAAAAAGAACCAAAAGGTTTCGTCGATTATACCGTAAATATTCGATCTAGAGTAAAACTTTTCGACCAAGAAGAAATAAGGCAGGCTTCCTCTATCACTTACTTTCGAGATTCGTGTATGCAGAAAATGTATACTTACGACCCTTGATTTCTTTCAGAAAGTGGGAGACTCCATGCCCGCGCCACGGGTTTGTTGAATTCGATCTTTGTCTTGCCACATGAGTGTTCTCAGAGAGCAGCACTTAAGTTTCAGAGACCTTGATTCTTGTGGACATGCCGCGAGCGCGTATGATGGGATGGAGTGAAATGGATAGCGGTATCAAATTATGCATAAGTCTCGCTGTAGAAATTACTGAATACTGTATGATGATTCTGTATAGATGGTGATACAATGGTATGCTGTGTGCTGAATGTGCTAATGCCTATAACAAACAAACAAATGCATGCATGCCAACCAAAAAAGGAAAATCCAAAGAAAGCAGTATCGACCCTGCATAAACAAAACAAGAACGCCAATACTAATACTCCAACTAAACCCACCTCTTTGGACAAAGCAGGTGAAAAATAAACGAAACCCAGAAAAACAATGCTAAATGCTCTTAGATGCTTTGATGCTTTTTAATGCATGATACTCTGTCTCCAACGATCAATCAGATCGCGTTGCGCAACGACATTGGGATCGTGCATGCCTCCTGCCGCCTGCATCTGTGCCATATGCGCATACGCCTGTTGCTGCTGCATAGGCATCATCTGCTGCTGCTGAGGCATCTGCATTTGTCCATACCCAGGATACGCATTTCCAAACATCATATTCGGATACTGGGCTGTAGGCTGCAAGAAAGGAGGTGGTTGAGCAAAGCCATAACCAGGGAAGCCTCCAGCAGCCATCTGCGGTGGATACATCATTGGCGCTTGTTGCGGTTGCAAGGTCTGCGAGTTAAAGTATTGGGGTACTGCGCCGGTGGATTTCGAGGATAGCAGGAAGGGTGGCGGTTGAGGGGCAAAGTGTTTGGGCATGTCGCTGGTGAGGCGGTTGTATGAGCTTGTGCGGTTGCGCTCGCGGAGTTTTCGTCGTGCTTCTTCTTCAGCGCGGGCGGCGTCGGCCAAAAGAGAGTTAGCTGCGGGAGCATTGGCAGAGCGAGGACCGCCAGGAGAGGAGACAGGGTGAGCGGCGAGAAGGTTTGCAAGAGAAGAGGATGAGCGCAGGAGGGGGNNAGGACGGATGGTGCGCACAGAAGGTGGGTCGGAGGTATCGCCTCGTTTGGCTTCTGCTTCGCGCTCACGTTGCAAGCGTGCTCGTCGTTGTCCCAGTGTTTCTTCTTCGGGTTCAGGGGTATCGGTCTTCGTGCCTGTTATGCCTCCGAATGTGCTGAGAATGTCTTCAGAGAAAGCGGTAGACTTGCGTTTGTCAGTTTCTGCAACATCGCCTAACGCTGCATTGAGCATCTGCTTCTGCTTGAGACGACGCAGGCGTTGTCCCAACGGCTCATCGGGGTCTTCATCTTCGTTCGAGTCTTCTCCCGGCAACGGAACTGCTTCGGGCGGTGGCAGAGCAGCCTCGCGACGTTGTCTATCCATCTCTTGGCGAATTTGACGTGCTTCAGCTGCGGGCACACCCTTGAGACGGAAGCGACGACTGCTCAACGGCTCGTTGTCTTCAAATTCACGCTTCTCCATCAGACCAAGTGGACGATCCCAATCTGACTCGTCTTTCTTGCCTCGGTTGATCAGACCACCCTTTGTAGGATACAAGACGCCAAGTGGAACGTCTTCGTCTTCTTCGTCCTCATCGACACCTGGATCTTCCCATGCAAGTCTAGCACGTCCATGCTTTTGCTTCTTGTTCTTTTCCACCTGTTTGACAGCATCCATCTGAAGTAGAGTACTATGCATCCCATCGGGGAAAGCGTCTGCAGCGGCACGATTACGAGACTTTTGATGAGCTTTGCGAGCCTGCAACTCTGCCAGCAAAGTAGTAGGCTGGGCAAANAATGGCATCTTCATATCCTGTTCGTCGTTGTAGATGCTCTCTCTGTCTCCTGCCGCTGCTTCAGCGGCTGCCTGAGTATATTCTGTCTCGGGGGATGGCTCAGCTGGCTCCTCAACGTCGAGGTTGCCAAAGTGTACACTAGCAGGGCGAGACTTTGCAAACTCAGTAGCTGTGTCCTCACCATCGTTCATGTCCAGGTCAGTCATCAGACTCATCTTGCTGTTTCTCTTCCTTAACTTCTTGCCTTCGGATTTGCCACCAAAGTCAGTAAGTACAGTCATCATGCTGTTGCGCTTGGACAACGCGGGTTTCTCAATCGTGCCAGCACTGATGGATCTGTCATGTCCCTTCTTCTCTGGACTGTCACTCATGACCATATCGAGCTTGGATAGAGTTGCACTACGACGGTTCGCAGGACGTTCCTGAGCATAAATCTCTTGCCCGCTAGTACCAGCGAACGGATGATCAGTAAAGACATTGACAGGAGCATTGACAGATGCAGCTAGAATACTGTCCAGAGTAGCAACAGCCGATGCGGACTGAATCTTGACCTCTGTCGGTGACTTTTGACCTTCATTGTCGAAGAAGACAGAGGCTCTCAGTTGTGGAGGCAAGTTAGCGGTGCTCATTCGGCTGGCCTGGAGATCCATCATGCTTCGTCTTTGTGGTTTTGGCTGGGGAGAGGAGGGACCAGATTGCGGGGCGCCTTCTTCTGCCTCTTGCTCTTCGAGATCAAGACCAGGTAGCCAGGGGGCACTTTGCCTTGAAGCAAGAGGCATGGCACTCAAGACCTGAGAGCGACGTTGGGCTTGTTGGTTGGCCGAGGGCAGCTGAGACAGCCGCTTGGGCAGATTCAACATGCGAGGAACTGGAGCGGGATAGTAGACCATGCCGTCGTTTGGAGGAGGTTGTGCGTAGGACATTGGGCGGGCATACGACATGGGTCGAGGCTGGCGAGACATGCGAGACATTCGTTGTTGCAAACCACCTGGGCCATCTTCGTCGGGGCCTGGTGAGTAGTGGACACCATCAAAGTCCTTGAAGAGCGAGCGGGCATCGCGGAAAGTATCAGCGGTAGGTGGACGATCCGGCGGGTTTTGGACAAAGTCGTTGTATGCATTCTGGTCGGCAGCCTGTTGGTACAGATCATGGGCCTGCTGCTGCCACTCCTCCNNCTCTTGACTTATTTTGTGCTGATGAGAGTATTGCTGCTGTTGGGGAGCCTGAGGGTCGTCGTGTGAGTAGTGATCCTGTTGATCAGGCTGAGAGTAGTGGCTCTGTTGATCTGGTTGCGAGTAGTGGCTCTGCTGGTCACGAGAGTAGAGGCTTTGTTCGTCTTGCTCGTTATAGTGTTGTTCGCCATCGTGGGAATAGTGGCTCAGCTCGTCGAGGTCTGAGAGTCGTCGACTGGCCTTGTCCCACTCCGGGTGTTCGGGCTCGGGGGTCTTGTCTGCATCGTTTGTGGGCTTCTCTTGGTCGTCAAGCAACTCGGCGTCTTCTATGGTTGGTGCGAAGGAATAGTGGGATGGCTGGCGTCGTGGACTCGAGTAGGAGGTGGGTGAGGCGAGGGGCGAGTCCAGGGGACGGCCCTCCTGAACGGGCTCCGGCATGCCCGAGGGACGGTGGAAGCTGCTCACGCGTGAAACGGCGGGACTGGTGATGTATCCTCCGGGCGAGTAGCCTCCCCAGCGAGCGTGGTTGTTGACGTCGACAATCGAGTTTGCGTAGCTGGAGGTCGAGTGGTTGCGGCTGCGGGTGCTGATGACTCTGTCGATGCTCTGCTGACGGCCCTCACGAGCTTGTGACTGGGACAGTGACGGCGACTCAGAGGCGATGCTGCTTGACCGTAATGACGCCCGGTCCTGTTCCTGTTTCATCCTGCGAATCTCGTCGCCAATGTCGCTTCCCCCCTGACTCATCTCTTCTGCTGATTGCTCCAGACGCTCGACATTCTTGATGTACGCCCCCTGCAGGCTCTCCAGCCCGGGAGACGGATGTTGTAGCGATACTTGTTCGGCCGACGCTGTGCGCATCAGCGCTCCCCGTGGCGGTGCACCTGTAGACATCCCTGTACCATGTAGCACTCGGCCCTATCGTAATCCACTTTTACGAGCCACCATTAGTCTTGGGTCAACACGAGGGGGGAAAAGCAGTGTCCAGATGGTCGTTCGGAGGGAAAAGGAAAGGTAAAGAAGTGTGACACAGTCGCACAACCTCGCTCGTTTGCTTTGCACCCTGTCCCAGACGACCGCCCAAAAAAGCAGCCATGCGAGTCTAACAAGCCTGCCCTTACAACCGGCGTCCTAGGAAAAGCTTGGCTATATCCAACTACTTTATTTTTAGCCCTCCAGCCGCATTCCCCCAAACTCTTCTCATTCTTGTTTCCGGCTACCGTAATCCGATACATTGCTGAATATATTTCTGTAGACTTGCTCTTCTTCATGCCTCATCTCTCGCATCACAGTCTTCCTTACCCCATCCATCATCACGTCTACGCCGTTATAGAACAACGTTCAGAAAAGCTAGCATCCACCAAGGTAATGCATGCGTCTTGGCATACGCATTATCCCATGTCTTCCGCTGAACCTTCTTTTCCATCCAACAATCTGTCCAATCGCCATGTCCAGCTTTGCTTATCTGTTGCTGCCATCTGCATGTCTACAAGGATTCTTCAACTCAAGATAACCTGGGGTCTCGACTTGAACGATACTGCAATCTGTGATTGGGCTATCTTTTGATGGGTGCAGCACTTGATACTGAGGTCGCTTCTTCGAGGTCTCGTGTAGTCTTGTACAACGTATTGTATCCACTCTCACATGGGATGAATGAATAGGTACCAAGTATAGTAACTTGCCACGTGTGTGTAGAGCAATCAACACAGCTTAGCATTGCTTGCTTACCGAGGAATGCGAGTAGGTTTATTGAGCCTCATCTCTTCCATGCCTCTTCTTCCATGCCTATCTCGGCTCTCCTCAGCCATTACCATAGCAACATATTTCATATCGGAACGGCAGCAAGGTTGATGTTTATCATAATGTCTATGCAAGAAGTATACGCAGAAGGCTATTCGAAGTCAAGTCCTTGTTGTAACAGGGCTGTAAACCTAGGACTGTCGAAACTCGTCGTCCAGCAGTCAAGCAAACTAAAAATCCAACGAAGGCCACAAACAGCGAAACAGACAAAAGCGCCAAAGAAACTCCACCAACTGTGCTGGCTGCACCAGTGTCGTCCTGAGTACCGGTGCAACCTCTCATGCCCGTGTAGTTACCATTTTGGGCTTGTGTAGTGTTGGAAGGGTTGCAAGTCAAATTTGCGACAGTCTCTCTATCGGTGACGACCTCGTTGATAACACCAGTAAGCCCATCACCGTACTTTTCGCCTTCCAGTGTGCATGCCGTGACAGTTTGTCCCTCCAGGTCATTGTCTTGACAGCCAGAGAGCCTTCCGGTAGCACAGATAGTGTTGGGAGTAAAGGCGACATAGCCATCTGTTCCATTCTTGATTGTGTATGTACGACGATAGAGAGCCACAGGATATGTCTGAGTCTCGTTGAACTGGAGGTTGACGACTTTGGAGATGGTGTCGAAGATGGAGTTTGCTGAGGCGTCATCCGAGATGTTCAAGGTGCGGCCTTCGGTGACATAGCCGCCGATGTCGATAGAGCAATTCTGCGTGGCGGAACATGAAACACCCTCGCTGATGATGTATGAGCGACTGCTGAGAGAAGTGTACGTCAAGTCATTGTAGTCGGTGGTGACATTGAAACCAGAGCAGGACTGTGCTAGAGCTTGTTGACATGAAGCCAATACAAGAGCAGAGATGACTGAGATTGTGAACATCATGTTTGACAAATTGTCCAAGATAGTTTCGAAGGTAAACAGATGGATATTCGGATGAGCAGAGATACATACAAGTATTTATATCCTACGTGGAATGTCATGTCGTCGAGGCTGTGAAAGCTGGGCATACGCGACATGACGGTTCATGGCTCGGAAACAACAACGACAGGCTGGTCGATCACACCAATAGAGTGAAATCGTTGTTTGTGTTCCTTCAGAGTCATGCGCTTTCATTAGTGTTGGCCGGGTGGTTGGCAATGCCCAGCAAAGCCAAGTGTGTAGTGAATCCTCTTCAGCCAAGCTTGGTATTTGTATAGGCGATCGTTCAGGATTCGAGGCCACAGGTTGTCCCAATTTGCCAGGTGCATGACTTCCGCGAAGCTCTCGATGTTTTGAGAATTAAGATGTTGTCTTGGTCGCTTCTGTTCCGCTCTGAGAGCGTCAATCAGGCATGAGATGAGCGTGCTGTGCTAGAGCTATGTCGTGTGAATCAATACGTGCGTTGCTTGTTGCTTCTACATAGCTGGTAATGTACAAGTGATACTCTACCGCGACAGACATATTCGGGCATGAGATATGGTCCGTCTACCTCTCAAAGGAAGACCAGAGAGAGGATGCATATTGGAGTGAAGAAGGTAGGTTGCTAGAGTACTCCTAGGAAAGTGCCGGGTCAGCTTCCAAGCTCTGATTGGCTGAGCGTCGAGACTCGCGACTCCGGCTGGCTCAAAGTCGTGGATGTCATTTGGCCACCACCTCAGCGCACCCTCACCTACGCCTCCCATACCCTGTCTTGTCTTCACGGTCGGCGACTGTGAATTCAATCCCTCTACACATCAGCAATATGTCGCGCGCCACATCAGCAATCACATCGGCGGCATCGCACCGTGTCGTGCCCTCGGCCAACGCCACCACCTCCAAGTTGACCACCTCCGTCCGTGGTCTCGCTACCGTCCAGGATGCTCCCCCAGTTCAGCACAAGCGTGGTCTCCAGGACCAGGACCGTATTTTCCAGAACCTTTACGGCCACCATGGAGCCGACCTCAAGAGCGCCATGAAGTACGGTGACTGGCACAAGACCAAGGAGATTATCAACAAGGGTCACGACTGGGTATGCATTGCCACGCATTGCTAGTCAATCGCAAGTCTGCTGATACGCTTGTTACAGATCATCTCAGAAATCAAGGCCTCTGGTCTTCGTGGCCGTGGTGGAGCTGGTTTCCCCTCTGGTATGAAGTGGTCCTTCATGAACTTCAAGGACTGGGACAAGGACACCAAGCCCCGCTACCTGGTCGTCAACGCCGATGAGGGTGAGCCCGGAACCTGCAAGGACCGTGAAATTATGCGCAAGGACCCCCACAAGCTGCTCGAGGGATGTTTGGTTGCTGGTCGTGCCATGAACTGCACCGCCGCCTACATCTACATCCGTGGTGAATTCTACCACGAGGCCACCGTCCTCCAGCGTGCCATCCAGGAGGCCTACCAAGCTGGTCTTATCGGAAAGAACGCCTGTGGATCTGGATACGACTTCGACATCTACATTCACCGTGGTATGGGTGCCTACGTCTGTGGTGAGGAGACTTCCCTCATCGAGTCGCTCGAGGGCAAGCCCGGAAAGCCTCGTCTGAAGCCTCCGTTCCCCGCTGCCGTCGGTCTTTTCGGTTGCCCTTCGACCGTCGCCAACGTCGAGACCATTGCTGTTGCACCCACTATCATTCGTCGTGGTGGCAGCTGGTTCAACTCGTTTGGCCGTGAGCGTAACGCCGGTACCAAGCTTTTCTGTATCTCTGGTCACGTCAACAACCCCTGTACCGTCGAGGAGGAGATGTCCATTCCTCTCCGTGAGCTGATTGACAAGCACTGTGGTGGTGTCATTGGCGGCTGGGACAACCTCAAGGCCGTCATTCCCGGTGGTTCATCTACTCCCATCCTTCCCAAGAAGATCTGCGACGACCAACTCATGGACTTCGACGCCCTCAAGGACTCTCAGTCTGGTCTCGGTACCGCCGCCGTCATTGTCATGGACCAGAGCACCGATGTCGTCCGCGCCATCGCTCGTCTGTCCAAGTTCTACCACCACGAGTCTTGCGGTCAGTGCACTCNNCCCTGCCGTGAGGGTTCCAAGTGGACCGAGCAGATCATGCACCGTTTCGAGAAGGGTCAAGCCCGCGCTCGTGAGATTGACATGATGCAAGAGCTCACCAAGCAGGTCGAGGGCCACACCATTTGCGCTTTGGGTGAGGCCTTTGCCTGGCCCATCCAGGGTCTGATCCGCCACTTCCGCCCCGAGCTCGAGGCCCGCATCCAGGACCACGCCAAGGCACAGGGTGGTGAGGCACTTGCTGGTGGCTGGCACCACAACTCTCACAAGGATGGTCTGCTCGTCTCTCCCGGCCAGTAGATTTCTTTCTTGTTTGATGTGTAAATATCCAGTTCCTTTTTTCTTGTTGTCTAACGTGAGTACCGACGTGTATCAAATGGCGTTCTTTTGTTTAGCCTATAGTTCAATATCTTTTTTTCTTTTTGGGAACTAGAAAATGCAGTTAACACTTTCCCCAAAAACTGGCTTGACAAGATAGCTTCTTGCTTTCGTGTGTTCTGTGTGCGTAAGCAATCTGTCTGCCATAGCATAAGTGCCATTTCACAAAAACTGCTCGTATTGTTAATTATAAATATTGGCTATGATGTTGCCCAGCAAAGGGATACGAGAATAAGAACACAGTGCTCATGATTCCAGACTCTTATGTCGCACAAACCACCGTATTCACCTACCTGGAGAAGCAGAAAGAGAGAAAAAGACGTAGTTCATGAATCAGAGTCATTTACTTCTTCGTCTTGTACACCATGATTGCTCAGAAACCCCACACTTGTGTAAATGATATATGAGCTAGACCAATGTAGAGATTGAATAGTGCTGGTTGTCCTTGGAAGTAGTCGAGTCTGTGTGTTTTATACACGGATATCCGAGCTGATTAGCAACATGCAAGACCAAGTGAGTGCATGTGAGTACATGGCTATCATCATGATATTGTGTCGAGCCAGCATTTGGACAAAACCGACATTGATATCAGAAACAGGTTGCCCTAGATCACCCTCGGCGAACCACTTCTATTGATTGGCAAGTGTACCAGTTGACTGTACCTTAGCAATATATTCTTGCACGTAGTCCGGTCTTGTGGTGCACCGGTCGGGAATACATATTCTTGCTCTTCAGGTGAATTGACTGTTGAGTGGACGTGTTTGTTTCTGTGAGAACGTACAGCTGAAATTCGGCTTTGTACTGTTGCGTTCTGCTTCCACCACTCTCTTTGCACCACTGAATGCCTCTATGAACGTATCGCATGACGGAAGGCGTCACAGCCGGAGTATTTCAAGGAACAAAATTGGTATTCAGAAAAGCGGTATTTGTAGTACGATTGAGCGCCGGAGAAAATGTACAAAGAGGAAGAAGGAGGTGGGGCGTATGAGCTGGTGGCATTGTAGCGTGTCTAGTGCAAGTTCTTCTCGACCTGTGTTGTTGTATGTTAGTCCATGCCTTCTCCGGTCTTGCAGCATGTCGGGTCTGAGTTGCGCCACGTACTCTCCATCCATTGCTGTATTCGAAGCCAGCGGGGGCAATGGGGCGGTCGACTTGGCCTCTGAGCCAGCCTGTCAGGCGACGGTCGCGGTCCATCACTGCGGGAGAGAAGNNTCGGGTCAGCATTTCTGGGTCGTTGGGCTGTCGCGAGAGATCGAGTTGCGCACTTTGTCTGTCCCACTGGTCGATGGAGTGTCTGGCGCGCTTGCCGCCGTTCTGGATGTTTCTGATCTTTGAGAGACCAGCACCGGTGATACCGAAGAANCTGCGCGTTCATGTGTTAGAGGTGGGATTGACGGCGTCAGGAAGGTCGAGATGGTAGCGTACGGCAAGACAAATGCCATAGGGCAATAGAGCTTCAAAAGGGACACCCATGGCTGTGTATTGTGTTGTGTGATATGGCCCTTCTAGCACCCTCGTCGTCGATAGGCCCAAGCGGATTGATGACCAGCTACGTCTTGGCACTGGAGACGTGACTAAAGCCGGAATTCAAGCGCAAAACAGGCAACTGCGCCGTAGGGGAAGCTGCGACTTCTCCACACGCTCTGGACAGAGCACAACACGAAGCCTGAGGGCGCTGAACAAGACGCTCAGTAATACCACATCAATTCGACAAGACGACCTGCCGCTTTGTACTCATTGATTCTGTTGTCGCCCTATCCCAAACTGTCAAAGCAGTCGCTCGTTGTGTCTGCTAGAGATCCTCTCTGCCGCCTACCTTGTCGCCGCGTCGACCTCAGCCTCCCCGTCCAAGCTTCACCACACTCCACGTTACCCACGCCTTTCACGAATACCGCGTCTTTACGTGTCCTTTGCTTCTGGACCTATCCTCAAACTACTTGGTCACTCGTCCCAGCTTTCCGAGCTTCTCTACTGCTTCCGCATTGGCTTGCGACCACTCTGCTTGCTTTGGGCGCCAAGGCTTCAACAGCACGTCTCCCTGTGACCTCTCCATGCACTCTACACACAGTATCTAGACGTGTTTGGCTCTACAGTGTCGCAGCTCGGATTGCGATTCATACCACCTTCATACCTCCGCATACTCGCGCCATAGCCGGATCATCACCTACACCGCCATGCGCAGCAGTAGTATTGACGCAGAGGGCGAAGAAGATGATCTCGAAATGCCCGAAACCCAGTCGCCTAGCCTTCAGAACGATATCCCCGAAGACCAGGACGACGACGAAGACGAAGAAGATGATGACGAGGGAAGATGAAGATGCAGATGCAGATCAGGACGATGACGAGAGTGAGATTGTCGGTGCTGTAAAGAGAGCCCCTACACGGAGCAGGACCTCAAGAGCCAGGAAAAGTCGCGATATCGAGACCAGCGAGGACGACGAGTCTGCATCCGACGGTGACAACGACTCCGACTCGTCTGATGAATCTGCTGCCACGCAGGCGCCTTGGGAGAAGGAGAGCGACACTGCTCAGGAACAGGACCAAGACGTTGTGACAGACTCGACTTGCGTGTATGTGGTCATGGCGATTGCTTCCAGAGATAATGCTGATTTGGGCTTGGCAGATATTGCGGACAAGACGAAGAAAACGACCCGAGCGACGAGTACGAAGAATATCTCGAATGCGGTCATTGCGGGGATCATGGTAAGTTTTTATATCATCACGTTTAGTGTCAAGCTTCGTCAGGGTCCTGGAAAGCTGACTTGATGCGTGCAGCTCACAAGCAGTGCGCCAGAAACGCTAATTCGCTTAGCTCCGATCAAGGTACGTCGACCTTTGTGACCTGCATGTCCAATTCTAACATGTATCAATAACTCTAGACAAGGNATCCTCAGACCTGGCTATGTCATGATTGTGTACACAATGGCTTCCCTCTTGTCGACAGGTCGACCATCAATGATGGCTCTCAACGTCGATCGTCTGTTCCCAAGTTAGCCCGTGACCTCTTGCCTGCTGCTCGCGGCGGCATCAAACCAAACTCGCATTCAGTCTTTAACAATCTCATACTCGACGATGATCCGATGGATGGTTCTCGCTCTCTTAGGAAACGTAAGAATTCTTCCGTCGAGCTCGACGAGCCACCGCCAAGGGCGACGTCACGTAAAAGGAGACGATCAACCGCATCTGGCAGTCAAACCAACATCAATGTCACGCCAAGAGATGCAACCAAGGAGCAGGCGACAACAAGGCAAAGTAGTGGTTCAGCCGAAAGTGAAAAGTCTTCCAACACGCGCTTAACTCGACTTCGGAAGCAGCCTCAGTCAAGCACAAACGCAAGGATCATTTCTGCCGAATTACTCGACGACAACCCTAAAAGTCTTGTTATCGCCATCCCTATTAGCGCCGCCGCCCTCGAAGGTATCGAGCGCAACGCGCAAAGAAAGGCTCGAAGACGCGAACGAGACAGGGCGCGACGAGCACTAATGGGCAGTCGCAGANAGAAGAGTGGCGCGCATGGCGATGTATCCGAAGCGATTGAAACTACTTCTTCACACTACCCTGCCGTCGCCACAACTCTCTACGACAATCCTTACTACCCCTTTCCTGACCGAGAACTGGACACTGTGCAAGGCAAACCTTTTGGTGGCATCCTCACCGACGCCGAAGCCGACACAACCAAGACATTTCCTCAGCAACCTGACCGTGATCTCTTTGAAGAGTCGCGCCGCCAAGCCGAAGAAGCAAGAAAGGCCGAACAAGAAGCCAACCCTATTGAATTACCATCCAGATCAAAGTCATCCGGCGGATTACCTACTAAGATTAAGTACATCCACTTTGGTGGCTGGGAGATCGAAACACTGCATGCCGCGCCTTATCCCGAGGAATACAATCGCAACCCGATCCTATGTATCTGCGAGTTTTGTCTCAAATACATGAGCTCGTCTTATGTCGCATTCAGACACAAACTCAAATGCCCACACAAACATCCTCCCGGCGACGAGATCTACCGCGACGACATCATTGATGCTGACGGCAACAAGAAAAGCATCTCCTTTNTCGAAGTTGATGGTCGCCGCAGTCCTCTTTACTGTCAGAACCTTTGTCTTTTGGCCAAGTTGTTTCTTGGTTCAAAGACTCTGTATTACGATGTTGAGCCCTTCCTTTTCTATGTCATGACGGAGAATGACGAATATGGTTGCCACTTTGTTGGCTATTTTTCAAAGGAGAAGAGGGACTGGACGCCACCTCGTGATCCTCGCGCTTCTATCGAGATTGGTTCTGATCCGCTAACAAATGGTCTCCAAGCCAAGGCAGGTGCCAATGCTAATGACCCACCAGGCAACAATGTCTCTTGTATTCTGGTGTTCCCAGTTCATCAGCGTCACGGGTTTGGTCGCACTCTGATCGAGTTCTCCTACTTATTGACTCGTGTCGAGGGTAGAACAGGCTCTCCCGAAAAGCCACTGTCTGATTTGGGTCTTGTTTCCTACCGCTCGTACTGGCGTGGTGTCATGTGCAGACTACTGCTCGGCTACAAAGAGGCACCGAGAGGCTCGTACGATATTTCTTTCTCGAGCATGGCTCGTACTACAGGCATGACTGTTGACGATGTCATCTCGTCACTGGAAGCGCTTCGTGCTATTGTCAAGGACCCTGTCACCAACAAATATGCCCTTCGTTGCGACTGGGCATACATGGCAGAATATCTCGACAAGCACGACAAGAAACGTCACATCAAGATCGATCCCGCAAAACTCATCTGGACACCGTATGTGATGGGTAAGCCTACAAGCTATTTCCCAGTTGGTGAGGNNGAAGCCAACGGCCCCATTCAAACCAAGGCTCGTCGCGATGAGCCCGAAGATCTGGAGGCCGCACAACCTGAAGAAGGCGTACAGCAAGCTCAAGTCAATGGGACTTCGACACCCGATCCAGAAGCGCTGAATGGCGACAACATATCGCCCAAAGCTAATCGCAAGGCTCCTCCATCGACTTTGACACCTCAGCCCTCCTTCACCCAAGGCTCCCCTCCTCGTCGCTCGCCTCGCAAATCACAGTCTCAACCACAACCCGAGCAGGCCAACGGCGCAACACAGGATGAACTTGCCTCGCAGAACGATACTTCAGACACCTCATCAGTCAGACGTGGATCCGCGTACACAGAGGATAGCATCCCCGCCTCGCGATTCGAGATTTTCCCACCCATCCCTGGTCAGCCCACAAAGCGCAGACCCGGTCGCCCCATGGGCAGCCGCACTCGCTCGAAGCTTACTCCATCGGCTATCAGACATGCAGACAGCATGGAAGAAAGTACTCCTCACCCAACAACCACGCCTCGCGGTCGTCCTACAAACGCCGCCCGCCGTGCCCGCAGCAAACTCGACGAGATGGAAGTAGCGCCCTCAGCCGACGAAGACGAGATCCAACGCCAAATCTCCTCTGAACACGAGCGCGCACTCGAAGATGTAGTCGACACCAACAACGGCGCAGCATTCACGCGTCCAAAATTCATAGGCAAACTCGAGGTGCCCGAACATGCTGTGGAAGACGACGAAGAAGACGAAGATGCTGAAGGCGAGGATGTGGAGATGGGAGAGGTTGGTGTGGGCAATGGCTACGGTGGCGTAGGAGGTGTTGATGCTTTGCCCAAGGAAGATGAATATGTCCCTGATCAAGATGGGGATGAAGATGAAGATGTTGATGCTGAGGGTGATAGCGATGATGAGATGCTGGACGCTTAGTTCTGGTCCTGAAGCATCTTCGCGCATATCTCCTCCTTCCGAGCCAACGAGTGAATGAAGCATCTGAGAAGATCTCCACTCTTCTAAATTGCGGCGCTTGTTTTTTCTTCTGTTTTTTTTTTTCTTTCTCGATGCTTGCAATTTCTCTGCTGTGGGAACAAAAAAAGGCGTTCTTTGGGATTAACGGACGATACCATTGGGAGCATTCTTTTCTTTTTTCTGCAGAGTTTTCTGCTCTGCTATTCTGATGTTTTCGCTCTTTCGAAGAGAGCCAAGCGTCTGTTCTTTTTCCCTTCTTACCCATGTACTTTTATTCAAAGCTCGATACCAGGGGTGCTCTTCTTCTCGAACTCAGACTTTCTTTTCTTGCCTTGCTTGCTGTCACAAATCGTTGGACTCTCTTTCACCAGTGAATTATTCCGTCTCGAGATCGGCAGGCGCGATGCTCTGATTGTTCATACCGCTGTGTTTGATGTTCCGGTTTGTAATGCCTCTCTTGTTAGATAGTGAACAGGATATTGCAAACATCTGTATTTGTCACGATGAGACAGATGCATCGTTCCTCGGGGAACTTCATACAACTTCCGTGTATTAATGCCGTGATTCGGAGTTTGCTATGTGCTTTTGAAGCATCCATCTGAACTCGTTGAAGTGTCCATCTGAACTATCTATATGAACACGCTGCACTGGACTCGCTGCACTGGACTCGCTGCACTGGACTCGCTGCACTGGACTCGCTGCACTGGACTCGCTGCACTGGACTCGCTGCACTGGACTCGCTGCACTGGACTCGCTGCACTGAACTCGCTGCACTGAACTCGCTGAACTCGCTGAACTCGCTGAACTCTCTGAACTCTCTGAACTCGCTGAACTCTCTGAACTCTCTGAACTCTCTGAACTCTCTGAACTCTCTGAACTCTCTGAACTCTCTGAACTCTCTGAACTCTCTGAACTCTCTGAACTCTCTGAACTCTCTGAACTCTCTGAACTCTCTGAACTCTCTGAACTCTCTGAACTCTCTGCGCTCTCTGGACTCGCTGCACTCGCTGCACCTGCCAAACTCTGTCTCCAAATCCAGAACTGTCCATCTTCACAGTTTTTGGCTATACACAGCACACATCTCACTAGATCTTTGGACGCATTTATTTCGTATTACTTGTTATGTGGTCTTTTGATTTAGAAGTCTAGGTCTGTATGTACAGTATTTATAGAAGAATATTTTAATTATAAGCCTTTTTGGTTCACTCTTCTTCTTTGTGCAATTTGTGTTCTAGATAGTCGGTCTTTTGAGCTGTATGATGCTTAATACTTGGTTAGATCTTTGTTATGTCTCTTTGCTTTTTGCTCAAAAATGCACTGGAATAGTAAATGTATAAGCTTTGGTTCTTTGGTCGCCAGACAAGGCCTTTTCTGGGTCAGTACTCTTTTGGTCGTTTTGCCTTGTTGAACAGAATATGAGGCTCTTGGGTGTTAGCAATCAAATCAATATGTGAAACAAACTGGGAAGTTGTGTAAGTGCATCATGGATATGCGGCCAACAAAGTCTATCAAAGGCATTAAGAGCAGTAGCCCGACAAGGGTGCTCCTCGCTACTTGTATAATACAACAATGGTCAAGTATATCATTCCTTTGGATCTACAGTAACAGTGAGGATAATCTGGTATACTTGCCTCTAAATCCGCTGCCGGAGACGGGATATCAGGCTAACTCATTCAAGTGAGTGCTTACACGCCATCAACATGTAAGAAACATATTCAGTCCAAAGAAAGGCAGACAGGAAGCCGGATGCACATCCTTACACTTGCATGACCCTGCAAGCCTCTGGCTTCTTAGAGCAAACTGCAGAAATCCATGATCGCATGTGGTGTCCTTGTTCAACCATACCTTGCTCGTACTGTAACCTTAGCACATCAATCGCTGTTGCTCTTTCAAGTATCGACTACGTGTATTGTCTTTGAGTTCCTGGTAGCATGGCGAGGAAACAGTGTTTGTTCAATCTCAGTGGCACGCACGGAATAGACGGAATCTTTGTTTTTGTCTTTGGAGAGCTCATCCATGCCGCGAAGGGTGAACAGCGAGTCGTGCAACTTCTGGGGTTTCTTGTCGACTGGCTCGTCGTCGAGAGCATGGCTGAGGAGGCAAGGAAGAGGGATGCGAAGAGACTGGCGAGCGATCCGAGGATCGGTAAACGTGTTCTGTGTGCGAAACTATCGTAGGTCAGGCAGGCTGTAGCAATGACTGGGAATTGAAGGGTGTGTCCCGGTAGACAATCTCGAACCAGCCGGCAAGCTCTCCTGATGCGAGAGCGGATCTGTGTAGTCGGCAGGAATAGGCTGATGCTGGATTGCTAGACTGAAATGTAGCTATGCGCTTCGAACCCAGCACAGAGGAGTGTTGAGACAGACAAATCTCTGACTTGGATTGATTCCTTGCGGCCCCTGAACGATAACCCACAATCTACGTGGTGTGAACAAATTCGCGTACGGTAGCGTACCAAACTTTCGTTTGCAAAGACTTTATCTCAAAGCTGAAGCTGAGAAGACTTGATGAATTCAGGAACGAACTTATTGCCTTTGCTGATGCATGTTCTGCAGGAAGACGCGAAAATGTTATCCTTTGTTGGTAGGCACTTTCTTGACAACCACAAGCAAACGTCTGAACCATATCGCCATCTTTGACCCAGATGGCTTCACCACAACGACGGGCCCGATATTGCTGCTCACACGCTCTCGCACCATTGAAGACTCCAGACGCGAAGAGGCTTGGGTCTTACGACCTCATGATGCAAGTTCATAGTTCAAGACGTTATAGCGCCTTCTGCATCTCGTGGAGCTTTCTGCAAGCTCGACGTGCTACCTGCAGATCACTAGATAGCACGCGCAGATTCATGGATGTCATGCTTCTGCCTGATCACCTTTCAATCCTGATGTCAAAAGTTGTTGTCTTGAAGATCTTTGTGAGTATGAGCACGAGTCTGCTCCTGCAGAACTTATTGGGCAAGCTGATTCGGCGTCATTGCGGGCCCCAAAGCTGGCTATACCCATGCGTGCAGACAGATGACCAACACGATCCTCACACCGTGCAGATGTTATGGAACTGAAGAGCTGCTATCATCAGCTTTGGCAAAGGATACTATAGGGTAGGCATGTTCGATGACCAAGACTCTCAAGCAGATTCTATCGTGCGTATTACGCAGCACTGCCCCTGGGGTGTGTGCATTGCACTCTTTGGTTCAGATGTAGCACTGACTTATCACGTCGATGTAGATCTTAATGAACATGTTCGTCAGCCGTCACTTTTGGGCTTGCTTAGCTCGCACACTGTCGAGTTGGTCTCCAGACTGTCGCATACTGGGGCGTTGACGGTCGCAAGCGATCGCCAATCTACTCAGTGGGTGCCCAGAAGCTCTCCCGCTCTCATCCGTCTGTATACGTAGTCTTGATCGTTGGATGAGCGAATGTTCAAGCGAAGAGCGAGACACGAGGGTGTTGGGTACCCTGCAGTCGAGGAGAGGGATAGGCGTGTTGTGTCAGTACACTCAAGCCCGTCGTATGTCAAGCGTTGTTCTTGCTCGCCTGACAATCGCCAACGTCCAATATTCCCAGCTCTTGCCCCTGTGACCTGTATCTGGTTCAGAAGTCTCACTGCTTGCACAGCCTGTATCGGTGTTTTGTCTCCACCGATCTGACAATATGGGTCCATCTTGCTGTGATACTGTCCACTAAGCGCTGTTACTGGGGTTGCTTGGTCATCTTAGATCCGAGATTGTTGACTCGCTGATCATCTTGAGATAGCCGCGCAAGATCGTACAGTTCCAGATACTCGGTCCCGGACCGTGAAGCGATCAATAGTGTCGGCCTATTATACCAGAAAAAGTGTACGATTAATGGCAGAAATTGGTGGTGATGAGGGGACTCCTTAGTTACGCACGTAGTGACTTGAGATAGTTCGGGGACTCGGGGACCACAAAGGGGAGATGGAGTGCCTCCGTCATCCTATAATCTAGAAATTGGACTCCAACATCAATTGTCCGTTGTCGTTGCGCGAAGGTTGGTCGATCCGGGCGCGGCCGACATCGCGGCTAAATCGTATTGCAAGAAGACAACGATCAAAAGCTGCAGTCCTAAGCGCGCGCCTCTGATCGAAAAAGGCCAGACAGAAACGGTGCTGCCTGATGCGAAAAGGGCAAGGAAACGGTCTCGGTCAAGGCGGAACGCCCAGAGCGCCATGACGAACGCCTCGTGGTGCCCGAAGAAGCCAACAGACGGTATGTCTGTTTCACCGCCCGCTTCTCCCATTGAGGGAAAAGGTCGACCTCTGGTGTACTCTTCCGAAGCAAGACGGTCCCGATGGCATGACTCTGTGTGAACGGCTTTCGACGTTAATGTGTCGAAGGTCAGGGTCAGGAGCGACGAAACTCAAATATATTCCCTGCAGCCTGCAGGCAACCGGACGCGATGTCTCGTGCCGACGTCAGCCGCGCAGGGAGATAACAACACAGTCAACACGTCCTTTGTTCGCAACTCTGGCTCGGCATTCGAGTCACCAAACGGGCCTAGAAACTGGTGGTTACCGGCCAGACGTTTCTAACCCGGTAGCGATGGCGGCGACAAAGGAGAGCCAAACTTCCAGCCACGAAGTCACGAGAAGGACTCAGGAGAACGTGGTTGAATCGTGCCAATAGCCCTCATATGGTCAGCAAGATAACCATGACCTTCTTGCCACGCATCTAGAGCAAAACTTACGTATTGGGTTTGTTGGTGTAGGCCGTGCTGAACTGGGCGCTGTCGCGGTACGGGCCAGCACACGGGGTTTTGCCGGGATGCGCTCCGGATGAGAAGTTTAGATCAAGGTATTTGAGATAGCTTGAAGGTGTCTTCAGCCCTAGTTGAATGATTGTGATGGATTTTACGTAGGTATGATGAGTTTGTTGCAAAACGTGTTGAGACATTCAGATGTTTTCGCCACGGTGTTGCAATGGCAGGCGCGAATCATCTTGAGGTGGCAAGAGCGAGGCACGGTTCCAGGGCAAGAACCGAGGATGTTTTGTTGCAAATGCATGAACAAAAATCACAGCTGTCTTATTCAGACGAGGGGTATATGGATATAGTGCTCAGGAAAACAGTGCAAATCGAGAACGAACAAGAGAAAAATATACAAAGTACAAGGAAAGGGTAATCAACATTAATAAAAGAAACAAGGAATCCAGCCATGTGATGTCCTGTGCAAACCCATCGGCATCATACACATAAAAGCAATAAGAAATCCAAAGATCCAAGGACCAAAGCCAGCCGATGGGTATCCCGCCCCCAAGGTGCCTTCCAGGACTCCTCGCTAGGAATGATCAGTGGTATAAAAATCAAGAACAAGTGCAGGGCGTAGCCTAGCATTGGGTATATAGTGTTGTTGTTGTTGTGGTGTAGGTATGTATATGCAATATCGCGCGTAAAATCGGTGTATGTTCGTGTTTGTAGTGTTTTTGTGTGGGTGTTTCAGCAGAAGACAAATCTGCCCTTGTATCCAGTCCGGTCTGTCTTGTCTTGCAACATGGTTGAATAATGATCATGGTTTCTTCATTCTTGGAATTCAGAGGAATCTTCATGATCGTGTTTGTTGTGTTCATGAGAGAGTCTCGTTGTACGTGACTTGCTGGCCGCTGCGTTATGTGCTCATACTTCTAGTAGGATCTGGACTGGTCCGGTGCCTGAGTTGTAGGATATGTCACTCCTCCGGGCGTCTGGTAAGGGTTGCCTAGATCTGTTTGATACTGCTGATGCTGCTGCTGTGCTGAAGCGAAGGGCTGTCCAGGCTGCTGCGGACGAATGGCCAGGCTTGGGTGCGATTGCGGCATGTAAGGACTAGGTTGCTGTGTGCTGCGCAAATCTATAGGGTTGCCTAAGGATGGGTGTCGGCCAACCTCGTGATTCGGGTTACTTGAAGGTTGCTGCAGAAGTGTCTGTGGGGGAAGAGGTTGGTATGCTGGCTGGCGGAAGTGCTGGTACTCGAACTGCTGGTTTTCTGGCAAGGCACCGTAGGGCTGTTGTTGTAGCGGTTGTTGTTGCATGGAATACGCGGGCGCTGCTTGGATCAAGCCCGATCTTGTGGATGAGGCAGGACTTGCGGCCGAATGTGTCTGTGTGTGCTGTCTAGCCATGGCCACGGGATCGTGTTCGGTGCTGTAAGTAGACGGTCCCTGCAAGCTGCCACTGGACGGAATATACATGGCAGCAGCTGGGCCTTGGAACGGTGTGCTTGGGCTTGTCTGCGAGTGTTGTGCCATGGAAAGGTACGAATCGGTGCTCCTTCGCGAGAAAGTTGGGCCGGATTCTGGTCCCAATTGCGGTGCGGGCTGCAAGCCATAGCCTGCAGCTCCTGGACTTGGAACAATACTCTGCGCGAGATCAATACCACCTTCTGGGAATCTCGCTGGCGCAGACGCAGCGCTGTGCGGAGTGTGAAATACCTGGGTATGTGACCAGCCAGGAGGAGCGGTGGGGGTCCGGGAGCCGAAGGACGTTTGTGGTGACTGGAGCAAGGCTTGTTGTTGCAGGCCGTAGGGAGCAGGGGGNATGTTCTGCGACGCTGTTCGGGGGTCGTATGGAAGAGGTGCTCTTTCTGTCATCGAGTAGCCCTGTGGCGGAGCGTGTTCGTTGGAGCGATGTCGTTTGTTCGGGTCCTCGTCGTAGCCGAAGAGAGATGACCCTGCTTGAGTGCTGGTTCTAGGAGAATAGGGAAGCGTACGCTTGGAGCTGTAGTTGCCTGTTAGCAATGAAATTCCCCTCAAGTCATCGTCATCTTACCCAGCTACATTGCGATTTTCCTTGCGCAGGCGCAGTCGCACACCCTGGTCCGAGAAGGTCCTGGACAAATGAGTAGACTCAACAAGGCCGCGCCACTGCTTCTGCTGCACCACATCGAAAGGCTCAGACGTGATCGACTTGAGGAATACGACCTCTCCAGTGTCCCTGCTTGCTGTCAGCGATTGCCTAGCGGGCTGTCTTCCGTTACTTACTTTNCTGAGCTCGAATAGGCTGAAATTAAGCTTGTGCCGTCCCAGCACCCGGATTGAAATGTCTCCAAATACGAAGAATCCGCCATCNTGAGGTCGCGTGAATGGTCAGCCACTGTGGCAAGTCTATCTGGACCGCAAGCACTTACCTTCATTGTTGATGTCCTTTAGTCTATGGAGGGAAGAGACGCTCTGGCCTGTGATCTCCTGACCGGCAGCGACTTGCGATGGGGAGTTGTCGCTCGAAGATTGCTGCTCCACCTGAAGAGTGCATTGCATGAACAAGTAAGGACTCTGTAAGAACTGTCTGCGCAGAAGTATCAGTACTGTACAAATGCGTCACGCCGCTGAATATACGTACTTCCCCGGGTCTGCATTGGATGTCACCCTCAGCTCGATGATCGGTGGAGGATCCACTGGTTTTCTATCNTGTTTAGGGCACTGCGATCAGCAACCAAACTTGGAGCGGCTCGCGTGCAGGGATGAGCGCATACTTTTCTCTTTGCCCGTCTGGGTTACGAGGGCTTCGTTCGGTTGTTGGCGAACCACGAGCTCATAATCGCCGCTGTGGGACAACATTGTTAGTTTTGTCTGTCAAACCGTGGTAAAACAGATGTATCGCTGCTTGGGGGCTTGGCGCGACTGTTGGCAGCCTTACCTATCCAGCGCTCGATTGCTGGAGGGTGGTTGCTCTGGCTGGAGATGATATGGGTAGTTCATCAGAATCCAGCATGTGAGGTGCTCTCCGACCAAACTGCACTCTCAAGTCGACCTAGCAGGAATGTCCTGCTGCGATCTGGCTTGGACTGATGAGAAAGAGCGGGAGCTTCCGGATGAATAATGGTAAGATGAAAGAACCAGTCTCTCGGGTTATAGTCGAGCAGATTTGAGGATCCGGGCACCGAAATCGTTGGATGGGACGCGTCTGATGGGAGAGTCGCGTTTAATTGATTCAGTTTCTGACGTATGAAATTCGGACAGGCAGAAATGGATCCTGTCGGGCATCAAGCGCGTGGCGCGGGGAGATGAAAACTTCGTGAAGCTCGTGGAGCAGGATTGTCTCAGCAGTAATGATTGCGGCTCAGAAGTTTCCATGCGCAGCGACGACAGAGATGCAAGTTGTTGTGGTCGTCTGTGGTGGTGGTTGGAAGTCCGCAAACGTTAGAATGGCGAAGGTCGCATCCAGCCTGGTGAAGAAACGGTTCGCGTGATCCTTCCCTCGCAGCAAGAGTAGGCAGCGTCGACTTGGTAGAAGCTATCAGACGTTCAAGAGCGGGTCGGCAACCTTATGGAAGGCTTGCAGGTGACGATGTCAGGACCGCAGAACAAAACCCTGACAGACAGCAAATTGTTAACCACACGTCTTCTCGATCGACGGCGAGATGGTTGCGGGTGACCTATGGGTGAGGGCTGTGACCGGGACGAGCCAGCGGAACAGATCCGTGGGTGCGTGGTGATAAAAGCGTGGTTAAATGGCCTGTGCAAAGGACAAGCTGAGTCGAGTCCTATGGTACAGAGGAGCTCGTCCACCCACCAAAGCTTCAGAAGTCAAGCGCTGTGGTACAGGCAGTTTGATTAATCAAGTCGCGGTTCACACGCGCGCGGGAGGGGCAGCGGCCGTCGCGGGCAGATGCAAATTGGAGGCGGCGCCGAGGAGCGGTGCTTGTCGGTGGTAGGCTACTAAGCTGGCCAAAAAATGAAAAAAGGGCTGAACAAAAGGGCGGATGCCGAATGGTATTTCTCGTGCTGCGCTACAATGAGCACTAGAATCGAGTGGTAGCTTCAGCACAAAAGGGCACTAACCGTGGGTGATGTTTGGAAAAGTACCGGCCCTGGGCGCTGGTCGACGATCTGACTGGTTCAAAGTTGCAGTGTTCCCGCGAACGATGTCTTTTCGCTCAATTCGCTACCAAAGATTCAAAGTCCCGAGTCCTTGCAAGCGTCTCGGGAAGGCTTCAGTGCACCCATATAATAACCCCCAAATGCCGAGTCGAACACGGTCACCGGATGTCTCTGAGAACTGACAAAACCTACTGTCTCAGACCTGAGACTAGGGAGAATTCATTCGGAGTCAACGTCTTGCCTTATGACTGTGTGGCGGCGATGTTCCAGATGGAAATAACGGTTTTTCGTCAGCCTTAAACACAAAAAACGATGGTCGGACCTGGAGTTTGGCTGGTGGTTGGTGAAATGAGAAGGGAGATTGCGATCATTTCACCCGGGCAAGCAACAACAGCAGCTTCAAGCCGTCGTGGCATGTTCCTTCAGAAAACCCCCCTCAAAGAAGGGCGACCAAGCAAGTCCTCAGCGCAGCTCAACGCAGCTCAGCGCAACACTGCATTGCACCGCGCAGCGCGCCCCTCAGTCGCTTCCTCCCTCACATGCAAGCGTAAAGAGAAGGCGCCTCGCGCGGCGCTGACCCTGTTTCTGTCCCTGTCGCGTTTGCTGCTGCTTCCCTCTCGTACAACTATATCGCATGGACAGTTATCATCAGGGCATGCCTAGTCATCAATTAATCGCGTTCTCCCGGGAATCTCGCCGGCCACGCGGGAGCTGCTGCTGTCAACGTGGGACGGCGATATGGATTATCCTGTTCCCGCCCGTGTCCCGTCACAGAATAGCTTACCACAATGATATCAGCACCTCCAACCTGCCAAGGTGCGGCGCCATCACGTCTGTGTGTCATGCAAGACATGGCCGTTTTGCACCGCGCTGTCCGGTCTCTGCATCCTGACCTGTCAACTAACTCACAATCTCTCTTTGCGCGCTCGGTCTCTCTGTCTCACTGCTTCGCTCATACCTCATCGCAGCTGAATCAAGTGTCGCTTGCTGGACAAATCATGCGGCGGGCCTTCTGTGCAGCTCAGGGTGCATCTAAGCGATTCTCGCCATCGCCGTCAATCGGAAGGTTGTGCATCAGGGCCCTTGATGATAGCGCTGTTCCCTGTCAAAGGACGTCGACATACTGAACACAAAGCGCCACGTTTCCTCGCGGACGCGCGCAGTCGCGTGGCATCCTGGCTTACAGCCTGCAGATCTACTGCAGCTCGTAGGCCAGGGATTTTCATGCTTCCTATTCGTCTCGGGTTTCGCAAAGAAAATCAACGGTCAAAGACATTTCTTACTCAAATCTCCACGTGCTTTGACACCAAAAATTTTCGAACAATCCTGGCCTGGCTGACGTGCATTTAATCTGTCACTGTGATTGATTGAAGTATTGCATATATTTCACTACATACAGCCTGTTTATCGAAACATTGTTCTATTGACAGATGTTCGCATTAATCGTGTTGAGATGGAGAAGCCGAATCGCATCGTCAGGATTTGCTAAATTTGTAAGTTTATCCTACCGGGTAGCGGTCGAGTCTAACCCGGAAAGGGCCTGCATACATGCTTAAGCGACTCTAAGGATCTTGAGAGCCTTGTCTCTGTGACATTTATTACTCTCACTATCACCACTCATGCATGAACATCGCATAATAAACATGCAGTGTGCTCACCGACAGCTAGTAGCTATTTCAAGCAAGTATGCATACGTCCTCGGCTTCTCTTACCAGACAGATGATGCAAAGGACGCTATTCGAGAGACACGACTGTTGGAAGCGAGACCGGTTTGGGATCTTTCTCCACAGATACGCATGCATTTTCAATGAATCAGGTCGATAATGTGCTTGACTCCAGACTTCAGCTATGCAGACTGGTCACATCCGCAGTTCATGCAGGATGCAGGGCAATCACTTCAGATTGCTTGAAGGTGCTCATTCAGCCGTCGACTCGATCGCTAAGGCCAACGCGCCAAACATGTTGTTATAGAACGAGCCGCTCCTTGCGCTTCATGAGCAATCGGCCAAGCGACATGGGCGCGCATCTTTCCATCATGTTCCCGTGTGTCCATCAATTGCAGCTAGATCTGGTCGCTACAGGTGCCTCTCTTTGTGCTTGTATTCTGTTGCTTTCTGCAGAAAATGCTCGCTAAGCACATGTTTCCCTGTGTCTAGAACGCTGATCTCAACCATTTGAACAATAAGATGATGCTTCCGAGGCTCGAACTAACATCTACACCGAGCATACGCGATGTCCCGATGGACTACCGGTCGAGCTCAAAAGTATTGTTACGCTTTTCGACGGCCCTGCTTTAACGTTTACTCAGGCCCAACGAGCCCAGCACATCCCACGCGTAAAGGAGGGATGGAAAGTTCTGAACAAAGTGCGTGCAGCGTGTGCCTCTCACGAGATACATGCTTATTTGTGCAACTCTCGGTCGCCGGATCAACGATCCTCTTCCGCCGGCAGGGCGAGCTCCGCGTACGCTCTCGTGTTCGGGAAGTTCGTTCTTTTGCTCTGAAAGCACAGCCCTGCAAAATGTCTTGAACACTATTCAGCTGCGACTTTGCGCAAAGGAGGATAAATGTCCATCGCTGTTGGATCGACTATTGCGCACTTTTGCTGCCGCTCGGCAGAACCTTAAACGCGCGCCGCGCCGCCGAAGTTGATTGGCGGCATGCGCTGAGCGAGCCTCGGTGCGTGGTCACCCTGTGGAGAACTTTTGGCGTGGAGTCGAGCGTTTGCACCTTTTTTTCTTCGTGCTTGCTGCTTTTACGATTTTCCACCAAACAAGCGCCGCCAAAATGTCTCATTATTTGATATTCTGCGACAAATCTACGTTGGCATTTCCGTAAGGCGTGTCTCTGATCTTTTTCTTCTACGACACCTTCCGCCGAAGAAGAAGACCGAACCGTTTTCTGGAAGAAAAGAACGGATCATTACTCGTAATCCCTGCGGCTTTGGAACTAAGACGAGGGACCCTCATGTCTTGAATCCATCGCTGCGAGAAGCGCTCCTACGATAGGAAGGAGGCTTCTTGAGTTAACACTATCAGCTTCAAGGACCGATTAGGATGTGCTTGTCATCCATCATTCCTTTTATGGAGGCGCTTCTCTCTATTCGTCTTCAAGGCACGTGGCATCCGGATTCCGAGATCAGCCTCTTGCGCAAGGTCATCATATGACATGCTGAGCCTCGCCGTCATGGGAGGGCTTGCGCTCGAAGTTGCACAGCGTCCAATTGACTTTATGAGCATACCAGAATATATCTGACACGACAGCCCTAGTCAACCTACCAAATTGGTCTTGTGCTACTAACATGTCTCTGTCCTGTCGTGCCGTGCCGACGACGTCACCTACCAGTGGATTGCACAGCGCGTGGACGAGTAGCTTCCGAGCGAAACAATGGACTGGGACCTCGGCCCGTCCGAACAGGTAAACCGTCAACTTCAAGGCTCCGAGTCCGAGACTTGAATCAAGAGCCATTGCGAGTCGCGACACAGTGGGGTGTGTTTGTCCAGCGTCACCCCAAGCTCTAAACACGATTCGAAGTTCCAAGATCGAGCCATTGTTAATGAGTGCCACCGACTCGGCGTGCAGCCACCTTCAACAGCCAGCAATTGGCTTGCAGTCTTGTGTACGAGCCTGGACCAGCCTGATTGCGTACAGAAATTGTCAAAGCGCGGATTCAAGCTGTGTACCGCTGCGTTTGATGAGAAGGGAGGGCTTATTGTTGAACAATCTTAGCAGTGGTCAGCTGAGCAGACCTGTCCGTACTGACGCGAGTAATGACCCCTGCTAAGGCCTGAGTCCTGTCAGGGTCCTTTGATCGTAGATCCAAATCGTCCGGATGTGCGCGTCACAAACCGTCTCTATCCATGGTTCTGACCTGCCCTTGTGTTGAACTCTGTCACGGACGCGTTTTTACAGGACTTACGCTCAAGCCTCGAGTTTTACTTCGGGCAGGTGAAGACAAAGGGTGGTTTTTGACAGATTACACACTTACCAACGAAGGTGCGCAGGGCAGCCCTGCCTTGTGGTTAATGTTCTCATCCCCAGAGCTTTGTATATCATAGCAGCAGGGCTCACAAAGCCCTAGTACTCGGTAAGGCACAAAACATTTACCACCTTCAGACATACAGAGTTTGGTTCAAGGAGATTAGCACACAGATCGGAAACGGCCTGTTTGCGGGAAATTAAAGGCGCGCAACTGGTCGTCACCACGATCACGACAACTTTTGATTCAGATCTTTCCACAGCGCAAACGTAGAAAACTGCCATCTGAAGAACCNCGCGGCTCGGCCAGATAACCATCCACATGTTCCATGCCAGCATCATCGACTATCGTCGTCTCAAAGTCAGACCATATCGCCGCCACAATCCCTTTCATCTCTAGTATTGCCAGGTTGCTGCCGACACACATTCTTCCGCCAGAACCGAAGGCCCAAAACCATCGTGCTTTCTCGCCACCACCATCCACACCACCTTTCTCATCGAGCCAGCGCTCGGGGCGCCAGCAGCCTGGTTCGGGGAATACCTCGGGATTTCGATGGAGTGAGTGCGCTGCTGAGACAACTCGTACACCGGCCGGAATGCCGTGGACTTCGGCACCTGGTGGTCCCAATGTGGTGTTGGCTGGAGTGATTCGAGGCTGCCCTCCTGGGATTGCTGCGTGGAGGCGTAGAGTTTCCATCACTATTGCGTGGAGCAACGGGAGCTCGTCAATATCCTTTGGGGATGGCAAAGATGTGGCAGACTCTCCGGTCGCCGTAGAGCAATCCAGGCGCAGCGCAACCAGCTCCTTCCGCAGCGCTGATTGTATTGCGGCGTTGCAAGGACGACTGAGCTCCCACGCCAGGTAGGTTAGTGTGATTCCGGATGTATCGAACCCAGCCGCGAGGTGATCCAACATCTCAGAAGCTAGGTCTAGCCTCTGCTCTTGGCTGAGCTTGTTGTTTGGCTTCTCTGTGCTCTTCTCCTGCTTTTTGAGCATTCCTCTCAGTTGACCATACACAGTGGGACAGTAACGAGCAGATCCTGCAGCTTTTCCAGACAGTATCGCAGCTTCCGCGGCATCGCACCACTCCAAGCATTGATCTTCGATAGCCACGCTCTTTCGACCCACCCATTCCGGGATCAACCATCGACCGAGACCGAGCTTTGAGAAGAGTTGGAAGACATTCGGCATCTCTTGAAGCCAGAACAGATACGGCTGTCGACTCTTGTAGTCGTGAAGCCATTTTGCGCCAATTTCAGGGTTGTCAGTGAAGTTTGACCCCTGTTCGAGACCATAGATGTACGCGGTTACCACATCCAAAGTCACGGCGGAAAAGAGCTCGTAAGCTTCCAAGACACCTTCAGGAGCAGCGGCGATCCTGGAGAGCATGCGACGGCATAAGATCGTATCGCTGATTTCGCGAACTGCCGGCGAGGCTTGTAGCGATGATTTGGCGTAGACGTTGCTGATCATGCGTTTGCGTGCGGAGTGGACGTCTCTCTTCTCCATGGAGAACATGTTGTGTACTCCTCCATATGCTGAGAAGGCGTTTGAGTACCACTCGCCCTTCTCGAATCCTCCAGTGTACACCTTGCAGAAATCGTGTCAGCGACTGGCAGGATAGAGGGCGACGGTCGTCGCGACGACACAGGAGCACGGCTCGGACAGTCGCACAATAGTTGAGAATCCGCTTCATCATGAGATGTCAGCCATCGAGAGACATAGTGCTCTTGACATGCTCGCCATACCGCCGAGCAGGGGTAGCTGTTTCACAAGCTTTTTGAAAGTGCCTCTCATCTTCGAAAGCTTCTTGTCTTGTGACAGCGCAACTTGCGAGATTTTACGTGCGTGGATCGTCCTGGGCTCCGCCCTCTCTCATTCATGAACAAGTTTGAGCCAATTCCGAAATCGAGACAATGCCAAACCCATGTCGTAATGCACCATGCATAATGGTGGTCGTTTATTGATGACAAGCGTTCCCACAGCGCAATAGCTGGATGAGGGTCTTGAGCGAACTGCGAAACAGCTCTGATTGCTATGTCTTTCGGTGATCAACCGTGCTATGACACTTCGGTGAAAGGAAACTCAACTATGTGCCGTACTCATGCTCCTATGTCAGGGTCATATTTTGGCAGCATGGTCACTTACCGTTCTGATGCCTCCGTTCACACAATTCACGCTTATCTCATTAGGACCAAGACGAATCAAAGGGCCAAGTCGTTCATGTGCGGCAAGAACAGTCGCGTTCTCCCTGCCGCACCATCGTATCCACAATATCCATGCAGGACTCAAGGAGGAGGTTGGATGAGCTGATGGTATCTTAGACAAAGGAGAAATGAACACAGGTGCGATAACGAAACGGTATAGAACAATAGAGGAAGCGCATAAGATGGTTGCTCCCAGCACCACGGAAACCAGCATCCTGCTGCGTGCAGACAACAAAGATGTTGATGGATGGGTGAGGAAAGGAGAACTCGAGTCGAAAGAGCTCTCTCCAGAGGATGAGCGGGGTTGCTCAACGAATCAGAACGTGCCAATGACCTTATGACTGTCTTGCTCTCCCCTGCGATACGGCTCAAAGATTCAGTTGGAAGCCATACAGATCCACAATCATTTTTTCTACTAAAGCTGCATCTGTTGAGTGAGTGTTCACCAATCAGCACTTCCCTTCAGGATCGACTATGACTCTTGACCATTTCATGCACAACAGCTGGCAGAGATGACTCAGATGTTCCATACGTTGAACTGATATCTCTGCCAAGAGATAAGATGATTGGCTCCTTCCGAAATTATATATCATTACGTCAGTCCACTGCGATTTCCTGAAGAAGCACAACATCATGAACCTCGAAAATGGGCACCTCAGCGTGCGACTTAAAGACCGGAGGATGCCCACGACTACACTGGCGGACTTGCCAATCGAGCTTCTGAACCAAGTCGTCTCACACTGCCCAGCCACTTCAGTGGGACATCTGTCAAGGACATCCAAATCCTTACATGAGTTTGTGGAANAAGAAGGCTGGCGGACATTTACGCAGACTCATTTTACGAATCTGGGTACATCGTCGTATTGGCGGGATGCTGCGCATTCGTTAACGACCCTCTCACGCAACTGGCAACGCCGGGCATTCCTTGCAACATATCTTGCACCTTCGGGTGATGCCACTGCACTGCCCGCTGGGCAAGCCATCAAGAAATGGAGGCGACCAGCTGGTCAGACCATGGGTTTCCAGCCTGCAGTTGATAGTTATGAACAGTTCATTGGAAGCCGCTGGACAGACCGACGACAAGTTGTTGCATGGAGTGCTGGTGCAGAGCTCGTGGTGCGCGTAAAGGTGAGAGACGCATCAACAGAAGAGGCATACCGGATTGCAACACCACAGGACAAACGGGACAAGTTCGAAAACAATGGCACGCGAGTGCGGTGGTGGACTTACAAGCCACTGAGCAGCGTTGAAGGCCGCGACGACATCACCAGTGTTCGGATACTCAAGGGAGACGATCAACCATCGCGCACAAGTATCGACAGCAGCGAACAGATCATCGTTGGAACAGCCAATGGAGATTTGCAGCTTGTAGAGGTGCCGCCTGCTTCGGAAAGTGGTGTCATCAAGACTTATTATGTCACGAATGGCGTTTCCGTGCGGTCCACATCATTGTCGACAGATGTCGAAAGTACTCAGGACCAACCTCAACACCTGGCTGCTAACCTATCAGACTCTCGGATTGCTCTATATCGAGTAGACCCCGCTCAATTCAAAATCGCACCAGTTAGTGAGATCAATGCGATACCACAGAGTCGCAAGGGTTGTCGCATCTGGTCAACAAAGTTTCTGGACTCGAGACATTTGGCTGTCGGCTTAGGCCCATCTGTGGAACCCATCAACATCTTTGAGATACGTCCAGAGGGCATTGTTGAGGAACCTGTGAGAAAGATAGGTCTTACTGGAAGTGCGGATCAATTGGACCCAGTCAAAGCCTCTTCGATATACCCAATTGAGCCGTTACTGGATATCAATGGAGGCAGAAATGGCAATCTGTTCCTCAGTGGTGGCTACGATGGCATTGCAAGACTGCATGACATGCGTTCGCCATCATCATTCACAGCTGTCTACCATGATCCCACAGATGACGCCGCCATCTACTCTCTCCTTTCTCGAGGCAGAGATCGTGTCGTAGCTGGTGCTTCACGCCATGGGATGCTCAAGATATTTGACCTTCGTATGTCAGNNGGAGGCAGCACGTACGACTACGCCGGAGCATCAGACTCAAACGATTCATCCACAGGCGACTGGAACATCTTCATCAACCCTCGCGATAGATACGTCAACTCGACTTGGAGAGGACCGAACAGCTGGATGCGCCGAAGTGCCGAAGGCTCTGTCTACAACTTATCATCGCCATCACCAACTTCACCCTTGATCTTTGCGGGAGTGGAGAACGCCGTTGTCGAGTTCAACTTTTCCTCTGTGCTCGACAAGCATCCAGATCCGATATTCGTCGGAAGCTCCACTGAGAAGAAGGGCAGACGGGATAGCGTCCCCTCTTATCTCCAGCATAAGCAAGACATCCTCAATTTGGCTATGTACTCACAGGGTACAGACGGCTCGAGAGAAGGCATGAAATTACGTACCCAACGTGCCGTGGAGGAGATGCTCGGTCAAGTTATCAATCCCGCTGGCCTAGATGAGCGCTGGAAGGAAAACACATAGAAACGTGACCCAACCCACGAACACAGACCATACGGCTCGGTCGCCACTACTGGAAACGGACTTTGCAAGACGGGCACGCGGACACACACATGAATACATCGATCATTTTTCCCCCTGAGCTTCTGGACCAAACTCCGTCCTCGGGACTGGTGTGCTCGAGCGAAGCCGGAACCCTTTCATCCGACCAGCTCACCTGATCGATCGTTATACAAATGCGATTCTGATACGCAAGCAAACCCAAACTCCTTGTACCGAATAGGCAGTTGAAAACAAGGTTGGTCGATCTCAAAAGCTTATGCAGGACGGGAGGATCGATGTACAGTACATCCATGACTCGGGTAAGGGACTATCTCGATGTAACTCTTCTAGATCTCGAATCAATGATCACTACGATACTCTATGCCGAGGTCTTTGAATGGGTGTCGCGACAGTATTCACTTACTCATGCTGCTGCCGCTGCTGCTGTTGCACGAGCTGTGTGTTAGAGTTGAGATGATCAAACGCTGTAGCGATTACTTGATTAATTGAATCGTGTGCTGACTGTATGTACTTCGCGAAAAGCTCATGTCCAAGCACCAACATTCGAGTTCAATGAAAGTGCGAAGATGACTCGAGCCACATATACTTCGATGAGATGAGATCCAAGTGACCCCTATTACGTCTTCAATGCTAGTCAACCAAGATCTATCTTGTTCATGAGTGGACCGGTCTTCCTTGTAGCGATATCCTAGTGTCATTGCTAGCCTTACGAAGACTTGTGATTGATGTTGCATTATTATCTGGTTGTCTTGTGCTGCGTGAACTGTATGAAGCAGGTATATGACATGCTGTCACGGCGACGCCCATGAGACTGGACCTTCTATTATGAAGGTCAGTTAGTCAATTGCATCTGAGTGACTATACTTGCATATCTCTTTCTTGTAAATGCCCTATCAGTTCCTTTGTTTGGTCATAGTCATTTTCGAGGCCTAGTCCACCCAAATGCCCTGCTGCGCCCAAGTCAATAGAACCCTGATTGCTATATCGATCTCTCTTGGGCTTCTTGTTGCTTCCTAGGCTTTCTCATATGTTTTTGATTCTGTTCTGGTTTATATGCAGTAGATCATGTTTGTGGGAGGCATGTTGGAGACAGGGTCGCAGATTTACCATACATCCGATCATCGTTCGACGTGCAAAATGGCCTGCTATGAATTTTCTTTGGTTGTTCCATGTCTTCTATTCTATAATACTACATCTAACAGACAGAAAACTGATTCAAGCTTGGTTGTTGATTTTGTCTGCTAATCTTGGGCGATGCTTTGAGAGCAGGGTGTCACCAGCAACAAGCACGGAATCAACCTATCTTGCAATATCATGGTCAATGTCATTCCGATACATCTGCTGGTGCGTGATAGACTTATTATGGGATGCAGCTAGGTTGTATACCAGTTCTGGTCTGATCTGCCACATATTGCGGTCGTGGTGTACAGATATGTGATTTCAAATGCTCAATCAAAAAAAGGCAATCCAAGACTCACGAAAGTTGAGTAGCACTGTAGGCAAGGACCGCGGAAGTTGAAAGAAGTGATATATGAACAATCAACCATACAGAGGCATCAAGAAGACTAAGGAGAGCACCCATGCACCATACCTTCATGTGAATCTGCAGATTTGGTTGTCATCTAGGTGGAAAACTTGAGAGTCAGGGTGTGACCTCCAGCAAAGCCACTTTCCAAACACGTGATTGCCAGAAGAATGAGCCTATTGTAAACACATCTCACAGGATGCGGGCATTTGAGAGTTCGCAAACAGGTGTAAAAAGGATATTGATCAAAGAAATCCAAGTCTCTGTGGTAATGTGCACGTCGTGATAATGAAAGCAAAGATTCTAATAATTGTGATGATGGAAGCAAAGTTCATGATGATTGTGATGGCGAAAGCAGAACTCCTGATGATTGTGATGTAGGTGACGAGTCGAGCTCGAGTTGTACAAAAGCAGTTGTTTGTGATGCCCGATCTCGCAGTGCTCCTTCCGAAAAATCACACAAGCTGTTTGCGCGACAAAGCTGATCAAGGCAATGGCGATCATACTGATCATGATATCATAGAGATTTGTTATACACGTACAACAGGAACGATTAGGCGACAAAGAGAAGACAGCATAAATCGTTCTGATCATGATCTAGGTGCAAAGAAGCGAATGTTGGTCTCAGGCGCTGGAGTTTACGCGTCAACCTCGAATGTAGGTCGTCAATGAATACCCGGAGAACGACTTTCATCTCGGCTCCCGAGTACTCGCAATATCAGATTCACAGTCAAACTTTGACATCCTGCCGCTGGAGGAAGGCCGAGCGGATAAATCAAGAGATCAGAGATGGAATCCCAGCAGACGGAGCTAGCTCCCCACCTTGCGGATTCGCGACTACAGACATCAAGTTACCCGAGTCGACCACACGATACTTGCATACAAACGAAAACCATAGCATCCACAGAGAGATGCCCCTGTCTCAAAGTCTCGACTGTGGACTTCGCTGTATGTTCCTCTTCGAAACGTCCGTAAGCATCCGGTAAAGTTGGCAGAAAGCCGTTTGTAGGGTCGAAAACTTTCGCTTGCGGCTGGGCTTTGAGTCGCGACTTCTGTTGTTTATTCATCAAGATATTTGAGTTGAACGTTTTGCGCCGAACATGGAGCGTGTACTCGAGACATTCGCGAGCTTTCCTTCGAGTCGTGGCATCTGTAGACGGACCTGAAGCGCTTGTTCTTGCTTTTTAGAGCAGCGAGCCATGCGCATATGCCGAGTTGGGATTGTTTGGCGAGTAAGCGCAGTTGCTTCGTCGACAGAAAAGATAGAAGGAGCTTTCGATTCCCTTCGATTGTATTGAAGGAGATGTGTTCTAGACCCGATGCTCGTATACATCCGAGCGAGAGTGAACACGCCACATACCAAAGGCGCAGGACGATAGTCCCAGATGCTCGTAAGATGTTTGGATGCAGGATGATGCACTTGCTAAATTAAGCAAACTTTAGGGACAAGGCTTGGGCGGCAGAGATCTGGGTCTCTCGGACAAGGAGCATTATTATCTCCGAGCTTTAGACTTTCTCGAGGGTTCTGACGGCAACATTCCATCCACCTCCTGAGCACGGCATGTGTAAGCCGACTGTGGACAAGGTCACCCGTGTGCGGAACTGTACAATGACATTGACCTGCAGCCGTCTATTGAGGCTAGGGAGTTAGAGAATCCAACACCGAAAGTCTCTAATACCCAAGCATGGTATCAATAGAGTATTAGGGTTGCGGGATGAGAGCGTCTGAATGACATATTATGCAAGGTACGGATGAATCGGAAGTAGAAGATCAACTTCTTCCAGCCTTGTGGTGTCGCTGTCGAGAAGAGCCAAGCTGGCCATACCATTTTCGGTGCCAAGCAACGGTATACCTGCTCGTTTGAGCTGCAAACGAGCAGAGTTGACGCCTTCCTTGCAGATCCAGTATGAAACACGGAGCTGAGCTCAAACATGCTCGAGTTTACCTCAATGTCTTGGATATGGGTGGCAGCGCAAGATCATGTCAAGACGCGCTGTCTGTTGCTCTGAACTGACACATGTGAATCATCCTTGGGAGGAAGTAACGATGCCGAACAAATCAGATTCAACCACCAGAAAACTCAAAGATCCGTTTTGAGACAGTGTCTCGCAGAGACCGAAGGGGTCAACGGCTGGATCCTCATGGTCGGAGTCCTTGGCACATATCGATCGTTGGAAAAAGTCTCCCTATGCTGATTGACGGCCAGAAGAGTCGGCGAAGGACTTGTGATGGATCGAGAGAGTCGACAGCAGAATCGATAATGCAAATCGCCGACTAGGAGACCTAGGGCTAATACGAGTAACTTCGAAGTGGACAATCGCAGTCGGATGTGGCAGGGGTTGTTTATTCGGGGGACTTCGAACGTTTGAACAGTTGCAGCGGTTGACGGAACTGCTGGCAGGCGAAACACATGGCTAGTAGGTAGGCTCGCTTTCGCAGCTCGGCAGGAATATCCTTGTACTCACCTGCTTGGCAACCTCAGTAAACAAGAAGAGTTCGCATGAAGGCGTGAGATGAAAAACTACAGATCAGATCGATTACGCCCAGTGTCTCAGATGGTAGGGCTGCCCCAGAGATCTCGCCCATGCCAAATTTTGATAGCCAAGAAGACTGACTAAACTGTGCCTACTCGATAGCAGAAGGGCCGCAGAAGCAGAGGTTGTTGCGAGTCGCGGAATGCACGTGTGACCGATACGTACCTTGTTGAATCGAACCACCAGTGTGGAAAAGTAGAACGCATTCGGGTGTTTGTCTCGTTCCGTGCGAGTGGTACAGCGCTCATCATACCGTGCCGGGAGATCTCCAACGGCTTCTTGGTAGTTGAGCCCACAGCTTTGCACACTCTTAGAAACCCATCCTTTGGCATTCGGCTGTACCGATTGTTTGTGGTAGAGGCTGCCATGTTCTCGAAATCAGAGCCATCTGCGATACAGCACACAACACATAATGTTGAATTCAAATTCTCATCGTTCAAAATTCTATTGATTCATGTGGTATCATCGCAATTTCATCGAGGTGCGGTGCTAGGTAGGGGCTCGAGTACCGAGTGGCCGTGCAAACCGCTCTTGGCAACTGCTCCAGCGATGACCACACAACTCACTCCTTCTTCGTTTTCACCTGCTCGGACCGCTGCACGTTAGGCATGAGAAGTCGAACCGTCGAAAGTTGCCAGCCGATCCGTTGAAAATGATCCAGATGTTTGTAGCAAGATGCGACCGTGGCTGTTCATGGCGCAGTGCAGCCTACGCTGCGCCCTCTGGACGACGTCCTCGACAGACAAGCAAATCTGGGAGCACAAGCCATACCGCCGCCGCATTCGATAGTGGGATGGCCCTGTCTTCTCGAATTCCAAAATGTTATGCCTAGATGTCGAGAAACCATACCCGAAGCAGAAGGTAGTGGCATTATACCCGGATCGATGGTTCCGACGTCTGAGACATCTCAAAGGACCCAGCCATCAGCAAAATCATGGCGTTACCAAACGCAGAGTTTATACTTCCGGCTCCGGGGCAGGGACCTCTGAGACCACCAAGCACTGCTGATGTCAAGCGCCCAAGCGTCCAGGCCTCGTGCAATGCCAAATGTCTACAGCCACGAGCAGCCGCTCATCACTCAGCACAAGTATATATCTAGCCTTCGTCTTCCACCACAGCACTCTCTTTCATCATCAGCATCTCAATCATTCTCTCATCTCCTACACTCTCGTTGAGCATCACTCTCACTCAATACACTCTCTACAACATCTATCAACTTCACCACTTTCTTTAACAACACTTTCCCGACCAACATGCGCACTGCCGCAGGTTTCGTCTCGGCTGCCGCCCTCGCCGGTCTGGCAGCTGCTTCCCCTGCTCCTCAGCAGCTTGACTTCAACCAGCTTGCTGCTGCCCCTACTGTTCAGACCGCCCCCATTTTGAACGGTATTGCCAACCAGACTGTCATCATCAGCAGCTCTGCTATTGCCCAGTCCATCTCTGCCGCCGTCAGTACCACTGCCACTGCCGTCTCGACCGCCCCTGCTCAGGTTGTCAACAAGAACAAGCGCTCCGTCGAGAAGCGTGACATCTTCAACTGGTGGAACTGCTTCATGTGGGGTATTCAGTGTGGCAGCAGCTCATCCTCATCCGCCGCCACCACCACCTCCAGCACTGTCAAGTCCACCAGCACCAGCTCCAAGGCTGTTGCCACTTCTTCTGTTGCCAGCAGCAGTTCCAAGTCTTCGTCGGCTGCTTCTTCGTCGGCCGCTGCTTCCTCGACCTCTTCTGGCTCGGCCACCGTCAACACCGTCTCCGGAACCAGCTCTTCCACCACTGCCTGCCCTACCACCCCTGAGGATGGCACCTACTGTGGATTCATCAACCCTGAGGACCCTTGCGCCCCTCAGCCTGACGGATACGGCCCCAAGGTTACTCCCGACACTGCCTCTGCCTTCCTTGCCTACCCTCCCTTCCACAGCATGGCCTCTGCTGCCCCTACCGTCGTCGCTAGCTACAACCTTGCTTCTGGATCTGGTAACGCCTACCTCCAGACTTTCAAGGACTTGAACGCTTCATCCAGCGCCAACTCCTACCTCGGTCTGTACACCTTGACCTCTTACAACGTTTCCGACTGTGCCGCCCACTGTGACAGCACCAACCTCTGCACTTCGTTCAACATCTACATCGAGCGTGACCCTAGCCAGAACCCCACCAAGAACGACTCTACCGCTCCCACTGTCTGGGGCTACTACTGCCCTAACCCCTCGTCCATCACCAACTACAAGTGCACTCTGTGGGGTTCCAACCTTGACGCTTCTACTGCTACCAACCAGGGTGATTACCGCGAGGACTTCCAGGTTGTTGTGACCGGCTCCAACGGATACGATTCCACCAACACCACTCTTCCTCCTAACGTTGTCGACACCACCAACTCCACCTCTTCTGCCACCAGCGTTTCCTTGTCCAGCGCCACCCCTGCCAAGACTTCCTCCGCTGTTGCTTCCGCTACTGCCTCCTCCGGCCCTACCTGGACCAGCCCCAAGACCTGTGGTGGTAAGGCTATCAACGCTCCCAACTACTGGATGGGCTCCAAGTTCTACCCTGGACCTTTCAACCCTCAGGTCTGCGCCGACTACGCCGCTTACCAGCACCTTCTCAACAAGAAGTCTGCCATCGCCGCTGGCCAGTCTTACTTCACTCCTTGCAACAGCTTCAACGCCTACTACCTGCACAAGAACGGTATTCCTCACGGTACCTACTGTGCTCTGTACGATGCTAGCATCAGCACCAGCTACGCTACCTACACCGGTGGCTGGTCTGGCAACGACAAGTACGACTGCAGACAGTCTTACCAGTACACCCGCCAGACTCTTGACCAGGGCCGTTGCTAAATCAGCAACCTCAGCCTGATTGAGATCTGACGAGTTTACAGAACAGACATTCACTTCACGAGGAGTTTTTACAGAACGAATTTTGCAAAGACATAGACAAGCGCGCGTGCATGGAACCCTTGACAGCACCAGGGACCTTCTTGTTCTTATTCGATATTTACTGCTTTTGGATTTTTGAGGATCTGATTTTATGATGCGAACCTGATCGTTCCTTCTTGCCATTTTTTTTTCTAGCTAGACAAACTTGTACATACTACAGCAAAACCACTTTTTCATACACAAACCACTTCTCCAAGTTTGATCTTTCGCTTTGTGCTTGCTTGAACCCTTGTACAATCATCAGTCGCTTAAACTCTGACTCCAGCTTCTAGACCCTGGTGTTTCCAAATTCTGTGAGTGGCACCATGGCTTTCAACGCCACAAGCAAGCCTCCAATCGATAGAAGCAACGGCGAAGGATGGGCAACGGCCAAACGAGGAAAACTTTAAGCCTTGGCACTGCACAGCAAGCAGGTGTCATCTCAGCCCTACATCATTTCTTGCTGTCCTTTTCTCTTTTGTCTCTCTCCATTTGGTTCCACTGAGACAGCATAACGTGGCAATCACGGTGTAGCCGAAGCAGCATGACGAGGGTGTTTGGGGATAAGACATTGTTCTTTTGTGGTGATGACATGTCTTAGTTCACACGTTCGCAATTTTGACGGATGTCTGTGTGGATGACGTTGTTGTGGTCAAGTGCTTTGGATGTGTTGACTTGGACTGTCATGCGCATCTGATCTGTGGACGTACGCGAATTTACGAAAGTTCACACATCCAGCTCATGGACTTTTCTCTGAAGCACAGTGTACTACCAACTTACTAAAAGGGTTTTAGTTGCAAGTCTATCATCTATCTTACAATCCTGCCTTTTCTAGCTGGATCGGGCTTCCCGTAATAAGCAAGCCCACACCCTTCAGGCAGATCCATATCAAGATCAGCATATCTCTCCGCCAGATTCTGGTCAGAAAAATCGTTGAGGAACATCAACTGCCCTGCCTGTGCACGTGCTTGCATTCGCGCAGAGAATCCTTCTGCTTTCTCTGGGTTGGTCTCGAGCATAGCTTCGTGTACGACTTCCTGTTCAGCAATCCATTCGGCATTGGCCCATCTGTCCATACCGTGGGTGTGGGCAGGTGCGTGTTGTTGGATGTAGGCCAATAACTCGGTAGGAGTGGGCCGCAGCTTGGGATCGAATCGCTGGCAGCGCCAGACTATCTCGATGAGTTCGTCACTGTACCTAAAGTTCGGGAACCATCCATCTCGAGGTAGATGATCTTTGATTAAAGAGTCCGTTTGATTGTACTTGTCCCTCCAATCGTCGTCTTGCACGATTTTCTGTCTGCGCATCAGAGATTCAATTACTCGACCGGCTTGCCAGATGTTGGTCCAGGAATACAGCGGCTCCTCGATGCCTTGTTGCGGGTTGTCTTGCATCTCATACCATCTGCTCATCTCGGGAGCCCAGTATCCCATCGTGGCGCGTTGGTTGAAGGGGTTTTCTGCAGGGTCTTGGTCTGCAGAGCCTTGGTTTGGAGATACTTCATCCGCATATGTAGGGCCTTCGTCAGGACAAACGTTCTTCGGATCGGTCTTGTAAGTGATATGCGCCGATCCAAAGTCGGACATGAGAGATTTTGGGTAGACTGGATACTCGTCCCCTCTCATAGCGTCCAGCAGTATGTTTTGTGGCTTCATGTCAATCATGACGATCACTTCGTCCCCTTCAGGACGTGCGCTGTTTCTTGTCTTTATGGCATTGTCCATTTGCACTAGAGCGTTGGCGATACAGGAAAATACCCACCAGACGAAAGCTTCCGGAAGTGGCGCACCGACGGTATATCCTTGTCCATGCTCTACAACGTGGTTTTCGATCAGGTCCCAAAGGTCGCCGGCGTGAAGCAGATCCATATACATGCGCCAATGAGTACCTTTCTCGTCATCTGACAAATGTCCCTTCTTGTAGCCTCGCAGCGGGACAGTATATACAGGAGACGAGCCAGAAGGGTCCGTGAACAAACCCTGCAAGTACGCTTCCTTGAAGAATCGCTCATCCGATAGAGCTTCCCCTGCCTTTCCCGAGGCGGCTACGCCAAAGTCGAGTCCTTTGCGCACAAGATCTTCGTATATGCCTTGGTAGGCTGGCGGTTCTTTGGTCTCTTCTCGGCTCCAGAGGTCTTTGATCACCATGCGGTCGACGATTTTCTGGTCCTCGTTGACTTTGATCCAGTAGTGGAGGGTACCATCGCCTCCTGCGCCTAGATATTGGCCACCCTTCCAAGTGCCCTCCGGCAAACCGCTTCTATCGTCCTTTCCAGGTCTGTCTGGCATGATAAATATGTGGGTTTGCTTGGGTGACGATGTGTTGCGTTCAAAGAAGAGAATGTCTAAAGCCAGTTCTCTTAAGTTCAGATGTGTACGAAGAAAGCAGAGAGGTGAGCCAAGGTGCAGCTCTGCAAGACATTAAGCCCTGGTTGTTCGACTCCATGGCGTATGCCGCAAGCGGCTAATACTGGTAACGCAGATGAGCTGACAATAGCAGACGCAATGGGCGACGCAGCTGCTCAACACAAAGGGGGCGTCGACTTCTTTGTGTCGGCGCGTTACCAAGTCGATTTGTTATTCTCTTTTCGTCTCACTGGTCGCGAGAGAAAAATCCCCTTTGTTCACAACACACAAAACAAACCCACAAAATCGTCGTTACAATCTCCCCTGCTGCCATCTCTGTAAACAGCTAGAATCTCTCCTGCTTTCATGTCCCTACACAGCGAGGAGATAGAAACATTTGCTCTGGTATTCAAACTCTGACACATAGCAAAACTCGAATCATCTCCTAGCTCAACTCCAATGACAGGGACATCAGGTGCTGGATGTTCAGGGCCAAACAGGTGAAATATGGCGATGTAGTCGTCGTTATGGATGCCTTGTGTATTCGGCTTGTGAATTGCCAGAGTTTCGCCAGCTTGAAGGTCTTTGCAAAGTGAGCGAATAGTTACTGGCGATTTGGACGATAAATGTTGTAAATTTGCAAATTTGGCATTTTCTGGTATGTCAATGTTGAGTACAGGGGGCCAAGGAGATGAGCTTGCGAGCACGGAACTTTCAGAGAGTCTCGTCATCTCAAAGATGGGAGCGCGGTTTGCAAGTCCGGAGGAATTTCACGGAGAAGTCCAGGAGGGAAGCCATGTCTACAAAGGAAGGAAGTGTCGTATGGCGCATGTTGATTCTGCATGCGGTGTCCCTTTTGAGTACCGCCGTCAAGATTGCACAGCGGTGACCAGACAGTGCATTCTGTCATACATCGAGGCTTCAGCGCTCACGTGACGTCGATGCTATCAACGGCGAACAATGATTGACCATGTGACTGCCTGCGATGTCTTCTGCGATATCTTGCTATCTAAAGTGTTCAGTCTTCTATTCGATTTGCTACTTGCCTCTCGTACACCGTAACCTATCATCCTCGTAGAAGCTTACGATACCTCTGAAGCTGTATACTGATCATCAACATAGCAAGAGGGCGTAGAAGACATGTCCTAGCCTTTAGTATGGTCGCAAATCAAGATCTTATTAACGCATGATCCTCCGCATGCTGCGAAATTTTGCCACCGCAGTCCTGCGAATTATCTGAACGGAGATGTTGAGTCAAAAAATCAGTATGTATACATCAGAGCTAGATAATTGGCGAACCTGAGTCACTTTGGCCGAGTGGTCTAAGGCGGTGGTTTTAAGTTGCTCAGCTAAACTCAAACACCACTATCGAGAGATGCGTGGGTTCAAACCCCACAGGTGACACTATTCTAATTTTTGCATTTTTTTGCGAATAGCATGAATATCCGTACATAGAGGAAAGGAAGTCGGTATTGGTACTGATGGCTGAGGATTTATTATATACTCTACCTGAGGACAAAGAACTGATTTATACCGCTGGATGCGGTCGCTGCCACAAGGGATTCATCGTTCTTTGTTCCAGAACGAGTATATAATGTGTTTTGTCTGCATAGTTTGTACTCTAGAACGACATCCGTTGCATCAAGCAATACGATACGTTCTTATAGACCATGTCTAGTATGGTTCAATTCTGAGGCTTCCAAGCCACAACCTCGTCATCCTCATCCGCTTCGTCTTGGAGCTCTAGACCTTGAACAATTCTTCTGTTTCCCTGCTCATCGCAGTCCAAACCACAAGCCTTGAGCACAGCCCATCTAACAGCTTCAATACCGATCTTCGCACCACCTCCCCACCCTTGCAGCCCTTTAATCTGTTTCTCAGCACTCGCAGCAAGAACATCTCTTTTCTTTCTTCTTTTGCCTTCGTCCAAAGCACTCAACTGTTCTTCCACCTCTTGATAAATCTTATCCAATTTTGCAACCTGTCTAGCCAATTTCTCCGGCCCGGGGACTTTGCTATCAGTCATGACTATCCTATCCACCTTGGACAGAATAATCTGATAGTCCACTCCTACAGTCTCAAAATGTTGCAACAACACCAAGTCTCTAGGTTTGATGCCATGTAAAGCGTCAATCAGCAAAAACACTTTACGCAATTGCCGTCTCTTTTCAAAGAACTTGTTGATTTCAGGACCCCATTCTTGACGCGAGTGATAGCCGTAACCGGGTGTATCGACTACAACCAAAGCTCCTGACATCAATTGCTTAAGCGGTTCTTTGGCTGCTGTATCTCTTTGGTTTCCACCAACCCCAAATGCGTTCAGCGTCTTGGTGTGTCCGGCTTTAGAGCTCACTCTTGCGATTTTTNNTTCTTTTGGACGGCCGAAGACGGCGTTTAAGAGGGAAGACTTTCCGACATTGGAGCGGCCTACGAAACACACTTCGGGGTATGGAGAGCGAGGGATTGTGGAGAATTTTGCGGCTGTCCAGAGGTGAATGGGAGGGGAGGCTGGGTTTTGGAAGTAGCGGTGGGCGTAGGTTTGTTGGACGGATGTGGGAGGAGAGGAGACGTAGTAGCGTTGGAGGTCGACTGGTTTCGGTGGTGTGATGTCTTTTGCTGGTGCGGAGGATGAGGGAGGCGAAGTCTTCGGTCGTGAGGTTGTGGGAGGTGGAGATGTGGTTGAGGAGATGGTGTGTCGGGTTGGCGGCGGCGCTGTGGTTGTTACGGTGCTGGTGTGGCGTAGACCCAGTATACGACTGCGAGCGACATGCGCAAGGCATCTCCGCCGTATTGTTGCGTCCATATCCGAGTGATACAATGTCAATCGTGTTTTTGCAAAAAGTTGGAAGGATGAAAGAATGTCAGAGAAAGCACTCTCTCTGTCACTGGTCCAAGCTTCAGAATTTCACCAAAACATTTCACCTTGATGGGAATCAATGCATTCAAGCAAAACAGACAGATCGCTCTGTACCTTCAAGCATACTGATTGACTAACACGTCTAACAACTCGCGCTATGTCCTCTAACTTCCTTCTTGCCATGCTCATAACTTCCATCATGCTCATGATTTCTTCTGCTCTTGTGATATGTTCCTCTTAACTCCTTGTTCATGTAAATGCCAAAAGACCAATCCTTCTATTTTGCGATAGAACCGCCTCTCGACCTCAATTCGGGCGAAGGCCTGGGCTATTCATTCCTAGACGAGGACTAACACCTCCGTTACGCTCTCTTCTGAGACTGCGCAATTGCGACTCGATCTGTCTGCGTTGTTCTTGTTCCGCNCTATTACATTGGTTAGCCTTTTGTTTTACTTGAACATTCCGAGGAATAGTCCTTACCCTCAGCAACTTGACTCCCTCTGCTCTCGTCTCTCTCATCATCTTCTTAAATTCGTTTCTTAGCACCATTGTGCTGGTCGTCTCCTTTACGGCGCCCAACTCTGGTGTACCGCCAGGGCTTCTGACACCAAGCCATCTGACCTTCTCATCGCTGAGCTGTACCTCCAGGGCGTCCATCTTGTCACGGAGCGAGTCAATCAGCCCCTCAAGCTTCTCACGCTCCTTCTCCATCTCGACCGTTTCACGCGTAAGTTCTTGGTAGTCGGTCGCCATTTCGGCGAGTTCCTTCTCCAATGCACGCATGCGACCATCATCGCGAGAGCCTGATGCCTGGATCTCGCGCAGCGTAATGATCTCTCCTTCCAGTGATTTGGCTCTTGATTCGGCATTCTGATGCAGTCCGAGCATTTCTGCCATTTGACTCTCGTATTGACCCTTGTCACGCCTCAACTGCTCCAGCTCTGTAGACATGCTCTTGGACTTCTGCTCCAGCTCCTGGAACTCGGGGTGCGACGTCACTTCTCTGGCGCGCTCGGATCGACTGCCGTACGCACCATCCAACTCTGCTTTTGCCATCGCCAGCTCGGTGGTGAGACGTATGATCTCAGCCTCGAGGTCGTCCATCTCTTCTGCCTTCATAGCCAGATTCGCCTCTGCAGTCTCTCTGGCTACCTTGGCTTGGTTGAGAGATCCGTTCAACTCCTCTAGACGGTCCTGGTGGTCGCTCTCCTTGTGCTGTGCCTCAATGGCTGCAATTCGTGCTTCATCTTGATGCTCGGAAATTTTGTTCTCGAGTTCAACAATCTGATCCTCAAGTTGTTCGACACGCTTGCTCTGTGCCTCAATTTCTTCCAGTGCCTCTTGCTCGCGCTCCTTGAGATCCTCGATTTCGCTGGCACGAGCAGCATCCTCACTGTTAGACTTTCCGGCGAGCTCACGTTGTTGCTCAATTTGTCTCTTTAGGATAGCAGTCTGAGTCTCGAGGTCGTTATGACGAGAGAACAAGTGTTGAACCTTGGATGTGAAAGCTTCAGTGGTGAAAGGCTCAGATATGGTTCTGTTGAGCTCTTCATCATCAGAGTCAACATCTCTGTTGGCAGCAGCAGATTCCTTGGAAGACATAATTCCCCAAAGGCCTAGCATAACTGCCTCGTGTTGTGCAGACTTTTCAGCATGAGTGTTGACTTTGGCGTGCGCCTCGTCCAATTCTCTAGTAATGGCTTGATGAGAGTCTTGGAGGGACGAAGAGTGCTGCAGCATGTGATCGACATTTGTAAGGTTTTCCTCAAGGTAGCTGATCTGATCTTGGGTGCCTTGACCAGTGGGTTGTGGAGGTGGCTGTATATGTTCGTAGCCAGAAAGGAAGGTGAATAGCTGATTGTTGACACCCTCCAACCTTTTCTCGACAAGACTCTGATCTTCCTTGGAGCCACTAAGACTGTCCTCGCGTGATTGAGCAATGTATTTGTGTTCTTCGAGTAGGGCAAANATGCCGTCTTGCAATTGTTCGAGCTGGTTGTTGATGCGGATCGAGGGTTCGTCGTCTTCTGGGTAGGCGGATGGAATGTCATCGGGCGAAGTATCGATGCTGCCTGAACGACCCTTCTTTGCCTGTGAGATGAGGGATCGCATCTGGCCATTCAGAAACTGTAGCCGTGTGTTGACATCGTTCAATTCGCTGTTGTGAATGGCCGACTGTCCTTTGGAGACGTCGCTGTAGACACTCTGATCGTAGTCGCGAATGTGAGGCAGAGAGCCTGGCGAGAGATAGTCAGCAGACTCGGCTTCGCGCTGGAGATGAGCAGCCTGCAGGACAGCAGCCGTGTGGCGCAAGAGCCTGCTTTCGATGTATTGTCTGCGGTTCTCGAGACCGACCAGAATCTGGACCAGCTCTTCAACCTTCTTCTCGCTTTGAGCAAGTTCGTCGCTGGCCTGGCCAACACTGTTGCTCTTGACACTGGACGAACTAAGTCTTCGGTCTCCCAACAAGCTCTTTCTACGGCCTTGCGAGAGACGGCCTTCTTGCGAATACAGACGGTGTAAGGAGCGAGCGGCCTCGCGGACTTTGCTCTCCAGAGCGAGTTTGCGACGTGTTCCCTCGATACGGGCATCGACTTGTGTCTTCTCTTTCTTCAAAGCGTCCACCTCTTCGATAGCCAAGATGTCGTATCTTGAGCTGTGAACATGGCAGTCTCGACCATGCCGAATCGCCATTGATGTGTCGGAAGGACTGATCAAAGAGGGATGCTGCTGAGCATAGGCACTCTGGTTCTGCTGCAGGACAGCCATAGCCTTCCAGTCTGTGTCGGTGTAGCCTGGCGTGCTGGGATCGAGGAATGATGTCCGTGGGTAATCGTGAGCGGCACTGAGATCGTCGAATGCATTGGGTCTCGAGTAGCGCGGCGACTCTTGCGAATGCATCATGACTGCCATTGGGAATGAGAAACGAGAGCCAGGAGAAAGGGGTTCAAGGCGGGGTTGCTGAGCGGAGAGGACTGTCTTGCGACTTGTCAATTCCACAGAGTCTACAACCAAAGTACTGCCTTCGCCAATTTTCAGACAAAATATCAAGGCTTCATCGTCAATACCACGAAAGAGCGAAGAAAGAAAAATTCAGGAGGCTGCAAGATAATATTCGTGAACGTGAGCTGAGCTGAGATTACTTTGGCCAAATGCTCCCCACGGGAGACACAGAAGCCGTTGCGCATCAATTCTCTTCTAGAAGCAAATCACCCCCCTGGGCCTTCTCCTTAGACATGTTCTGCACGTCAACAGGAGGCTGTCATGATTCAACACTTTTGTTGTCTACCTTCTGTACATGAACATCTCTTTGTGCATACTTCGTGCCTACTTTATGCCTTGTGTCATATTTCAGGTCGCCCAAACCTGAAGTCTACCCTCCTTCCTGACTCAAGGCTTCTTGCATGAAATTAAGCACGCTTGTGGAAGGCAGGCTACACCAACGTATACTTGCCTACAATAACACCAGGAAGCGTGAGAGACTGTATCTGTGGCAATGTTACCATGTTCGTGCTTCCCTCCTCAATTATGTGATCGAATTGAATTCATCGCTCATCTGACATCGCAACCTCTGTCATACATTACTTTATCCTAGGAAATCCTGGATGTCGACAATCACCACCGTTAATCAAGCAAACGCTTCGAAACATGTCTGAGAGATACTCTATCATATATCTTGATGGTCCTGAAAACAATTTGTCCATTTGATTTGATTTGATTTGATTTGATTTGATTTGATTTGATTTTCTCAAGCTATTTACCCCGCAAGGGGTATGAGCTGTCGCTAATTACACCATATTCTGACTAATAGCAGTCGTCAGATTCAGTAGAAAGGAGGGTAATGGTCGCAGCAGACCGTGCAAAACATCAACGCCGATAACTCCTAAGTGCCTCTGTAATGAGTGTTGTACATGTCCTTCTCTCAGTATTGGGGGGCCGGTAGCCTCCTCCATAAGGGCTCTTCCCTATGTCGCGTACATCCTTATCGGCAAGACGCTGCTTAGAGGCAGTTGTATTGCTAAGGTGGTGATCATGTAATAGTTGGTCCCTAGGCACTTCCTGTCAATTTGTCTTTCTCACCTCTGATATTGTAGTCTTCCTGTTGCCTTTGCAAACTCAATAGTGGACTTCACTGCCTGCCAGTCTGGTCGCCACTTATCTTTCTCGCCATCCACAATCTTGCCATTCTCTTTGTGGTCTGAGTATCCTCCTAGGGCATATGATATGTTGCAGAATCTCCTGCCGTGTGCTGATTTCATGTCTTGTCTTTGCTGTCTCCATCGTGGGCAGAAGAATAGGAAGTGTTGGACTGTTTCCAACACTCCGCATTCGCACTTGTCCGTTTCTGCCACTTTGATCTTGTGCAGATAAGTATTCAGCCTGGATATGTTCGTTCTAAGCTGTGCTAGTATAGAAGCATCTGTCCTGTTGAGTGCGTCGTACAGCTTCCTTGTATGCTTTCCTGGCAGTGCTTTGTCGATTCTCTGTAAGTATTTTCCGGTTTTGGCTCCATAGAACTTTTCTTGCTTAGGCTTGAAACCTGCTGCTTTCCCTCTGTTATGAATCACTGATATGGGTACTGTTGCAGCGGGTGCTGGCATTGGTTGTGATTCTTCTGTTGCCATTTGAGCCAACTCGTTGGCTCTCTCGTTGCCTGCAATTCCTTCGTGTCCAGGGACCCAGTGGAGAGAGAACGTTCCTTTCCTGATCTTCTCTCTGATTTTCATGACCAGGTTGATACTGTCGTTGATCTTTGGACTCTGGATGCTTTGCAACGCTCCTTGGCTGTCTGAGAACACCCGTATCCGTACTTGGCTATTCATGTCGTCTGGGATGCCTTTGATTGCCATCCATATTGCTAGCAGTTCCGTGTGGTGAACATTGGTGTCTTCTTCTCTTCCTACTAACTTTGACACTTCCCATGTCGATGTCCATATGCCAATGCCTGCTCTACCTTTCCTTACTGACCCGTCAGTGTAGAAATCGACTGTTGCATACTCTGCAACTGCGGCTTGTTTGGCTTTTTCCTTGTCTAGTATATACACGCGGGGTTTTGGCACCCACGGTTCACATCCAACAGTAGGGATCTTGTCTGCTTGCCGAGCCTTGATGCTTTTGAATAGGACAGCTGCTTTCCGCAGTGGAGATATGAAACGCTTCTTGCCCTTGTACTTAGCTAGCTTGTGGTGGATGTGAGATTCATCTAGCTTATGGATGCCAATCCAGAATCTAAGAGTTTGCTCGTGCAGTCTCTGTCGTGTTGTTGCCATGCCTGCCTCCATGACTGCTGCGTTTAGACCCATGGTTCTGAATCCTCCTATGATGGCCTGTGCTGCAACTCTTTGAGCTCTCTCTAGTGTTGCTAGGGTTTTGTCCGACACTGCCAGATACCATATCGATGATGCATAGTCCATGACTGGTGCCACCGTTGCCGAGAATAATTGGCGCATGCTTGATGGTCTAAGTCCTTGCAGTCTTTTCAGGGCCAGTGCTGCCTTGTAGGCTTTGTCCGCTTTGCCTGCAACATGCTCCTTGTACCTCAATCCTTGGTCCATAATGACTCCTAAGATTTTGACTGATTGGCTAGGGTCTATTATGTCTTGCTTGAATCGTAGCGGCATGTCGCTGTCCCGTTGCGATGACGAGGTCCTGGTAAAATGGATAAATGCTGTTTTTGACGATTCAAAAACAGCACCACTTTCCCTTCCCATTTCTCCAGTTGTGGCAAGATTTCCCTCTGGATTCTTCTTGTGTTGCGCTCAGCTGAGTCTCCTACCACCCACGCCGTGTAGTCGTCCACAAAGGCCATGGTACCGCCCTCCTTAATCTTATGTTGTACAAGGTTAGCGTTAAAGAAGAGGAACAGGATCGGCGCTAGGGGTGACCCTTGCGGCAATCCTGCTTGTGGCAGGTCCTCCACTTCGGATGTGAACCCGTTGACCATGACACATGCTTTTCTATTGGTGCAGAAATCCTGTACCCATCTGACTATAGGTTCTGGAATCCTTCTCTGTCTAAGTCGTTGCAATAGCGGTTCAGTTGCAACATTATTGTAGGCTCCTTTGACATCAAAGGAGACTAACGAGAGAGTCTTCCTTCCCCTCCATGCGTTGAAGATGGACTCTTGTAGGTATGATATGGCATGTATTGTCGACTTCTGTTTCCGGGCTCCAAAGTGGTTGTTTGGCAACAGCTTGTGGACCTCAGTAAGATAAGAAATCCTAGTTGCTATTACCGCTTCCATAATCTTTCCAAGGGTTGCAAGAAGGGAGATTGGACGATAATTCTTAGGCAGCGTGTAGTCGTCCTTGCCTCCCTTCTTTAGAGGAATGATCTTCGCAACCTTCCATTGCTCTGGTAGTTTGCCTTGCCTTAAAGATGTCGAGAAGAGCTGACAGATCTGTTGTTGCAGAACTGGCCACACCTCCCTCCATACTCTAGTTGTTAGACCATCCCTTCCTGCTGCACGATCAGGACTTGTTGCAGATAGTGCTCTTTCTATCTCATCGATCGTCAATCCTCTTAGCATGAACTGTTCCGCATTGTCGTCCCTAGTCTCGTCTGGTTGCTGAGGTTCTGGCGGTGGTGGGAAGAAGCTAGCTAGGAGTTCTTTTGCTATGCTTGGTTTATCTTGTGTCAGTTCCCCACTTTGGCCCTTGATTGACGTGATCCTGCCAAAGCTTGATCCTGTGCCTGGGTCTAGGTATCTTGTTGCTTTCCAGATGTTCTTAGTATCGTCCAGAAACTCGGTCCAGTGCCGTTTCTTGACTCTCTTAATTGCGTGATGGAAGTCATGTCTAGCTATCTTTGTTGCAACTTCAAGGTCCATGTTCCGGTTTCCTTGCCTACGCCTTGCTCTTGCACGGTTCCGCGTCCATGTGTAGTTCTGACGTAGAGCTGTCAGATCTGGTGTCCACCATCTCTTCGCATATGCTGACGGCTTTGCTTTGGGACAGTGTTGCTTGATTGCGTCCTCGGTTGCATTCTGAATGTACTGTTGCATTTGCTCTATGTCCGTAGTTGGAAATGGTGAGCTTGCAAGTGTCTGGGTGATTGTCTTGCGGACGGCATTCCAGTCTGCTTTCTGAAGCAGGTATCTCTCGGCTTGCTGTTGTTCCTGATCCTGATCCATTGAAAATGCTGTGTGCACTGCTCTATGATCTGATCCATACTCGTTGTCCCATGTTTTGCAGGTAATCCTGTCTTCGTATAGTCGTTCACTTGCCATTATTAGATCGATGGTAGACCTCTGCTCATTCCTTTCCCATGTGACCATTCCCCTCGGTGTGAGCACTTGCAGGTTGTTGCACTCTAGGAAGTCGAGGATTTGAGCTCCTTCTCCTTGCCTTCGCTCTAACGCTACATGAGATCCTCCCCATAGGCTGTCGTGTCGATTGACATCTCCTGCAACTATGATTTCTAGGTCTGGATGTGTAGTCTTCTCCTTATCGATTATTCTCTGAACGTCCTGCATGCGGTCTGCGAGTTGCTGTTCGTTTTCTTCCCTATTCGAGATGATGTGGGGAATGTAGACTGATGCAACTAGGATGCACCGGCCTGCTCTCTGCACTGTGATAGCTGTGACGTCGCTACTAGTTGTCGTGTGTTGCATGTATTCCGTAGTTCTACTTGCCCAGATGCATGACCGGATCCTCATATCCTGGTTATCTTGTTGTGTGATTTTTGGTTTTATTGCTTCGAAGTTTGGTCCGGTTCCTGTGATATGTATGTTGTTGCCAAAGTCTAGGTAGTGTGGTTCCTGCATTAGTATAAGATCAAAACTCCATAACTCCTCGTCATTGTATAACGCGTCCTGAACTCCTGACATCTTTCTCACATTTGCTTGGAGGATATTAAGTGTACTATTCATGGAAACGCATGCTAATGGATCGTTCTTGCTGTTTCCTGTACTCTGGGCATGACTTGTCGGTCGCCATGTGATCTCCTTGACAGTTGGCACACTTTATCGCTCCCGTTTCGCAGCGCTCATGGCCTGTTTGTGCGCACCTTGCACATGTAGGGGGGTTCTTGCAGTCTCTCTTAATGTGGCCGAATTGCTGGCACTGGTAGCATGCCCTAGGCCCATTCTTTTCGAAGAAGACTGATACCTCGACCATGCACTCAAACATGCTTATCTCTGTTCCATCTCGCTGGAGCGCTAGCAGCCTCTCAACTTGCTCCTTTGTAGCTAGTTTGGCTACTGCAGAGGCATGGCTTGCCCATGGCTTTGGTTCGCCTAGCCAGTTCATCCTCTTGACTTCGACGTCGTTTTCTCTTGCAAATGATTTTATGGCGTGTTTGCTTATCCTTCTTCTGTCGCGCTCGTCTGCTGCGAACACTGGGACAAAGTCGATCTTTATGGGGTACCACCTTGGATCCACGAGTTTGGCTCCTTTAAGGAACGTATCGATCCACTCATTAGCTTGTCTTCTTGCAACCTCTTCAGCTTCCTTGCCGATTCTAAAGTACGCCAGATGAACGTCCTTGTTCGTGTGTCTGATCATAAACCGCTTGAGCTCCACGTTTTCGAGTCCTTCGATAGATCGGATGGCTGCTATAATGCGGTTCTTTGTCCTGCCTACTTGGTCGTGTCCTTGGTGCCCTTCCATGTCTAGTTTGCTTAAGTCGATGATCATGTCTGATTCTTGTCTGTGCACTGTTCTCTTCATTGCACTTCTGATCGACTGTCCTACTGACGTTGGTGGAGATCTTACTGGTGATCCGTCCGATTGTTCAGATGGTCCAAACGAAACGCGGGATGCCGGTGCTCTTGGTGGCGTATCTACCTGTTCCGGCTCTGACAGTGACACTCCTCTCGCTGCAATACTGGCATATGAATCGGTCGTTCCAGTTATCTGGGATGACTGCAATGATCCCCAGTACGGTACCGACTCTTGCAGGCTCTTTAAGTCCAGGGCCAAGGCTGTAACTGTACTTTGCAACTGCTTGATCTCATTCTTGTACTCATTTTCCTTTTCTATTGCTCTTGCTCTTTCTTCTTGGGCTCTTGTCCTGTCTTCTCTTTCCTTCTCTTCCATTCGTAGGAGGTGTCTCATAATATCGCTAATCGTGGGTGCTCCTAGTGTGTCTTCTCCACTCTGCGAGCTTGGAGTTGGGCTGCCCCTAGACGATGACAGCTCAATCGCGTTGTCTCTCTGTACACCAGCCTTCTCTGCGCTCCTAGTAACCATTCGTGTCGCAACGGGCGATGGCTTCTTCCTAGGTGTCGCCTCTGCTGACGCATTGTCGGAATCGATGTCAATCGGTCGACGTATGGGGCTGTCCTCGGCTCCTCCTTGTCTACCTTCTCTTTTTCTCTTTTCTAAGTGTCCATCGTCCCTCATGATCACATCCTCGTCCTCCTGCCTCTCTGCGCCGCCCTGCGCTAATGATTCGAACCTCCCTCCTCCTGCTATACCTCCACCTCTCGCACCTCCTCGGCCTCTCGGAGCTGGCATCTCGACCCCGCACCGTGGCGCTTCGCTGGAAATTCGAGGGAATCACCAGGAGACACTGCTCCAGCTCGTAGTTCAATAAAAATTGGGTATTTCAATTAAAAATTCAAAAGGTTCTTTTTTCTGCCAACAATTTGTCCACCCTCAGCACTGGTGGGCAGCTCTAGTCTCAGCGAAGCAGGGTCGTACCATAAGCTTCTCAAAGATGAAACTGAGGGAAGTAACCTCGCACACCAAACAGCGACACCCGAAAGTACCTGCAATCAGCAGAGGGATGTCTCTTCGACGACCATGACAAGATGTCTCAACGCGATTACACAATCATCCGCTGAACATGTTCATTCCGCTGCTGGCGTGGATGGGAGTCAGCTGCAGGCAATATCGAAGCATCCGAGATGCGTTGGCAAGCAAGCCACCAGGAGAGAGTGTGGTCGCCTTATCCTTGCCCTCAATACCATCACAGCTTTCGGCCGAGAAGCAGAGCAAAAGAGTCGACTTTGATAGAACCACCCGATTTCGACTCGTGGACAAGAGCGGTGAGAGACGGAAGGAAGCCAAGCTTTCTTCTCTCGCACGTTTCTCGAGACAACACGAAGGCCGACAAACACAACGATCTCGCATCCAAGGTCTCTCTCAGCTCGTCAGTTGCGGGTAAAAAGTGTGACGAGCACTCGTTAACTGTGTGATGTCGCGCTGGAGATGACGAGTTCACCAAGTTTATTTGCATGTTTCCAAAAATGCACAAGACACGCGAGGGACGGGGGTGATTGACAGGTCCGCGATAGATTGAGGTTACGCCATCATCTTTACCGCCCAGCAAACCATTCGTCGGGGAGCATCGGTGCATCTCTGGTAAAATGACTCTCTGACCATCAAAGCAGGTTTGTGCAGGCACCGGCGTCTTCCACCAATGCATATGCTGGCCAACCACACAATGAGGCCGTACTCCTGACTATCACCGACAATCCGCACGCGTCTGCAGACGATCACTCCATCACATCAATGCTGCAATCCATCGTTGCTTCGGCCAATCTGCTGCTTCATCATCCCTGTCCGGCAAAATTGCAGGCTGGCGCTTGCAGACTCCCCGCTTGCCGGCCTGACCTCTGGTCTCGCATATGAAAACCCGCTTGCTGCCCAACTTGTTTCTGCCTTTCTTCTCCGACGATACCCAATCCGCTCCTCTCTACTTTACCCTTGGCACTCTCCTGTCTCTCGTGCCTTTTGCACATTGTTTTGCTTCAAGAAAACATCTCAAAAACACAATCAAGTGTAACAGGCTTTATATTTGAGCCAGTTTACTATACTACCAGGATGACATATCGCACCCGCGAGGAATATTTGGACAGGTATTGACCCAAGTCTCACTGTTTTGTTCTGTTTTGTTTTCAAGATACCTGGATGTTTGCCCAACCGGGCTTTTTTGCTGTTATTTCCTTGCCTGTCGTTTGCTTTTACACACTTCGGAGCCAGCCTTTTAGGAAACCATTTGGATTATCCCAGGACTATCCATGCCCAAAATGCCAGGCCATACAAGGATACCAACCGGATCGGATGGACCATTTCAAGACCAACCAAGGACAATTTCCGGACCATTGTAGCACAACATACTTTTTGGAATCGGGTAAGTACCTCGAGAGCCCGGACATCCTCTCGTCAGCCAACACTCGTACATTTCTTGCTTGCTACTGTGACAGCTCTGTTGTCAGTCATCTTATATGAAGAAGACCTGCCTTGAGTTTGTCTGTAGTAATGCTTTTGGTGCGATCCTCCCATCTCCGGATGTGGTTGTTTTGTTCTTCGCGAGTCGCCATCAATCAAATCCAGGATGTCGCTAAACCGTGCCTTGACGAGATACGCAGAGACTTTTCCATACACCAAAGCATCGTTGTACCGTCTTGGACAGGCACAACTTTATTGCTTGTTGCATTTTTGTTGTCAAGTCAGTCTCGGATGTTGTTCTTGTCTCGGCACGACTATGTTACTTGTGAACCTAGCCATGTCTTTAACAGCGAACGCTTGACGGGCCCAGGATATCGGAAATGTCGCTGGATGTCTCTATGCCGTGTCGAGGTCATACTCGTCGTCTGGCTCTTACACCCTATACTATCAAAAGAAGCTTGACGACCCGGCCTTCCAACCTCCATCCATGCGCCTATCCTGTCCTGGATATCCTTGAAGGAATCTAGCTAAGCCCATACTAAGCTGCTTCCACACACCCGCGACTGGACCTGCCAACACTACTGATAGTATGCAATTTGCATGGATAGTCACGTCAACCGGCTTGGACCTGGATGTCGTCTTCCAATGGACGAATGATGGGTCTGTAGCAACCAATATGATATGACTAGTGATTTGGGCTAACAAGCAGCAGGCTCCTTCTTTATTTTTTCTTCGTTACCGTCTTGATCGTATTAGCTGTCGCATTACAATGAGCCGTTGTCGCTGACTTTTCCTCTCTATCTAGCAACTGTCACTTTCTGCCTTCCACTTGCACAAATTCTTTGTTTGCTTCACCTTCTGAGATCTGCCACTGGAATTCATCTGTCTGGGACACTACTTCTTTGACACCTCCAGCCTCACCAGTGGACTCCTTGGAAGACGCCTCCAGTCAATTCTCGGACTCTGGACTATTTTCGTGTGATTCAATGAGCTCACACAGCATGGAACACAGCACTTACTACTCGTCTACATCACCGGAGACCAAGATGGAACAGATGCCGGAAACTGACCTCTATACCACACCTGGATGGACCGATGGCATGTTCATGTCAGGAGCCGCCCCATTTTCACCAGTCATGAGTGATTCGAACCAGAGTGCCTACACTCTTCCAGCATCGGATGTAAGCTTCCCTTCTCTTGAACCGTCGTTTTCGCAGGAAATGCCTGTACTGGATGCCTGTCGACCTGATAGCTGGGTCTTTGAGCAACCCAGCTACAACGTATTCGCTGAGCCTGCTGTTTACGATACCGAGATGTTTGCTTTCCCTGCCCAAGGTATGGATGTTCCTCAACCCACTTTCAGTGCCTGGAATACCCCGACAGAGGCTTCCGCCCAGACATACCATCCCATGGATATCCCAGACCAGGACCTGACTCGCATGGTTCCACAGACGGCAGGATTCGTAGGCAACCCAGTCCCCATGGTCCCATCTACCGGATATAGCAACCCAAGCCATCGTGCTGGTCACGCTAGGACAGACAGCTTATATTCTCAAGCTTGTCCACAAGATGTTGCAGTAAGTCACAGCCATATTCCATCGGATACGCGAATCCAGGAGATCGCTGGACACCGCCGGATCACCGTACCCGTGACCATGAATGGACCCATCCCGGCATTGCCCTTGGCGAACATTGAGCTGGATCTGCCATATGGAGCCCCCATCCAACAGTATAGGACACACATGCCAGGTTATCCTGGTGGATCCATGATACCATTTGCTGTACAACCCGAGGTTCCTGTTTTGGGAAGCAATGTATCCGAATCTTCGGTCGGTAGTGTTGCTCCTTCCGGATATGGTGATGTTCCTTGCAGTCCAGCATCTTCTACGGCCACAACCAGGACGAGGACCGAGGATAATGATGGCCGGGCTCGCACTGACCCTTTGTACTCAACCAAGCCTAGCAAGGACGGCAGCTACCACTGTCCCTTCCNNCTGGCCTTGGAGGGATGCCAGCACAAGGCTACTAAGCTCAAGTGCAACTACGAGTGCGTGAGTTCCTTCATCTCCAAGAGCCGCTTCTAATTTTGTATCACAGCANAGTACATTGATTCACACATCAAACCATTCCGCTGCAAGCACCAAAACTGCAACAACAACCGCTTCTCCTCCACCGCTTGTCTCCTTCGCCACGAACGTGAGGCTCACGGACTCCACGGACATGGAAACAAGCCATTCCTCTGCCAATTCAAGGACTGTGACCGATCCGGCCCTGATAATGGATTTCCTAGAGCGTACAACTTACTCGACCACATGAAGCGTGTTCACGGTTACCGCCCGGAGAAGGTAGCCAAGACACCTCCAGCCTCCAGTACAGGAAGAGCAGCTGGTAAATCCCAGGACAAGGTGAAGAAGAGGAAGACTGCTGGTGAAGCGAAGAAAGAGTCTGCATCTCCGAGAATGGTGCAGAAGCTTGCAGTCGATTTGCGCAAGCAGCAGGTGTCCTCGCAGTGGCAGAATCAGGTCAACGAGATGCAGAGACGTTCTCGCCAATTCGGATGAATGAAGAACCAGCCCAGGACCCAGAACATAGTCAAAGAGCAGGCACCACAGCCCTTCCCATGGACGGAACTGCCCCAACCCGAGGATGGACGTACCAGACGGATTTCTTGCCATCGGGAGGTCTACCATTGGACACAGAAATAACCCGAGGGACCAACCGGATGCGAAGATCGGACATGAACGGAGGACGCATACCCCAGCGGATCAGTGTGAACCGGAGAATACCCTAGGAATGAGGACAAGAGATCGAGACACCAGTCTCTCTCATGTGTGAGGAGGAGTCAGAATGTATCCAGCAGTTTCGGAGTCGACCACGACAGCTTGTTCCATACCAGCTTTTGTCGACATGTTTTTTCTTTTGCTTGAATCTGGTTTTTGTTTTCTGCTTTCCATTTTGATTGGTTGTACTGCTCTGTTACTAGACAGTGTCTCTTTACTGCCGGCCATATCGAAGAGCGCATCTGTTAGATAGACACAATATGCATACATGGTTGATTTTGCAAGATAGAGGATCACACGACCGTCATCTCACCTGACACAGTGCTCGTATGACAGTCAGCAGTAGGAAGGATACGGAAGTACATCGTTCCTGACCATCTCTTATGTACACACAGAGTTGTCAGATTCTGTAGAAATCATTTGCACCCAGCAAAACACAAATCAAGAGATTGTTATTCTCTTGTCGCTCGCTTTGCTCGCACAGCAAATCAAAGTTGGTTAGCAGGGTTCTGTCAAGCGAAAGTCTAACGCCGCCTTGGGGACCTCGGCGAATAGATCAAGAACGGAAGCTGCGTCATCCGACAAAGGGGCGCGCATGTGAAGGCTGCCAGAAAAGTAGGAAGAAGGACCCTGCTCACAAATCATTCCAGAGGGTGTCAAAGGTCTCACGATAAATTACATGAAGCCCGTTCTGCCTCGGTCCGCCTGCTTCCTATCATCTGTTTCTGCTGCTCGACCCCCGACTTCTGCTACCTATATCAACACTGCGACGAGATCTTTGTTTAGCTTCAGAAAAGTTACAACATCACCTACAATGGCTTCCGCTACCAGTTTCCACGAGTTCAAGCCTCTTGACAGTAAGTTGATGAGTCTTGCGACAGCAGCATGACGAGGGGCGCGTAGCTGACTGTGATGCGCAGAGAAGGGCAACGTCTATGATCTGTCCAAGCTCAAGGGCAAGGTCGTCCTTGTCGTCAACACCGCCAGCAAGTGCGGTTTCACTCCTCAGTTCGAAGGCCTCGAGAAGCTCTACAAGGGTGCGCATCCCCTCTTCTCCAGTCCTCTCTTTCCTCTCCTCTAACTTGTCTCCCACCACANNGAACTCAAGGCCGCCCACCCCAACGACGTAGAATTCCTCGGCTTCCCCTGCAACCAATTCGGCTCTCAAGACCCCGGTTCCAACGACACCATCCAAGAATTCTGCCAACTCAACTACGGTGTTTCGTTCCCTGTGCTCGGCAAAACCGACGTCAACGGCGACAAGGCCGAGCCCGTTTTCGAGTGGATGAAGGCCGAGCAACCCGGTATCATGGGCTTGAAGAGAGTCAAGTGGAACTTTGAAAAGTTCTTGATTGGCAAGGATGGCAAGGTCAAGGGCAGATGGGCTAGCACCACCAAGCCTGAGGCTTTGAAGGCACCTATTGAGGCTCAGCTCAAGGCTTAAGAGGCGGGAAAGTTGACACAAGAAGGATGAGAGGAAGTGGAGGCACGCTTTGGTGCGATTTTGCATAATGGCTTTTGCGCGCGAGGAAGTATGCGCGAGTCTATTCGGACCCCTCATTGATACCCGTGTGTTTTTTTCGATACGCAAAGATATATCTATCACGAGAATGACATTGCAACATCTGTTGTTTCAAGATCTTGTTTCGAGTGGTCATGATCATGGAGACCCAGTATTTACAGTAAAACCTCATCTTGCTAACCATCGAGCTTATAATGGAAGGAACGGTCAGTCGCTATCCATGACTTGCCTATGGACCACGACAAACATCATGCAGATATTAACACCTTGGAAGTCATGACACTGCGCAGAGTATCGACCTCAGAGCTTTCAGCAGTGATATCGCCTCTTTGCCGCAATCACGAACGATCTTCTTGAACAGTTGCGAGTCATGGATCTCGTGTTACAAGCGCATACGCTGTGCGACTTGAAGGATTAAGTCCACGGGCCGTAACATGAAATACAGGAAGTTGAAATACGAGGTTCTCGGATCTGAGCGACGCTGACGGCTGACCGCCTTTGGAACTCTCAATCGTCAATCATGCTTCTTGTCTCGTCTATACCTGTATATTCACATACATCTGATAGAATCACGAAATAAGGTAAGCATCAACATCTCATCTCTCACAAGCCTGTAAAAATCAATGCTGCCCATTCTGTTGGTTTTTGTGTATACCGAAAGAACACGTATCTCGAATCTGTTACGCTTTTATTCCTCCCATTCATTTCTTTTCCTTTGCATCACCAGAAAGAAATCAAGGTATAGAGTACATTTGGAAGAAGCCAAGGTGTTTCTTTTGCACTATCTTCATCCAAACATTCAAGAGACGGACGAAAAGGAATGAATTGAACCACGATCTTTATACCCCAACTCCTCTACATTCTCTTTCTCCAGCTTCTGCCCCATACGAGCGAGGCTGACAAAGAACTTCTCCTCCAGCCCTCGAGTTTCCACCAGAAACAGAACAGAGAAAAATCTCAATGTGGGGCAACAATATTCCTGTCCCCGGTGGTCTGAACAGTTTCGACGACAAGAAAACCACCCTGGACAAAGAAACAATGCTCCGCTTCGCCACCATGAGCACCACCAAANAACTTCACGTCGGCATCGTGGGCGCAGGCTTCTCTGGCCTGCGCTGCGCAGACGTCCTTCTCTCCCACGGCCACCGCGTCACCATCCTCGAAGCCCGCAACCGTGTAGGAGGCAGAGTAGGCCAAAGCAACCATCTCGGCCATACCGTAGACCTAGGCCCCAATTGGATCCACGGCACCGACGACAATCCCATTTTCGAAATCGCAAAGCGGACGCAAACGGCATTGCATTATTGGGATGAAAGGCAACGGATTCTAGATACGCAGGGAAAACCGCTGAGTCAAGAAGACGCAGAGGAGTTTGGCCGTGTGCTTTGGGAAGATGGAGTCATTTCTAAGGCGTTCAAGTATAGCAGGGAGAACACGGAGACTATTGATCCTGAACTGTCGCTTATGGATTACTTCAAACAAGAAGCAGAGATGCTCTGGAAGGATTTGGATAAAGAGGAACAGAAACGTAAAAGACAGACTTTCTTGAAGGTATGCGAGTTTTGGGGCAGTTATGTGGGAAGTGCTACCACGCAGCAGAGTTTGAAGTACTTTTGGTTGGAAGAGTGTATAGAGGGTGAGAATCCGTTTGTTGCAGGCACGTATACGAAGATTCTGGAACATGTGGCTAGACCAGCGTTGGAGAAGGCTGAGGTTAAGTTGGAGACCAAAGTCACAGGCATCAAGGAAAAGAAGAATGATGAGGATAAGGTGGAGGTGGAAGTCGAGGGAGGGGAGAAGTATCAGTTCGATGAGGTTGTCATGACGGCACCCCTGGGATGGTTGAAGAGGAACAAGAGCGTATTTGTCGATGGACTGACTCCCGAGCTGGACAAAGCCATTGATGCTATCGGATACGGTGCTCTGGATAAGGTAACTTGCCTCACCATCCCTCAAACTCTAGCGAACTATTATACTAACCAGTCAAACAGANTCTACATCACCTTCCCAAGCGCCTTCTGGGAAGAAGCCACATCCACAAAAGGAGAACCAAACGGCACAGCCCACCTTCCCACCGCCACCTCAGACACCCCAAACACAACAGCAACAACAACACCTCTACACCAAACCTCCACAACACCAACCTCAAACTATCCAGGCTTTACCCACTGGCTCGCACCCACGTACGCCCCATCCACAAACCCCAAACAATGGGATCAACAAGCCATGAACCTCGCCGCTTTCCCTGGCGATTTGTCTCATCCAACACTTCTGTTTTATATTCATGGTGCTTGCTCAGCACACATCTCCTCCCTGGCCTCTCTGCCCCAACCCCAACGCGATGAAGCACTCTACGCCTTCCTTAACCCCTACGTCTCCCTTCTACCCTCCTACAATCCCACCTCTCCCTCCTGCATCCCCAAAGCCATATTCGCAACTGCATGGGCAGGTGATGAATTAGCCGGTTACGGCAGTTATGCGAATTTCCAAATTGGGTTGGTGGATGGAGATAAACATATTGAGGTTATGAGGATGGGCATGCCGCAAAAGGGGATTTGGATTGCGGGAGAGCATACTAGTCCGTTTGTTGCTTTGGGAACGGCGACGGGGGCGTATTGGAGTGGTGAGAGGGTTGCGTTGAGGATTTTGGAGAGGGCTGTTGGGAAGGAGGAACAGATGGGGAAGTAGGTGTGCAAATGTGGTTTGGGATGTAGACCATAGTTTTGATTTTGCATATTATTGCATATGTTTGTTCTGATTCTTCTTTTTGGAGACCGGGGTTGTGCTTTCGTGGCAAGCCTGCGGCTGGTGGATTGGGGATTTCTTTATGCAGTTGAAAGAGCGTCTTGTGAAGGAGTCCATGATCGACCGAGTATGGCCTTCTCTTTTTGATTCGATAAGGAGTCTTGTATACTTTTCAGTGACTTTTCTTCTTTCCTGTGCGCGATGTGCGATTCAGCGCATTGATATTCTAACAGCGTTTCCAGATCTCGATCCGTTGCAGCCCGTATGTGTAGCCCATATCTCTTTACTTGTACAACATATCTTTCTCTACAACTTGCCCTCAGTCTCCTCGACATATTTCTTCAAATGCTCGATCGTGACAACCTTGATGCCATATTTCCTTCCAAAGTCAATGCATTCTTTCGCCCTCATCATGTGCAGACCACCTCTTTCAGCCTTTCCTGTAACTTCCGTTGACTCCTCGACAATCTCTGCAATAACACCAACATGGTTCTTATCACCCGACAATCTTGCAAACTCGACTGCAGCTTCTGTGTGTCCCTGTCGTTGACGCACACCGCCAGCAACCGCGCGCAGCGGCACCACATGGCCCGGTCTTCTAAAGTCGGAAGCTTTCACATCTGCATTGGCTAGCAGGCGACACGTTGTGCTGCGGTCGGTTGCTGAGATACCGGTGGTGACGTTGTCGGCGGCGTCGATGGTGATGGTGTAGGCAGTGCGATTGGGGTCTGCGTTTGAGGATGCGGCGACCATGGGAGGGAGATCGAGTTTATCGGCGAGGGCATTGGGGAGGGCGGCGCAGAGGTAGCCGGAGGTGTGGTGGATCATGAAGGAGGCTTTTGCGGGAGTGAGGGCTGAGGCTGCGATGATGAGGTCGCCTTCGTTTTCGCGGTTAGGGCTGTCGAGCACGAGCACAAACTCGCCGGCAGCTNNACCAGAAAGAGTGAGTTAGAGGGGTGGTCAAGAGTAGCAGGGTTGCTTGGTGGGTTGTATACCAAAGGCCTCAATAGCGGCGGGAATATCGTCAAAGACAAGGTCGCTCGAGTGGTCTGCCATTGCTTGTATATGTGGGAGTATGCGATTGAGAGGAGGAACGTCGCGAAAGCGTAGAAGAAGTGGTGGATTGACGTCGATATGAATTGGCGCAAAGGTGGAAGATGCTTTGTCGTGATGTCGCTGATGACTGGATTCCCCGAGACACGCCGCTTTCGCGATAATTGATTACTTGAGCAATTGGTAAGCTAGAAGCTCCAACTCTTTTGTTCAACCTATACTATAGATGGCGGTATTGGAACACGATACGTTTATACAAGTGCAATCAAGAAAGGAGCAGGTCAATTGATCATGTGAAAGTGTCATGTTCATGGATGCAGATAGCATCGAGTAGAAGCCTATCGCGGGGCAGTCACGACCTCCCGAAGCCCGAAACCTCCGAGCTAAACTTTTTAACCTTCTTTGTCCAAGAAATCCTGATTAATTAGCTGTCTTTTATTCATCTAAAGCAGTCCTATCTCGCACCCTCTATCCGCCCCTTCTCTCCCAACACACTCTAGAGTTTGTGCCTTCTTGCGTCGCCCAGATGCTCGTCCTTGAAAACCGCAAGCAACACTCCTTGTTCCACGTCATCCCCTTCCTCGTCTTCTAACTCCAAAGCCCACGTTATTGTCCCTGACCTTGGGCTTCGCACTTCCAGCTCCATCTTCATTTGTCTTACAAAAGCAATCACTTGTCCCTCTTGCACCTCTTCTCCTTCTTCAACAAGCATTTCAACCAGTTTCCCGTTCATTGGCAGTATGATATGCGTTTTGTTGTTTGCATCGCCTTTCTTGTGCTTCGAATTGACTGCCGCTTGAGTTGCATCCGTGCTTTCAAGCGACATATTATATGTCTGTGGTCCTGCACCCGATGTGCTGACTGCGACAACCGCCGACAGCGTGTCCGGAAAGTTGTTCCTCAACACTTTCTCGATCTTCAGATGATGGCTTCGTACTGCCTTTTTTTCTGAAGCTTCGACCGGCGATAAACTCAGAGACCATGCGTTGCCCTTTCGTAACAATGCTCCTCCAACTGCACCCCCGCTGTTTGGTTGACTTGCGGGGTCGTCTATAACAGGTAGACTAATGTTCTGGTTCTGTATGCGTTCGGAGATTTTGTCGCCAATCGCAAGCAACCGTGAGACAATTTTCTCGAGCCATTGATTATCCGCTGTACCACTTTCGAACTCTCGATCTGCAACAATCGCTCGGAGGAGATTCAAATTGGTCTTTACACCGACAATATCTGTGTCTTCGAGTGCCCGACGAGCTTTGGCTACTACGCTTTGCCAGCTCGATGCCGTAACAATGATCTTGGCCAGGAGATTGTCAAAGTCTGATCCTACCACGGCACCTCGCACTATATGCGAATCAACACGGACACCATTTCCGCTTGGTAACCTTGCTTGTGTGATGTTGCCAGTGCTGAGTGAGAAATTTGCATTCGGATCCTCGGCGCACAATCTCAGCTGTACAGAGAAACTAGAAGGCGGTTTGGCATCCGCTGTGGTGGGCAAGTCGGCAGTGCGACCTGTCAACCCTTGTGCTAGCAGTAATTGCTCGTGCACCAAGTCCACACCTGCCATGCTTTCGCTTATCGTGTGCTCGACCTGAATCCTTGGGTTGATCTCCAGAAAGTAGAACTCCTTNTTGCTGACATTGACCAGAAACTCGAATGTGCCCAGACCAAGATAGTTGACTCCTTGTGCGATGCGCATTGCCGCTGCAATAACTTGAATCACAGTACTCCTGTCTTCAACAACAGCAGGTGCAATCTCCACGATCTTCTGAAAGCGTCGTTGCATGCTGCAATCTCTTTCCCAGACATGTTTGACGCCACCTTTTCCATCGCCAATGATCTGGATCTCGATATGCTTGAAACCGTCCACAGCAGCCTTCTCAGCAAAGACTCTTCCCGAAGGACTTTCTGCTATGCATCTTTGTACTGCTGTTTGCAACTCTGCTGCTTCCCTTACTAGTCTGATGCCTCTGCCTCCTCCGCCGTCTGCAGCTTTGATCATGACTGGAAAGCCCACTTTGTTCGCAAACATGCTGATATCCTTGACATTTTGAGAAGACGTTGTCATGGCCGGCAGAACAGGAACATCAAATTTGGCGGCGAGCTTCTTGGCCTCTAGTTTATCTCCAGTGGTTTCGAGAATGTCGGATCCTGGTCCAATTACCATACAATTCGCTTGCTCCCACATCTGTCGAGCAAACTCAGGACTCTCTGAGAGGAAGCCGTAGCCAGGATGCACGGCATCAATGCCTCTATCCTTTACCAGTTGCACCAGTGCAGGAATGTTCATGTATGTTGCTGGCGAAAGTATCTCAATTGCATGATTCGGTTGGCCTAGAGAAATATGTGTTGAATCATTGGATGTGTAGAGACAGTATGTTTCCGGGGGACTTGGTAATTCTCGAGTCGATTGTAAGATGCGAATTGCGATTTCTCCTCTGTTGGCGACTAAGAGCTTCTTGATAGGCCGTTGTATGGTGGTGGTAGGCATTGTTGCAGGTCGGATACAGCTATCTCAAGCTTCGCTTCGCTCTTTCCGACACGATCTGATGCAGTGCTAGGTGGTTTGATGTCCGATTCTCAGATCCTATCACCTCTATCACTGGTTTGTAGGTGGTGATCGTAGCGCAGGGTTAGTTTTGAGCCTCGGCTCCTCGGCCGCATGCACCAGAGCTACCTCACCTCATCTTTTCTAGACGACATATCATACAGAATCATCAGGTCTAATTCTATCTATACTGGTACTCTTGCATAGCAACACCTTAGCACAACTTCATCGTTCAACAATCAACACAGTATGGGAGGCTCCAGTGACGATCCAACAAAGAGGTAGTCGTTACATGCAAACAAGCAAGATGCCATCTCAACTGACTTTATGTTCTTAGCCACAAAGATGGCAAGCTCAAACAATCAGAATCCAATCAGGAAACCAACAAAGCAGCTTCACGACTATCACAACTATCTTCACACCTGACCCAGCCAGCCTCAAACCAGCGAAGAAGAAAAGCAAAAGCCAAAAATGCACTTCCTGCAGACTACTCAGATCTGATGACCCAATTGGATACAATGAAAACCATAGCAAGCACACCACCCACAAATTCAAAAGGCTACACACGTCAAAAAGCATCCGGAAAACTCTGGGCTCGCGAACGAATCTCTCTATTCCTTGACAAAGACACTTTCCGCGAAGTGGGCGCGGTGTCGGGAACAAGTACCTGGAAGACCTCACCAACGAACCCGTTTCAAGAGAATGTCGAAAACTTTGTCCCTAGCAACAATCCTCAAGGATTTGGATTTATTACATGTCCGAGAAGCAAACAAAGTCGACGCGTTTATATCACAGCAGACGATTACGCCATCAGAGCTGGCCACGCAGATGGCTCCAGTCACCTCAAAACCCTCTACGGCGAAGAAACAGCCCTAAAACTCAAAATCCCAGTCGTAAAACTGGTAGACGGGTCTTCGGGAGGTGGCTCAGTGACGACCATAAAACAACAGGGATGGTCTTATTTACCACCGTTGACGAGTTTTCCGGCTGTGATCAAGCAGTTGGATGCAGGGATTCCTAATCTAGGTGCTGTGGTGGGCCCGGCTATTGGGCTTGGTGCTGCCAGAGTGGTGTCCATGCATTTTTCGGTCATGGCTGCTGATGTGGGGAGTTTGTTTAATGCTGGTCCTGATGTAGTTGCCAAAGCGACTTTTGAGGAAGGGCTGACTTTGCAAGATTTGGGTGGTCCGGAGGTGCATTGTCGCAATGGCACGATTGACAATCTGGCTCCTAACGAGGCAGCTGCATTCGAGCAACTGAAAACAGTACTGGGATATCTTCCTGATTGCGGAGATTTGCAGGCCCCTCCTGTGCTGGACGAAAACTGGTCTGGGGATACTGTGGACAGAGAAGACATCAATCTCCGCAGCATAATTCCAAGAAAACAAGGCCGAATGTACAACCCCTACACCATCATAACCTCCGTCGTCGACAAAACCTCCTTTTTCGAAATCGGACGTCTCTGGGGCACCACCGCCATCGTGGGTCTCGCACGTCTTGGTGGCCGCCCCGTAGGCATCATATCCAACAACTGCGAGTCCTCGACCGGCGGCGCCCNNCTCGACCCCCTGGGTAGCCAAAAGCTCACCCGCATGATAAAGTTCTGCGACGTGTTCAATTTGCCAATCGTCCAATTCGTGGATATCCCAGGCTATGCAATAGGAACAGCGGCAGAAAGAGGAGCAACCATGAAATGGGGCGTAGAGCTTGCAAAAGCTTACTACGCATCCACCACACCCATATTTTCTGTGGTGACGAGAAGGTGTTATGGTATTGCAGGTGGTGTGATGATCGATTCGCGATCACCGAGATCGTTGGTGGCGTGGCCTAGTGGAGAATGGGGGTCTCTGCCGCTGGAAGGAGGGATCCAAGTTGCTCATCGGGCTGAGCTGGCTGCGATTGCAAAGAAAGAAGGGGAAGAGGCGATGAAGAAGAGATATACGGAGTTGGACGCAGAGTATCGACGCTTGATGAATCCGGTCAGAGCGGCGAATGCTTTTGGTGTCGAACAGATTATTGACCCGAAGGATACGCGGAGTGTAGTATGTGACTGGGTCAAAGATATGTATGGTCTGATCATGATTGATAGGCTCGAAGATCGTAAGGCAAGGAGGATTGTGCCGACTTTTACTTAGAGCTCTGCCCATTGCAGTAGCCACAAAGACATATTGTCAATGCAAGCAAATCAGGTTCAGTTCCTATCGCTCCCTGATGTTCCGAGCCGCGATAGAACGGCCTGGGAGAGACATGGCAAAGCATCCAATCAGGAGCTTGCCTGAAGTATTGGTGGATCAACGTTAGCCTGTTAGCCTTAGATGGTTCTGGAAGCATTACGCGCGTCAGATGAAGGAGCTGGTTTAGCCACAACCTCTTCGAGATATGTCGACGGTACCCATCCTGATGCCGAGCGGTCCATCCGTTCTGCGAGCCACATTCCTGGATTTATCAGTGTCATCCTCTCTTTTCTAGACCATGTAGAACATACCATTTTTTCGCTTTCCGATCACTAGAATAACCTCACCCTTGGTGAGACTTAGCTCACTGCTTGTTTGTCCAGCACAATCGTCTATTGCCCTGAACTGTGGTTCTTTCGGTGGAAAAGCAGGAGGTGGAGAAGCTGGAGAAATGCGTGTCTCAGCTAGAGGGCTTGGGAGTCTATCTGACTGCTCTAGTGACAGCAAGAGTAGAGCAGGGTCGGATTTTTGTTCTGGCGTCACAAATGTCAACTTTCCATCGTAATTGACAATTCTCTGATCGAGGTCAACACGAGTGTCTCTCCAAACACCGTGTTCGTCAACGAGCTCCGCAGCGAGATATGTTCCAAGATTATTAAGCCTTATACTACGCGCTGTAGCAACGAAGTTGCCTCTCGTAACCAAGCAAATCGTCCCCCTTGATTCGCAAGTATATCGTTCAGAGAGATTGAAGACCGAAGCCGTGAGCCATCCAGACGTTTGCACGAGGCAACAAGATTGCAATTTCCATCTAGCATAATGGTTCGACTGGTCCGGGAGAATTTGCCAGGAGTGATTCCTAGCGCTTCACGTAAGCGTTCGGCAGCCTTGAGTGTTCGTTCGTGCTCGGCCCCAAGAGTTTTCTTGTAGCCCCGAAGAGCCCGCTTATACATCTCCACTTCTCGAAATTTATCGCCCTGTTTGCTGTAGACCCAGCCTAGCCTGTCAATAGACGTTAGCGTGTTGATGTGGTTTGGGCCAAACAATTTCTCATCTTCAGTGAGTACTCGCTTGAACAGCTCTTCTGCCTCAGATACCATGTTAAATCTCGAGGCGTAGATGTGCGCAAGGAGCCACATGACGTCTAAAGAGAGCGGGTTACGAAAACCTATCGTGCTCTCGAATCTCGGCATAAGTTGTTCACACAAGGTCCTTGCTTCTTGCCATCTGCTGTCCTTGTCGTGAAGAGAGGCCAATGAAAAGGCGACATGGAGTGTATCCTGATGTTCTGGACCCCATCTCGCCTCGTGCTCTGTCAGGAGTCGCTCGGCGAGCACTATAGCTTCTGCAAACTTGCCTTGCCTCCTGAACAGTTTTATTCTGTCCATAGCCAAACCAGCACCGGGATGCTGGTCCTCGAGAATTATCCTGTCAAACCCCGCTGCTGCTCTCTCTGCCACTTCTTTCATTTCCACGAGCTTGTCAAGCTTGCCGTAAACATCGGAAAGTGCGGTCAGGGCTTCGAGCGTATATCTATGGTCTGGACCAAGGAGCTTCGAACTCACTTCTAATGCTCGCTCAAGCACCGCCTCGGCCTCTCCGAGCTTGCCCTGCTTAATACAGACGTTCCCTAAGCGAATCATAGCAACCGGCGCACATAGTTGTTGCTGTTGCTGCTGGTCAAATAGTCCTATCGCTCGCTCGTATATGCCCTCAGCATCTTCCCACCTTGTCTGCGCTTGGTAGGTCTTACCTAAAACCACGAGAGTCCATCCCACATGTTCCAGGACGATTGCAGAAAGGCCCGAATCTGAGATAAGCAATTTCTCGCAGACTGCCAGGCTGTGCTCAGCTAGCTGTTGTGCCTCAGTATGCTTCTTGAGGTCAAGGTAGGCACCAGTGAGGCGATAAGCGATGTACAAAGTGTGCGGATCATCTTCACCAAAACTGTTCTCCGCTTTTTCTATAGCGTGCTCGAGGATCTCCGTAGCCTCCTCAAATGCTCGATTCCAATCAAACAGCCTGGCCAATACACTACATGCTCTAGATGAAACATGCGATGTTGTCCATGTTGTGCCAAGTCGTAATTGATACAACAGTTGTTGGCCATGCGGGAACAAACGTTTCCACAAGGCCCCGCAACCCTTATCATCACCGTATGGAATCATCTGCGTTACAATGTTCACTGCGAGATCGAGGAAAGCCTCGCTTGTGCTGCTCACGCATGCTAGATGACGACACCATGAATGCAAGACAGCATGCATAGAGTAGTTGTCAGTGTCTTTTCCGTGGTTTACAAGAGAGTACTTCTTCAGCAGACCGAGTGCACCTCGGAACTTCAAACGATTCTTGGCCAGTGTTGATAACCATTCTGGTATGTCGATTTGAGACTCAAGTTGGACTGCACAAGCGACCAGCTCGTACCATAAGTCTCTTGGGTCGAGGAAAGCCCATAGCTTCAGTAGTGTGGCTGCTTCCAAACTCTCGCTTTCCACCTGCTGGTATGAAATTTTCCAAGTTGTCAGCATGCTTCTATGACTTCCCTGAGCATATTCCTGCAGAGGATATGAGTCCTGTGCTTTGATCAAGTCGTCCCAAGTGCTGTCGTAGTGGTCCAGATATTCGCCAAGGCTGGTATTGGTATGACCAATGTATGCTCCAGCTTGAGCTAGAGCAAGAGGCATCCCTTGTAGCTTTTGGAGGAGCCTCTCAAGGTCTTTTGACTCGTCGCGAGTTGGTGGACCCGATAATGGCTTCCCTCTGTGNTCCTCGAATAGTGCACGTGCTTCTTTATCATTCATCTCCGTCAGTTGATGTGCATTTTGGGGCACTGTCAATGTCGAGACTCTGCTGGTGATTAGTAAGCTGCCGTGATCTACTTGCGCAGAATATTTCGCCAAGTCGTAGGCTAATGAATCCTCATGCTTGGTATTGATGTCATGGTCCACGTTATCGATGATGTGAAGCCAATCCTGATTTGAGGGCAGAGACAACCAGTCAAGCACACCTTGTACTATGCGTTCTGTACTGGCCTTCTGACGTTCGACCGCTTCGACTAGATTTGGCGGCATCTCCTCGGCTGGCAACATAGGAAACACCTTGGTAAAAGATTGTTGCAGAGCATCTTCGGACGATCCATCCATCCATAGAACTGCGGTGTATCGTGCTTGGTGCTTCCGAGCAAACTCAATACAAAGTTGTGTTTTGCCAATGCCACCAAGACCGTGAACAACAAATCTCTTACGCCGGACAGGTTGCGATGTCTGGTTAACGAAGAAGTCCTCGAGCTTCTGCATGTCTTCATCACGTTTCACAAAGTGGTCAATCGCAGGGACGCCCTTAAGGCTAAATGGAACGAAGTGTTTCNNCCTTGATAGATATGTATCAGCATTGATCCGCTAATTGACAGTGACAATCGTACTCGCAGGACCAAGCTTCTCTACCTCTTGCACACTGACTGCACTCAAGAGCTCTTTCGCATATGCAGCCGCTGTCGCCGCCGCGTAGGGTTGCCATCGGTCATTCTTGTGCGAATCGGCATAGTCTGAGATTCCGCGGATGACTAAACAGGGAAAGTCATTCATGAGTCCCGCCGCCTCCATCTCGAAGCAGAAGATCTTGTCGTCCGCTGCTCGTGAGTCTCGTTCCCCGCTGTTCTTCATCACCAGGTCGCCCGAACCGATCGTGCCGTAGAAGACCTGAGGCGAGACATCCTCGCGGGGGCCGCGATTCACGGCTTGATTATCATTGTCGAACAACTGATCGTTCTCGGATCCCTGGAACCCGTATTTCTTCGCCATCCTTCTGTTCCTCGATATTGCGGATAAGTATTCGGGAAAATCAGGCTCGTTTGCTTCATGCTTTGCTCGTAGTGAGATCAGAGCGCTCAAGAGTGCCTTCGGAGGCTTGTCCAAATGTCCTTTTCGACGGAAGCCGTCTGACTCCATCTTGCCCAGATCGTATTGTATCACTCCTCCGTGTGTGCCTACTGGAAGGCTCACCACCACATCTCCTAGGCGGATATCGGGAATCTGGCTTGGTACGCCTCCGCCAATGCCCACCATGAGACCGAGCTTGATGGGGAAGCTGTGTTTCATGTGTATAGCAGCGGCGGCAGCTGCAGCTTTGCCTTGGTCCGAGAGGCAGGCAATGACGACATTGTGCTTGCCAATTTTGCCGAAGGTATAGCTGTTGGTATCGCTGGGCTTTTGATCCAGTGCTTCGTGTCTCTCATCTAGCATTGCTTCGACTGCCGCCTTCTCCTCGAAAAGTGCACAAATAATGCCGATAGCGTAAGCCCCTTGAGGCAGACGGGAGCCCGCCATGGTCGGTATTCAAAGAATCAGGAGTGACCGGTGACTAGAGGCAAAGGAGCGGATACTCGATATCGATGCAACCAGGAAGAGAGCTTGACAGAAGCAGGAGAGAGATCGCTTGAGATGCTGGAACATGCTGGAGGACCTAGGTCACAGCCTCCTTCGAACAAGGCTGCGCCGAACACACGGGATGTGGCTTGCATTAAGTCTTCTCTCCACATGTGCTAAAGACAGCCACAGTATAGCTTGTCAAAGTGCATGATGTTCTCGAAGAGAGAATGGTCTCCCACAGAGAGAATCCCATCAAAGGCTATCTCAATGGCCAGACTCAAATTCGACTCGCAACCGTGTAACCCTTATATTTTGGGGTCATATGCGGAATCTGGGGTGACTGTCTTTAGCACACAGGGAGGCCGACTTATCCGAACGATTCAGCGAATAAGGGCGGTGACCGAAGAAGTAGGCATGAAGGATTTGGAAGCTAATGCATTATGCAAGGCTCTCTCAGCTTCAAGGTGGGCGCGCCGATACGGTCGCTGGCTTTGCTAGCAGGGGTGTATCGCGAATTCCAGGAATGCAAGACGGAAACTGGGATCACATGCTTATGGGTAGTTAGCTGCTCAATATACGTTCGTTGTAGCTGTGTGAAGAATTCTAAAACAGCAAGCGCTGGAAGGAGCGACCGGGGACGGAAGTTTCAGGGTCAGCTTCGTACCGCATGTGTTGCCAACCAGATGGATGAGTCCGTTGTCAACATCATGCCAGATTCAAGCTTATCATGTCTCGACGAGTGGTCAACTCATTTTCAGCGATTCTAGCATGTCGTTCCGTCCAGGGCAAACTCTTCAATATCCATGTTTCCAACCCACAAATTCACCAGTGCCAAATCCGTCTCTCTGAGAGCTCCGCGCACAGTCTCGATTTCCCCAGTCTTTTCAGAAGCTTGTACAATCAACACGGTGTCATCTTCCACAGATCTCTCGTCAAAAACAGCAAAATTCTCGACATTGATCTCCGATCCCGTATCTGCCTTCATTTTCTTGAGCATCTCAAAGCATTCTTCGGCGTTCTTTCCCTTGAAGGGAGCCGGCGAATGACTGGCTGCCATAGGCAGTTCTGAGATCTCCGCGTATGTCTTTTCGAGATTGTCGATGACGACTATCATGAGATCAAGGTTCAAATTTTCTTTCTCTTCCATATTCAACTCGATAAAGCGGTTCAGAAACTGTACAAGTTAGCCTTGTTTCTATACTGCCAGAGCACAAGATGACAAAGCGCTTGCCTCTGAGCTGAGGTCTGTTGCACCGCGTAATAAGCTCATTGTAGAAACCTGTGGCACCCTCGAAGATATTGTAAACTTTGTTCAGGAAATTTGCAAGATCTTGACAAGCTAGAGCAAAAAGAATGGCAGAGTTTGTGCTCGTGTACAGATTAGTGTGACCCCACACGGTCTTCACCAGAATCCTCCTCATGGAAGAAAGAAGGCGGAAATCCAAACCAAAATTGCGTAAGAAGCCTCACTGTGTTCCTCTTGACTCCTTTAACTAGCTACCAGTCAGTCACCAGGGCTCTTTAGTTGTTATTATTATATTCAAATGTCAACTGCTAGTTGATACTATTACTATAGCTAATGATGCTTTCCAGCACTCCTTCCCATGCTCCAGGCACCCCAAAGAACCATAAACAAAATAGTGATATTAGCAAGTTGTCCGAAGATAATCAGCAAGAATGCCAATGCCTGTTGAGAAGCATCGCTCCACTGCGCAGAGTTGACATAGATCATAACGATGCTAACGATAATGAAAACATCACGAAGTACAATCAACGGTACGACGGCAAAGGTAAACCGTTTCGAGATCGGGCGTTCCGGGTTNCTGTCAGAAGTTGTCAACATTTTGTTCCACTGCGGTTAGCCGTCGCGAGAGGGGAAACCTACATTGGGAATACCGTTCTTGTTGAGTTTTGTCCATCTCCGGATGACTTCGATGGCTACGGATAGCGAGCTGAAGACAACGATATAGCGGAATGTGATGTGTAGCGCTCGGGTAGGAAGGTCGGTATTAACAGCGCCGGGATAAGTCAACGANCTCGCCATCTCTAACATACAACCCCGAGCTCCAAGCTGCTAATCCGAAGACAGCAATGAGGATCAGAATGATACTGTTCCAGATCTTGGATATCATGGAAGGTTGACCAACTCCGGTGCCGTTACTAGTCACATGCGAAGAGTGAAGCCATACCGCGCCGTTGAGACAGAGTGTGAAAAGATCTCGGCAAATTCGTTCGTCCACGAGAGATTGGAGATCGTTTGTGCGTTTTGGAGAATCGGTGGTATGGGTCCGTAGGAATAACTGTATCCAGTTGTTATTGATATGTGAGTGCCACCGCGTACTTGTAAGGCGACGAGGGCGGCAAGGGTTGCGTATTCCAGACATAGAAANAGGAGCGACGGGATTAGGAAGGCGTGTGTGGCTAGGGTGCTCTTGAGGGGCTGATTCTTGCCCATCTCATGGTATTGAGGTCGCTTGTCCTTGAGTCTTGTTATAACGAGTGATGTTGCAATCAAGCCAAGGATCGCGGCGAGACCGGCAACGATGACATCGAATGCGAAGAAAGCCTTTATCGAAGAACTCGTAGATACAAGAGACGGCATTTTGCAATAGAAGAGTTATGGGGACGGTATAGAGAAAGGTAGCCAGAAAGTGGATTAAGTATTATCACTTTACCTGAGATCGTCGTAGGTGTAGAGTGACATAAATCTGTGAACTGTCGTCACATTTACTCCGCCGAGGGAGGAGCGCAAAATCTATAGGTGATGAAGTGTGTGTAAACACGTAGTATTGACTCGTGAGGCTTGGCAGTTGTCATCGAGCCATTGGCAGGAGGAGTGACAGTCAATTCGTGGGAGATGATCATCCTCCTCCGCGGACACACCTATTACCAGAGCACGCGGCCTGGTACTGAGCACAGAGGTCCAAAATATCCATGTCAGCTATGCTGGCTGCGGCAGAGGCTTGTAGCGTTGGTTATTGGAATGGATGGATGAGGGAAAGTGAGTAGAAGCGTTGTGCTAAGCACCAGGTTCGCAGAGGGACATCGAGGGTTCTTATGTATCCGCAGGTATGATGAGGTTCGATTGATGCGCATTGCCATGAGATGACTACAATCCTTTTGCAAACAAGCGTCTACCCCCTTCGATTTCTGACTTTGAACTTCTTCGTCCAATCGTCCAGCGGATGTGCTCGCTCTTTATGAGCGCAGCTAGTTTAGAAAATGACTCTTGGTATCCAGGCCTCTTCAGGGATGTCGCTGACCATAGCCGAGGTTCTCAGAGTGCGCAGGAAAGATCTACAAAGACTGAAAAGTTGTGGGGGTAGACGCTTATCGAATGGTGAAGGTGACATCGCGTGAGTGGTGGTCATAGTCGACAACAAATCTGAGAGCGCTCGAGATCTTGTGCTCTGACCTCGTTGATGGCTTGTTAACTTCGCTCGGTATTGTGTTTGTAGCTCATATTGAAGTTTAAACGTGTTTCAAGTACATACGGCCACAGTCAGCTGAAAACTGGGCATCCCGTCCGCTCTGCCATACATAAGCAGTTGAACGGCAGATTAGTACTACGGTGGGTGACCACGTGGGAATCCCTGCTGCTGTATGTTTTGTTTTTCTTTTGCTTCTCTGTCGCGATAGAAATTGCAAAGTTCTTTCGAGCACTTGGACGTGAAGGACTCTTTTGGACGTCCGAGATGCGACGCGGCAATTGCCAAAACTGTTGCCCTTCCGTGTCTTCGCTTTACCACCCCAATTTGCTCTGTAATCAGTCAATCAAGCGTACGCAACTCTCAGATCAAATCTCACATCTTATACTAGTGGCATTATCGTCCTTCGCTAGACACTGCGCTTGACAGCTCCACCTTCGTCTTGTGAGTCAATTTTGTATCCTTCTTGTACTGTCTCTGCTCTGCTTGAGAGGTCGTCGCTAGGCTCTCAACATGGCGACCAGGTGGCAAGCCAAAGCAACTCTCTGAACCTGAGGGGTTGGACTTCATGTGACCCGATGACTATTCAGGTTTCACGTGTACGTGCCAACGCTCGCTTAGACTCGTCAACGCGAAATGGGCTTCTTACGATTATGATTGTTTCCAATATCGAGATCCATCAGTCAGCCTGACGGGCGCATGGCTACGTTTGCTTTGCGAACGTCAGAAGGAGTACGAGGCAGAAATCAATAGCACCACCGGCTGTTACACGGTTGACGACGACCCCGACCTGTAGACATCCAGCTTCAAATGCTGATGTTTATAGCACTACTCATTCTGAGAAATGAAGCGAGTGGCGGATACTTTGTTGAACTTGAGACTTCCGACATGCATTTCATCATGTCCACGTGCGATTCAACCAGTAAAGCAGAGATCACAAGGGAGGAGTGGGAATTCGTCTTCGATAACGGACATTGTGCGAACTGCGACATGGCGAAACTGATCATATTTTTTATTTTCACTAGAGTGGAAGATAAAAGAGAGGAATCTCTGAGTGATTCATTGAAACTGGAACGAGCTCCAGATCATCTCAATACTTGAGACCTCTTGGAATTGAGATCATGTGAGGTTCCATTGCAGATGTTTTTGATCCCAAGAGAGCAACAGCAGTGAGGCGGTGTTGTTGTTCCCCTTCAAGTCGCGAGCTGGGTTTCTCTATACTCTGACCAGGCCTTGTCGAACTCGGTACAGCGATGAATGTGTCTGTCATCACTAAAGCCATCGAGAGCGAATCTCCACAAACGGCGGAGTCATCTTCCTCGTCCATATGCATCGTCAAGATAAGCTTCTCGGCTCGCAGGACTGCAGTCGCCGTAAAGCTTGTTTATTATCTCTGCTTCGAAGTATTGCTTGACTTGTAAGTCTTCCTTTGAAAGACGAGTACTAGTCTCGTTGTAGAGCTCAATAGGTAGTAAGTCGACGTCTCCATCGTAGTTCTCACGAATAGGTGAGGGAAGTGTTTCGTCGTCGGACCAATCCCAGAGCCAGACTGGAGGTTTGCGTGCGAGGACAGGAGGAACACTTAGAGCATCGTCCCAGTCCAACACGCCTGTGATCTGTACGTGATGTGGCACAGAGACGTCTGAAGAGGGACCAATGGTATGGCGATTGATGATAATGTTTCGCGGCTCGAGGTCCCAATGGTAGATGATGTTGGAGTTGAGAGAGACTCGGTCTTCGAAGAAACCCAACTCATCCATCTCGTCACGAATAGTCTTCAGGCGCCTCCACAAGTCGGCCACCCAAGATTCCGGATCATTCGAAAGCTCGACCTGTAACCAACCATCGAACTGCGTGCCCAGAAGCTCTTGCAGTGAAGTTTGCTTTGGAGCGGTCGGCTTCGATCTGAAAGATCCGACACCAACGCCAAAGCCTTGAATCTGTAGAATATCTGAAGGACTAGAGTCGTCTAGTTCGTCAATTCTTCGGCGGTTGGGCACAGGTCCAGAGCAGCTAAGTCGGCCTGGGCTATGAAATCTCATGTTCTCCATTGCTGCCAGAGTACGGACCAATTCACTCGCTATGTTGAGTCGCTCAGAGACCGTCATATCTTCGTAGGCAAGATGCAGTGCTTGGCCTTCAAGTCGCGTCTGCACCGAGAATGGCATACCAAGAGCGTTGTTTGAAGTACAATCGTAAGCGAGTACGCGTGGAACCTGTATGCTAAAGTTGACGATAGCTTGGAGAATTGAGTATTGATTGAGAATATCTTCATTGGGTGAATCTCCGTCTTTGGCAAAACGTGGGATGCGCAAGACGACCTGTTGTACTGTGGATGCTGAATCATGGCTGTGCAGGTCCACTGCGACTATCCTGTTGAAGCTTCCGCCAGGTAAACGGACAACGTTTGCAACGGATTTGCATCCAATGTCGTGAGCCAAAGCTTCCACTTTGTGGCGGAACGTCTCGAAAGGTTCATGAGAGTACTGATATGTGGATGTAGAATTCGGTGTGGTCGAGTGTGAAGAGTCGTTCGACTCTGCTTTAGCGTCGGATGTTTTGGTCATGGTGACAGGGGCACATTGATGAGTGATGATCGCAGGCACGCTTTGATTATGAGGAAGTCGCGGTGGAAGCTGGGCGCTTAAAGATCGTCCACGATTGGAGCAAGTATTTTGCCAAGGATATTTCATTCATCTTCTAAGTCGTGGAACATTCTGAATACATAAGGTATACCAGCAAGGAAAAGTCGTGTTTGTTCTGTTGAGTGTGTTCTACAAGAAATGTAAGCTACAATCATTCAACATTCCTGTTCCTCTTGCGAGAGAACAACAAAAGCTCCTACCCTAATCAACACCCCTCGCCTTCATAAAATCCACCAGATCAAAGAAACTCTTCTTATAATTCCTCTCCTGTGTCGTGCGATTCACAGTCTGAATGCCAAAGTGCTGATTATAGTCCCCAAACTCCCAATTATCAGCAAAACTCCACGCAAACGCTCCAATCACCTGAACTCCATCTTCCCAGATGGCCTTTAGCACCTCAGACATGAAGCTGAGGTAGTAAACACTGCGGGGAGAATCAAAGAGTTGATCGGAGAGGTTTTGCTTGTCGGCTTCGCCGAAGACAGGGAAGCCGAATTCGGTGAGGACGATGGGGGTGCGGAAGGTGTTGTGTAGATAGTTGAGGTAGAGGCGCAGGTAGGTAGGTGTGATGTAGACGTAGGACTGAGAGCGGTAGCCGATGTTCCAGCCAAAGATGTCTGTGGTCGTCTGATTGACGCAATAAGGTCGTAATTCTGCCGATGAGTTGCTTGCGCACTCTTTGATACTATCAATGGAGCCTGGTTCAGGAGGTGCGATCACGGTAGCTGTGTAGGGATCGATACCCAAGAAGTCTGCAGTCCCGTTGATATATTCAAGATCTTGTTGGCTCAAAGGAACGTAGTCAGGAATCGTCATCTTGTAGGACTCGGGGTAATCTTGACCAAGGAAAATAGGGTTGCAGAAAGGACCAAGCTGGAACGAATTGAAATGGTCGGCAGCGTAGACGTCGGCTTCGCTCTTTGGATCCCGAGGCACACCAAAGTTATCGTTGAACTTGAGGGCAATCTTGCCGGTACCCTTAAGCTCTTCCCTGTAGAAGTGGGAGACACGAGCGTGCGACTTGATTACGTGATCAATGGCCTTGCCGTTGGCAGAGTATAGCAGAGGCTCGTTGAAGGTATACCAGACAGGCACGCGGTCGGCGTAGTGTGCCATAACAATCTTCGCATAATTGAGGTAGGCGTCTGGGAAGGTCTCGTTCTGGTATCCGCCGTTGGTCGATCCAATCTCCGAATTGGAGAGTACGGCAGTGACATTGTGGATCGTGCCATAGAATTGTAAAGGAGTATCGAAGTGCAACAGTGTGACTTCTGGAGCCATACCCTTTTCGATGATATAGTTGATAACATCATCGTAGTGCTGAATGGCTTGCTGGTTGATTGGAGTACCCGGAAGTGCGAAAGGTAAGATTCTAGTCCAAGGAATGCTGAAAGAGAAGTACTTCACACCCATGGCAGCGACTCTCTCAATATCCTGTTTGTAATAGTAGTAATTCTCATTAGTGACATAGTCCTTCGGACGGTCGTCTTGGATCAAGATGTCCATCAATGATGGAGCTTTGCCTTCCTCCGCTGTAGCTCCTTCAATTTGACTGGCAGAGCTTGCAACGCCGAACTCAAAACCAGGAGGAAAGTTGTAGCAGTCGGTTGGACCAAAATAGTCTCTGGGAGGCAAGACTAACTCCTCAGTAGGTACTGGTGTCGGTTTGACGGTAGTACTGAAAACAGAGCTTGTAGCTTCCTGAGTAAAGTTGGGTGGATTGGCTATTCTCCACAACTCCGTCCAAGCGGCATTTCCGTATGGGTTCGCGGCATCTGTTGCAGTTGCATTTGCAGTCGGATCCCATTTGCCCCAAGTAGTATAAGATACAGATCCAATCAGAGAAGTCAGACTTTCCAAGGGAGCCGCGTAAGTCGTAGTGGTCGTTGGTGACGGACGAGATGTAGCATAGCGCACAGTCGAGGTCATGCTATACTCAAAAGGTGTGAAGGTATATTGAGGCTCACCCTCAGTACACTTCGTGCATTGTGGACGGGGTGTAGACCCATTGGCCGCCAAGTATACCTGCTGGCCGACTACCACAGAAGTGAGGCCAAATAATTGGCCAAGGACATTCGCTTTTACCATGGCTTGAAGAAGAATGAAACGAGCAAGTTACGACCTCTCAAGGTGGACGATGTCCTCTTATGTACTGTTCGTATTCTGGTCCTTGGCTCTGCCAGGATACCAGTGATGATCATCGCTATGGCTCGACATGGCTTGAGTTCACAGAAACATCGTCATGCCGCACAGTGAAGCGTGAGAGCCATGAGGGGCAACACGAGATGCTTGGGCACCCGGTCGGCAAGTCTATCTTGTTCAGTCTTCTCTGCAGCATAGCCAAGGTTGAAGATTCAAGGAAGTCTCGGAGAAAGCGATGATCTGCATTTGATGGAGCTTGTCAAGGTTGTACCTTCCAGATGTGTTTATCCGGCGGCAGGTTTGGAAAAAAGCCGTCACGTGGATCGGACAGCGATTTACCGAGTTGGCGAGCTGATCCGAGGTTCGCAAAGCGAGGGAATACTTCGAAGGCATTGAAGGCTTCATGTAGCCATCACGCTCAAGCAACTACCTATGTTAACATATCAATGACTGGATGGTCGATGAATACTATACCATTTATCGCCTAAGCTTGGTGTTGTAACAGATGAAGGGTCGAAGCAACTCGGTCTTAAGAAGACTTGTCATTTCCGAAATTTGTGCAAAATGCGATATTGGGATCCTGAGTCCATGAAGATATCCTCTCTTGGAACTACCATATACCATGTCCTAAGAGCACTAATCTTGTGTGTCTAATTGTCCTCTTTATAGACGTTCATGTGTGTGTGCTTGCGTCTATCCGACTGACCACTGAGGCATCTGTCAAGCCAGCCTCTACCCAAACAGCGACTTAATGAAATGCTTCTTGATATGATCTCCAGCCGAGAGTTTCGCAGCCGCAGCATGATTTGATTGTGCCTGGTTCGCCCAGCCCACAGGTGTAACAACGACCCAATTCAAATGCTTAGCCTCTTTATTCTCATCACGCTGGAAGTTGAGAACCTCTTCATCAGCATCCTGCATATCCTCTTGCAGCTTCCCAGCACCCTTATCCCTTTCCAATTTGTGCACCTCTTCCTCGTATTTGCGCCTCGCTTTCTCTTGTTTACCAGGACTGTGTGCATCTTTCCTTAAGTCGTCTTGAAGTTTCTCTTGCAGCTTGCGGAGCTCTTCGTTGTACTTGTGGGCATCTTTGTTGTATTTCTCTTGCGCATCTCGGATCTTCTCGTCGCGTTTCTTGTGTGCGTCCGCGAGGTCTTCGGCTTTCTTTTCGTTTTGCTTGGAGGCTTTTTTGGCGGCTTGTTTATCGCCCATGCGTTTCAACCAGTCGTCGCTTGAGGCTTGGGCGGCGACGTGGTAGTCGAGATGCATCACGTAGCCGTCTAGCGCGCGCATTCGTGTCATTTGGCTCTCTTCTTGCTGTTGCAAAGTTGCTGCGTTGACGTTGTCTCCTAGGGTTGTTGTCTCCCACGGCGGCGGTGGTCCAGATTGGAATTGGTTGGGCGGACAGCTTATCACCTGCAACATCGAATATGTGGGTAAGATCTCGACTTTGAGGCCATGTGGCGCAAACATATCCCTGCTGATCTCTTCTAAGAAGACCTTTGAGCGTTTGGAGCTCATACCGCTGCTTGCAGCTTTCGATGCCATCTTAACTGCCTTCCCGATCATGTGGCCGTGAGGACCGCCGAAAGCTGATAAGCCCATACCAACGTGAGTGGCTGACTCCAATGCCGGGTTGGCGATGAAGCTCTCATTGAGACCATCAACAAAGGCAAGGAATGAAGTTTCAGGAATACCGTAGGCGGTGAGAGCTGGAGGGTAGGCTCGTACAAAAGGACTATTGTACTTGCCGCCAAAGAGGCTGTGGCTGATTTGCGGTAAGACGCAGGGTAGTGCCCTCTCGTCAATTTGTCGTGGTATGTGTGACATTGTGACGAATCAGATTAGAAGCGAGAATGATTGCTCAGTCTCTCATGAGCTGTTCCACCTACATTATATATCAGAGAGCTTCGTGTGTTGGAGAACCACTCTTCATCATGGACTGCATGAAGGATTCTTGAGAAGATGGTGGCTGAGCGGGGTACAAAGATCTACATCCTGAAAACAGTATGCTTTGCGCTCTGGAAGATAAGCAGCAAGGTGACGAAGGAGGCAGGGTCAGCTTGACGTTTGACCTTATCCTGCAAGAAAGACAGATGGGCGAAGATGAGCAGCACGTGGACCCACAGTCAAGCCTTGCTGCCCAGAGATTCAAGCTTCTCCGGCGTCGCTATGGGGGCGCGCAGCATACCCAAACAAGTATACCATCGACGGTACGCCTTGTGCCATACTGGGAGATCGCAGCTGATACACGTCGGCTGGAGATTGACATGAGAAGCAAGAGACAACGAAAAGCTTTCGTTGCAATGATTCTGTCCATAATGCGCCACCCCGACTCGTTTATCAGCTGCCGTCCGCCCCACGTAATATGGGCAGATTCTCCTTCAGTCACCAGCAGCAAGGCCAGATGAGTAATGGAAAAGATTTGGTCGATAGACATTGTGAATACCTATGCTTTATTGAGGTCAGCAACGATTCGAGAAAGATGCTAATAGATGTGATGTGCAAAGAGCAAAGTCAAATCGATATCAGATCAATGCCAGTGTCAATGGCGGTTTCGTCAATGTCCAACTTGTGGCTACGTAGACCGTCGTGATAAATAGAATAAATCATCATTGAAGTGACGATGCTCTTGGAGTGAAGGGTGTTAGAAGTGTTGAAGGCTTACCTGGAAGCAAGGGCACATGCGCAGACACGGTCGACTGAGATGATAGGGCACTGCAAGGTCTTTTCGAAGTCAGCAACAATGTCGCAAAGAAGACTTTGAACGAAGATGGGAAAAGAATGGTGGATCAGACAAGACATTCTCTGCAGTACTACCGGTCAAGGTAATTCGGACATATGCTTGTCATTGTGTTTGTTTTGAATCATCATGTGAGGTGAAGGGAATGTGATGAGAGCGAGGACTTACGATACCATCCGGTGCGAACCATCGAAAGATTGAGGTGTTCAACCCAAGACGAAAGATCTAAAGCTCAATTGTTAGTCACTGATTGAAAAGTGCAATGATCAACAAGAGTGTGATGGAATGTGCATATATTCAGTTAGGCATGAATGGTATTAAATAAAAGGTTGTCTGCATGGATAACTCCGATCAGACTCGTCATCTAGGTGTTCATCATATGACGGCCACAAAGTGTGAAGAGAGAAACAAGGAAAAGCAGATTTTGCATACCATTTGATATTTGTTTGGGTCCAATTGACATGCATATTCCAGCAATGTCAAGATGGAGAATAGTGTTACAAAAGGCAAGCCCTCTTTATCATACATGTCAGCCCAAGCTCTTGAACACTGGTTGATGACAAGGATGATTGTGTTGTCGATAATCAGTGGACGAGGTTTTCTAGGCCTGTCACAGCGTTGGCATATCTTGCTCATTTGGTTTGTAGTCGGAGCCCAGTGCCGCTTCATCACAAGAGAGGGGTGGTGTTGGTGGAAGAGTGCGGTGTTTACCTATCAATCAACAATGTCAGTGAAGGTTCAGAGAAGAGCTTGTGAAAAGTTGAGATGTATGTGTAAGACTCAGAAATAGCCATTTGATATCGGCACCGCCCCGAAGGGCTTGGTCGGTAATTTCCAGCGTATATAAACGTTCAATTGTTCATCAGAAAGGGGGAGGGGTGTTGTGAAATAGGTAGAAAGAAGGCGCATACCTTTTGCGATGAAGTCTCTTCAGTCGTCAATTTTAAACGCGCTGAAAAGACCGGAACCGTACACCTAGTAAAAGGGACGGCAGAGTGCAAGATGCGCAATGGGCGCAAGCGAGCGGAGTGTTGAGCAACGCGTCGAGCCTGGCATCTGTTTTCAATCAGTCTTGTGCGCTTTCATAGAGGTAGAAGCGAAGAAAGATGAATTGTTTGTTGTGAGTTCAGACTGACGTGCTTGCAAATGCGGTTTCAGTTCTCCGAAGAGATCAAAGACTCTAGTTTGATTGCGGTATTGCGGTTTCATCAGGTTGGGAGGGAAGGTGCAGAAAGAGTGCGCTTACCATTTGAATTGAGGCAGCAGCATCAGGCAGCTGTTTTGCGCGCGCTGATGCTGCTGTTGTAGGAGAGGAGGAAGTTTTCGTAGAAAAGAGGTCTGGTTTTGTAGCGCAAGCTTGCGCAGAAGATTTTGAGCGGAGAAGGTCTGAGCGGCTTTTCTTAGTAAGCGAGTCAGCCTTGGCGTGAACTAACTCGCTTTGGGACACCTCTCACTCTCTGTTCACCGAGGGATTGTGGCAGAAGACATGCATACAGTTGCAATCTATATCCAGCCAATGTAATTTGCTTGTCTTCATGGTGGCTTGTCTCTAATCACCAATAGTCCTTCATCCTTTACCGATGGTAGCTAAACTGGACACCGAGCTGGAAGGATTATCGTACGAGCCAGGTAGATAAATCAGGCTCCGACATAGTATGTACCCGAGACCACGAATATTACAAGTACATCCATCGTGCCATTGATTTCTGTGAGCCCGTCTTTCTATCTCATCTCGACTACACAAGTTCGTTGTATACACGATGTCGCTTCCCAAGCAATGCTGCGCCGGCGGCTCTCTACACACTGGCACTCCGACTGGCACAATCACCAAGCTCCATGGCCTTGACGTCTATATCGCCTCACCTCCATCCAACCAACCACCGAAAGGTATCGTCGTGATCCTGCCCGATATCTTCGGCTGGACACTTCCAAATACCCGCATCCTAGCCGACAACTTTGCTGCAAAAGGCAATTTCCTAGTCATGCTACCAGACTTTATGAACGGCAATGTGTTTCCTCACGACCTGATCATTAGTATCAAAGCACTGGATGCTACTGGCCCGTTCGCTTGGTTTACCAAAGCATATCACTTTCTCAAGCTCGTCTGGCGTGGGTGGCCATTCCTCAAGAACGACAAGGCACGTCTCGTCCGTCCACGTGTGCTGAAATTCTTCCGGAGATTACAACATTCGCATCCCGAACTCCCCGTCGGCGCAGCAGGGTATTGCTGGGGCGGTCAATGGGTCGTCGATCTATGTACGGAACGAGATGATGATAGTCCGGAAGCAGTCAAACCTTTTGTGGTTTGTGGGTTCACAGCTCATCCATCGCGGCTGAAGCTGCCCACTGACATCGAACCTGTTACCTATCCTCTTTCCATTGCGGCTGCTGGGATTGATCAGCAGATCCCTGTTGCAAAAGCAAAGCAGATCGAGGATATTCTGAAGGCCAAGAGCGCAAAGACGAAGGACCGTGGTGTTGAGCATGAATTTGTTTTGTACGAGGGCGTGCACCATGGGTTTGCTGTCAGAGCAGACGAGAACGAAGGACACGAAAGAGAGTGTGGAAAGCAGGCAGAAGACCAAGCTATCCGGTGGTTCACGAAATGGTTCGAGCGTGTTGATGAGGGCCATCGTTCAATGTGAACCTTCTGAAACGAGGGTTGGGTCAACTTGGGTAGTGTGGGATGGGTAGAAGGCAGCAAAGTGAGCACTTCGATTAACGATAAATCTATTAATGTGTCAACCTTGATTTGGGAGAGCAAAAGGCGACATGTATTTGGTCATGTTACTGAGTTCCTGGGACCCGCCGACTGTGTACTCTGGCTAGAGGACGACAAGGTTTCGATGAAGACAGAGAAAGAGCATAAGAAGAATTGAAGGAACTGGTTTCGTTCTGTGCTATTATACAGTATTATTCAACCATAAGCATGGCCACATCTCAACTCCAGTCGTTCACGGTGTGGAGGCGCCCTCATGGATGGCGTCAGACACGAACAGAGCTGAAGTACAGCATTCGTAAGGTCAAGTATTCCAGGCGAGTCTGTCGGAGACGATGAAGAAGGGTATGAAATGGTAGCGCATGGCTGCAGGTAGTCGAAGTCGGCGCTCAATGGCTAGCATGGCGTGACTTGAGGGTATCGCGAAAGATGAAGAAGAAAGCAAAGTGAAATCGTTGCGCCGGGATCATGATGTAAGCCGCTAGGGGCTACCGTCGACCATCTTAATACTTAAGAATGATGTAGCTAGAGAACATGTCAGCGGTTGCACGGCGCGTATGCCAGAAGAGAGCGGGTGACGTACAGGGCGTGGATGATGCCGGGAATGTAACCAAGGATGGTCAACAGGATGTTGATGAGGAGGTCAGCACCGCAGCCGCGCTCGAGGAAGACACCAAGAGGAGGGAGGATGATGGCGATGATGATCTTAATGATGTCGCTGAGAAGGAAGTCAGCACGCGTCGTCGCTTGTGTTTCTCGAAGGCCCTCATGAGCTGACTGGAGCTTGCAGCAGGGCTTGAAGAGGAAAAGAGGCGACTCACGATCCGGTGAAAGGCATGCTGGCGGTATTGGGCTGAAAGTCTTGTAGTTGTTGTTGGTTGGTAGTAGTAGAAGAGGTGTGGCTGTTGAAGTGGATGTGGATTGCAAGAGCAGTGAGTCTTCAGGGCAGGCAGCGTTTATGTACGCCCACCTCGTCCACCCACGCAACACAGGAATTAAACGCTCGATGCACAGTTACGTCACGCATCCTGCCAAGCAAGGAAGTCACCACAACTGGAAATCTGACGTCCATCCTGACTAGCTATCAATTACGCATTATTGCTCGAGACTTGTCTACCCATCGAGATCAAGTTCTTCTTGACTATCTGTCGTCTATCTATCGCATCAACGTGCCGTGTTGTGGAAACAACAGAAGACATGTACATGCAAGGGGAAATTGGAAAGCGCGCGTTCTTGCTTCTATTTCCGACCCTTCTTTTTGCCAAAGCTCCAGCCACTTCGGCTTCGATTATTCCTTCTCTCCGTACACCAAATTCGCCGACGGATCCTGAGGTGCCGGCCAAGGCCATCAGGCAGGTATTCGACTCCGAGGACACCGCAATGCCAATATTTGGCCGCGTGTCTTTTCAATGCCATGGCTCGTAAGGCTGGCCCTAATCGCCTACAATGCTCTCCAGTCTCCACCACCTTGTAGAACGGAGAGAAGAGCCGCATGGCACGAACCCAGCCACAACTGCGCCAGACATGCGCCACAACACGTCAGCGAGCGACATGATCTTCATACACCCATCATCATGCTGCTCATGACGACGAGATTTGTCCAACAATCTATCGATCCTGTACTGTAACCTCACTTTGCTCGTTTCGAGCATGTCTGCATTACCGTGCTGACTGCTGTCGTGACTGAATGTGATTCTGGCATTGGCCATGCCTTTGCGAAACTGCTCATCTCCGAGGTAAGTTGCTGAGGTCATGTAGATGCTTTACAGCATTCACGCCGTCAAATGCAGGGTTACGAGGTCATCGCAACAGACTACATCGTGGGCGATGGTCTCAAAAGCCTCGAGTGTCGGCATGCTCAGCTCAACATTCGGTCTCCCGAATCCATCTCAAACTTCGTCTCATCACTGTCCGGTCAGCCAATCGACATGCTCCTCAACGTCGCTGGAACTATGGCTCGACATGAAGACGATGCTCTCGGGTCTGTCAACAAAGCTACATTGACACGCATTTTCGAGACGAACACTTTTGGACCTCTTCTACTCACCCAAGCACTACTACCGAACCTCCTAGATGCCTCTGGTGCAATGATCGGCATCGTTTCTTCGCGCGTAGGTTCTATTGCCGACAGCTCTACAGGCGGCATTTATGCCTATCGTGCTTCCAAAGCTGCCGTCAATTCAATCGGAAAGAGTCTGGCCATGGATCTCAAGGACAAAGGTGTTGTTGTGTCTCTACTACATCCGGGAATCTTCAAGACTGGTCTGTATTCCACTGATGCGGATACAGCTGAAGCCATTATGCCGGATGAGGCTGCTACTAAGCTCTGGAAAGTCTGGAAGTCCAAAGATATGGAAGATACAGGCAAGTTTTGGCATCGTGAAGGACAGGAATTGCCTTGGTAGCCTTATACACTACAATCACGACTTCTTTTACCCCAATCTCAATAAAGACCAGCCAGCGCCACGTTTGCCAGCAAACAGTCTCTAGGCAATTTGTCTGGAGCGAACAGTCGCTAGTTTATCTGTCAAGTGACAGCCAATTGACTGCCAATCACGCGCGCATTCACGGCTTTGAGAGTCACACGCTTGTATATAATGCGTCTACGACGTTCCACTATTCTACTCAAACCAACAAGACCCGCATCGCTTGCAGAGCCTAAAATGAACCCGATCGACGCTGTGGCTTTGTTACGCTTTGTTGTTTGTAGGAGACCGGTCTTGCACCTTTCGCGAACGAGGTCTCGAACGACATATCTTATGCTCGTGGGCTTCGCTACGTGGGTTTCGCTTAAGATGATTGTTATGAAGCAATGCACAAAGAGAAGATTTCCTTGCTATGGGTGCAGGCGTAGGCTTTTGATAGTCAGCTTCCATCAAAGCGCCTACTATTCTTTTCAACACAGACTAGAAGAGACATCGCATATCCTAGGCGATATCTGCCTTATCGGTCCCTCCGCCTGGTCTTGAATGCATGTAGAAATCTGTCTCTTTTCGGGGATCAGGACCGTGGAAGATCCCTCGTCTCAGGTCGAAAACCCTGGCAAACCAAGTTGTGTCTGAATGGATGCAGAGTTTCACTCAATGCACGACAATTGCTTCGGGAGACCTCTTAACACGAATGAAAGACGGAAAATTCATCTCGCGTGTCACAATACCGTGCGATCTTTTCGTCGTCTCTCATTGTCGTTCTTGCTCAAACACTTCAACACACCAAACTCTTCTCATTCCCATCCTCTACTCCCACCCTTGATCTCTTTCGATTCGAATTTGATAAACGCGCCAGTAACCGTAATCTCGACCAGTTGCATCCGCACTTGCAGTCACCAAAGAACCCCGGTCGCAGTCGCGATTGTTGCAGGCACTACCAAACTTCACGACACAGCAAGACTCCTCTCTCTCTTCCACTCCACTTCTTCACCGCCTCATCTCTTTATTTCCTTCTACCACCAACACAAATCGTTGCCATAGTACTCTGGCAGTACTGTGAGACACCCAACCTCTACCGCCAACACCCAAAACGCAAAGATCTCACACTTTCGACTGCACTAGGTGACGTTAAGCGCCAGAGAACGGCTCAGGTCAGTCCGCAGAGCACCAGTACTCCAATATCAAAACTAATCATGTCGTCGCATAGGCTACCAGAAAAAGATGGCTGTCGTCGATAGTCCTGGTGATCCAAAGAACCCGCGTAGTTTCATGTTGTGTCATGGAAACGAGAACAAGGTCGCCGCATACCTCGGCTTCACCATGATGACCCAACTTCGCCACTTTGTGGTATCGTGGCCTTGTCTACGCGCCTACACAGCTTATTCCAAGATTGCCAAAAACCTTAGTCTAGACGGGGCTATGGTTCACCTCCGCGGCCACCAGAACTTCTCTGGGATTGCCGATCCGGAGAAGGCATTCCCATTCATGCAGAACGATACGGAAATGGCCAAGAAGACTGTGAAGAGCAAGCGCCTTGCTGCCATTCTTCGCCGAATGCAAGAAGAGATCATCGTCTTGCCTACCTTGCTTCCTGGAGAAAACACCACGCGCCAGGCTGACGCTATCACTCAATTCAACAGTACTGTCGGGCTTGACAAGTACGCTACTATAGAGCCTATGGAGCTTGTCATGCCTAGGCTACACCACGAGGCAGGAGGAGAAGACGACATTGAGGCGGTCAACCGATGTTGGAACGTATTGCGCTACATGCGCCATGCGAGTCACGGCAAGGGCTTCGAAAAGAAGTTCAGCGAGCCCCAGATTTCCCGCAAGACCACAGTCAAGCTGGAGCACACTCCAACCTGGATGCGGCCCAAGAAGGCCACCACTGCAGATGCTATCCAGAAGTCTGCCACAGTCGCAAGAGCCGATAACCTCTCAAAGAAGTCTTTCAAACTCCTTCTGGATCCCAGACTACATGTTCCAGACATTGAAGAAGACCTTCAGTCGAGAATCGACGATATCGCTTCCACCGTGGCGACGACGGCTTCAGTGGTAACGGATCCAAGGACATCGAATCAGAATCCGATCCTGCTGCTCGCTCCGACAATGGTCGCGAAAAGATGCTGGAGTGCTATGGCTGGTGATCGCTTCATTGGAAGAACTCCTCTCCGGGCAGAAAAAGAGTGCTATAGACAGCGAAGCTGCAACCCGTAGAACAAATCATACGACCACTTTGGTGTATAAATCCTATGTACTCGTTGAATTTACACTTCCTCCTTATACATCCCCCTCGCTTGTTCTGTTAAGTTTTAGACAAATTGCGAAAAGGAAGGAGCAGAATCAAGGGAAGCGAAGGAATCTTGGGCTTGTCGGATGGATCCTTTCGCTGCAACGCCATCCTTCGTTTCGTTTTGATAGTGTTGGTTCATCCTTCCCCGATCCTTGCATGCGTCTCTGGTGTTGGTGTTTTGTATAAATGTTTAGACTCTACTTGATGATTAATATCGATCATGAACATTATATGCTCAAATTTGCTTCTAGAGAAGGTAGATGGGTACTATAAGAGCAAGCTGCGAATAATAGGGTAGCAAGCGATCAAAGTGCGTGCTACGGAACATATACAATTACAAATTATGCAGAAGTGGAAAAGTGTGTCTTCGTGTTCAGGCATCGCCCAAGACAGCCACAAAGTCGTACAGCAGAATAAAAATGTATAAAGAAGTGAGATAAGCTGATGCTCATACCGGGCGAACCTCATGTCGCTAGCCTCCTTAGTCATCCGTCTCTCGGAGAATTAGTAATGTTGCTCCTCAAACCCTCTTCCCTGCCCACTTTCAAATACCCGTAACCATTTGTCATCTTTCACCCTTCTTCCTCTCCCGATCAACCTCGTTGTCCTCGGCAATACGACTAGTTCGGAGCTCGATTCTGACAAAATAATGCGGATGTTGAGAGTTTCATCCTGCACGAGGTGTTGCCTGCACTGCGCCTCAGGCCAAGACTAGTCTTGCAGGATTGCGGCTCTCAGTCTCCGTCCGAAATGCGATTTTAAGCGTGGTACTGGATGACTTGGGTGTTCCGTGACCGGTGATTATGTATTGATGATGACGATTCAAAGATTCATCCGAGTTCGAGGAGATCGTGTTGTGAGAATAGTAGGTCCTAAGTCGGTCGTGTTTTTGTCGTAGCTCTTCTGTTGTATACTGATCTCGTTCATCCTGTCCCATTCGGACGCCAGCGAGGAATTTGTACAGTTTGTGTTGCTGCGCGTTGTTCTGCGAGTTGCTCTGCAAGGCGCTTGATCTGTTCCTTCATCTCGTTGATCTCGGCCCGTTGGTTCTCGCCCATGCCCCTCAATTCCGCGTTTTCGAGTCGCAACTTCTTCAGCTGTGTTCTGACGTCCTCTTCCGGCACGTCCTCAGTTAGGCTTACGATACTCGTGCGCTTACGCTTTGTCAATCGGTTGTCGTCGTCAGAATCGTGATCTGATGGTACAGTTCTGGGCGTGAGAGCGTCCTGGGCAGCAGCTTCTATACTTTCTACATCTTGCAGCTTGTGCACCCTGCGTAGATGCTCCTGCAGATTCTCGCGTCGTGTAAAGCCCTGTTCGGTGTGTCGCTTGCAGTGCTTGATAGGGCAGAAGAGTTGTTCTTTGGGCCCGCCGTGCATGCCGTGAACCTCACGCTCGTGACGCAAGAGGCCACCTGAGTAGGTGAATCCTAGCAACTTGGCGCATTGCGGTTTGTCGCACTTGTATGGTCGTTCATGCTTGTCCATGTGTTTGCTGNNTATGATGAGTTAGCATGATGTGTTGGAAGTTCGGAGTCGGGTTTCATCTTGATTGGCGGAGCGGGACACTTGGGCGTGCTTTTGGGCCGCAGCACAAGATTTTGATATGACGGCCCAGGTTGGCCGGTGACTGAGGCAGAAATGCACGCTTGAAGAAGCAAACAAAACAAAAGAAATAGGCACTTACTTCCACTCGCATTTGCGGTCAAAGATTTGATGACAATTCTGACATTCGAACTTTCCGGCATCGTTATGTTTGGGTGCAGTCCGGCGATGGTTCAAAGGCTTGAAGCTTGAAGGAGAGAAAACGACTGAACTGCTCCTTCTCTCGTCTTCTCCGTTCTTGATCTGAGATAGGTCTTGTGATACCGAGTCACTTGCGGGACTCGAAGATTTTGCAGGCGACATTAGAGGCGACTCGTTTTCAGATTTCAGATTTGCCTCAGAAATCGTCATGGTAGACATCCAGTGTGGTTCGGTGTAGAATGGTTGGTTGTTAATGGAGGAGGTCTGGTGGCGGAAAGAGATTTTTATGATGACTATGGAGTCTTGCGAGCGAGGAGCGATACAAACTTGATGGAAAAGTGTGAGTCAAGAAGCTAGACCAGACTTTGTATCGACGGTTGTTGAAGCCCAAGACAGAGGCGGTGGTGGCAAGAACGTGGACCTACAGATTTCGTCGGCAAGGGAAGTCACAGTCGCCAGAGACGCAGAGAAGACAGCGTTGGCCTTTCGACGAGCATCCACGTAAGTATCACGAGGCTGAGTCGAGGGTGCATTGCCGCTCCGCTTCCTATTATATGCCTTACGGCGGGTTAGCTGGAAGCCTGTCGAAGTCCGGTGCCTCGACGGCTGCCTTGTGAGCCATGCCAGACACAGGGCTGCCTCCACCACCACCACCACCACCACCACCAAAGAAAGCTTGTTGCAGACATTCTGTGGCTGTGAATGATCGCCGCTTGTGGCGTCCGCGCGGTTAACTCCGTCGGCCAACCGGACCACCCGTTAACCTATTGTCAGCTCAGGGTCCAGCGTGTCTGCGACAAGTACGCATGCCTCGTACCTGCCTGTACACAAATAATCTTGACTAAGGAAGAAACCGTCGCGCCTGAGGCAAACGCTCACAGCGAAAACGACACTGCCAAGTGTCTACTTCCCTGGTAGCGGCGACAAAGGCCATTCGACCCAAAGGGAAAGCGCAAACAGGACATGTAAGGCTGTGCACTCACCGAAACTTGCTTCTGGGCCCATCGGCTGCAAGAAAATTATTGACCCCCTGGACAACCTAGGCAAGAATAGATTGCTTGGATTTTCTTGCTGATGGCCTTTGAGGATCATCCGACAAGAATATCACAGCACTGCCAGCAGGTCGGACGCTCAAAGCCATGCTTCGCTAATCAGACATTGCAGCAGTTCGAGATCCATGTTGCGTGACCTCCCTCATGGTGAGTACGTGTTTCTTCATGGTCCGAGATCCTTGGGTTACGTCTCGCTTGGACGGTCTCGCAACAGGCGACAGAGAAGCATGCGCTTCAGGCTCGCCAATTGATACAAGACGTTGCGTCACTGACCAGCATTGCCTCCTTTGGTGTCCTCGAGCGTCAGTAAGCCTTAGCACACCGACAATCCATTGACAATACCAGAGGCCAGTGGTCCAAGAGTTCACATGATGACGGCGCAGCTATTATTGAACATGGCTACTGAGCATCGCATCAGGCATCCCGGTCTCCAGTTCATCGCACGCATCATTGTGAGTTTCGGGCATAGTGGCCTTGACCAGCGCAGTATGGAGAGATGCGTTCATGATCGCGATCCAAGAGGTAAGCAGCTGAACAATGCGAGGTGTCGAAAGGTGTTGCCTATCGGAGAGTAGAGTGTGTCGCTGCTTCTACCCGTCATACCTGAGTTCGCAATACGCCATGCAGTCGGTCCTCAGCTCTGACACTGAATACAACAAACGGCGATACCGGTAAAGAGGCGTCGTAAGCAAGACCAGAATCTCGTTGCCTTCGAGGACCATTAACGCTTTTAACTTTGTGTGATGAGGCGTCTGAGAAGGAAGATCACTCGGATGTTTTGCAAAAATGGCACTGCGCAAAGTTATATTTACTACTTAGAAGAAGGCGGCCTTTTTTCTGGTTTTTTGCTTTCAGCTCAGCACGTCAGCCGTGTGCTTGACCGGTCAACCTGAGGCATCCAAACAACTACGCCTTGCTAGAAAGGCTGCCCGCGCCTCATCTTTCAGCCCGCCACTTCTGCTCACTGCGCTTCTTGCTGACTTCTGCCGCCTTCGCTGATTTCCTGTATGAAGTACTGTGTACTTCTATCGCTGAGGGACTATCTCGCAGAATGCAGCCCGCGCCCACAGGGGCAAGGCGAGTCTTTTCACTTTCCAACTATTTCCACTAAGCACGAAAATTCTGCAACTATGGTCCGCGCGACCCCTGCCGCGGAATGTACGGCAGCATAATCAACCACCTTCCAGAAGCTGTTAGGTGCGATTGGAACTTCCTTGGCTGCATGAAGATGACTGTGGCGGTGCTGCATCAAAGCTCATGCAACCCACCACAAAGACTTTTAGGCAACAAAAAGTTCAGGCAGCGATCGGACTAATATTTATACCGCGGATGCCGCGATTCTGTGTGCTGCGCGATGAGCTGTTTTTTGCTGGCGCTGTCGTGAGGGTCATGTGTTGATTTGGTCAACATGACTATCGGCTTCTCAGCTATACTGTATTGGTTTTCAGTGTTCTGTGATAACGCACAATGAAAACACACACACAAGTATTCTTTACACTGGGAGCGTGCTCAATCGAGGCCTCTCTCCGGACACACACCAAAATCAAAGAACATCCTGCATTTTACAAGCTGCAACAGAGACCATTCTATCTGCAGGAGCGCCATCGAGGAGAAGGTTAGGGAGACCCAAGGTGTGGAACACCTGGAACCCTGCTGATGTAGTCTCACCCTATCCTTTGTAGCGGCGTCATCTTCAAGGCCGTCGGTCTTGATGTCCTACTTTGCCTTGGGCTTCTCTGCCTCAGGCTTTTGTGCATCAGATCTCTCAGCGAACTCCTCTCCCAGTTCCTGTGATGCCGAACGAGGTGCTACAAAATCAGACCACGAGTTCGAAGAATATGTTTTGGTTCGTCTGCACCGAATCCCGCAATGCCTTCGTCAGAATCGGCAACAATGGCTGGCTGCTCGCTCATAGCCAAACCGGCAACTTTCCAGCTTCAGGATATGGGAGCAGCTAGCATTGATTGAAGACAGAGATGTTGGTCCTATCATGCATTTAGGCGCTGGGTCTTTCTCACGATAAAACAGTCTTGTGATAGCATCTCCCTACATCTTCCTTTTGTACTGAAGTCATCTCTACCCTAACCCGGCCATAGAGTAGCTATGAGCAACCTTCATACAATAACTTCTTAGTAGACACTGTTTGATGTTTCCTTGGGAGAAATAGCAGATCGATATGTCGTGGAAGTTCTAGGTGATAACACATATACTATGCTATATTATGTAGAAAATAATATCAGCATAATCTCTATAAATCGATGGTTGACAACCATAATTTGGTAGTTTGACCTTGCCTTTTTACAGAATCATTGCAACACTATTACTATCGTATACATATATCAAAGTCTATGCAAAAATCAGAAATCGTTTACAATATAATATTATATCACTTGCAAGTCTATGAATCCAGATGCTATCGAGTGGTGTTGACAAGAAGTTGAAAATTACGCGTCTTACACCAAGCGGAGACTTCTGCCGAAGATGAGCAGTGGACGGGTTGACACTTTTGAATTTCTGGGAAGCTTTGACTCTCTCGGACGTCATGCCATGTCTACACAACCGTAAAACTAGAGGCCTTCCAGGGCCTCTCGGTGTGCTGAGAAAGATACCAGAAGCATATGCTTCATGTTGTGCAGAGAACAATACCAGAGGCGAACGAGCGCCTCCAAGCGTGCAGAGAAACAAGAAATCGACCCTTCCACCTCCTTCGCAAGACACGATCTTCTCGATGCGCCAAATAGCCGTTCAATACCGTAGCCGCCGTCTCTAGCCCCCCGTGGTCACGGTACTGCCCAACTCACAAGAGCATGGAAGGCACGGTCAGAGTACTCTGGGAGGCGACATGTGGTGAGCGACCATGGCTGCCTGCAGTTGCTTACTCGTTGCGTGACAAGCCCTCGAGTTGCTGAGTCAAGAGGTCTTTGACCAAGCTCGTCTTGAGATATTTGCGCCACTGTTTGAGAGCAGCATAGGATGGGTCTGTTCGCTCCAAACGTCCTTCGCTAAACGCCAGGATGTCGTCCGACACGACAAGCCCGTAATGGCCGTACTGGTGTTTGTTCGGACAAAGTGTCGTCAAGATGTTCTTCACATGAATGAAGATGGCGAAAGCATGCCCTGTCGATTCGTGGACGTCCTTGACGTACGCAACTATGCGTTCCCAGCTGCTCCCTAACGAATCATGACCAACCAAGAGAAGTGCCAACTGCGACTTCAGCTTCTCGGCCAAGTCGATCTGACCTGTCAAATGCCTGGTAAATAACTCGGCAGTACTTTGCGAGCGAATCTTGCGGTCCAGAGCCTTTTGTTGTCGTAGTCTGGGAACACGAAGCCATAACGCGACGTCTCAATCTCCTGTTTAACGTCATGCCAGAGAGTGGGAGTCAGGCTGCTTCTCGTGTTGTAATCGCGAATCAAGACTGATTGCCTTTCAGGAGGAAAAATTATGTTGGGGAAGGATTCTTGCAGACCGACGAGAAGGTCCCGGACATGCTTCACGTCACTTGTGAGGCTTCTCGTGGTGGACGAGTTGTAGCGGATCACGCATACCAGTCGACCTGTCTCATGCGGATCTCCATTATCTGCATGGTTCTTAAGGATCGACCTGGCCTCGTGTTGTGAGGTAAGGACGTCTTCGACCTCGCGTAATCTCACGAACTTGCCGGCACTTGGGTTGAATGGCCGTGGTGATCGTGCAAGACTCGTCGTGACCAGCTTGGGCCATGACAGAGGTACGGTCCTGACGATCGCGCCACCTCTGGGAGATGACTTCATGATCTTGAGGATACACTGGAGTGCGTACCTCTTGTACTGCGCATGAGCCTCCAGTTCCTCGCTGCTTGGGCCTCGATGCATCCTGTGCCCAGGGCTGATGATAGTTTCAGGATGTGGCATACGTGCCTCCAACTTGTATCGAGGTGAAAGAACATCGAATTTGCGATTCTCGGGTGGGTACGGCAAATTGAGTGGGGTTTCGACTTCTGATGACCAATTGGCGCCTTGAATGACTGATGGACTCTCGCAGTACTGTATGCCATCCCCGCTCGAGCTAGTTCTGGCGTCTCTGTTGACAGCTTCTCCCATTCCTCCAAAAGGTAAGTCGCCAAGGTGAAAGACTCCCTGGCCGCGGGAATATTGTCATTGCCCAATGACTCCGCCACGTTTTCCATGATACTCCAGTACGCCATCTCTGTGCCGTTGAGGCAAAACTGACGCTTTCGCTTGCAATAAAAACTTTCCTCGGCCCATTTCTTCTTACTCTTGGGATTTGTGCCGGGATATCTGTCAAAAGGTGTCTCGCCCGGGCCTGTATTGCCCTGTTCATAAACTCGCGGTTGGATTCGTCTACCGCAGTCTGTTGAAGGGCGTCTTGGTTCTTGGATTGCTGCGGACCATGATTCTCGGAATCGGCCATAGGCTCAGGTTCAATTTGACCGGGGACAGGTTGAGGTTCGTCGGTGTTAGGAGGTGCAGGCTGGGCCGTATTGCTGACGACAGGAGCTGGCAGCTCACTCTGCGCATTCAACAACTCACGCGTGGTTGGTGGTCTCCTTCTTGGGGTTTCCGCCATGGCTCAGGGTTCAAAGTACTGTGGCGGTACGCTTGTACGGAGCCCTGTAGTACTGTGGTGGTAGGCTTGTGTGAGTTTCCGGAGTACTGTGGTTCTCGATGCACTTTGATAGTACTGTGGGCGAGGAAGTATTTCGAAGTGGCCTTGATAAGTCACAACAAGCCTTTCCACGATCGCCGCATCACAATTGACGCTTCTCCACGCGCGGACTGTTTTGGTCATCACTTCTCGTTGTCTACTCACTCTTGGCACGCATTGCAAGTCCGTCTCCAGCTTCTGCACGTCTATCCTTGAACAACATTCACACTTTCGTTTTTTTTTAGCACTCATCATCAAACTGCCATCATCAAACTGCCATCATCAAACTGCCATCATCAAACTGCCATCATCAAACTGCCATCATCAATACCCATACCATGGCAGAAAAAGGAAGAGCAAGGCCAGAAAACGGCCGTAGATGAGAAGGCGCAGAAGCCAACACTTAACCCGGCGCAAGTGGTCAAGTTTCTGAACAACGAGCCGTACTTTCCCTCGCCTCTCGTGGTCACGCCCAAAGTGCTGCAAATGTGGCTCAAGGCCATGGCACCCGACACATCGAACCAGACCCGCAAGGACGTGGTGGTAGAGGTGCTCGCTGGCCCTCAGGCTACATCGTATGCCATCCTCAATGAAACACTCTGGCCAACCATTGACTGACGCGCATTTGCTTTACAGTGACCCGCCTGTTACACGTGCCCAGTGCGAGGAGCACATCAAGCGCAACGGCGCAGACGAGACAGAACCCGTTTTCGTGAACTCGTGGTCTGACTTTGTGGCACCTCATTCGGGACTACAAGGATTGGGAGAGGCAGAGAAGCCAGAGGCAAAGCAGAACATCAAGAACGACGGCCATAAAGATGACGCCGCTGCCAAGAATAGTAAGTTGTCTACCATCAAACCCCCCTACCGCTTGGCTGCTCAGGCTCACCACCTAACTATCTTGTGCTCGCAAACAATGCTGACACTTTGCAGATACCAACTCCCGTCGTCGTCATCAACAACAGTCCAGCCCATGCTCCTCAACGCCTGAAGGACTCTGCCAATCTCGATGACTTTGCCAATTTCGGGAACGAGGACGACGTTTGCGACGTCGACGGATCAAAGCCATGGGCGCTCCAGTCTCCAGGGACTGCCGAGTCACGAACTGTTCTTAGGCTTCTTGAAAGAAGCGTGCTATGGAAGCTGATCGCTGGGTGCCCGAATCCACAAAGGCACCACAACCTACAAATGTGTCAGCATCACCAAAGGCTGCGAAGACTCAGGAGGAGGTTCAACAGCTTCCTCAATCGAACAATGGTCCGGGATCCGATCGCCGTCTTGTGCACCGTGGTGCTCAATTGGCACCAAGGTGAGGTCACAAAGCATCGCTGATTTGCTCCAAACCCGCCAGAAGCCCTTTGCCAATACCGGCGGCATCAAAGCCGCGTCGGTTCCGTTGTTCGCCGCAAAGACTTGGACTACGAAGGACGAAATACGCCACAACCAACTCGCCAAGGATGTCAAGGACCTGAAGGCTCAGCTTCAGCTAAAGAAAATGATGCTCGATGCCTCAACTGCTCGCAGGGATGCGGCTCGTAAGCCAGCTTCAGCACCCCGTCAAGAGCATCGATTCCAGGCACAGCTTCCATCATCGAAGTTTGTTGTTTTCGCACATGTGTTTCACTGTGCGTAAGGACAGCCAAGGACCAAGGTGCACCAAAGCACGTGTACATCATGCACACGACGGTTGCTTGGATGACTCCCATGCCCATTGTCGTATCCACAGATAGCTAACCAAACTGTCCTGTTTTCTGATAGCATTATGCATTTATGCAGCCACACGCATTACATACTTTTGCACGTGGGGAGGTCGGTTGTACCGTGTATTCAGGCGCCGATTCTTGCTCACGATGCAACAGTCTTCTGATAGTATCTCCCTACAGACAAAATGAATGTAGTGTCAAAGCACCGGCTCGCTTGTGTCAAAGCCCTCGGCTCGCTTGTGTCTAAGCCTGCACCCACTACTATCTGGCTATGAATCACGAAAAGACACGTCACTTCCCGCGAAGAGGTATAGTGATATTTCATCCTATGAAAATGCACAATACTTTTGAGGAGTGGATGCTGTCCACGGAGAGACTATCTTCTCAGAGTATCTCTGTGGCCATGCTTTGGATGTGAAAAGCATTGTGCATCTTAACAGCTGCGCCGTGACCGTCTTCAGTATATGGGGGAGTCAGAGCGCCGACAAGAAGGGCTGCTGACAGTGCAAGGAGTCTCGGTCGCGTGTTGGAGACCACACTCCCTTCTTTGATTGTACCTGGTTTTGAGTGAAATCTCACAACTCTCAGAGCTGAGACCGCTTCAAGAAAGAATCGTGTATCGCGACCGGTATGTTTCGAGTGGGCAAAAGGATGGAAAGGTGAAGTTGGGAGCGGGAAGGTCCTTCCTCGAGCATCGCCACATTGCCGAGTTCTTCTTCCGCTGGTGACACTCCCAAACGCAGGACCAGTGAGCGGGTCCAGAAGAGAAAGGCAGAAGAGGCCGCGTCTGATGAGCCCACCTCGAAGAGATCCAAGGCGGATGCCCAACAAGGATCATCTGACAACGGCGACTTGGGCTACCAGAATTCTGGGGAGTCAACTACGATCCCTCCCGACGATGGGTATAGGGATGTGCCTCGAACAGCCGAGCAGATTAAGAATGGCAACCGTAACGCCGCCCTCGCCCGCTTCAAGTGTCCCATGGACGGATGCACGCTGGTTTTCCGCAAGGATGCCACCGAAAGGACCACTGTGGTACAGCATGTTCTGAAACAGCATGCGAAAGAGCTGTACCATCAGAAGAAGCATGTTTGCAACTTTGGTTGCAAGACAGGCCACCTGGACCTGTACTATTTGCGGAAACACAATAGCAGCAGGACGTGCAAGGGCAAGAATGCTTGGGACCAAGACAAGAAGGTGCGATTCACGTGTGTCTGGAAAGGCTGCAACAAGGACTCCAGCTTGTCTGGTTACTCTAAGCACTGGAATGCCGCCCATGCGCGCCGTTTAAGAGCGGCAGATTCGCAAAGTATACCTGCCAGCTCTGCAGGCACAGCTTCCCTCACAGAAGCCTGTTCTTTTCGCACATGTGCTCCACTGTGCGTAAGGACACTCGAGGTGCGCCGAAGCACGTGTACACCATGTACAGGGGGGCGAGTGGATGACGCCAATCTCCATCGTTTTCCATCGACGCAGGACAAGAAGTCACTGTTAGTGACGACGAGGAGGAGGGACGACAGCGGCGATGAGGAGGCTGAGAAGTGCGATGCACATGTAGCTCTTCTCCACCTTGATATTCCAGCGGAACACACACTATCAAAATGCACGATTGCGTTTTCATTCCAAGTCTGGCCATAGAGATGGCCTCTAACGGGGTCTATTCCGTTGGACCGGCGCTCTCTGCGAAGTTACCATGCATTCTGATAGTTACACTGTGACAGTCTTTGGCACATGGGGAGGAAATAGGAATGAGGAAATGATTCGTTGCACAAAAACCTATCTAAACTAATGTATTAAAGCTGTCTGAACCAGAGAATTGCTACCCATGCTCATCATCATATATGCGCGTATAGCCTTTTTTCTTTCTTTCTCGTGTTGTGTTCCGTAATTACATAATTTAACGCCGTGGTAAATGCCAAAGATAAACAAAGGAAATGATATATGATATGATTTGGTGCTTCGATCGAATACCCTGTGAGTGGCTCTAGCTGAGACGAGCAACCTAGAAACCAAGAATACCACCGGAACCAGAAGAGCCAGTTGAGGTGGCCTTGACTGGAGTAGAAGAAGCCGATGTTCTGGTGACCAGGGTGGTAGGGGTAGCGCTGGTTGCCGATTTGGCACCAAGTGCATTACCCAGGCCAGAGCCAAGGTTGTTAACACCAGTGCCGACGCTTCCTGTGATACCATCGACTGTGTTGCCCACTCCAGTTGCCACGGAACCGGCTGCTGTGTTAACACCCGAAGCGGCTCCACCGACAACCTGAGTGGCGGCCGATCCGGTATCAACAAGAATGGTCGAAGCAGCCGATCCAGCGGTGGCCACAAGAGTTGCAGCGTCAGACACCACCGAGGGAATTACAGAAGTGGCTGCGGAAGCGATCTGGCTGACGGCGGTGGCTGCAGAATCGGCCACATTAGTAGCGATAGAGGCTGCTGCACTGGCACCCTGAGATACTCCTGAAACGATGGGCTGGACGACTGCGGTGGCGGCGGGAATATCAGACGATACGATGGTGCTAACAAGAGTCTCAACGGCACCAACAATGTTCGACACAGCAGCTCCAGCATTTCCGGCAGCCTCACCAGCCTCGGTGCTTGCGTCAGTGATGACTGGGGAGGCGGCAGATACGATAGTGGAGATAATATCACCAGAGTTGCCAATGACCGAAGTGGCAGCCGCCCCAGAATCCGAGACAATGGACACGACATCAGTGACCAGAGGAGCAAGCGAAGACACGATAGAAGAAGGCAAATCGCTACCGTTGTCCAAAATTGAGGTAGCAGCGGCTCCGGCATCAGAGACAATTGTGGGGAGGGATCCATCAATGATACTGCTTGCTGCGGCAGGAGCATCGGTGATCTGAGGAAGATCGGTAGTAACTCCGTTGACGATGCTGCTGATCAGTCCGGTAGGCTGAGAAACATCTGTGGGAAGAACCTCACTAATGATGCTGCTTGCAGCTGCAGGAAGGTCTGTGACGTCGCTCACGATGCTAGAAGCTGCAGCAGGGAGATCAGTGGCCTGAGGAAGATCGGTAGTAACTTCATTGATGATGCTGCTGACCAATCCAGTAGGCTGAGAAATATCGGTAGGGAGAACCTCGCTGATAATGCTGCTAACCAGTCCAGTAGGCTGAGAAATGTCAGTGGGAAGAGTCTCGCTGATGATGCTGCTAATCAGTCCTGTAGGCTGAGAAACGTCTGTGGGCAGAACCTCGCTAATAATGCTGCTTGCGGCTGCAGGAAGGTCGGTAACGTCGCTAACAATGCTGGAAGCTGCGGCAGGGAGATCAGTGGCCTGAGGAAGATCGGTAGTAACTTCATTGATGATGCTGCTGACCAGCCCAGTAGCCTGAGAGATGTCTGTGGGAAGAACCTCGCTGATAATGCTGCTGACTAGTCCAGTAGGCTCAGAAACATCGGTGGGAAGAACCTCGCCAATGATGCTGCTTGCGGCTGCAGGAAGGTCGGTGACATCGCTAACAATGCTAGAAGCTGCGGCAGGAAGATCGGACACCACGGTGGCGGCGATGCTAGATACTACGCTGGGGATATCGGTGATCAGAGGGAGGTCAGTCGAGATAATCTCACTGGCAATGCTGTTGGCCGCTGAGGGAAGATCGGTAACCTGGGAGACGATTTCACTGATGAAGCTGGTAGCAGCAGTAGGAAGGATAACATCAGATGTGATGTCTCCGATGATACTGGTTGCTGCAGCGGGAATATCGCTAGGTCCGGAGAGATCGGTGACCTGAGAGACAACGTCGCTCACGATGCTGCTTGCTGCAGGAAGAGGAAGATCGGTAGCGGGAAGGTCGGTGACTTGAGAAACAACCTCGCTGACAACGCTCGTAAGAGGGAAGCCGAGGGAGGCAGTGGGAAGATCAGTAGGTCCGGCAACGATCTCACTGACGATACTGGCGATAGGAAGGCCTCCGCTAGGGTCCTGAGCGGGCGAAACAGTGCTGCTTGAAGCAACGGGAGATGAGGCGGGAACTGCTGCAGAGCTTTGAGCGGCCGAGGACGAGGAGGTCGAAGAAGAGACAGGAGCCTGGGATGCTCCAATTGAGGCGCTCGCACTGGCCGAGACGGATACACCCTGGGAGGCTGCAGACGATACCTGCGAGCTAACGCTCGAAACCACAGATGAAACTTGAGAGCTGACGACTGAGTTGGCGCTAGAGATTGCAGAGCTAGCCTTCGAGACGTCAGAGGAAATCTGAGAGCTGACAACAGACTGGGCGCTGGATACGACAGAGCTCGCCTGAGAGACAGCAGAAGATGCCTTTGAGGTGATAACCGACTGGGCACTGGAAATGACGGAGCTTGCCTTCGAAATGACCGATGATGCCTGAGAGCTAACAGCAGATTGAGCACCGGAAATTGCGGAAGATGCCTGAGAGCGGATGCTAGAAGCATCACTGACAATGGCAGAAGTTGCCTGGGACGCGAAAGACGAGACTTGAGATCTGGCAGTGGAGATATCACCAGCAGCTGCAGGAAGTAGCCTGGGAGACGATGGATGAAACCTGAGACTTGACAGTCGAAGCGTCGCCACCTACTGCGGAAGTGGCTTGCGAAACGAGGGAAGAGCCCTGAGATCTGATGGTAGAGGCATCACCAGCGCCTGCAGAAATGGCCTGGGAAGCAATGGAGGTGACCTGGGATTTGATGGTGGAAGCATCACCAACGGCTACCGAGGTGGCTTGAGAGGCGAAGGACGAGACCTGGGATCTGATTGTAGATGCATCATGACCAATGACCGAGGTGACCTGCGAGACACCTGATCTGATGGTGGAGGCTTCGCCAACCACGCCAGAAGAGACCCTGGACACGACGGAGGATACTACACCCGATGCGCGACTGAAGATGGACGAGACAGCCGACTCGATAGGCTTAGAGGCAGCAAGTCCACCAGTTGCTGTGGCTGGCTTGCCGGAGATTCCTACAGAAACGCTGACGCTGATTCCGGAAGGCTTGTGGACAGAGGATGAACTGGCATGGCTCGAGCTGAGAGTAGGAGTTGGCTTGATCGAGATGACGACACCCTTGTCAGAGCTGCTACCCTTGATGATGCTGGGCAGGATCAAGCTCAAAGAAGCAGTGTGGCTAGTCTTGATTGAGGTAGAACCCTGCTTGACGTCGCTAGTAGCAGAGGAGGCGCGGCTGGCACCACGCGAGACAGAGTTGCTGGCGGACTTAGCCGAGCTGGAAGTCTTGACAGAGCTGGAAGACTTGCTTGAAGACTTGACAGAGCTGGAAGACTTGCTTGAAGACTTGGCCGAGCTGGAAGACTTGCTAGAAGACTTGACAGAGCTGGAAGACTTGGCCGAACTGCTTGCGGACTTGGAAGAGCTCTTCACAGAACTGCTGGACTTCACCGAGGCCTTGGAGCTGCTGATAGCAGGCTTGCTTGAGCTCTTTGGAGTAGGGAGCGGGATAGGAAGCTTGAAAGAGCTGCTGGACTTGACAGAGGTCTTAGCGCTGCTTGTAGAGCTTGACTTCTTTGAAGAGGACGAGCTGGACTTCTTGGACGAGGACGAGCTGGACTTCTTGCTGCTGGAAGGTGCAACAGGTGCCTTGCTGGGAGACGAAGATGCAGACTTCTTGCTGGAAGAGGATGACTTGAGCGATGCTGAAGAGGTCTTCTTGCTCGAGGCGACGGGGCTGACAGTGACAGTCGATTTCTTGATGCTGACGTGGGATGAAGATGCAGTCTTGGGCAGACTGGTCAACTTCAGAATGCTCGAGAGGGTAAGCTGCTTGGTAGAAACAGGGTTGACGACAATGGAAGCCTTGATCTGGCCGCCACTGGACACTTTGGTGCTGCTAGAAGACTTCTTCGAGCTGCTGGTGGGCACCTTGGTGCTACTGGAAGACTTCTTGACTGAAGACCCTCTTGGGATGGAGAAAGTAGCGATCGGTTTGATCGAAGTCTTGGAGGTCGAAGACGACAACTTCTTGGAGGAGGTAGAGTGCCCGGGGTGCAACAGATCGATCGTAGCCGAGATGCCAGCTGAGGCGCCGACGCCCAGAAGAGGATCTCTGGCGGCAAGGTCGATGTTATCGTCTCTCTTGTCTTGAGAGTTCAAGGGAGCTGCGAGGGATGAGAGCAGGGGCCAGAAGACCCAGGATGGCAGCTTGACCGGCCATTATGATTAGATTAATTAATGAATAAGAACTGTAAAAGAATAAAGAAGTAGCACTGGAAATAAAGTGTTGATCGTCGAGGAAGATTGTTCGCCTTGATCCTCAGAGGTTGCTGAAGCGGATGGGGAGATGAAGGACAGGACTTCATACTGCCTCTTATACTTGACGACGAGCATAAGAGGCGTCTTCTGCTATACATGGTATACCACAGAGTGTTCTGCTTCCAGCCAGTCTAGATTCTGTGTCAACCTGACAACGTCCACAATATTGGAGAAGTGGAGTAGCTGAACAAGACAATTGCCTTGCCGTTGAATATCGACCCTGGCGGTAGATGGACTATCAACCCGGGTGTTGAAAGTGATGGTGCTTGTCCAAACCCGAATGCTTGGACGGTCTAAGATGGACGACGATCATCAGGCCGGATCTTGACCACGCGATGATCTCGCACAGTCTAGAAGTCGAGCTTGCATGCTTCCAAGCACATGTTCAGCTGCCATGCTGGTTTGGGTCTGATACGTACCCAAAGCAGCACTCGACGTTTGAGTAGTTGCCGTTCAGGACGATGAGGCTGAACAGAGACAGTATGCAAAAGCTCCTTACAATGATTCAGGCCGATGTTTTCCCCTCAACGGCGAGGCGGCCCCAGGCATCAGTCCATAGGTGGTTGTGGGGGAGACTCCCTAGTAATCAGGCTTATGCTAATGTTGGCCAAGCGATCTCACAATTGAGAGGCACGGAGTGGTGACGGGGTTAGACTTGCTCAGCTCATCTTAGAGTATTCAGCATTTGATTTGCACCACTACAAGAACAAACAATAGTGCTGGTATCCAGAGGGATGGCACGCCTTCCACGATGGTCCGTCCCGATACTTCATTGAGCCCTAGAACATTCTTGTTCATGCTTGATTGCATACCCGTCCTGCAGATCTCTGGCTGTGGAGCACCACGTACCTGCAGCTTACGAGGCTTTACGAAGCTATCGCCATGGACTAACATTGATCTTGGAGATCCAGGAACGCACTGTCCAAATCGGTACTAGATGTACAATGCTACCCAGGCAAATAGGGGACAGGAGTCTGGGGTCTCAACGTCTGTCGTTTGACAAACAGTTCCGGAAGAGCTCGGTAGGAAACATCTGAGTCGTTTGCGGTTAGATTTCGAGGCCAGCTTTCCCGAATCTCATTCATAACGGCGTAAGGAGGCTTGTCCGAGGATGCCCGATCAAACATGTTCAAAACCCTCAAAGGTGTGATTGAGACGGATTTCGCATAATGCTTCCATTTTGTAGTTTACCAGGCCACCGATGTGCGAACCTGCTTGTGTCCAATCAATAGGAGACTCTTCGTGGCACAAGAAGGTGAGGTAACACTAACCAAGCATCGGAACCACATGAGAGCTGTTGTTCGCGCTGTTCGCGCTGTTCGGTAGGGTCTCCGAGTTGAAAGCTCCTGTCTGACATCTGTCAAAACATGGCGTCAAATTATTGAGCGTTGAGGACGTAGGTAGACGAGGTTACTCCAAGTAAGCTTGTCTTCTCGCCGCGATCCTAAAGACTGTGGAACGCCGTTGTGGTCAAGATTTATGGCCATTGGACGAGCTCCGCACGTTGAAGCCTGTGTTGTGGCAGCAAGACCCTCACCCCTCGCGTTGCCAACAAAAGAGCAATCCGAAAGCATCAACATCTTCCGAGGCTTCCCAATCGCTCCTTCATGGAGCTGTATCTGCACCTTCCCTTTCAGTCAAGTCAACTGGCGATTCTCGAATCCTGTCTCACGGGGCGCCTACACGTCGGCGCTATCTTCAACGTCCCTACTGACTACCTACTACTCGCTACTACACACGTTCCTGAGATGTGGATCCAGCACGAGCAATCGTTCGACAAGCTACGCACGTATCCAGCAGAGTCGCGTCTTGCTGTGGATAATAACGAAGTGTATTTTGTGGCTCCATAGCAGATTCAAAGCTACAGCTTCGCTTCTTTTGGAAGGCGCTTTACAAACACGGTTGGTTGTCGTCTCAAGCGCAGAAATCCAGCTTGAACAAGAAAGACCGAGGAGCCCGTGTAGGCAGATTCGACTCATCACGCACAAACTTCAACAAATCTCTGATGATAAGTGAGAAAGCTGCCCCGCCGGCTGGCTGCAGTCTGTTCTCAATCAAGCATCCTACTAAGTGGCACTACCCTTCAAGTAAACACGTCCGTCCTATAAGGAAAGTCTGTTTTACGAGTATTGAGTGCCAAGCCAAGATAGAGCGAACATCCCCCGCAGTTGTTTCAGCCGAAAAGCCCCCAGGAGCCGCGGCCTCAGTCAGCCCTGGTATGGCGTGTTTTCATGTAACAGGGCCTTCCTTCATGCCGACTAGAGCCCGTCGTCTGTCAATCTCGGTTGGACAAATTCATCTATGGAGTTACAGAAATAACTTCGCCCAGATCACTACCTGCTTCGCTGTTTTGCTCCGTCCGCCATGTCGCTCACTTTGGTCGCGAACCACGTCGTTTTGAGCAGCAACTCAATCCACCTACTTGTATCTAGACGTTAATCCGCGAATGCCTCCCTGGATCGACATATAAAAGTCAAAGTCATGGTAATGGCCCGAGCCTCTGAGGAACCGAGCATAAACGCACCAATCGCGAATGTAGACCTCGGGTACCTTGCATCAACAGCAAAAGTATCATCCCTCGAAGGGTTACAACGCTGAGAGAGACATCAAAGAAGAGCAGTTATTCGAAGGGGAATCCTGGAGTGATATGTGCTTACTGACCTTGAAGTGGGAAGGCTTGACCTCGGCAGTTCGTACCATTGCATTGCAAGCCTTCTGCGAGTATGCGCAATTGTAACGTTTTGTTCGGTCGGGAATGTTCGACCATCACTCTTAGCACGTTGTAGGGATGCAACCCTAGATCCTCGCTAAACCCGCACTGGCTGTCATGCAGACACCGTGCATGATGCTTCTTCGCTACCTCGGAGAATATCATCAGGATAATATACTCGACACCATACTTCGTTTCAGCCAACGCTTGATCATATCAGCCTTGATTGACAATAACCCTTTGAGAGCAGTGCTTGAGCAGCATGGAGGTAGGAAATACATAAAGGTGAGCTTCCCATCTTCAAGTGAGAAGGATCAGGCCCCATCTCACCCGCTCTCTACCGAGTCCTCTATTTGTTCTGTTCTTGTTCTTCGGTATGAAGCTTGTCACTATCCTTTCCGGAGTTGTGTCCCTGGCCGCCACGGTCTTGGCCTACTCGAATCCTCTTCCATGTAGTGGTACCTGTGGTAACGCTCACGACCCTTCTCTTATTCGCCGTACCTCTGATGGCACTTACTTCCGTTTCTCGACTGGAGGTGGTATTGCCGTCCACACTGCTTCCAGCGCTCAGGGCCCTTGGGTCTACAAGGGACAGGTCCTTCCCAATGGCGCAAATGTAGCCAACTCTGGGAAGACCGATCTGTGGGCACCTGATGTGTCCTTGGTTGGCAACACCTACTACCTCTACTACACTGCAAGCGCCTTCGGCACTCAGAACTCTGTCATTGGTCTTGCAACTTCTCCTTCCATGGATGTTGGTTCCTGGTCTGATAAGGGCGCTAGTGAGTGATCCAACATCGAGATGTAATAACAAGACTAATTCGTTCTAGCTGGCATCTCTTCCGACAGCAGCAAGTCTTACAACGCTATCGATGCCAACCTCGTCAAGGTCGGTAACCAATACCTGATGAACTTTGGCTCCTTCTGGCACGATCTCTACCAAGTCGAAATGAACACCACCNCCAACACAGTCAACTCAAGAGCCGGTCCCGCCTACAACACTATCTTCAAGCCCGCCGGCACTCACGACATCGAAGCTGCATACATGATCAACTACAACGGTGGCTACTACCTGTTCTTCAGCGAAGGCAGCTGCTGCAACCTGGACAAGAACCGCCCTGCCGCTGGCCAAGAGTACAAGATCAAGGTCTGCAGATCCAACTCTGCTACTGGTGGTTTCGTGGATCAGACTGGCAAGAGCTGTACCAATGGTGGTGGTACTCTTGTGTTGCCTTCGCATGGAAACATCTACGCTCCTGGTGGTCAAGGTGTCTATAACGATCCTGTCATGGGCTGGATCTTGTACTACCACTATGTCGACACCAACATTGGTTACGCTGATGGCCAGAAGCTGTTTGGTGTCAACAAGATTAAGTGGGTTAATGGATGGCCTACTGTCTAAGCTGGCGCTTTTTCGAATGCAATGGTATGAGCTGCAGTCTCGTGCTTGACCCCATTAATTCTTACTTCAATAATTCTCGCATATCAAATAAGAGTGCGATGAAACGTATGCATTCTTGTTTCGTTTCACCCCTCGATCCCGTGCATCATCCGAGTCTCATGTTGATAATTCGTGACCAAGATACGAGCACCGAACGTAAGTGCGAAATGCAAAGTGTGATGGTTATCTGCAAACATGTTCTATGGCTGCGAGATACCTTCCTTCGTGACGAGTTTCTGGATGGCCGTGGATGGAGTCAAACAAAAGCTGCATGATCATCAACCATGCCTACTACCGCATCGAGTCGAAAATGCGATTTTAGTGATGGACGCCCACAACACATTTACAGACGGTCCCCTATTCGATTTAAACAGCAAGTAATATTGAGACGTTTGTTTTACCTTGATCAGATGTATTTTGAGTACAAATTCAGCACCTCGTCGTTGTTAGTAGCATGATGACAATCGCGAGCAGGGTGTTATCAGCAGCATAAAAGACTTGGCATAACAGGATAATTCTTTACACTCGATCGATGCTCAATAGCATGCATATTGATCCGCTGTCAAAGCTCAGGAACCAGAGCCTAGATCATTCGTGCTTTCTGCACAGCGGTTTTGTTGACGAAATCCATCAATGACGACGACGCAATCGTGAGATCCCTTGATGGTAATGAGAAGTCTGCAGCAGCGTTGTGATACTGATGAGTATGCATTCTATAATGACCAAGCGGAAAATGCATACGTAGTACTGCGTATGGGACGTTGAGTATTGATCCCAGAAATAGTGACATGTTTACTTGTTTGCTCCACTGTCGCCCACAGAGGGTTGAAGCCGAGTTGACACATGGCGCTGCTGGTTTTCAAATCGTTTGCAATGAGAGCTGTGTCGTTCAGCCGATTGTCTGTAGAACTCTGACCATGAACAAAGTCTTGTTCTTCTCAGCTCTGTGAGTCTGACAAAGTCCAGCCCGTGAAGACGTACGAGGCTGGCGATAAACGTTATAGCCGTTGTCAAAGTTTGGCGCAGAAGATCCAAACGCTCCACGGCACAGCGCACATCTCAAAGCCACAACAACACTGTTGTTTATTCTTCCATCCACACAAGATGACTTTGTACCAGGACGAACCTGCGACAAGACATGGCTTCATACCCTGGACGTAGAAGAGACAAGGTTCAACCCAGCTTCTCTATGCTCATTTCCGCCGCGGGCCAACACGAAGAGGCTTGCCTGTCGCAGCTGGATCTGGTAGGAAGGCGCCAACGGCTACCCAATTTCCGCCTATCCAATAACGGCTATCGACTTGGATAGGCAGATTCAACACTTGGTTGACTTTTTGAGACAGTCGCGCTTTCTTTAGTAATGTGAGCCCAGCGTACAAAACCAACAGCATGGCGCCGTATCCAGCTGCTCCAACTTACAACACAGCCTTTTGCTATCTTGCATCTTGGATTGGAGCATCGCAGAGCGTTTAGCACTTGCATATCTTACAATTCATACTCTCAGTGACTGGCCTCGATGAAGCTCTCTCCATCCCTCGCAGCCCTGGCGGCATGCGCTCAACTTGGACACGCATTGGACCTCGACGTCACATCACCAGACTCTATTCGCAGTGCAGCATCAACACTCGCACATGGCCTTATGAACTATTACCAGAACAACAAGACCGACACACCAAAAGAGTCGATTGGCACATTACCTTGGCCTCTGTATTGGTGGGAGGCTGGCGCTGTCTGGGGCGGTCTCATTGATTACTGGGCCTACACCAACGACACAAGCTTCAACGATGTTGTCATGCAGGCCATGATGGCACAGACTGGCACGGACAACAACTTCCTTCCCGAAGCATACTACAGCAGCATGGTGAGTACACTGGCTGTACAACAACTCTACGAGCAGATCACTGACTTTAACTTAGNNGGTAACGACGACCAAGCCTTCTGGGCATATGCCGCCCTCTCAGCCATGGAGTATGGCTTCCCCGACCCTCCCGAGGGTTCACCATCTTGGGAGACACTCGCCACAAATGCCTTCGACTCGATGGCCCCACGCTGGGATACTACAACATGCAATGGTGGATTGAGATGGCAAGTCTTCGAGTCAAACGCGGGATACAACTACAAGAATTCAGTCTCAAATGGAGGCTTCTTCCAGATGGCTGCTCGTCTGGCACGCTACACTGGCAACACTACATACTCTGACTGGGCTGAGCGCATCTGGGACTGGACCACTGGTATCGGTTTTATCGACGATAGCTATCGCGTCTATGACGGTGCTAGCACCACCGACAACTGTAAGCAGATTGATCAGCTCCAGTGGACCTACAACCCAGGAATCTTCATCTACGGTGCTGCCGCCATGTACAACTATACCAACGGTTCTTCTACCTGGGAGACGCGTTTGACTGGCTTGATCGAGCAAGCCGACCAGTCTTTCTTCCATGCCTTTGACAATGCAACCAACATCATGGTCGAAGGAGCGTGCGAGCCTTACGATACCTGCAACACTGATCAATTCAGCTTCAAGGCTTATCTGGCTCGTTTCCTCGCAAAAGCAATGGTCGTTGCACCTTACACCCAGTCTGCCATCCAACCTCTTCTCACGGCCTCTGCCCAAGGCGCTGCCAAATCCTGCTCCGGACCATCTGATGGTGTTACCTGTGGTCAGAAGTGGTACACGGGCTTTGATGGAAAATATGGCATTGGACAGGAACTCTCAGCCCTCGAAGTCACTCAAGCTCTCCTTATCAATGAGGCACCTGAGTTGATGAATCACAACAACGTCAAGATCAAGCCAGCAACCACCTCGAGCACACTTGAGCCGACGGTTAGCATCGGACCGGCGAGTGTGAGTCCGCTTCTTACGAGCACATCTGCCAAGACCACGCCTACCAGATCAGTCACATCCATGACCAAGTCCACCTCCACATCTACGTCCGCGGCTGCATCCTCGAGCACTGGCGCTGCTGTGATGAACACTGCTATTCNNCCTCGCGTTGGTGCTTTGGTCGGTGGTGCTTGGATCGGAGCAGCAATCTTGCTGTAAACCATCAATGCTTCGCGGCTTCTTTCGACACCAAATAATTTTTCAAATACCCTTAGACTCATAAAGACAAAAGTATAGAGGAGGATTACTCCAGCATAATGTTTAGATATTCATCGAATCACCCGGGCAGCGCTTCGGCCACAATTGACCCGTATGTTTACACAACAATCTTCTTGGCACTCGTTCACAGCGTGACAGCTCAATGCGATGAGACACGTAAATGCAGAAAGCAGTCAGATTGCTTCCACGTATCAACTCGTCTAGCAGACTGGGTTATATCCGAAGTCAATCTGGAGACAGAATATGGAGACAAGCTCCAATGGAGGTGGAGGATTATATCGGGACAAGCGATCGGGATCGCGTGAAAGAGGACTCACTGACCAAGTATGATGCGGGCAAAGCCGGAGTGAGTACGGAGAAATAGACGTCTCCAGGTTCGTCGAGCTGCCCCTCATCAACCGCGTCCTCGACCCGATGAGCGGCATTTTGTCCGCGTGAGTTATCTTCACTTGCGCCGAGAGAGTGACCTCGGCAATAACAGAGACACAAGTATACAAGGTGCTGCTGTCGCGGCCAGACAGTTGGAGTTGTAACAAAAGATTGCGACCGAGTCAATAGCAGGATCGTCTTGTTGCTTCTCCACATCTGACGTTTTGAGCTCCGCAACACCGACCAACACTTCCTCTCTGTGACGTTGCCCGCGCTGAACTGTGTGCCTGGTACTGTCCAGTGGTCAGATTCTTTTAGCCTGTCGCTGCTGCTGTCTCGATTCTCTCTTCTTTCTCTCCTCTCCATTCTCCCTTTTTGTCCCACTCTCCGTTGATACCCCTCACCCCCACCAAAAGCCATCTTACAGCTTGAAGCCTCGTCTCTCGCACCTTCCTACCAAGTTCAAACACAGTCCAAAATGTCTTCAAACAACGAGTCGCACACTGGTCCTGGTGGTTCCGAAGCCATCAACACTGAGATCATCACCCTTACCAGATTCCTCACTGAGGAGCAGACGAAACACAAGGAGGCCACTGGTGACTTCACGTACGATTCGCTCGAGTCGATTGTGTGACACTCCAATGCTGACAAGTTGCACAGCCTTCTCTGCCACTCGCTGCAATTCGCATTCAAATCCATTGCTTACTACATTCGCCGTGCCTCGTTGATCAACCTTTCGGGTCTTGCTGGCTCAGCAAACTCGACCGGCGACGACCAGAAGAAGCTCGATGTCATTGGCAACGACATTTTCATCTCTGCCATGAGATCATCAGGTCGCGTGCGCATCTTGGTGTCCGAGGAGGAGGATGAGCCCATCATCTTTGACGAACACCCCAACGCCCGCTACGCCGTCGCTTGCGACCCCATCGATGGTTCTTCCAACTTGGACGCTGGTGTGTCAGTCGGAACTATCTTTGGTATTTACAAGCTCGCACCAGGCGCCAAGGGCACCAAGGAGGACCTCCTCCGTCCCGGTACCGACATGGTCGCTGCTGGTTTCACCATGTACGGTGCCTCTGCACAGCTCGTCATGACAATGAAGGATGGCCCAGTCAACGGCTTCACCATGGATAGTGCCCTTGGTGAATTCATTCTGACCCACCCCAACATGAAGATGCCTACCAAGCGTGCAATCTACTCGGTCAACGAGGGTAACTCGCTGTGGTGGGAGGAGCCTGTCAAGGAGTGGTGCAATTCAATGAAGGTGCCCGAGAAGGAGGGCGGCAAGCCTTACAGCGCAAGATACATTGGTAGCATGGTTGCCGATGCCTACAGAACTCTTTTGTACGGTGGTATCTTCGCCTACCCGGCCGATAAGAAGTCGCCCAAGGGCAAGCTGCGTATCCTGTACGAGTGTGCCCCTATGGCCATGGTCTTTGAGCAAGGTAAGCACGACTGTCGTTCTCATATCTAAAAGCATGAACTAACACATCTTCATANNGCCGGCGGCCAAGCAGTCAACAGCAAGATGGACCGTATGATCGAGATCGTCCCCGAGTCAATCCACGACAAGTCTGGTATCTTCATGGGCTCGTATGACGAGGTGCAAAAGGTCATCGACATCCACAACAAGCACAAGAAATAAACTCTTGGATGATATATGTGTCTCGAATGATGATACGGGTTTCTGGAGGAAAGGACATTGTCCATATCTAGCTTTGTTAGCGATTACCATTTGACATAATCAAACCAATTTTCACAAAGCATTGAGTCGTGTGTCGTACTCATGACGGTGAAGATGTGACCGAACTGCAGAATCTGAATGGGGTTGTGCCCATGATAAGTCTTCGTTCACGCGACAACATTAACCCGCCTTGGTTCGGTCTTCTTCCCGATGGAACATCTGCCCCACCACCCCGCCTTCACCCATTACCGGAGGCAAGAGCCTCATGATATATAACCATCACTGTCTCCTTGCAGAGGAAGATCATCTTCAACACAACCACACTCTTATATTACCAGCTCACTGAGAACCGAATACTCATATCACCATCCACATCTCTCGTCTCCCATGAAGATTGCAATTACCGGAGCAGGCGGCTTTGTAGGCCAACTCCTCGCCGAACACCTCCTCCTCGCAGACCACGAAGTTCTTCTCATCGACATTTTCGAACCACCAGTGCCCACCAAAGCCTCCTCCAAATCCAAAAAAGCAAAATGCATCAAAGCAGATCTGGTCTCCGACAGTGCATCAGTAATCCCTTCGGATCTAGATGCCATCTACATCTTCCACGGCATCATGTCCGCAGGCAGCGAAGCCAATTTCGACCTAGGATATCGCGTAAACCTGCACTCGACGTTGAATCTGTTGGAGACGTTGAGAAGCAAATGCAAAGGAGTGAGGGTGGTGTATGCATCCAGTACAGCTATTTATGGTCAACCTTTACCTCAATGGCCCTCGGAAGCTACTTTACCTACCCCTTCCTCCTCCTACGGAACACAGAAATCAATGATTGAATACGCGATCAATGATTTCTCGCGCAGAGGATTTATTAATGGGTTCACGCTCAGATTTCCTACTATTTCTGTGAGGCCGGGCAAGCCTACGCAAGCTGCTTCGTCGTGGATGAGTGGGATGTTTAGAGAGCCTTTGCAAGGTATCCCCTCATCTTTGCCTTGTGGAGATGAGTTTGAGGCTTGGTTGTGTTCGCCACGCATCCTGGTCGCCAATCTCCTGCATGTGTTGACTTTGGAAAGAGAGAGTTTGCCTTCTCACATGCGTCAGATCAATTTACCGGGTATCACTGCTAGTGTCAAGGAGATGCTGCAAGCACTGGAAGAAGTGGGAGGCAAGCAAGCGGTGGAGTTGGTAAAGAGAGAGGAACCCACCAAGGAAATCAAAGATATGTTGGATTCGTGGCCGATTAGATTTGATGTTAGTAAAGCGATGAGTTTGGGATTCAAGAGAGACGAGAGGTTTAGAGATGCAGTTGAGGATTTCAAGAAGAGTTTGCAAGAGTAGAAGGGAGGTATCTGGGTATGTTTCATTGCGTCTTGCATCTTGCAGTCCGACTTTGCAGTCAAAAGCTGTTTGCTATGGTTTATGGTTTGATTTCCATGTCCGATGTTCACTGTGCTTTATACGGCCTATAAATGAGCAACTTATCCAACGCCACTTCCAAATAACAGCAAATCCACTTCCAACATGCCTGTTACCCTGAACATCACGGACGGTGAACCCAGAAAGCACGCCAAACTCGTCTATCCGGTACAGAACGATGAACCCTCATCCCCGACTTTCGTAGAAAGCAGTGGTATGTTACAGTCTCTTCGTGCAGCAACTCATGGTATAGAAAGGCCATAGGAAGAATAAGAGTTGGTCACAAACCTGCTTCTACCTATTGAAGGTACCCTTGGTTTGACTGTGGTGGATGTCGATTTCTCGTTGTTTAAGGTAGGTATAGTGGCCATGCGTTGCATCATGAATAGCAAGCAGACAAACATCAAGAATCTGGTTAATTGAACGACTAAACATCAAACCATGGACCTTGGCGGCATAGGAGAGCAGAAGGTTGGAATGATGTATTGCAGACAATGGCATGCTAGTAAGACATCCTAGCGAGCATCAAAGTGAAGGATCGAAAGTGTAGAACAGAAGTGTAGTGTGCCCTAATTTACTATCTTCACTTTCGATCTTGTACAACGTTCTCTGCTTTTGTCAAAAGTGACGGACTTTTTCTGTTGACGCGTCTCGTTTGTGTTTCCACTCAATTGTTTGCGCATGCAAACTTCTTCTCACTAATCAAGCTGGCGGCATCAAACACAGAGATACTTCGTACACTTCTAGATCATCACAAAACACACTCGAGCCACAACATCCACCGACAATGGCGTTTCTGCTCGAGCGCTGGTTCGATCATCTGGAGGACTGCTTTGATGATGACAGCCCCGAAATAAAGCAGTTCTATCTCGCTTGTGCCAAATTCCGCCAGAAATATGGTTACAATCCCGACGAAGACTTTGCCACAGACGCACAGAAGATGGAATTCTGTGAATCTGTCTTGCAAGTTCCTACTGAACTTAAGGAGAGATGTTTCCAGGTTCTGAAGCACAAGACTATCCTTGGAGTCAGTTCAGCGAGCACCAGCATCCAAAACAACACCATGAGTGCTTCGGAATTTGCGAGCAGCACCGGCGATATGGAAGAGACAGAGTTCAAGACACCTTTCACAATCAACGACAACGGTGCTGTCCAGGATCACCCAAAGGAAGCACACTCCGAACACAAGCAAGAAGGCCAGGAAAGCCAGAAGAAGTCAATCAACAGCGATGATGGTTCCAACGTCTCGCTTGAGAACATGTCTACGCCAGTCTCAAACGGTGTGAGCCAAATTCCTAGCTCCAACAGTCAGGAAGATGTCAAGGAGCGCGGTTGGCTGGACATGTCAAAAGGAAAGCATACAATCGAGGAGGAGCCTGCTTTCAAGGACCAGAGCGCTTGTGACGCCTGTCTCGACGTAGAAGAATCCACTCCCAAGGACGAAATGGGCGCCAACAACTTCCTTCCCAAGCGCCTGCAGCACTGGAAGGCCATGCTCGCCGCAAAGAAGTGCTCGGTCTCTAACAAAGAAGACGACAAAGACCCGGCCTCTAACATTCTCGACTTCAACGCCAGCATGCTGGATCGCGAAGACTACGATCAGATGCTCCGCTCAGTCGCCTCGAACAAGCAGTCAGACGAGAACGCCTCCAATTCCAACCTCGAACAAGTCTCCTCATCCGAGCAATACACAGCAACTAACGCCCTTCTCTATGGCCTCACCGTGCTCAAAGCCGCTTCACCAATTCAACAAAATGAGATGGTGACTTCGCTCCTGCACCCCAAGGTCCGCAGAATGCAGCCTAGTCTGGNNTTCGAGATGAATGCTCTGCTGCTTGAGCTAGACACGCAGAAGTTGTTGAAAATGAGTGTGGATGAGGATGCTTTGCATACCAGAGCTAAGAAGGTGGCCAGGGATTGGGGTGTCGAGTTGTCTTCGCTTGAAGATGGTCCTAGTGGACTTGCTTGGTAGATGTGCTTGAGCTGTTGAGACGAGCTGTGGTAGAATGGAGGACCTGAGCAACTTCAGGCTTGTCCGTTGAGTCCAACCTTTGAAGTTGTTGACATGAGAATTGGCCTGATTAATGAATTGATCAAAGTGAGCATCACCTGCGTATCAATTCAATAAGACAGGACACCAGAATGAGATGCTACACATCATATCATGCACAAGACTCCATACCCTCTCTGAACACCAGTCCAAACGATGATGAAACTGCGTCTTTTGTTATGTCCTTGAACGTCTTTAGTTAGCCGGTGCCCTGTTGTCTATGGTAGTGCTGCTGGGTGCGACGACTTCTTAATTCATACACCTGCTTCCCAAGCAGCGATCTCATCAACAATAATCCTGAAATGTTACTGATAATTGATCCACTATAGACCATGCCTCGTGAGAGCTCATCCTCTTCTGAAATGCTTATTAGCCTCTGACATGAACTACGCTACGACAACGAATGATCGAATATTCTAGGGGTGTTGCCCTAGGGATCTTTTGCTTATACAGGACGGTTGCGTTGCCCGTATGCGGGTTCTTGATCTTCTGAGCCTCATCGGCAAGGAGAAGACCAGAAGCATCCTGAAACTAAGTAATCCATTTGACCTTCGAGCGCCTTTTCTTTTGATAGACTTTTCTGCCTTGCCCACCAAATTTGGGGGAGGTGAAGGACACCGGAGAAACAACTTTCGTCGCTTTGACACCGGCATTGGTTGTTGTCGTCCGTCCAAGTGAAAGTGAAAGTTGCATGCGTGAGCCATAAGCATCTCGAAGATGTCCTGTTGAAACCTCTTGATGAAAAGGTCAAACACACCAAGTTGTTCTCGGTCATCAAGATGGACTGAAGGGTAGGACTCGGGGTGGAATAGGTTCTGCTGCTACTCTTGAGAGCGATGTCATTCAGTTTTGAACTCTGTGTGAATGTCAAAGCAACAAGCATGAGCCTTGCCAATTCGACATTGTCATTGCTTGATCACAACTATGCCCGCACTTTTCCTAACCTTATATCAACGCAAGACAGACATGAACTGTCAAAACGCACAGTTATCTTTTGGCTTGTCCAGAGAGAGGCGAAGAAGTAGCATCTCTCAGTAGGTGCTCCTCTGTTTCGCGAGGGCGTTATGCATCTGCGTAGCACCTAGATGACATACTTGCACGCCAGAAGAGCTTGGTCAACAATAGGCATAGTCGGTCCAAAGATCGTAAAGTCAAACTAACCAACAATCAACGAACAAACACCGAACTCACCCCTAATCATCTGCCTCGACACCCTGCATACACGATCTTCAATTCTCCACTGACCCAAAAAGTGCCGGCGTACCTGCTAGAGTGGCCATAAAGGAGATCATCACATGTCTCGCTATTCAGGGCGCGTGCAGCGGCAAGTAAATGCCAACAATGCTTCTTGTCAACAGACCGTGCAGAAAGAGGAAGACAGAGCAGAGCAGAGTGGAGCTTGCAACAAGGTGATTGTCGATCTCTTTAGCTTCCGATTTGCGGCTTGGCGGAAGCGGTGGAGGGGCCTCGGCTGACTATATCGAGTTATAGACGTGGAGACATTGAAAATGGTATAGATGCACAGAACCGTGGGGCGTTGGGGGTATTGTGATGTATAGAGTACCCAGCATATATGATTGATAGGTGGAGTTGCAATTGTTTTCTGTTGATTGTTGCTTACACCGGTTGATATGCCAAGTCCGGGATATTTGTTGATGCTGTCGATCAATGTGTGAGCCGGCATAACCTTGCGGAGACGACGTGTCAGTCGTGAGGGGGTTGTTGACTCTTCTCTTGTTGTTTTTGTCGTATATCTCAACGCTCAAGCGGCGACCGGGACTATCGCGAAATTGTTACAAGATGGCTCAAGACACTGAGGAAATCATCCTCTTCCACTATTCATTATCGATATATTCGCACAAGGTCTTATGGTATGAGGAATCAGCATTCGACTTATCGAGGCGGTGCTAAGACTACCAAGGTNATCTCAAATTGGCAGGCATCAAGTTTTCAGAATGTGTATGTCAAGGTTCGAGGCTAGAGTGGACGCTTGATACTGATGTACCCAGANTTCAACCACCAATCATGCCACGACCTGATCTAGCGGCTCTGGGGATAGCGTATCGACGCATCCCATTGCTTGCTATCGGTCGTCATGTTTACTGCGATTCGAGGTTGATTCTTCAAGTCTTGCAAGACAAATATCCTCTCCATGGAATACGAATGAGCAGTTCGGATAAGGCAATTCAAAGACTGCTTCAGGACTGGACAAATGATCAAATCTTCTGGCATGCAACACGTTGCTTGCCATTCGAACGTTCTGCAGCAGCTAGTAGTCCAGCATTCCTGAACGACAGAACCGAAGCACTTGGCAGACCATTCAGGATTGAGGACATGATAAAAGAAAGACCAGAGTCGTATGGCTATATTCGTGCCATGTTCCAGACGCTCGAGTCATTCCTGGAAGATGGCCGTGACTGGATTACTGGTAGCGCAAAGCCATCGCTAGCAGATATTGATGCTGTGTACATTGCGCAGTGGATCGTTACGAACCCATTGATGGAAGGCGCAACCCCGGAAGGGTTTATTTCCGAGAAGCTGTTTCCCAAAACATATGCTTGGGTTCATCGCTTCAAGCAGGCGTTGAACGATGCTGAATTCGGAGCACCTACGACCACTACTCTCAGTGGCAAGGAGGCTTTCGACACGATCACCTCTGCACCGGTTACGGCTTTGCAAGGCGACATCAGCACAACCGACCCGCTCGGTCTGAAGATCGGCCAAGCAGTTGATATATACCCAACTGACTGGGCATCAAAGCATGTTGATCATGGTGAACTCGTGATGTTGGCAGCGGATCAAGTGTGCATTCAAAATGCCCAGGATGTTCTGGTCCATTTCCCTCGCTGGAACTTCCGCATTCAGGCAACCGATGAGGGCAGATCTCCCACCAGTGATCCTGTGGCGGATGCCCTATCACTACTAGATCGTCCTCATCGCCTATTCTACCACCCGTTATCACCATTTTCGCGCAAAGTGTATATGGTTGCACTTGAGTTGGGCACCGCAGATCGAATCGAGCTTCAGACTGTGGTCGTTGCTCCAGTCAAGTATCCTGGATGGTCTGATGATGTCCCCACCGTCGCCGAGTCAAACCCTTTGGCAAAACTACCGACTCTAGTCCTCGGCAACAACGGCGATGGCGTTTACGACTCGAAAGTGATCTGCGATTTTCTAGAAGACGAAGCCCTGACAAACAAGCGGTCTGATCATGAACCGCGCAATTGGCGGTTGAGAACTCTTCACGGTTGCGCGGACGGCATGATGGACGCGCAAGTGCTCGTCCTGTACGAGAAGAAGATCCGTGCTGAAAACAACATCGCATACCAAGCCTGGATCGATGGTCAAACCGAGAAAATAATGCGGGGATTTGACCAACTCGAGCTCGAAGTTGGTCGTGGCACGCTTCAAACACCAGCTAACGATACACCAGCATCAGCGGCTGAATGTGCGGTGGCTGCTTGTGCAGCCTTTATGGACATCGTTGGGGTTCAATGGCGCGACGAAAGACCGCAGCTAGTAGAATGGTTCCATCAATGGCAANAGAGAGAGTCTTTCATCAAGACTCGCGCCGACGTGGATTGGAAAACCGGCGAGGCTACCGATATTGGGTTCGGCCGAGATGTGCTGAATGGCAAAAAGGGTTGAGGGGTTGGACTGGTCGCTACTCGATACTTGATAGCAGATCTGTACGGCCAAAAAGTCCGGCAAATGCTAGACCGTGCTTTTAGAGTCTGGAACCATTCTGTACGTGCGTTGGACGATGGAGTGCATAATGAATCAGATATGGACTTATGAGACCCTGTCAAACTGAGTGGCTGCAGGAGCTTTGAGCAGACTTCTGCACACGCAACATGCATATGAAGATCGACCGAGCCGTCTCTGTCTTGCAGGTTGAATGAACAAGAGTACCGAGATTAGTCTGTGCACAGAGTTCTTCCGCCTCGAGGAATCTGTGATCATGTACGAAGGCAGGTGGACATGGGCAATATGAAAAGCGGGCGGTAGAAGTAGATAGTTGCACCCGAGATCAGTCCACAGACAAAAAGTAGGAAGTGAAACAAAAACAGTGCACAGCTCGTGGAGGTTTCGTATTTTTGGTGTTCCTCGGGATTGTCTAGGACCAATGACTGACTCGGTTAGATGTGCCTTGCGTGCGAGTAGGGCACGATGGCGCTAAAGTCATGGAATGTTGTTACACAGGAGCACGACGATAGAACGTGGACCGCTCGAGCGAGCATCCAGGCTGTACATTGCAAGTACGAGTTTGCCTGGTGCAGCGATACCTGAGTCAAAGATGCCTTGTGGTCAGCTCCACAGGCCTTGACCGGTCTCGTTGGGGCAGCGTTCAAGAACAGCGCAAGCCGTGAGCCGAAGAATGCGGGAACATGCAGTAGTCGCTGGGTGTGCCCGTAACGATATCCTAGTTGGTCAAGTGGAGGACTTGATTCGTGAGCGAGTCGCCCTTGATCCCTTTCTGCAACGTCGGACTTGGCGAGGAGCAAGATGGTCGTCCAAGCGCCTTCCCTGAGCGTAAAGTAGGTTTAAGGTCGGGACTTTCAGGGTTCTTCCAACGTTTTGTAAACAACGGTTATCTCGTCTGTCTGAGGCTGAAACATAATCTACCAAGCAGAACCCCAGCCTGCGAATTTCTCGAAGTCGACAAGAACAAGTCAGACTGGTAGGATCACTGGACTGGACGTATCGCATGTAGAGATGACAGGATGTCACGCATCGCATCGGGTCTCACGGGCTGGTGCTTTCTTGTCGCTAGCTGGCCCATGCATGGGCTAAAAGCTAGCGCGTCCATCGACCCCGCCCCGCATGGTAGCAGCGATGGTGCTTCACCGCCATTTCAAGACCATGTCCTCTCGCTAATACCTATATGCCACGCTTCCTCGTGCTGTCTTTTTGCAACAAGAGCAGCGGTCAGCGAAACCATCGCTGCTGACCCATTTCGTGCCTTTCTCGTCGACTAGCAAGCTGTGCGACGGAACGCCTACTCTGCCCCGAAATTGCCTGCATCCGTGCCTGTTACGAGTACTGTATGCATCCAAGCCATGGACAACCTCGACTTCACCCACGCCGATAACCTTCTGGCCTTTGGCGATTATACCGATCCTCGCCACACCACCTCCTATCCCTCGTCATCTTCCTTGGCTTCGCACCAGCAGTGGGCTTTCACCCTCGACTCCATCGACCCGACCATGGCCCACCAAGCCTTCCAGTCGCAACAACAACAACACCACCACCACCAACATCACCACTCACATCAACTCGAGCAACCCGTGTCGCAACATATCGACTACAAGTATGATGGAGCCAACCTCGACCAAAAACAGCACCTTGACTATGCCGTCAGCCAGCATGATCAAAAGCCATACGAGGTCCATGATGTTTCCGCTTCTGTTCAGTCTAATGCCATGCAACTCGCCTATGCCCAGCAGCAGCAGATCACTCAAGCCGCTGCCCTGAATCCTCAGTGGCACTTCCAATTCCCTGCCCAGCAAGCTTTCAGCCAGGACGCCACTCTGGACCGCACCTATGACGCTTCATATGCTATGCCGATCCAGCAGGCTACCCCTCAGTACATGCCTGTCTCGGCTGAGAACACCATGGCCATGAACTCGACCGCATACATGACTATGGCCGCTCCTATGGAGTCCATGAATGTTCTCTCCTACCCCCTGAACGACTATCAGAACGAGCTTCTCGCCTTCCAGATGGGGATGGCTGCAAACACCAATGTTCAATCTAGCCTGCCTAGCAACTCTCCTACTGGTTCCTATCTGGAAATTCGTTCTTTGTCAAGTAGCGACAATGGCTGGACTGCTGTCGACTTCCCTGTTTCGAGACATTCCCTCGGCTCCTATGTCGAAGCCAACAACAATGCAATCTTCAACCCTGGTCAAACCTTGCATATTCGCAGTGCCTCTGACTCTTCGAACGATGATGCTAGTTCTGCGCAATTGTCAAGTAGCTACGAGGAGATTCCTTTCCCTCTATTCTCACCTGTATCAGATGGCTTCAGCACTGGTGACTATGTTCAGCACAGATCCCACCACTCCAGAAACTTCTCATCCGACTATGAACATGACTACCTGTCTCACTCCACCTCTTCGTCGCCATTGGCAAGTCCTGCTGACGGTACTCGTCCTTCTACCTCTCAGGCAGTACAAGCTTCTACCATCTCATCCAACGCCTCAAGCCCAGTGTCACCTCCTTTGAGAAAGCGCAAGACTCCTACTAACGCTCTCGCCAAGACCACCAAGTCTGCCATCAAGAAGGCCAGCCCTCCTGCTCGCAAGGACGGTGCTCCCGAGAAGCGTGTTGGCAAGAGAAAGGGTCCTCTCCGTGCCGATCAGCGTCAGCAAGCTCATGAAATCAGAAAGCTTCGTGCCTGTCTTCGTTGTAAATTCCTCAAGAAGACTTGTGATAAGGGCAACCCTTGTGGTGGTTGTCGTCCTTCGCATGCTCGTCTCTGGCAGGTCCCTTGCACTCGCATCGACATCAAGGATATCGGTTTCTTCATGAAGGACTGGAAAGCCGACTACGAACGCCATGTCAATCTCGGTGTTTCTGCTGCCAACATCAAGGGTTTCTCTCCCAACGAGCGCACTGTCTACATCACTCACGGTTATGGATACCTGTTGCCCATCAACGTTCGCGAGGTCTACGTTCGTGATGACACTTGCTTCAGCATCGACTGGTCTGAGAGAATCAACGATCCTGTTCAATTCGAGACACATACCGCCAAGCTGTCGGCAGGTATGGAGGGTGTTTCGGCTTCGAGTCTTTCGGACTACCTAGATTGTCATCTCGATAATGGATTCGAGTCGTTCGTGGATGGCTACTTCGAGGNNGGGACTCNNCCCTTCTTGACCGAGATGCTCAAGACTGCCTACCACTACTGGGTCAAGTCCAAGTCGTTGGTGATTCGTAAAGCGCTCAAGTTGGTCCTAGCATACAACTTGACACTTCACATCACCATGATCGAAGGCCTTTCTGAGGAAGAGGCTAACGTTGGCAAGATCGAGGATGAGGACAGCAAGTTCTGTGGCAAGACTGTAGCACCTGGTATGATCAACTTCCAGGTTAAGATTGCTTTGGCAGATATGTGGCGAGAGCTTCAGAAGGATGTTCTGGAGGAGCTTTCGGCACTGTACTCTTCCGTCTACAGCGGAGAGAAGCTGAAGAACTGGCCAACGATCTTCATGCTGGCAGCAATCTTGCTGGCTGTGTGGGAAGAGATGCAGTTTGACGCACACTACCGCACACCTGATGAGACGGCCGTCAACCAATTCTGCAACGACATGGAGAGTACCCCTGTTGGTGTCATTGTCGGTCTGTTCCAGGCCATCAGCCAGAAGTTGCCTAACTTCATGGACTGGGACACTCGCAGCCACCACCAACTTCTCAACTCTGACCCTGCCATCTGTGATGCTTTGACCGAAGTGAAAGAGCATGTTACCAAGCATGGTGAGTTCCGAAGACTGTTGACTACAGAAACCGTCACTGACAGCCTTGCAGAAAAATATCTCCGATCCAGATCGGATGCCAAATTTGACCGCAACGACTTCGACTGTTTGTCGAACAAGTTCCTGGCCAGACTTGTCATTCGTGCAAGCTGATCAACGAAACGACCACTACGCACAACTAACGTTCAACGACCTTTTTTACGGCCCAAAGATTAACGCCACGCTATGCTAAGCCGTCTCATGTTTTCCGGCATGCTTCACGACACGACCTTGTCTTTTATGCACCGTCCAGCGAAAGCGTCCGCAATTTCTGTTGTCTTGTTTCTTGAGATTTATCCTGTTCTTCACTTCATGTCAATAGAGATTCCCTACCAGTGGTTCTGATTTTATGATATGATGGCACTTGCGTCCTTGCGAATTCTTGTTCTTTTGTCTTCCTCATCATCTGTTTTCCTTGATAGCGGTTTGTGGTCACGACTCAAAATTGCGATGAAGATTGTGATTCGGTTACGACTCTCCACGATGCTTTACGCCTACTGCCTTAAGATGCAGCAAGTCTGTTTTTAGTTTTTTCGTTCTCTTGTGGTATGCCCTTCAGAAGAGAAGGAAGGTAGTCATCAGAACACAATACCAATGAATGTCCAACAAGCTCATACTTTACACTTTCAAACTCATCAATGAACGAGATTCGACACTGTAAATGGTAAGATGATAAAGTTGGTGGTTTCTACGTTGCCAAGGCCTGCGAAAACGCCGGTTCCTTGCATGAGCGGCTGAAAGTGAAATTGGTGGAAGAAGGGTCTCGAGGCGCAGCATCAATGCTCTCTCTCCTTATCCCAAGTCTTCCTGACCTCAGGTTGTGGGCGCACCAATACTGTAGTGCTCATCTCGTGTGTGTTTCGTCGTCGCACTCTGTCAGCGACACGACTCGAGGCCTGGACGTACTCAGGATCCGATAGCGTGGCGTCTTCGTCGCTTTCCGCTCCTTTGATTGTTCTTGCGACTTCTTGTGTCAAAGTGTGGTGGTAAAGCCGTTTTTCTTGTGAGTAACAGTCTCGTAGTACAACCATATGAGTGTCTATAAACGCTATCGGAAGCTTTTTGCTACGACCAGCTACGGTATACTCGTGTATTCGCAAGATACCTTATCTATGAAGGAGCTTACAACATGGGTCGAGCCGAAGAGGAAGGAAGCTGTGAACTGACTCAAATTCAGCAGTCGCACCTTCCACTTCCCCAAAAGCAGCACATAGTGTCTCTTCAAACCTGCCTTTCTGGATGCTGAAATTCTCCATCTGTCCTTAATCAACATCATCAGTATCCAGTAAGTCTCATCTCCCTTTCAGCATAGCACCTTTCATCGTTGGCCATTACAATACATAAAGCCTGCGAGGCCAGTCATAGCTCCAACGAGAGCAGAGCTTTTATACCCTACTTAGACTAGCTCGTCAAAGCGTTTCATCACAAGGACTTCTTGCAGCCTCATGGACCTTGCCTCTGGACATATAGGACTTCACGAAACTAATGATTCGATAGTTTCAATCTACCATTGATACAATTAACAAACATGCAACACACTATCATAGCCTCTCTTCTGGCTGCGCCGTTGCTTGCGCTTGCGCAATTCCCACCACCAGTCGAGTACTCAAATATCCTGAAGTCACCCATCAACGAGAACATCACTATTGCGTACAAGACTCCACCTGCTGGCACGTGTACCACGGCATTCAGCACTCAGAAACAGTTTACTGGTTATATTGGTATGTTGCTTGGTGCAGATGCCCTGACTCTTGCTGATTCAATCANNGGCCTTCCTCCTTTCACACTGCAACCAATACAGCAAAACTACTCAATCAATACCTTTTTCTGGTTTACCGAGGCACGACAGAACCCTGAGACGGCCCCGCTGACTATCTGGATCAATGGAGGTCCTGGAAGCAGCAGCTTGATTGGCATGTTTGCCGAAAACGGCCCTTGCGAGGTTGTTCAGACGGCAGATGGCTCATATGGCACTCAAGCTCGTATGTGGGGTTGGGACAGGAGCTCGAATATTCTTTTCATCGATCAGCCAACTCAGGTATGTACCCAAGCAATATCGCCTCATCACCACTCTCTGTCGCGACGCATGAATCCATTTGCTAGCGAGGTCTCGTCCACTGAAAGCTTGTTTCGGCTACTCCATGAATGATAGACGGGGATCTGGCTTTCTGTCTTGGATTGCAATAGCTTACAAGCATGAACTCGACCATTCTGAGAGCGCTACTAATTGATTATAGNNGTTGGACTCTCTTACGACACTCTCACCAACCTGACCTACGATCTCCTCGACGAAAGCTTCTTCCCACCTGGCAGCACCGACAATGACAATGAAGGGAACGAGCCCGCCTACGCGCTCATGAACGGAACTTTCAGCTCTGGTAACCCAATGTCCACGAGCAATACCACCGATATCTCAGCAAGAGCTGCATGGCATTTCCTCCAAAGCTTCTTGTCCGCATTTCCGCAGTATAATCCTGGTGTTCGCCCAAACAGCTCCCAAATCTCGACCACTGGTGTCAATCTCTTTGCTGAGAGTTATGGCGGTACATATGGTCCAACCTTTGCCAATTACTTTGAGGAGCAGAATGCAAAACGCGAAAACGGCACCTTGCCCAAGAACTCCACCCTGGAGATCAAGCTTACATCCTTAGGCATCGTGAATGGACTGATCGATTCTCTGATTCAGGACTACTACTACGCCACTNTTGCGTACAACAACACATTCGGCATTCAGGCAATTTCACAGACAGATGAACTCAATCTGATTGAGCAGTACAACAATGAGTGCAGCAAGCAGACCAACCTCTGTCGTACAATCGCCAATCAGACCGACCCCGAAGGCGAAGGCGACGTTCAGCAGGCCAATATTGCGTGCCAAGCAGCCACATACTATTGCAACAGCTTGATGGGTCCATTCGATAGAAGCAATCTCAGCGTCTACGACATTCGCGTTGAGACTCCCTCCCCGGATCCGTCAAATGCCTATCTGGAGTATCTGAACACGGCTTCAGTGCAGCAAGCCATCGGTGCACGCGTCAACTACACGACTAGCAGTAGTGCCGTCATGAGCGCCTTTGTCAGAACAGGAGACTCAATTCGCGGTGGTCAAATTCAAGAGATTGCCAATCTCCTCCGATCTGGAGTGCGAGTATCTCTGATGTATGGCGATGCTGATTACATTGTACGTTGCCTTTCTACAGAACATGACTGTTCATACCACTGACCCGTGTGCTAGTGCAATTGGAAAGGTGGTGAGGCTGCCTCATTCGCTGTCGCAGCTGCCCTCTCAGATTTCCCTTCGAACGGAACAACACCTTCATATCTCTCTGGCTGGAACAGTGCAGGCTATGCGGACATTGTTGTCAACACGAGTTATGTCGGAGGTGCTGTACGCCAGTTCGGAAACTTCTCGTTCAGTCGAATCTACGACGCAGGACACATGGTTCCATTCTACCAACCAGAGACTGCCTTTACCGTCTTCACTCGTGTCATCGATGGCACTGATCTTAGCACGGGAGAGCCGATTGATCTTTCGACTTTCAAATCTTCTGGACCAATGAACTCGACACACACAAATTCGCCACTGGCCAAGCAGCCAGCACCGACTTGCTGGATCCGAGCAATACAGGACACTTGTTCAGACGAGCAGATTTCCGACATGAGACAAGGCAAGGGTATCGTGGCAGCAGGAGTCTGGTATCCGAACTCGAAACAGTACAGTGCACCTAGCAGTACTGTCGCAGCTGGCAAGCCCGGTTCACCGGTTAGTCAGTCTTCGACAAGCTCAAAATCTACCAACAGTGATAGCAGCGGCACAAGTAGTGTCGCATTGACTGGTGTGTTCACTGCAACAGCAACGCCCAGTCCTGCCAAGGGAGGAGCTGGTAGAGTAGAGGGTACAAACAAGTGGATTCAGAGTCTGCTTGGACTATGTGCTCTGACGGTGGTCATATGAGCAATGGAAGTTGTGATGGAGGAGATTCGAGCCCAGGAGGCTGAGTTTATTGTTATGAAAGATACCCTATTAAAGTTGTGTGAATAGCACGATAACCAGTTTTTCAGAATAGAGATGTTTGCCTCGTCTGCTCTCGCCTTTAACAATTCCTTCGTACAAACATAAAGAAGACCTGGTCATGTCCAAGTAATGGCATGTGAAGGTCGGCAAGATCCGAGCTTTGACGATGACTTCACCAGGGCAGCAACTTTAGCTCTCTCGAACAATCAATTCCCCAAACCCAACTTTACACAACCTACCTACACCATCGCCTGGTCGCGCCACTTGATCCATCCAAGTCGCGTCGTCTCTGGAAGACCGATCCTCACGAGCGACAAGATGGAGCGCGCAAGCTTCAAGCGCAAAGGCGAATTCGGCGCCGCCAACAACAGCCGCAAGAGCGCCAAACTAGACGACACCAACGGACCACCCGCCAACCCAACCGGCAAGATGACCTTCGCCGAGCGCATGATGGCCAAGATGGGCTACAAACAAGGCCAAGGACTGGGAAAGCAAGGCGAAGGAATCGTCAACCCCATCGAAGTCAAACTGCGACCACAAGGAGCAGGAGTCGGCGCCGTAAAAGAAAAAGACAGAACAGTACAAAGCCGAGCAAAGANNCGCAAAGCCGAAGCCAAAGGCGAGGAATACGAGGATTCTAGCGAAGAGGAACGGAGAGCGAGGAAAAGAAGGAATGAGAGGAAGAAAGAAGAAAGAGCTGGTGGTGTGGGTGGGGGCAGGAGAAAGACTAAATACCGTACTGTGGAGGATGTGCGTGCTGCGGCTCCTGGATTGGAGTTGCCGAAAGCTATGTTGGGCAGTATTGTTGATGCTACGGGAGGGACTACGAAACTGCTTACCAGCACTGCTGGACTCATGACACCGACTCTCGTCCCTGCCGAGACCGAAGCCGACAAGGTAGCCAAACGCGAGAGACTGGAACTGGAAGCTTTTATCGAAGCATGGCATGGTTTGCAAGAGCGAAAAGTGGTTGTTGAAGAACAGCAAGGTCATTTGCAGATGGACATCAATCAAGCCGACGACGACATCAAGAAGATGCAAGAGATGGTTGAAGCAGTCGAAGCCTTGAATATCGCAAACATTGATTGGGGTCAAGCAATGGAGAAGCTAGGGAAACTACAACAAGACTTCCGACATGATATCGACAGCTACAATCTGTCTGAGGCGGCTGTCGCAACCATTACACCTCTGTTCAAAGCTGATCTGGATGACTGGGATCCTCTGGAAACGCCATCCTACCGATTGGTCGAACATCTTACACATCTCAAACCTATTCTAGGCTTGGAANAAACCTCATCTGCATTGGCAACCTCTAATCCGGACATCGAACCCGAGCAACGACGCTACCGCAAACAGAAAACCACTACACCATATGAGAGTTTGATCTACGGCGTTTGGCTGCCCAAAATGCGATCCACTGTTACACGCTGGGATGTACACGATCCTGCTTCTTTGATTACCGTGGTCACAGCTTGGAGACCTCTACTTCCTGCTTTCGTCTACTCAAACCTGCTAGACCAGCAAATCGTGCCGAAATTGTCAGAAGCATTGAGTGTCTGGAACCCACGGAAGCGACGCCATCATCATAAATCCTCGAGTAATGATGCACCACACATTTGGTTGTTCCCATGGTTACCACTACTCCCACCCTATCATCTAGATCCAAAATCTACCACTGGATTGCTGGTCGATGCGAAAAGAAAATTCCGCCGTGTATTGGATACATGCGATATTTCTGCATTGGTACCAGGTCTCGAACACTGGAAACAACTATTCGGACAAAAAGACTTTGACGCCACAATGTTACGCCACGTACTCCCTCGTTTGGCATCTCATCTGTCTAATACCTTTGACATCGATCCAGCAGAACAAGATATTTCACCTTTGGAACATGTATTCGCTTGGCAACCTTTCTTCACACCAGCCGTCTTTGCTCGTTTGCTGGTTGCAGAGTTTNTCCCTAAACTGCATGGGGTGTTGCATCAATGGTTGACTTCTCCAGAAGCTTCGTTTGAAGAAATAGGTGCTTGGTATACATGGTGGAAATCCGTGATTCCTGAAAGTTTGCAGAGGATTGCAGAGGTACAGGCAGAGTTTGATAAAGCTTTGGGAACTATCAACGATGCGTTGACTTTACAAGATCAAGGCAGGGATATGGCAGAGTTGCCTGCTCCTGCTGCTGGACCTTCTCGTCCTATTGTTTCTGCAACTTCTGCATCTACTTCCACAGCAACAGCAGCAAACCCCGTTGAGCAACAACAAGACCTCTCTTTCAAAGATATCGTCGAGGAATGGTGTACAGAACACGATCTCACACTCTTGCCTCTGAGGGAAGCACATCCAAGCACCGGATCTCCCTTATTCAGAATCACAGCCAGTGTGGNNAGTGGAAGAGGAGGTGTGGTTGTGTTTTTCAGAGGAGAGGTCTTGTGGGTGCAGAAAAGGAAAAGGGAAGATGGGTTTGAGCCTTTGGGATTAGATGATAAATTGCTCGAGAGAGCGGAGGGAAAGTAAGTAGCATGTTCTGTGTTACGACACAAACAAGCTAGAGAAACGGCAGACTTGCACTCTTCCTACTCTTTACAAGGAACGATGCATTCGAGTTACAGTATCGTGTTTTTCAATCCGTACATTTCTCTTCTCCCTTTCCCACCAAAAGAAAACAAGAGATGACTGGAAAACTATATCGAAAACGTGTACCCAGCCTCTCGCAGAAGTAGTCACCCGGAATCCAGTATTTGGATCAAAGCCTTTCCCGGGGGTTTGAGGACGTTAAACGAACACTCACTCGTGCCTTTTGTGTCTTGAAGCTGCTTTGCTATCTTGCGATGCTACACCAGCGTTCTTTAGTAGTGTTTTCATCTCCAACATTAAACTGGCTATCGTACATCACTCGCATTGCCATCTTTGCAGAAGGCAACATCCTCAACTCGTCTAAAGAGAACAGATAGATGTCTTTTAGTTCTTTTTTGTTGGTGGGTTCTGCTGCTTGCCTAGTTCAAAAGTCTTCTTCACAATCATAGCAGAGATGGATGAGCAACATTGAAAATACAGGAGCGAGATTGTTGGTACGTAGAACAACTAAGTCGCTCTGATTGGCTTTCTGCAATCCTCTCATAAGTCCGAATACAGAAACAGATGTGAGCAGCAGTCATGAGAAAGACTTTCTTCAAGGGTCGAGACTTCTTCTCCTGGCGTGCATGTTCAAGAAAGACAGAAGAGGCAAGGACCGCGAAATTCGAAAAAAAATGAAACGCTGTGGAAAGAATGATTTGAAATGTTTTTTGCTTGTTTTTTGGTTCGTTCTAAACAAATGAAAGAATCTTATATATGCTCATCAATGATCTTGTTCCTAATAATACACATCCCTCGAGGAGAAAACCATCATTCCAGGATCGTCTTGGACATCATGGATGCTCCTTCTCCTTGCTGCTCGTTCTACTCTTCCCGCTGCTCACACGGAGCAGACTTGTCGTCATACACATGCGAAAGAGCAGTAATCCTAGAACATAAACTGTGACGAAAGGCGGCTGTTGAAGATAAGAGTCCGACGAACGACAAGTCCGCAACTCTCCGCAAGCCCCTGATTCCAAGGTATAAGTGGCCACAAAGCGAGAGGTAACTGTCGTGTGCCGACAATGTAGGTTTGATAACCCTCGAGCTAATTGATGCCCACCAAGGGTCTAGCTCCCAAGGGTCTTCCTCCTAAGGACCGGTCGGGTAAGGAGAAGGCCCGTCCTCATTGCCACCAGGAGCAGGTCGAGGGCTGGGAACACCNCCTGGACCACTGCTGCCACCTATTGAAGGCGGCACTCCGAAAGTCGGTGGTAAAGGGAATTCAGGAACGTTCTTAACGGGAACATCTGGATCCGCCATTGGTTTCTTCGGTGACAATTCCTCTCCTCGCACTGCTGCTTCCATCTCCTCTTTGGACAACGTCTCGTATTTGACGAGCGCATTCGCTAGACGTTCAAGTCCTTCGCGGTTGTCGTGCAAGAGTTTCGTGGCGCGTGCGCGACCTTCTTCTACGAGTCTGCGAACTTCGCTTTCAATGAGCTGCTTTGTTTGAGATGAAAGACTATCGTAGTCAGATCGAAGGTCCACGTTGCCGAGTTTTTCCGACATGCCAGCTTGTGTCACCATCATATGGGCGATACGAGTGGCAGACTGGATGTCAGAAGATGCACCAGTGGTAACTTGGTCAGGTCCGTAGATGAGTTCCTCGGCAACCTTGCCACCCATGCAGACATCAATTTGAGCCATCATTTCTGCTCTGGTCTCAGAAACCTTGTCGAGTTCGGGGAGCATTTGAGTGAGACCAAGAGCGTGACCACGAGGCATGATAGTAGCCTTGTAGAGGGGGGTTGTTTCCTTTGTGAGCATGGCTACAAGAGCGTGACCACCTTCATGGTATGCAGTCATGACCTTGTCCTTTTGCTGGATGACAGCAGAACGACGTTCGGCACCCATAAGAACCTTGTCCTTGGCCCAGGTCAGATCATCCATGGTCACACGCTTGGCCTTGTTTTTGGACGCGCGAACAGCAGCCTGATTAACAATGTTTTCGAGTTCGGCACCACTGAATCCAGGAGTACCACGTGCGAGAACGGAAGAGTCAACTTCGCCATCGATACGAATGTTCTTGAGATGATGCTTGAGAATGGCGATACGGCCACGGACGTCGGGCAATCCAACGACGACATTGCGGTCGAAACGTCCAGGTCTGGTCAAAGCCTTGTCGAGCGATTGAGGGAAGTTGGTAGCGCCAATGATAATAACGCCAGTATCTTGGTCAAAGCCATCGAGCTCAGTAAGCAGTTGGTTCAGGGTTTGCTTCGCGTATGCAGCATCACGTTCATGACGCTTACTGCCAATAGCATCAAGTTCGTCAATGAAGATGATAGCGGGCGACTTTCCACGGGCTTGAGTGAACAAATCGCGAACACGCTTTGCACCGACACCAACGTAAACCTCGTCAAATTCAGAGCCAGACATATAGAAGAATGGGACACCAGCCTCTCCGGCCACAGCGCGAGCAAGGAGAGTTTTACCAGTACCGGGAGGACCAGTGAGAAGAACACCCTTGGGCAGCTTTCCACCAAGAGTCGAGAACTTATCGGGAGCCTTGAGGAATTCGACGAGTTCCTGGAGTTCTTCCTTTGCCTCGTCGCAGCCGTGGACGTCGGAGAAGCGAGTCTTTTGCATTTCTGGCTTTGCCTGGGCATCCTGGGCTCCACCAACCTTCTTAATGACACCAGTGGCATCGATGAAGAGCGTAAGAAGAACCAGAGAGAGGTAGCAAGTGACACCAAAAACCATCAAGAATTTGACCCATTTGAAGATAGTGGAACCGAGGGACTCGTCAACGACAACGTAAAGGGGTTCTTTCTTAGCACCACTGCCTTTACGGGAGACGGAGATGTTACCACCGCGACCAGTGGAAGCCACAGCCTGGCCGGCAGCATGGGCAGTTTCGTCCGAATGGGCGCCAGAACCAGATTCTGATTGACCGACTTTTTCTATGGCACGGGAGTAGAGCGAATCGACAGAGGGACTTGTAGCATAACGACCGGAGTCGTAGCGTTCAACCAGGATATCGTGGTGACCGGCGCGGAGTAGAGCAGAGTAAAAGGCGTTCTGGGCAGTTGCACTTTGAGGGTTGTTGTTGGCTGTCTTTTCCAGATTGGCAAGCAAGTTATGCGAAACGCTGCTGGCGGCGCGGCTTTGGCGGGAGATGGACTGGCTATGGAAGAGTGGCGTGCGAGAAGTTGCTGAAAGCGAAGGACGGTATGAGGCAAACGAAGAGTAGGGTTGGGTGCGCAGCGCTACGGAGGTCAGCGTGATGAGTCGAGGCACTGAATGACGAATAACTGCTGTCTTACCACTAGCAACCAGAGAGGATGTGGACGATGAGGCGGACCGCCGTGACAGTTGCTTGAGCGCGGACGAGGCAGATGGCCACAAGGCAACCTGTGATTGTCAAGTCAGCGATGGTATGAAGAGTGGCCATTGGTTGTCCTCCTACCTGGACGCCGCGAGAGGCCATGATTGCGCCTAGAGATGTAGCAGACTCAGTCGGCGATCAAGGCAGAACAGCTCGAGGGATTGCTGCGGGGAGAAAGAGAGGAATGTATGCGAATATGTCGTGTATGCAGGTACAAGTAGCGATGATGGAAGATGGTTGTGTTGGCGGCAAAGGCAAGACTGTACACGCTTCGGTCGCCTCGGCGTTTGGCCCGGGCAGATGACGCCCATCACTCTCCAGGCGCGAAACATGAGCCAGAAGCTTCTCCAGTGTCCGCCGTTTCACCCCCGACAAGACCATCTCAACGCTATCTCGATACTATCTCACGTGGCAGTCTATCACCATCTGCCTAGTCTCTGTACATGAATCTACACTACCTATCTAACAATGCTGTCATCAAAAAAGTCCACTCACGTCTCAAAAGCAGAAGGAGCGACAGCAATAACAACAACCAAACTCGCCACAATCAGCGCTCCTGCCACAAACGACACAACCATAATACTTCCTCTCGAAGCTGGAAATTTGCCTCGAATCACATAGTGCTGACTCTCGAAATATCTGTGGAATCCGNNGAGTAGAAGGNNGATAAGAATTGCTGCATGATACAGATTAGTTATTGGTATCCGAGAGATGGAGCTGGTATAGACAACTTACACTCCGAGGAAAGTCACTCCCAGTGGCTTGCCAAGTTGTCGCAACTTNTCCCTGTCGATATTGTTGACTGCAGTCATTGTTTTCGAGTCGTCTTCATTTGCGATCGATGTGTTGAGTCTGAAGAGCTGTGTGATGGCGATGCCAATAGATGCAAACGAGAGCGATGTACGCAACCATGCCAGAAATGTACGCTCTAGAATTGTCCTCAGTCAAGGCCTTTCGATTGTATATACTCGTCATGACTTACCCAATGCGAGATGGTCGCGTGCAACACTGCCCTTGTTTTCGAGCTCGACGCTGCCGTACTTTTCGACAAGCTGTCTCCAATAGTGTTCTCTCTCTGCCTCGTCTTCAGACTCTTGACCAGTGCCAACACTGCCTTGTCTCGAATCTCTACCTCCGCGTGTACTAGCAGCTCTCGTAGATGTACCGCTTTTTCTTCTACGCTCGATCGGACTCAACTCTCGATCCAGTCCTTCTTCTGCTGCGCCTTCATAGCCTGCAGTAACAGTGTGCTCTGGATCTGTGCTTCCATACGTGCCCACGCCTGTTCTACGTCTTACAATCGCCGTGTTCTCGTCCGCACTGCTTTCGGCTTCATCGCGTGCTCGGTCGGAACTGGCGTTGTTGCGTTTTGACATGAAAGATGATGATCTTTCAGAACCGTCTGGTCGGACGAAAACAGTGGAGCAGAAGGTGACACTCCGGCGAGGTTCGAGCGATGGTGAACCTCTGGCTGGATTCAATGAGTTGGAGGAAGCCTGTCTTGGTATATTTTTGGTCCTAGTTTTGTACCGCGCTCTGGGCTCTGGCGAGGGCTTGTCTTCGGACTTGGTTTTGAGCGACGACCTGGACTGGTTCTGGGACTCGAGCGAGGGCTTTTCTTCTTCGGTTGTTCTNGATTCTGTAGGCTTTACATATGGTTCTGGTGGGTGACCCTCAGTCTCAAGTTGATCGCCGATGTCCCTCTTGTCGCTAGTAGGCGCAGCAGCTTTGATAGGTCTTTTCTGAGCCTCGGATGACTTCGATGTTGAGGGTTCGGGAGAGGGAGGCTCTACTTGAGAGCGTTTTGATAAGTCCTCCTCGAATTCGCTAGCAGTAGTACTGTGATAAACACCTCTCTTCGGCCGCTCAACTTCGCTTTCACTGGTAAAGTCATAGAAGCGATGGTCACGGTTGCTCGACCAAGAGGAGAAAGGCGGCACGGGTGTTGATAAATTGGCATGGGTACGCAAGGATGGATTGGTAGGTCCCGGCGTCGGTGTGATGAGATCACTTTCAGATTCGTATTCCGTTGCCGACCTAGAGCTGTCTCCCTTCTCGGACGTGGATGCAGGTGAGCATGGTAGAGGCATGACGGTTCCACCGTTTGTTTTGGTGGCTGGGTATGATTCAAGAATCTACCCAAATGGCGTGATAGGGCCCAGGCGGTGGCCCGAATGTCGTGATTGAGTTTGCGGCTCCTGCTCTCGAGTGCCAGATGTTGAAATATCTTGTACAACCCGGAAGCTCTGTTCGTGAGGACGTACTCGATGGAGACAGTATACGCTGTCCAAAACCAATTGGCGGTGGACCACGCGTATGAGCTGGGGTTCAAACAAGTGTCGAGACGATCAATTTCAACGTAAGCTCGAATTAAGTCACAAATCGATACCACGAATATTGCTCTTGCTCCTGGGTCAACTCAAATGGTTGCATCGCTTTGCGCCTTTACAAGGCGGGTTTTGATGGTGCGAGTGTCAGGACGAGGTGCTTGAAGATAAAGATGAGGTGTTCTTCACCGAAGATGGACCAGGGCGTCGTCGTGCCGCTGGACCAACCCCGCAGAGTCCGAGGTAAGCAACACTGCTTCAAAGGACGGTGAGGCCATGTAAGCGGCTCCTTATCTCAAACATGCATGCTCAGGTTTCACTCTCCAATTCGCTATAGACATATCTGACGCGGCTCGCCAGCAGAGAAGCCGTAAGGTATCCTAGATCCTGTAGCAACAAGCTCTCTGCCGAGCACTCCCAATAATAATAAGAAAAACTCGCTTTCCCCTTGATATACAACTCCATCTACAAGAATGCACATGCTTCATCGCTCTCTCAAGCTGTAAGCAACTAAAAGCCTAGGACATTCGGTCGACTAGACCTCCTTGACCCAACCGGCAGGTACCAGTCCTTTGCCTTGACCACCTGCTCTTTCGACCTCACACCATCCATCGCCTGAGTCTGGTGTAATTAAGACCAACCTCTCGCCCTCATCCATACTGATTTCGCCTTCGCCGCTAGCTTCGTACGTGTACAGTGCTTCGACATACTTCAGCTTCTTAGCACCACGCTTAGGAGCCACAGCAGGACCCTTCTTCTTGGTCGACGGGGCAGACGAGGCAATCGAAGTGGCTAGACTGGTTATAGATGCGCGATGGCCAGGCTGGGATTTGACAGGTGATGAGGGCAGTGTCTCGACATAAGACGCAGGGACAAGACCCTCGCCAGAATGCGTGCGGACTTTCATCCAGCCGACGCCATCTGTATTCGTTGTTAGCATTCAAAACATGGAAAGCGATAAGGATAAATGGCTTACCATCTGGTTCAACAATTGTGACTTCAGCACCCTCATCCACGGTAATTTCACCATCCCCACTCGCCTGGTAAGGATACATCATCTTGCCGCGAGGCTGGCCATCTGCAGAATCGCCATTTCCGTTCGCGTAGTGGTCCGGTGGTGGTGCCAGAATGCGACGCTTAGCCGTGTTTGACCGTCCTAAATCGCTGGCACTATCGTTCGAATTCGAAGGCGGTCGAACATTCGTTCCAGACACGCTGCGGTTGGCACTTGCAGCGTAGCCAGATGAGAGTGTGTTCATGCTACCCATGGTGTCGGTACGGTTGAGACGCGGCATGTCATTTACCGAATCAGAGGAGCCTTGTGCCGCTGCATTGGCCACCGGAGGTGTGGATGCTGAGGCTGCAGCCTGTCTCTCAGCCTTGATCTTCTTCTTTTGTTCCTTATCCAGCAGGCCAGGGCAATTCGCCGGTACCTTCATCTGACATTTGCTGTGGCAGATGAAGCCGCAGTCTTCGCAATCAAAGCCCTTTGCCGAGAGTCCCCATAAGCGGTCTCCACAAAGATCACAGTTTGTGGGCAGCTTGAAGGTTTGGGATTTGAAGGCGTGGTTCTGAGCACCAATGCTCAAGTCTCCAACAGCAGTTGCAATGGTGCTGACCTCGACTTCGCACGTCACCTTCTTTCTCTCGGACTCATGTAGCGACTCTTGCAGGTTGAACTGTGCCCGCACAACTTCGACCTCATCACGCTTGTCTGTGCCATCTCTAATCGCCTGACGTACCCTCTTTGCGCCTTCGACCTCACGACGCTTAGCGTCGCACTCTCTGCGCAGCTCGTTCAGCTGTCCCTTGCTTCTCATCATGATGTTGCGAAGGAATGTCTTGCTGGAATCGTCCGAGGCCATGACATCGTCGTCCAGCCATACCGGTGAAGGCTCGAATGTGAAGTCGGCGGGGTCTTGCCAATTGGAAGCATTGTGGCGAACAAACATCATGGAATCGAGAACGGGGTTGTTACGTGGAATCTCAGACGACAGGTGTTCGAGTAGCTGTGTGGATCGCGAGAGAGTCTGAGTCTCGATAGTCGCTGCTTGTAGCCACAAAGTGTTCAACTTGGCCACGCGTGTCTCAGACAAATCCTGTAATGAGTCGAGCAAATCGGGGATGTATTCGTGGTAGTATCGCTCTTTCTGCTTGTTGGTGACGTTGATGGAAATCAAGTAGGTATTCTTGGTGTTGCGCATATCTGCCTGAATCTGTACGTAGGCGGCCTGGGCCTTGGTCTTGCCATGGTCGAAACTACTGTCGATCTTCTTTCTGCTTTTCTCGACATCCTGGCAGACGCTGTCGTACTTGGTCTTCGTCTTGCGCAGATCAGCATAGGTGTTGTCGCGCTCTTTCTCGAGTTTGGCGGCATAATCGGCATGGTGTTTACGCAAGTCTTCGCATCGGGTAGACAGGTTCTTGATAGGATCGGCGAGGTGCGAGATTAGTTGAGTAGCGAAGCGATCGTGTTCGGCAGCGCGGTTCTCGAGGGTGGTAAGTTGAGTGGCCCAGGTGGTCATAGACGCACTGTACAGAGTCTTGGTCAGCACACGGACTCTCGAAGCAGAAGGAGACTGGATCGTACCTCTCTAGAGAGCCAGGAGTGACGGTCGGAGTGTCGCCTACACTCAGACTGCTCTGTTTGCGGATCTTCTTATCAAAGTACTTTTTGGCGAGGGCATTGAGTTTCTGGCTGTACTCCTTTTCTATGGCACTTCGTTCACGGTAGAAGGCTTGCACGTCGTCGAGCCATGTGATGCCGCCCAAGACCCAGGCATTCACGGGCTTGAAGCCGTCCTATACACTCATGTCAGTCGGTTGTTAGTCCAACACGATGGAACGGATCGGCATCCGACCAACCTTCAACTCAGCGCCGAACTGCGGCGCGATGTCTATCTCGGCCATGCAGGATTAACAAGGTGTAGAGGCAGGTTGAGACGAGAATTGAAGCCGGCCACGGCGGCTTTCTACACACAAACAATGCAAGTAGCCTTGGGAAGAAGACACGCGGGCAGTGTTGGCAATGCCCAAAGGCCGAGAGTGCCTTATTGCCAAGGCGGGGTATCACAACTGTCGGTCCAGCCCTCGCCGGCTGAAGTCGCATGCCTACCGGCCCGCCATTGTCTGCCCGGGCCTCAAAGCCATTCGAACGACGAACTCAGACAAAGGCACCATTTGGTGAAGGGACCTCACAGCGATGTGGCTAGATTGTGTGCATGAAGCGCTCCAGAAGCCTACATGTGACTGTACATAGTGGGGAAGTAATTCTGCCGACAGGTCTGCATGCCAGAGGCTAAGAGATTCATTGCGGACTGTCTCAATCAGATCCTGAATTGATCATAGGAACCCAGAGCTACAGACCCTCCAGCGAAGAAAACATTTATATGTTATGAATCAATTACAATTGCTGTTATTGTGATGGATGGAAGATAAATCCTTCATAGAAACTCATGCGAAACCCTGGAGGGTAATTACTTGATTGGGCCTAGTAGGTGTTTGGAGGAACCAAACGTCACTCAAGATTTGTTGCGCCAACACCAAAGTGAAGCTGCGGTTTGCGGCTTCCTGAGCAAACCACATTCCATCCCTCCTTTACGCCTTTTCCAATTCATCGCAACGAGTGCGCCCTCATTTTTCCCTCATTCATTACAACCATGTCCGACGCATCAAAATCCCTGGGCGACCGCATGACTTTCCCCGACGAGAAGAAGCTCGACTGGGCTGAGGAGAGCGAAGAGATGGACAACCAGACTCAGACACAGCAGCCTGCCCCTGCCGCATCAACCGAAGAAGCTGAGCCTTCAGATCAGACAGACGGCGCCTCAGAGTTTCAGATGGGCTCAGCGCTGCTCGAGCCAGAATTCGATGTCAACGTCAAGCTGAACGATCTCCAACAAGACCCAAACAACCCCCTGTTCTCCGTCAAGGAGTTCCGCGACCTCAGCCTTCCCGAATCACTCCAGAAAGGTATCTCGTCCCTCGGCTTCACCAAACCATCAAAGATCCAGGAACGCGCTCTGCCCCTGCTCCTTCAGAACCCTCCCTCAAACCTCATCGGCCAGTCGCAATCTGGTACCGGCAAGACGGCCGCCTTCGTCCTCAACATCCTCTCGCGTATCGATTTGGACCTACAGCAACCACAAGCCCTAGTTCTCGCTCCTTCGCGTGAGCTCGCCAGACAAATCCTCGGTGTCGTTCAGGTCATGGGTAGTTTCATGCAAGGTCTCAGCACATATCAGGCTGTTCCTGACCCCTCAACACGTGGCCAGGCCGTCACTGGTCAAGTCGTCGTTGGTACTCCTGGCACGGTCATGGATCTGGCTCGCAGAAAGCAGTTGAACACACGCGGCATGAAGGTGCTTGTCTTGGATGAGGCCGACAACATGCTTGATCAACAAGGCCTCGGAGACCAGTGCAAGCGTGTGAAGCAGCTTTTGCCCAAAGACGTCCAGACTGTCCTCTTCTCCGCTACATTCCCTCAGGAAGTCCTCGCTTTCACTGCTCTCTTCGCCCCCAACGCCAACCAGATCACCCTTGAACGTACTAACCTTACTGTCAAGGGCATCAAGCAAATGTACCTCGATGTCAGCCAAGACTCCGACAAGTACGACGCACTCATCAAATTCTACGGTCTCATGACAATCGCCTCATCCATCATCTTCGTCCGCAAGCGAGAGACAGCCGACGAACTCTCCAAGCGCATGACGTCCGAAGGCCACCACGTCGTCACCCTGACCGGTGGTCTGGAGGGTGTCGAGCGTGATGCAGTCATCGACCAGTTCCGCGAGGGTAACGCCAAAGTCCTCATCACAACCAACGTTCTCGCCCGTGGTATCGACGTCCAAACCGTCACCATGGTCATCAACTACGACATCCCTGACAAGCCGGCTCCAGGTCGCGGTTACGTGCCCGATGCTGAGACCTTCTTGCACCGTGTTGGTCGTACCGGTCGTTTCGGCAAAGTCGGTGTTGCTTTGACTCTTGTCCACGACAAGCGCAGCTGGGAGATGTTCCGCGAGATTTGCCAGGAGCTGTCCATCAACCCTACCAAGCTCGACACTGACGATTGGGACAATGTTGAGCGTGTGGTCAAGTCTATTATCAAGTCGGGACGCAACAAGAAGATTGATGCCGAGACCATGTTTGGTGATCAATAGAAGGAGGCTCAGTCGGTTTTGCTGCTTTGGAGATGACGGATTCTACGAAAAGATACGATAGAGATCTGCTGGTAATGGAAAATGAAAGGAAGACAGCTCTTTTAGACAAAAGGGAGCTCATGAAAATCTCAACTATCTCAACCCATCGTCTTGTCTCAGAACGTCGTGCTGTGAAATCTCACAGTGTTTTGGAGTATGCTTTGATCGTTGTCGTCGTCTTTGCTTCATCGATGCATGAGTCCATGATTGTGTTTTACACTCACCATGCTCATAGGTAACAAAGATGGCCAACATCTACTTTTAAAAGATAGGTAGTGATCAAGGTCCGTCTTCTCGCCGCCAGCTTATGGTATCGCCCAAAACCAAAAAGGCCAGGGTGCTACTCTCAACACCCTCTTTTTCTTTTGTTATTGCGTTGTCGGAGCCAAGGCATTGCTTGGCGGATTTGGTATATAACCGTGCCGTACGCCAGTAGTCTAAAAGAATCAAGTTCCTTTGGCAATTACACTTTCCTCAAGACAAAGAAGAAATAATCTTCCATATACCGGACTGATGTTGTTCATTCACAAACAAAGGATAAGCTGATTACACAAAAGCAACCAGAAGTTACTGTTGGTTTCTCGACTAGCCAGCAATCCTCTGATGTATGGGAAAATATATGGACAAATGGTTTCTCGATCAAGTAATACTTGCTCGTGGATTCTGTCTGAGCAGAAAATGTCGATGCAAGAGTTTTGTGTATATGTGCAGTTACATATGTGGATACGGCATATCACACCAGGAAAGTAATAGCGATGGCCATGACAAAAAGTTGAATTGGTAGTGTAAGGAGTTATGAAGCATCAAAGTTGTGAATCCACATCTCTGCACTGTAAGTCTACAAGGTCAACAGCCAAGCAAATGTACGAATCTCGGTGTGACAGTGTAGTAACCTGAGTGCGTCTGTCGTGATCATAGTTGTGGAGGACAAGACACAGACGGTACTCTTTGGATACAAACCCGAACTCGGGAACAGGACCCAGAAACAGAACCCAGGGACAAGACCCAGGAACAGAACCCAGGGACAAGACCCAGGAACAGAACCCAGAAACAGAACCCGGAGACAGGACCCAGAAGCAGAACTCAGGGACAGGACTCAGGAACAGAATCCAAGCACAGGACGCAATCATATGCCGTCATGATATGGAAGGCAAGACGGCCAAGAAGGCATCTCCCAGAACAGGAAGGTCAATTAGACATGCTGTGTCGGCAAGAATGCCAGATGGAAAGAGGGGAACAGGGGAGCAAACCGATCAATCCCCAAAACAGAAACGGATACAGGGCGCACACACGCTAGGTATAAGCGCCCTAAACTACCAAAAGCATGGTCTACTTGTTAAAGAGATGTGATTGGCAAGGATCAAGAACAAGAAAGCCTGTTGAGAAAGAGGGGAAGAATAGGGAGGGGTAACAGAGAGGGGGTAGAGGTGAGGTGTAAAGAAGGGATAAGCAAAGGAAAGTCGAAACGAACCTCCAAAAACACTTCAACGGTAGACCACACTCAATCACCTGCAGTGTGAGATCCGACGTCATAAGTTTGCGGTCCAGGAGACATGTGTCTCGCTCGTATATCACGCTACAGGCCAAAGAGCACCGTCGTTTCAGAAGAGTAGTATGAAAGTCAATGGAACCACTTCGCACGTTGAGTTTCGACTTAACGATTAAAAGGTAAAACCGAACAACCCTCCAGTCGAAACAGTTGGGTTTGTGGATGACTAAGAGACTAAGAAACAGGATATTGATCTGGTTAGGATCAAGACTTCTGAATACTGCCTGTCGAAAGGACCAAGATCAAGGCTGTACATGTCGTAAGAGTCCGATGCGATACACCCTCGAAAGTCTGGAGGTTCGATCGAACATGTGACAGTGCGTGGGAACTGCCAAGTATGCCAATTATATAGACGGTGGTGGTCCAAAATATTGCCGCGAGGAAAGTCGAAGAGTGGTGGATATAAGCTAGCGTGTTGCAGAAGGTAGGTCCTCACATTATACTTCACCAGCTCAGCACTAGGAGAGGCATATTCGAATGTCTCAGCTTCATGCTACACCTGAGTGTGTCTAGCAACAAAGTCGAGTATTCGGAAGCAATGGAGGCATGTATTGAGAGCCAATGTATGCCAACTACTTGTAGCTTGGATCTGGATCCTATCGTATATCGGCGAGCAGGCAAGGGCTGAAGCTGTCAAGGTTTCACCAGTGAAGTGAAAGATCCAGAGTGAAGCGTAGATCTACGCCCGAACGAGTCTCTAGGACAGATGTCAAAGTTGGTGAGAAAGTCCGACGAAACAGAAGACGTGAGATATAATGTCAGCTTTCCAACAGGGAGATGAGACGATGAGAGCGTACAGAAGTAGTGTAAGTCTTGAGCCTTAGACGATATTCATTGTTGACAAAGTATGGTTGTTCGATCTTCGTTAGAAAGCTAGGCAAAACGCCAAAAGTCAACGTGAAGAAGAAGGACAGCACACGCGAGAGAAAGATCTCGTGACGCGAAGAATGCCAACCACGTTCGAAAAGGTGGTTGCTGTGGTCTAGATGCAAGTCTCGAACAGGTAATGGTCCGTCACGATCACTCTAGCTCAATAACTCAATTATCGAAGTCGAAGAGTTGCAATATTGCATATCCATGATGAGTTACAACAAGTCGACAGAGAGAAGACAGTGGCGAACGTCTCCGACGAGAAGACAAATAGCATTGCTGTTCTGGCGTCTCACTGGTTGAAAGACCCTAACCTTGCAACTCTCGCACGTAAGTCAAGTTGAGCTCAGAATCTGCTGAGCCTCAGATCGTACCGGACGGGAACTATCGTACGCCGATGAGGGGGACGTTTGAAAGTATCCCTGATGGGCAAGGTTGGATCCGAGTCTAGGACAGGCGCAAGGCAAGACAGAGGAGAGAAGAGAGGCGGATTGAATGCAAGTAGGTCAACGCATATCTCGAATCTACCTACCGTAGACTAATCGCTTGAATTGGTTCATGGGTCGGACCTTCTCAAAGAGGTGAAAACATCACCGATCCACTTTTAGTACCAACGATCGACACCCTCTTGCCAGCAAGGTGTGAGGTCCGAGGCCGGCCATTGGTGCAGCGAAGTCGATATATGCTGACAGAAAAGTCAAAAGCTGCACGACAGATTAGACAGAAAACGTGTCAATACCAACTTGGGTGGTAAGACCATGAAGGTGCGAAGTTACCAGTCATTCGGGTGACCAAGTGCTCTTGTGATGCATAATATCGGACCATCACTGTCAGAACAAGTTTTTGGGAGACATACAATGTCAATTTTCGACTGCCTGAAGTACCAAAAGAATGTGTCTATCTGTGACAGTCTGGAGTACTGGAAAGAATGGATATATAGAGAAAAGAATGGGTATGTATAGAAAAGAAAGATCCAACCAATACATCACAAACGACAGTGTGTATACCGAGAAACCCAAAAGAAAGCATATCAATGGTCTAAGCGTGCCAGCTTTTCGAAGACCAACCCCAGCGCCACGCTCAAAGAACATTTGAAGAGAAAAGACAAACCTCCGCGCAACACACCGTCGTCATCGCCGAGCCCTTACAAACACTCTATTGCTGTTGGGGACCAACACCAAGATATCTTGGATCAACGGTATTATCGGAGACTGCCTCTGGCGAGGCAGAAAGTTCTTCAAAACGCTTACTGGTGGACAATATTTGCTGAATATGAGCAGGAAGGTGTGCATGCTCTGCGCCGTTGACCTGCAAGGCGTCCTGGGAAGGCATGGGCTCAGAGACCATAGGCTGGATGTTCGTAAAATCGACTGGCATGGTGGGTGCGGCACTCATGTGCGTGGTGTTCTGAAGGTCGAACAAAGCCTGGTCAATGTCAAAGTCCGTGATGTTTGTAAAGCCGATAGGCGTGTTGTCGAAAGCAGGTTGGGTTTGGAAGGCCTGCTCGGCAGTAGCAAATTGTGGGACTTCCAGAGTGGACTGTGAGGCATGTTGTTGTTCAGAAAGCCTACTCATGAGTGCGTAGTCCTGCGGACGATCTTGAAGCCCTTCGTAACCTTGGAAGGAACCCTGAGACTCTTGGAAGACCCCTTGAGGCCCTTGGAAGGAGNNGGAATACTCCTGCTTAGGCAGAACCATGTTGTCAATGTGGCCACCACGACCGCAGCTTTGTTGCCAGGCACCACTTGAGACCTGTCTGACCTCTGGACAGGTTATACATGTGCACTGGAAGGAGGCACAACTTTGGCACGGGAACTGTAACCTAGGAGCTGGACCAGGTAGGTTGAAAGCAGATGGTGTTGCTCCCATATAAGACTGAGAAGGCGGTTGGGTTCTATTTCCCGAGCAACACGATTGCGACGGGGTGGCAGATGGCTGCGCAGCCAACTGCTCTTGCTGGCCCATATCCATGGCGAACTGCTGCAGTTGCAGCATGTTCATCGACATGGACGTGTTCTGATTTTGTGACCGAGCTTCTGCTGGCTGAATTTGAGGCTGATATCCAGGATACTCGAAGACGTTTGGAGCGGGTTGGTATCCGAAAGAGTAAGAGCCAAGCTGGTGTGTTGGTTGCGAAGGTTGTTGTGCGAACGGGTGGTACTGCACCATTTGATCAGGGTAGCCGAGATGCATACCGGGTGGTGCTGGTCGGTGTGGCATAGTGCTTCGTTGGTATGGGTACAGGTCGGGCTGCTCGAGGGCTCTGGCCTGGCTTGCTTGGCGCTCTGCATCTCGCATCGCTTCTTCGAGTTCTACCTGGTTATTGTACATTACCGTGACGGGAATACCCCCTCCTTGCAGAAAGGTCCATTGTTCCTTTGTGAGGTGACAGCACAGCTCGCGATTTGTCTTGCAATCACATCCTGGTGTCTTGGGATGCCCACAGTCCCTTGGAGGCCTTCCCGGGTCTGGTCGTCTGAACAGAATCTTGTCGAAGTGTTTCTTGGGGTTGCACTGTGGTGCTCGGTGACCCGCCATACAAGTGCCNGCTGCGACATACATTAGCCACTGAGCCTCGCGCAATAGAGATGAAGAAGAAACTTGATCGAGCTTGCGACTCGGAAGAGACGATGATGAAAGAAGATGTGTTACTTACCAGGCGAACCTGTAAACCTTGCCGTTGGCTTGATTTCGGATGTTTATCAGATTTTTAAGTGCTGGCCTCGATGGCTCTGTTGGGTCCTTCTTGCCTGCACGAGGGTTATTTGTTGTCTTGCGCGGTTTTGCGGCTGGTTTGCCGACGCGTGATCCTTGAAGCATCTTGGAAAGATGGCAGAGGATGATAGAGGGTAGTAAGGATGAAGTCGATGATAGAGGATAGTAAGGGTAGATGTGGGTGATAGAGGATGGTGAGGATAAAGTTAGATATCAGAGGTGGTGTTGACGCAAACTGTGCTGGACGGACGTCAGGGGAGAAATTTGGTGAAAAGAGGAAAGAAGGAAGAAGCGAGAGACGACTGCTCTTTTGAACGCTTAGAGAATAGGTCGACTCACTTTGCTCTTGAGTGGCCATGGCATCAGTCATTTTCGCGATTCCACGTGGGTGACTGCCACACTCAACCCGCCAAAAGAACTGATCGTGAATTCTATGGCTCTCAGAGCAAGACGCTCGTTCAGACAATTATAGCGATGACCTGTATAACTTTACTCCTAAAGTCTATTCATGCGGGTAGACTATAGCGATGGTTTGATAGTGTCAGATACGGTATGTGCAACGAGTGGAGTTGACCGACCCCAGCGAACGACGGGAGTTTGGCGGTTTTGGTGCTCGCATGCACGGGCCACCTCATCGGAACGCTCGCCGATGAGATTTCGGTTCGCGATGAATTATCTCACTTCTGGGGAAGAAAAATCCATTACAAGACGACCATTCACCACAACCACTACCAATTGACCAACATGTCAGACTCCGAAGGTGAATTGGGCATTTTGAGGAACCGGAAGGGTTCTACGAAGCTGAGAAAGAGCCCACTTTTGTGGATTATACTTTGCAAAGCGGTTTGAAGCTGAATTTACGCCTGGTCGGGCATAATCCCCTATGGGTAAGCTTTCCCTTATTCAATTCTTCATCGACTGTATGGTCGTGCACAGTCGGACCCCAGAACATTCCATGCCGGTCACCCCAGGTGTTGGTTGGAAGGTGTTGCTCTGCCAAGTATGGCAGCGAGTGACGCATCAAATGGCGTAGCTTGGATACTCCTCCATAACCAATACAATGCGATCATGCGACAGGCCGAATCCAGAGCAATCCAGGATCCGAGCGTCGCTGCTTCGACAGCTGTCATTCATGAATCGACGGTGGTCATGGTAAACCGCTTTTGAACATCGGCTGATATCGAACACAGGGTCATTTTCTCTGGAACGCTGGCCGTACGATTGCCCTGTACTTTGAATCAAACCCGCACCTTGTCAAGTCCAAAACTGTTCTGGAGCTAGGTGCTGGTGCCGGACTTCCTTCTCTGATCTCAGCACATCTCTCCGCGAAACGCGTTGTTGTCACCGACTATCCTGATGCTGATCTCATTACCAACCTTTCCTACAACATTGACTCATGTGCCCCGTCACTATCCATCGTTGCCAAAGGGTTCCTCTGGGGTGCTGATACATCAAATTTGATCGAGGAGGTGAAGCCGGATGAGGCTTTTGATGTCTTGATTCTGGCTGATCTGTTATTCAATCACTCCGAGCATACAAAGCTTGTCCAGACTGTCACCAAGTCTTTGAAGAAAGACGGCACCGCGCTTGTATTTNTTACCCCGTACAGACCATGGCTTTTGGAGAAAGATCTGGCTTTCTTTGATCTGGCGAAGGAGAACGGATTGAGTGTCAATAAGGTTTTGGAGAAGGTCATGGATAAGGTCATGTTCGAAGAAGACCCTGGCGTACGTAGTTCTTCACTGCGAAGTTTCCAAACGATGCTGACCACATAATTAGNNGACGAACTTCTCCGTCGTACCGTCTTTGGTTACGAGCTGAGGTGGGCTTAGGTGCATTTCGGAGCAGCCATCCAGTGGCTACTTTGGAGACGGTTTCAGGCTTCATGGACACTGAAGCAGAGACGAGGTTGTGCATTGGTCCGTTACATGCGTATACCCAGAGTGTGGTTATGATGAAAGAGTCTGGTGAAAATTGGTCAAACGCAAGAGTAAGACCTTCTACCAACCTCCAGGGCCTCCACGACCACCATGAGGTCCACCGCCCATTCCTCCCGGACCTCCACCAAACTGAGCTCCACCCATACCACCCGAATTAGCATGGTGACCACCATGGTGGCCCTCACGACCCATTCCCATATCGCCTGTAGGGCCACCCATACCGCCTGGAGGACCAAATTGTCCTCCTTGTTGCGAAGCCCCACCGAAACCTCCACCGGAATGGTGACCACCGAACTCCTGGCGACCACCGTTCATGCCCATGCCGCCACCACCGTAGCCGCCTTGGGGTTGGCCATAACTCTGTTGACCAAAGCCCTGCTGACCGAAGCTTTGTTGTTGATGAGAAGGCCTTGCTTTGGTTAGTGGAAATGGGAAAAGTTCTGAAAGATTCAATGCATACATGTGCTGCTGTTCATGCTTCTTATCGCCGTGGTGGAGCACCTTCTCCTCGAGCTTGTGTATGAGACCCATGGTTGTTTATGTGTGTTGTTTTGCTAGACGAACTTATAGCTTGTTTGGTATTTCGATTTCGTCTCTCGATGGCACCTCTTGCTCCTTATAAGATACCTTTGTTGCCATTTACAACTTGTTCGAGAATCGATTCTGCTGTGGATCTACGCAGTTGGATATGAACATGATGTCAGTCTATAGCTTGGCATCCAAGTGTGCCTTGATACAGCGTCTTTCTTCCAGGGGAGAGCTGCTTTGGACGCGCGGACTTTGCTTGTCAGGGCTTCGAATTTGCATCCGGGATAACTCGGAGTATCAAAGCTGTTCTGCTTTGTGAACGTGGCATAAGAACTCTGATTCGCAAACTCTATGGGTATATTTCCTGCTGACCTATCGATTGTGCGAGATTTGTGTGACTGTTCAAATAGTTGAGTCACGGTCTAAGCGGTAACATGCTCAAACCGGAGGCAGTTCCAAAGAAGGAGGCATCCCACAAGTGGGGCTGCCTGGTTGACTCGCCTCGAGGGTCCTTCTTGGCAACTACGGACTTGGCTCCTGCCAGCCACACTTGTTGCCGTGCCGATCTTCTCGAACGTCATTCCTTTCATCACCATCCAGGACTGCCATTGACTTCAATCCTTAGCAAGCAAGCAATAAATTGGCCATGCCGTCAGGCTTGCATCAACCTTGAAGGAGACCATCCAGCAGCCCGATGAAGACCATACGAAAGACAACAGTCGACCGCTGCCTTGATACGAACGTCCGATGCCATGATTGCTCGATTCTCTGGCGGTTCATCGATATCATCCTCTCCAGATCAAGGACTATGCTATACAGGCCGAAGTGTTTGACCATCACTAAGCGATCGGCTTCATTCTACGGAGAAGGAACCATGATACTGCGATGTTCTCTCCAGGATTGAAAGATGTCTGCCAAAAGTAATCGATATACCATTCCTCAGTGGAGGCTTATCTAACCAACCACTCCAACAAGAATCGAGCGACGATACTTCCTGACCGATTCTGGCGTTTGGACTGGCCGCACCATCGCGAATCACTGCACGTCAGTGAATGCCTGTACGAATTGCAATGCAGCGCACACCACACTGTTGTGCTGGCTAATGGCCAATTTTACCCATCGCCATCCCACTCGGATTGAACCTTGTCAGACGCCATGTTGAAGCAGAAGGCACGCGAGACTTTGTTACAATCCGAACCACATGGGAAGTATTTCTGGACACGATGCACAAGGAAAATGATACTATTATTTCTAACCATAAAAGTGGCGATCTCATCTATTGACCCTGATCTGAACAATCACCGCCAGCAGTTTTCGATTAGATCATCTCCCTGTTTTTTCCCCATCAGATTCTTTCCCTACACCTCTGTTTTACATGCTGTGGACAAGAAGCCTCTTTGTTTTCTCTTTTTTGTTTTTCTTTTTGGCAGAACTCCAGGACATGAGGATTTGCTTCATCCTGTCCTAGTGAGCATGCTTTGTGCTGTGTTCGAGGTACCACTCGCGATGACGCTCCGCTGTCAACACGATGACATGTCGAAGGACGGCCATTACTTTTTGAATACCGTTAGCCCATCCCATGGAGCCAATCAGATCGTCGTACAGCTGGACGGTACTTCCGTCTTTGATTGCGAACCCAACTCTCCACCAACTTCCATCCACTACGAAGTATGGAAGTGGCCATCGGTATTTATCATACCCGATCCGAATTTGCTCGAGGGAAGTGAAATATTGTAAGCACCACTTCCAGAGGCGGTCCATCGAGTTGTCTTGAGAAGTTCTTTGGACTATGATCGGACATACTGGGATGAGATTCAAAGCCTCACGTTTCGCTTGGTGCGCTCGCCAATAGCTTGCTTTTAGACAGAGAACCACGTCAATCTCGTTCTCGGGGTCACCATCATTCTCAGACCCCTTGACGCAGACGATCTCTTCTTCCAGTCCGTAGAAATTGAGCAAGCGTTTCAGGAAAGGATGAGCGCATGTCGTATCCCAATCAAGACCCATTGCCACCATGATGGAAGGCACCGGGAGTTCTATCCCGGGCAGCGCGCATAAACTTGTCCTTTGCTTGAGGGCTCTCAAAGCACCGCCGACGAAGAGATAAGTCAGAAAGTGTCGAATGATCTTCAGCAAGTTCCGGGACGCTGGATCAAGGGGCTGGTTGTTGAGGGTCGGACACGCGAGTGCGCGTGATCCTTCGCCGGTGTTACAGGCATCGCAGTCCTTTTCTTTAGGGCGACTGGTAGATCCCCACTTGTTCTTCCTTGGATCGTGGACATGAAGTTGGAGACGAGGGGTTGGTGTCACGGTCATGGCTGAGGTCATTTGAGAGTCGTCATCATCCGAGTCTCGTTCGGACGAGACTGGAGAATAGATCTCGTGAACTTCTTCGGGATTCAACGAGAATTTCTCGTCGGTGATTTTTCGATCTGGATCGAAAGAAGGATCCTGTATCATGGCTTCCAGACCAAAGTCAGAGAGGTTTGGCTGATGACCAGTCGAGCAGGTGATGGGCAAGGATGTTTTGGACGAGGAGCTGACACGGAATATCATCTGGTGCAGTTCTGGAGTTGAGCTTGATGATGATGTTGTTGCCGATATCGTAGAGTAAAGCTGTCGTTGGTGATTTGAAGGAAGAATCAAGTGTTGATAAAGGAAGAGAGATATGTGATGAGAAACAAAGGAAGAAGAGGTCTGAGTACATGCTTTATACCCAGCCTGATTGTCGGTGCCTCAAGACATTACTCATAAGCACGAGGTGGACGCGAGTGACTGGAGTAGAAATTTCGCGAAACTACGAACAACTCACTCGAACTCTGTAAAGGACCCCTCCGTCACAGGATGCATCATATTCGAACCAGCACTCAAACAAGAGACTTGGTATCAAATGATGTCTCGTTCTTTTATTGTAACCCAACTAACAAATTTACATTGTAAGGCGATGAGAACTACATGGGATATCTCATCTTTCTTCCGACTGGATTGAATGTATTTTTTCTCGGTCTTCCAAAGTTGACCTTGAGTGCGTTGACACGTTTTTACCCTGCAACCAGAACCAAATTTGCTCGATCACTGAAGTATGCCTGCATTTCAAATCCACGCTCTCGACGGAAAAACCATCGCAATGCTCTCACTCGGTCTTTGTCTATTGATATCCTACGTAAGCGTTTATCGTTGACGACAGGTAGGGAACACTTATTTTCGAATATTATGCCATGGCCATCAAGGTAATTTGTACATCTCCGCATGATATCATGCATAGATAAGCATAATATATATATCATATCTCATTCACCTATCAGAAGAAATGTCCATTACACCCCAGCTGGTACATTGCAGCCTGCAAAGGAGAATCCCGTCAAGGAGTGGTCAGATGCAAGACGTGATGGCACATAAAGAGTCAGTAAGAGTTCGAAAGCGGAAACGAAACTCCTTCTGTGTGGCGAGACTGACAGTGACTCACACCCCTTTCCAGATCCTCTTCATCCAAACAGGAACATCGACATCTTGTAGCTGTGACTTCAGATCATCACGTACAGCATTCGGTATCTCGCTGTACTCATGCACGCTCAGGTTGGTGCACATTTCCACTTCTATCAACGGATATGATCGCTTACAAGTCTTCGAGCAGGATGATCTACCCCTGAGTCCGTCGTCTGTTCGCCTTCCACCTTTTTACCTATACCCTGTACCTTTCGATCGTGTTCGTAGCCATCATCGAGATCGTATCCTAGGATCCACCCTAGAGGGCCTCACGAGTCTCACGATGATCAAGGCAGTGAGGGTGTCGATGCCAACGTCATCAGTATGATCAGTTGTATCTACTGTACGCCGTGTCGTACCATGTAGGCGTCAAAACAGATAAAGAAGCTGTCAGTAGAACACTCCAGGTGACTGATGCTTGTCTCACCTATCTCTCCTGGGAATGCAACCGCCATTGAGATCCGGACGATTATAGACAACAGATGTATACGTGGTACACACAGTATCTTACAGACTTGATTGCGCAGATCAACATTGATTGTTTTAGGCGGATCATGCTTGTGATCTACAGCACCTTCACATCCTCATGCTCCATACCTTGTCGAACAACACGGAGATGTAAGTGGTGCATCCCGACACGACCGTAAGGGGAGGGTGAGGTTGAACTGTGACTCATGGGGCTCAAAGGAGTCTAAAGACCCAAGACCCATAAACAGATCACTACACTTCTGGTCTAATACAACATTCACCTCGCCACGAAAGCATTTTCAGAAGTCATTCTCCGCCTACTCGGGAAGCCGCAATGGTGACGACCACAGTGGGGACTGGAAGGTGCAATGCTGCTTTACTTCGTTCCTTGTTTGTGACGCTCCTCTGCACTGCTCTTGCCAATCTTACCTCCCTTACTGAGTCGGGTTCTCCGAATCACCCTGCGGTGATCAGGATACCGTCAGCTCGAGCTGCACTCCGTTTCCTATTACCAGTGCTCCCCTCTAACTTCTCATGTGCCGCAATACTGTTAAGGTCTAGGTGTTGAGAACTCTCGGATATAATCCTAACAACAACTACAGCATTACACTTACAAACACAATCCATCACCCTTGATCATCGGCATGTGTGTTGACTAGACTTTTCCATAAAGCTCAATACCCGAATTATCACTGTCTACGATCGATTGAGTTGCAAAGTTCGCCGACACTCATAAGAGCTGTGCTTCGACGCTTGTACCCAACCACCTGATTGATATCTCTCTGCCATCGATCACCTTCGTCTACACGATTATGCTCGTACACGAGCACCATAAGCTGTAGACCACTGGGAACTATGGTACAAACCACAAAACATAGGCTTCCTGCATAAAATGCTCAGAAGCACGAGGAACGGTGATGCCATAACTTAGATATCCACACGAGAGAAGGTCGGGAGTTGCAGAGCGAGAATGCCAGGCAGTCTCTAGCGTATAGAAAATCCAGTCTGTTCTTCGAGATGATCAGTCTGGAATTTTGATGAAAGGACGTCTATCACCTTCGGCAAGACTTGCCTATGATACCGCTGGAAAATAGTCGGCACAACCATCAATCACGGAACCAGCAAGATCGCGCGAAGAAAAACAGGCAGATGCAAGTGGATTAGAATAACGATATGTAGAATACTATGCTTAGTCATTTACTCATGATGCATGACTCCAAGTGTTAGATCTTGCTCTCTTTGCCGTTCAACTCGCAGAAAGCCTTGAAGGTGACCAAAGGCTCATCGCTAGAGCTTTCAAGGACACACTTGGCAGTGGCGCCAACGAAGAAGACGTATCCCTCCTTCAACTCCTCCTCTTTGGGACCAACACTGATCTTGCCTGAACCCTTTGTGCAAATGATGATGCTGGGACCATCGATGGACTCGAAAGTGGCCTTGGCACCGGGCTTGTTGAGGTCGGTCTTGACGACGCTAAACTCCTCGATCGGGGGGTCGTAGAGAGTGGAAGAGGAACTGGAGCTGTAGGCGGTGGTGTTCAGTGTGACGAAGGGGTAGTCGGTGGGAATCATCTTCTGTTCGCTGATGGGTGCGTATGAGTAGGTGAGCATATCGGTAAGGGTATCGACGTCCTTGAACTTTGGGGTAAAGCCAGCGCGAACGACGTTGTCGGAAGAGGCCATGCACTCGATGATGTCTNNAAACGGGTTAGCGAAGGTCAGACAAGTAGGAAAGGACAAGAAATCACCTCCGGAGAGATAGGCGTGGATATCGTCAGCCTTGAGGAACATGGCCTCGCCAACCTCGAGCTTGACGTAGTTGAGGAAGAAGGTGACGAAAAGGCCAATGTCGTTGGGGAACTGGCCCTGGAGTCGGAGCATCAAATCTGCGAGTTCCTTGCCGTTATTTGAAGGGCCGCCGTTGCCAGCGAACTTATCACCCTCGTCCTTTGCTTGTTGGATGAGGTCCTTGGCGTGCTTTTCAATATCTTCTGGCTTGCTCTTCATTAGACCACGGAAAGCAGCCTGCAGAGCCTGTTTGTTGTCTGAAGCCTTGGACTCGTCTTCTGATGTTTCTTGACCCTTGACCGTCTCTTGGAATTTCTTTGCCTCGTCTTCTCCTACCAGGCTCTTGAAGCTGGGTACTGTGTCGAGGAAATGCGAGATCTCAGCTAGGGGACGGAAGCCACAGAGACCGTCAAAGGGAGTAATGGCAAGTGCCATCTCGGGCTTGTGGTTGTCATCGGGGTAGTTCTTGGGGTCTTTCTCGTGCAGCTTTGCGGCCAGCTTCTTGTTGGGGTGGGCTTGAATAGACAGGGCCTTGTTGACCGAGAGCACCTTGAACAGGAAGGGCAGCTTCTTCTGGTACTTTTCCGAAATTTCGTTGGACATCAAGGCTTCATTGTCCTGTACAAGGTCGAGCAGAGTGCGCTGGGTGTGCAGGTCCTTGGAGGGGTTGCTGGGGTGTGTGCCCATCCATAGCTCGGCGTAGGGCTTCTCTTCTTGGATGCTAAAGTCGGAAGGGGTGGCAGAGGCGAAGCGAGCGGCAGCAGAGTCCTTGCCGACCTTTCCTATACATGTCTATCAGTCTTTTGCGTGGGTTGTGGTGATTGTCGCAAGGGCAAATTACCCCACTCATAGCTGTTGCAACCTTCAAATCGTCATGTCAGTCAACTGGCATTTTCATCCGTCTCAGAGCAGTCTTACCGCATTGCAGGCGAATCAAAGGAATCTGCATTTTGATATTCTCTCAAAGGTGATGCGACAAAGTAGACAGAGCGACGAGGGTTTGTTGTATATCAAATGGTTAAAAAAGAAAGGGGTGATGCTCCGCCGCGTCACAGCTGACCACTTCACCGAAGCTTCCGCCGAGGGGTTCCTGGACGTTCCCCCTTTCCTACACCTGCATCTACTCCAGCTCGATCTCTTCTTCCAACGGCTCCCTTGCACGTATCCTGACCTTGTCTGAGAGTATGAAATCACCTGACTTGCCTGCCATCACAATTTGATCTTTTGTGACTCGCATAACCTCCTTATCAAATTCTCTCAAACAACATCATGACCCGAGAGTCGCTTGCATCACGGACGGTCTTGATTGTCGTGAATTGTCTATAACACCCTCTGTCTTCTACTGCTTGTAGCCAACCAAATCTCAGAGTCTCAATGATAAGCCAGGCCAATGATGCGCTTTCTCACAGAAAATAACTCAGGCCCACGCAACTGTATAAGACTAAGACTCAATTGCTCATACCACCAGCTGCTCGAGCTCAATACTCAAGCTTCTTCAATCTTAGTGTTAAGTATAAAACCATCCACTTCGCCGTTACTCGCCTTTTTTTCTTCATACTTCTGCTGTAATTTATCGAACCGCACCATGTTCTCTCGCCTCAACTTCCTGCTATGTCTAGTGGCATTGGCCACTAGCCTGGTATCAGCTCTTCCCCTGACCCCAACCTCTACCCTTGTCTCAAGGCAAGAGGGCAATCCCCAGCGCGAGCTGTTCTGCCGCTACAATCCCCTGGACTGCCAGAGGGATTTCCCTTGGTACTGTCAGGACATGACAAAGCCCTCTCCGGAGTGGTGCGATGTTGTGAGTACACCCGTACCCGTACCTCAACTGGACACAAGCATCGTCGATATCCCCACCGACGACGACCACTCTCTCGTTCCCAGACAGGCGCACCAGGAGTCACCGGAAGAGGTCCTGAGGAAACAAACAGAGTTCTGCTACAAGAACGAAGGATACTGTTTAGATTTCTGCATATCTGAGGTCTGGGGTTTCTGCGACGAGGTTCATTGCCGAGTCTTCCCTTCCAAATGCAGAAAGCTGTTTAGCGATATTCGCTGCCACAAATGGGGAGGTCCATGGTGGTGCGACCCCAATGCCGACGCGCCGCCTGTGTCTCCACCGGTCTTGAAGAGGGAGGTGACCAACCCCGTCGAGCGCGGACCTTCCGACCACAACGAGGCACGCGAGCAGTTCTGCAAATACAACCCCTTAGTATGCAGAAGGGACTTCGCTTCCCAGTGCATCGGTAAGAAGGAGGACGTTCCATCCTGGTGCGATCCAAAAGCCGCTCCGCCAGTTCTGGAAGACGAGACAGACGTCACTCAGCCTGGCAACCCCCAACGTGAGCTTTTCTGCAGGTACAATCCCTCAGACTGCAGAAGGGATTTCGCTTCCCAGTGCAAGGGTAACAAGGAGGACGTTCCATCTTGGTGCGATCCAACTCTGGATGAGACAGCCGTCAATGATGGCGATGTTTACCGTGACCTCTTCTGCATCCACAATCCTTTGGCGTGCAGAAAGCAGTGGCCTTCTCTATGCACTGGAGACAAGGAGTATGATCCCTCGTGGTGCCACCCCACCGGCAAACCGTCAGCCTCGGAAGCAGAGACCTCCAACCTCGTCGCCCGCAGCCCCCGAGACGACCCCGAGAAGCAGGACCCCGAAGAACCTCGCCCCATCGAGCGTTCTTGGTGCAAGAAACACCCCAACCACCCCTACTGCTACTCACAGTTCTGCCGTGATCACCCAGGCTCGTGCATGGAAGTTGCTGTCGAATCTGCTGCCATCCCCCTCCCCCTCCACCCACTGCTCAGGCCATCGTCACTGCCACCACTGTGACCAAGGAGTACATGGTTCCCGAGAAGACTGCTGCATCTTCTCAGGTTGCTAAGCCTTCTTCCACGAGCAAGGGTGGGGACAACACACCCTCGCTCTACAAGCGCGGTGGATGGTACTGCTTGTGGTTGTGTTGATTGATTTGGCTGCCCTTGCTCTCCTCTCCTCTCACCCCTTGGGCTTGCCTGGTTGCCTTTTGCTCTCTGACCTTGATTCCTTCTTCCTTGCACCTGATTCTTCACCCCCTTTCTTACCGCCCACGTCCACCTTGCCTTGTTTCTGATGTTGTTCAAGACCACAAAAAAATATCGTTATCTCGCTTTAGTTTAGGATAGTACGCTGCAATACAAACAAAAGATCTTCCCCTCATTCAGTCTCGCAAAATACACACTTATAAAAAGGCACAAATATGTTTGAAAAGCAAATCATGTCCACAGAGAGCTGCCAAGTTATTGGCTTCTCACTGGAAATATGGTGTTTAGTAATACTATTGTGCATCTTTACGACTACATGCGTTATATACTTTGGAACACGGAGAGGGCTGTGAGGGAGTTTTCAATAAGAATCAAGCACTCAACATCAATCACGAAGACGAGCAATGAATTACGCGTTCAAAGAAAACAGATTGTAGTGTAGTAATGGAATTAGTTAATTGTTCTCGCTGATTTGGGGGGAGTAATACACATTTACATAAAAACGAGAAGAAGAAAAAAGGACAAACAAATGTTGAGCCGACACGGAAATCACCTGTACTCCTTCGTTGATTAAGTATAGTACGAAGGACAGAGAGAAATCATAAATGCCGAAGCGTCGAAGAATCAGAAGTAGGAAAATCGAGATGACCTCTGGAGCTGGGCCGCTTCTCCATTTTTGGTATGTCCACATTGGACATGAGGTAGGGACCTCCTGCTTGATATCAAGCTACCGGCCACCCGCTAGTAAGATTGTGCGAATCACACGTTTTCCTGTCAGAGTGTGTCCACCAAGTAGCTGATGTTCTTGAGAGAGTCCGAGAGGGTAGGTTGCGAGATGAGAGAGACCAGTGCTATCCAAGCAGACTCATAGAAATCCGTTCGAAAGTTTTCTACCCTTATTGACCGTTGTTCTTCTTTGGCAGACCAAGAGTAAGACCAACAGCCAGTCCAACGATGATACAGATAATGACAACGATGAGCAGGCACCACCATTTCAGGCGACGGGCGCGACGAGCGTGTGTGATACCCTTGTCGAGTTGCACATTACCAGCCTCAGTGTCTTTCTTAACGTTCTCGGTGTGCTGCTCAGCTTGCTGAATCATGGGTTCCTGGATGACAACAGCCTCGGCAAGATCCTCGAACAGCTTGTTCAACTCGATAAGAGTACGCTCGATCTGTTGGATGTCGTTGTGACGGGCACGCACTGCACCAAGGACAGTGCTAGCGGTGGCTGAACGGTTGGTCTTGAGCNNTAGAGACGGAGTCAGTACACGCGGTCCAAAGTGAGCGAAAAGCAAACATACAGCAGTCTGGAATACACCCTCGTTGCCCCAGTCGGCATTGGCTGCCTCCTGGACTTCGGCATCGGTAGCCTCAGGGTTGACAATGCGATATTGACGGGCGATTTGTTCACGATAGCGGCGTTCATAACTGGCCTCTTCGTTGCGGTACTCCTCGAGCTGCTTCTTGAAGCTTGTCTTGAGCTGGCCAACCTGGCTGTTCTTGATGTTGTTGTTGCGTCCGCTTCTGGCAGCATCCGTCTCGAGGAACTTGATCTGATCCTTGATGGAAGTGTTGAGAACTTGTGTCTGGGTCACAATCGACTCGAGGGCCTGGTTGGAAGAAGCGTCGGGGCTGTTGAGTGTGCGCTGGTGGGCTGCGGCAATTTCGGAAATGTACTGGGTCAATTGACGGATGTCGGCCTTTGCGGCTTCGACGCGCGACAAGAAGTCCTGGTTGCTGAGAACAGTAGGGGCTGCCTGGTGCATTGGGGCTTGAGTTCCTGTGGCTGCGACACCGCTGACCTGGCCAGGTACACCAGCAGCTGCCGGTGTGCTATACTGCGAGTCCTGAGTCATGGCCGAGTAGTTGGACTCGCCATGACGGGTGGGTGCCGGAGGTTGGAGAGGCTGCTGCTAAAGATAGTCAGTATATTGGCTGTTGCGACAAGTCTGACAAAACACACATCTNCCGTAGGGGTTCGCTTGGCCGTATCCCTCGTTGCCGTATGGGTTGTCGCCATCACCGTAGGGGTTTCCCGCATATTGATTGTTGTTGTTGTTGTAAGCCATGTTTCGGCGCGAGCGCAATTGATGCGCGAGTAATTATTAAGATGCTGGCGTAATGTTTCTGAAGAAGAGAGAGCCTCGACGACGAAAGAGTGAGATGGCGCTTCGACTCGACGATACGTGCAAGGGCGAGATGCGGGTGGGTATTAGGCAGGAGCGACGACGGTCGGTTCACAAAAGAAAGCACGCGACGGGATGTTGCAGTCCTCGAGGAAGGCGCGACGACGAATGTGTAGAGGATGCAAAATGGGTTGAACACTGCAGCAGGCAGGCAGTCAAGGTTCGGTTCGTGATTGAGCGCTTGGACTGGAGCGACGGGTGCAGCGACGACTGTTCGTTGCCATTGGCCAACGTCAGGTTTCCCAGGCACAGGATCGTCCTGCCGCCCTCTTTCAAATTTCCCGTATGCCAACACCAAAACAATCATTTCAAGTCTCTATATCAACCCTCATGTCTGCCAGCGCTTTCTTGTGGTTGTTCTTCATAGAGAAACGACTTGTCTCTTGCGTCCGAGAGCCACACCAGTCGAAACACGATGGCCAACTCTTCTGCAGGCTGCCCGTCATGAAACAACGGTGAACAACGCGCAAACAGCACGCCTGCGCATATGCCATCTTTTTCCCACTTTCCATACTTCTGAAGTTGCTATGCCGATCTTCCCATCTTCTCGTTTAACTTCTGTCAGACAATTGCTTCAACTTCGTCATACTCACCGCCTCAAGGTACTGAAGACACAATGACGACGGTCGTGCTAAGAATACAGTGTAGATGGCTAGGCTGCCGCCCCCAGCCAACTCAATCGCCGCTCTGATCGTTGTGACACATTGAATCTGGGGGAGTAACATGCAGGGTAATTTGATAGGGAGGACATTGGAGACATATTTGCTCTTGAATAATTTGCATTCTGCCTCTTGCGAGGCCTCGTCCTTGTAAAAGCTAAACCGATGTTGTGTTGTACAAGAAAAACATGGGGAATCTCTAGAAAGTCCCATTCCCAGGTCTTCATCATCATTCGTGAGCCAACCAACGCCATACTAAAAAGACAGCCATCATGAAAACGCCTCCCATTCCATTTATCATCCAATCGTAAACCGTAACGCACTGATAATGCATGCTTTGAAAGTGATCTGACCAAGAATGGTCGCATTACATCTCAAGGTCGTCAAAGTCTCTCATCATGACGGCCATCTGCGCACGCTTGGCAGCCTCAGCAAGAAGGCTGAAGTCCTGCAGGAATGGTGAAGCGTCGTTCAGGCCTCTGGGTCTCTGCTCCTCGCAGAAACTACCACGATGTTGCTGAGGGTACTGAGGCATTTGTTGGTAGTAGTTGTTCTCTGCAGGAGGCAAAGAGAACTGAGACTGGCTTGAAGGCGACGACACAGGCGCGGCAGAGACCAAGGTAGGTGATTGACGAGAGTTCATGTTGGTCTGGTCAGGGCTGGTGTTGATGGAAGCCAATGATGAGAGGCTAGCCGAGCTTGTGAAGGTGGATTGGTTGTAGGAAGCTTGGGGATAGGCAGGTCTCTGCTGAGCGTAGAAGTGTTGGTTTGAGTGAGAGTCCATTGTGTTTTGTAGTTTGAAGTCGACTGACAAAACTGGAGAAGGTTTGTGGAGGAATGCGGAGAAGAGAGTGAACAGGGGAGAGCTGGACTTTAAGCGCGTTGGAAAGAGTCGGCTATGACGACTGAAAGGGATGTAGGATCGAAGGGCGAGTCAAGTGGATGTAAGGATCGGCTGTGAGGGCCTGCTCTGCTCTCGGCCGACTTGGGAAAATGAGTCGTGTGAGAGAGGAAAATAAGCCGAGGGATAGATCCAACGTTCAAAAGGGCTGCCACAGGAGTCGGCTAAAGACCAAGTGACTGGCAAAGGTCGGGTGGAAGGACGGGCAGAATCCGCGTGATAGGCGCACACGAATCTTGTTAGATCGGCAAGTGCGTGGGGGATCTGGGGATTGACGGCGATAAAAGCAAAAAAGGCTAATGTGTCAAGTCGTTTGGGGCTGCGTATGTGTGTGTGTTGATTTTGACGGGTGACGGAAACAACTGGGAGCTGGAAGAAAGGAACGGAGGGAAGAGCAGGGAAGAAATACTGGACTCGTCAGATCTTGCTCGGCCCTGTAAACCACAGTGGATCGCCTCATCCCCCACACACAACAACGACATGAACCCGCACCAACCCGCACTCTTACTGCCGGGCCGACAGTTGGCCTTGCCATGAGGTGATTCTTTGCGCGCTATCTACGAATTCGGTCTTCTGCCGAGAGGAAAATTGCGGCAGACCGAGAAAGGCCGGGGAAGGTGCGCGCTTGGTGCTCTTTCCGTCTCGGGGTACCTGCTCGGCACTACGTAGCCAGCCATTTCCCTGCGCAGAGAAGACCGAGTAATCGGCGCTTCTTTGCAATCCTCAGACTTCAAACATAACAGTCTGTGACAAAGGCCATCATGCATCTGAGCTGATCATGTCTCTAGACAAGCACGATCGTCTTGCTCATCGCTCAGGCGTGTCAGGCCCTTCTCTGTCGCTAGGGGGAGTAAATCCACATCCTGAAAGACGATTCGTGCGTCGTGGCCTAGATTTCAGCCTGGAAGAACTCTGTCGTGGTCTGTCCAACTGCAGACCCTCAAGCAGTTGTCCTGGGCCCTTCGACCGTGTCAATCTCTCTAAAAAGGTCACATGGGCAGTATCGATTCAAGTCTTCGATCCGCCTGAGAAGTGTGCCTGGTCCCAAACCGCATTAAGAGAATGTTCTATTGCACATCTAACGTTCACGTTTGCTCGCTAGCGAAGACGGCAGTATCAGCGTCCAGGCTCGAGGAGTCGAGGGTGGGTGGTCAATTGATCGTCCAAGACATAACATATCTGCATCATGGAGGGGGAGATCTTATCAAAACGATTGCAGCTTCAGCAGCGAGGCCAGAACTTGTGTTTCTGACCACATGTTGTTCAACTGCCGTTCCTTTGGACTCTGCATACTCGCACAGGAGGCTGGTTTACTCTCATTGATCTGCTCGCTGGAAATGATTATGGTTCGCATTGATCGGTCCGTATATCAAAGAATTCTCAGCAAGCGAGGAGGACTCAAATACAGACGCTAGGTCTCCACTTGGACAACGGACAAGGGCACGATCTCGAGTGTGGGGTGGATGGCGCCCTGGGGAAGACCCACATCCCGTTTCTTTCTCGTCTCAATGTGTGAATCTCAGAGAGCTTTGCTTCCACACGAAGATCCATCTTCCCCGAGAGACGTGCGAGACCTGAACACAACAGACATCAGGCTGTCCATCGCTACGAACGCACATGCTGTGTCGGCGCAAGAAACAGAGGTATGAGGATTCGTTCCGCAGCATCCGATAATGCTGTCGGTTAACCAACAATCTCTTTCGGCATGCTCGGTCAAATACATCGAGCAAGAGAAAACTCTTTTTCATCTTCGATAATTAACCCAACGATCAAATATTCCCAACCCCTTTACAAAGGCACAAGGAGCACCTTCGTCATCACAGTGTAGATAAGATCCTTCGATACGCCTTCGATGCAGAAGAAGAGAGTTTACAAGTACATGAGTACATGTCGCATCGGCATCGCACCGGCTTCGAGTACGAGAAGGATGCATCGTCGTCATTTGTATCTTCTTACGCAGGCCAAGGCAGACGGCTCTTTTCTCAACCACCTTGCTTCTGTCCCCAGATTTCAAGACCGCATGGCATAAACGACAGAAGGTGGAGTGTTTTCACCGAGAATTCTTTGGTGCAGAAAAATGGTAAAAAAATGGCCGCAGTGTTGTAGCAGAGGAAGCATCCTCGGACCGATATATCACCATCTTGGTCTGAGGCACACGACTTCACGACAACCATTGTGAGAATGGCTGCGATGTTGACTGCAATCCTTTCATGTGCTCTCAAGATACCTGGTGCCAGATTTCGTCAGGATATGAACAGAATTCCTGTCGTTTGAACGTCTCGCTGCTTTGCAACAAGCTGGCTGCTCCTCCACATCCCGATGGCTGTACTACAGCACATCAAGCAAACTCCCCGTTCTCTCCTGGCTTAAGACTCTATCTCAGCGAGTGTCCTTAGTTCCACCACAATTGCTTCTCCACCCGGTCACCATACCTTCTCTGAACTGCAATGTTCACCACCTCTTCCCTGCCACCTCTCCACATCACCATAGCTGATACTTCGTGCCGACACCACCTCGGTCCGACACTTCCACTTGCCCCACGAACATGACTTGCCGAGAACGACCCAGCGCAAGTCCCGATCCTTCCCACTTTCCGAGGCATTTTCGTGGACAAACGGCGCATAACATCTTGGCATGGCATGTGAAAGTGTTCGGGAAAATTATTTGCGGAGCGGATGCAAAAATGTGGTGTGCTCGGAGGAAAATCAGCAAGCGCGGCAAGTGCGGGCGGATGTGGAGGAGACGTGGATGGTTTCGTGTCATGAAAGCTCCTCGAGGCGAGGCAAGCGCCATGGGGTCTGGACTCTGGAGTGAACAGGCGCCCATCGACCACGGTGCGCCGAGCACGAGAGGTATGGGCCGACAATGCCATTGTCGATTTGGCATTCGACTCTAGAACGATGCCACCAGGGGACTGTGGGCAGGGACCAGCCGTCGGCATGTATTGCCTACTCTGACAAAGATCCATCATCGTGAATATGGTATACACTCCTCCAGATAACTGATCACATTGTATGATTGCCCATGATTCAGGTAAGTTTCCAACACAGTGGCTGCAGAATTCAGAGGGGACTACCTTACAACAAACTAAAAAGGGGTATTGAGAACCGAAGACATGAAATACATGCAAGAGAAACAAACAGAAAGACATCAACATCAGAGATCTCCTCAAACACCCCTCCTACGCTTCTGCGGTCCAGGTCCCTTGTGCCCAGGTCCGCCAAAATCACTCCAATAGCTTCCACCATGACCAGGTCCAAGATTCACATCAGACCTGCATTTTGGCTGCTCAAAGTCTTCCGCTGTCCCGACCGGCCAGATGGGCAGGAAACAAATCTCATCGACCGCACAACCACGGCATTGCTTCCATGTCGTCCAGGCTAGATACTCCTTCAATTGCTTGATCTGGTCTAGAGCCTTGTCGTAGTCCGTTTGTTCAAGTGCGGTCACCAAGCTAGAGCATAGCGTATTTGTTACTTGTCGAATGGCTTGAGCTGCCACGTTGGTCGATGCGCTGGAAACATGACTAGGCATAAACTGCGAGGCGCATCTTTCGACCTCTGCACTGCTGTTACGAGCACTGTAGTCGATGAATGGGCGCAGCGCACGCTCAATCTCTGATTGCAATGCCTCGAGAGACTTTAGAGAACCAGAGACGATGTACTTGATGCGATCTGCGTAACGTGCAACAACCATGTCGGCGATAGCTTGCCAATTGACAGTTTCATAGTTATCGCTTTTGCGTAGAACCATCTTGTCCACGGCTCGGCGCATATCATCAATCGCAGCAGATCCGTTGTCGAGGCGAGGACGACCAGTACCGTCAAAGGATATGGCTTCCGGGTAGGCAAAAGCAGAGATAAAGTCCTCATAGTCGAGCACCACGCGACCTCCACCAATATCGTGATAACGAGCGGCGACAGCGCGGTAGTAATTGAAACCATCGCCATTGTCATTGCCCCCGCCAAAGCCACCACCAGCCTTAGGGTTCGTCTTCGCGATGCTGACAACATTCAGATGAGCAGCAAAGTCGCACAAGATGATCTCAAATCCACCTTCCATGCGGAGGATGCCATCAATGCGATGGTTCCATTTCTCATGAGCCAGCTTGCACAATTGAGCTGCGCGCTCTNNCTCGCCAAACATACCCGAGTCGTGGTCTATGCTGTCCTCTAGAAGCAGCACATCCTGGGTGTCAAGAGTTCCCTTGTTCGACTTTGCAGCGGATTGGCCGTCTACGTAAAGCAGGCGCAGACTATGTCTCGTGCGGTAAGTATGCAAGTATCCTGAACTTTGGTTTTCTGGATCGCCTGGGGCCAGTGGTTCTTGTTCTGCTCGTGTCTCAATCATCTCGGGTTGGATAAGTTCAGATGCTTTTTCGTGAGGAGGTGGTGCATGGCGCCGCTTAGGATTGCGCAGCAGGTCTCCTAGACGATGAACCCAGTAGCCGATCGGTGGCAGAGGAGATTCTCGGTGTTTGGGATGATCGTGACCACGATCATTAGAAGACTCGTGAGGTGACGGTGGTCCATGGTGCTCGTGATGAATCTGATCCTCATCAAGATGTTCATCATCGTATTCGAACCATTCTGGTGGAGGTTCGTGATGCCTAAATGGAGGGCCTCTGTGAGGGGGTCCACGATAGTCCNNCTCACCTGAAGGATCAGGACATGGAAGGTGACCTTCGCCAGGAGGGCAGCGCCGAGGTGGGTCATCATGAAGGCGTTCAGATGAAGCGCCGTGGCATCCTTTGTCGCTGTGAGTCTTGCCCGGGTGACCTTTGCCATCTATGCCATCACCATGTCTTGGTCGATCTTCAGGAAGATGGTGTTGCTTGTTTTCGTCTCCATCGACAAGCTTTGGGAGACTTGTGACTTCTTCAGATTGATAAGGCCCTCCTGGTGGTCGATGGTCCCCTTCATGTGGAGGTGCCTGACCATTGCCAGGAGGATGTCCAGGTGGCGGGCCTCGACGACCTCGGGCGAAGATCAAAGCATGCTCGGGCTCAAAGGCAAGCCATTGTGTGCCATTGACGCGGTCCTTCGTCGATGTTCCATGATAAAGCTCTGTCCCTTCAGGAACAGTAGCAATGAAGAGAGACATGCCATTGTGATTCAAAGACGAGCCAAATTGGCGCATGGAGTCATGAACCGCATTGAAGATATGATTTGCATGCGTAGTAGCATCAGTAGTCGGTTCTATATTAGTATTATCGGGTAATGGGCTTGCTGCAGCCAACCAGGGAAGGAGCAAGGGAAGAAGATATCGAGAGCATGGCATCTTGATCGAACTTCGCCTCAAGACTTGTGTTGGCTCCCGGATCTAGAGAATAGGTATGTGAAGGAAAAGGCTACAGATAAGTTCGAAGATATCGAAATGGTATTATCGAGCGCGTGTACGATGCATGGCCGCGCGTACCAAATCAGATGCCAAGCCGTTGCTTGCCATACCGTAAGCCTTGTTGGAAGGCATTGCGCCAGCTCGCGTCGTCGGCAGCTATTCATTCAAAATCACTATGTGCCGTGTGACGAATTGACTGCGCAATGATTTGCAAGTCTATCGTGAGATCGCTGCCTAGGATGATGCGAACTATGCATGGTGGGCAGGAGTTGAAGCTGATTGAATATGGGGTGAGGCGTTTGAGGAGATGTTTCGGAAAGGTGCAAATCCTCCGCGAAATCGATTTCTCTTCTTCTGTGTGGTTCACAGCCTTCTTTTCGTGCGATTCAACAACTCAATCCTGTCCGCCAAGACTGCTGGCGCAGAGAACGCGCATGCTACCAATAGAACATGTCAGAAAATCGAATCTAACGTGGCAATGTTAAACGAAGAGCCGACTGGCTGTCTGAGTTGTGGTCGATTTTCTTCTGGAAAGTAAGCCCGCAGCCGTCGGTGAATACAACCGATTCCCTCGACAGGGCTGACGACAACGACCATCCGATGCGACAACGCTCATCTACTTGACTATAATCTTATCAAATCCTGAGACCCATTGCGTTCTGTCTTTGAAGATGCATAATACTCTGTCAGAATGACGCCTACCAAGGTAATTTCAACAATCAGGACAGGCCTTCAATTACTCCTCAGGCAGGGAGCCCCTGTGGATTTCTGTATCTGATCATACTGCTCGAAGAAGATAATCCCATCATAAACTTAAAGACTTACCGCACAGTGTTGTCATCAACATACATCATGCATTACTCAAAAGCTCTCCGGCAGGGGCACCCTGTCGTAACCTTGACATCTATACCTGTCGACCACCATCAATACAAGAAAACAATGCTGCCACCTGGAGCGATTTGATCGAGTCAGGGCGACTTCCCCCTCTCTGAAAAGACCAGCGGGCTTTCCTTTCGTTAATGGTAAAGATCTGTGTTTTCTTCTTGCCAATCTGGCACTCTGGTCAAGATATCCTCATCACCGACTAGGCAAGAATTCGAAAACGAGAAAATGGATTTCATAGTAAGGGTTGTCTCCGGACTCATAATACACGGACAACAGCTCGAAGCATATGCCTAACTGTTCCTGAGGTATAGCACCGACAGTCACAAGATACACCTGCAAGCATCTTCTTGAGGTCCGAAAGCAGCGCCGAAAGCACCGCTACTCTATAAGTAACTGTGGTCATTCTACAGGTCCGAGGGGCCTATCTCTTAAGCGTGGATCGGACATTGAAACTGGTTACAAAGCTTGTTGTCCGGGTCAACCTATTGAAAGCTTAGCTCTCGCCAGAAATGTCCGCTCGAATCTGTTGAATTTATCACAGTGCAAAGACGCTAGAACCATCGAAACGAAGATGTCGCTCATGACGATCCTACGGATAGGGATGCCCAAGCTTTGTGCTCGGCTATCTCATGGAGGTATTGTATTGCTAACCATGTCTGGAAGAATTCCGAACCCTGGCAATTGAACGGACATGATCGGTGACGACTTCTTGCAATGTGCCATGAGCATGACCTCCGCAGAACGTTCAGAGCTCGCTATAAATCAGACCAGCCATACAGGGTGACCGTCCCTGATGGAATCCGCGGGTCGCCAGGGCGGGTAAATCCACTCATACTCGTCTCGGTGGAGGAAGGTGTTATCGGTATGACATGCTTGTAACGCGAGAGTTATCCTTCGCCATTTCGGCCTCGTTTGCGTATCCAACGAGCCTCGCTGTGTGGTCCTAATCAGTCGTGTCAACGTCTAACTTACCGCTTAGGCTTGTTCGTAGTATCGTACTTCGTGGAGGTACGCCGGCATGACCAATCTCTAGTCTGTCAATGGCCGTGATAGGGCCAGCGGGATCCTCAAGCACACAAACGCATTGGTGTGTGTCTCAGCAACGCGCCGGAGACGTCGAATCTGCGCCGAGCCTTTCGTCCCTGTCAGAAAGATAGGAAAGCAGGTTGTTTTTGATGAGAGGTTGCTTGGCGGCTGTCTCTTATCAGAGCCATAAACCATTGTAGAAGGTGCAGTGATGATCATAGGCGGAAGCTAACCATAAACGTCACCATTCAGTCTTGGCAGCGACTCCATCGTTGCGATCGACCACTTTCAATCCTCAACTTCGCATCTCCAGAGATAAGGACTCTGGGGAATGTTGTGGAGAGGTACCCAGTGCCATGGGCACGGTGAAAACGCTACAGAAATTGATGGTTGTCGACATCGTCGTTTGCTGCTTCTTTGCGTATGCTTGCAATCCCAATTCGACGACAGTAGCTTCAAGGGCCATCTCTTTGACACTCAACAGTGTGTCTGTGTCTTGGATGACTTTTAATGCTGTGCTCGCATACAAACGAACAAAACGAAGCCTTAAACATGATGCCCCAGATCTACCTAGGCGATCCTGATAAGAGCTGCCTCTATTTCCACAACCAGCGGCCCTGCCCCAAGTCCCGAGGCATTCATTATGCATAAGTTTAGCACAGAGTTTCAACCGTTACCCACACTCACCACCACTAAGAATCTTGTCTTGAGAGCCGTGGATGAGCAAAGTACCTCTGATCTCTGGCTCACAGCGTTTTAGTGGCCAATGAGCCGCTTGAAACATCAGAGATAAGAGCCTCAACAACCCATGCTAGGTAGCTGCAGTGACACCAAGCTGCAGGGACATAAAGAGCCCATGGTCTGCTCTTTCTGAGAACTGATTCCTGCCAGCATACTTGTACAGTTTTTCAATTTGAACATTGGATATCACTCTTGATCTCTCGAACCAATACTCCGACATGGCCATGGCTTACCCATACAACCAACCCATGGAGGTTATCCACAATGCATACACAGCTCAGCAAACTACTGAGATAGCTTCGCGGATGGGAGCAGCAAAAGCCCACATGCGTATCGACAAGATCTTCATAAGCGCGTTCATGGCTGGAGCCATCCTTGCATTCGCTTGTGCTGCAGTCTCAGTCGTCAATGTATCCCCTTGGGTAAGTTTTAATCATGAACATCACGATTAGTGCTGGTGCTTTGTGTCGGTCTATACGCGAGGCATTACAGCGCGTATCAAGATGCTGTCCGGAATGACAAGTGCCCTTGCACAGCGAAGTCGTGGTGTTCGTGCCCATCCACCTCTAGGAGATGATACTAACTGTACCTCCAATAGTNACCAAGAGAACGCTCCCGGAGTCATCAAGCTCATGGCCGCTCTCATCTTCCCCTTTGGTCTAGTTGCCATCATCTTGACTGGTGCAGATCTGGCCACAGGCAGCTTTATGGTAATTTTGTCTTCAACACCGTCGCTTTTATATATCCGAGACTCATGACATTCACAGTTCACAACAATGTCCACTCTCCACCGCCGCACAAGCATCCTTCAGATGCTTCAGCATTGGGTCCTGACATTCTTCGGTAACCTCGCCGGCTCCCTGTTCGTCATGGCCCTGATTATTGGCTATGGAGGCATATTATCGGATTCAGCCTCCGCCTCCCAAACCATCAAGTTCGCCACANAAAAAGTCGTCGCCCCCGAATGGCACCAAATCTTCCTCCGCGGTATCGGAGCAAACTGGCTAGTGTGCTTAGCATGCTTCCTCGCCTGCGGCGCCCGCGAAATGGTTTCCAAAATAATGGCAATCTGGTGGCCTACGTTTGCGTTTGTGATTTTGGGCTTTGATCACGTTATTGCAAACATGTTTTATATTCCTATTGCTATCTTTTTGGGGGCACCGCAGATTACTGTTGGTTTGTATATCTGGAAGAGTATGATTCCTGCTCTGCTTGGTAACATTGTTGGTGGAGGACTGTTTGTTGGTGTGGTTTATTGGTACATGTATCTGGCTGGGAACCCAGAGCCGGTCTTGATTGACGGAAGCAGCTATGGAGGTCCTCCAATGTCGCTGTTTGGAGTCAATGCCGATGTCGAGGAGCCGCCTGCTCAGATCAGACGCGAGTCGGACAAAACAAGCATGGTTTGAGGGAGAGAATTATAATCTATTATTGCAGACTCGGAATAGTACATGATCTACTGATGATATTCTTCACTGTAGTCTAGATTTGCCTGGTTCCACAACTCGCTATTTGCTTTGATCTGGGAGAGCAATTTTCCAGTTCCAAAACTGACCGTCGAGGCGATGGTTACAGCGGACTTCGTATGAATGCTGAATTGTCTGTCCGTCATGCTACAATATCTTGCTATAACGATGTGAAAGGTGCAGTCGACCTCGTGTAAAGAATGAAGAACGAAAAGAAAGGCTCCATCGACCTAGTCATTGCGTTCATGCTGAGCCAGGAATGGCTCGGCATCCTCTTCATCGCCGCCAAGCTCTCTAGCATCATTATCATAACACATAGGCTTGTTTCTCAGACCTGCCATAGCTAAAGCATCAGCCCGGCCCTTCTCAGTATCAATCATGTAGATAAGAGGGATTGGCAGCGCAATCAACACAGCCAAGAATGCGAATGCAGGTCGGATTGTGCCAGCAACATCGACAATCCAGCCCACAATAGCTGGTCCAATGGCCGAACTACCTTTGTCGGTGACAGCGTATAGAGCATAGAAAGCCGCTTCACTGCCTTGCGGAATGATGAGACCGTAGAAGGATCGACAGTATGAGGAAAGACCGCCCATAACGAAGCCATGCACAACTCCTAAAGGATATATCTCCCAGGCTTGTTGCAAACCTCCGACGCCCCATGACTGGACGAAGGGAAGGTAGCCGATGAGGCCGTAGATCGGAATGATTTCCATCAGCAGTACACATCCTATAATTGTCTGCTGTGTGTGCAATCGGAAACGGCGCGAAATAATTGGCCATGTGAAAGCTCCAGCAATACCAGAGGATGTAGCTGTAATTGACAGAATGGCGATTTGTACAGTGCTCATCTTGAGCTCAGTCCTGGCGAAGAGGATGGCCGTACCTGACACAGTAGCGATAGAGTCTGAGAGTAAGAACCATGCGATCAAAAAGATGACAGTCTGACGTAGCTTGACTGCTTGCTTGACCGTTTGCCATACTGATGACCAAGCAAAAACGAAGTACGCGAGGATTTGACCTAGCCTGCCATGTCGAGTAGCGAGACTCTTGAGCGGAGGTCCAGGGCGATCGCGAAGCCACAGAGCACCCGGGATGGAACCGACAGCCCAGCACACACCAACGAAAAGCAAAATTATTCTAAGAGGAATTGACTGTGATGAGAAGTTGACCTTGCCCAGACCAAACAGCAACCCGATGCTACAAATTTGTACAAGCACTGCAGCGATGTAGCCGAGCCCAACACCTTTGGCCGAGATTTTGTTGGAAAGAGCCAACGCTGGAGAAGTCTGCTTGTCAGATTGCTGTCCGTCAGGCGCTGGTGAGTAGGTTCCATCAGGCTCAACCATATCAACACTTGCTGAAAGAGAGCCTGTCTGTTCCTCTGCAGAGATGACTGAAGGATGGTTACTAGCCAGCAGCGGAAGGAAGGAATTCAGTAACACAAACGAGGAGCCAAGAGATGCAACTCCTAGGATGACCAAGATAGGCGCCAAAAGATATATGCCTGGAGAAACGACGATGAATAGCATGCTCGAGACAGATCCGATGCATCCAAATGCTAGAAGGAGCTTTTTGCGATATGATCCNTATTCAGAATCAGCCATGAATTATGTGATATTGACAACATGTTGCCTACCATGATCGGCGACCGAACTGAAGGATATGAGTACAATCGCTTGCACCAAGACAGCAATTGAGAAGGTATACATAGCGAACGAGGCCGTCGAAATGTCTTTTCCAAAGGGCTGGACCACACATTGGCTCTCATTCTTGTCGTTGGTAGCACGGCTAGCAGCTCGCAAGAGTAGATGTGCGGTTTCAGCCGCAGCGGACTTTGGTTTCACGCAGGGAGTGACATGATCAGATCGCAAGACACCTCGCTCTTTCGCAAGCTGCTCTAGGGTTACTGGAAGAAACGAGCCTGGACTTTTGTTAGCAAGTTCGACGCGTTTTTGGGTATGCGTGCAATTACCAACACCAGCCACAGCGAAGATCTCGGCAGCCAGACCATAAGAGTACCAACCCTTCAGCTCACGATCACTTGTCGGTGTGGTATCTTCGTTCTCATATCGACAAGGTCTGCTGTATTCGTTGCTCTCACTGTCTCTCTCCATAATTGGTCAAATAGAACAACATGTTGGTTTCGCGATCAAAAGAAAACATGACGCTGTTTCCTTGTCAGCATTGTTCCGATGCTTCCGATCCAAGGCCCACCAAAACGCGACTCAGGAAGGGACGACTTCGTGCCAGCACCGCGATTGTCAACTCAATCAAGAAGGATCTCTGATTCATGAAGTCGCATCATCATATGCTACAATCAAGGCGCTTGAGTCCAAATCTACAGTAGGGATGCTGAGCTTGGTTATGCCACTCAACGAACTTGCTAAGTACTCGTACAAGGCGAAGCCTGACCGGTTCACGCGCAGGCGATAGCGTCGCGTTTGCGGATGACCAAAGTCACAAGTCACTATCATCTCTTCCACGATATTCCATCAATGAGTGGTCATGCCTGGGACTCAGGCAGACATCTGCAGCCCTCGTCGGCTTGGACAACCACTCATGTGATGCGCCCGGGTGGGGGTGAATGGACCACCAGAGTGCATCGTATAAGCAGCGTTGAACGCCACGATTGATTTTCCAGGCAGTCAATCAACTGATCTTGCTGACAAGTAGATATAACCTTGATATGAGCAAGTGCCAGCAGTCGAAAATGTTTGTTCGACTTGCAAAATGAGCCACCATGGTTCGACAAGACGCGATCGCTCTTCGAGACGGGAGGCGAGCCATGAGAGGATCGAACTTTCTCGTCGACACTCTGCCGGGCGAGCAGAGATCCATGTTGATATCGAACCTTCTCCGGATATCCAAACTCCGCCACGGATCTTTGTTCGAGCACCAAGCGATCCAGCTTATCCGCAACCACCACCACTATTTCAATCCGCAGAAACGACCTATGAGAGAGTGAACAGGCATCCTTCGAGGGACGATTATAGAAGGTCCCAACAGCGATCTGGGAGTTATGCCAATATCGAGCGTGAACACAGCCATGAATACGCTTTTCGTGCAGAGCACGATGATGGCGGCCGAATGCCGACTATTCAGCAAAACTATCGTCCTTCGCATTCGCGTCCCGAGGTATATACGACCTTTACACAGATGCCTGGTGTTCAGAACATTTCCACACACTCTGAACCGCTTCGTACCAGTCATCACCGCCGTCAACGTGTAAGCCACAGACACGACTCCTCCAAGATTCTGCACGGAAGCGGTGGCGGACATGGCGGTGACATCCAAACATCAGCAGTCGAAGACGCCGAACCAGACGCAGACACATTGAACAAAATCATGATATGCGTTTTCCGTAACAGTAAACGGCAATTCGTACAGAAAGAAGTCTGGATGATGAAACCAGGACACAGAGACGACATATTTCTGGACCCACCTGAATTGCTTCGCAAAGACCCTGCTTTCCACAAAGTCCTTCGCACAGATACTGCTTTCTTCAAGGAGATCAAATGGCGATACAAAAATCAATTGCGAGGAACTTTCAGACGGTATCTCAGCTTCAAGACCGTGAGTACTGTAAGGGTTCNNTTGGGGTACGTCTCGATCTAGGTTTGAGCAATGTCGGTGGACTAATAGTTACGACAGTACGGAAGCAACATGTTCGGCCTCGCAGACATCAACGAGAAAGTCTTCTCACCAGTCTTCATGCGAGCCTACAACAATCCCGGTCAATCACTGATCGACCGCAGAGACCATCCAGAAGATCCAAAACTCGAGTTCAACAGCTGGGTCGGTTGGTTCTGGTTGAAGCGTCGTGCCTTTGTCTTGAACAAANAAGTCGACCTTGCTATTGAATTGGTTGAAGCTTATGATCCTGGCCGCGTGATGGGTGGAATAGCCATTGCGTTGACTGTTTACTTCGCACTCGCCATTACATGGCTGGCTCTAGGTGGTGATCCAAGTTACGTTGCTGGTGTCATGTCTTTCGTTCTATCAATTCTTGCAGGTAAGCTGATCTTCATGTCTCCTCTTAGATTTCGTCTCTTGCTATGCTTTCATGATCTAGCACAGGCACGAACAGCCATAATTTTGGTCGCTGACACATCTCAGNTTCTGGTCGGACTGACTGGCTTGTATGATTGGCTGGACCTGGGACATATGGGCGGTGGAAAAGACTTCCTTGTCCTTGATGAGTACGAGCTTAACAATCTGGACAAGTATGGCTGGAGAGGGCCTCTCGGATGATGCCCAAAAGCTCGAATACGCTGTGCTCTATCTTAGTCAAGTGATCAGATGTTCGCACTCAGAGGGTAATCATAAAGAAGAATTGTATTTAGGATCTATCATTTACTAGAAAATTATCGTAGAAGAAGGTGGTATGCAAATGACATGACCACGAAAAGAAAAGGACAAGCCCAAAACTCCATCATAAACGTTTGACACATGCTTAGAACAGCTTGTGCTCAAGAGTCATGTCATTCTCAGGCTCAAGACCAACACAGGCACGGAAGATGTTGACCAGAGCATTTCTCTGCTTGCTCAAAGCGTTGACAACAGGGGTACCAGGAGGAGTCAGAGGAGCCTTGAGCATATAACTCAAAACGCTCAACACAGAGTGGAAGCCCTTGAACTCTGAATCCTCGACGCCGTTCTCCCTCCACTGAACTCTGGTCATAAGCTCAGCAATCAAGACCAAGTCAATGATTAGTGGCGAGGCCAAGAGAGAGTCTTCGCAGATGTTGAACATGTTGATGGTTTGGTGGCCTCCCATGAAGATCTCAGCGTAGTACTCATCCAGAGCTCTCTTGTTGTCTCCGACGCTGGGCATGTACTTGATGACAACAGTGTGATCGGGGTGCTCATCCTTCTCGTACAGGATGTGGTTGGCAGCAACCATATCATCCACAACATTCGACTTGGAAATCTCCTTGGATCTGAACTGAGAAGGTGCGGAAAGGTTTCTACCATCGTTGTTGCCGAGATGGTTGTAGGAGGCCAAGGACTTGACCTTGATTCCTGCATTGATGAGGAAGTCGACCAGGGCTGACTTCATCTTAGTTTGTCCTGACTTGAAGTCGTCACCACCGATGAAGGCAGAATGTTGCTCGGCCAGAGCAATGACACCAGGGACGAAAGTGTTCTGGGGTGAACCGTTGATGAAGGGTGCATTCTCGAGGATACAAGCTGTCGCGAAGATTGTGGATGGGGCAATTTCAGGGTGGCCTGAAGCAATGGATTGGAGGAGGTTGTCTGCTGTGTCGTTGACGCCAGGCAGGATATCGGCATAGCGCTCTGTGTTGGCGGTCCATTGGACAATGATCTTGTCGAGGTTGTGCTTAGACTTGAATTCANNCTGGTGACTTGGTTAGAATCTCTAGTAACAGGCTTGTGTAACTGAGGTTGCTCACCGAATGTCTGCTCTGATCTTCTCGAGATGCTCAGTGCAAGCCTTGGATCCCTCCAGAATGTTGTCCGCTCTTGACTCTTGGTTTGCAGCGATGAAGTCAGGGTAGTAGATGCTGGGCAAGGGAACCATCTGTGCCATCTCCTTGCGAACCATTTGCTTCAGGGTAGGCTCGAGGACTCCAGCTCTGTCCATGGACTCTGCAATGTTCATACTGCTGATGTCCCAACCACCAATGACAAGTTCGTCGGGGTTGACCATAGGTAGAAGCTCGTTGAAGGGGACATAGATTTCCTTGCCGGTCTCCGAGTCGGTGCCGAGCTTGACTGTTGATGACATGACCATAGAGCCGTAGTAGTTTGCTGATTGCTTGCCCTCGCGGGTGTCCCATGAAAGGCCCTGACCGTTGGCAATGATGCCAGCAGTGACGGTTGATCCATTGTTGCCTAGATATGATGAGCTGATGGACCTCCTAAGGACAATATCTTGATATACATACCACCCNCAGCCAACAAGCATCATGCCGACTCTGCCAACCTTGCGTTCCACCTTGAAGTCATACACAGTCTCCTTGGGTGTAGCAACATAACCACCGTTGGATGACTTGGTCACCTTTGTCTGACGATACACATACTTGCTGAGGATTGCATCGTCAGAGTATGTGACATTGGGAGATTGGACGGTGAACAGAGGAGCCTGAGCATTGCTCGAGGCAGTTCTCTCAGTCTCGTTAAGGTAAGGAGCCATGATGGTAGAAGCAGATGGGAACGAGGGAATATGTGTATGAAGAGCAAGGCACAAGACTATACAACGTCGATCGAGATTATCACTTTGGAAGTGTGATTGTATTGTTTAGAAAGAGAAAGGAAAGCAAGCCTGTAGAAGACGACTTAAATACCTTCATCGCGGAACAATGTAGCGACGGCGACGGAGAGGGAAGCTGCAGCCCAAGACGCTCGCATTATTGTTTAACCCCAGAGACAGACTAAGATGGAGGAAGTCACGGATCATCTTGAATAGTCCGGGGTCGACTTGCGGGAGTAGTAGTGGAGAGCGGAGGTGACGGAAGCATTGTTTCGCCGTGCTCTCGGAACAGAAAGACGACTTGCGGTGAGAGCAAGGAAGCTTGTCTGTGGCGCACGAGCATAACGATGTGGAGGTATCTCGCAGATTGCTGTATAAAGCTCGATGATAAGGTCACGAGAGTCTATAGATGCGTTCACCAGAAGGGGAAGGCGCAAGACGCTGTTCATACAAGGACTGAGGTCAGTGAACAATTGCACACTAAGCCTGCCTGAGGCTCACAGAAAATTGTCAAGACTCGGCCGAGTAAACAACGCTTCCCTGCCCGATCGGATTGGGAGGAATATTCGGATCGGCTGGTGAGCGGCGCAGAGTGGAAGAACAAGGAGAGGTGAGACGAATCAACAAAGTCAAATCCTGAAAATGATGGCATGGTTCACCTCCTGGATTTACAACTACAATCATAGGGCGCAGTTTCCAGCCATTGACTTGTTGAGAAACCCCGTAGCAACAATGCGAGCACGTTGTCTGGTGTGGTTAAATGAAGTTGGTACACGGTCAGACAAGTCGTTGTTGGCAATTACGCCTGTGGCTGCAGTGAAAGAAGGTCTGTCGAACAGTCGAAGAAAGGCAAAGTTTGGCAGCGAGCGGCAGGTGTGGATCTGTCGATCTCTTGCTGTCAGTCGTCGCAGGGGTCTGTCAGATAGTGGTAGAGGGCTGCATCTGATACAAGCGGTCGTCAGTTGACAGAGGATTCGTAAATTCGCAATACCACGGCTCATACTGAACCATCTTGCTGCAGAGCGTGAGTCGGCAATTTGAACAAGACTTTCCAAGAGGAGAAACATGTGATTGTCTGGCTCGAGTCGCGACCAATCGGAGATGAACGTATGCGGGACCCTGGGTGCTTTGACCAAGGCGAGAGTGCTCATCTCCTTTAATTAGTCCACCGACCGCCGAAAGAGAGCGACTAGAGTCGAGCGAGCGGGTGCTGCAATTTGTGTCGACCAACATGTGTGGAGTTTGGCGAGCGACATGATGATGTTGACCTTGGATTGAGGGAGGATCTGGACGGTCACTGGGCCTTGTGGAAAGACAGTCGCCATGCACTAACTCCTGGGCATCTGCTAACTTAGCACTCTGTTTTCCTTTCCCTTCCCTCTTGTCGCGATTTCCATCTTTTCATCTTCACCACTGTCTTTTACTATTACTACAGCTCCTAATATCATATACGAGCATCCATTCATTTAGTGTTTTTATCTACCCGCCGCACCGAGGCATTTAATTACGACTGCGTGCCTTCGAGACCTCTGCAGCAGACGCCAGGGGCTGCATTGTTTTTTCGAACTGTTGATGCTACCGCGCAACTATCAACGGTCCGGGTCAGGAACTCCCATACAAACAAAGTCTCTCCTTTGAGAGCATCAATACTACCGTCTCGGCAATCATTGGATTGGTCCGGAGCAGATTGACCCTTATCGCATTCTTATCCTCATAACTGTCGGTTCTGTTTGTTCTTCTCGAGGTCGGAGTACGAACCGTAACCTGGAACCATCCTCTGGAGCTCGACTTGACCGTCAGCATTGTCAGCAGCCATGGAGACGGAGCGACCACTGAGCATCCTGCCGTCGATCAAATGCTCCGACTGTGGTGCAGAGATCCAAATCTCTGCTATGGGAGAGCACGTGTGCACACCGACACAGAAGGAAGATGAAGCATCGCAAAAACCCAGGTCGCCAATTGCATCACCAGCCACATCGCCCTCGACAGAGAGGCAACCAAGTTCGTTACCGCCCGTCAAGCAGAGCTCGAACAGGGCACCCTCGAAACCGAACAGAACCCCTCTCCCTCGCATTGATCCCTCTGTAGCAAGTGAGTAGCACGAACTATATCGGCAAGATAGGCACAAGATGGCTGACAGAAATTAGNACAAGCCATATCTTGCAAGACCAGAAATGCTTTCGCCCGACGGATCTCACAGCTCAGGACGTCGTTCTCCCTTGACACCACACACTGGCAGACCCTTTCGCCCTGGGGGGATGCGCAGCGCGACCAGCCCTATCCCAAGACTACCACGAGAACCATCGCAAGAGCTGACGGGCAATATGGATTGCGCGTTTCCGCCATTCCCTACGGCCCGATCCAAGTCAGCTGCAAGAGCCAAGAGCCCTGTAGCTGATGCATACTATGCACCCCGGAGTCCTATGGGCACTGGTGGTGCCAATGTCGTGCGTAAGCTAGACACGATCGCGCCGGGGCCTTTCAACGCACCAGTACGCAGTACATCTCGCTCACCTTCTGCGAGTGCAGGTGTTCAGGCACCACCGGCCATTACCATAGATCAACCGCCGGTCGAAAGAGCAGCTTCCCCTGTGTACAGATCTGCATCACCCGTCAGCTATGAGAGACCCGCTTCTCCTCCAGCAAGATCTGCCTCTCCGCCACAAGCCCCTGCCTCGCCTAGTTTGTCCTCTGCTTCGACGTCTCCAGGTGGCACCAACCGTGAGGGTCGTCCAATTCCGCAGCGTCCTGTCAGACCAGAGCCGCTGGATGGTTTCCTTGCTATGCTCAAGAGCGAGTCTGAGGCTGCTGGTCAGCAGCTGTCGAACATGACCATCCGCTCGAATACCTTCCCTCTTCCACCTTCCAAACCAAAGTCTCCTGAACTCAAACCCGTCGTCAGAAGCCCTTCGGCGCCACCTGCTAGGCAACGACGACCAACAATTTCTGCTCCTTCGCAAAGCGCTCCTTCTGATTCGCTTCCCACTATTTCAACCACCCCACCTCCTGCACTTCCGCCAATGCCCACCATTGAGACCGCTATGGCTCCAGCACTTCCTCCACTGCCTTCGACAGCCGATGTGCAGAAGCATGCTCACCCTGTTGTACACGCCCCTTCGGACTCGGCTTCCTCGGCTTCATCGACGCGAAGCTTCAAGTCGGATATCAGTCCTCCTGTTTCAGCCTCGTCGAGCGTCTCGATGCTCTCATCGACTCTAGGTGACCTTTCTGATCCTGCTCNNTTGTGGTACCCAGCCTGCAACTCAAAACCAAGCAAGTAAACCGCCTGAGCCCAGAAGACGCCTTCAAGCCCAGTCTGGTCGCTGCTGAGCAACAACAATNCACCAGTCACGTTCGAAGAGAGACTTGACAGTCCGACCGAGAAGATGGACCGCTTCCCACTCAACCCCCTCCGTGCATCTCACGACGCCGATCTGCCCGAGTCGCCTGTAGTCCCTGGTTTTCTCCCCAAGCGTCCTCAGAGTCCTATGTCAACCACATCTACCCCTATGGCATCTCCTCCCACTGAGCACGGCTTCTCATCCAGACCTACATCCTCGAAGCGACCAGGCACCTCATCCAAGCATATCTGCAGAGGCTGCAGTGAGCCGATTCAAGGCAAATCCGTCAAGGCTGCGGATGGTCGTCTGACTGGTCGTTACCACAAGCATTGCTTCGTCTGCAAGACCTGCAAGTCAGCTTTTGCGACTGCTGACTTCTACGTCATTGACAACAACCCATACTGTGAGCATCACTACCACGAGCTCAACAACTCTTTGTGTGTCCATTGCGACCGTGGCATCGAAGGGCCTTACCTCGAGACCCAGCAAGCACAGAAATTCCATCCTAGCTGTTTCACTTGTATCGACTGCCACAAGCCACTCAGCGATGATTACTTCGAGATCGCTGGCAAGGTCTATTGCGAGCAGCATGCCTTCGCATCCGTCCAACGTCAAGAAGGGCTCGGACCCAAGAGAAATATGGAAAGAAGAACCACGCGCTTTATGGTCATGTAAATGTGATCGAAGCTCTTCTGCATCCAACAACTTCCGGCCTGCGCCAAGCGACGGACGACTAAACGCGACCATGCTGCCATGCACTTCTCATTCTCATTTCTGCGACTGTAGATCGCGGGTCAACTGAAGACCTTTGATCTGGATCGGCCACTTGACCGCTACCTTTCTCTCACTCGCTTTGAAAATACTTGTTTATTTCGGAGATACCCACAACTTCCATTGTATATACCTGACTATATAGCATGCCAGCTGTAGCTGTAGAACAGCTTGCACGGCAGAAAACCCATCCATTCTTACTCACACAAAGGCTACGAGTCTTGCTCGTATCTCGCTCTGCTCAATGAAACCAGACTGGGAGATTCGAGTGCCCAGGTCTCGACTTTTATACAAATTGACTTTGAGCCGGTTTCGTAGCTTAACATTGCCCTAAGTTAACAGCTAAATAGTGTAACCGCGTACATGGAAGGCGGCATGATCCGGTGCAGTGGTAGTCTTGACCCCAGGTGGGTACCATCTCGATGGCAATACTCACAGGGTCGCGGTCATGCATACAAGAAGGGTCTCTCTCCTCACTACTAGGACAGCAGACAGAACTGCGACCATGATACAAACTGCGAGTTGAGTTCATGGTCCGTGAGAAGAGTTCGAAGTTCCGGTCAAGATTGCACTGCAATTTGCCGGGCCGCGTTTGCAAGAGTCATGTTCGAACACAAGCGAGGATCTCTCTTTCTCGCTCGGCGAAGAGGGAAAGCACGGTTGGTGGCTGATTATATCTAGTGGTTAAGTATTTCACCGGTGTCTGCGCGACCGTTTTTCCTGCAGAGGGAAGGTCCCTTCACGTGGAAATGGTGGAGCGAAAGCGCAGAGTCAGCGAGACAAATGAGTGATGAGAGAGCACAGTACACAAGGGTCAAGCGATTGAACGGCGTAAAGAGCGGCATTGATGTTTTAGGCGTACACAAAGCGTCAAGTAGAGTGGTGATGCAGAAGGTGAAAGCCTCAGAAGTAGCAACGAGGATCGGAAAAGCGCTTGCGATTGATGGTGCGTGTGCGAAATGTCTATGTCTAGGCAAGGCTTCAGAGACAATGGCAACCTCGGTCGAACATCTGCCAACCTGAAGGATCGACAGACGAGCAAGAGCGACAAGACAATGGTTGGCCTTCTACAACCAAGATACGGACACTTCTCTGAGCGTTTCATGGTGTGCGATGGCTTCTTCTTTCTCGAGGGCCATCTTCTAGAAGATTGGGCTCTTCGGCAGAGGCAGGTCGTTGGTCGAGTTAGGGCCTCAGCCTTAAGTTAGGAAGGAGTTAGCGTGTGGAGGACGAAGCCTGTGCGCTTTCTATTAAATTGCACCTGCTGGGGTGGTCTGAGTGCCTGATCAAATCTGCCAGCTTGCTCAGATGGCTGGAAGATCAGAGACATGCGAGGAAAAGCGAGTGGTGCTGTCGTCGTCGACAGAGACGTGGCAGTGGGTTGAGTGGTAGAAGACAGAGAGCAGCAAGACATACGGGCGGCCAGTGTAGCAGACAGATGCTCAATTGATTGTTGTCGAGATTGCTTTGCGATCAGCGTTTGAGTGCGCGAGTCAACCTGACTCTGCTGTGTGGGTTTCGGGCTAAACGTCTTCCGCGGGCCAAGTTGGCCGGCAGCCAGCCCTTTTGATTTTATCGCATGGTTGCTGGCACTGGCGGCGGTGCTGAAGTTGACTCGTTTGGCCTTGCCAGCTCTGCAAACAACAGTCTCTCGTCGTCTCGTCTCTGGGCTTGTCCTGTCGCACAGCAGACTGCTCCTTGCCTCTTTGTCTTTTTATCCCCTCGATTCAGCTGCACGCCAACCGCCGAAAAATTGCACACCAAAGACGTTTCTACGTTTCTGCGTTTCCTGCACTTTTCAATCGACGTCGGGCCCTGCTGCACCACCGTTGGCCTTTTCCACATTCGCCGTCAATTAGCCCGCCAACGAGCGACGGTCAATCTATCGAATCCGACATCTGACCCATCGTCCTCCAATTCCACATACACGTACAATTCCTTGCACTTGCTCTCCGACCGCATCCACGAGCATCAAGCACTCTACCGCTTCGCGCAGCTTCACTCTCCTTGTCAGACTCGCCCCGCTGTCGCACCTCAAGGTCGGTACCCACTCACAGCTCTTCTTCCCTTGCCTGCACCACCCTCTCTATTTTCGTCACCTTGATCTGTCCATTCGCCTGTCTGCGTCGAGCAATCGCTCCAAGATCCTGCAGCTAAGGCCCTGGATCCAATCCCAGCCACGGACTGCCAAAAGCTTCAATTCGACCGACGCTCTTCTTCATTCGCTGCTCGTCAACGTCGTCGTTTGTCTGCTTCGGCTCTCACATCTTTTCGTCTTTATTCGCGTCTTCTTTCCTCACCACTATTCACTGCATTCAGACCTTCACAAGCCTCATGTACCACTGACGACCTCGTTGGTGCGACACATGCTGACAAGCCTCTCAGTATCTCTTGTAATCGCCTCTACGCGTTTCTCTCATTACATCCCGGCAATCGCCACCTTTTGAATACCGTTATCGAACAAACAACACAACCACCGCAAACATGGGTTGTGGTATGAGCACCGAAGACAAGGAGGGCAAGCAGAGGAACGAGGAGATTGAGAACCAATTGAAGAAGGATCGCATGATGCAGAGAAATGAGATCAAGATGCTCTTGCTCGGTTCGTTGTCGCCTGTCTCTGTCGACATCCTGGGCTTTCGCTGACACAGAGTCTGCAGGTGCTNNGGTGAATCTGGAAAGTCGACCATCCTTAAGCAGATGAAGCTCATCCACGAGGGCGGCTACTCTCGCGACGAGAGAGAGTCCTTCAAGGAAATCATCTTCAGTAACACTGTGCAATCCATGCGCGTCATCCTTGAAGCAATGGAGTCGCTGGAACTCCCCCTCGATGACCAGAGAGCCGAGTACCACGTCCAGACAATTTTCATGCAACCCGCACAGATCGAAGGCGACAACCTTCCCCCGGAGGTTGGCAACGCCATCTCTGTCCTCTGGAAGGACCCTGGTGTTCAGGCCTGCTTCCAGCGCTCAAGAGAGTACCAGCTCAACGATTCTGCCAAANTAGTATGTTGCCGCGCTCGTCCGTGGATTGCATTCCACCTTGCTGACAACTGTGACAGCTACTTTGACTCGATAGACCGCATCGCCCAGCCCGACTACATCCCCAACGACCAAGATGTGCTCCGTTCCCGTGTCAAGACAACCGGTATCACCGAGACCACCTTCATCATTGGCGACCTTACCTACCGCATGTTCGACGTCGGTGGTCAGCGTTCCGAGCGTAAGAAGTGGATCCACTGCTTCGAGAACGTCACCACCATTCTGTTCCTTGTCGCCATCTCAGAATACGACCAACTGCTCTTCGAAGATGAGACCGTCAACCGTATGCAAGAAGCCTTGACCCTGTTTGACAGCATTTGCAACTCGAGGTGGTTTGTCAAGACATCCATCATTCTTTTCCTCAACAAGATCGATAGATTCAAGGAGAAGTTGCCCGTCAGCCCCATGAAGAACTACTTCCCCGACTATGAGGGCGGTGCCGACTACGCTGCTGCTTGCGACTACATCTTGAACCGTTTCGTCAGCTTGAACCAGCACGAGACCAAGCAGATTTACACACATTTTACCTGCGCCACCGACACTATGCAAATCAGATTCGTTATGGCTGCTGTCAACGGTATGTATCTGCTACTTCACATCTCAACGACACAATTTACTGACAACGCCTTCANNGATATCATCATCCAAGAAAACCTCAGATTGGCCGGTCTCATCTAAGCGAAGAGACTCGGACGAACAGAAAAGATGCATTTGTTTCTTCGTATATTCCCCTCTCTGGCCAGAGTTCAAGAATCAACAGTCTTAACTCCATGTTTTCCGATCTGTCTTCGGTATCCTGGTCAATCGCATTTCGCATCTGGAAAATCCAAAACAGTCACCTGTCTTCATTTGCCTGGGCACGCGTTGTTCTTCGACAACTGCCGACATATAACCACAGCACTCTGACACAACAAAATCATCGATTCTTTAAAAGCCTCTGGATCGTTTTAATCTCGAGGGCGAATGATGGGTCTGTTTCTTTTTATAGCTGGAAGAAGAACGGCACGGCGGCCTGCTTCTCTTTTTTTCCTGCTCTGCGTTCATGTTTCCCGCCCTCCTCTCTGGGAAACAATTTTTCTTCTCTTTGAATCTTCTGGGCAAAGCGGCGTCCTAGATACAAACGCGTGGGACGTTCAAGGAAAGGTTTTGGGAGGTCATATTCTCTTTTTTTTTTCTCTGTTCTCACTCTTGACTTCCCATGCCTTTTTCCTTCTTCTCTTGAAGTTACCACTTCTTTTTCTTTAACTCATTGCATGATTCCCTTGTGTTCCGCCCTCACTGTCTACTCATAGTATATATAATTTTTGAACCTCTTTCCTTTCAAGTAAACAAAGACAGATGATGAGTATCTACACAGTCTCTGTTCCCACGTGATTTTCAAGTACATAAGAGCCCACTTTTGACAAGTCAGAAGTTTCGACTCGAACGAATGTAAGCGTTCGGAGATAACCCGCTCAGGTTCTTCTTGTACATGCTGCTGTAAGCTGTGAGCACAGCCCATCTTGCTTGCCACATTATTGACAAAGAAACGGTTGCAGAATGCTTGAACAGTGCGCACTATCATCACTCCTCCCATAGCAGCAGCTTGTGAACGTCTGAAGCAGTGCATACCCTAAACAGATCTTGCCGACGGACACAACTACGTGTACATGAAGACCATAGCGGGTGTAAACGCAAATTTACCGGGTTCGCATGCCGCTGCCATGGAGAACATCGGGGAGACGTTAGGCAAGTATCCACAGGTTAACAACGGCTGGCGCGTTCTTGTTCTGATCTGGGTGACGTAGGAGACTTTTTTGTCTCTTGCCCGCGTTCTTTCTTGGGGTCCCCAGCGGGCGTTTTGTCTCCGGATCGATCATCAGGGGAGTTCTGATTTTTGTTCCGATGCTTGAGCATGTGAGACTGTTAGATACCTATCCTAGGATGGAAATACTCATGAAGACATTGTGTTGGAGGAAGAGTTTGTGCGTGTAGTAGCAGTTCAGTACGGTGTTGCCCCTCCACCTTTCCTCTTCACGATTTGAGAACAAACAAAGGTGCTGGAATCAAGAGGATCTCGATCACCAAACTCCAACACAACGGGAATTCCTCCATGCAAGAAATTTAGGCTCTGGTTTCCTCGGAAGCGAAGACCTTTTTGACCACGTTTTCGTTGCCTCTTTGTTGCCATCACGATTTGAGTTGTCTTGCCGTGTAGCGAGAAGAGAGAGCTCAACGTAAATCCTGCCTCTGCGGCTCTGGACGCCCTGTTGGCTCTTCGCCTTTGCATGCGCTTCTGTTGCCACCGACGTAGAGACATGGACTTTCCAGACCGCTAACAACCGCTGGAGGAAGGCATCTTGTGCGCTGCAGCCAATCAATTGCTGTGTCGGTGGCATAGCATAGCCTAACCCGTTACCATAGGCTTTTTTGAGCCGCATCTCTACTTTGTGTTTAGCTGAGAGACTCAACCGCGCAGACCAGTTCTCAACCCGCCTCTTGGTCCACACCCCATGGGCGAGATACGGTAGGTGTGTCTAGTCTCGATTCGGAGGGGCGTCCTATTGTTCGCCCTCGCTACCGGTCGGAGATCGATGATTGTATAAGAGTAGTGATCTTCCCCTCCACCCACCTTGGTTTGTTGACGTTGTGCTCTCTCAAAGGTCCATTTTTTCCCTCGCTCTGACATCGTGGTCCACATTTTCCTCTTGAGGATTTATCTATAGACTTCCATCCTCTCCACTCGCTTTCTTTCGGTCGAGATGTCTATGTCTTCTGCTTCTCTCAAGGTCCCTCAAGCAACCATGCCTGGAAACACTGTTAGCACCGCCCCGCTCAACACCAAGCGCAAGATTGTCTGTNTTCTCGGGTAGGTTGTTTTCTATACCGCTGAGGGAGGGCATTGCTGACTCGATTGCCCTTCAGACTTCGATGGCACAATCTTCATGCAAGACACAGGTCACATCCTGTTCAACGCCTTCGGCTGTGGTACTGAGCAGCGCGAGATCCTCGACCAGCAGATCAAGTCCGGAGAGCGTTCCTTCCGCGATGTCTCCGAGGAGATGTGGGGATCCTTGAACGTTCCCTTCGCCGACGGATTCGAGGCCATGAAGGAAGGTCTGGACATCGACCCCGAGTTCAAGAACTTCCACCAGTTCTGCTTGAACAACAAGATCCCCTTCAACGTCATCTCTGCTGGTTTGAAGCCTGTTCTTCGCAGCGTTCTCGATCACTTCTTGGGAGAGGAGGCAGCTGCCAACATCGATATCGTCGCCAACGAGGCTGATATCTCCGAGGACGGTAGTTCGTGGAAGGTCAAGTGGCGCCATGACAACGAGCTCGGTCACGACAAGGAGCTCTCCATCAACGAGTACAAGGAGGCCGCACAACTGGAATCCGACGACGGCACCATTCCCATGATCATCTTCATTGGCGACGGTGTCTCCGACTTGCCCGCCGCCCGCCACTCCGACGTCCTCTTCGCTCGCCGCGGCCTTCGTCTCGAGGAATACTGCATTGAGAACAAGATTGCCTACATCCCCTTCGACACCTTTGCCGACATCCAGAAGGNNGAAGTCATCAAGATTGCCAAGATTGACGACGAANAGACAAAGGGACAGGGCTTGCCCAGCAACTTCAACCCTCGCGCAAACATGTGGCGCCGTGTCAGCTCCAAGAGGGCCATTCCTACTTTTGCTGCCATGACACCGCGCGACGAGCGTATGTTCATCTGGCCCGAGACTTTCTCCGAGGTCAAGGCTGCTCAAGTCAAGGCTTAAATGTCCTGTTGAGCTCTTCACGATTTCTTTTTGCTGCGATGAAACAGTTTGCATTGTTCATGGATGAGAGGTGTTTATGGGCTAATATTGTTTGTTCGGGCTGCCTTTGGGTACTCTGGCAGAATTGGCGTTTCTCCTTCTATTCCTTCTATCACGACGATGAGCTTTAGGATATCTTTACCTACCTTTATACATACACATGAATTAGAACCGACCTAACCTCACGCATCCGAGCTATCCAAGTTGATTGTGCAGGTGTTGTTCGTAATTGTGCAACCAGCTGACGTATGCTCATGTAGGTAGAGTTTCAGGACAGCCGAGGCGGAGTAGGGCGGAAGCAGACAGACTTTCAGGGCCAGGCCACGACAGCAACGAGGGGCACAGTACTCCATAGTTCGCGTGGCTGTGCCAAACATATGTGGTTATCAATAGCAACAGAGGGTAGCAGGCAGTGTACAACAAAGGAGTCAAGGCGGATTGGAAAGGATTGATCAAATGTCATTCTGTTCCTTCAGGATGCTAGGCAGGGCAGCTCGAAACATGTCGATGATGTTGATTTAATCTCGCAAGTCTGCAACCCAGGGCCGCCGTGCCCCCGCAGCCAGCTCGCATCCAACGCTCGTATTTATAGAGGGAAGCTTGACGGCCATTTCATCATCTCCACTCTAGAACAGAGGACGTTGTTGCTTGACATCTGCAACTCCTCCTTTGCTTGCCCAAAACACCATCATTGCCACGTGCAGGCGCTGCGCTGGCCGCAACAATAGTCCACACATTGCTCCTTCACAATGCCTCGACCGCGATTAACGCCGCACCTGTCGCTACATCGCTTCAAGAGCACCAACTCAATCAAGTCGACCGCTGACAGCCAGAGCAACAGTCGAGCCGTGAGTCCCAAGAGGAAGCCAGAGGAGCAGGGAGACCACCGGGGCTTCAATCTGGTCTTGAGAGTCCAAGTCCTCGAGGGCCGGAATCTCGCTCCCAAAGACAAGAACGGTACCAGCGATCCTGTAAGCAGCGCTGCCATCCCTAACCATCCACGACTCGCCACTCACCAGCACCGCAGTNACCTAGTCATCACCTTGGGAGACGCGCGTGAGGCGACCTCTGTAATCGACAAGACATTGAACCCGAAATGGAACCAAACCTTCGACCTCCCTATCTCGGGCATCTCGAGTTTGCTGCTCGAAGCTGTGTGCTGGGACAAGGATCGCTTTAGCAAAGACTACATGGGCGAGTTCGATGTTGCTCTCGAGGATATCTTTACCAACGGACAAACAGTTCAGGAGGCAAGCATACCAACACCCCAACGATGGCCTGACCCTAGCTAACATGATGCACAGCCCAAGTGGTACAAGCTCGAATCTAGAAAATCGGGTCGCAAGAAGAGCCATGCCTCTGGTGAAGTCCTCCTAAAGTTTTCCGTATTCGACCCTATCAATCCCAACGCCACCGCCCAACAGACCCTCCAAAAATTCTATGGTGTCATCGCCCTTGAAGATCCCGCCGAGGGAGACGAAGACCTTGACGAACTTGCTCGAGCAGGAGAATCCGGCGACGACGATGAAGACGACGATGAAGATGGTTCCGGCAGCCCCGAGCAAGCAGAAAAGAGGAAGAAGAGACACAGACTCGCCCGCCTGAAGCGAAAGACCAAGCTGAAAGCCTACGAGTTCAATGGTATGAGTGCTGTTGCCGGTGTCCTCTTTGTTGAGATTCAAAAGGTGACAGACCTGCCTCCTGAGCGCAACATGACACGCACTTCCTTCGACATGGACCCTTTCGTTGTCAGCTCGCTGGGCAAGAAGACGTACAGAACTCGCGTCATCAGGCACAACCTCAATCCTGTCTTTGAGGAGAAACTCGTCTTCCAGGTCTTGCGACACGAAGTCAACTACTCGCTCAATCTTACTGTCATCGACAGAGACAAGCTTTCTGGAAACGATTTCGTTGGTGCTGCCACTTTCTCTCTCGAAAGAGCTAGAGCTGTTCAACCAGAGGCAGATCCGGATACTGGTCTCTACCGCTGCCCTGAAACACCTGACGCTGGGGTCACGCCTAACACTGAATATAGGCGTTCACGATTCCGCTTGAACTCATCGCGCTCACAATCAAGCCAGACACTTAGTAGATCGTCCCGCAATGCCTCAGCCAAGGACCTCAACAGACTTTCCAGGACGTCTTCGAATACTAGCGTGAATCACAGACCATCATTACGGAAAGAGGACTCGGGTGACTCTCTGAATGCCGTCGATTCGCGCGAGGATTTCCCATCACCAATGACCAGCAATCCATACATGACCGATGCTCCCGGTATTCCTCAGGTGAACGTGGACCATGATGGAATTGAGGACCCAGACCTCAAGTACTACGCCATTCCTTTACAGCTGAAGAACAAGGATAGATGGGAAGACAAACACAACCCTATTGTTCACATCAAAGTCAAGTATCTACCATATCAAGCCCTTCGTCAACAGTTCTGGCGTGCTATGTTGAAGCACTATGATGCAGATGACACTGGAAATCTTGACAAGGTTGAGATCACTACCATGCTTGATACCCTTGGCTCTACATTACACGAGGACACTATCAACTCCTGGTTCAGACGTTTTGCTTCTGAGAATGGCGGAGAAGAAGTCTTGACTATGGACCAGGCAGTAATGTGTCTCGAAGATCAGCTTATGAAGTATCAGAAGAAAGCAACTCTTGCGGATACCATTCAGGGAAAGCTTCATATTTCAGAGACGAAGACTTCAAAGCTGACTTCAGCTGACGGCTCCAAATCATCTGACAGTCTTGTACAATCCGAAGACAGCTCAAGTCAGGGAACGCCACTGAACAATCATTCTCAGACCTCAGTAATACCTGCACTCGAAGTTCAAGACCTCTCAACCGACGGAGAAGAAGGTGGTGCTTTACCGGACGACGATCTTGCAGATGAAGAGAAGGGTGAGGAACATGTTGTGGAGATCAAAGAGTGCCCCATCTGCCATCAGCCTCGTCTCGACAAGAAGGGCTCCGAAGCCGACATCATCACGCATGTAGCCACATGTGCCTCGCAAGACTGGCGTGCTGTCAATAATATCGTCATGGGTGGTTTTGTGACCAGTAGCCAAGCACAGAGAAAGTGGTACAGCAAGGTCATCACCAAGATCGGTTATGGTGGCTACAAGATTGGAGCCAACAGTGCCAACATCCTCGTTCAGGACCGTATCACTGGACAGATCAATGAGGAGAGAATGAGCGTATACGTCAGACTGGGTATTCGACTGCTTTACAAGGGTCTCAAGAGCAGGGAGATGGAGAAGAAAAGAATTCGCAAACTTCTTCGATCCTTGTCCTTCAAGCAAGGCCGCAAATACGACGACCCCGCTTCAGCATCACAGATCCCTGGTTTCATTAACTTCCATCAGCTGGATATGTCCGAGGTTCTCATGAAGACATCAGAGTTCAAGAGCTTCAACGAGTTCTTCTACCGCAAGCTGAAGCCAGATGCTAGACCCTGCTCTGCTGCCGACAGACCGGAAATTGTCGTTTCACCAGCAGACTGCCGGACAGTCGTGTTCAACCAGATCACCGAAGCTCAACGCGTATGGGTCAAGGGACGAGAGTTCTCAGTTGAGCGACTTCTGGGTAATGCATACCCCGAAGATGCCAAANGATATGTCGGCGGTGCCATGGGTATCTTCCGTCTGGCGCCACAAGACTATCATCGCTTCCACATCCCGGTGGATGGCACGATGCTTGAACCCAAGCTCATCGAGGGCGAGTACTACACTGTCAACCCCATGGCTATCCGCAGTGCGCTTGATGTGTATGGTGAGAACGTCAGAGTTGTGGTGCCAATTGACAGTCCTAAGCATGGACGCGTGATGGTTATCTGTGTTGGAGCCATGATGGTCGGCAGTACAGTCATCACGCGAAAGGCAGGAGAGAAGGTGGGTCGTGCGGAAGAATTGGGATACTTCAAGTTTGGTGGCAGCACATTGTTGCTGCTGTTCGAGCCTGGAAAGATGTTGTTTGATGATGATTTGGTCGACAACTCTAACGGAGCATTGGAAACATTGGTAAGTGGTAATCACAATCAAACAGTTGTGGAGTGTGTTGCTAACAATTATGGTCAGGTTCGTGTTGGTATGTCAATTGGACACAGTCCCGACGAGGCACCTCATATGCCCGACATGCGCAAGGAGAACCCCAGCATGGCTGAGAAGCAAGAAGCCAAACGCAGGATCGAAGGCAGTTTTGCTCCCAGCACAAGGGCGATGCCTGGCTTGCCATCTGCAGCCAACATGCAGTAGAGGCGGTAGAGGAAGCGGTTGCACATGTTGTGAATAGAAACGCATTGGTGCATTGTTCGCGAAAGAGCGGCTGGCGCATACCTAGAATCAATTACTGAGCGAGCCTTTGACATTACTACATTTATTGTACTCTCGTGCAATGATTGACAGGTGAATGCAGAAGAGGGATGCACGTGATACTAGATAGAGAGCTGGTCATAGCTCAAGAGGGACAACTGAGGCTTGTCTTGGCGTGTCGGGGCAAGTTTGGTGTGTTTACATTTGGAGCTGGGTCGGGTCGCTGGGGCTTTCTTGATCAATACAAAGCACAAGAAGCAACGACGACCATCATCCACCTTCCTAGCGACGCGCATACTTTAATCAACCGCTGCCATTTTCAACTCGACTATCCATTTTCGACCGTCATAGAACGACAGGCGATGCGCATTCGCGCCACTTGACGCATACCCGAATCACGACAAGCTCTCAATGACGGCCGCCATTGTCACGCGCACTCCTCTACACACCCTTAGCATGACCGGCGCCCAAACAAACGGAATCAAGAGAAAAAGTCTGAGGCACCACAACGACCACCCGGACGAGGATGCCCCGCCAAACAAGAAATCAAAGGCGACAAACACGACCACAACCTCAAAGAACGCGTCGCAAAACACGGTGAAGAAGGCCAAGAAGTGTGAGTTTGGACTGGCGAGAAGGAATGACGCGCAAATGCTGATGCGTTCGCGACCAGCTTATGACGACGATGATGATGGCTTTGTCTTCACGCGCCGAACCAGGAAGGCCAAAGCAAAGGCGCCAGATGTAGCACCCGAACCGGAAACCACAGCTGGAGCTTCTGCGCCAGGCCCCGAAGGACAGTCCGTACAGCAACCTCCACCGCCAACAGACGAACACGCGCCGATAGAAGCTACTCAGCCGCCGAGGAAGAAGCCCAGAAAGACGCTACCTACGAGTCCTGAACCCACCCCGCGACGACGTTCCAAACGCTTGTCTGGCAATAGTCCTGTCCACAACCAAGAACCCGCGACCTCGAGACCAGCTACCGAACGACAATCACAGCAACGAAATCCTGCGACACCGCCCCCTGCGCCTGTTGATCAGGAAAATGTCGCGCCAGCAGCAGATGGCAGTCCTGCCTTGGATCAGGGCGAATTGACAATACACAAAAACGCGATCCAGCAAAGATCCCGCTACCATTTGGAGAAACACCTGTGCTGCGTCGCAACAAGGAGATGCGTAAACTAAGTGCTGAGAAGTCGAGGAGAAGCTCGTCAGGAATGAGAGGGCGGAGGGCTTCATCTTTGATTGAAGCGGGCAGCTCGCGTGGTACGTGGATTTTCTTCTTCCCTTTGCTCGAGTACATGCACAATCTTGTGTTTCTTGTGTTTCTTGTTTTCCGCATCTTCCAGTCTTGGGTTGGTTTCATCCCCTGACATTGTGTTTTTGTGCGCGCATTGCAGCAGGCTCCGAATTCAACATCGAAGCTCTGAAACTGGAAGAATCCGACTCCAACCATGCGGATCTCGACTTGCGAAGACACCAGATGGGCGAATACTCTGAGCATGACGAATATCGCGAATCGAAGACTAGAGAAGCTGACTGGGAGTCTGTGGATACAGCCGTGCCACATAGCCAGGTGGAAACGAACGAGTTTTACAAACACATTTCTCAGGATTTGGTTGAGCCGAAACGCATGAGGCAATTACTCTTGTGGTGTGGTCATCGCGCTCTGCCGGAGAAGAGCGGCGGTGGTCAGATGGATGCGGCAGAGACGGCAGCAATGCATGCGGGTAGGTTGATCTCAAAACTTGAAGCAAGCGTGTGCTAACATGTACTTTGCAGCGAGAGTCATACAGGAGGAGCTGCTCAATGAGTTCAGCTCGCGGAACAATCTGAGTTACTGGTACGACAGGGAAGATATAACACCGACTGTGCTGGTGAAGAAGCCAAATCCGAGGAATATACAAAATGCCGAGAAGTTGCAGCAGTTGGAGGCAGAACTTGCGAGGTGTGTATTTAATTTCTAGTGCTTTCTTCATGGATAACGAGCTGACGAATGTCTCCAGATTACAAGAGGAGAAACGATCATGGGATGACCTCTTATCCTCAACAGCACCACCAAAAACCTCGGCAGAAAATACAGACGCCGAAGCATCATCGCAACCTCAACTCGACATATCCCCACCAGCCATTAATCCCGCTCTTCTCGATCCCTCACAAGCCGATCTTCTTCAAACTCTTCTCTCAGGCATCTCGCTCAATCCATCCTCCTCGGAACCCTCCACATCCGCGCCAACATCAACATTAGAAACCACAAAAGCACGAATCGGCACAATAGCCTCGACGCTAGAATTCAAGATCGACAAGCTCGCAGATGGAGCGCATAAACTCGAGCAATACAGAGCTGGAGCGCAGAGGTTGGCAGATCACGTACTGGCTATCGGAGCGGAAAAGCTGGAAGAGAGGGACAAGAGTGTTAGAGAGAAGACGAGCAGCAATGGTTCTTCTGGACAGGTTGATGCGCTTGATAGGTTGAGAGGATTGAGTCGGGCGTTGAACAAGCGTGGTTGAGATTATGAATTGCAACGAACAGCGATTGTAGGAGTTTTTCTCTTCTTCTTCTTTTCTGGAGCTTGCTCTAGAGGCAGTTCGACTACTTGAGCATGCACAGCACACTTTTCTACTTTGGAACAGAACTTTTGTGTTCTATTATTTTTCTTCTTTGAATTTTTCTTTTTTCCTTGAAGTAGAATCCGAGCGGAACACCCTGTCTGTATTCTCATTTCTCCATGGAAGTCATCTGATTTGTTGCAGGGCTCGTCTTTTGCACACCTGTTGCGGCCACGAGTACGGTTCATTCTAGAGCTGATTTCTACGCTTCCTAATATTGCCATATTGCTGTCAGTATTGCATCTCGAGCATGGTATGGGTTTTTGGACTATGTTATAACGCGAGTGCTCAGGTTTGACACATTCTTTGTTTTGCTTTGTATCCATGTACTATTCGCAAACAGATAAAGTGCATTACAAAACCTGAATGTTTTCATTGCATCGATACCGACAGTTCTCGATAACTAAATGTCAATGTCTAAGGAGGATGGAAGTCGCGATCGAAGACTGCCCGATTTTGTTCCGAGTCGATGATGGTGCGACTTCATAACAATCAATGACGCGTTTTCCAGCCTTTTCAATATTAGCACATACATCGTTTGATACGATAGCCTACCACGCATATTCTGAAAACCTTCTGTTCCTATCTAGGTCGTCTCTAGGATTTTGTGATACAATGAAGCCTAGAGCAACTGTGGCGGCAGCTCAGACTCCACCTGAGAGATCGCAACCATTGAATTGAGAGCTCATAATCTGGAGTGCCCTAGCATTTTCTCTATGGACTGAACGTCATAAGATGATTCGAACGCGATTTGTGCCTACTACAACCTTGATCCGGGTCTTCACTCGCCTCTTCTCGGACCGTGGTGCTCGCAAACATGCTGGCAGGTCGACACTCTTCCAAAGGGCATTGCAAGGCAAATTCACAGTATCCACGACTAAAGATGCCGAAGCCTTTCTATCAACAACCTTGAACCAAGAAGACAATCTAATTGGCGTGGTCGAAGAAATATTGGCCAGCCGGCGCGGTCTCAGATGTCTTCACGATGCTTTCAATATCGACGATACGCCGGAATATATTGATGCAGTTCTCCAACCTGTGCTTTCTTGGCTTCAATATCCTGCTCTTCAGTCGGCGAGCAATGGATTCTATCTTAGAAGGACTTTGCAAGCGCTGGTTAATCCACCTGGTTCGAAGTTCTGGAAGGGATATCACGAACATGTCAAGTATGAACTCGTTGATGAGAAGTCAACACAATGCTTTGCATGGTTACTCTTACAATTGCTTACCAATACGCGCAATGTCCGACCATATGATCTGATGATCGCCAAAGATCCTCTGATACAAAGGGTACTGGCAGACTCATCGTATGATGATACACGTTACTTCGGCCAGAGGATACAGCGAGTATATGCATTGCATCAGAGTGCCAATTCCCGAAAAGACAGGGATGTCTTTCAACCACAGCACAACAACGACTTTCAAAACTTCAAAAACATTGGTATCTTTCCTACTACACAGGAGGTGGTGTCAGACCACAAGCCGCGAATTCGGCGCGCTACAGAGGTGTTTGAAGAACCTGACCCTACCAGAAGACTATACATATATCTGGCAAATCTGTTCCGGCTGTACAGACAAGACTGGCTTGAGGAAATCAAAGAACAAGTACAAGTTGCTCTTGGAAAGAGACTGAAGATCACCGCAGTATCACAACGCTCAGTGTGAAGCTGGCCGGAGTTTCATGCCGCGATATATCTCGAAAACATGGGCAACACCCTTGGTCGTTAAAGCTTGAATGCTCAGAACCACTACCCGAACTCAAAGACCTTAATCCAGAACAACGCAAGGCTTTCATCAAAGATGATACTGAGTTCATGCCGGATGGAGCTCTGGGGTTCGTAGTTGCAGACGGCGAACCAGTGGCTGTTGTCAAGATACTGCGCGATGAAGCGTTACTCGCCGGGTCCATCATCTGCATTCAAATTCCTCATCTCGAATTGATACCACAAGCAATGCTTGCCATGATGAACGCCACAATCCTGAACCTTGTACTGCTCAACACCGCTGGATATGCCTATGAACCAGTCCTTGGTCGTTTGCAGAACACGACGGAAATACCTTTTGAGGAAGAACTATTGTTCTGGGACGACTCAAAGACGCCCAAAGAATCAGAGGCCTACGACAGTAGTCTCAAGATCAGAGAGATTGTGAAACAGCTTGAAGAAAGCCATGAGTCAAATCTACAAGACATCATGCAGTTGAAGAGTTCAGTCGTTTTGGACCCTTCACAGGCAGCTTCGTTGGTAGCTGCCCTGAAACAACAACTGAGTCTTGTGCAAGGCCCACCTGGAACCGGCAAATCGTTCATTGGAGCTCTCGCAGCGAAAGTCTTGCATGACCATACCAACGAAAAGATCTTGGTTGTCTGTCACACAAACCAGGCACTCGATCAGTTCACGCAAGACATTCGCAAAGTGGGCGTCAAGGATTCGCAGATTGTTAGGTTGGGTGGAGTGGAAAGAACGGACCCTGCTAACCACAATCTCTTGCTTTCGTCTCTGAGGGTTGATGGCGCGTATCATTCCAGTCGTGATTCAAGATCATTTGTCAAGGACATCGAGCGTCAGGTACTGGATGAATCTCGCCGCATTGTAAGTTAAGCTGAAGGTCTAAATACCACGAGCCGTGCTGGCACTGGCCCTGTGCAGTGTGTATTAAGACGCCGTCCGGAACGCCATCTCACAGACTTGAGTCTACCCGTCTAGCCTTCTCGTGTGCCAAAGGACGTAACTCCCATCACTCCGACTACAGCAGAGAGTAGATCATACACTATAAAAATGCACGATTCTATTTAGGAACAGAGGCATGGCCAAAGAGAGCTGATAAGAAGTCGCCTCTCAGTGGACACTATCCTGTTTCTAATAGTATTGTGCATTTCTATAGCCATACTTCTACACACGGGGAGGAGGGGGAGGGCAGTCGTGGTGTTCTTGCCTATCGAATTTCGTGAAGTCATGCTAATTCTACCTTCGCTTTAGGACGATCTCTATCGTGACTTCACATCGCTGGACAGACTTCGTGATTATCTGGATGAATTGGCGCTGAAAGGTGATCCAAAGTACAGTCAGGCGTTCGAGATCAGCCTTGAACCTAATGGCAACACACGTGTCACAGAAGAGGGCACAGCGGGTGACAGGCATTACCTACTGCAGCGATGGATCGACGGTAAAGATCCAGGCATCTTTCCAGAGAAGAAAAAGTACACTGACGTATGGGGTCTCCCGCCACAACAAAGGAAAGAGCAATTAAGTATGTGGCGGGCTTTAATCAGTCAAACGGTACTCCCAGCTTTCTTGGAGAAGGCAGAAAATCACGATGACCTCCTAAGCCAGGCTCGTAATGCGAACGGCCAGGTCACCGAACAAATAATCCGAAGCAAGAGGATTATCGCCTGCACAACCTCAGGAGCAGCGAAATACCCACAAGTACTCTCCGAAGCCCCTGGCATCATCATCGTCGAAGAAGCCGGTCAAGTACTAGAGAGCCATATCGTCACTGCCCTGAACCCGACTGCCAAACAGCTCATCATGATCGGCGATCACAAACAATTACGTCCATTTGTCAACTACGACTTGAGTGTTGAAAAGGCGAGGGCTATGATCTCAATCGTTCCATGTTTGAGCGTTTGGTCCTCAAAGGATATCCTCATCAAGTTCTTGCCCAGCAACATCGTATGAGACCCGAGATCTCAGACCTGGTCAGGCAACTCACCTACCCCGATCTCATCGACGCACCAAAAACACAAAATCGCCCAGATTTGCGTGGGTTTTCTGACAATGTCATTTTCGTCAACCACGATCAATCAGAGGATACAGCTGAAGATCCGACGACCGTCAATGTCAGAACCTCTAAACGCAACACTTATGAAGCTGAGATGGCATTCAACACTGTGAAGTATCTGTTACAGCAAAATTATCATGCTAGCAGTATTGTGGTGTTGACACCATATCTGGGCCAATTGAAGAAGTTACACGAGGTGTTTGGGAGAGAAGTAGAGACTGTGCTTAGTGACTTTGACGTTAAAAACATGGAAAAGAACGGGTTAATCGAGGATAGCACTGAAGTCGCTCAAATCTCAATCAACGAGCCAGTAGCAACAACCACGACTTATGCCAAAGCAAACACCTCGACTACTACTTCTGCGCCAAAACCAAAGATCCAGATCTCCACCATCGGTAAGTATAAATGTTTATATCCCCGTGTGCAGAGGTATGTAACGTGTATGGCTATAAAAATGCATAATACTATCAGAAAATAGGATAGTGTCCACCGAGAAGCAACCTCTTAGTAGCTCTCTGTGGCCAATCCTCGTTCCTAAATAGAACTGTGCATTTTTATAGTTTGTACTTTACTTTCTACTATAGTCGGAGTACAGTGCAAGTTACATCCTTATACACACGGGAAGGACCCAAAATCAAATATCACAGATCTAACGCACAAACACACAGACAACTACCAAGGCCAAGAAAGCGATATCGTAGTCGCTTCTCTGGTAAGAAGCAACCCAGACCACGATATTGGCTTCTTATCTAGCCCCGAACGTCTTAATGTGCTACTCTCCCGTGCCCGCAACGCTTTAATCCTCATCGGCAACGCAGAAACCTTCAAATCCGCTCATACAGGCAAAGAAACACGGACACAGCTATTTTCTCTGCTCGAAGAGGGCAAACATATCTATCAAGGTGTCCCTGTGAAGTGTGAAAACCACACGCAGAATACAGCAGTGCTCAGCACACCGGCGGAGTTTGGGGAGAAGTGTCCGAATGGAGGGTGTACGGAGATCTGTGGTCGGAGGTTGAGGTGTGGACATCAGTGTGAAGAGCTTTGTCATCATGTTGATCATGCAGAGATGGTGTGCAGAGTGTTGATTGAGGAACTCTGTAACAGAGGTAGACATGTGCAGAAGTTTGAGTGTTGTGAAAGGTTGGAGGTTATCTCTAGACCTTGTGAGGAGTGTTTGGTTGAGGATGAGGCGGAAAGGAAGAGGGCCGAGCAGGATAGCAGGAGTGGTGGGTTCTGATATCTGTCTCAAAGCGAGAGAATCTATTGACTATTTCTTGAGTGGTTATTTACTTGGCTAGAGCTGTTGTGGACATCCCATGGCGAAACTCTATCTCTGAGCTCATCGCCAGAGCGATCACGACTGCGAAGATCTGACCTAATGATTGTTGTTTCGGTCTCACAAAGCACCTCGAAGTTGGATCCGTCTTTTACGCCATCACCCAAACCCTGTCGTGACTCTGAGCGATCATGAGTATACATTGGTAGATCGTCTTGCGTCTTGTCGAGATTGCTGTATAGATCATGCTTAGAGATCTTTGGCAGATTGGAAAGAGCTCGGGCATATCTTTCGCGATGAGCAGCCGATCGGTTGTTCGAAGAACCAAGACTGACGCCTAAGAGACTCCCAAACTTGCTATGTAGTCCACTACTCTTGATCAGACAAGGCATGCAAGGTACACCAAGAATGAAAAAGCCACAAGTCATCTCTGCACAAGCCCAGAAGAGAAGTGGTCCGATGTAGTACATCTTGTCATCTTCATGAGAGAAAGTGATCGTTGTAGATAGGCGGACAGTTGCAGAGATAGAGGCACTGCTTGTTGTCAGCTCTCCTGTTGGAGTCATCTTGAATAAAGTTTTATCAGGGGAACACTCACAGTAGGCCTACTCCGAAGATGATCGATATGCCGAGCTTCTCTCGCCAGTTCATTTGGAGACTCCAGATGATCTTCTGAGGCAACAAAATCATACTCCAGTCCGAGAATACTTGTACACTCGCAGACACGAGCATGACAGTCGACAGATTATAACATTTGCTTGGGAGGTAGAACTTCCATATAGCGGCGTGTGGAACACACTGCATGTTCAGCAGAATAATGCAGGCAATGCCCCAGCCCACTTGGACCGAGATAGTGACCATGCTGATCCACCAAAGATAGCTTTGGCGGCGGTTGCCCACTACAAACATTCTGCACCAGTCGATCAAGATGGCCGTTTTTACCAGAGCGAGTGTGGCCGAATAGGCACATCCATAAATAAGGATGAGGTAGAATGGTTGGACAAGGTCTGCGTTGCGAAGGTTCCATTGATGAACATAGTATCCAGGAGTATAGATCATACCATATCCAGCATATGCAGTACCCAAGTAAGCTCCCTAAAACATCATGACTTTAGCAAACTTGATATCTTGTGGAACGATGAGATAGCATCCCACGTACATATGCACACAGCATCAAAAATTCTTCCATGTGAACAGCCTTCAGTATTCGTAGTTTAGCGTACCCACGGGCGAGAACCAGACCCGTTGCAAAAAGCATACAGAACGTCGTAACGAACCATGCCAATCCGTTGTTATTTGGCGGATTTACAAAGTCCGCCGTGACACCCTTTGGTGCTGGGAGAGCCGGTTCCGCAAGCAGAGTCCTGAGGTCAGAAGCCGATAAAGACATGGAGCGTATTGGTTCCGGTTTGAAAACGGAGGCGGCAGAGTGCGAGAAAATAGCTATTCGATGGATGAATGAGGAGATGACGGCCACGGACGCGTCCAGTCTTAAGTTTTGATCCCATGCTCTTTGGCTTTGAAAATTGTGCGATGTTCGAGCGTTTTGCTATAGAACCATCCATATAGCTGGGAGCAAGGGTGGGCCAGCAAAGAGTGATATGAATCGTAGAGGATTCACTATGCCCATCATTGAGCTTTGTGCATATTCACGGCCCTCAAGGCCAAAGACGTTCTAGCCTGGTGTATCATTTCCGGACTCGTCGAGTTCGATATCTAGATGCGGTTGATGGAGCCCAGAACACCGGACATATTGACTGGGATATGTCAGAGTAACGTGAATAGCTCGCATGGTGGATATGAAATCCCAGAATAGTAGATGGTTTTGGCTGTTATCCTTACGAGAGGTAGGATTTAGTGTATGCAGCTCGGTCGAGCTTCGTATACGATATGCGCCGTGCATGACCCCCGACGGGCAGGAGCGACTTGAGCATTGCGTTGCCTACAGAATTCGATTGGTTGACATCTGTCCATAACCAACACATCAAACATCAATCTATTTTGCTTCTCCCATCTACCGCACCATCAACGAACTTCCTTGGACTCTCGGGCTTCATAATTCACAGACAAGGGGTTTTCTTGGGTTTCATGAACACTTTGGGTCAAGTGTTGTGGTCCGAAAAAAACCTTGGTGACGTTTGCGACCAGCGTCCCTTTCACGTCAGCTTCCCAGACAACGACCAGCGGACTTCTTGTAACGAGCGACAAATTCGAGAATCGCTGATTCTGATATCAAAAATCTGACGGTACCTGCATGGATCGGGGAGTTGACTAGCTGTTTCTGATGAACCAAGAAGCTGGTTCTTTCTGATTGTTCTGACCCACTAAGCCCAAATTACTAAATCATCCAGTCCTTCGGGTCTTGGTGGCACGCTATAGTAATACTGTGGATGATAAAACTAACTTTGATCAGTCTGGGACGCCTCTTTGTTATCTTTTGTCGCTATGATACTAGCGATGTTCAACCGATTCCCGCCTCAGTCTGCCGCTCCAATGAGCGAGGCATTGTTGAAGTTAGCGACAAGCCATCCATATAAGAGACGAGCCAGAGCTTCTTAAGTGTCGCAGTTTTGATCCAATTCTTCGCCGTGGAGTGTCAATCAGCGAAGCAAGAGTGTCTATCGCCTGCCTCCAATTATCTTTGAACGAGCCCCTGAAACACAACTTGTGACATGTCGCTATCCTCGAGCATGAACCATGGTAGGTCTTTCTACAATCGAGAAGAAGATGCGATGTGTTGACAGAAATGTAGCAGAGGAGCACCAATCTGCACCACAGGATGCTCAGCCTGATCTGAGAAGTCTGATGGCTCAATATGCTTTGCCAAATGTTCACTCAGTCGCCAAGGATCTGGAATCTATGAGCAGCCTGGAAGCGACATCGGCATTTCGCACTACGCTAGAGCAGTTCAATGCTGCTTTCGATGCGAATAGCACTGAGGACCTGGAGAATTGCCTGTTTCCTGAGCAAGCCTTCTGGAAGGATCAACTGGCATTGACCTGGCATCTACGCACTTTCATCTCTCCAGCTCAGGTTGCGAAAAATTTGCTGGAGACCAAGAGCCTAAGAATGATGACTGGTAACTTCGAGATTACAGGAGAAGCCGAGTTTGTACAGGCTGGACCAAGTCTAGTGAGTCGACCATCTGCTATCGTGACCTTTGGACGACAGAGATGACTAACAGGTGATGAACTCCACAGAGGTNTCATCGTGTGTCCACTTGCCTTCAAGACTGGCTCACCGGCTGCTACCTGCAGTGGAATGATGTGGCTATTGCCTGTCGTGAGACAGGCGTCGGATGATGGCACCTCGAACTTGACATGGAAGATCTGGATTCTGAGCACCAAGCTTGAAAAGCTTGAAGAACACCTCGAGGACGAATCTCTGCTTCGAACCGCTGGCAGGTACTCAGAGGGCCTGGCTGAGATTGAAACAGACGTTTTCATCGTCGGAGCTGGTAATGCGGCCGTGGCACTTGCAGCACGCTTGAAGGCTTTAGGGGTGCACAGTGTCATGGTTGACCGTAATCCATCTGTCGGCGACAACTGGGCTCTGCGCTACGACTGCATGAAGTTTCATATCCCAACGTCGTTTTGTGAGCTACCTTATCTGAGATACTCTGACGAGCTTCAGGGTCAGATGCTCACTAGAAACGACCTCGCGACACATGTCAAGAATTACGCGCAAACTTTCAACCTCGACATCATCCATTCGGTCGAGATTATCCAGACGGCGCGACGCGATGACGGTCAATGGCAGATCAAGTTTAGAACTGCAGATAAACGCGAGGTCACGGCTACCGCCAGACATCTGGTTCAGGCTACCGGTATTGGATCGCAGAAACCCTACGTCCCGTCCATAACAGAGCGAGAGGCATACATGGGCACAAGTCTGCACTCTTCAGAGTTCAAGAACGCGACTGAGTTGAAAGCTCAAGGGATCAAGACGGTGTGTATCGTCGGTTCAGCAAACACAGCATTCGATGTGCTCGAGGATTGCCATGCCGCTGGACTCCAGGCCACCATGATATCAAGATCGCCTACATACATCGTACCTCTCGAGTACGTGTGCGACAAGTACAGTCTTGGCGCCTATGATTATGGTGTCGAAGCAGCCGATAGCCTATTCATGATGCTCCCGACAATAGTAGATGCTCAACTCGGACGTGGACTATTTGCGCAACTGGCTTCGAAGGAACCCGACCGCTACTCTGCTCTCAAGGATCTTGGATTCCCGATTTTCGATAGTCGTGACCCTAGTGCTGCCCTGATGCACAATCTGATTGAGCGTGGAGGTGGACACTATGTCGATACCGGCGCTACATCTCTCTTGACCCAGAAAAAGTCANGCTTTGTGGCTAACGTGGAACCCAAGGCATACACACCCACCGGGCTCCGACTATCCGATGACACAACACTAGAAGCCGACGCCATTCTATGGTGCACAGGGTTCTCAGACAAAGATGTCCGGCAAACAGTAAAAGATATACTCAAGATCTCACTGCCCGTTGATGCTACATGGGGTGTTAACGAGCAGGGAGAAATTCGCGGCATGTGGAGGAGACACAGCAATGTCAGCAACTTCTGGGTCATGGGTGGGTATACGCAGCAACACCGTTGGTTTTCAAAACTGCTGGCGCTGCAGATTAAAGCTGAGCTGGAAGGTATCCTGCCTGCGGCTTATGGTATGGATTTTCCAGCACATGTATAAAGGGCTTGAGAGAGTTGGCATCAGGCAGAAGAGATTTTGACTGCTCTTGCATTCTGTGAAAAGCGCTCATGCCATGCAAGTTCGTTTCAGATAATGGTACAAAGACAGGCGAGGTATAGAGTAGACGTTAGCTCAAGACATGCCTGAGCAAGCGAGGATTATCATGGAAAACCGTCGATTATGACTGGACGTTTCTTGTCTTTTGAATCTTCTACCGTGCTACTCTGTATCACGAGTTCATAGCTTCATGTCTCGACAACGTCGGCGTGCTATGTGAGGAGTGTTTGGATAAGGAGAAGAGGGCCAAACAGGAAATGGATCATTCAATAATTTGCAAGCTGGTGAGCTCGACAAGTCAAACTGAGACCCACATTGCGGCGCGAGCAACTCATCGAGTCTAGTTGAGGATGGTGCAGAGAGGAAGAGGGCCGAGCAGGAGGAGAACCAGTGTCGTGAAGACATGAAACATGTGTTGTCGAGAACGAGAATGCACTTTGAAGTTCTGGAGTAGCAACCGCCACAACAGGCAAAAGATTTATGCCATTGCTCCGAGTGTGTTCAAAAAAAAAATGAATGTTCAATAAATAGTCTGCCAAAAGTACCAAAGCCCTAGACCTTTTGACGAAAATCCGTCTTGCGCCGTGTGTAACGCCTGTTTTGATGCAGAAGTGGGTATCGATTCTATTGCCATCTCCGACCTCTACCGCGTCCGCGACCGACACCGCCTGAAGGCCCTGAGGGGATGCCTCCTTGACCTTGCATCATGGCAATTTGTTGCTGGCTGTAACCATCAAAGCCTTGGCCCTGGGCTTGTTGGCCTTGTTGACCGGGTTGCGGTGTACCACCGCGGAAGCCTGGACCTTGCTGTTGAAAGGATTGCTGTTGTTGACCGCCGTAGCCTTGATTCGATTGTTGGGGCTGCATGGATTGGCCGCCGTAGCCACCCTGGCCGCCACCCATAGAGGCTTGTTGGTAGTGTTGCATAAAGGTGTTGAAGTCGAGTTGACTGGGGTCGATGCCCTGGCTTTGCAGGACGCTGGCGAAAGCGGCCATGTTTTCGGGGTTCATGTCGGGCATACCGGGCATTCCCATTCCAGGCATACCCATGCCCATGGGACCGGTAGGTGCAGCAGCTTGAGGGCCGGCAGGAGCAGCTTGGCCGGGCATACCTCCTCCTGTCAACATCATCTCGAATTGCTTGGTCTCTGCCTTCTGGTTGTTTATTGTAGAAGCCATGTTTTGCTGGCGCAAGCAGTACTGGGTCCATGTAAACTCGTCAAAGCCATAGTTGAAGAAGTCAGTCTGGTCGGTGCCGGGTAGACGCCAGGGTTTTGTGTGCTCGGCAAGGTCGGCGTCGATGTCGACTTCGGTGATGAGTTTTCCAGCAGGATCCCATGAAGGAGTTGCATTGACATCTATTGACGAAGTGCGAACTTCGGGGTATTTGGAGCCGTCCTTTAACGAGACTAGTTTCTTGTTCTGGGTCGAAGGTTCTGTTTTGAGAGCGGGCGTCTGTTGGTTCTGCTGGGAAGGAGCGGCGTCGATGGAGGCAGTGCGGGCAGGAGGTTCGGGTTTGATGCCGCGGAAGGGACGAGCTTGCCTGGTAGAGGAAGTCAGAGATGGAAGGTGGTAGGGAAAGTTTGTGCAAGCTCACGGAGGCTCTGGGACAGCACCATCCTTGTGCTCTGTGATAATATCAATGTCGCTGTCATCATCGTCGTCGTCGTCGTCATCGTCATCTTCGTCGTCTAAGTTGATGTCGGGTTGGTCGTTAGGGTCGTCTTGGTTTGTAGGTTGCTCATTCTTGATGGGAGCGTCGCCATTCTGGGTGTAGAAATCGTCGTCTTCTTCTTCCATGATGATGTTTTGGTATATGCGACTGGGATGATGTGGGAGAAGGACGATCTGTCGCAACTCGAAGCTCCAGTCGCGGTACAGAGAGCGCCTGGCCCGAGCTTTGATGTCTTTAACAATCTTGACCCGACCAACACAAGAACACAAGAAGACTCTGCGCGTAAATAACCAACCCGATTGTATCATATCTGTACAGAATCATCTCGACACGGGTCGCCTTCTCCCTACCATCTGAAACCGGAACGTTGCAGTCGACCACGGACGCGCGCCTGAACGCAGCAAACAGCTTCACTTTCGCTTCGCTGCATACACCACTCACTTGGTCTATCCAACCATGGCCTTCGGCAGATCAAACTCGCTCAGTTTGAATACTGGTGCTGCCAACTCTCTGTTGTACGTCTCTGATATCCATTCTTTGTGCGACAAGCGACATTCAAGATGCGCCGACCAGCCATTACCTTCATTCCAGGCGCGCTAACTATTGCTCCTCCCCCTTGCAGCGGCGGCAATACAGCCGCTACCAATACCTCCCAGCCCGCCTCTACTGGCTTATTCGGCGCCGCTCCAGCAGCTACCTCTCAACCACAGCAATCCTCCGGCCTATTCGGCTCTTCAACGGCAACATCACAACCACAACAATCCGGCGGCCTCTTTGGTGCTGCTCCTGCTGCTCAGCCCGCTAAGCCTACCCTCAGTCTGTTCGGCAACAATCAATCCAACACCTCAAACACACAACCGCAGCAGCAACAATCTGGAGGTCTCTTCGGCGGCGCAACTGCCAATAACAACACATCAAACACCGGCGCCATGTTTGGAAGCACTGCGCAGAACTCGGGCCAGACCCAGAATCAGCCTGGTTTGTTCGGTGCTCCGAAAGCTGCCCCAAGTCTTTTGTACGTTTGTTCCCTTGATCTCTCAAGCTAGACCATCTTCTAACATGTTACTCTCAGTGGAGGCAGTACTGCACAACCCTCGACCAACAACTTTGGCTCGTCCCTTCTGAACCCGCTCGGCAACTCAACCACCAGACCTATGGCAGGCAGCCTGACAATGGGTCAAGGCAACTCCCAACCCACCACACAACCCGGTGTCAAGATTGACATGTCAAACCTGCGCCCAACCACACGCTTCAGTGATTTACACGACGACCTCAAGAAACAGATCGAGCAAATCGACTCCTTCATCAGACAACAAGAATCTTTTGCTACTCAGTGCGAGAGCATGATCGGCCGTCATGGCACCGATGTCGAGAGCATCAAACCCGATGTCGACCTGATTCAGAACAAGATTGAGACTGTCGAGCTTGCTCTGGAGAACGACGGTGCCGCTATTGAGAATGCAAAGGAGTTGGTTCAAAGAGACGCTGGTGATCTTATTAGAGTTGCCCGCATGGCCGAGAACTTGCAACTCCCCCAGCAATACCACTACGGAAGAAGCAGCAGACCTTCAACAACTGATGACGAATACGATATCGATCTTGTTGGCTACTTCAGCAAGCAAGCCGAAGTCATGCAAAAGACCCTCGACACATACACTTCTCACCTCGCAGAAATTGAAGCACACCTTCGCGTGGTCGAGGGAAGCACAGTTCAGCAAGCACATCAATTGGCCGCTCAACGAGCAGGTGGTCGTGCCGGAAACAGTGCAGACAATGTCCGAGAGTTGGCAGAAACTCTTCGCGGCTTCGAGAGCGGTATCCTAGGCGCCGCAGGTCTGGTCGGTTCCTGCAGGGAAGGTGTGAACGAATTAATACTTGGCAAGATTGGTGGCGATCCTCGGGAAAGTGTTGGATTCGGTGGCAGAAGATCTGTCAGATTCTAAGCAGTCTTGAAATTCTACTTGTGGAGAGGAGCTGCTTGAACAGCCCTTGCCACTCGATGAAGCGTTCGCTAACTCGCGATGTACGCATACCGTGCTCATAAAATACTCACAAACCCTTTTGCCAACATCTTTACGTGTGCGATTGAGACTGAAACTAATCGACGAGATTTGAGAGGGAGATCAAGAAACGCAATCATTCCTCAGAATTGTGCCATCGTCCAGAACCCCAGATTTGGCAAGCCATGACCACCAAGCCTGGCTTGCACCTCCTCTCCTCTTTCCTTCTTCCAACATTCTGTTGTGAACGCTATGACTTGACTCCAATTGTCAGTCTAAAGTATATCGAGTCCAGATCATTGCAAGTCCAGCAGCCACTCGCTTGTCAATCAAAGTTGTTGCGGATGGTCAGTGTTCGTGATAGTGGTCAAACGGCCACACACAAAGCACGGTCTCTCCAGACGAGCACGCCATCTCTTCCTTTGTCACTTGCTTCGAGAAAGGAAGCCTATCTATCAAACATCTGTCATCGAACCCTCGGCAGAGTGTGTTTAGTTTTCCCCGATATGTGCATGTCATGCGGAGCCCCATGGTGAAACCGTGCTGGCGAAGTCTCATCATACCGCCAGACCATCACGCAATATTTCGTAGATATGTTGCATCTTGGATTTCAAACGCAAGAGTCATAGATGTAGGAAGATAGGTATATAACATGATTTCCTTGTCGGTGTCGTTCAATTCCATATATCGTTTTTCGTCAACCATCTGTTTCTCCTTACTCTTTTCGCCAAAACACACGTCAAAAATGGCTCCATATCTGCAAGAAGAAACACCACCAAACCACGAGACCAACACTATCAAGTCACCCTCCCACTCTAAACCCACTCAAACACTTTCCTACCAACCCGGTCGCACAGTCGCCGAAACACACGAAAACTATGCTTACGAACACTTGCTGCCCACTTTCCCAGACCTGAAATGGGATCCTTTGACCGAAGTCCCTTACGAAGATAAAGGTCTTCTCGGTTGCCCTTCTTTTTCTTCTTTATTGGCTTCTGCACATTCCATCCGCGACTACAACCCGAAGATTGGAACTGAGGTGCAAGGAATCGATCTCGGCAACATCTCCGACGAGACGAAGAATGATATTGCGAGACTGATAGCCACAAGGGGCGTTGTGTTTNTCAGAAACCAGAAGAACTTTGGGATTGAAGAACAGAGAGAGTTAGGGAGGTATTTTGGTACACTGCATAAGCATGCTACTACTAGTGTGCCCAAGCAACAAGGATTAGAAGATGTGCATGTGGTATTTGCAGAAGGCAACAAGGGAGCCAGAAACCATGTTTTCTCGCCCAGTTTCTTGTGGCATAGTGATGTAAGTCCCCTGTTCCCTTTCCCTTTCCCACCATTGCAAAAGATCTGCATACTGATAGTTGGCATGCAGGTCACATACGAACTCCAACCCNCTTCCTACACAAGTCTAAAACTGCTCTCTGGGCCCCCTAGCGGTGGCGGCGGCACAACACTCTGGTCATCCCAATACGCAGCTTACGACGCTTTATCCCCATTCATGCAAAACTGTTTATCTTCGCTGTCAGCAGTCCATTCTGCAGACATGCAAGCTGCGGACTCGAGACGTGGCAACAGACCGGTCAGGAGAGATCCCATCACCACTGTGCACCCATTGATACGCGTCAACCCTGTCACGGGTTGGAAAAGCATCTTCTACAATCCTGGTTTCGTGACTAAGATTGTCGGGGTTCCGAGGTTGGAGAGTGAGCATATTATTTCTTATTTGAATGAGTTGATTGCCACCACGAATGAGATTCATGTGGCTTTTGAGTGGGGCAAGGATGATGTTGCGTTTTGGGATAATAGGATTTGTGTAAGTTTTGACACGTCTGCTTGTAAGGTATCAGTGCTAATGGGAAAACAGAATCATTCGGCGACGTATGGGTTTGCGCCTCATCGCAGGCATGCTGTTAGAGTAGCTTGTCAAGCGGAGGTACCGTATTATTCTGCAGATGGAAAATCACAAGAGGAAGAGTTGAATGCAAAGTATGGATTACCTGCTGGAAACAAGGATTGCAGTGGTGTGGGTAACTATAATGACTAGAGTTCTCTGTCTATCTTAGAGGAAGAAGAAGACAGGGTCTTTTACATCATGAAATCTGATGAGTTGACCAGTTTGTTGCATGTCTCTGCTTCTTTCTGTCTGCATGGATGGGCCTTGCGGAGATTCGTTGCTTTGATGGTAATTGGTGCTCAATTGAATGCTTGAGCCTACCGATTGTGATTTTGAAGGCACAGACGACTCATTTTTATGTCTCCTCATGGCTCTCGCTTTTCATCATCCTTGAAGAGCGCTGTGAAGTACTAAGCACAAGAAGGGGTTGGATGTCCGTGCTTCGATGCTTCCTTTACCACTGCTCTTGCTGTCTAGACTTGTTCTTCTTGCTTCTCTTCCAATTTAGCGAGTTCTTTCCTCCAGTTGCCCATCATCTTGCGAGCACCTCTTTCCCATTGCAACAAAAGCTCAGCGTTAGGACGAGAGCTGGCCAGCACTACCTCCTTGAACAGTTTGCTTTTGCAAAGGTTGATCATGTCTAGTGCCTGGTTTCCTGTGTGTCAACATCTCTCTTCCAGATACGTAGATCGAAACATACCCCTTGGATTCTGGCTGTGAGTTCTGCTTTCTTGACAGCTCTGGCAATCTTGGCATCCACAGCTTCCTTGTTTACGGCTTCCAACTTCTTCATTTCTTCTTGGACAGCATGGTCGACAGCTACGGCGAAAGCCTGTTCCAATTCCTGCACTTTCTCTTTGACGGCTTTGTCGACGATGGCGGTGAAGACTTGCTTGATGGATGCGTCGACAGCTTCATTGGCGGCTGCGGTCAGCGTGATGCCGATGGCATCGCTGAGTACCTTATCCATGCTTGTAAATGAGTTAGCAAATGCGCATTGTACTGCAGTGTGCGATCTTACCTGACGACAGACAGATGAGATCGTTCTGTTGTGTCGTGGCAGACTGGTGTTCAAGGTAGAGGAGCTTGAAGGTTTGGATGGTTGCGTGTGTTGTGGTAGGAGGGATCGAGAAAGGAGAGATTGAGAGAGGAAAGATCGGGGAAGGACAGATTGAGGAAGGAGTGATAAGTCGCAACTTTCAACACACGATGAATCAAAGGTTGTCATCGAGTCTTTCATTCACTTCCTTTAAATTCTCACCTCTCGAATAAGCCACAGAGGGCATAAACATCTTCGTATTTCACCATCGTCCCTTTCAAGCATCATATTGGATCTGTCTCAGTGGACTCAACTTGATAATGAATTGAAGTTTGCATCTCTATAGTTAACAGATAGTTGAACAAGAAATGCAGGCAGACATTCTGATCCATCTCAAAAGAGCAAAAGAAGCACCACTTTCGGTGGCGGGAGAAACTCTGGCGAGGAGTTTACTTGCGGTTATTCTTCTGTCTTTCTGGGGGTGATTTCGTACTTTTTCTAGCCTTTTTTCTGATTTTTGTTTGTTCTTTTTTTCAATGTTTTTTCTTTTTCTTTTTTTTCCTCATTTATTGTTTTTGCCCCTTCTTTCTGGTCGACGGTGGGAATTGAACCGTGTCCCTTCCTGGCCGCAGCTCAGAGTTGATGCGCCAGCCAACTGGGCCACCGCGTCCGGTTTGCCAGTTGGCTGGACGGAAGAGGACGTGTTGGCGTGGTCTATATAGCTTGCTGTCCCAGGTGTGCGGTTCACTCCTCAGTGACCAACCGATCTCGTTCTCATCCGGCGCAGACCATTGTTTGGTTGTTGTTGTTGTGTCCTCTCTCGCAACCTTCCTGACTGCCTCGCCTCCACGATGCTGCCGCGTCGATGCAAGATTGTGCTGTTGCCTACAGGTTGCAGCATGCGGAAGCCAGTTTCTTTCGCGACTTCCTCCTCAAACGTCGGCAGTTTGGCCAGGCCGAACATTTCTTCGCCTCCCACAGCTGCTTTCTCGTCACAAACACATCCACAGCCTGCTTCGCACTCTGGGGATTCATCCTCGGTGAGTGACTCGAGAAGAATAGCAAGACAAGAAATGTGCGCAGAGTGGCCACAAGCAAGGCACACCTTGTAGAGACCTGCTATGGGCTGGTAGCAGATCGTGCACGAGAGCAGATGAGATCGACCACCACACTTGACACATCTGCGGTCAGCGCCACGACGTTCTGGACCGTCGACCTCGCCGCAAGACATGCAGCATCGAATGATCTGTGGGCCAAGGCCGTCCAATGTCTCTTGGTCTTCTTCGACTTCTCCGAGTGTGAGAGTGGATTGTGAGCCGCGATCCCTAGACTCTGTCCTGGTGAGGATATTTGACAGCATTCCGTCAAGTTTGTCCACTTCATTCTGTTGCATCTGAAGTCCCCAAGCACCTAGCATATTTGCGTATACTGCGCGATATACTGCAAACTTGACTGACTGGTTAGGGTCGAGGAAAGCTACGCTTGGACAACCTTCGTTATCAAACATATCTTGGTTCTTCAAACTGATCTTGACTCGGGACTGCGGTGGCAGAGACTCATCATCTTCTGTAGTAGACCCATCATACTCGTCTCCAAAGCCTTGAGAGATGAAACTCCTACGAATGGTCGAGTCACTCCGAGTGAAAGGCTTGCTCTTACTCCAGTTGACCCCTGATTGTGAGGGTGTCGACGATGAGAGTTCTTCTCCACTGGTCTTGTTACGAACAGGAGGAGAGCTAGCAAGCTGAAAAGGTCGAGCTAGAACAGAAGCAGCGAACGAACTCGTTGCGCTTGGTATAGACGTGCGATGATGCTCTGGAGATGTCGAAAGACTAGGCGCAGCACTGGAACGATGAGTGCTAGCTCTCGACAGAGGCATCGGGGGAGTGTTGTCGGTGTAGAAAGGAGTAACAGGCTCGCTGGCGACTTGCTCTCGGATGTCCTGAGATGATTCCCCTGCGGACGTGAGTCCTGCCCCTGACCTTCGGTGCTTGTTGGACAAATCTGAGATGGAGATGATCGGTTCATAAAATCCAAAAGCAGTTTCTTTGTTGGGGAAGTAGTCAAAGAGCTGGGCAGCACAACTCATAGATTGTGGAAGNATTCTGATAGAGTCAGTTGACGAACATACACTGATGAGAACATATATTACCTCATAAGTGGGACGATGGTCGTCCGGGGACAAGGATTGTGCAAATATGCATGAGAGCATTCCTAGCATTTGTACGTCTGCAAGGTTCTCGAAGTAGGCAAANTCTGTTGGATGAACGGGTTAGCTTTGGTACGTTTGATAGAAGCAGGACACTTACAGTGTGTCAATCAGCCATGATCCAGCGAATGGGTGAGTACCCCATTTGACGAGAGCTGTTTCCTGTGGATGAAGTACAGCTTCAGGCTCATCAAAGGACAGATCTAGTCCACTGTCGTTTCTTTGTGACGGCATGAGTACGCGGCGCGCCAGTACCCGGATATCAGTCTCTTGTCTTGGAATAGAAAGCAAACTCAAAGGCACTCTTTTAGCCAAGATCAGACCAACAAACTCCCATATGTCGGCCAGCTCATTGAAGCCATGATGAAGAGCGGCTTTTGCATTGTGTGAGCAGATAGTCTCGCCATTGCCGTAGATTAGATATTCGGACGCAAGACTTTGCTTTGACGGCAATAAGCTCTCCACATCGAGGATCTTGATCCGGACCTTATTTCTGGAACCACCACTCCTCTTGTTGAGTCCATTACTCGTTGGTAGTGAGCCTTCAGTCGAATGTGTTCGAAGTCCCTTGAGTCGTGGGAAACGTAAAGATCCGCCATGCCAGGCCGATGGTGGCTGGAACCGACGGAGGAACAGTTCTGGCTCATCAGAACCTGAAGACGAACTTGAATCTGAGAACTCGGAGCTGTTGTCCGAATCCTCAACGTCAAATGCATCGGCACTAGGTTTACTCTTGCCCTTCGACTCTGTCTGGCCAGGATGTAGCCTTCCAAACCCTTCGAAGATCTCTCTGCTTCCACGATTGCGGCTTCGCTCATCTACTGCGAATTTCTGTAGAATTGAGCGAGGTTCCTCTTTGGGTGGCATGAAGCAAATGAGTTGTCCATTTGCGGCCCAAAGCGCTCCGCAAGTCCTAGGAAGAGGCACGTTGGCGTTGGTGCTAAAGATGCCTGATCCCACACTTCCTTCCAAGCCTAATGTTTGTGATTCACCACTACCACCAAAGTCGCCTAAGAGGCCGTCTTCTTCATCACTGGAACTCTCAGCTTCCTCGCCAGGTGCAACCGCATCGTGACTGCCGAGACCCAGCCAACTGATGCTTTCCTGTAGATCTCTCTCGCCAGTCAGATAGGACAGAAATCCTTCGATGCACCCTCTGCGATGTATGAGATAGCCAGTAGCGATTTTGCGTAGGTTGCCCTCGAGCTCTGCGACTTTTTCTTCCGACAAGGCAGACGCTTTGTCAAGATGGAACCAAGGAACTGACTTTTCAGGATAATCGACAGGAAAATCCATGCAAAGTTGCATGAAAGCTAACTTGCCCTCAGCAGCCCATGGTCCATTGAGAGAAATCTTGACATGCCTGTTCGACACATCTGCTTCGTCAACGGTAACACGGGTAAACTTTTCGCCAACATGAATGATTTCGTCACTCAAGTTCTCACGTATACCATGAGAATCTGGATGTAGACCGGCGACTATCGACAGTCTTCGTGTCGTCAGCCTGTCTGGTGAGCTCGGCTTGCGTTTTCCAAACTTGACACCTTTCATCCACGAGATGAGACCGTTGTCTTGTGGTCTGGCATTTCGAGTTTCTATACCCGAGTAGGTCATCACCTGGCCACCGTCAGACCAACCACCTGCAATGGGTATGGGCACTTTGTTCATTCCAGGACTGGTCCCAAGATTGAGTAAATCAGAGCCGGGTGTAATACCATCAGCCATTGTGTTAGGATGTGTAGGTCGATCCCTGAAGGATTTGTAAGGAGCGCCAATTCGAGTGAGCTTTGGAGGGTTGTCCATGAGCATCCCTTTATGAAACCCGATCGACTGAAGCTGCTTGTCTCCCATACGGTGCAGAATCAGTTCATGATCAGCTCCCCAAGAGACCAGCTGGAAATCACGGCCATCCGTGTACTCGTCAATGTTGCCACGTCCTCGCCACAGAAACTCTTTAACTTGCTCTTCATGTCCAGTAAACCGGTAGTTGGGCTCTGTGAGAGCTGGTGTGTTGGTCACGTTCGATGGTCTACAGTCATACATGTGCAAATCATGGTCTCCTCTCTGCGGCATGGCCAAAACTCCGTTGCCGAAAGGAGTCCATCTGGCTCGCCATACTGGAAACGGCGTGTTGATGACACGTTCGGGCTCTACTTCAGAAACCTCGTAATCCCAGACCTTTATGGTTCGATCAAGGGAGCAAGTGACGACTTTAGTCTCTTCAGTACGGCTCCAGTCAATACCATAGATCTTTGTCTCATGAGCTTCGATGGTCTGAAGAGGTAGTGCGCCTTTGCGATCATCCCAGATGTGTAGATATTTGTCATGTGATGACGCGACAATGTGTGGATTTCGGCGATTCCACTTGACTTGAGTTGCACCAGCGAACCAGTCGGAAAAGCTGATGACAGGTCTTGCCGATGCACGTAAATCCCAACAATGTACAAAAGCATCGACTGCACAGGTAGCAAGCAGATCAGGTTGTAAAGGAGAGAAATTGATGTCAGTGATAGCTCTCGAATGAGCATGTAGAGTGTGCTCTATTGGAGCCTGAAGGCTGGCGAGTTCTAGGTTCCAGACCAGAGCTCTCTGATTCGAAGTACTGACGACCCAATAATATCGTGAAGCGAAAGGAGACCATTGCACATCAGCGGGAGTCCATGGAGTTTGATGGCGGAGATGACGCGGAGGAGAGAACGGCGAGTCCAAGTCTATGATGTGGAGACCTTGCTGGGATGCCAGAACAACATCTCTGCCACCTGGCGAGATGGAGGCAGAACCTACAGCCTGGTTGACATGAATACGAAGATCCTTGTCGAAGGTGGGACTGTCAGAGATAGAGACATCTTTTCCGCTCCTTGCGGTGATGGTTGATGACATTGTTGAAGACATGGCTGAATAGAATCAGGATATTAAGATTGGGTGCTCAGCCAGGGTCTTCAGGACGCCGGACGATATGAGCTATGGATAGAAGCACTGACATGGTCACACTGGACACAGTGCTTCCCGGGTAAGAGCAAACAGTGTCATGCTGGTCGGTATAGATTGGCCATTGGATAGATGGACTGTGGTAGATGCCAAGGAGGCCTATCGCGTGTCTCTGACAGCCGCACGTGACTACAGAGTCCGAGCTTTTGGATTGGATTGGGCTGGAGTTGAATGGCCATGGCGGGGTTTGTATCATCGTCGTCACCGCAGTCGATCTGTTCCGTACAATTCGACTTCACTCACGTCGGAAAGTTTCAGTCGACCAACAACACATAACTCATTGTCAAGAGAAAGCGCTCTCTCAATATGGCTCTTCCCAAGCGTATCATCAAGGAGACTGAACGTCTCATGGCCGAGCCGTATGTCTATTCATCCCAGACAGTCGCAGCTATCTTCTGACCATGCGCCATAGTGNTTCCTGGCATCGAGGCCGTTCCCCACGAGGACAACTTGCGCTACTTCGACGTCAAGATCCACGGCCCCTCACAGTCTCCTTATGAAGGTATCCAAACCAAGCCTCGTTCTCGCACATCAGCCGGCTTCTGACACATCAGCCAGNGCGGAATCTTCAAGCTCGAGCTGTTCCTGCCCGACGACTATCCCATGACTCCACCCAAGATCCGTTTCCTTACCAAGATCTACCACCCCAACATCGACCGCCTCGGTAGAATTTGCTTAGACGTCTTGAAGAGTAGGACCTTCGCCGCACACAACAAGATCCATACGCTAACCAGCATAGGCAACTGGTCGCCTGCCCTGCAAATTCGTACTATCCTGCTCTCTATCCAAGCCTTGCTCGGTGCTCCCAACCCTGATGACCCGCTCGCCAACGATGTCGCCCAGAGATGGAAAGAGGACCAGAATGCTGCCATTCAGACTGCAAGAGAGTGGACCCAGCAATATGCTAAGCCTTGATGGTAGGCTCATGTCCGCATATTTGACAACCCAGTCGATAAGGCTTCAATTTTCTCCCTCCGATAAATAGCGTTGCATGGGTTTTTGCCAACATAACGGCCTTCATGAGCATGGATGGCGTTGGCCTGGCGTTTTCATTCTACCTTCAAATACACCTTGTTCTTCTTTACTTCCTCCATCACATTGACCCATCTCTTCCTCCACAAGCTTTTTCTTATGATGCTATCAAAATGCAGAGTGTTTTACCAATCCCATGCATGTCCATTGAGAGCCCAACGGATCATCTCAATCTCAGGGGCTCTCACTGGACACACCTGCGATTCCAAAATCATCTTGCATTTTGATAGCACTATGCTGACCGTGTCTGGCAGGGGAGAGCAGCTACTTTTCGACGTACTAGGTTCCATCACAGCAAGACCCGGGGTCTTTCTACGAGTGATCATTGCCATATCTCCTTCCAGGATGCTAATAAACTTGAAAATGTCATGGAGCGTATCCGTGACAAAGCGAAGCATGATCGTTGGTGAGATCCTATAGCATAAGAACGATGGATGCAGGAGCAGGAGGTAGCAGGTGCCCAAGCACTTGATTTTACGACGATGCCCTGATGGTTGGTCGTCACGAGACTCTGGATGGATTCAGTGACGTTCGGCTTCTTCCATGGTATAGCCGGTGTTATGGTCAGTAAAGCTGACGCGCTTGTATGCCCACCGCACTCCACTCAGCGTGCAAAAGTAAGGAACCAAAACTTGCATCGAAACACCTGCTGATCGTGAACAGATGCGTTTCTGGAAAGATCACCCCAAGGAGATAGAGGCTGGGGTGACTTCCCTCCCCCTTCGCCCCCGTTGCTGCTGCCGCCTGGCCTCCAAAGGAGCAGGAGGATACCACCGAGCCGCACGAAGGCTCAGAAGAGGGAGACGAGCCTGTAAGTACCATTTCTTGGAACCCAGCCTGACCGTTAGATCGTCTGTTCCTTCTCGTGTGGCATTGTCTGGGCATCACGTTGCGCCTTTCATCGATGCTCAGACGATCTATCATCGAAGCGATCTATCATTGCTGCAAAGTATATGAACAATGGCTAACACCCGCGCAGAAGCGCAGGAGCTGGTTCAAGAGGACTCTGGGCTTGGGAGAGACTACGCCTCCACGCCCAGGCACATATCAGTACAATGTCTACGNATGAGGCACTACGGGTGTGGAAGAAGCAGCTCGCAAAGGCTCCCAAGCCCAGAGAGACGGGGCGCGTGTTTGACAATCAGGGGAGAGAGATCACTGGCCAGGTTGACAAGAAAGGAAGGCCAATAGTGCCGAAATCTGCGCTGGCTCCTCCCAAATCTGGTCGAAGCACTGCGTCCCGTCGTCCTCGAGCGGAACCGATAACAAGCCACTGGACAGCCGGACTGGGAGTCGGAGGACCCGGTGGTGGTTTCGTTCCTCCCAGAAGGCTGATGCCTGCTGGTGAGGNNGGGGAACATCGTCGTGAGGCGGATTCCAGTGGTACCAACAGGGCCCTGGATGATGCTCCGGTGTTCTCTANNGAGGCCACCACCACGGACAACCTCGTGCGCGTGAATCGAGCAGGCTCGCAAAGCCACGGCCGAGTTCTTGAGCTTTCTCGTGCACATCAANAGGGAAGCGATCACGCTGCGCCGCTCATCGCGCTTCTGGCAGTGAAGAAACCCACCAGCCAATCCCACAACAGCATCACTACGACGACATCACGTCCTGCGCGTTCACAGCTCTCGCGCTTCACCTCACAACAACTCTTCTCACGATCTTCTCTTCCACACAACACCGCCATCATGTTCAGCATTGGCCCTCCCAGCTCATCATCCGGCTCTGGCCCATCCAGCAGGGACGTTTCGCCCAGCAAAGGATCAGAATGGTCTACAACCTCTGAACCTCACATCGAACCAAAGACGCCTAAGAAACGCGCATCATCCAAATCATCCACTTCATCCTTCGAAACGTACTGGTCTGATGACAGCGAGACACCCGTCAAACCTCGTGCGCTGAGAAGATCTGGCAGAGTCCTCTCCTCAAGAGACTCGTTCGATGCAAGATCTCTTCTCTCGACATCGGACCCTAGATCAGAGGCTGGTTCCACTAGATCAGAGGCTGGATCCCAAGAGTCTCACTATCCCAACTCCTCAGAGCATACCCAAGGCGAGACTGAGGAGGAAATTCCGGATATTTTCCCCAACCCCGAAGAGTGGACTTCTCAGCACGACACTAGAAACATCGATCCCCTGAAGTTGGGCGTGATCCCCGTGGCACCCCTTCCTCCCGTAAGCACTCACAGCTCTGCTTTGCCCTGATTGATAGATGGACTAACCATGCTCAGANTCGCCATCCACTCTACCTTCAAGCACTCACGCGAAGCATGGGGTCTTTCTCCCCTGAGACTGCGCTGCCCTTTCGATTCTCACCGCCACCCCTACCACATCTACGAGTGGAACACCAAGAAACTCAACTGCTATGATCAACACGAAAGCGACTGTCAACTCTGCGGAGCTTCTTGCTGCTCTGTCATGGCGTACACCAAAGCCATCAACGAAGACCCTCGCCCTAACCCTGTGGTGCCTCTGAAGTATCGCAAGGCCTTCCAGCATGACATTGACCAGATCAACGCCATGAAGCCCCAAGCCACCGATCCCTTTGAGAGAATGCTCAAGTGCGACACTTGCTACCGCAACGTTTGTCCTGATTGCGCAGGTCGCTGCATGCAGCCCGCTTGTCTCCGTATCATCTGCAAGTCTTGCGGTGACCCCGACCCTTGGTCCTACTGCCAGTGTGAGATGATGGATGGTAAACTCAGAGTTACCTACATCTGAGCAAATGGCCTTCACATTCCTCGACTACGACTTGTGTGATCTTCATCACGGCACGCGCTGCCAACAAAGGGCCGCAACAACAGATTGTTGCACAATATTTTCCTTTCTCTTCAACACGACTGCTGACTTTTCATCATTTTCTTTCACAGTCCAGCAACAAAGACAGCGATCACAGAGGAAGCGCTCGTCATTGCAAATCCAGCACATTCAACCTGCCATGAGGAGATGAAGGCATTAAGTCCTGTTACAGATGGCGACTGGAGACTACAAAGAAAATACTAGGGTCTCGCTTGATGTCACTGGTTAGGGTGGGCTAGATGATGGGGGTGGAATGATGCTCGGTTTCAAGAACGGATTCGGTACAAAGACGTTTCGTGTTCCATCAGGCAGAGAAAGAGCTGTCTGCTATCGTTGCTTTTTCTATTGTAATTCTAGTTCTTGATTCAGAAATCCTTGCATTGCCCTTTCTGCAGTCTCTCCTTCGTGATATGTGTGCTCAGAGGGACACACAGCATACTGATGGTGGACTCAGAGGTTAGAGTTCAACTCCAAATCCGTCATTGCAGAAAATCCCTCTGCTTTACTCGACATGTGCAGTAGTGTCGGGTGAGTCATATACTGTCCAAGTCTTCTATAGCACAGTTGACAATAGGGACGATAGATTAGAACGGCTCGTTACAGCGAGGTCGGCGTGTTAGTTCGGCAGATATTGTCCCGGTGGCCGGCGAAAGTGAGACCCCCAGCCGAAAGCGCGTCATACAAAGAAGTAAAGTCCCCCACGCGATTTGCTTACCAACTGATAAGAAGAAGCATTCTTTTTCGTACGACACGAGTGCCCAAGCGGACTATCTCACGACCAAGAGGAGGATTGGAAGAAGGACAAGACCAACATATCGTCGACGTGATTGCTCGTCCGTCACATGCAGAACGACAGCAACATCCTCTTCGAGACAACACGCCGACCTCTAGGAAGCAATGAGTACGGCTGCAGGTCCCGGCGCATCCCGACCCCATCTCAAGACTGAGATGATGAAGCCAGCGACTACGACAACAAGTACAACCCTCTGGAACACACACAATCTCAGTCTACGTCTCTGTGCAGATGTAGCGTCAGCAGCAACAGCAGGTGCCCTGGTCGCTCCCGTCATTACCGCAATCGACAAGGCCATTATTGAAAATGCAGCGGGCAGACAAACACTAGGTCGCTCTCTACGCGACTCTCTTGCAACATTCACACTCCGACCACACCACTTCCTCTTCTCCAAGCCTTTTGCTTTGATCTTTACATTGTATGGCGGCACGTATATCACGGCAAACATCCTCGACACCTGTGCCAGCACAGTCAAAGGCAAGCCCGCTACAACCACAACGTCAGGCCCTGCAAAGTTCCTGGCAACCTCGTCTGCCAATCTGTCGCTATGTTTGTACAAGGACAGCAGGTTTGCTAAACTCTTTGGCGCCGCTACGTCTTCTCCACGCGCTATCCCTGGACCCAGTTATGCGCTGTTTGCTGTCCGCGATTGCTTGACTGTGTTTGCATCTTTCAATGTGCCGCCGTTGATTGCGCCTTTGCTTCCTCTGTCAGAGGGCATGCAAAAGCATGTTTCTGCTGCTTCGGCTGCGCAATTCCTGGCTCCTGCTGCCGTGCAATTGATTTCTACGCCTTTACATCTACTAGGTCTGGATCTGTACAATAGAGACGGTACACTCGGAGCCAAGGATAGATTGACAAGAGTCAGGAGAGATTGGTTGAAGAGTTCGTTTGCTAGAATGGCGCGCATTGTGCCAGCATTTGGAGTGGGTGGAGTGGTTAATACGAGAGTAAGAAAGGGGCTGATGGAGCGGTTGGAGTAGAGCTACTGGCCTGCTTCTTTCGCTCTGCTTTTCTTGTTGTTTTCCTTCTTCTCCCTGTCACGAGATCAACGACCGCGCATAATGCTTTCCTTTCTTATACACAGCTGGGTTCGCATCGTGTCACTTTGCTTTCTTTCCTAGACCTGCAAGCGTTTTTCTGTACTGTTGGCAACATGGCGTTGGGTTATGGGCATATATAATATAGACATGAACAAATGAGAGCAATACGAAAGATGGACTTCCAATGACTCTATGGAGTTGAATGCACTGAGAGGCAGATGAAGATCGGCTTGTTCCGATGGCGGGGTTTTGGACGATGATGAGGGATTGGATGCGGCGGAATTTTAGCAAGTCACCACCGGCAACCTGAAGTCAATACATTTCTCAAGACAGCTCGTTCGAGCTCTAAACACTTCAGCCAGACTTTCACCTCTGTACAGACACGCCCCGAAACTCCAATTCATCTCAGCAATAACACACGTGCGCAACATGGCTACCCTCGACGACAAGTCCAGAGCGCTTCTCCAGAAGGCCTACCCTCAGACTCCCGAGCTTGAGGGTGACATGATCAAGTTGTCGCAGTCGCTCTTCCCCAAGGCCGAGGTGCGTAGCTATCTACAGTGCTAAGAGATCGGCTCTGACAAGACTTTGTTCAGTNACTCGACCAACGAGAAGACCGAGATTGAGCAATGGCTCATCACTTCCTCCCACATTGCCTCGTCCACCGAGGACGCCGCTAAGACTGCCGAGCGCCTGTCTTCGCTCAACACCCACCTCAGCACCCGCACAACTCTCCTCGGCTCCAAGCCTTCGGTCGCCGATGTTGCTCTCTACGCTCGTGTTGCTCCCGTCATTGCTTCCTGGTCAGACGAGCAGCGCACTGGCGAGCAGGGATACCACCACATTGTCCGTCACGCCGACTTCGTCCAGAACTCTCCTCTCTTCGCCCTGAAGGTTGAGGNNGACTCTGAGAAGGTCAAGATCGACCAGGACAACGTCATCTTCAAGATCAAGCCCATCGACTTGAAGGCTGAGAAGGAGCGCAAGAAGAAGGAGAAGGAATTGGCTGCTCAGGGTGCTACCAGTGCCGCCAACGCCGGCGCAACTGTTACATCGGCAACTGCCCCCGAGGCCCAGCAGAAGTCGGTCGCTGAGAAGGCTACCGAGCAGGCCGAGAAGGTCAAGGACCAGGCCAAGACTGCTGGCGAGAAGGTCGCCGACGCTGTCGGAGCCGAGACTCCTGGCGTGAGCAAGAAGACCGAGAAGAAGGCAAAGAAGGAGAAGGCTCCCAAGCAGCCCAAGGCCCCCGCCGCTCCCGAGAAGCCTTTCTCGCCTGCTCTTATCGATCTGCGCATCGGCCACATCCTCAAGGCCATCCGCCACCCCAATGCCGACAGCTTGTACGTTTCCACCATCAACGTTGGTGATGCTCCCGGTACCGACAACACCGAAGAGTACGAGGGCCAGACCTGCCGTACCGTCTGCTCTGGTCTCAACGGTCTCGTTCCCCTCGAGGAGATGCAGGGCCGCAAGATCGTCACCGTCTGCAACCTCAAGCCCGTCACCATGCGCGGCATCAAGTCCTGCGCCATGGTCCTTGCTGCCTCACCACGCGTCAAGGAAGGCGAGGAGGACCACCATGGCGGCCCCGTCGAGCTCGTCAACGTCCCCGAAGGTGCCGTCGCTGGCGACCGCGTCTACTTTGACGGCTACGAGGGCGAGCCCGAGTCCGTCCTCAACCCCAAGAAGAAGATTTGGGAGGCCTTCCAGCCTGGCTTCACCACTACTGATAACCTCGAGGTTGCTTTTGAGGTTTCGGCTGTGCCTCAGCTTGTCGAGAAGGGTGACAGCGGGGTTAGACAGCTTAAGACCAAGTCGGGTGTCTGCACTGTCAAGTCGCTTGCTGGTGCCACTGTCCGATAAATGGGTATAGAAAGCTAGACTACCTAGTCATGAAACTACAAAATAATGATCTCTCGCACAATATGTCCTTCAATATGCTCAAGACCTTCAACGTCATACAATCGCTTCTTCTTCCGGATAGAACTGGTTGGCTGAAACTGAAATATGAACATGGTTGTATTCATTATGATCTCTGTTTTGACCCTCTCTTTAGTCGTTTATATGCATGTAACATTTCTCATCTTGGAACATCCACAGAGCGCTTAAGGCCAGCGCTCTTCCTGCTTCCAGGATCCATCGGCCTGGAAGATATAGACCTGTCTGCGTGCCTTTGTAGGATCGCTGAGGTCGAGTTGTTCGACTTCCTCGGGCTTGATGACGACGACTCTGAAGTTCTTTCTTGCGACGGGGTCGTTCAGGTCCTCGACCTTTGTGCCGAGAGCCAGGTTCTTGTCATCGTAGGGTTCGGATGTGGGACGGCCGGGTGGAGGTGCCTTGAAAGAACCTNNTCATGATGGATAGAGTTAGCGATGAGATGTGCGAATGTGTCGTGTGACGCCAAACATACCTCTCAAACCAGGCGAGTTGTTGCCAAAGTGGGCAGTGAGCTCCTTGTTCCAAGACCACTCTCCCTGCTTGCCCTCATCCACAACTCTCATACGGCTGCCCAGCTCGCTCTTGACGGTTCTCACACCACTGCTCTCCTTGCTCTGCTCGCTCTCGCCCTCAATATCAGGACCGACGACAAAAGCCTCGCCCTTCAATCTCCACTGCACACCAGTCTCCTTGATCCAGTAGACAGCCTCGCAAGGACCACCACCACCACTTCCCTGCATCTGCTCTTCCTTATCCGCATGTCCGCTTCCCGAACTAAACAACTCAGGAATCTTCATCATGCGGACATCAGAGGTGAACGTCGGCATCTCCGACTCAAACACTCTGGGGTTCATGGGAGCTTCGTTGTGCTTGTTTTCAGGCAGCTCTGCCCAGAAGCCGCGGAAGATGCAGTAACGGGCGCGTGGCAGGTAGGGTGTGGGTGAATCCTTGGGAGCCGGGTGCAGAGATGAGAAGACGAATTCGGGAGAATCCATCTTGTCGAGGTCTTTGAGGAAGGCCTGTTTCCAGGGTGCCGGTTGGGGGCTGTTGACGGAGGATGTGGTGGCCATTGTGCGGGTTGCTTGACGGCTGAAGAGGGAAAGACGGGGGATGATTCTTGAAGCTATCGTGACGGTGTTTTGCAAAGGAAGAACTTTGAGTAAAGAATTGAATTGGATAAAGGAGTGTATTCAAAAGGTGATTGATATTCTGATCGAGCTGGCTGTCATGACGTACACGAGATCTTGATTCTCCACATTGCATCTCTGACAGATCGCGCTCAACTCATCATCCTTCCAGCCAGACCTCCAACTCTCATTACCTGCCCTTCTGGCGAGTAGCGGTATTCTGTTTATCGGATGCCATGTCCCTGGAGTAAAGCGTGAAGGGCGATGTTCTTGGACGAGAACAAACCGGCAATCATATGCCGTCATGCTCAGAGCACAAGCTCTCCTCAAGTCCTCCTCGGCCCGGGCCCTGACCCTATTCATCCATCTTCCACCTCCTTCCCCTCACTCTCTGCCTCCACTACCGTAACGAGCGACATGCACGCTATCCAAATGCTACGGTCGTATGTAGAGTGTTTGGCGGGACCTCGAGTCACGAAGTGGCACCATGATGTTATAGTGTTTCTATTCCGAGAACGAAACTTTTGCGATCGGCCCAGAAACTGCAACGTCTTGAGAGCAAGACGATCACCTGCCTCACAGGCTGCAATACGAAATTTCGACGTCTGCCGATATGACTCTACCCATGCAAATCATTTTGATATCCCTACCGTTTTCTTTAACCGGATCTACATCTCGAGAAACAGAATTCGCCAAAAATAACACAAAGGTAGGTGCTGAGCTTGGAGCATGCTCAGGGTTGACGTCCAGAGGCGAAGAGGTAGCATTGCTATATAAGTCAAGAGCCACGAACAACTTCTGCTTCCATCCACAAAACACTTTCCTGTTCCATACACAACCGACACTTCAATTCTTCACATAAATCTACTTCGAAAGTCATATCACAAATCGACAAAATGAAGTTCACCATCACCAACACCATCAGTCTCTTGGCCGCTGCCTCCACCACCCTGGCAGCACCCCTCGAGGCTCGCCACGACCCCGCCAAGCCTTTCACTCTCGATATCTCCTTCAGCAACAGCCCTCTCAGTGGCCCCATCCAAGCCTCTGGTGGCTCTTTCTGGATCGGCAAGAATGCAACAACCTCCTGCCCCTCATCCGTAAACCCCAACTGCCCAGCCGGCAACACCACATCCTTCACCTCCTCAGGAAACGGCCTTCTCCACCTCAACACCGAAGTGCCCGGCGGCCAACAAGTCTACATCCGCCCCGACGGTCTGCTCACCTACACCCAAGCCCACTCAGCCTCCACACCTTCCGGCTCCACCTTCTCAGGCTTTGAGATCTCGTCTACGAACCAACTTGCCAAGTTCTACAACTTTTGGTTGTGCAGTGAGGATGCCACTGACAAGGCTTACCGTATCTGGCTGCAGTACCGTAGCGACAAGGGCGTTATTACTCAAAACGGAAAGACTGGAAGCAATGCGTGTACGCAAGTTAATCTTNTGGCAAGTGACGTGAAGAAGGAGGGGCCTGCTGCTTGGCAGTACAACTAGAGTTTGTGGTTTTCGACGTGAACGAATGTTTTGATTTTGAGACTTTTTGTAGAGGTTAGCGGTTAGTTGTATAGCACAAACTACATGATTATCATTGCAAGTTATCTTGTTGTTCCCAGTTTTATACCATAAGAAAGCGTCTCTGTGGCCAAGTCGTACATTGTAATGTTTAATGATTCGCATAGCATCACTACAAGCAAGGTAATCATTGTCACCTCCTTTCCTTTCCTTAATCTCCTCAAACCCTCCTGAGAGTCGTTTACACCAAACTGATGCAGAACGATTCAAGTTGTTGTCCTAGGGAGAGGTCATGTAGTCTTCCCTTGATGTTATCCCCGTGGTGAACAAAAGAATAGAGACGATTCCGCCAGAACGTGAAAGAAGCTTGCAGCCCATTAAATTAGATATGCAAGAAATATCAAATCTTCCTCAAACCCTCATCCTTTCTGGTTTCAGGATGCTGACGTTGATCGTGATGGTTCGAGGAAGAATAAAAACCACCACAAGTTTCTGGAGTCTCTCCGGCATCCGAGGCTTGGAGATGATATCCAGTTTTACGCACCAGACCAGAAGACACACGCGAAGAAATTGGTACAGAAGTTTGGCAGCCGCAGTCTGCGTTTTGATATTACAATATTCTATTAGTGGAGAAGAGTGTTTGGTCTGCCTTTCAAGAAACAAAACAAGGTATGATTAGCATCGACCCAACTCTCGATCAGTCAACTTGTTCAGAAGACTCTTGCACATGCATACTCTTGAGTCCATCGGTCAATACACTCGTTCCATTCGCAACGGACACCTTCTTCTTCTTCTTGACAGGCCGCTTCTTCTTGACACCCATGCTGAGTGGCGCCTCCTTGATCCAGCGGCAAATTGCTTCAGCCCTCTCAGTCGAGATCGGATACTCCTTACCATCATCTTGAGCCCAGCGTTTATGCACAGAAGCGCGATTGTTGCCGTGTACATCGTGCAGAGGTCCACTCAAGCCTTCTTCGTCCTCCATCGCTCTACGTTCACGAGCACGAACGGCTTTTTGGAAGGTTTCTTCGTCGACGACGCGCTCGTCGCCCATGGCCTCGATGATGGCGTCTCGCTTTCTACGCTCGTGCTTTTGTTCTTCTGTCTCTGTGATGCTGTGTTTTACGGTTACCGTACCGTTTTGCGCACCTACTGTAGCATCTGGCTCTGGTTGAGAGGCTAGAGGAGCTGGTTGACATAGCACTTGCCAGGACTCCGACAACCCAATCCAGTTGTTGGCACGTCGCAAAACCTCGATCCAATCAGCCCTTGCTGGAGAGCGAGCGGCCTGGAAAATGGGGTAGCCGTCTGCGAGGCGCGCGAGACGAGCAGCATTGTGAGCGTGTCTTAGAAGCTCGGTCGGAGAGGTCTGGATAAGAGCATGGGCTAGCAGTAGTGAATGCAGCGCATCGGTAAGAAGAGGATGATATGTGACGGCTTCCTGGTTGCTCGCTGACAATGGGCTATCGTCTAATTTCGTGTTCTCAGGAACGGGAAANACTGGAAGATCGGACAGCGGCTTCTCGGCAAAANNCAGAGCTGAAGAAGGATAAACTTTTCGATGAGGGATTCGGGGCCATCCATTTGCATCCCACTCCAAGCCAGAATCCGAGGTTTGAGTCGATTGTTGCGAAAATGGAGAGCTTACCGTAGGGCTACTTCTTCCTGAAGATGAGTGACTGTTCCACTCTAGCAAGCGGTTGCGATGAATGTTCGTCTGTCTATTGTCGTTCGTCAGATCGTTGATTCTGCGGGTAATTTCATCGATAATTTCCACAGGCAGGCCAGGCGTATAATCGAAATATCCAAGGAAAGCAAGATAGTCCTTGAGGGCTTTCTTCGCGTTAGTTTTGACAATCTTGCGCGCATCCAGTCTAGCCTGATGAGCCTCTTTTTCTCGTGGTGACATTGGAATCTTGTCACCATTCTCATCNCTGGACCGCGCTTCTTTCAGGCCATCAAGAGCAGCGTGAACGTTCTGACACGCGATGCTGAGATAGACACCGGCTCGGTTGAACAACATTTGCTGTTCCAAACTGCTCGGCTGGTCCTCTTCTTTCAACTGTGGCACTTGCCTCCAATCCCTACCGTTCTTGTTCCAACGATCTTGCTCTTCTTTGTAGTGTTTTGCCAACACCAATTGATCAGTGCCAGGCCTGTGCATTTTCTTGAGCTCTTGCGCTATCCTGAGTCCGAGCGTCAGATCACTCGCGGCTCCATCAAACTGGCCCTTGAATATCTGAACAAGCGCGCGAGTGCGCAAAGGAGCACCTTGCTTTTCCCAAGGCAGATTCAAGATGACATCGTCCAATGGCTCCAATGGTGTGTATTGCTCCATCATCCTGGAAGGAATCTTTTCGTGAAAGAAATGAACATATTTGGCTTCTGTGTCGGTCTGATCGCGCCGGAGGACGTGTAGAGCAACTTCCTCAAGAGAAGATGTGGATTGCATAGTCGCAACACTCGTAGCAACCTCGTCCAATGCATAGGCTTTAGACAACAATCGCGCAGCCTTTTGGCGTATCTTGTATATTCGTTCCTTGCTCATCTTGGGGGCTTGTGGTCCGCCTTGTCCAAAAGGATCCAAATAATTGAGCGAGGCGTTCATGGCAGTGGTCGACATTCCATTGGAAGCGCGCACGGCGTCCTCTGTTGCTTCGTCGACTGCGCGTCGAATCTTGACCACATCGTAGAAAACAGCTGGGTCAATCAGCCTCGGTAGTGGTTGTGTGTAGTTTTGGTGAGCGAGCGAATCTAGAATCTCGGGCGGTAGTTGTAGCCATGGACCGTGGAAGGATGAAATGTATCGCCAATGNTCTGTGTGCAGCAAGTCAGCCATAGTTCTATAGAGCAGAGTACCAGAAGTAGCGCATGTGAACGAGACAGCACCTACTCACTTATTGCGGCATATGATCAAAGATGATGCTGAGGATGCGCCGGCTGCAGCATTGCGCTGGCCGTTCTGCGCATTTGCGCCCTTCTTGTTTGCCATAATGATACAGCAAATGAATATGCGTTAAGGCATTGTTGTGTGTCGGAATGTTTTGAATAAAATGTTATTCGAGAGCAATGGATGCGGCTTCATCCGCCAAGGTCAACTCGGACTCGAGGTGCGAAGGAGCTCCCTTGCATGTGAAAGGCGCATCATTTTTCGAGCAAGCTTTTGTCTTGGACATCAAATCATGACAATACCTGGTAATGTCAACCGATAGAGGGGAAAGAGGGAGCTTCGTTGCAAGGCACATGCACCGCATACACGTCACAGGGACAGGAAAAAGTCAAGAAGAGATTGGTAGTTGAATTGATCGCTACAAACACTGATTGCACAACACATCGGCAAACGATATGATGGGATGCTGCTCATCTTGGTTTCCGCTCGACTGGCGTACTCATCTTCAGCACCGCGTAAAGGTGTGAGAGCATTCGCTGAAGTGATTTTTTAGACAGGTTGACTCCTGTTCGACGGCATGTGTCCAGACTGATTGGAGTCAAAACTCGCTGTTAGTCGGCTGGCGCGTCTCATGAGTCCTCCACACTCAGCCGCGGACTCCTCAAAGAGTCAAACGCTGGCTATAACGAGGTTGGATTTCTCGTAAGCGTGTATACCTCGAGTGAGATTCCGAAGGAAGCGGACAGCGGGTGAGACCATCAAAACGCAACCCTCCGGTTTCTCGTCGCCGGTAGGAACAGCTCTATCTCGCATTTCTTGCAAAGACGTATTCGAAGTGACATGGCTCTGCTCTCTCGTCGTGTCGAAGGATCATCATCTTCGCGAGAGGCGATCCAGCATGACCACTCAATTTCTTGATTCAAGCAGGGGAGGGCAAGCCTAGCTCGCAACCTCAACCCTTGTCCTTTGGCGAGGACAGGCCAGTACGCCGGCAATATCTCCAAATGATATGCAATCATGGGGCCGAAAGCGCAAGTGTCTCCTGTCCCCTGAACTCTTTGTCGGAAGTGATCAAGCAAGTGGTCAACCTGCGTTCTGCTCTCCGAGACCAATATCGGGCATAACAACCCTTCCAGGCATAACAGCCTCAGGCACGATGGCCGTATCGGGTATGACAACCCATCCAGGCATTCAAGCCCGAGGCACAAAGCCCACTCTCTGTGTTGCAAGTCTGGTACAGCAACTCGTAAACTGCCTGAACGTCTTCAGGCAGAAGAAAGAGGGACGTCGAGGCCGCTCAAGACTTTCGAGTGGTCCGCAAAATGAGGTCCTCCAAGAAGGTTGAACACCAAGAATCGTCAATTTTCTCGAGTCCTGTCGCGCAAAGACAAGGCCAACGATTCTTTGCAACAGCGTTGCTGACATTCTCGTCGAGGTTTTCTCGCGCGGACCGCGTCCGCCGATAGTCGTCCTCCGACGGCGACCTTCATACGCGGGCTACGAGTAGAGCACGAACACTCGTGCCACAGCGTCTTCTCAGGTGATTTTGTTCCGGCGCATGCGTCCTCCGTATCCCCGGGCGTTCATGAGAGCCGATGCTCAACAGTTCGCAACGCAATCGAGACGAGTCCAGGCATGCGCGAAGAGGAAAGAGGAACGTCGCGGAGCGGGAACGTAGCGGATTTTGTACTCGGCTTCTCGAGCCAGCACAGACCTTCCCAGCCACCAGCCTGTGAGTCTTGAACCTACCACGAACTTACCAACCACAACTGCAATGGAAGAAGCGATGCTCTTACATACAAAGCGGTGTATACTAGGGTGCACCTTCTTGATATGTTCCCAAAGGTGAAGACAACTATCATCCCAAGAATAGCTAACTCTATCCTCCCCGTGTTCAAAAGAGGTGAATTATTTTGGTCTATTAAGTCATCATTATGTTTTTCGTCTTTGTAAACATATAAGTATAAACTAAATCCTATTGTAACCAATATAACAAAGGCATTTAAATTTGAAACTGAATAAGATATAATATGAAAGATGTAGGCTTGTATAGATTCTACACTATTAACAATGTAACTTCCATCATACTCCGAACGGTACACGCTATGGAAAGGCACAATTTCATTCGGAGACAGATGCTGTCCATAAAGAGTCCATAGTTTGTTGCTTTCCAGTGAGAATTGCCCAGTTTCCTGGTAGTATCACGCACCTCTAGAGCTATACGCGTTATATACCTTTGGACACGGGGAGGATACAAGTGAACGGTGAAGTGGAAGTTGAGACGAAGCATACTGCGATTTTGTCCACGCTTGAGACCTTATTGAGGTATACGCTTCCGACCATTGAAGCAGCATTGCAGAATAAAAATTTTGCTTCAAGGTTGCGTAAATACTTGAAGAGAATGTGCAGATGGTGAACAGCGTACGGAACAGAATCACAGCCATCGCTGTTCCTCCAAGCTGGATAACAATATCGTCGAAACACACATCCATTTCAAGCAGCAATGACATATGCAGTCTCCATCTTTCGAGTATTATTTTCACTCGTCTTTGATGTTCGTCTTGTGTTCGTGTGAAACGAGACGGTCGCGACAGCCAAAAGTGATGGTGAGCTTGGACCAATGGCAGCCGGCGCCAAGACCCACACAGCTCGCTTGGCTTTCTTCTGAATTTTGGCCTCCAATTCTGCCAATCTGTGAAGTGACGACCAGCGACGACGACGACAACTTCCCTTCGACACCCGTCAATCCAGTTATTTCGCCAAAATGAAGTACATCCACTCGAAGGAGACTCTCACCATCCCCGACGGTGGTACGTTTGCGCTTGCGAAGGACGCCCTTGAGAAAAGAGAAAGGGACACAGAGAAATGAGCGCTTTGGACTGACTCCCAGCGCANNGTCAAGGTCGAGATCAAGACCAGAAATGTCACCGTCACTGGCCCCCGTGGTACCCTCGAGAAGTCGCTCCAGCACTTGGCTGTCTGCTTCTCGCACCCCGAGAAGAACGTTATCGACATTGAGATGCACCACGGTGCCCGCAAGAACGTCGCCGCTCTCCGTACCGTCCGCACCATCATCTACAACATGATCGTCGGTGTCACCAAGGGCTACAAGTACAAGATGCGCTACGTCTACGCCCATTTCCCCATCAACGTCAACCTCGAGAAGAACAACGAGACTGGCCGCATGGAGGTTGAGATCAGAAACTTCTTGGGTGAGAAGCTCGTCCGCCGCGTCGTCATGGCCGACGGTGTCGAGGTTGAGGCTTCCAAGAACGTCAAGGACGAGCTCCAGCTCACCGGTAACGACCTCGAGAAGGTCTCGCAATCCGCTGCCGACATCCAGCAGATCTGCAGAGTCCGCAACAAGGATATCAGAAAGGTGCGCCCGCCTCTACCGCTTTCTTGCGCATCCTCTACGGTTGCCGCATTGCGACACTCGGAACACGCCTGGCTAACATATCCTACAGNNTTCTTGGACGGTCTCTACGTCTCGGAGCGTGGCAACATTGTCGAGGACCTTTAAGCGAAAACTTGTTTCATCAACTTTGGCGAAAGACGGATCAGGGGACTTTGCTGCACTATGGGATGCGTAGCGCTTCAATGAAAACGGGCAGATTTTTCGCGGACCAAAATTTCATTAACGACTTCAAAAAGANNAAAGACTCCTTGTTCTATTCACTGAACGTCTCGTCTATACCCGCCGNNAATTCGAGCGCCCAAAAGTGCTTTGAATTATTTCGTNACTCGTTCGATACCGAAACTACGCCTCCATAAACACCAGATCCGNTTCGATGCACAACAGCAGATACTCGCTTTGCGCCTGATGTATCCTCCTGTACATGGTCTTTCAAGAAGGAACTGATACCCCTCCCATTTTCTTGCTTCCAAATCCCTGTCCCAGTGATAACTGCTGAAAGTTGTGCCTCCATGCCCAAATAAGAAAGATTGTCAAGTGACATTAAATAAACAAAAGGTATTTACTCTACCTTGACTTTTCGGGCTGTGTCAACACCTAGCTTCTGAAGTTGACGGCTGCCTTTGGCTCGGCCTTTGACACCTCCATAATGCGCTTGCCACCCAAGTCCTTGATCTGCTGGATCAGCTTATCATCCTGGTGCAGGCTTGCAATATCGTCGCCTCCACCGATGCTCTTTCCATTGATCAAGACGTTAGGGACTGTACGTCTGCCTGTTGTCTTCAGAAGCGCCGCTTGCAACTGAGGGCCCAGAGGATGAAGGTCGAGCTCTTCAACGTAGGGGNNGGCAGGCACGATGTTGTACTGTTCAAGCAAGATAGCCTTTGCCTTCTTCGAGTAGGGGCAGTAGCTTTTGGAGAAAATGACAACTNNATATGCACCCGTTAGCAAACATACATGTGACTCGTATAGTCTAGACGTACTCGGGCTCTTCTTCAAGATGGAGTTCAGTTCAACCTCGACCTTGTGTTCTTCCTCGGACTCGTCGGCATCTGCGGCCTGTGGAGGTTGTGATCCTGTGTTTCCAACCTTTGCCACACCGTCGTCCTTCAGGCCCTTCTCTCCCTTGATCATCTTCCTGCCAGCAACGCTCTTGTCGCCAGTATCGACAACTCCATGAACAGCATCTTTGGCACCCTCCTTTACGCTATCGGCGACCTTTTGGGCTTTCTCGGCGGCCTCCTCGACGTCTACAGCAAACGGCTTCTGGTCCTTTCCAACCTTCTGGCCGGGAACGGCAGCAAGATCGGGATCACGGAGGTTGGCGGCTTCCTTCTCTTTCTCGGCCTTCTCAGCTGCTTCGTGGATGATCTGATGGTTCTCCTGGTCCAGAGCTTCCTGGTGCTTTGCGTTCAAGGCTGATGCTGTGTTTGTATAGAAGGGACTTGATCGCGTCGATGCGGCAGCTGAAGAGAGATAGATGAAACTCAGGACGGCTAGAACTGCCAACAGGGCAAAGACCTTGACCCGGCGTTGCGAAGGCATGGTCAGGTGCTCAGGTCGGTATAGCTTAGATGGTACACTGGATTGATGACAGAAAGAAAGCACTCGACAATGCGAGTAGTGATGATTGTTGGCGACAAACTCCTCGATTACAAGAGGGAGTGAGGAGCATCTGTCTTGCGCCAATGTCGTGCAACGGCCGCGGGCAGCTTCAGACCCCTGATTGGGTTGAACCCCTTCTCCACACTCTTTCAAGCTGGAAGCAACTCCTCCAACTCTACTCCTTGATCCTACATACGACCATGCGCAGAGTCTTCATCTCATGAGAAAAGCCTTCGTGCCGGATTGGATCTGATGAGGGTGTGAGAGCCTTCTCTTGTTGTGCAGATCTAGAGTCGTCGGGACCCTTTGGTGATCGACTGTCGACGCACTGCAATGCTGACCTCGAGTTGCTTCATGTACACCGCTCGATTCGACAGAGAAACCATCTCACACCGGCCGCGGCTGACATGTGCTCTTATGCCCCGCCGATAACTATCCGTACGTCCCTTCTTTATAAATCGCTTTACTTATGACAATTCCACATCCAACCCCAAACGTCTTGTCTACTGTATCATGCGCGATTTATCTGCCCACTACCGTCTCCCCGCGACCATATCGCACTGCCACCACCCACCATGCCTGCGGGATTTTCCTGCTACCACTATCACGGTGCTGCATACGCCTCGCACTGCCTACTCGGTAATCTTGCTGTGCGTCCCACGTGCCGTTGCTGTAGTCTGACTTGATGGATTATCGTCACAGCGGCTCAAGGCTTTCTTTAAGTAGGTGATTGAGCTGCATTCCCCAATTTCTTTGTTGTCTTTGCCCCTCTCTTGCTTTGTGATACACTGATTCTTGCCTGTGCACTTCACTCAATGAGCGAGAACTGTCACGTACACTTTGACGACAAGACTCTGCAGAGAGAACGGACAAAAGAGTCTATGAATTCGCGCAAGAAGTCTATCGCCGAGAAGGAGGCAGACATCGAGTCCGTCTGGTCTGATGAACCGTACGGTTTGGAAGAGCGGGACTTCAAGAAGAAGCAGGTTTGTGGCTGTCGCGCTCGAGAGTCGCAAGCCGTACTGACGAGCATAGNNACTTTCAAAGGATGGACTCTGCTATATCTTGCCTACCAATCAACGGGTGTGATCTATGGAGACATCGGTACCAGTCCTCTATATGTCTATTCGTCTACCTTCACCTCTGAACCATCGAGGGACGACCTTCTCGGTGCACTCTCGTTGATCATCTGGACTTTGACTTTGATCGTCACCATCAAATATGTCTTGATTGTCCTGTCCGCCGATGATGAAGGTGAAGGAGGCACATTTGCTATATGTAAGTCACAAGATAACAGTCCTCACGTCCCAATCTCTCCTGACTTCGATGCTAGATACTCTTTTGTCCCGCTTTGTAAGTCTGATGCGAATGAGACAAACTTCGATACAGCCTGACCGTCATTCCAGAGTGAAATCATGAAANGAGATCCTAGAACATATCACGCCATCAAGATGGAGAGATACCCCAATGCCGAGCTTCCCAGACAAAGTCGCAGTATCAGGAATTGGCTTGAGAAGTCTAAAGTTGCACACGCACTCTTGAAGATATTGGCTGTGTTTGGCGTGAGTTTGATCATCGCCGATGGAATCTTGACACCTGCACAATCTGTGCTTGGAGCCATTCAAGGATTGACAGTAGTTGATCAGAACATTGGTAGCCCGACCATCATTGGTGTCAGCTGTGCCATTCTCGTCTTGCTGTTTCTTCTACAGCCTCTCGGTATTCAAAAGCTGGCGAGTTGCTTTGCTCCAATCGTCATCCTTTGGCTTCTGTTCAACGCATCATTCGGTATCTATGTAAGTCTTTTCTGCTCGTGTACCCAAGGCCAGCCTTCTAACGGACGTCAAAGANATCTCGTCATGCACGACTGGACAGTCCTGAAAGCATTCTCTCCCTACTTCGCAGGCCTGTACTTTATGCGCCTCAAGAAGGACGGATGGCTGTCGCTTGGTGGTATCTTGCTCTGTTTCACAGGTGTCGAGGCTCTCTTTGCCGATCTTGGAGCTTTCAGCAAGCGGTAAGCTTCGAACACACTCGTCTTGGAGATGTCATGTCTGACAGTCAAAAGCGCCATACAAATCTCGTGGCTTTGCCTTACCTTTCCCTGCCTTCTTCTGGCATACATCGGCCAAGCAGCATACATTTCGCGAACTCCGTCGGCATACGCAAACCCTTTCTTCGAGACTGTGCCTCCAGGCATGTTTTATCCGTCGCTTGTCCTTTCAATCCTGGCTGCTATTGTCGCTTCTCAGGCACTCATTACAAGCACTTTCCAGTTGCTTATACAGCTCATGCACTCGTCCTACTTCCCACAGATCAAGGCAATATACACCAGCACCGCCTTCCATGGACAAGTGTACATTCCTATCGCTAATTGGCTCATGATGATCGGCACAGTCATAGTTACTGCTGTCTACAGCAACGTAAGCATACTGTTCTCTATAATGGAAAGAACACAGACAACTAACATGGTTATAGNNACCACCAAGCTCGGTCATGCCTACGGTGTCTGCGTCATCCTTGTCACATTCATAACCACAAATTTAGTGACCCTGGTAGCTTTGATCGTCTGGAAANAGAACCCCTTCCTCGTCTTCGCCGTGTGGCTGCCTTTAGTCACCCTCGATGGTCTATACCTATCCTCAGCTCTGACAAAGGTCCCCGATGGTGCTTGGTTCACCCTCCTCCTCGCTGTCCTTCTCGCCTCATTTTTCAGCCTTTGGCGCTACGGCAAGGAGAAACAGTGGACCACCGAAGCCAAGAACCAAGCTCAGCTCTCCGAACTGGTCGCTTACTCATCCAACAATCTCTCTTCTACCACCGCCACTCCTGACACTCCATCCAAGAAGAGCTTCCATCTTTCTTGGCGCCACGGTGGCGGTGAGCTGACAGAGACAAAGGGCATGGGTATCTTCTTCGACAAAGCCGGCACCGATATCCATGTGCCTCAGGTCTACGAACACTTCATCACAAAGTTCGAAGCCCAGATGCAGGTTGTGGTCTTCTTGCACCTTCGTGCACTGTCTGAACCTCATGTACATGAAGAAGAGCGCTACACCATCGCTCGTACACCTCTGCCGAATGTCTATCGCATGACCATCCGATATGGCTACATGGACAGAGTGGTGACTCCCGATCTGGCCAGGCTCGTATATGAGCAAGTAAGAATAGCCATTGTGCGCGGCACAGTGATCAACAGACCAAAGCCCACTGTGCCAGAAACCGTTGTCCGGGATCTTCACGACGCTCTTCGCGATAATGGAGATATGGATCCGCATGCCACTGCTACCGTCACCACTTTCGCTCCAGAGGTTGAGATTGGTCCTGACGAAAATCACACCTCTGGAGCTACTGCTTTGGTGACTTCTCGTCGTTTGCGTGCTTTGGATGATGCGTTTAAGACGCAAACACTGTATCTTGTGGGCAAGCAACAACTGAGGGTGTATGAGGAAACATCCATGGCCAGANAGGCCTTGCTCAAGGCCTTCCTCTTCGTCAGAGAGAATACCAGAGCCAAGGTTGCGCAGCTCGATGTGCCAGTGGAGAAGTTGGTGGAGGTTGGATTTGTTGGTGAGATGTGAGGTTGTTTGCAGTGTGCATAGTCACGAACCTTACGAAGGACATGAATATCAATGAGACGTAAATACAGAGATCTATATCACAAGCAATGGACCTTCAGCTCAATCTAGCAAATTGTTATGTTTGTTGACTGGTATGTCACGCTGTAAACTTGTGAAACGCACAAATCAAACGAGAAAGGCAACGTTGGCAACGGGCTGATAAGGCAGGGTCCCTCCGTCAGCATTAATCTTCTAGAAGTCAACGACATTATCGGGCCAACCAATGGACAATCCAATTATACAATATATTTGGTATGATTCTTAGGTCATATAGCATATCTGGTGGCTTTCTTTTGGCCGCATGTCATCAAATGCCTCCATGGACCATCATTTTCAATTTCCTCATCTCGTGCTCCAGAACGTCGACTGTACTTGTACTGGACAACAGCAATGTTGCTCCGGCCGTGAATCGATTACTGGCAACGAAATAAATTCACGCGACACACACAGCAAAAATGACCATAAAGACGTGGTTTGCATGACAGTACGAGCAGCATTCGTCTTTCTAAACTACATGCGTGAAAAACCTCAAGCTGAAAGAAAAGCCACGCGCTAGTATACAGCAGGCAGGTGTATGACCTCAGACCTTCTCAAGACCAAGCCTTAGAGGTTATCATGCTTTTCCATGTCAGGAACGACAGCCTGCACGAACAAGGGATCGTGGTCGGCCATGGTACCCATGTCCATCTCTTCGACGAAATGAATGCTAGTATCACCAACGTGTCCAGCTACAGTAGTGTAGTTGGTTTCCTGATCATCGAGATACTGGTCCATGTCAACGTTGGTGGAGCCAGTGTTCTGGTCAACGAACGGGTTGTTGGCGGTGAAGGCTGAAGCATATCCGTTCTCGTGAGTGTTGAAGGGATCGTCGTGGAAGGTGCCGGTGGAAGGATGGAACAAGTTGGGAGGTGCATTGTGACCGGCAGGAAGGTTGAAGGGATCATCAAGACCCATTCCGATTGAGGCGTCGTGAGAGGCAGCCATAGTGGTCTCTTGGTGTTCTTCGATGCTTTCAATGGCTCTGTTGCTGTCGTAGACGTTGACAGCGGGTGACTGAGACTTGATCTCGTCAGGAGCGATGCTAGCAGCAGCGTCGACGGTGTCACCAGGTTCGACGGCGCTGTCTTCATCCATCTCGACATGACCATTGGTCAGTGCACCAGTTTCCTAAGATGAATGTTAGCCTTGAAAAGGAAGGCACGTTACCATCGCACTTACCTCGTTGTTGGTGTCCTCAAGCTTGACTTCACTTTCTCCAGTACCGTACTTGCCATATGCCATACCGAAGTGACGGCAATGCTTCTCCAAGGCAACCTTCTTCTCGGCGATGTTCTTCTCTTTCTCCTCGATCTGCTTGGTGGTCGTTTCGGTAAGATTCTTCTTCAGTTTGAGAATCTCTTCATGGAGCATCTGCATCNNTATGGCCAGGATAGTCAGCAAGTGGGTTTGTAAAGAGCCATCCTCTGTGATGGAGATCGCATTGAAAGAGTGCTGGATGGCCCAATACCCGGAGCGCGCGTCGACATAGCGTTGGTTGAGGATGCTGAGATTATTACTTACTTCAATGTCATAGGTCCAAGCCGTGACATCGTGAGGCTGGAGGTTCTTGATGATGGAAGTAGTAGAAGGCATGATCAAAGAGTAGAGCAATCCACTGCTTGGAGACTGGTTGTGTGTCAGGAGGAAGAGACGACAAAGCTTAGTGATTGAGGATGATGATTTGGGTTGTTCGCGATGTGAATGTAAACGCAACACGAGTCCGGAACATTCTGCACTTTGCCCCGTTCGCTTGGTTCAATACCATCTGTTCGTTCACTTACGAAATGTGATGGTGGCTAGAAATCCGACACCAGTGAGATGTCCACAAGCAGTCACACTGTGCCTGAGACATATTAAAGGTCGCCTTGTGAATCCATGTCTTCTATAGGACTTCAGGAAAGATACTTGACAGAGTCTCAGTGAACGAAGTCCAGGGCACTATGGAAGCAAAGACATGGCAAACCGCAATGAGTAATCTGACCAACACAGCATGTCAGGTGATTCTCAGATCCGAAGCTGGCATGACCGACCAAACAACTCTTGCTCATCAGTCAGGAATGATGATCGGATGTGCGATACAATGCTCATAGCCGGTGTTCAGTCGTAGAATACAAGCCAGTTCAGGAACCAGAGAACAGTGTAGCAGAGACACAACGCCCATTGGCCTTTGTGTTGTGCAGGTTGAGAGGTACCTACGATGTTAGTCAAGAACGATCTCCTTTGTAATCAGTTTGCGCGCAACATGGCAGCCGTGATATGAAAGTGATGCCGCAATTGCACGCGAAAGTGATTGTGATAATGATTGCATCCATTGGATGTCATTGTGGATGAGATGTCACCGTGAGCCGCGAAAAGGCGCGATTCCTCTCTCACCCACAAGTGAACAGATCTCAACATGGTACGAGCGTCTGCTTTCCCGGTTACGTTTTGGCTTCCCGCGTTGTACGCCAACACGTGATATCGTTCCCGACGTCATTTAGGGGCAATTTCGTTTTCGAGACAGCCGTCTTTCAAACTCACCGCTTTGGAAAATGCAAAAGTCGTGATTGTTCTCTTAGACTCTTAGACAAAAAGTCTCACAGCAAGAGTTTGTCAACATGTCGGAAGAACAGGACATCCCGGATGAGCAGCAGGCCCAGGTGGTCTCTGAGCACCTCCCATCAGGCTATACTGCAGAATTTACTGGCAACAATAACTCTGGAGTGGAGGATTCTCTGAACCTTCAAGGTGGAGATATTCACAGAGATATCTTCAAGCTCAATGCCCAACCTCGCCAGACCTTGCACCAGAGAGCAGCGACATTCTCTGCTCCTCGTGTTCGCAGAGAAAGCTGGGATTCGGAATTGACGGCTTCCCAAGCACGAGCTCCTGGTGCTTTCCGCCGCCAATACATGCAGAGAAACCACACCTTCAACACTGCCACTATGCCCGTTACCCGGAATTTTGTCGAATTTTTGAATCTCTATGGAAGCTTCGCTGGTGAAGATCTCAATGAGTCTGACGATGAAGCTGTTGACGATGAAGACGAAGAAGAGCAAGCCCCTGCAACCGAGAGCAGACCACTTCTCGGCCGTCGCAAGTCATCTCGAGCAGCACCCAAGGGCGATGCTGGTATGGTCAAGTCTTTCTTCACACTTCTCAAGGCCTTCATCGGTACCGGCATCATGTTCCTACCAAAGGCATTCAGCAACGGCGGTATCCTGTTCTCTTCTCTGACTATGGTCTCTATTTCAATCGTCTCGATGCTTGCTTTCCACCTGCTGCTCAAGTGCCGCAACCAGTACGGCGGTGGTTATGGTGACCTTGGTAAAGCCATTGCTGGAGACAAAATGAGATCCCTTATCCTCGCCTCCATCACCATCTCGCAAATTGGCTTCGTCTGCGCTGGTGTTGTCTTTGTGGCCGAGAATCTCCACTCCTTCCTCGAGGCTGTTGTAAAGGGTGGCATGCCTGTATCAGTTCGTGCCTTGATCGCGATGCAGCTTATCGTTTTGGTCCCGCTATCTTTCATCCGCAACATCTCGAAACTCGGACCTGTTGCGTTGCTGGCCGACGTCTTCATCCTCATCGGTCTTGGTTACATCTACTACTTTGACGTCTCCACGCTCACCAAGGACGGCATTCACCCTACCGTTCGACTTTTCAACCCTAATTCGTTCACCTTGACCATTGGATCAGCCATCTTCACCTTCGAAGGCATTGGACTTATCCTGCCCATTCAATCTTCCATGAAGAAGCCTCAGAATTTCGAATGGCTCTTGGCTGTGATCATGCTTATCATCACTGTCATCTTCACTTCAGTGGGTGCTTTGTGTTACGCCACTTTCGGAGACGACACGCAGATCGAGATTATCACCAACTTCCCTCAGGACAGCAAACTTGTCAACGCCGTCCAGTTCTTGTACTCCATGGCTGTGCTCTTTGGTAACCCAGTCCAACTGTTCCCTGCCATGCGTATCATGGAAGGAAAGTTGTTTGGCCATCTGTCCGGCAAGAAGGATGTGCTCACCAAGTGGAAGAAGAACGCTTTCCGTACATTCTTGACTGGTGTTTGCATCGCTATCGCCATTGCAGGTGCTGGCAATCTGGACAAATTCGTCGCTCTGATCGGATCTTTCGCGTGTGTGCCACTGGTCTATATCTATCCTCCTCTGTTGCACTACAAGGGCTGTGCCGAGTCACGCCTCGCAAAGGCTGGCGACATCATCTTCATGGTGATCGGTATTGGTATGATGATCTACACAACAGGCGTCACACTGGTGAACAGTTTCTAGACGATTGCAATAAGGAAAGGATACAGGATTCAGCTGCGTTTGGGTCTGTACGATGTTTGGAACGATAATGAAAATATGACCCCTCACACCAGCTTGTATAAAGAAAAGTAATATCTCTTCGCAAAGGCCTGCAAAGATAGTCACTTTATCAAAATCGAACAATTTTCGAACGCTTCAAGTGTTTAAAACTCCTGTGTGCCGTAGGAGTCAATACAAAAGCATTTAATGATAACGTAGGGTTATCTGACACCCAAGACTTCAGCCGCGGTGTACATAGTGCGGGTTAAATGCTGACTGCATATTAATTTGAAGGATCTGCGAGGTACCGTAATCACAAATGCTCGCATCCTGCGGGGACCTCGAGACATAACAACTGCAAGTTCAGTTTGCTCTTTCGCTCCTGTGTTTTCTAATCGAACTTCAGCATACAGTTTGATATGTCGCTCACGCTGGGCGTGACTTACTGGTCAGCAGTATCGGGCTCGATTTCTGGAGCTATACTTTTGCTCTTGTGCTACAGGGCTTTCTTTCACCCTCTGGCTCGATATCCAGGTCCCCGACTTGCCTCGATCACAGGTCTATGGCGGCTCTGGCATTATGTCATTGGAGACTGGTCCGAAATAATTCTCGATCTTCATGAAGAATATGGCAGGATTGTTCGACTGGCGCCAAACGAGCTGTCAGTTGTGGACGAACCGGCTATGAAAGCTCTCTATGGCCATAATACAGCTGCTATCAAGAGCAAATGGTATTCCGCATTCCAAAGTCCTCAGGGAGCACCAAATCAACTAGCCACTCGAAATCCCGAAGTTCATGCTGCTATCCGCCGCAGATTTGCTCCTGCCTTCAAGATGACCGTTATGCTGCGACAGGAAGGATCTATGCAAACATGTTTGGACAAACTCTGGCAATCACTCGAGAAGCCTGCTTCACAAGGCACGGTCATCGACATGTGCCATTCTACTGAAAATGTGACTTGGGACGTTATAGGGCAACTCTGCTTCGGAGAACCACTTGGTTCGATGGACCTTCAAGGGATATTGAACAGACTGCTGATGATGTCCACGATCTTGGGACATATTTGGGGACAGGTTGCCTGGATCGACAATCCCGTGACACGTCTTATCGGCCTCAAAAATCCTGTTCAAGAGTCTTTCGAGTGGGCCTCCTTGAAAGTCCGACAGCATGAGGAAGCCGATCGCAGTGGTATCGAGCCTGACATGATTGACTACTTTCTCGCGTACAAGGATTCTCAAGGAAAGCCAACAACCCATCTTGAAGTCGTCGAGGGTGCTTTCGCAGTCACGTAAGTTTCTCAGATGCATCATATTCTTCTCGACCACGTCTACTCACTATGAACTCACAGTGGTGCTGGGGCAGATACTGTGGCGATTGCAATGCGAGCAGCTTTGTACCATCTGAGCATCAATCCGGCAGTACTTCTAAAGCTGAGAGAGGAGATCGATGCTATCGACTCTGATGAGCCGCTCTCCTACAAACAAACTCAACAACTTCCACACTTGAAAGCTGTTGTGAGGGAGAGTTTAAGATTGTATCCTTCGGTACCAGCTCAGTTGTATCGAATCGTCCCCTCGGGTGGTCTGTCAATCGATGGTCACTTCATTCCTTCTGGAACAGTGGTTGGTATCAGCAGCCTGGCACAGAACAGGGACACTGCAATCTTTGGGCAAGATGCGGACGTATTCAATCCTGACCGGTGGCTGGAGGATGAAAGCAAAGCACGATATCTTGAGGCTGCTTTGTTCAACTTTGGAGGCACAGGTCCACGCTCCTGTCCAGGTCGAGATCTTGCAATGGTCAGTCGATACAATGTGCTTCACTATCCATGCTAATATTCACAGATCGAGCTGTACAAGTTCGTTGCCCAGATGGTCCAGAAATTCGAATTTGAGCTGGTAAATCAGACACATCCATTCTCCGTGAAGACTTACTTCTTCGCCATGCAGAGCAATATGCAGATGAGGGTTGCCCACCGAAAGAGACCTAACGGGGTACACAAGTAATCTGCTGGAACTTTTGCTTAATGGTATCACGATAGCGAAGAAGACGAAGTATAGTAGTAGTACTCGTATCGACTTAGGTGTTCTGAATTGATCTCTCCAAAATAGCTGATCTCTTTCGATCGCCAAGAGTGGGGTGGGGTCAATCCGCAACTACCCCAACGGCCGTCGGCAGGTCCGCCTTTATCTACCTACCCCATCGGGCACCACGTTGGCCGTGATTCGATGTAACATCTTCAGCAAGATGTCTTCCAGCACGCGTGCTCCTTCTGTCGCTCACCTAACTCCCGATTACCATCGAAATGTCTATCGTATCTCTTGCAGAGGGTAGCTTGTAAGACTCCTAGCATACCGAAGATAAGCTGAAGCTGCGAATCTAACCTCCTAGGCCCACTGTTACCAAGGAAGAGTTACACGCTGCTGCCAAAGGAAGAGGCTTTTCCATCCCAGTCGGCAGTCAAGATGAAACGGACTTTCTACTGTTGCAAAACAGCTTTGATGCTGTCGCTTCAGCTGTAGCGGCTTTGCCTGAGTATATTGATCCAAGACTCGAGCCAGTTTCAGTAGAAGGCGGACAGCGTAAGTGGACCAAACCCACTGCAGAAGAGAATCCCCTCAATGCTTGGTCGTACGAGGTCAGTGAATCTGTCATGTTATGAATCAAGCCAATCTTTAACGATATCNATCAGACAAACCTCAAGGCATCCTCTCCAGCAAGCACAGTACTTGCCGGGAAGTCTCTTGCCATGAAAGATAATATTAGTGTGGCTGGAGCACCTTTACGCTTGGGTACTGCTCCTGAGCTGTTCAAAGGTGGAAAACATGCCATCAGTGAAATCGATGCAACAGTAGTGAAACGCATCCTTGAAGCCTCTGGTACTATTGCTGGAACGGCAGTATGCGAAAACTTCAGCTTGTTCCCTACTTCTGTCTCAGCAGACAGCGGACCAGTTCACAATGCCTGGGCACAAGGCTACATGACCGGAGGCAGTAGCTCGGGATGTGCCTCGCTGGTTTCGGCAAAGGACGTCAAAGACTGGAACGAGAAACACGGCTTGACCTTCAGAACAGACGCCCTCGAGGAAGGAGGCGTAGACATGGCAATCGGTGGAGATCAGGGAGGCTCCATTCGTGCACCAGCATCCTTTGGCGGATTTTATGGGCTCAAGCCCACTACAGGACTGGTTCCCTACACAGGTATAGTCTCAATCCTACCGATGATTGACTCGACAGGACCCATGGCTAGATCTATTGAGGACATTGCACTATTGCTTGGCGTTATCGCAGGCTACGATGGCATCGATCCTCGTCAGACGCCAGAGACGCCTCTTCGTCAGGCTGTGCCCGATTACGCCAGGCTACTCGGCGAGTGGAAAGCAGCCAAGAAGGAGGCCGGTGAGTGGACCGCATCAGCTGCAGCGAAAGGGCTCCGGATCGGCATCCTCAAAGAAGCATGGGAGATCGCCGGCCTGAATACCAACGTGGCCGCGATCGTCAGGGCTGCAGCGGAGAGATTTGGTAAGCTCGGGGCGGAAGTTCACGAGGTTTCGGTGCCACTGCATCTGCTAGGTCCGTCGATTTGGACCGTTGCAGGTCGCGAGGCTATTCCCCGATTCTTCGAGAACAGGGCCTCTGACCTGCTCTCCCATCCCTTGCCAGGGCTCGAGCCGAACCCGACTGATCAGACATTCTACGACAAGTTGGTCTATAAAAATCCGGCTGTCATCAATGTTGTGCTCAACGCCGAGCACATGGAAACCAAATATGGACCATCGCTTACACGCAAGGCTCACATGCTTGTCCATCAGTTACGCGCCGAGTATGACAAAGTATTCGAGAATGTCGATATTTTGATCACGCCAACCACGCCGACCGTGGCAAACAAGCACTGCAACTATTCTAGTGTCATGGAGATTGCGCAGAAAGCTGTGGGCGTAACGTTGAACACTTCACCTTTCAATTGCTCTGGGCATCCTGCAATGTCGATCCCATGTGGCTGGTCAGAGACTAGCGATGGTGAAGGTAAGCTTCCGGTCGGTATGCAGCTTGTGGGTAAGAGATGGCATGAGATGGACATCCTGAAAGCTACTTCTGCTTGGGAGGTTCTAGGCAAAGGACTGGATTCGTAGTTTTGCGCGGTTTGGACAGGTGGGAAAACAAGATATTAAGAATGGAACGTGAATTCATGATATATAACGCCCGGGTACTAGTTGCAGTGATGATAGCCATCTTTCAGTCCCCATGCTTCGCTTTAGTAAAAACAGACCCTCATTAACGTATTTAGTTATCGTATGTACGCCTTTTGCGTCGATTTGTAGCGTGGTCGATAAAACATCTAGTCCCAGTCACCAGCACCGAGCTCGACGGGTCTGCCATTTCTCATGGCATCCATGATCTCGTCGATGTTCCATGGCTCGTAGCGGTAGCCGGGAGGGTAGTTGGGTGGGACACGCTCGTCGTCCTCGTGTCTGATACCCTTCTTCATGCCATCGACAATGTTGTCGTAGTTTGAGTGGATGTAGTGCTCGGGGTCGTGGCTCCAAACCCACTTGGGGAGCTTGGGGGCGGCAATGCGGGGGTTGAGCTTTACTTTCTCCCAGTCGGTGTCCTGGAGGAGCTCTGCGTTGCTGAAGCCGAGCTTCTGTGCGCAAGAGTTGCGGATGAAACTGCAGTGGATGTTAGACAGTGATTTCTAGATCAGAGTGAAATGTGTAACTTACCGAACTCTGACGTGAGCACGGAGAGCCTCGTCAATGTGTTCCTTGCCACCAAGCTGCAAACAAGAAGCAATAGTAACGGCATCCTCAATGGCCTGAGTGGCGCCGTTACCAGAGGCAGGCAAGAAAGAGTGAGCAGCGTCACCAATCTGGACAACGCGAGCAGCGGGCGACAACCAGGTGGGCTGGGGGTTTCTCCACAGAAGCTCGAAGTTGATGATGGTGTTGTCCGGTGTGCACTTTACAAGTCTCTTGAAGATAGGTGCCCACTTGTTGGGTCCGGGGACCTTGTCCATACCCTCCAAAACCTCCTCGTGGTCGATGGTGTTGCTCCAAGACTCGGCTTCGCTACCGGTGGCGTCGTGGTTCATGATCCAGATCATGGTGTCAGGACGGGTGAGGGTCAAGGCGTAAGTGCCGGGGCCGAGCCATGTGCGAACAATGGGGCTCTCGCCGTTGACGAGGGAGAAGAACTCCTTGACCTCAGGATCCTTGTCAAGGTTCTCGATAGGGAAAGCAGCTCTCCACATGGCTCTGCCTGAGGAGACAGCTCTGACCTGGCCACCAACCAGCTTCTGAGACTTGGAGCCGACACCGTCGGCGGCAATGACAACATCAGCCTCGTACTTCTGGCCGTCATCGCAGACAACACCAGCCTTGTTGTTCTCGGTGTCCTCGTAGTAGTCGACGACGCGGCGACTGAACTCGACCTTGACACCAAGAGATTCGACCTGGTTGACGAACATCTTGTAGACAAGAGGACGCATCTGGAAGGTACCAGGAGGAGTGCCAGGGTCGAGACCCTGGGCCTTGAGACGGTCGGCAACTCTGAGGGGCTTGATCATCTGCTGACCAGAGTGCTGGAAAGTCTCAATCCAAGCATCGTGGAGACCAATTGAGTCGTATTCCTTCTTCATCTCAGGCCAGTGGTTGAAGAAGCGGGTAGCGCTGAGACCCATGAAGTACATGTCTCCGGCGGTGTTGATTGTTGCATTGCGCTCAAGAACCTTGACATTGTGGCCCTTGCGAATACATTCGAGAGCAGCAGTCAAACCTGCAAGACCAGTACCGACGACGAGGACGTCGATGCCAGACTTGGGGTAAGAACCCAGGGGTTTAGTTTCCATCTTGGTCGTCATGTTGATGACAGTTCGGAGAATTGATCTTGTTGAAACGAGAGTAGATGCATCTTTTCAACAGGACGTTGGCATGTTTTTGTGTAGTTTTGAATCGCGCTCAGAAATCTCCGACAGTCCCCATGCAGGCACGAGACGATCGCAGGTCGGTGGTTTGTTCATGCCGGACAGGCGTGAGAGTGGTTTCGGGTCTCCAAAAGAGTCCGACCGGAGAGCTTCATGACGAGTATGATAGGCATGATCAACGCTCACACATGCCTTGCTAGTGTTGCTGCTACCCATGACGGCCACACTCAACTCTGCGACCGGGGAGACAAGCCACCCAAGCGGCACTACAAGCGCCCAAACACCTCCCCGCCCAACAAGTTCCTGGGCGAAGAATCCCTCAAGCTTTGGGCCTTGGGTGCCTTGCTTGCTTGACAAACCCTGATGTTTCGTCTGTGCGTCGGTGCGGGCCGAGGACACAACGACGTCCGTCCTTTGCAGGAGCACTGCTCATCGCTGCTCCTTCTCAACTTCACACGCAATCCTAGCAACTCCGAAGGTCGTCCCCGCCAGTAGTCACATCTTATTGATCGTCCATAGTACTTGCTCTTTGGCTCAAGCTCCATGAGTCGGTCTCGGACTCGCAACGTCGAGCGAGACCATCATCCCACAATCTCTACTCCGGACCCGGTGCCTGTTACACTGCTTTGTCCACGAGAACGCTGTGTGAGGTAGCTATTGTTGTCTCTGTACGGTACTACCCACATATCTCGCCCCCACATGTCCATGGGACATGATGTCTCGATCCTGTTGTACTCACGACTGGCCACGCTTGGTCCCAGATAACCGAGCAGATTGAGTTGTGCCGCACCCCAGTAGTCACTTGTTCGCTGCGGGTGTGGCCTTTCATAGCGTCGGTATCCTAGCTAAGCTTCACCTCGAAATTAGCCTCCCTTGGCTAGGTGCCAGCCTTGCGTTTATTTCCCAAGGCCTGTTATGGTATGTGTCAACGTAACTGCTCCATCGCCCATGCAACGCATCATGCAGTCAGGCAGATCTTGCCCATTTTCTCAACCAATTGTCTTTCGGATTTATCGTTGGTGCAGGGAGGATCTCATCAGCACGCTGCGATACACTTCTAGAATCTGACCAACATGTTGTTGCGAGACGTCCCTATTCAAGCTCTTTGTTCTTTCCCGATTCCTACACGGCTATGCTCATCTCTGTCAGCAATGAGGCCGATACTTGCTACGACTCATGGAACCAGCCTTGCGGTTATGTGTTGGGTGTGTGCTCCGCTTTGGAGCGAGCAGATCTCATGAATCATCGTGCAGCGACGATTCTTGGGCTTGCATGCCCACACCCAAATCCCCCTGTTGGAACCTTTCCGAAGTGTCTGATCGCGGATCGACACCTCGTTACCATCTGAGTTTAGACTTCAGCATTGTCAGGCTCACGCTTCACGGCACGTTTGAGTCTCGATCGCCTGTCTTCTTGAGTTAACATCTCTGTCCTCCCGCGCTCTGAACTTCCTCTCATTCCTTCTCTTCTGTAAGTCACAATGCAGCCCCTCACATTAGCCGCTATTGGCATCGCCCTTGTGGGCTTTGTGGCCATCTCTATCTTGAACAATGCACGGCGTCCCAAGAAGGCAGAGGCAGAACACCAATTGCCTGGACCAAAGCTGTTCCCAATCATTGGACGCATTCACGACATGCCCATCCAAAAGATGTGGATCAAGTTCAAGGAGTTTGCAGATATCCATGGTCCTATCTACTACACCGAAATGCTTGGCACGAAATTCATCATTGTTTCTGATGAGAAGATCGCCGAAGAGCTTCTTGTCAAGAAGGCAAAGTACAACTCTGACAGACCTGCCGTCCCATCGCTCTTCGACTCGAAGAGTACTCATGGCTCTATGGAATACCTTCCCTTGATGGGCAAGAACCGTAAGACATATATCTACCCTATCGTCTTCCATACCCTGACTAACATGGTATAGNAATACTGGGCTAGACAACGTCGCTTCACACATGGCTACCTGACCCAAGCCACCAATGCTGGCTACTATGGTGTCATGCAACATGAAGTCAAGCGATGGATGTTCCGTCTGCTTGAAAACCCTGACGCCTTCAACTACACTCTCGAGGACATGGCTTCCAAGATTATGTGCACACTGAACTGGGACGACCCAAGCTTGAGTGAATACTGCATTGGTAGTGCCTGGGGTCTTCTCACTCAAATGTCTCCTGCTGGTCCCATCACCAACATCATCACACCTTTGTGGCAACTCCCTGAAGTCATCAACCCTTGGAAGAAGGCCGAGCACAAGCGTCATGACGAACAGCAACGTTGGTGGATGGAAAACCTCGTCCGCGTCAAGACTCAAATGAAGGAAGGCACCGCTCGCTGGAGTTTCACCAAGCAGTTCCTCGAGACCGAAAAGACTAACAATCTCTCTGGTGACTACGAAGCATCTTCTGTTCTTGGTATGCTTGCACTGGTTGGTATTTTCACTGTCGCCGGCCCTCTCAACTACTTCCTCGTCGCCATGGTCCACCACCCCGAATGGCTCGAGAAGGTCCAGAAGGAAATCGATGAGCAACTTGAAGGACGTATGCCCAGCATCGAGGACTTCCCTAAGCTTCCTACTCTCCGTGCCTGTATCAAGGAGTCAATGCGTTGGCGCCCTAACGTTCCTACCGGTGTCGCTCATGAAGCCGAGCAGGACGATTACTACCGTGGTTACTTTATCCCCAAGGGTGTTCGCATCCTGCCTCTCGACTAGTAAGTCTCACCGGTTCTCTCATTGGCTTTCTGTATATTAACATTGGACTCTAGTGCATTCCTCCTGAACCCAGTCAAGTACCCTGACCCAGAGAGCTACCGCCCTGAACGCTGGCTTGAAGCCGGATGGCCAACCTTCCAAGAGCCACTGACACAACACCCCAACATCAAGGGCATGACGTCTTTCGGCTTTGGACAAAGACAGTGTCTCGGCATGTCATTGACGCAGGACGAGCTCATTGTGGCTTGCGGTGCGCTAGCGTGGGCGTACAACCTCAAGCGCAAGGTCGACCCTGTCACCGGCCGAGAGATCGAGGTTCCCACCGACAAGTGCAACTCTCTTCTCATCGTCAAGCCCGATCCTTTCGAGATGGCCTTTGAGCCTCGCAGCGAGGCTCGCAAGGCAGACGTCATCCGCGAGTGGAAGATGTCCGAAGCTAAGGACCTCGAGGAGCGGGCTGCGTATGCGAAGGCCGCAGCGCTTGGACAGACGCAAAAGTTTGAGGATATTGTTATCTAAACCAACAATGTCCGGACTGCTGTCGGTATCCGGAGGAGAAGTCCGTAGATCTGTTCTTGCGAGGCGAGGTGGTCGCGTTGCCATTTAATGGCCGGGAGGCACGGTAATGATTTTGTTTGTTCTACATTTCTTGTTCTCTGCCTTCTACTATCTGTTTCAGATTACCCCCCTTCTTGTGTACAGCAGCTCTTGTCTTGCAGTTTCACATTAGCAAAGATTTTTTTTTTGTTTATCACTCCCAGAGATCTAGATATCAACGTATTTGTTCATTCACACCACCATCCATGAAAACTCCAACACGCATACGAGGTGTACCAGATACTGTTGATACGGCCGCAAATTCATCCGAAACCATGGGTATCTAACTGCAGGCAACCGCAAGGTTGGTTGACAAGTCGAGAGGTTGGAAAAGCATCAAGGATCCGCCCCTGTCAATCGATGAGAACGTTGGTTCCGGCCGGCACGCGGGATGTTTTGGAAAGCAAGTCTTGACGACATGGTTTTTCCTGGGGTTTCGATGTATCAAACAAGGTAAAGATCGTCCACGTCACCTCCGGTGTTTGGATGAGGAGAGCCGATGCTGCATATTTCCAGCCTTTTGAATTAAGTTCTGCATGGTTGGTTGATTTGATAACATTTATCGGATCGAGGCTGCTTTGAAAAATGCAAGACGGATGTTTTCGAGAGAGTCAGATGGGAACTTAATTTGTTTGGCTAACGGGAATAGTATAATGTTGTGCGGTAAAGATGCTGCACTCCTGTGCATACATGAAAGCGGTTGTTGGTCTGGCCGTTTAGGCGTTCTTGGTTCTGAATTTGAGATCGGCATGTTCATGCTGGCCAAGGATGGTTCATGCAGTATGGGAGAAGCTGAGCAAGATGGCCAGCTCGAGGTTGTCTTAGCTCGAGGGAGGTACTTGGTATCGAAAACAAATGTAGATTTCTACAACAACGCAGCTCAGTCGTCCTCGCCACGCGAGATATGCAAGCATGACAAGGAGCGCTGAAACAAAAGCAACATGCAAGGAGATTGTGTAATGCTCGCTTGAAACCATTGTATCACGAAGACGGCACAACCCTAGACAGTCACAGGCGGGAAGACAAGGTAACAGGATTGTAGACATTCGGTGGATTACATGTAGTGTCAGCATTGGCATGCAGACAGGATCCCTCATCTCAGACGAAGCAAGTCCTTTCTTCCGGTGAAGAAGAGCACGGCAGCGCCGGCCAAGGCAACTGGCACAGTGGTGGACACAACCCAGCCAACTGTGGAGAGCAAGCCTCCACCATGTGAGTCGAAGTTCTTGGGCTTGACTTTGTTGCGCATCTCCATGGCTTTCGCGCTGTCGACAAACTCTCTGATCTGGGTGATCTTGGAGCCGTCTGGTGTGAAGCGCAGCAGCATTATGCACTCGTTCTTCCACGGACCCATGCCGGGCTTGTTCAATTGACCGTCCATCATGGCGTGGATGACTACGGCGTTGTTGTCTTCGTCCTCGTAGATGTTTTGCGGGACCATGGCGAAGGTGGTGAAAATAGAGGTGATGCCTTGGGCGTGGCCTCTGAACTCCTCCTTGGAGCGAGGAGGCATACCCAGCGAGGCGGGCAAGNNGGCCTGGTGTGTGCAGTCTTCATCGAGATGGTCGAGAATGGCGTCTGGTGAGAGCGAGCCATAGGCTTCGAGCAGCGAGTAGGCCGTGTTGAGCCGCGTTGATCTGTTTTCCGAGGCCATCTTGTGTTGGTAATGACTTTGGAGCTTTCTTCAAAGGTTCTCCTGCAGATATGTATGGCGATAAAAGTCTCAATGGGAGATGTCAACAATATGGTGAAGGAGGCAGCACAGCATGGATTCTACATAGTCAGTATCGCCGAGGTGAATCACATCTATGATCAGCGTTTAATTCTCCGAAGCGCTGCATTTCGCACTACTGTGACCCTGTAGCACACAGGTCCAGCACAGATGGTGAAGGAGCTGTTTTGCAAGGGAGGGCGATGGGGATCCGAGGATCGTCGCGCAAGCTTCGCGACAAAATCAAGCGCCGAAGCGTCGGACCACCACAACAAGACGCGCCCGCCCGGAATCTGCAATCGACCCTCCCATCCTCCAACCATGTCCGTTCAATAAGGTAGAATGATGATGACGGACTTGTTGGACTCGAGCTCGAGCTTGGAGCAAGCATGTGATAAGGGTACTGCAGCCATGTCCTTCGCCGGGCCTGCTGTTTCTGCCTCTGCCCTATTCTTTGCATTTGCATCTTTTGCTCCCTGATCATACTCCTCGTCCACAGAACTCCACCATGTCTCGCGTCCTTCTCATCACCGGCGCCACCGGTAAGCAGGGTGGTTCAGTTATCGATGCTCTGCTTGAGCTCCCTAATGCTTCCGACTTCACTATTCTGGCAGTCACCAGAGACTCAAACAGTGGTGGTGCAAAGAAGCTCGCCGCAAGAGCATCGAACATCAAGCTTGTCGAGGGAAACCTCGATGATGTTCCTGCCCTGTTCGAAGCTGCCACCAAAGTTGCCCAGCAACCAATCTGGGGTGTCTACTCGGTGCAAATCTCAATGGGCAAGGGTGTGACCTTTGAGGGTGAAGTCAAGCAGGGTACAGACCTTATTGACGAGAGTGTCAAGAACAATGTCCAACACTTCGTCTACAGCAGTGTAGAGCGTGGTGGCGACGAGAAGAGCTGGGACAACGCAACTCCTATTCCTCATTTCCAGACCAAGCAACTTATCGAGATCCACCTGCGCGACAAGGCTCAAAGTATGGGCTGGACCATCTTGAGACCCGTCGCTTTCATGGACAACCTACAGCCGGGCTTCCCTACCAAGGTCTTCCTGACCGCCTTGCACAACCACCTTGGCGATACCAAGCCTCTACAATGGGTCGCTACCGCAGACATTGGCTTCTTTGCCGCACAGGCCTTCTCCCACCCCGAGGAATGGAACCACAAAGCCCGCGGCCTCGCTGGTGACGAGCTTACCTTCCCTCAAATTTCGAAGGCTTTCGAGAACGCAACCGGCTCCCCTGCAGGCACTACATTCTGGGGTCTTGGTTCTGTCTTGACTTACATGGTCACTGAACTCGGCCATATGATCGGCTGGTTTGCTTCGGATGGATATAAGGCCGACATTTCCAACCTTCGCTCCATCAACCCTCAGATGATGAACATGGAGACATGGTTGAAGAAGAAGAGCGCCTTCACGACCAAATAGATTGTTCACGACGCTGAGCATCATCTGACCATATTTAGTGCATTCACTGCCCGCTCTTAGTACCAATGGACTTGTTTGTTTTCGGTCTGGTCGCAGGTCACTGGCGTTTGTTTGGGGCGGTTCATGGCAACGGGCGCGGAGACAAGCAGGCAAAAATACGAATATGGCATTCTTCCACCACTCCCAATTTCCTGTTCCCGTCCTCTGTTTTGCTGTGGAATGCTCACTTACGTGGTCTAGTCCTTTTGAACGGCACGCTATAGAGCGCTAATGGGGAGCTACTGGTATGCTTAAAACCAAGGCTTGAATCTCCGCGCACTCCGCACGATGCACGGCCTCCTCAACGTCCCTCGATTGTAATATCTTTGTTTTGATTGGCTGATACACTCAAAACATTGGTATTTGGCTCCATGACCGTTGACAGAAATTTCCCGCAACATGCGCCGCCGTCCCCGATACGTTCATGATCTTCAAGATCGACGTTGGGTCACGCAGGGGTACTTGTCAAGTCTTCGAGTTTATTTCCATCTCTAACACAACACAGCCTCACAACGACACAGCTCCTCAACGACCAGAGGTATGCGAAAGGATAGGAAAATGGACATTTTGGTATGAGAAAGGTAAGGAGCATTATCAAGAACTGTTGCGACAAGCCAATATAGCCACACGTTGGAGGAGCGAACGGCTTCAGTGGATCTTGAATGAGGAAGGTTACTCTCCCGCGTGTCATTCCTGTTCCTATTCATGCGCCATTGACGTTGGTGCGTCTTATTTCCCCGACTCAAGCTAGATTTGGAATGCCCACAGACAGCACCAGCTACGAGCTACGAGGAATGCAGAACCACATAAGCTCGAGACAACCCACCTTTGTTCCTTTCTTCTCGTTCATCCCACGTTCTTTTCATTCTACGACAACACACACATCAATCACTCTCTCAATATGCGTCCTTCTACTTTCGTTGCCGGCCTTGCTGCCGCTGCTGCTCCTGCCATGGCCCAGAACATGTCCATCTGTGACAAGTACACCACTGCTCTGCTCAAGGAGAACACTGGCGCCAACCAATTGACCCTCTTGACCCTCCTCGTCAATACTGTTGTCATTGGTAACTACACCCAGCCCAACATGAACGCCGTCCCCGGTATCCTTGCCAAGGGTGACTACATGGGCACCGAGGTCAACCTCCTCCCCTACTTCAACGGTGGTCTTGCCTCGTCCAACCGTGGTGGTAGCTCTGGTGTCTCCATCAACTTCCTCGACGATGGCGGTGCCGTTCCTCTCATGATGAACAAGCCCGCCAACAGCACTTCCTCCAACCAGTACAAGCTCATGACCCACTTGTACCAGTACTTCGGTGCTCTCCTTGGCTGCTCTGCCACTGGCTTCCCCAGCTACGCTGGCTTCGGCTCCCAGGCCGCTGTCCACAGATTCATGGACCTCTCTGCTGCAGAGGTCGGCTACTTCATTGAGCAAGTTGCCCTCGCCGCCTCCTCGTTCGGCGTCAGCCAAGACGACATTGCTACTGTCGGCAAGGCCCTTAACACCATCTTCAACGTCCGCTGCGCTCCCCCCACTACTGTCATCCCTGCCCAGGGTGCTCAGCTCCAGAGCATCTGCCAGGACGAGACCTGCCCTCTCGCCCCTGAGCCTACCTGCGCCGCCTACCCTCCCACCATGAAGCCTGCCATGAGCAACTCCACCATGGCCGGCTCTGGCTCCATGTCCAACGGCACCATGGCCTCTGGCTCCATGTCCGGCTCCATGAGCGCCACCGCTTCCCACCCTGCTTCGTACACTGGTGCTGCCGCCAAGGTCGGTGCCGGTGCTGCCGGTGTTTTGGCCNTCGCCGCCCTCGCTCTGTAAGCGAGTTTTGTGAAAAGGAAGACTGTGTATGATTTGTCGACGAAGCTTTTATCATCTTTCGTATCTCTATGTTTTGTCGCTTCTTCATTTCTTGCAAGATACCACGGAAAGGTCAACGTACTGTTAGTACTTTAATCATTAATCCATTATTTAAATCTTTACTTTATATCCTTCACTTTTCAGGCTTGAGTGATCTTGTTTTTGCAACGACCATTAGAAGCACCTTCCTCCACATCCCGACAATGTTTGGAACGTTTGCCAGGCAGACGCGTCGACTAAAGCCGCCAAGACGTCGCTCATCGCTCATTCGCGACTTCCGAACAATCGTTTCCTACCATCACTTCGACACAGACAGCAACCTTCACGATTTCTCTTCAATCAGACTCAACATCAACGAGAAGTCTGGCCATCGTCAGATTGAACGTGTACAAGTCAACCTTGTCGCACTTTCTTCTGGCTCATCCCTTCACTGCCCGCATCCAACCTAAAGCCGACCCGTGTCCAACCATCGATTAAAACATCGTCGTCAAGCTATATGATCGTGTCGGCATTTAAACGCGTGTAACTCAACTCCATCACGCCTCGCTCTGATTTCACCTCCTCATAGTTCGGTCATAACCATCGATCAGTTATTGGCGTCGAGGTAAATGCTCTAATCACTAAATTGACGCTCGTGATTTAACTTTCTTACTCATCACACTTGAACGGCACTCGACCACAAAGATCCTTTAACATGGATCTTGTATCACAGTGTCAAGGCTTTACTGGCTTCGACAGCCTACCGCCTGAGCTCTAACAAGAAATCTTTAGCTATCTTGGCGAAGACNGATGACATGATAAATCACTCGTGGTCGCCATTCGAGTGAGCAAAGCCTGGTACCATCATTGCATTGGCATACTGTGGTACGAATCTACATAGAAGTAGTTAACCAATGTACCAACACCAGATCGACGACAACACTACGCTAACCTGATTGTTGATCTGGATGTCGATGACGACCTCTCCCACGGCTTATATGACGGGCTTGAATTCCCGGCGCTCAAAGTTATCAATTTCATGGAGGGATCACTCCTAGTATCGAAACTTCGTCGTTGTCTACAGAAGGGACTTCACACAATACACTACACTAACTGCGAGCCTAATGAGGCTACCTTAGAGATGCTGAAGTCCTGCCCTAATCAAGTCGAAGAGCTTAAGATAACGATGCCTAACTCGAGCAACATATCGCCTAATCAGTTCGTGTCGTTTCTGCAGAGTCTCCCAGCTTTGCGCCGTCTCAACCTGCTAAATGTCAAGGCGGATACAATGGAGAAATTCTACGCATGGGAGGGTGTCGTCGTTGCCCAACTTGAAGAATTAAGCATAGACGGAAGCTGTGGCTTTAGAAGAGACCTCGAACTGCGCAATCACTTCCTTAATCACTGCACTGGCCTACGCAAGATCGACCTAGACCGTGGACACCCGCTTTCTGCAGATGCGCTCGTTCATTTGTCCGGTCTAGCTTCTCTCGAAGACCTTAGCTTGTCTCATTAGATTACAGACGATGTCAGCAGACAATTTCAGAAGCGAATCTCTAATAGAAACTCCAACTCTCGACCATTCCCTCGCGTCAAAGCCATGTCATTGCGCGGCGGAAAGTCTGCACTCATGCCTTTCCTCACCAGCACATTGACAACGCTTGTTGATTTGTCCCTAGAAGTTAATGATCATCACGACAGTATTTTCCCAGCCATCGGCCGTCTTTCGAATCTTGTTCGTCTGATTGTTTACTTCACTCGTGATAAAAGGCTTTCGTGTACAGACTTGGATTCGATCTCAGGCTTGCTAAAGCTACAGGCGTGTTTGATAGACAGACATGCACTGTCCTCTTTAGACTGCTCCTGGATTACAGATCTGTACTTCAAGTCCTGGATCGCGAAGCTTACACGTCTCAATTTTCTACGCTTAAGATTCGACAATGCTACACTCACGCAAACTTCTCTACAATACATTGCTAAGAGTTGTCCATTGTTGGAAGCGTGTCACCTTATGTGGGTACACGACCTGGGCACCTGGAGGAGTCTAGAAGCGCCCTTGTTCCCGGATCTGGTTTATTTGCGTTTGGAGAGTGTCAAAGGCGAAAGTTATGGACAAGACCAAGCCACGATTGACGAGCATGCGCTAAAAGACGTAAACATGATCCGGGATCTTGCCCTAAAGCTTCGTTTCTTGGAATTCAATTCCAATCTCCAGCATGAGATAGCTCTGGAGACTATCTTCATATCAAGCAAGCGATCGGCCGCTCCTTCTTGCCCCTCTAACAAAAAAGTGTGGGCCTCTAGCTATGTCTTTTCCGGTTGCTTGGTGGTATTCGGGGCTATTGCTGGACTTTACACTCCCTTCCCGAACGTTCGTAGCGGGTAGCTTACGTCCTAGTCATTGCTTCTAGTCATTATAGCAGTCAATATTGCTCCAGCATGGACCTGTATCGATCGAATATGTACTACTCTCTAGTCACACTTTCTCAGTCGCACATATTTCACCTATCCTCGCTTGATTCCGACCCGAACTTGCTTGACACGATTGTAATGTAAAGCCCTTCACAGACTTTGGCTCTTGTCCGTGTGCATACATTCGAGCTAGTGTTTTTCTCCTTTAGACTCCTTCCTTGCTACCGACATCTACGATACGCGAATATTCTGGTCTCAGAGCTTGAGCGGAGAACAGCTTTCATGTTTTGCAAGTCGAGAGCTATTGTCAAATTGGGACTTTCTTGGTTTTTCTTATGGTCATGATTCTGAAGCAGAATACAGGAAGCAGAGAACATGTAACAAAGCAAAGCGCAAGAGTGATCAGAAAGAAGAGAGAAAACAGAATGGTGCAAAGTCCGGTGGCGGAGTAGAAAACACACAAGAATCTCTAAAGCATCGAGAGCAACGATCTTCAAAGCGAATAAGTTGTTAGATTGAGATACCCACTACCCATATATCTAGCAAAGAGCCATCTTCAAAGACAAAACATTCTTGGAGGGGAAGAGCAAAACAAAGAAGCATCGTCTATATTGACTGCATATTCGGAGCGACAAACACAGACGGTACAAGACCATGAGCAGGAATCGAACCTGTGACCTTCCTAGATTTCCTGGCCAGCGACACCAGTGGTGGCACGTGCTAGAACCCTTTGGATATGATAGCCACTACACCACCACAGCTTTTTTTCCTGCTTGTAAAGCGACGAGGAGTTGTAAACATGTATAGGTTGAGCATGTTTGGGTGGTGATGAGCGGTTGGTGCTGTGGTAAGAGGTTAGGTGGTTTGGTGGAGCTTCGGTTGTTCTCGAGTCCAGAGGCTACGGCGTCGAAGAGTAGTTGGACGATAACACCATGATACTTGTGTGGAGAGATTTGAGAGATTGAATTGTGATGCAGCCCGACCGGATGATGTTGTATTCTCTCGTGCCAGTCCGTTCTTTTCCTCCACGGCGTTGCGAGTTTGAGTGTCTGTTCGTCTGGCGATGCATCGATCTTCTGGTATCGCATCTGGTGACCAGCTTATATACGAGTAAAACAGATCGAACAAAGTCCTTGAGCGAGCTTGGGGCAGATTGACTAGGGGATATGACCTTCGTTGGTGTTGAATGGAGAGTTTGACTCCAATTTGTCAGGGGCAGAGCCAAAGGTCTGAACCAACATAGTCATCTCAATGTGCTTGTACTGGTCTTGCATTGAAACATGGATTGACGACGATAGCTGTCGATGCAAGGAAGGTAAATCGATGGCAATATGGGCGTATCCGGGAGATGAGCGAGATGGACAAGTTACGACCATCTGAAGATAATGGTATATGCTTTGTGCGGACTATCAGGGTCGAGAGCGGTATGATTGCGAGTTCACACGGTGGAGTCGCAGTCGTTGTCTTCTTGACGTCTTCTCTTGGTTTGTAGTAGTCATCAAAGTCTGTTCCGGATCCAATTCATCGATCGGTGTTGAGGTTGGCTGCAGTTGCTGCTCCTGCGATGACACAATCACATCTTTGCTGACTTCTCCTGGAAAGATAGTCGTGTTATCCGGACTAGGTTCAGACATGCCAATCCATTGACCAGCACCTTTCCAGACAGCAGCAGCAACCTTGGATCCGTAATCGTAGTAACTTCCTCCTTCCGGATCAATGCTCACATCGTCGTAATTAGGAGCCGTGAACAAGAATTTGGTCGTGAAGCCATAGAGAACAGTGGTCGCTATAATGAACGTGACGAAGAGAATAGCTCTTCTGGCAAGGCAATCGCACTTCATGGCTGGTTGAAGTTGTGTTTGATGATTCTTCCTGCCCTAGCAGAAGACAATAGATATAAAACCAGACCCACCTCGGCATTAGACATTTTTTGGAGTTTATATAATACATTCAACTGCTCGGTGATTTGCAAGTCCGTATTCAGGAGACGGAGTCATGGCACCAAGAATAATAGCGCAAGCAGAAGTGGAAAGAATGCGAGATTGCGAGCTGAGAAAGGGCTGTATTTTGTGTATGGTTGAATTGATTGCATAAAAGTGTTGCACAAGGCCCCAGAATTCAAAGTGGCGCGTGAGTGGCATGACGTCGATGACGCTCGCAGTCATTCAAGAGCATCAATAAAGACAATCTTCACTCTCGTCCCCTGATCCAAACAACATCTTTGCAAAACAATCACCAAACAAGCAACACTTTACCGTCAAAAGCAACCACAAACATATATCACAATGTCGGACAACACTCAGCAACAACCCAGCCTCATTGGCGGTCACGCTCAATACGTCAAGGGCGCTGCAGAGGTAAGCCAGAATGAATCCCAAGTCACTCCTCAGCTCGTATCTGACATCTACTCCAGGNGCGTCATTGGTAGCGTTACCGGCAACTCAGCATGGCAGCAAAGCGGCGAGACCGACAAGCAAGGCGGTATTGACGCCATGAAGGCCGCTTCCCAGAACCGCGACCCCGCCTCCGACGGTTACGGCAAGGTCGAAGAGGTGGCCGGAAGACTCTCTGGCTGTGAGGGCATGGAGAAGGAGGGTGCCATGTCGGCCAAGAAGGATTAAACCATCTGGAAGAGAAGATACAAGCAGGCCGGGTTGTAAGATAATCACACCCTTTGTCACGAGGACGAAGTTATGAAATCAGCACATGCATTGTCAACAGACCTACAAACTGCTCCTTTGTGATCGATGATAAGAAGAGAATTATGTGTCGTGTATAGAGGAAGTAGTTCAACAAAGGGAAGTGAGTGTCAGAGTCGCGCCTACTGCATCTGTTCGGCTCCCTGACCATGATCCAACCCTCGCTTCGATTCGACAGAAGCCCCCTCATCCCGTCCATCCACCTTCAACAAAACGTGAAGGAAACACAATCAGCTTCCCTCTTCCGTACAGCATGTTTGCGATCAGATATGTGGGGTGATTCTGACACTGTGCTGATTGTTGGCTGTCACATTCACCAGTTTCAGGAAACCCCCACTGCCGTAGAAGTCAAGTCGCAAACATGCTTCTAGAAAACCGCAAGTGCTGTTGAGCCCGAGTGCTCGTTCCCCTGTGTCAAAAAGGCCTCGGGTGCAAGGGCTATGCAGGGCAAAGGGCAAGATTCAGGAGGCTGAAAAGGCTGATAAGCTTCTGTGGGGGCGCTGGTGTGTTTCAACTTTCAGCAGGCTGATTTGATGAAGCATGGACCAGTTTTGCGTATCCAGGATCTTGATACTCGATGTACCAATACTTTGACATGTGATTGTGGATACAATCCTTGTGGAAGGATAAGGGGCTCGGATGGGCTTGTGGAAGTTGGATGCGTGAGGGACGAGCCTTGTCAGCGGTCTGTTTCACGTTCAGCTCTGAATGCTTGAAGGATGCATCAGTGACTAGAGACTCAGAGGCCGGCACCATCGTGAAGTTGAGACGCAGACTCCACCTCAGTGATCGATTGTCCAGAGCGTACGCGTGGAGTGGTAGACGTGTGTCTTTGAATCAGCACGGGATGGTGTGATATGGGCGGAACAGGTGGCAGACGACTGAGTGGATGAGTGTTTCGTGTGAACTTGTTTGACATGTTAAACTTGTGCCAGATCTAGATCTTAACCATCTATGAAGCAGTAGACATGCATGTTCGTCTGCAGAGGACGAAACCAGAAAAACAGCAGAAATCTCAATGTTGCACCCACATCGCTCAATGCCCAAAACGCCAGAATGCTCATGTCAGCCTGAAGAGACGTAGCCAGGCTTGACGGGAATCAAACAAGAAAACATATTTTCATCAAATGCCAAGTGCTAGCTTGGCCCTCTCATAGGCAAAGAAACTGGTGGCGACCATGGGAATGACTTTGATGTAACCGACACCTAGACCTACAAAGAAGCCCTTGAAGCCAGTGTCGCGGTAGATGCGTCCAGCGACTTCCATCATGCCCAGACGGTGGCCATCACCAACCACACCACCTACTTGCATGCGTCTTCGTATGACTTCTAGTGGGTATGAGACGGTTTGCGATACGAAACCAGCAAATCCACCAGTTGCGAGCTCGGCCCAGTATTTTAGCGGCACAGGCTTGTTGGGATCGCGCTTTGTAGATGACTCGGATGCGGGAAGTGTAGTGTACTTTGCTATGCGTGGATGTCGCATCAGGTCGCCGGCTGTGTCATGAGTGAGGAAGGAGCAGCCGGCATATGGGAGCATGCCCCAGAGGGTGGGTGTGAAGCCTCTGAAGAAATTGACCATGCCCGAGGCAGGAGTTGCCTTGGTCAAGGCAGCAGAGGTAGCGGATATTGACGAGGTAGCGGCACGCGTAATCGAGGACGTGTCTACATGCTGGGTGGCTGAGCCGACGGGTGGTGGGTGTTCGTGGTAGATTGTTTTGCAGATTTCTCTTAGACTAGTCTTGTGGTGTGTTTTTGTCTCAAAAGCCAGTCGCACACGGATAACTTCGAGCGGGTAGGTGAAGCAGACGGAGATAGTGCCGGCCAAGCTGCCACTTAGAAGTCGGCGTATGGGCGTCTCTTTGTCTTTTGTCGGGATGATGGCGGCGCGGATCTGCTCATAGGCGAGGAACTTGATACCGGCGTAGGGGAAGATACGGAGCAAGGTTGCAGAATGGCCGCGAAAGAGGCCTCGCGTGCCCTCGTTGGTTTGAATGTCGCGCATGGCTCGGAAGAAGCCAAACCATGAACCCGTGTACTTTGCATATTGAGGACTTNNGGAAGCCTGGAAGAGGATCTTGACGCGGTCCAGCGGGCCCACTACCGTCTTTGCCNNTGTACAGTGTGTGAGCGTAGTTTGCGACAATGTGTATGAGCGAGAATGACGTACGGCGCATCCGGCTATACCACCAGCCAAACCGCTGCGCAGGATATAGTCCCAACTCTGCTTGTTGACCTGGGGTCTTTTCTGCGGCGAGGATGAGGGCGTCATGCGGCGTGAGTCTGTTGTGTGTTCGGGGGCATGGTTGCCGCTAATGGCGAGGCTCGCCGGCATCAATACAAAAGATGTTGTGCTTTGTCTTGCGGGGTGTCGACAGTCATTCGGCTTTTCAGGATAGTGGCTCTGAGTATTTCGAGTCGGGCGCAGACGAGTAGAGTTGGAGCGGCAGTCAAGGCGTAGGAGAGCGGCACGCGAGGAAAATCAATAGTAAGTGGTATGCACCGAAGCAGAGATGATTACCAAAGTCTCTGGTGCCCGTGTGGAGAGAGAAAGTGACGATTCCGACCCGCATTCTGTGAGCCGAGGTCTGTCTCTGCCCTCTACCGTTCTAGACTGGCACACGACCTCTTCCACAAACCCGCTCGCGAGTCGTTCCTGCCTGCAATTCAATTCAATTCAAACGGAGACTACCACTGTCGACATCCATCAAGGCCAGACATCCATCGTCTCCCAGGCTCGATTCTGCATCGCTCCTTGGAAAACTTCTTGAAAGTCTTGTCGCTGGACTGTCCAGAGCATGGCTGCTGCTTCTGTCCTCCAATTTGTGCTCGTTCATGCATAACAAGCATCGCTGTTTTCTGCTATATCTCACCCAATATACAGAGGACCTGGCTGAGATGCTGTCCTCCAAGAGCGACGTGACAGACAATCAGTCCAACACTTCTGCTTTGTCACCTAGGCCCTCGCTGCCGTCGTCGTGCATCCTGTTTTCAACAGACAGGGTCGCCCTCGTCGACATTCCAACTTCCATCGCCGATGCTCAGCAAAACTCTTCTCGACACTCGACCTCATCTCTTATTTCGTGCAGTCCTCGAACCGCTCCATACCCAAGCCATGAACCAAATTCAGAAGCTGCACGCTACAAACTGCGCCAAAAGATGGCCACTGAACATGATGATCTGTATGCCCAGTTAATCTCTTCTTCTCTGGCCGTCATTCGCCAAAACTACTCTGGTCCTTGGTTGCTACCGCGTACTGTTATTTCACAAGCAGAACACTCTCTGCCACATAAGCGCAAGTTCAATGACCCTTCGTCCGATGCCGAGTCAGTGAGGGATGATCTACTGCAACAGCTTGTATCCGACACCACAGGCTCCTTTGCCTTTCGCTGGAGGCATATGGATCATCACGCAAGTGAACCCCTGCTTGAAACATCCCCTTGGCCGAAGTACCTGTACAATTCGTCGAATGATGCTCGAATCCTTGACATCAAGTCAACCTCGATGCACACTCCTGCCAGCTTTTACGTTCCGCCAGGGGCTGCTTTCTATCTCGGCGATTGTTCGAGCTCGCGGCCCTTTCATCTGGCCGTTAAACATGTCGCCGAGCAACTCGACACTCCTCGACAATTTGACGTGATCGTGATGGATCCTCCCTGGCCTAACGCTTCTGTCAGGCGCACTGAGAAATCCGGAAGATCAGCCTACCAAGTTTCCCNNCCCACCGTCTGGGATGTTAGGCAACTAATCTTCGAGATGGACATTGATGTTCTCCTGGCCAACGAGGGTGTGATTTGTATTTGGATCACCAACAAACCAGCGGTCCGCGATCTTGTACTTGGCGAAGATGGGCTGTTTGACAGTTGGGACGTGCAGCTGGAAGAAGAATGGTTGTGGGTCAAGACAACAACCGAGGGTGAGCCCGTCTCCTCTCTGGATGCTCTTTGGAGGAAACCGTATGAAGTGCTCCTTATTGGGCGCAAACATGACCCAAGGAGAAGTGATCAACACGTCAACTTAACCGACAGTTCCAAGGTCGAACGAAGGGTGATAGTCGGTCTTGCTGATCTGCACTCCCGGAAGCCTTGCTTGGAATCCCTGTTTAGACGGTTTGCGATCAGCCCGCCATCAACATCAACAAAACAACGCATTCTTGAGTGCTTTGCGAGATATCTTGTGAGTGGTTGGTGGTCGTGGGGCAACCAGGTGCTCAAATTCAATCATACCGACTGTTGGCAATCTAAATCATAGATCTCGCCAAGAGCCGCATTTCGTATCAGTTCTAAATGCATCATTACCCGTCACCAGATAATTATGGATCACGACACGAGCACACGAGCTTCCTTCACGACCTTATCCAAAGCATCTCGCCTCTTGGACATTTTCGCCAAGCTCTAAATCTGACTAGATCCCCTAGCCCAGGCTCCGGCATGGGTCCGACTTCTCAGGGTGTGCAGAGTTACATTTGATGTGCTCAACATCTTTTGGTGGTCAGCTTCTATCTGCTGGCCTATCGCGGTTCCAACGCTTGAATTGCGACTCCACCTCCCTATCTCGTTCATGTGCGCGCGAAACACTCGGGCTATGATCACAGCGTCATCTGGTTCAGATGTAGGCACTTGACGCGATACTACCGGTGGCTGTTGGATTTATTATATCTTTCGCAAAGTGCTGGTATGCTGATCCAATAGAGGTCCCATGGTATGGATGTCGTCAATCTGCGTCGTGGTAGGATTTTACGGCCCGCGAGCCGTGTTAGGCTCAACAAATAATTTCTGTTACAGGCGGCATGATGGCATTTGATGATATTTGAAGCATCAAATTCTGCGGAGGGTATCCACAAGAACGTGGACCCTATGACGACACAGCCAATTTTCATGTGAAGTTGCAAGCAACCCTCGGAATTGTCTTGGTCCGACAAAATCCCGGCACGAGAAAGGTCAACACGTTGGAGCTTGGCCGACTTAGCCCGTTGATCCCAACCTCTCAAGCAATGCCATTTCCCTGCATCTTCCGAAGGGGATGATGCCGCCCAGCCGGCTGTAAGAGCTCGTCGACCAGCCCTGTACTCCACCATTGTCTGATACCGCTCAAGAGGAGATTGCACATTAGGCGTCGTATCAAGAAAGGATGTGTTACAGGGGGCTCAATGGTAGCAACCATCTTGAAACGCGAGTCAGAAACACAACAAACAGGGCATCTAGCCATTTGTGCCTCAAGACCGCAACTTCTAGATGTGAAGTTTCATGGAGCAAAAGATCGCGACCTCAATGGCCTTTCCGAAACGTACTGGACCCTTTCTTCTGCAGCGGCGCAGCGAAAATGGGCCCTTGTTTTCGTGCAAAATCTGAGATCTGGTCGCATTCTTTGGCCTTGCTGCGGAAATACGCAAGCCGAACACATAGCCGAACTGGTCTGCTAGCCACAAGTGGGTCAAGTTCGCCAAGTCGCGTGGCCCAAAGCAGCTAGTTGTGCCTGAAGATACGCTTATTACTCAGTGCTCACACCGCTGGGCCGTCTATGACTCTACAACACCGAGAAAGGCCCACAAGCATCTCGGGACGATGAATCGAAATATACACTGGCGGTCGCAGCGCCCTCCTAGCGCTCTTTGACAGTGTGGAGATTTCAGCCAACCACGTAGCTGTTTGTTTGCCGGGTACCTTAACTATTAACGTCAATCTACCGGGTCGTATCCTCAGAACTACAAGAAGGCCAGAGCACCCCCCCACCTACTTTCTGGAACACGCCCATACAACTTGACACCTTCGCATACCGTCTGGATTACGGTACAGCAGTCGCTTAGCAGCAGCCTCTCACCTCGCCTCTCTACCTCAACCAACTCCTCAACCCTCTCACAATTCTACATGTATAAAGCTGGCTGCTCTGCACTGTACAATGTCGACCTCTACTACCTCTTCCGCACGCTCCACAACTCCTAGCTGCTCGTCGAACCCGACTCAGCCTATCCAGATTGGTTTCTCTTCCTCATCGACAACCATGACCAGACCTCGCAACACTAGCGATGCTTCCATCGTCTTCGGCAGCCCTTCTCCTAATGGACCCGCTGCTTTCCCTTCCTGGAAACTTGCACGTCCCCAGCTTCCTCAGGGTCCCGCCAGCTCTTACATCAGTGACGAGGATCTCTTTGGCGATGACGAGGTTGCCTACCTGGACGAGGCACCTGAGCCACCTAGAACTGCCGAACAGTGGATGACCTCCAAGCGCGGCATGGCCATGGCTGCAAATGCAAGCCTGGTCACTCTCGACAGCAGCTGCGAGAGCTACAACAGCTTTGGCTTCAGCAACGGCTACACGCCTAGCAAGCCCATCATGATGAAGAAATAAACACCATCTTGATGATAATTCTGTAAGTGTCACCGAGCACTGCCCTTTTGTACATGGTCCTAATACCGACCAAGACAACTCGTTCCTTACTTTATGAACGCGGGATGTCGTCTCTGGATCGTTACGAAAGGGCAACTTTTCTGTTTCGTTTTTCAGTTTCTCAATTCGCCAATCACGACCCCTACACTTTCTCCGGGAGCCTGGATCATCTCCGACTTCAATCACCTCTTTCTGGTCAAAGATCTTTTATCATTTCTTTTGGCTGTCCACTCGTTTAAGCCCGTCCGTCAGACATTGGCTGGACCATCCGCGCGGGCCTTTCATGTGCTGGCGATACGCTAAGACGTGTCGCAGCTGAGAATCAAGGCCCAAACAGAGTGCCACGGATCACTCTGCATTCGCTTTGCATCATATCTTTCAACTCATTTTTTCTTGCCTGTAATCCTTTTGGAGTTTGCTGCATCCTGCATGGTCGGAGCATTGCGATGTCCCACGCGATGGAAAGCGTTTTTCTTTACCTTCTCCTTTTGATACCCCTTGGCAAGATGAAGCCAATTTTGAGATATCCCCTTTTTCCTTTACTGTATCTAGATAGCCTTCTGGCAGGAAGAGCCTGCAGAGGACGACAGCTTGTTTATCAGCATAGCNACAAGCCCTACTGCGATAGGCAGANNGGCAGCGGAATCGATGCGCAGTCATATGCAATCACTTTGAAGCGGGGCGCTTACGGTGCGAATCCCATTTGCTCCCAACCCTTCCGTCACTTGCCCCGAGTCACTNTTCCCTTCTGCCGGAATGCCTTTCAGACGAAATTGATCGGCTTCCTCTTCTCCAGCTGATTTGTCTCCTATGCTTTTGACAGCAACGCAATATGCATGTCGTGAGTCGTGACTCGGGCCAGAAAACAAAACCTTCATCTCCACGTCCTGCAAAATGTATGCAGGCACTGTAAGAACTTTGTTCTCATGCATCCCTCTTTGGTTCTACAACCGCAAGCTCAAATGACACGAAACTCGGCAACGTCCAATCTCAGCACATGTGTTGGANNACCGCGGTGAGAGGAAAACGCGCTCGTGACGCCCTATCGCATGGCCGAGTACGACGGAGAGNNAAACGTGACCTGTGGAAGCTGCAGCAACAACGCAAGGAACGTGAAGTTCGTCGAACCAGTAATCCCATCAATGTGGTCCCAATCTTCCTATTTGACTAGACGTCGCTTGGGAGTATGACGCTGGTGAGATCTAGCCCAATAATTGATATATATTGCTTGAGTCTAGCAGGATGCACAGGCTTGAGGNTCGCGATGCGTGTTGGGCACGTTCTTNGTGGGGCTTCTTGGGCCAATCACTCGCTGCAAGCCTCTCTTCTTCTCTCTGCATCCTGCTCCCCATGCCTTCNNGACTTGTTCGTGCGTGAACCCCCGCCCAGTAATAGCAATGGTAGCAAGCCTTCCGCGCTGGAGATTGTCCTCCCTTGAAGCTCTAGTTCGCTCGCCTGTATTCGCCTGCCAGCTGGTCTAGCATTGTATCCTCTCCGCAAATCGATAGGTCCTTATTCGAGCCGTCAATAATGTCTAGGCGCTCTGCACCTCAATCGCTTTCCCGAAGAGGTGGCTCGTCACTAGAGGCACATATTGGGCCGGCCGGACACGCATGGCTTTGGTATACGCGCCCACGTCTGATTTGCTAACTTGTAAAATGAGTACACCTCTCTGTCGTCTTGTTTCCTTCTCTCTTTTTTCCCTTTCTCATTTTTCAGCCCCTACCAAGTTTTTCATCAAGAAAAAGATTCTTGCATTTCCCCAAAGTTTCAAGAGTGGTTGCTTGCATGTCCGAGCTGCAGGCCATCCTGGTCGGCCCTTGACGCGGACGACTTTTTACTGTGGCACAAACCACTGCTTGAGGATATTTGTGCCTGTTCATCGTTCCACGCGGTGTGACTGCATCTGCTTGGCACAAGTCTTCGGTACGTCGATCTCGCGCAACGTTACAGCAGAAATACACAGCATCCCACACCTTGTTTTCTGATTGCTATTCTGGTATCCGGCCATCTCGCCTACGAGGACTCGGCCCAATTCATGACCGCTTGATTCGCTGCCTCGCGGCCAACTCTGACAGACCATTGTTCTGATTTTCCTTAGAAATTACTTAGCCATGTCGACTGGTCGCCCTTCCGGTCAAAGGTCGCACTCTGCTGTGAGGAGGCAAGCAACGACTAAGCCTGAATCTGATCAAGCCTTGTTCACACCCGATGCTCAAACGGCGTTTCAACCTTGTGCAGCAACCGCCTCGTTCCTTCTATATGCTCAAAGAAATATTATCCTCTGTCTGCACCACGACACCTTGGCAATAGAGCGGCGATTCGATCGACATCAAGAGGATGTAATTTGGATATGTGCGGACACTGTCAGCGAAAGAGGTGCAGGCCGTTTGGCTGTCAGTTACGACACAGGACATACCGCAATCGTCTGGGATATCTCAACAGGAGACGAAATTGCTCGCTTTGCAGCGTATGAACAGATCAAGGTGGCAGCATGGATGAAGAATGGGAACATTGCCTTTGGTAAGACATAGAGTACCGAGTGTAGGAAATTGCTCTGACAAGGTTTTANNGGAAACGTCCAGGGCAACATAATATTGTTTGAGCCTTCTACTTCTGAGCACATATCGGCTCGTACAATCTACGATCCGATTACAGCGATAGCTCCGGCAGCAGACTCGCGGACGTTTGCGATCGGGTGCGCTCTCCACATATAGCACGCGCCGACATTGCTGACAAGTCGCAGATTCCAAAACGGTTCAATCTTGCTTGCGACATTGCAACCGCTCTTCACGATTGTGCACAGCCTGACGACGTCGAAAGCTCCTTCCCGGATTGCAGGACTTTCCTGGCATGGTTCTTCTTCGCGCCAAAAGTCCGAAATGCTTGCCACTCAAACTGCAGACGGCGACCTCAGAGTTTGGAGTATACCAAAAACAGCTGTCGTTGGAGAAACACCGAATATTATTCGGATACTGAGTCGACTAGAAACCAGAAGTCTGGGGTCTTGCTGGTTCTCATGGTCTAAAAATGGTCGTATCATACAACACACCGATGNNGGTAAGAACATTTTTGCCTTCAGATGTAGGTCCTTACTAACCAAGAGTTCTTCTAGGGAAACTCGCTCTTGGGACGTCCGCACCAAGAACGTAAGTTTTCAGCCGGTACCGACTGTCGACGGTATTGTCGGCATCGCATGCTACGGCCCTTCCTCGACACTTTTCACGCTTGGTCCAAGCCACACTGTGCAGCAATACGATGTGAATCCGAGCGAAGTTCCCATGCAAGTCGCTAGTATACAGCACGCTCCTGGTCCTCTCCCGCCGTCCCCACCCAACTCAATCGAAGAACAAAAGAAGGAAGAAACGGCCGCAGCGAGCGCTGCGCCAGCACCATTTGCCTACGTGGATGCAGATTCAAGCGAAGGTGAGCTCGGCACCATGTCGCCACTCGAGAAAATAGTAAAAGAGATGGATCAACTGGACGACGAGAAACAAGACCGACTTGGTGCGCTCAGCCCAACATCTAGCAGAGCCTCCTCAGTGAGTTCTCGATCGTCCAATGGTGGACTTAGAGTGCCGTCATATCGCTACGACAAAGCACCTTCCTCACGAGCCTCCGAAGCGTCTTACAACGAAGGGACCGAGTTCTCGTTCGGTCTGCCCTCGATAAAACCCCGGGAGAGTGCCTCTGCCCGCTCAACGTCTTCATTCCGTTCTTCGGGTTTACGCAAAGAAATCTTGAGAAGTCCTGATGAGACTCAGCAGACGTCGCAAATGGACCTTTTCCCCTATGCTCGAGCAAGGCTGCGAGACGTACCCTTCAGAACTCCTCACTATGGTCAAGCTCCTCGCACTTCAGATTTATTACGACAAGAAATGCTAAGTGTCGTCTTTGGTTGGAATGATGACATCGAGTCTCTGGTGCGCGATGAATGTGAGTTTGCCATCTTGCACAAACTTACGACCCTCGAGCTAACACAAACAGTCATGAGACAAAGACCAGGATCCGCTAGTAGCGTACTCCTCTCAAAATGGCTTGGTGAGTTTGGTGCAGATACCATGGCTGCTATGGTAGGCTCTGAGAACATGACTTCTTCCGACTGGATGCTGCTAGCTTTGAGCTCTATGGGACCATCTTCTAAGAAGCAGGTCGGTCAAACATTCGTACAGAGACTCCTGGAGAAGGGTGATATCCACCCTGCGGTGGCGGTGCTATTAGGGTTCGGCGAACATGATGATGCTATTGAGGTCTACGTCTCTCGTGGTTTCTACATGGAAGCAATTCTTCTGACTTGTTTGACTCTGCGGTCGGATTGGCAGAGGCAATCCTACCTTGTTCGTAAGTGGGGTGAAGCTTCTGTCATGCAAGGTCAACCAGAACTAGCAGTACGTTGTTTCTCCTGCACAAGCATCGAAACATCAGATCCCTGGTCCTCTCCTCGAGCACAGGGCGCAACTTTCTCTAGCCTAGAAGAACAAGGCATTGGTCCTTCTCCTCTAAGCCCTCCACTTTCTCCGCCGTTCGCCGTTGGTTCAAACCGGAAACTCGCAAGAAACGGATCCCTGAAACTCATCACGACATTTGGTGACAAGGGAAATCCTCTTGTATTGCCTTCTGCAGACCAGAGAACACCTATGGCTGGTATGCTTGGAGTTGGTGTCACACCGATAGCTGAGTCGGCAATTTCACCTGGTGGTGCAGCACCTTGGCTTCGTACTGGTACTAGATTCGACCGGGATCCATCGTCAGCAAGAACAGCCACTCCCGGCGGATATATGAGAAGGCAGCTGCCATCTAGAAGTGGGACATCGCGAACGAGAGATACTTCTCAGACTCCTTTGACAGCCCGTAGAGAGATTTCCGGATCAGCACACATTACAGAAAACTTGGAGACCAAGAATTTCGGTCATAGCCGCAACTCTTCGTCTATCAGCTCTAGTGAGAAGGTCCAAAGCCTTCAGCAAGCGTCATGGCAGCCTTCCCACCCAAATCGACTACCATCACCAAGCAGTGATGTCTTTTCGCGCTTGAAAAGCGAAACACGGACTAGGAATGGGTCACGCGAAAGAGGCAATAGTGATCTCCATGTGCAAGTCTTTGATACTACCTATCTGCCAACACAGCCATCTCAGGCCTCTACTGCTCTGTCCACACATTTGGATCCCTTTACAGATCCTCGTCAGAGGCAAGACGAAAACCTAGATCACAAGTCAGATCATCGCGGACGGCCAACCAAGCGATACATTGGTGCGCCANAAATTTCGCCTTCATCACCCATTCCTATGTCACCTGACGAAGTCGAGGCCAGTCGAGCAATGGCCGCAGCTACTACCGGAGACGAGTCGTACTACAGACAATCGACACCGCAGCGCAAGAACTCTAATGCGGGTCGCACCTCACGAGCAAATATCCGAGTTCCGAGCAGTCAGAAGGATGCTAGCCAGGTGGAACAGCGATTTGTAGTCGGCAATCGTGACAGAAGCGAATCTCGACCAAGACTTCAGATTAGCAGGAGCAGAGCAGCTTCTGTTAAAGGTGATATCGAATCTCGAACCCAGACCGACCCCGTCTCTGAACACGATCGAAAGAGCCTCGATGAAGACAGCTCTGCTTCCGAAAATCCGAACGAAGGCTCTGTGCGCCGCAGGGACATCCAAACTCTAACGAAGAAGCAACTCGCCGCTCGAGAGCTCGAAGAGAGGCGCGCTTCTTTGGCCAGACGACCGTCTGCTCCGGCAATACCCTTACCCAGTGACGTTAAGACACCGCCGAAAAGACCCTTAATGGCTCCTAGACATCATACTGAACTCGGAAATACTCCTAGCTCGTTCATGCCGCCATATTCTGGCGGCCAGATCACCCGTAGTCATACGGCTGACCCAGAATCCAAAGGTCGCTTCCCAAGTACTAAGAATACGGGAGCATCAACCCCGACAGTGCCAATTGGACTACCAGCTACACCAAGAGCCATGAGACATCCACGCTATATGTCCGCTGATCCCAATGAACCTGAAGGAGTGCCTACTGTGCCTCAGATTCCTGAGACCCCTCCTCAACTTACATCTGCAACGTTTCAGCAAGATTCGCCTTCACCAAAGGCCGCCGAAGATGACCAGATCGCTCCTCTTCTACCTTCTACTGTGTTCGGACAGCCAGCAGCTCTGTCTCCGCCACGTTCTCCCTCGGCGCCACCTGAAATGAATATGGACGGCACTCCATGGCATTACAAGACGGTGCTGCCACATTCTTCTAGGCGAGGATCTGTCACAAAAGGAGGTCACAACCGCAAAGTTACACCTACAGAGAACAGTTTTCAGCCTCAGCAAAGCCCTTTGTCGAGCAGGCCTAGCATTGACCAAACCTTGCATGACGCTCAAATTGTAATTGTGGAAGACTCTGAAATGATGCTGCCGGAGCTTCAACATCTAGCAGGCCCTCCACCTCCACCTCCTCCGCCATTGATGACGAACAACCGTGGTAGTGGCCTTGGTGTCATCGATATTGCCATTGGAGAAGAAGAACCTATGATCATTGACGTCTTGCCAACCATCGATCGAGCCGGCGCATTGACAGCTCCTCCACTGAACAATTTTGCGCAAGCACAAGCACAAGCCCAAGCTCATATGCAATCACAAGCTCAGAGGCGTGGTCGTGGTAGCATCAGCGAAGGCATCAACTCACGCTTGCGGAGTGTGACAGAACGTATCCGCAACAACAGCAAGTCCCGTACTAAATCACCGCCGATCGAAGCATACGCCCCTTCGCCTTACGAGACAGTACTTCCTAGCATGTTTACTAGACAGCAGCCTGACAACAGTCTTGCTCGAGCAACATCACCTTACGAGGCCTCTCCAATCATAACCAGCGCTGCAGCTTCCGAAGCATCGCTCTCTTTGCAGAACGCAGTTCCACCGCCGCCGCCACCGCCACCAGCTCCATCCGCATTTGTCGAACAGTCCGAGACTTCTGCCAAACCAAGTCAAGGATATCCTCACCCTCGTGAAGTTCGAGCAAACATGCCGCCTGAGACTCTCTTGTCCTCAGGAGTGTACCAACCCGATAACATGTTCTAACTTGCATTGTATATCGCTTTCTCACCTTCTTTTGTCATCTCGGGACTAATTTTGCTTTCATTTTGTTGTTGTTCACCATATACCTCTTTGCACATTTGTTATTTCTCTGCTTGTTTTATTCCTATTGCCTGCACCTCCCTCCCCTGACTACATCTTGATGGTTGACGTCCACCGGTAGAAATCGCTTGGAGACTATGGGACAGAAGAGGAAAAGAAGGTTCAAATTGTATTCATCACTATCTAGCTTAGAATGTATATCAATCATCGTTGAGACCGAATCACCAATTTTGGAAGGTATGTGCGTTCAGACTTGCTCCTGCTTGATAAGATGGACTTCTTCTCGAACGGTCGTGCTTTCCTCTTGCTTGACAACCGACCCTTCTTCCTGTTTGACACCTCTACTCCGACTATAGTAGAGAGTTGATTACATACTATAAAAATGCACAATCTTATCAAAGAACAAAGATATGGCCAAAGAGAGCTAATAAGAGATCGCCTCTCAGTGGACACTATCCTGTTCTCTAATAGCATTGTGCATTTTTATAGCCACACGCGTTACAAGCTCCCACACACGGGAAGGAGGTTCTAGCTACTACTTCTGTTGACTTGCTTGTCCTGTAATAAACCCCCAGATCGTGCAACCGGCCTCAGGTGCCTCCTGCTGTGCTTCGGAAACAGCAGATAGAATGTCTTCTTTCATTTCGGAGATGCTTTTGAGCAATCTGGTCTCGAGCTCTTGCAGTTTTCTGTCTGTTTCGTCGCGCTGTGTGGTGATAGCTTTATGTATTACATCCTGGAAATGGTTAGTAAGGTTGGAGAACAAAAGAAGAACTTACTCGATGAGATAGGTGGGCTAGTGTGTTGGCTACAGGCTGACTTGCTATGTTAGGACGAAAATTGTAGAGGGGATCTTTGTGGCTGGCACGCTTCGAGGGACGACAGAGTAACCGCTGAAGACTGTATCTGGTTAATTGGAGCATCTCTATGGATAAACCTGAAGAATGGATGTGTGCTTTAATGTGATGTGAGAAAGAACAATTCTGCGAGTGAGTTGAGATAAATACCTTTAGTAGGCAGCAGCAGGCACTTTTGAGTCATTCGCTTGGCCTTAAAGGCTCAAATCTGCTCATATCCATTCCCCCTTGATACAAATCTTGCTTTAATCTCGCTCTTTCGTATAGTATCTGATAATCCAACAATCTGTGCCGCGATTGTGACTGCACGTACTTCTTCTGCTTCTTTTCCTCATCGGGATGCGTCTTTTTAGCCTTGTGGGGTACGCCCTTGCACCCCTACTCACCTGTGCACCCCTACTCCAGAATGACCAGGTGCGAGATATATTTATTCCTGATACGAGCATTGTATCTGTCGACAGCAACTTTAACTGAACGTCTTTTCCTGGCGAAATATCCTTCAAGGGTTGATGGGACTCTAAAGACATATCCTGGTGTCAGCTATAGGCCTCAAACTTGGCTTCTGGAGACGAATTGGCCATCAGCTTTGGTGCATACACTTCTCGGGGTGTACTTGTTGCAAACTGATCTGATGAGTAGCTATACCGGCTTTGTTAGGTCAAGTCCACCACGGGTCTCCAAGAAGGTCATACTGATCTCATTCTGGAATGGATTAGACAAAGTTGGCGAAAAATGGCAGCAGGGCGGTGCTTCCATCGATGAGATCCAGCAGGCGTATGCTCATTAAAACAAGAGTGGTCGGGCGCACTACTTCAACACCGTCGGTATCTTGCAGCACAACGATATCGTAAGTGATGTAGCAAGGCATGATTCGACTAATGATCTAGGGACCTCAATACCATCCGATTGATATTGGATAAACCCAACTTGCGAGCCATCTGATGCAGTACATCAAGTAGAAGTCCGACTGGGTATCTGGAGCCACAGGTTCAGAGGTGCAGGCAGATACGCTGTACTGGAACGACGGTACGTATAGTGTCTCTTCGGGTATTCAGTGTGAGCATTGCTAATACGAGTTCTCAGAGCCCAGCCACTAAGACCGGATAACGACAAATCCCACGAAGAGTCGGTGACAGACATTCCACTGTCCGAATCTCAAGCAGCGTTGTCAATGCATATCGCACGTAAGGACCAAGGGTTTGCAAGAACCACGTTTCATAATCTTTTAGTGATATGAAGCTTCTTCACCGTATCTCGAGGTCTACATTCAATCAGTGGATCTACTACTTCTCCTGGCTTGTTCACCATGCTAGAAGACAGGCAGTCTCACTAGCAGTCATCTCAATCCTGCGTCGTGTCAAATCTACCAGCACCTCCTCACTCAACCAACACGTCGATAACAAACGCCCAAGATCATCGGGCGTCTGGAAACCATCACAGGACCTCCTCACACTGATAACGGAAGCACCGCCTTTTGGGAACGTAATCATTTCCGAGAAAGATACCAGATAAGAGGTTGGAAGGATTGTCGAAGATGCGACGGGGTTCCCGATGGGCTTTGTGCGACTATGCTTGTTTGGGCATGTACATGCGTGCTCCGCATTTTGGCTTTGGACTCCGCTGCACACCCTGTTTGGCTCATCATCATGTGGGCAGGTGCAACCCTAAACGTTTCTTCTTCTTGCAGGAAGCGGGGGTCTTGTTTGGTATTCTTGCTATTCTTGAGAACTGTTCGTCTGTCGTTCTGGTGGCACAGGAAGGTTCTAGATCGAAGAGGAAGAAATGAGAGCAGTTCTGCATGATCGGGATTCGCTGCAGGCGTCTTACAGCATCGGCGGATAGGTGAGACGTCCGGGAAAGGCGCGATGCTGAAGCTAAAAGCTCCTCGTGATAGCGGCGGGCGAATCCGCCAAATGCGTGGCCTGGATTGAAGCAACGTGGGGGTCTAACTAACTGTGGTCGTATCTGAGTTGCTCTATCTGTGCATGGGAAGGGAAGAATGAGGCGAGGAGCAGAATGTATGTATATAACGGCACTGGACATCCGAGCCTTGACCTCCCTTTGCTTCCTCTTTACCTCGATCAAACAACAGACTCGCTTCTTTCACCACACAGACCAAAGACAACCGCCCTTTGCAATCACCATCTCCCATATCGACCACTCTCTCCAAACGTCAAAGCATCGCAGCTGTTCCATTCACGCCCATCAGGCACACCGGCCACAGCCCAGATATTGATGTCGTTTTTCGTTGCCATCAACAAGAACACCGGACGCACCTTCATCCCCCCTCAGTAATCACAGCAGCAGTACCAACCCATCCAATAATCCATCATGGAGGGTGTCAATCAACAAAAGACAATCCACACCCTCGATGGCAATCAGCCAAACATGAATGGCATCGGCCAAAAGACCAATGTCAACCAGCCTGTCACTGCTGCTGTTACTACTGAAGGGGACGAGGTTCGTCAGGTCACGCTGGCCGAGTATAAGCAAGCCGCTCAGTGCTTGGCCGAAGCCTTCGCCGAAGACGACGTAGCACGCTACTTCACTGAAGTCCCTGACCGTGCTCACTGGACCGAGAAGCAGAAATGGGATCTCCATGTGAGCATTCTGGAGTACATCACGTATGCTCACATCCTGAAGGGCTTGGTGTTGGCCGCAGGTCCTGACTACGGATGCGTTGCCCTGTGGTAGGTTTTGTTCAGATACACCGCGGTGTACTGCTGTTGTTGGTTAGGCTGATGACGAGACAGGATGCTTCCGGGCCAGAACATGGATGACTATCTGACCATCCTGCGCAGCGGTATGTGGAGATTGTGGTACAAGCTCTCGGCTGAAGGTAAGACGCGCTTCTTCGACGAGTTCTTCCCACTGCTCCATGATACCAAGCACGAAGTCATGGGTGTACGCGATGATGAGTCATACTATCTCGTGTACATCGGCACGAAGCCTGCAGCTCGCGGCAAAGGCTATGCACGCAAGTGCATCGAGTACGTGACCAGGAGCGCAGATGCCGAGGGCAGAGCCTGCTACCTTGAAAGTAGCAACGCTGCCAACCCAGCCATTTACCGCAAATATGGCTTCGAGACGGTCAGAAGCATTCATCTCAAGCGCGCCGAAAAGGTTGTGGACCTCGATATCATGGTCCGCGAGCCTCAACCTGGCATGAGACAGCCGTTGTTGAGCCTGGAGAAGGTCGACAGTATGATGACTGATGTGCCGTCCGTCACTCGTCCAGTATCTGTCTCCATGAAACTAGGAGGAGAGAAAGAGGCAGTCGCCAGTATCTCCATCGTTTGAAGGCAGCTGATGATGTGTGTTTTGTTTTGTTTTGCTGTGCTTTGCTGTGTTTCGCGTGTCACCTTCCAACTATTGTCACTCCTTCTCGTCTTGATCGCTGCGGTCCGACCAATCCTTGCTGTATCCCTTCTTCCCTGGTTGTTGTCATCTTGGCAATAACGTTTGCAATCAACAGTCTTTTCCATAGCAGGTAGCAATGCACATGGCTCATCTTCACCCATGAAACGAGAAAAGAAAAAGCTGTAATAATGGTATCGTACAGAAAAGAATCAGACATCAAATCGTGCCGCCTTGGTATCATTGTAAACTCCAGAAATGCTGCCTCTTATGCCCATGGATGAAATGCAGCCGAAAGCAAAACATGTATTCTAAAGGAAGTAGTCCCTGACTGGGTCCGAACCAGGATTGTTGTGTTGGTTTTGTTGCTCAATGCGGTGAACTTCGTTCTCGGGAGCTGCATCGAAGACGTTCCACTTTCTTTCTCCAGTGGGGCTGACCTCGAGAACACTAGCCTTGTTTCCGCATCGGTAGCAGTAGTTGGGAGCGCTCCAGACAGTGGACAGTCTGTCATCGAACATGACCATGTACCCTTCATTACAGAGTTGGTGAGCACGAAGAATGTGTGTCATCGAATTAACTTGGAGGAACTTCTTGACAACTTGAGCGCCAAAAGTGTAACCGGCTCCTCTTGGGCTTAACGAGAACTCGTCGCGGTCGGCATCGGGGTCGCTCCAGACCAAGTCGGCCATGGGGCCTTCGTGCGGGATCTCCTGAAACGGTCGATGATCTTGATCTGATCAATGCTATGGATGCTGGGCGACAGACCACCGTGGACGCAGAAGATCTTGTCGTCAATGACGCAGGAGAGGGAGAGGTAGTCGAACATGTCGGTGAAATGGTGCCAGACGGCAGCGTTGCCGTACTTGCGACTGCATTCGGTGTAGAAGCCGTAGGATTGGGTGACGCCGCGAGACTCGTGATTGCCACGGATCAGGTGGACGCGGTGAGGATAGCGCAATTTGAGACAGACCAGCAGCGAGATGGTCTCGACACTGAAGAGGCCGCGATCAACGTAGTCACCTGTGCTTGGTTAGAGATGGGCCTTGTTGGTGGTCGCGTGCCTCTGGACACGTACCGAGGAAAAGGTAGTTGGTGTCTGGGCAAGGACCGCTGATTTTGAAGATCTCGAGCAGGTCGAAGAACTGGCCGTGGATGTCACCGACGACGGTTACAGGAGCCTGGATGTGGACGACATTGCTCTCCTTCATGAGCATCTCCTTGGTCTTTGCGCATATTGCTTCAATGACCGACTCGGCGAGCAGCTCCTTCTGGTAAAGCCTCTCAATACACTCGTCGAGATCGATGCTGGCTTACAGACGTCAGCTCTTGCCACGCGGCGCATTCTTGCAACAACAGGAGCCCTACAGGGAAGTCCGGGCATGATTGCGGCGGGCGTGCTCGCGCAAGTAGGTGCGATGGGCGTCAGAGAGAAGAAGCTTAGGGCGATGGGAAAGGCGATATTAGTGCCTTGGTAGAACCAACTCTTTTACACATGGTCAAGGACAAAGACGAAGCGCGAAACGCGTCTATCAGAGCGACATGACGGGTCTCTGAATTGCTGTTCAGTCTGGCTCACTCCCGAGAACCTTGGCCACTTCCGCACCCGCCAAATCTCAATTTCCAAACTGCCTGTCGACGGCCGCTGCAGCACGTGACATGGGCGTTGATGATTGGCTCGACAGCCAATTTACCATTGTAAATAATCTTGCACCTTGCTTTGCTGCCTCTTGCTGCGACGACAATCAACTACAGCCCAGCCCAGGTAGTGGCTAAGGTGACGAGACGCTCCGTTGGCAGTGCTGTCTCATGCCATCTCCTCTAACAAACAGCCCCTTCCCAACTCCTGCCACAACCCGCACCTTGCCGTCTTTGTCTGTGCGTGCACACCCGACTTGATTCGTCTCCTTCCCTGTCAAACGACTGGCAAAGTTGATTCATATCTATCCCTTGCAACACTTCTTCCACTGTCCTTTCTGCTTGACTTCTTCTCTGACGCCTATGGCATCTCTCTGATTAATCCTGCCTGATTGCAAGGAAAATATTCTCTTCTTTCCCCACCTTATCGTCAAAACTTTTTAATCCAAGAGCAAGCAAACATTGATTCGTCATGTACACTGCCCCTACTGCTCAACCTCAACCTCCTTTCCAACAACCCTATCAGAGTGGTTATGTTCAGCCTCAATATCCTGCGGTAGCGGGATATCCTCAACCTCCGTACCAGCCCGCTCCTGCACCAGTGGCATACGGAGCTCAGCAATATCAACAACCTTATGCTGCTCCATCACAGAACGGGTAAGACTCCCTTCTGCTTCCGCTTTCTCAACTTCTCTTCCCTATTCGCAGACCTGATGTTTTCATAGACNCCCCTTTGAAGAAGCAANAGGGAAATCCTGTCATCACCCGCTATCCTCCGCNNCCCCCTGGTTACAAACAGCAACCAACATATACCGCGGCCTCGTACGCAGCACCAACTTATCCCACACATCCTCCAGCGCCTCAAACAGCTTATCCTGGGACGGCGTATCAAGGATATCAACCTCCAGTCACCACAGCGTATCCTCCAACGACAACTTATCCTACTCAGGCGGTATATGATCCAAACCAAGCTTACCAGCAGCCACCATACCAACCACCGCAAGCTGCACAGCCTTATGCTGTGGCAGCACCAGTATCGTCGTATCCCGTGCCAGCTCCTGCATATCCACCCCAGGAGCATTCGGGTTACTATGATGCAAACGGTGCATACGTAGCGGCGCCTTCTGCCCATCCAACGCCGTACATGGATACTTCTGCGTATCCCGCCCCTTTGAGTGAAGACGGATATGCTGCATCGCATACACGACAGTCTAGTCTCGACTTTGGCCTTGATTTCGATTTTGATGGCGAAGTTGGCGTACCGGCTGAGGAGGTCGTGCCAGAGCTGAGCCTTGGTCTGATCACATGGCATCCAGCCCTACCTACTAGCAAGCCCTTACCATCCATCTTCGAGGAAGTCGGACCAAAATGGACCGAATCTGTCAAGGCAGCTGAAGGATCACACATCAGTGTCACATCGGAGTTCTTCCCTGACGACATGTCTGTCGACATCAGACTCAGCGTGCGAGACACAGACGAGTGGCAGAAGGTCAAAGACGATCTCATCTTCGTTGAGTTTGACAAGACAGCTGTGACAGTGCCACTTCTTACTGTCATTGCAAACCGCGACCGTCCAGATCCTGTTACCGAGCAGCTCGAACCAGTCATCCAGCACAAGGATGGTATGCCAGAGGCTTTGCATCCATTGCAGGTGCAGCAATCTGTTGCAGGAGCAGAGGATGAGCAGTCGGATGGAGATCAGGCTATGGACATGAGCGACGATGACGACGAGCCTGTCAAGCCTGTCATTCAGCCAACAATCCAACCTCTCGCTCATCCCTTGCCCCGACCAGTAACTCAAACAGCTCCACCCGTGAAGCAGGTTATCATCCTTGACACTCTTGAGCTGGCTCTGGGCCCCAAGTCGCCTCGAANNAGAATGACAGACAACCGTCCCGAGCTTCTGCTCGTCACTCAAGATCGCGTTCGCCCGAAAAGCGTAATAGCAGACAGGGTTCGCAACAGCCCAAGGCCAAGCCTGCTCCCCTTCCCANAAGACTCCGCGCAGGAAAACATCTTGGCGGCACTCGGTGTCGAAGGTTCACCAAAGATGGTTTATCCCACCCCACCTCCTGCTCTGGGCTTGCCAGTACCTCCAGGCAATCGGTATGCACAATATGTCAAGCTTGGAAAGACAGCAGTACTGACATGTCACAGCANNAAAATTACTCCTCCCGGCGGCTTTGCACCTACAAATCAGCGTTTCGCGTATGGTCCTCAGTTCCCTCCTCCGCCACCACCTCGCGAAAGCCGTTCGCCTTCCTTCGATCCATGGCGCGCTCACGATCCCGCCAGTCCCAAGTCTACTACCTCTCAGCACACAGCAGCTGGTTCAGACTTTCACGGGGACAATGTCATGGTCGACTTGGACGCCACCCCCAAAGCCAAGGCACCAGTCACCACTGAGAAATCAGGCAGTGGCAGGAAGCGTACTTACGAAGAAGTGGCTGCTGCTGAAGGACGCCGCAGACAGGATGATGACACTCCCAGAGCACGACGCATGCGACAAAGTAGACAAGACGTCTACAGGTGTGTTGAAACCTTCTTGTTCGAATGCCCTACACAAGAACTAATGGTGTCCACAGTCGTTACCGTCGGTAAGAGCTTACCATGCTTGGGCATGTCGAGCCACCCCAGGCACACATTTCTTCCTTGTGCCTCTATTTCTTCTTTCAGTTTTCTCGATTCGCTGTATGCGAGCCTATGTCCTCGATGACGTGAGATGTCTATCTCAGGGAGTTACATGTGTTCACGGCCAAGAAGCACGGGTGCCTTTTCGAAATAGGCAAATGATCGAAAGTCAGGTGTACAAAATTCAGATTTGTCTCGACACAGGAGAAAGAGCAGATTACGGTAATGATTTTTCTTCTTCTCCATCCCTTTATTGATCCCTTTTTTCTGGACTCTTCCTTCCTCTCTTTTGCGGATATGAGACCAATTCTTTCTTGCTTCATCTTATAGTTTTTATTACCACATTCACCTGTTCTTCATACTACAAGAAACCCTTTCATTTTGGTTGTGCCAATGGCACACTGTTATGCTTCATGGCTTCTTTACCTAGACCGTATGCTAGTAACCGCAAAGCTGAAGTGACTGGATCCGCTCTTCGCATTCAACATGTGTAGCAGCGCGCAAACGTAGTACTTGTTCATGACTCAGAACCGAACCTGTTAGTGGCTCGTCGAGTATCAAAAGAATAGGCGGCTCCTTCCTGCCCAGCTGCCTCGCTACAGCTGATTCTATACCTGATTGAGACGCAGAGGAAGGATCAAGACTGGAACGAAGAGCAGAGGCAAAGTAACAAACCACGAGCATGATTGCCCCCTGAGCTAGTACAAGTTCTCGCCCTGCTAAGCCGCAATCAGTGAAACAGCAAACAAGGGGCGTTCGTCGACAAAAACAGAGCATTGTAGACAGGGATCGAACCTGCGACCTCCCAACCCTAACGAACGTATTAAGAACGAATGAATAACCAATCAAATGAATGACTAAGAATCGGGTATGCTACCGCTACACCACCACGGCTTTTTTGCTCGTTGAACAGAGACTAGAATATCTGGTATATAAAGGTTGGTGGAAAAGGGGGGTGTGGCAGTGGGAAGGGAGCTTGAATGAGGTAGTTTATGATAGGTGTACCAATAGAAGTGTTTGAAGCATTTGCAAAATCTGGGAACAGCCCACGTAGCACGGTATCATCCTTTTTCTGTTTTTGCAGCTCTAGTTCTTGGATGCCATAGAAGCCTTTAAACAGATATAGCACAAGCACGTGTATCAGTGACGTTGAGGTGTGGCCGTAGCCTGCAGTTATGCATACATGGGTATCTTCTATGTTGTACTCCTAATCAACAAGTCGCCTGTGCTCATCGCCATCATCACTTTCGCTTTCTTCCTCTGCCGAAGAGTCTTCCTCTTCATCTTCATCATCCGTCTCTTCCTCATCCTCATCAGTCTCCTCCTCTTCTTCTTCTTCATCTTCTTCAGACTCGTCGGTCTCTTCTTCGGATGATTCTTCATCCTCTTCGTCAAGCCAGTCGTCCAGAGTCTTTTCCTTAGCAGGCGCGCCAGACTTTGATTTGTAGACAACAGGAGCAGATCCCTTGAGCGCATCGTCGAGCATCCTACCTGCCGGCACTGTTGATCCACTGGGCCTGTATTCGGTCTTTGTTTCCACCTCAACGTTCCTGAGCTTTGCATCAGGTTCGTCTCCGTCCTGAACCCACTCTGGAAGAGGCGTGTAGCCACTGAGACCGCTCACGCCACTCTCCTCGCCAATGACTAGGCTTGCGCTACCGAGCACGTAGCCCTTGCGACTTTCACTGGGACTTGGTGCCTGCGGTACAGGTTTGGGCGCGAGCAGAAGGAGCGATGCAAGCTCGGTGCTCGAAGGCACTGCTAGCAACGCGCGGAACATGCGGGCCCGATCGCGAAGGTCGTATGACGGCGTATAGCGAGCCAGTAGCAGAGTGTGATTGTACAGCAATGATATCGGATGAGATTTGTCCTCCTGTGACACGAGATTCGACGATTCCTCGTCAGCGAACCCATCATCTCTAAATCCTGCACCGTCTTCTTCCTCATCAGGCGCGAGAACAGTGGAGCTGGATTGACGCTCTAAAGCAGGAGAATTGTTCTTCTTTTTNGTCGCATTCTCAGCATTCAGCCAATGCAAGTATACCTTCGCTGCCAGTAACACAATCTGTTGTCTAACGAGATCGTGTTCTTCAGGGTAACCACGAATAAGGATGCGTAGGACGTCAGGTGCGATGCTCTGATCGGGTGAATAACCAGCAAATTCGCCAACTAACCAGATAATACTGGCGCGTGCAGCAGGACTGGTCAGCGTGTCTAGGTTCTTCGCCAGACGGATAACTGTCTTGGTGTGTGCGAGCGGCTCGCGCTGGATCATGTGTCGGATAACTTCCAAAGCCTCAGCTACGAGATGCTGATCTGGACTGTGGATCTGACGAAGTAACAGACGTAAGCAGCGCGAGCTTGTAGTAGCATCCGAGTTTTGAGCACAACGACCGATCGCTCGTACCGACTCGCGAACTAGAGCAGGGTCGTGACCTTGTGAGAAATGTTCGAGTTCGGTGAGGATGAGGCCTTGTACATCAGCGGTACAATGAGGGAAGACGAGGGTCAGAATTTCGAGCTTGAGGCGCCATGTTTGCTCCCCTTCGCCAGACCTGAGCAGAAAATGGCGGAAGTGTGGAACGAAGTGCTGTGGGTAGAGAAGACAGATTTGCACAATGTTATGAAGACCGATCTGGTTGATGTCAGGAGGGCCACGAAGAAGTGCTGTAAGAGGTCCGATGGCATAATGCAGATACTGTTCAGGAGCGAGATATAGATAGGCTTTTGTGACAGCGACAACAACGGCCGAGGTGCGAGATTGCAGGAGCGGTAGTGCGGAAGTAAGAAGCAAGTCGAGATCGGGGTCCAGTGTTTGGACATCCTCGTATTCGACCTCCTGTTCTTCAGCATCGTCGTCATCGTAGAAGCCTTTTTGCCTGTCGGTCTGAGTGTTTGCTTTACGGACACGTCGAGTTCTCTTTGGAAAGCATTTTCGCGCGTAGATAGTCATCAGCTGCAGAGTCGAGACCTGTCCCCATTCATCCATGTCGACCAACTTCTTGACAAGGCTTCTGTAGTGTGGGTGGATCAGGTCCAGACGCTCCGGACAGACTTGACTGAAAGCGGCAACTGCAGCACCAGCAACAAAGTATTGTTTGTCGCCGAGCAAGGTCGAGAGGTATTCGGTGACCTGAGGAAGAGTGGCAGGATCCAGTTTGACACACTTGACGCACGCGAATGCAGCAGCCTTGCGAACTATTGGACTCATATCGGCAGTACCTTTCTTGATAGCAAGCGAGACAATTTGGCTGATGAGCGGAATACGAACACCAGCCATCGTCTTCAGTGCCATGGCACGTACTCGAGGGCTGGTATCCGACAGCGACTTTTGGATTGTGTTAATGGACAGAAGAGCGGTATCCGGGTCGGCCTCGGCATGATGTAGCAGATATGAGTAGACGAGGGGTCTTGTCGACGAAGTGGGATGCGAGAGAGTCTTGAGGACCGAAGGGAAGAAGGGTAGTGTTTGCGCAAGAGGAGCCGTGTATTGCATCNNTGCAGTTCAGAGCGTAAGTCGGTGGTTCGTGCCTTCCTTGTCTTGGGTAGCACTGACTTCGATGACACGGCGCAAGCCTTCAAGGACTTCCCGTTCGTTCCTGCTGTCCAGCAACTTCTTTATCTGCGCCGGAGGCATCTGCTTAACTGATCTCCGTCCGGCGCCTGCATCTCGAGCGGCCTCGAGTGTGAGGTCGCGTGCTGTNCGCGGGTCAGACTGGGTCCTTGATCATGATCATTTGTCTGCATCTAGTATACCTGTCTCCAGCATGCCCGAGATACGCGATATTGACTCCATCTTGGCTGCACTTTGTCAAGGCGCAAGCATGCACTTGCCATGATCAAATGGTCGAGCTCGAATGTTTGGCGGGGTCGCAACTTCCGTTCCGCGCACCGGCACGTCACTGTCCCACCTTCCTGCAGCCACTTTGAATCTCCTCCGACCCTGTCATACATTTTATCCATCTCGACTTTTGGTCCAACCTCTCTTTCAAAGTGCATTACTGCTGCGCTTGACAGAACGCATGTTCAGAAAAGAGCAAAGAAAGTCTGCATGATTGTGTTCACATGCTGTCCAATAACTCCCAGCCGTCTATACCAATTGTGCTCGAACCTTGCAAAGCCCACCATGTTCTCAATACTTGCATGCGTCACCCGTCACCCAACAAACATCTGATTATATGTTCAACTCGAGACGCATTTCTCCAATCCCTCTTGTATGAGATCACTCAGGAGAGCCAAACCGACCACAACACCGCACTGGACTTGCTTACTCCCACGTTAAGCAATTTACACAATTCACGCAACGTTCATATGACTTTTTGCTCAGATCTCACCAACCTGCGAGCCTACCTTACGACACTGAAACATCCTTCTCAATCAGCACAAGTCGAGTCAGAGACACAAGATACACTGGACAAAACTTGTCCACTCCTAATGATATTGAATCCAATTCAGATTCACGAACATACTCTATCGTATTCGGCCCAGGGTTTCAATCGGACATTTGCTGCTATTGTAGACGCTGCACATCATCTCGACCACCGGCTCGTCATGGTACAATGCACCAATCCAGAAGACGAATATGAAACTGGCGTCCAAGAAGACGAAGACATGCTCGATGGACATCGGACGCTCACAAACCCCTGGGACGCAGATGTTTCAATGCTGAACATAACCACAAAGACCTTTGGTACCGGAGAGCGAGGTTGGGTCGGCAGAACTGTGAAAATCAGGCAGGTTGCTAAGCGTTGGTGTGTGTTCCGGGAGCTGGAAGATTACACCGCAGAGTTGTTGTAAACAGTTAATGGAAAGGATCGCTTTGAGGAAGATCTAAATCGATGTCATGGTATTGGAAAGAAAGAAAATGTACAAAGGGTTCCGCCGTGTGCTCTACTTGGTACGGATGTGCTTCAGCTTCTTCGGGCTGTGCATGAAGTTGTTGGCGTAAGCCTTGGGGATAATTCTGCGCTCGTTGGGCTCCTGAACAAAGTACTCGTAACCTTGCTTGTTGGCAAAGTTGATGGCATCATCCTTGGACTTGAAGTTAAGGTGGGTGCCCTGCATGTAGTCGGCAGATGATTGCCAGCCCATCAGAGGGTTCTCCCAGCGGTGACCCTTGCTGAGAACGTCCCAGTCCATGCGCCAGTGGTGAGCGTTCCAGTCGCCAGATTGAGTCGCGGTCTTAGCGGGACGGAAAATNGCTAGAGAGGACATGTAAGTACAAACAGGTTCAAGATGCGACGGAAGTCAAGCAATGACGAACCGGACGGTACGGGCTTGGAGGTCGGAGGGGGCGCCGGAGACAACAGCAGCTGCTACGGTCTCGGTAGGCTCGCTACCATCCATGACACGCTTGGGAACGGGGGAGAAGGCTCTGTCAAATCATAATGAGCCTACAATCGCTGGTGCAAATAATGGCGTCTCGGGCGAAGCTCACGAGGTTCTGTAGTCGACGGCAGCACCGTAGTTGGGGGCATGGCTGGGAGTGTTCTGGACTGCAGATTCGCTGCCCTTGGTCTCGCCCTTGGTCAAATGGACAGGTGAAGGAGGCTCGTCGCGGGGTTGGATGTTGTCGACCTCAGCCGAAGTGGAATCAACAAAGGACTGGTTGCTGGCGAAGCGGGGAGCCTGGCGCGAGAAGGCGGGTCGAGAGGCGACGGCGAAAAGCCTCGAGGCTGCTGTCCTGTTCAATGGCGACATTGTGTGGATATGTGTGACTGGCAATAGCCTCTTGTCGCTCTACCGGTATGCGCTCACGTAGGTCAGCAACCTCGACGGGCAACCGGAGTGAAGCCGATGGCTTGGCATGGCGATTGGGGAGCCTTCGCAACGCCATGTCAAAGCACATAGCACCAGTACAGAAGAGTCACTTGTCGCAACCATGGTCTCTACGCTCATTCCTCCCAAGGTACGCCTGCTTTGAACGTTGCTGTCAAGTGCTCTCCATACTGACCACTCCCAGATTGCCTCGCCCTCGGTATGTTGAGCTCCATCCTCCGCAAAATCCACACCGCACCACACCTGCAACACGGCCTCGATCGTCCGCGCAACCCATTCTATCGCATCATGTTGGAGAAAGAGATATTTGAACTAGACTGACAGAGTCGACAATCAGGGCATTGGTGCTTCGGCCGACGCCGCCCGCATGCAGCGTGTCGTCTCGTTCTACGAGAGACTCCCTCGCGGTCCCGCTCCCGAGCACAAGCCTTCCGGCCTCCTCCAGAGATACCAGCACCGCTACTTCAACGGCAAGAACCCTTCGGCCATGCGTACGACCCCCTCTATCTGTATATCTAAGCCTTGGACTCGAGCTGATTTGGTCCGACATAGCCCTGGTTCACGCCATTGGCACCCTCATCCTCCTCGGTTACGCTCAGAACTACTACTTCCACTTGCGTACGTCTCTTCTGGGTTGGTTGCTCTCCAGACATGTAGCTAATCGCTGGCTCGACAGGTCACCACAAGAACAACGCCCACTAAATGGGGCAACGGGACGGAAAAGGGCAGTATGCAGGACGGCGAGGAAGCCAAAAGTCGACGTCCCCGTCTTTGTAATTATACAGCATAAAACCGAGAGTGAAGTAACTGGGCTCGTCTTCTGCACCTTTGATCTTGTGATGTGTATGCATTAGGCATGAAAGTGATGAACAAGTAAAGTGATGAACAAGTAAAGTGATGAACAAGTAAAGTGATGAATGAGAGCGAAGAGATTCCACTGGCTCCGTGTACGCATTTCTCATCTATTATAAGTTCCACCCCTTCTCTTCCTTCTTAAATCTTCTTAAGCGCACCAGAGGACGCAGACGGACGAGATGCAAATCGACGAGCAGATCGAGCAGCATAACGAGGAGAAGAGGAGCGAGGAACGCAAGAAGGAGTTCATTCGTATTAGGCAATATCACGGCCAGCCATCGCGAGCCAAAGGCCCCTGGCCCTGCTTCTGGAGCATCATCATTCCAAGTGGCATAGACTATGATAACGTGGCTATCGAGATACACAACAGTATTGGGAAAGATGACTTGTCGACAGAGAGGACAGCATGCTAAACTACAGCATGCTAAAACATCCCCGTAAGTACACTTCCTATAGGAAACTGTGAATTCTGATAGCTTGCAGTATCATTGTATGTCACCACAGGGACGATGAGATGTTCTTCTTGCTAAGAAGCTTGGCTATAAATTGTTCGAAGGTATTCGAGCAGAACAAAGACGGAACCGATTTCCCCAATCGGAATTAAATCAGTAGATATTCATAAAGATCGCCGAGGGTCACGATCAAAAACGTCGCCCCGCCAAGACTACTCTAGCGGCGGACGAATTTGATAGCTGCGTTCTCGACGCTCACCCTGTTCTATAAGTAATCATGTCATCCAGCGACATCGGCAAACACCTCCATCAGTAAGTCGGCAAGTAACTGCCGTTCGCTTCGCCGCATCTCTCGTCTTTCAGACGGGAGATTGATCGTTCATTCCTAACAATAACTACACACTCCAAAACTTCAATTGCCACTTCATCAGCAACAGGCGTCTCTTGCACTGTTCACCGTACCCGAATCGAAATTCTCCCAGCCTTATTCATTCAACAAGCACAGTAAGCGCTCAAGTCTCGACATCTCGATCACAGGATACTGACACCATGTCTAGGGTGGTAGGCCCTGTTCAAAAACCACGACTCTAGCATCATGTCGTCCTCTTCAACATCGGTTCCAGCCAACAAGCGCCTGGACATGGATGGTCACAACCTTCCTCCTTCGCCCACTCCCTCTAGCCCCAGCAATGGCAAGAACAAGTACTCTCTCGCAACCGAGCTGGTCTACACTGAGTCAAACGACCAGTACAATGCCAGCAGCGTTCCCATTTACCAGTCCGCAACTTTCAAGGGCGAGGGCAATGAGTACGATTACACTCGTTCCGGCAACCCCACCCGCACCCACCTCGAGCGTCACCTGGCCAAGATCATGAATGCCCACCGCGCGCTGGTCGTGTCGTCGGGCATGGCTTGCCTTGACGTTATCACTCGCTTGCTTCACCCCGGTGACGAGGTTGTCACTGGCGATGACCTTTACGGCGGCTCTAACCGTCTGCTCAAGTACCTTTCCACCCACGGTGGCATCGTCGTGCGCCACGTCGACACTACCAACCCCGACTCGGTCGCTGCCGTTCTGTCTGAAAAGACAGCCATGGTTCTTCTCGAGTCACCCACAAACCNNCCCCTCATGAAGGTCGTTGATATCCCTACCCTGTCTTCGCTCGCTCACAAGGCAAACCCCAAGTCGCTTGTCATTGTCGACAACACTATGCTTTCTCCTTACCTCCAGAACCCTCTCGACTTGGGCGCCGATATCGTGTACGAGAGTGGTACCAAATATCTGTCTGGTCACCACGATGTTATGGCTGGTGTGATGGCTACCAACAGCCCTGAACTAGGCGACAGACTCTACTTCCCCATCAACGCCTCGGGCTGCGGCCTCAGTCCTTTCGACTCATGGCTCCTTCTTCGTGGTATCAAGACGTTGGCTGTTCGCATGGAAAAGCAGCAGGCAAACGCCATGGCCATTGCCAGATACCTTGAGAGCCACGGATTCAAGGTTCGCTACCCGGGTCTCAAGTCGCACCCTCAGTACGACCTTCACTGGTCTCAGGCTCGCGGCGCAGGTGCCGTTCTTGCTTTCGAGACTGGTTCCACCACCATCTCAGAGAGAATTGTCGCAGCCGCTAAGATCTTCGCCATTTCGGTCTCTTTCGGTTGCGTCAACAGCTTGATCAGTATGCCCTGCCGCATGAGCCATGCCAGCATTGATCCCGCTACTAGAAAGGAGCGCGCTCTGCCTGAAGACATCATTCGCCTGTGCATTGGTATCGAGGATGTGGGCGATTTGCTTGACGACCTACAGCAAGCTCTGGTCAGAGCTGGTGCTGTGAAGATTACTCCGGATGGTATTGAGGCTCTCGACGCACCCGAGGGTGAGACCAAGGCGACCAGAGACTTGACTGATGAGCCATGATGATCATGACATTTTTGCAATAGTTTTCCCGTTACCTGTACATACCCAACTGAAGGGAATTAGATCAGGCGTTTTATACAACCAAAATGATTTATTGAGTTAACTTCGAGGCTAGCCTGAAACATGGACAGATTAGGCGGTGACAGGTGCGGAGCTTCGGCGGGGTAAGTGCCCTCGTGCTCATCGGAGGTAACAACCACCAGAGCTCTTTCCCATCCATCCTCTTGCTCTTCTTCAGGGTCTCATTCTATGACAGCTTGTGTACCGTGGACATTCAACTGACGAAACTCGTTCATCGACTCCTCCATCTGCTGCATCAAGCAACACATCAGAGATAGTTCGAGTACATCGGAGATAAGATCAGCCACATTCCACCATTGTACAGGCACTCGGTCATCATCCATCACGCCGTCGCAGAGCTGAGAGAAGTTCCCTGTGAGTCTTTGTTCTTCCCTGGCCTATAGTGGCTTTCAAGAACGTCCTCATCGAACTGACCAACCTCTCAGACAACCATGCCCTTCCTCCGGCAGGCCTACAGCCTCGGGCTTAGACCCAAGCCTAGGCCTCTTCCGAACTATGCAGCACTTTACTCCTCCACTATTCGCTGTGCAAGTCACTCGAACAAACATAAGAAGAATCGTGTCGCCCGAGACTCCCAACCAAAAGCCCGTTCAGAACATAATGACACGACATCTAGCAGACGTCAGAAGCCATTCTGGGAATCCATTGCTCCCGACTTCTTGACAAAAGAGATGGAGTCCTCGTCGGGAAAAGGTGGACGTTTTGCACAAGTCTCTGCATTCAAACTTCACGCATCTCACAAGTCAGGATCCAAACCTCATATTGAGGCTTCATCCACATCGTGGAACTCAAACACCAACGAAGTCAGCCGTACAGTTTACGATCCCATCTCTGGAAGAATGGTTCCTGCAAACAGTGGACAGACCAGACCATCCTCTACCTCAAATGATGGCGAGAAGAGCAATCAGAGCTTCGGAAAGCCTTGCCATAAGCCCACCGTCGGCTCACAGCTGCCAGACGATGTCGCAACCCTCACGAACCCTCCTACTACACATAGTTCTCTCACCGAAGACTTCGACAAGATCTACCAGTCTGAACACGACGAGCTACTCGCAGCCCGTAGACACCTAGAAACGCTGCGTGAACAAATCCAGATCCTGGAACGTCAAGCTCATCCTGAGATGACCAAACCCGGTTACGCGGTCGATGCAGAAAGACCTGCAGTCTTCGAAGATGGTTGGGACACTAACCCAAAAGGACTACAGACAGCTTTCAAGCTTGAAAAGCAAGCCTGTGAGCATGGCGAGATGAAGCCTCTCGAACAAGAGATGGACGCTCTTAACAAGACACCCACTCAGGCGACCAACGATGGCTATAGTGTAGCTCCGAGTGGCATGCAAACCCTCTTCGCAGATGAACAAAGGGACAACGAGATCAACCACCAATCTTCGTTGGAGCAGGAATTGGTTGCTATGAACACCAGTGCTCCTCCACNNTCGAAGACGGTTACTCGGCTTCACCTCAAGGCCTTGAGACACTCTTCGAACAGGAGAAACGAGACGCTGACAAGGGGTGAGCGTGAGTCTCTCGAAGATGAAGTTCGCATGACCGGCACTGCAGAAAATCTTCCGCAGTACTCTGACACGTTTGCCGAAGAGTCTGCCGGTCTTGAGACGATGTATCACCGGGAGCAAATGGACACACCCCAGAGACTAGAGCATGAACTCGAGGATATGCCCTCCTGTGCGGCTACAAAAGACCCTAATGACGCTTATTCGGTTGAGCCTATCGGCATGCAAACCCTTTATGAAAGGGAAGCAGGAACGAAACAGAAGGGATCGTACAAAACTCTGGAAGATGAACTCCACGATCATATCCAGGCCCGCAATTCTAACAACGACTTCTTGCCGGACCTGGAAGGAATGCAGACACTCTACAAAAGAGAGCTGGAAGAAGTAGAAAGAGGCAGGGCTGAATCGCTTGAAGAGGAGATCAAAGCTCAAGAGCAACAGTCAGTTGTTGCTGATGAGAGTGATACCCTACCATCGGGCATGGAATCTCACTTCAGTAACGAACTCCGGAGCGGTCAAGATGGCAAGTCCAAAACTCTCGAAGAGGAGGTGAGCCGTAGAGTGCAAGCACAGATCCACTCTGACGATCACTCCCGTTCTTCAAGCGGCTTAGAGACTGCCTTTGAAAATGAGGAAAGAGATACAATCCTCGGAAAGCGTCAAAGTCTTGAGGACGAGATCAACACTCACGAATCTGCTTTCGAGGATGGTTACTCCACAATGCCAATGGGCCATCAGATGATGTTCCATCTAGAGAAACAAAAGGGTGAACGTTCGCTCGAGGATGACATCAAACGGGTGAGTTGTTTCTCATCATCCTTGTAATCAGTGCTGACTGCGATTCNNGAGATGGAGGAAGCATCGTATCATGAAGATGGCTATTCACGCGCACCATTTGGCATGGAAAACTCGTTCGAGAGAGAGGTTAACGATAAGTCGTCTTCTCTGGAAGCAGACTTGGAGAACATGCCAGGTGAGGGTGATCTTTCTCCAACTGTGGGTAAGTTCAACAATAGCAACATGTGGTACAAGCAGCCTGCCAGGAGCACGTTTTCTGAAGATTCCCAAAAGGCAGACGTGAAAGAGCTTGATCAACACACCGCTGTCTTTGGACATTCTCTCGATGAAGGACCATCCAATTCTGTCAATCCGAGCGAGACATTGTCCAAGATCACGACTGCAGCAGAAAGCAATACAACGACTGAATCAGGAAGTGATTCGGCAAATGCATCTCTAACACCAAATTCGAGCGCGAACATCACTTGGGCTACCCCTGCTCTTTACAAAATCATCGCCTACGACTCCAGCAAGGACATCATCACTACTAATACCACACCCTCCAACTTCTCAGACAGCGAGAATCCTATTTCAATACCTCGAGCCATCTCCCAACTCACTCAGACAGCACGTTTCTTACCACATCTTGCATCCTCTCAAAACGAAGGCTTCCAGGTGATTCATGCAGACAAAGACTTTTTGATATTGCGGAAAGTCCACACAGAATCCATTTCTACCCCTCCACGATATGATGGTGACATCAATCCTGTGGATGGCACCACCAAGCATATTCCGATGGAGCCAGCTACTGCACGTTTTGCATCTCCTACGGGCTTTGTCAACTACGAGCCTATTTTCCCGACGGAACCTGTTCGCAAGCACGCAGACGCATCCAACTCATCTCCTGGTATTCCTCCTAACGACTATCCAGATTCTCAGCAGCAGGCCTACCATCCAAGTTCGCATAAGTTTGCATATTCTCATGGAAAGTGGCGGTACACGCTCCCTTACGAGAGACACCGCAAGGAGAGGCGCCGTCGATGGCGTCGTCGCGTCGCTTGGGTTCTGAGTGTTGCCGCAGGTACAGCAGTGTCTACAGCATACGTTGGACTCGCTCGATCCGACAAGCATGCTGTGCAATCCTCAAAGTGATCCAAGGCTATTTTGCCTGGCTTCTAGCTGTTGATGCATCAGTACTCGAGTTGTGGGTAGTCTCTAGTCTCTGTTCTTATTGTTCTTGTCTATGCAGCTAGCAGATAATATACATAATCGACGAAACACAGTTCGCTCAAGCAATTCAAGAAGAAAAATATGTAGACAAATGGTGCCGCCTTAAACTATGCCACCTTTTTCTGAATTGGAATATCACCAAGCATAGAAAACTAGAGACTGGTCTTGCGAGATTTCTCATATACACGTCGATAAGGCTTGATATCTATATCTCTATAACAGACCGCTTTCTTTCAACCTCCTCTCTATCTCCAACTGCTCCAATTGCGCTGCCGTCTTTGCCTTTGGCAGCTTTACAGGTATGTCTGCAAANAAGTTCTCCCAGAACCTGACACCGTCGAGACCTTGTTCGCGACAGAGAGCGCCNCTTTCTTCGGCCATTTCGAGCTCTTCTGTTGCAACACCGACGCTCCAACCAAATCTCTCTGCGGTTTCTTGAGCTGTTACTCCACGGCCGAAGGCTTGCCAGTCCCAGGTTACTGATGGCCCTGTTACAGCGCCGAACTCGGAGGTGTTTGACATGGAAGGTGGGATGGAGTGCAGGTCTTTGAGCCAGGATAAGATGCTTGCGACGGTCTTGTCGTCTGTGCGGTCGCGCCCTTGGACGACTAGGAGACCGCTTCTGAAGCGGCGGAGGCGGATGGGCAGGCGTAGTGTATCCCACATGGTAGCTGCTCTTTCGAAGTCACGAGGTGAGACTAGTTCGATGCCGTTGCGTGTGCGGTTGAAGACGGCCCAGAGGTCGACGAGGGACATGATACCGCCTTCTCTGCGTAACACGCCTCTCTTATCATCAGTCAGAAACTCAGCTAAATTGCGGGATAGTTCTGCAATGTAGGTGCGGTCGGCGCCGCTGCCTGAGAGCATGTCTTTTGTGGTTACAAGACCCATGTCTGAGAGCAGAGAGGCTGCTTCTGCGTTTGCGTCGTTTTCAGTGTCGCCGCCATTGCTGTTTTGAGATCTGAAGCGTTCGGCCATGGCGATGACTTCTTTNGCTGATGTCATGAGAGCCTCCAAGTCTTCGAACGCGCTACCAATGACGAATTCGTTGTTTTTGCGTAACTCTGCTCCTCGCCGCTCTAAGCCTGCTATACCGACGACTTTTGGAGGTGGAGGCGTTGGTGTGTAACCATCGGTTGCTGAATACGTTGAAGTCTGACTGGGTTCTCCGGTGTGGGATCTAGGTATTGGAGGCGCGTTCTGGAGAAGCCATTTCCGTTGAACCAAGGCGCCCTTGAGACGTTCGTAGAAGATCTTGTCGCCGCCAGCGCGGAACGAAAACTTGACACTCTCTGGCGTAGTTTCGCCTAGAGCTGAGGTCGGAAGGGATGGACCTGGTGATTCTGGGCGCGTAATCGCGCTTTCGATTAGTTGTGAGCGTCTATCTGCTGAGCTTGAGAGCTTCGCTCCACAGATCTCACAGCTACTCAGAGAGGGGTGGTTTGAGAAGGTACATCTTGGACATTGATTCAAGGACACGTCCGTAGGAGTCTGCGTTGTTTGTGGTGAAGACGACAGTGGGCTACTTATTGCAGGTGCAGGTGTAGGTGCGAAGGATGAACCGCTGGGCCGATTTGAAAGAGCAGCGATGGCTGCTTTGACGACATGGACTAGGGGAGGCTTGATTCCACAAGCCAGACACGGTGGTAGAGGTGTTCTGTCATTTGCAGTGCTTGGGTCAAAGTTGGATGGGACGGGATTTGCAAATGAACAGATAGGACATATCCAAGTAGCGTTTGGATCCCTTACTGGCGCCGGTGAAGGCGCAGTAGCCCGTCCAGGAGTTGAGTACCGACTCGGTGGCGTGGATCCTAGCGAACTGCCTGGAGTTGGATAACCTGGTTTCGGACTTCTGATAGCCAAAGCATTATGTTTTGGAGCTTTCGGATATAAAGTGACTTTTGCTGATGATTTCAAAAACCCAGCATAGAACTCTGGTCTATCGACGTCTTTGAGATCAATGGCGATGGAATACTTCCGCGGCTCCTGATTATCGACGTAGCACACGCGGTGTGAGGTCAAGTATGCGTGGCCATTTTGATAGTTGGGTATTTTGTATTTGCCTTCATAGAGACCGACCGAGTCTTGGACAAACAACAAAGTTTCGTCTGGTAGTAAAGATGGACGAAGAGCAGTCGTCAGGTCGAGTTGACGAAGAAACATCCAGCAATGCAGTTATCCGTGACCTATCCAAGGCGGGGCTATCGTGAACGAATGGGAAGGCAATAAAGATGAGTATCGAGGCCGATGTCTTAAAGGAAGCCTATGGAGAATATCTTGTCTTGATGCACGTTTTGCGAAAATTGAATATCGATATAACACAACAAAGGCACGTGGACAGAACTGGGAGTAAGTGGTTATCGGTGACCGCATAGTTGGAGGTCTTGGCAAAGGGTTGGTCGCGCCTGCCATCTTGGTGCGCCGAACAAGCGCTTTCTGCTTACGCACAAAGACAAGACAACCCTCTCATTCACTCTTGCCCCGTCTCGTTGTGTTTCTTTGTTGCCTCCGTGTGATCATCCAACATGACTACAGCACCGTGGCATTCCGGTAAGAACGACACGACCGTCACTCGCCTCGCCCTCACTAACAAATTCTCTCTAGGCTCGCCGGCATTCACAGCAGTTACTGCTCGACGAACACTAACCCGTCCCACTCCAGCGGTCGACCCTCCAGCCCAGCCGCAAGCTGCCACTGTTAAGATCGAGTGGCCTCAGCCTGTGCGCGACTACGTCCAACGCGCCTTTGCCGACAAAGCAAACGACAACCACCCAGACGACATCGAAGACAGTGCCGTCGCTGCAAAGCTGAAAGCCGTCATCACTCAAGCAGCCGAAGCGAACCAACTTAACATTATCGACTGGCCTAGCCATCCTCTCCCCAGAGAACTCCTTCGTATCGAAAGAGCCGCCCTCATGAGCGCCTCCAAAAAACGCAAGTCTATGGATGTGGATTCGACCCCGGACGCTTCGTCGCCCATCCCTCCTTGGAGAGTGAAGAATCTCACCCTTGCCGATCGCATCACAAATCCTAGTCCCGACAAGCGTCAGAAANAAGCCGACCAATTCCGTGCCACTGCCCCTCCAAGTAAGTTGAGCGACCTCGAGAAACGAAGGCAGCGTTTCGCGCTCGGCAACCAAGGTCCCAATTCTCCTTATATTTCTTCTCCTCGTGACGACTCTCCCATGCCCGACGCCAATGACGGTCCTTGTGTCGGCACTTCTCAACAGCTCGAGAAGAACTATTTCCGTCTCACCGCCCCTCCTAAACCCGAAACTGTTCGTCCCCTTCACATCCTCAAACAAACTCTTGATCTTCTCATCAGGAAGTGGAAAGATGAGCACAATTATGGATACATTTGCGATCAGTTCAAGTCTTTGAGACAGGATCTTACTGTCCAACACATCAAGAATGATTTCACCGTTCGCGTATACGAGGCTCATGCGCGCATAGCTCTGGAAAAGGGGGACCTGGGTGAGTATAATCAGTGTCAAACTCAACTTCGTACTTTGTACAAGATGAAGTTGCGCGGTTCCCNNCCTGGTGAATTTTTGGCTTATCGCATTCTTTACACTATCTATACTTGTAACCGCCAGACCATGAACGATGTTCTGGCAGATTTAACTTCAGCAGACAAGCAGTATCCAGCCGTCAAGCACGCACTAGCAGTGCGTGCCTCTTTGGCTACTGGCAATTATCACAGATTCTTTAGGTTGTTCAACGAGTCGCCAAACATGGGTGCCTACCTGATGGACATGTTCGTCAACAGAGAAAGAGTTGCTGCCTTGGCCGCCATCTGCAGAGCGTGAGTCTTTCACTACAGTCATCCTGTTCTTATTTGATAACACTCATACTGACTTGGTGGTAGATATCGTCCTGCTGTCAAGATTTCTTTCTTGACGGAAGAGTTGGCGTTCGTGACCGATGAGCAATGCGCGCAATTCCTATGTGAACATGGTGCACAACACTGCTTTGAAGAAAAGCCAGACGGCCACCTCCTCTCTTGCCAGAAAGCAAGTCCAATCTTCGAGACAGCCAAGAATGGTGCATACCGTGTCGACATCAAAGGCCAGATCTGAGGAGCTTCCAGCTGTACAAGTGGGTGGAATAACAGCCAGCAACGGAGTTCGTAGCTTCCTGCTGTGCTAACCAACTCTTGCTTGACCCGTTGTGTTCTCGATCTATCTACGTCCTTTGCTATAAAGTCATGTCTTGCGGCTTTCTGGTCTAGTCGAAATTTTCGTTCAGAGAATGCCTTCCTGGCGCTGGCGTAAAGTTCAACCAGGTGCAATATCTGCTGTAGACCCTTTCCATCACACCACCAACCTGTGTTCAAGGTCCCAGATCAGTGGATCTGGCGGGCCCGGCACTTTTGGCAGTTTCAGACCTTATGCAGATCTGTTCCTTCCAACTTGAAAGATTAAGCATTTTGGCCTTGCGACCCGAAGGAAGCGGATCCTGGAAAACTCTCACAGCTTTCGTTCATGTCTCGTGTTTAGCAAAATGCATGCACGTTGAAGTGCAGCCTCAAGTGTCGCACCAGTTTCATTCTGACACACGATCACTTTCTCTTCGCTTTAGTACCATCAAGTTGATAATGCAATACTTCTCTTTTCACGTGCTGGCACAAGCAATCACACGTTCATACTAACTGTCGGGCATGAATCGGTGTTGAATCCTGTCTACCACGTACATGATCGGCAGGTCAGTCGGGCTCCGCCTAATCATTCGTATGCGCTTGAACAATGTCTCGCTGTATATATCAATCCAAGACAAGGAGCCGCCGCTCTCGGGGCGCTTCACCTCTTTGAACACTCGACGTCAGCCAGCCACTTGTTTCATGTGGCACTACGAGCGAGCGAGGAAGGAACAAAGAACTCGCCGGATGCAGTTTCCGTATTTCGCTGCTGACTACAAGTTCCATCCATCACAATATCGAAGCTGTTCAAAGAGGCACGAGTCTTTCCACACCAAATACTACGAATTGCCGGGCTAATCGCAAGCGCGTCAAGATAGACTGGTAACCCCACTTTACGAACCATCACCCTGCAGCAAAGCACCCTCTACAGCACGCGTGCGTCGTCTGCGTCGTCTCCACCGAGGGCCGGGCCTGTAGTCAAGGAACTCCCTAATATCTGTCTTATTCAGTTCGCGATCGAGAAAATCAGGAGTTAGAACGCGTCGAAACAGGGCTAAACCGTCGACAGTTGACTTAGCTTAAAGTTAACATCGCCCCTCCTACAGCCATCGACTGAGGACAAAATCGTTCCCTGGTTGAACGTTTGGCCTTCTTAAGAGCGGGAGGCTCTCTCTGATTTACCGGTTTGCTATTCCTGGATCTCCTCTTTCTCTCACATTCGCGACGCTTGCCTGGTCGTGTCACTGACTCACTTCCCTGTTCGCCATTGACGGGCCAAGAAGCGAAACAAGCTAGCAATCTAATTTCGAAATCATGGTCAAGTTCAGACGCTCGTCGCATACACATACACACAGTTCCTCAATACAAACCAAGGACCCCACTGCCATCATACCTCCTAAGAAGGTCATAAAGGCCTTGTACGACTGGGACGCTCCGACAGACAACCCTTCCGTTCGCTTCTTGTCCTTTGCCTCGGGCGATTTCCTCCACGTTACAGGACGCGAAGACGACACGGAGTGGTACGAAGCCTGCAACCCGCTTCATAACTCGCGCGGCTTAGTTCCTGTGAGCTACTTCGAACAGGTCGGCAAAACAGTGCGCGACAGCGCTTCGACCACCTCGTCACCCGGCACTCAACACGACAGTGGCTATGCCGACAAGTCATCGCACAACTCCGCGAGAATGAGCAAGTCCTCGATGGGCAGGTCCGGTGGTGCCCCTGTCTATGGCATTGTCGCATACGATTTCAAAGCCGAGCGTCCCGATGAACTCGAGGCTCACGAAGGAGAAGCCATCATCGTCATTGCGCAATCGAATCCAGAATGGTTTGTCGCAAAGCCCATCACGCGACTGGGTGGCCCAGGTCTCATACCAGTATCCTTTGTTGAGATCAAGGATCTCACGACCGGTCAGACTATTGATTCGGCCGAGGCGATCGCAAGAGCTGGTATACCACGGGTGGAAGAGTGGAAGAAGATGGCAGCAGACTACAAGAACACCAGCATTCCGTTAGGGCAGATTGGCAACATGCAGGCCGCTCAGTCAATGACAGGCCTGCAGTCAGGCATGGATCGCATGAGTCTCAACAACGGCGGGCACTCTCGCAACATGTCGACAGTGTCGCAGCGTACAACCTCGCAGGCGCATTCGCAGTACCCGCTTGCGCCTTTGCGCGCATCGGTGCCGCGTTACATGTACCTTGACGAGAAGTTCCATTTTATTGTCGAGGCGACACTGGCCGATGGCTCGCATTGGGATTTGACTCGCATTTATGAAGACTTCTACGAACTACAGATCAACCTCATCAAGGCTTTCCCTGATGAAGCCGGCAACACAGGGCACCCTCGCACTCTCCCACTGATGCCTGGCCCTGTGCAATTCGTGACGGATCGTATCACTGAAGGTCGCCGCGAGAACCTCGACGAATACCTATATAAGCTGTTGCGTCTTGGCTCACACGTCGTCAACAGCACACTAGTTCGCGGCTTCTTCAGCCCTCATGCTGGTGACTACGAGGTCGATCCGAATGTCGTCGATCTTAACGAGCATAGTCGTGCTGCTGCTGAGACAAAAGCAAACCGCTACTCGACCGCTTCTCATGCTTCTGGCCAGTATGCCACTTCGACTCATTCCGCTCGACAGTCAACCAGCGCACAGTCTTTCGCTGCACACCAACGTCAGCAATCATCTGTTGGTGGTGGTTCTCTACGCGCTGCTCCTGGCCACTACCGAACACCTTCTCAATATACTGATTCCACTGTGCATACCACTCATGCTGCAGCTCCTCCTCTCGCACGTCAAACCACCGCTATGTCTACCGCAACAACATCTTCGACCACGACTAGTGGTGGCGCTCTGAAAGTCAAGGTCTGGTTCGATCGCGAAACCTGTGTTGTCTTGCGATTGCCGGCACGAGGTGCTTTCACCTTCGATGATCTGTACCGAAAGATTCTGGAAAGACGCAGATTGGAGTACGGTGAGGCAGATCCACGTTCTGAAGAGACCGAGTTGGATATCGAGGTTCGCAACGAGCGAACCGGTGACTACACACCGCTTATAAACGACGAAACTCTGGAGGATGCCATTCAACAGAACGAAAAGATGATGCTTGTTGTGCAAAGTGCTCACGGAAGATGAGGTGCTGCTTGTTGGCATGCATATACGAGCACATGATATTTTGAGCATCATCTGTTTCTGTTCATAGAGCATCTGCGACTGCTTCCTTCCTAGCTGTCTTGCATTACATCACGGCCCTCAGAGCGTACAGTGACATGAGGTCACGAACATGATTCCCCCCTATTTCCTTATATGTCACAACCACGACCGACGACCAGTTACTTGACGACCGATTGACGAGAAGTGCCGACATGAAAAAGGACCAATCCTGCAACCCTTTCTTTCTGGACGTGGAAATGACGAAAGTGATCTTTTCTTGCTCTGCATCTGTTTCATTTTGTTATGTTCTCACGTGGGCAAAAGAAAAGGCGAATTGGCGACAGACCTTGCCGGGTTTTGGTTTTCTTGCTTCTTTTGACTCCTGCCTTTTTCTGATCATACCTACCCTGTTCTTTACCTGTTCAGAGTGTATTTCCTTAATTCCGCTTCTATGGATTCCCCCCGTCTTCTTTGATAGTTTGTTGCTTCGCGTTTGATAGTCTTTGTTCTGAGTATTCATTACTTTCGATCACATTCCCATTTCTTCACTCGAAGCATCTTTTGTGCTGTATTTGTTATCTTGGGAACATGTGTGCATTGTAGGTGTCTCCTGGTTAGTCTTGTTCTAGTTGTGCTGTCTGTCTAGGCGCAAGGCCAGTATCCTCCAAGGTTTCAAGTCAACATTGCACTGCCAAAGTAGTTTATGGAATAATGCACTGTCTCCAAGTCTACCTGAGAGTTGCTGTCCTTGTGAAGTCGCTTCATGCATCGTATGTTGTGGTTGAGCACTTGACTACGTCTCTCAAGGGTTTGGATTGAACACTTCAACAGAGACAAGTCTTTTGTTGTTTAGAGCTCCGAACATCACTTTTACGCATAACCATATGAGGCATAGAAGACCAAATAAAGCAAGTCATGTTCCTGACCATCAATTACGCAAAGAACAGGCAAACTCGTATAACTTGGTGTTAATCTGAGTTGTGACCAGGGTGGTGGGAGCAACATGCGACTTGGTCACTGGCGCATGCTGGTAAGGAGTATAGACAGCACCAACACAACTAGAACGGTCACTTTTGTTCAACGACATATGGTACATTGCAAATAAGTGTTTGTGAGCCATCAATGAAGTTTCCTGAACAACCACATTTTTCCAACGTGTGCGCCTGCTCCTAAACACCTCGACCAACTCCCCTTCCCTAGTTTCCTGACGCCTTTCAAGCAGTAAGCGTATACGCCGGCGAATTATGCATCGCCCCAGCCCACAACACACCATCTTCATCTTCATACTCCGGCGGCGCCACCACCTCATGAAAGCCCGGCGGAGCATCTGGATCCTCATCACTTCTATCCTCCTCCAACCCACCTGGCAAAATCTTAAGTGGCAGTTCTGCTCTTCTCTCAATCATATTTCCAGTTTTGAGGTTTTGGAGCTGGACGGTTATGTCCAGCAGATATTCGAGTTTGAAAGCACCGATGGAAAAGTTTGGCACCAAGAGGGAGGCATCACCTCTAGTCATGTCTAGTAGCATCATATCCCTTTTGACTGTGACTGGTATTGCTGAAGTAGGGATCTGCAAGCCTTTTCCCAGTAACTTAAACTTTGCAATTGGCAGACTTGGGGGTTTGGGGTCGTCATTGTTGACAAGCGAAGGTCTTGAAGTTGTAAACGAGACTTGAGCTTTCAAAGCCAATTCACAGGTTTGAAGATTTAGAGTTGGAGAGGTTTCGGGTGTTGTGATGGCATTGTTGTGACACACGAGTTTGATGTCGAATTTNTGCCATGCGCCGAGGGAGGAAGGGATGCAGATTGCAAGATTCAGAGGGTCGGGTAGACTGATTGTGGAAGAGCGTCTACGAGACAGTTGTTGTGTTAAACTCAGTGTAGAGGAACGTCGTCGTGTCATCTGGTTTATCCTTTGCGACTCTGCATCCATGAGAAGTTGTGTTTCTGGTGTTGGGACGGGTAGTGAGGTGTGTTCGAATGGCCAGACGTTGATGTCGCGTTCAATCTGCATGGAATTGGTGTTGCGATGTGGATTCACGCACAACTTCAACGAGTACAGGACTTTGGCTGCACTAATGACATTCCAAGTGGGAGGCACGGGTTGCAAGTCTGTCACAAAAGGCACCTTGATTCTTTCCGGCAACTCGAATTCAAAAGGCCATTCGTGAGGTTTTGGCGATACCTTGTGCGGACCTTGGAGGATGATCTTTTCGTAACGAAAGAGGCTTTGGTGCCCTGTGCGGACGGAACCGTAGGAGGCTTGACCGCTCTCTACGATTTCGTTGTAGAGAGTTGCTTTGAAGATGATGGTCATTGTATGGACTTTTACTTCTGTAGATGGCGAGTAGCTGGCGACGCCTTTGATCTTNTGGCCAGGTCTGTAGTGGCGCAGNGAGTAACCGCCTTCATGGTTTAGCTCGCCATCCATGAAGATCCGGAGGTGGTCCTGCACAAGAGTCTTCTTGCTCATGTTTGTGTTGTTTCGTGGTGATATCAGATAAGTCCGAAGTGTTAGAGATGGAGTCCAATCGCAAGTGATCAGCCGAGTTCGCGATGTGTTGTCAGTGTGGCCAGAGAACAATTCCCTAAACCAAGATCATCCAAACCAGCATGTGCCGCAAACGAAGGCAAGAAATCGAATTGTGAGCACACGAGTGGGTATATACATTACGTGCATGGCGCCTAGAACTACTGAGAGTCTGAGACGCTTGGCCGCGCAGTCAACTGTCCACATGATCGCAACGTCGGTCTTTGCCTAAATGGGATAGCCGGAGAAACGCGGATTCAGGGAAAAGGCTCAAAGGCTGAATAGCATTGTGACTACAGAGCCTCGGAGCAAAGATGCTCAGCATTTTGAGTTGTCAACAGAAGATTGGACCGCATAAGCAGAGGTAAGTTTGACAGCAAAATCCACTTACAAAACTGCTGGAAACGCAGGAATTTAGATTAGATGAAAGGGAGAGAGAAGAAAGAATTGGCCGTAGTCAGAAAGTGGGTGTGATAGCTCTCGCCAGACACATGCAAGATGGAATCAAGGTAGACGCATGAGAGATTTTGAATCGGGTTTCATCAATTCAAACGACATCCCCAGCGCGGGCTTGTGGCTCTTGTGGAGAGGGACATCGGTGCAGAGTATATATACACACGAGATGGCTTTGACTCGTAATTCCCATAGCTTTTCTGTCTGACTTTCGAATAAATGAATCTCCTGGCGTCCAGAATCTAGTGCTTGGCTTCCTTCTTCTCGCTCTCCTTGAGGAATTGCCTGTTTGAGAGAACGACTCGTCAGCATGTGCTCTGGAGGCTGAATTGATTGCAATGTATCTGGCCAGTGATGGTGTGTGTGATTGATCTTCCATGCTCTTTCTGACCCAGATAACAAAACAGAAGAGGCGACGTACTGGATGAAGTCGGCCTCATCCTTGGATGAAGCGTTGATGGGAGGAGTAGAGCCGGTGACCTTCTTGGCACCACCGCTTGAGGCGTAACCAATACCGGTGAAGAGGGAGGTGAGGATACCGAGGGCGAGNCTGTTGGTGTTCTTTGTCAATCATCTGTAGTCGCGGGAGTTGGGGGTCATGTCGGGTGGCGCGCGTACATAGTGGGATCCGACCTGGCGGCCCATGATGTTGTACATAACAACCATTTTGACGGAGAGAAGAGATTGACGGGGTTGAACGGGAAGAAAGGCGATGCGGTATGGGCTCTCTTCAATCGCTATGAGGACGAGTTGAACAAGGGAAGCTGCGACGGAACTCAGTCTTGGCACCCCGGCCGGTCGCACCTTCCGCAAAGTTGTGCTTTGCATAAATCGGAACGGATGATTGACAAGTGAGGTCATTTGAGCTCACTCGCGACCAAGGCAGATAGATACCAATACATGTCTCCTAGGAGCATTTGCGCAAATCCTTTCTCCCTTGCCGTCAACTCCAAACCTCAAGACAACTCCGCCGCCGACTCCAACGACAAGAATAGCACCACCGCTACCAACTCCATCAAAGACACCACTGCTACCATGGCCGACGACAAGAACAACAAGAGCAAGCCGTTCGACTTCGACGATGTACCAAGGGAGCGTCAGGAACCCAGACCAGACTTCTCCAAACCTCTCCCTAGAAAGAGACTGCCTAAGGCCCTGCAAGATACCCTGGACAATGAAGAGAAGCTATGGGAGGCTATGTACGAGGGAAAGGCACAAGAGTCCACCGAGAGTTCTGTCCGTTACGCTGCTTATGCCTCAAGAGTTCGCACCATCCTGATGTCTGCTCATCGCTACGTCGCTTATACTAGTGATATTGGCGAGAGTTTCAGACCTATCGCTCATCCTTACCTGGTCAAGGGTGCATACGGTATCTCTTGGGCATATCTCATTGGTGATGTCTCGCACGAGGGTTACAAGGCCTACCTTCGCAATCAGAGTGTTCTAAACCCTGAAGCTTCTACTGAGGCTACAGCCGTTGCAAGCAGTGACAAGACCGCCTCAGCTGCTTCTGGTACTGTGCCTCAAATGCTTCCTGGCAAGGTGCCTCTCATCGAGGACTACAGAACCGTCATGGCGCAAAGAGCCATTTTCCAGGGTATTGCTAGTATGGGTCTGCCTGCTTTCACCATCCACTCGATCGTGAAGTACGCTGGTAAAGCTTTGAAAGACACCAAGAATGTCAAGCTCCGAACATGGGGTCCCATTGGTGTAAGTACTGTCCCTTCTGACCAGACTCATAGTTTCTGACTCGTGTTAACAGNNTTGGGTCTCGCCGCCGTCCCTGCACTTCCTTTCATGTTCGACGAGCCTGTAGAGCACGCCGTCGAATGGGTCTTCCACAAGGCCTTTGCGACCGTTGGTGGAGAGGCTGCTGTCCATGGCCGTCCTGAAACTGGCAGATCTGCTTTGACTCAAATAGAGTCCAAGGCTGCTGCCGCCGCTAAAGAGAAGGAGCTATAAGGGACGCAACGACCATCTTGTGTGTGAAATTTGTACATAAACCACTCTTCTTCTTTTCGTCGTGTTAACAGATCAAGTCCAGTGCAAGACACGCACTGGCATCATACGAATTCCGATTTGCAATTTTAGTCAGAAATGTAAGAAGACAATCATATGAATCATAACAAGGAGCTGGGATAGGCTCTTGCAAGTGGCTCTCTAGCGGTTTCCCATGCAAGCCAATCGGACCGGGTGGTNTCTGATAACATGTTAGCGAGAGACTTGTCAAGAGAAATAAAAGTGAAAACATACGGCAGCAGACCCATACCATTGACCTTCCAGATACCCAGAGCCAGAGCCAGGAAGTTACATGCGACGTAAGCAAGCTTGACCATGATCAAGCGATCGCGAGTGCCTTCGGTCTCGAAGCGGGCAAAGACATTCTGGATGTTGATGAGAGCTTGGATAGGGCCCTTGAACAGCATGAAGACCATCATGATACTGAAGATTTGAAGACTGTTGCCCGACATGTACATGCCAAAAGCATTCATGGGCAGCTGCTTGGCTGGTGCAATGGCGACCTCCCAAGCCTTCTTGAGCTTCAAAGTATCCATCTCTTCAGTGGTAGGAGCTTTGCGAGCAGATGTCTGAGCGACGGCATTCTTGGACGACTTGGACNNTAGATGGAGTTAGTGGTGTTGAGCGCGACAGTAGGTAGGCAGTCGGACCTTTGAGCTGGTGACGGTGGTCGGGGCAGTGTAGCCTGGTGGGTCGGGAATATTCGAGGTCTTGGGTTTGGCAGTCGGAGGGGCGTTCAGGTCAACGACCCATTGTGGTGGGAGAGGGACGGCCATGTCTGTTGTTGCTACTGAGAGTGGCAGGTGCGATGGTTTCAACGATGAATTGTATGAAGGTCGAGCCCAAATCGGCAGGAGCAGTGCTGAGTTCCCGGCCGGCTTCCCCAGGATCGCGACTCCCTGACCAGCGACTTTGATGAGCATCTTCCAATTTACCTTCACATTCGCTCATTTGATCTACTAACTCGAACCCGCCCTTCCTGGATTCTCGACCTACGCCGATTCAACCGACTGGCCTTCACACCACTTTGTCACGCGACACGGAACTCGAGTGATACCAAGAAGAGGGGCACACCAACGACTGCCTGGGATTGGTCTAATTGACCTCCCTGTTATCAAGAAGCACAATGAGCGCAGGAAACCAAGATGCGAAGCTCTTTGCTAGAGTGAGTCGCCCCGATACCNCATCCAACTCCTGAGCCATGTTTGTGCCCATCTTCCTCCATGACCAAGGCTTACCAGCCTTTCGCAATTCACAGGGCAAAGTCGCCGAACTGCGACAAGAGTTGCAGGGTGTTGGAGGGAAGAAGGACAAGGGCCACCTCGGGAAGAAGATTGCCCTCAAGAAGATTGTCGCAAACATGACCATGAGCAACAACGACATGATCGCCCTCTTTCCCGACGTAATCCAAGTCATGGGCCTCGCCAGTCTGGAAATCAAGAAGATGTGCTTCCTATACCTCGTTCACTACGCCAGGATAAAGCCCGAAGTTGCTCTCAAGGCTCTACCTCATCNNTTGTCCAGGTCCGTCGAATCTACCGCGCTCAGTGCTCCAGCTGACCAAGTCTAGGACATGGAAGATACGAATCCACTAGTACGAGCCCTCGCTTTGCGAACAATGTCATATATCCATGTTCGTGAATTCGTCGAAGCCGCCGTTACCCCTACGAAGCACCTCTTGCGAGACGCAGATCCATACGTGCGCAAAACTGCCTGTTTCTGTGTCGCAAAACTCTACGATCATGACAAGACTCTGGTCGAGAACTCGGATCTGATCACTGGACTGAACAACATGCTGAGAGATGAGAACCCCACTGTTGTCTCAAGCGCTTTGGCTTCCTTGACCGATATCTGGGAGAGGAGCGAGTCCATCAAGCTTACGATCGACTATAACAGTGCTTCTAAGATCGCTTCAATCCTGGCAGAAACCTCTGAGTGGAACCAAACATATATTCTCGAAGCTCTCATGAATTTCGTTCCTCAGGACTCTGGACAGGCTTCGATGTTGGCCGAGCGCATCACTCCTCGCCTTTCTCACACAAATTCGGCAGTCGTACTTGGATGTATCCGCCTTATCCTTTACCTCATGAATTACATCGCAGACGAAAAGACTATCACAGCTTTGATGAACAAGCTTTCTCCTCCTCTGGTCACATTACTCTCAAAGGGCCACGAGATTCAATATTTGGCTTTGCGCAATGCCCTTCTGATTTTACAAAGAAGACCAGACATTTTGAAGAACGACATTCGTGTCTTCTTCTGCAAGTATAACGACCCTATTTACGTCAAAGTCACTAAACTGGAACTCATCTTCATGCTCGCAACTCAGGACAACATTAAAGAAGTGTTGAACGAGCTGAGAGAATACGCAACCGAAATCGACATTCACTTTGTGAGAAAATCTGTTCGCGCTATTGGAAAGCTGGCCATCAAGATTGAACCTGCGGCAAGACTTTGCATCAACACACTGCTGGAGCTCGTTGCAACAAAGGTTTCCTACATCGTCCAAGAGGCAACGGTGGTGATTCGTAACATCTTCCGCAAATATCCTAATCAGTACGAATCAATCATCAGCACATTATGCGAAAATCTCGATTCGTTGGACGAGCCAGAAGCAAAGGCTGCTATGATCTGGATCATTGGACAATACGCCGACAGAATTGACAACAGCGATGTTCTCCTGGATGACTTTTTGTACACATTCGCAGACGAGCCGCATGAGGTACAGTTGGCACTTTTGACGGCGACAGTCAAGTTGTTCATTCAAAGGCCGAAGAAGGGACAAGAACTCGTGCCGAAGGTCTTGAAATGGGCCACTGAGGAGACAGACAACCCCGATCTTCGCGACAGAGGTTACATGTACTGGCGTCTACTCTCCTCAGACCCAGTGGCGGCGAAACAAGTCGTCATGGGAGAGAAGCCTCCCATCACGGCAGAAACAGAAAAGCTGGATCCATTCACCCTGCAAGAGATGTGCTTGGTGGTAGGCTCGCTCGCAACCATCTACCTAAAGCCTATCAAGTCGGTCTTCCGTTCCGCTCGCCCGCGTATTGTACCAGAGAGTCCTGCATTACAGAAGCATAGATTGCCTAGCCATCAGGCCATGTTGGACGCACAAAAGCACTGGACCGAGATGACTTCCATGGCCAGCGCACAGCAGCGACAGAACGGCNATGCGCATGCTGCTAACGGCGACCTTGCAGCGGCCGTCGATGCAGCAGATGTGTATTTCTCGACTATTGGAAGCCAGCAGATGGCAAACATGGCACTGAACGATGATGGCTATGCATCGCCAGTCGGCGGAGAAGGGGCTCAGACCATGTTCGTCGTGAACCAGAACCAACCACAGCAAGTCTATCAGCCTACTGTGGGGAATGGCAACGGAGATCTTCTGAGCTTCTAGGTAATGTGATATAGAATAAGCATTCTTCTAGTTTAATGTACATACATTTCATCCTGCCAGTATCTCTGCGCCTTGTCTTTCTTACCTAGACAGAGATGCTTTGAGCTGCTCTCGCTAATTCAAAGACGCGCTAGTTCCCGCAAGTGGAACATTGCAATGCTCTTCGTATTGGAGAAGTTTCAGGAGAATATGTGTTTCTGAGCAAAGTATATCTAATCGCAGTGAGCTTGATGCCAGAAGATCGGCGCTTTCGGGACCTGCCGATGGAACCCTCGACCTCCATCCTCAGAAAGGCATCTCGAACTCTACCCAGGACCGTTCAATTCTCGCATGACAAAGTCTTGACAATCCATTGAAAAACTCGACAATCTTCTCAAAGAACCAAGGGCACAGGTTCAACTTCAGAGCTAGGACAAGAACATCACAACATGAACTTCCTTTCTCCAACTTCGCCTTTCTGAATGTTGAAAAGCACGCGATATAAATAAGCCAGCCCAGCAAAAGGAGTCAAAAGACAACAACAGGAAAGAGAAAAGACGCAAACATGCCACCTCGCCCTTTTCCCCAAAGTCTGAGTATAGGCACCGATATCTGCCGTTACAAACGCTTTGCAAAATACTTTCGTCCACACCAACAACAACAGCACTCTCAAGACACCACCACCACTACGGGCATTTCTTCATCTCAAACACCTCTTTTGTTCAAGCTCTTCGACAAACTATTTTTGCCTTCTGAGCAAAGAGAATTCTGGCGACGCTTCAAACAATCCAATTTTCCCACTTTTCGGCGCTTGGTACTTGCAGATTCTCCTCAGNATTCGTCAAGGTACACTAGCACCACAAACAGACCAATGGTTAGAAGGCCAAGTGGAAAAGCAGCAAGATACATAGGAGGCCGCTGGGCAGCTAAAGAAGCAGTCATAAAAGCCTTTTCCGGAACCAGAAGATTGATGCTCAGGGATGTGGAGATCAGAAAGGATGCAAAGACCAAACAACCTTTGGCTATTGTGTGTGATGAGGGTTGCGAAAGAGAACAGCGATCTGCAGAAGAGGTGTATGCGGATTTGGTGTCGAGATGGGGATTGCGCAAGGAGTTGTCGAAACAGCAAAAGGAAGATGTTGCTGGTGCTGGTGGGGTGGCGTCTACGAAAGGGTTGCGCATCACAAAGACATCGATGATGGGCAACAAGGAATCACCTGCTCGGCAAGAACTGCCCACCAGCGAACATGAAATTACTCCTGCTCCTACTTCTTCTGCACACACTACTCCTCCAATCTTGTCGGAAAACGGAATCCTCGACCTCAACGCCGTCACCCGAGCTCTGGAACAACAAGACTCCAAACCCGCTTTGTCTGCGCCAGCAACCCACTCCCAAGAACATGCAGAAGAGCAACAGCAGGAACACCGACAAGAAGAACCTCAGCAGGAACAAGCCACAGAAGAGCAGCAAGATTCAGATGAACCGCAAAGCGAACAAAGTCGTCTGCGAGAAGAGATCAAACGTTTGAGGCAAGAGGAACAAGCAGAGGATGCCTGGAACAATCTGCAAGGACAGGTTGTCAAGATTAGCATTTCGCATGATGGAGAGTATTGTATCGCTACTGCTTTGGCTGCTGTATAGAAAGGACTAAGCTAGCCCCCCATGTAAAAACAAATTTCCTGCAAAATCATATATCTATATAAGCATGATTATCCTGTGCGAAAAAGCGAACAGAAAGGAACGACAGCCGTGAAAGAAACACGCAATGTCATTAATGACACGGTCACTGCATTCTCACAAAGTCATGTGAAGATTTGGAAAAAATAAATCTTTGGGTATCGGGTATACTATACAAAAGGCAGATTTGAACCCGCTATCCCCAAGTTCCACCACCACCTCTACCTTGCTTCTTCTGAGCACTAAGTCTCCAATCATCCTCACCAGCAAATCTGTTGTGGAGAGGCTGAATCCTTTCCGCTCGTTTTCTCTTGCTGAGTCCTCCTTCCTTGCCTGCAACCTTGAAGAACGTCGGTGCTGCTTCCACAAGCCATTTTGGCTCGATCACTGTAACATTGTGCATGTACTCCTTGGTTGTTTCTACCAAACTGTGGTAGATGACATGTTCAGCTGCCTTGCGATTCAGCGCCGACGAAGGATGCATGTATACTGGTGTGCCTTCAATCAAAGTCTTGTAGCCTTCTTGAGGATCCTTGCGAGCCGAGTTTCTGAAGAAGCCACTGCAGAGTGCTTGGCGCACGCGTGTGGTATCACGACCGCAGCTGACGACACGTAAACGCAGACGGTCAAGAATCTGTACCAATTGCTTGCGTACATCCTCTGCTCTCTTCATGCTTCGTGGTTGAATAAAGTTCTCAAAGCACCATGGGTCGCTCATTCGGCTTTGCTTCCAGGCATTGTATACGTTGAGTAGAGTCAGATGATCGCCCGATGCATCGTGGAATTTGGCTTTCTTNTTGTCGGCTTGGTCTTGCTTGTCTTTGGGTCTGTGGAAGACGGTCTGGACTGCTGAGATCATGGCCACGATTGACAATATCTCGTCAGAACATCCTAGGTCAACTGACATGATTGTTGTTTTGGCGAGCGTAGGTTCCATCGGGAAGTCGGCCATACGTCTACCAAGACGAGTAAGCAATCCTTCGTCATCCAGCGCCGACAATGCATAAAGTTCTTCTAATGCCGTCAACATAGTATTTGTTGGTGGCGGATCCATAAAGTCAAAGTGAAGCAAATCGTTGATACCCATAGCCTTGAGTGTCAAAATAGTGCTAGCAAGATTTTGACGCTGGATTTCAGGAATGGTTGTTGGTAGCATCTCGGATTGGTAAGCAGCTTCAGTATACAGTCGGAAGCATTTTCCAGGTCCTGTTCTGCCAGCTCGTCCTGCACGTTGGCGTGCTTGAGCCTGTGAAATGGGNGTAACCTGAAGACGATCCATACCAAGTCTAGCATCGTATGCGCTCTGCTTGACAAAACCTGGATCAACGACGAAGTAAATGCCGTCGATAGTAATGGATGTCTCAGCAATATTTGTTGCAATGACCACCTTTCTGGTGCCCACTGGCGCAGGCTCGAAGATCTTGCTTGCGATCTCGCTAGGCAGGGCCCCGTAGATAGGAAGAATCATGAGTTCTGGGACACTCGGACCCAATGCTTTCATGCGCTCGTAGAGAATTTCACACGATGTATCAATCTCCTCTTTACCAGTCAAGAAAAGCAGAATATCACCTGGAGGCTCAGTGAGATGGATCTGCATGACCGTCGTGAGAGCAGCATCGAGATAGTCTGATTCGGGCTCACGAGAGTACATAATCTCGACAGGGAAAGTGCGACCAGGGATTGTGAGGATAGGGCATTGATTGAAGTACTCGGAAAACTTTGCTGCGTCCAAAGTTGCTGATGTGACGATCAATTTCATGTCGGGTCGCTTCTTCAATGTCTTCTTGAGCAAACTGAACAGAACGTCGGTCGCAATCGTACGCTCGTGAGCCTCATCAAGCATGATGACGGAGTACCTGTTTAGCTCGGGATCCAGAAGAATCTCACGTTGCATGATACCATCGGTCATGTACTTGATCTTCGTGTTGCTTGAAGTCTTGTCCTCGAAACGAATGGTGTAACCAACTTCTTCTCCCAAACGGCATCCGACTTCCTCGGCGACACGTTGAGCGACCGACATTGCAGCAACACGACGAGGTTGTGTACATCCGATCACGCCTGAGTTAGCGTAACCTTCTTCAGCGAGATATTGTGTCAACTGAGTTGTTTTTCCAGATCCAGTATCTCCAACGACAATCAAAAGTTGATAGCCTGCGACAGCCTCCAAGAATTGTTTTCGGAACTGGAAAGCGGGTAGAGTCTCGCGCTGTTCCTTGATTGACAGATTGGTGCGTTTGCCGAAAGACTGAGTCTTGCTGTGCGACGCGATACGCTTCCATTCTGGTACTTCTCCATCGTTCTGACGAGCTTGGCGCAGGTCGCTGGCGAATTGTCGTTGTTCAGGGTTTGCCATAGGGTCATTCCATTGCGCCTGCAAATCAACTCCGGAGTTCTCTTTNGCAGCCTTGTCCCTCGCCTCTTGCTGTTTCAAATCACGGCGCTCCTTTGCGAGGACATCTCCAGCAATGGCCGCTCTGTTCATAGAGCCATCAGGTGCCTTGACCACTCGAATGGGGGAAAGCTCAAGAGACTGCTTGGTCTGTCCGGCAAGGAAAGGTGGTTCTTCCTCTCTGACTTCAATATCAACATCTTCCTCCTCTTCAATCTCCTCTCCTCTAAGTGCCGCGTTGTAATCTTCGTCAATGTCAGGATACTCCTTGGCTGAGATTGCCCCTGAGGCAATCAACTGTTTGATTTCCCAACGCTCTGGAGATGTCATTCTTTTNCTGTTGCGTTTTTGGTTCATGTTGCCTTCAATCACAGGTACGTTGGAGGCGAGACTGCCGTATCGTTCATCTCCGTTCATACCCAAAGCATTTGCGCCAGTAGCGGCACCAATGCGCTTGTGAGGAGCAAAGTCTTGTCCGGTTACTTGATCAACTTCAGCCATGGATAAGCTGATGCGATTGTCTTGAACCTTCATGACCTTGACTTTGACCTCCTGGTTGCGAGACACTAGATCAGAAGGGTGGTTGACCTTACCCTCAGCCATAGCAGAAATATGTACCAGGCCGTCTACCTTGCCCCTCACTCCGTACAGATTCACGAAGACACCAAAGTCTTTGACTCCAGTGACTCTACCATCATAAATCTTGTATAGCACTGGTGATTCGTCGATCTCANNGGCGTTGGTGCGCGTCGTTGTCTGTCCTCGCTACGACTTCTCTGTCGATGTCTGCTCCTGCGATCGGTGTCCTGATCGGGTTTGCGCCATGTGCGATTCCTGCCATATTCGTCCCTCAAAAACGTAGTCGTCGTGTCTTTGTTCCGGCGAGCGAGATCGCCTTCGAGATTTCTTACTCCGGCGCGAATCATAGTCATCCTCAGCGACTGGGCTTACGCTACGCTTGCGAGGAGCGCTGGGTTTTGCCTTGGACTTACCCGCACCTGCCAGTCCCTCAAGCAGGGCAAAAGTGTCGTCCATAGCGTCCAGTTTCGAATCCTCCTCTTGCGGCATGTTGTCGTCTTGGTCGTCAAATGCGACATCTTTATCCGGTATCACCAATCCCTTGAAAACCCTTGTTTTCCTGTCTCTTTCGCCGTCAAGATCTCGCTCATCCTCATCGTCGGTATGCGCTTGTGTTTTTGATTTCGATTTGTACTTGGGGTGCATGGTCAGCACCAATCGATCGATTGCAGTAGCGAGAGTGGCCGAGAAGTCGAATTCAGACAGCTTCGTCTTGAAGTCATCGAGGTTCTTGGACTGTTCATGTTGGGCAATGACGAATTCGGCGATGGTCTTGTCGCTGATGCCCATGTGGTTCTGAATCTCTGAAGCCACTTTGGAGACGAGCGACAGATGCTCGAGCGCTTCGAGATCATCCATGTTGGGCGAAAGTTTCACTGTCTGGTGACTCTTGATGATGTTGTTACGGTCTATTATACCGAGTGAGTTGGACAGCAACCATGTCAGTCGCGTAACAAAAGTTGAATGCGCTGGTGACGGAGATGCGGCGGCCACGAGCATCCATGTCTTGGCGGCACTTCGGAACGCCTCCCACCTCTCCGGCCAGCAGTACTTACAGCTTCCAATCTGTCAATCACATATCAAATAAGAGTGGCACATTTCAGGTGATTAATAAACATCTTAATTGTTGAGGTAAAGCATGGTGTGTTTCTGCTAATGAAGTGAGAAGTGAACTCTGCCACTACTCTCTGAATCGTGGCATTACCAATGATCTGGATATAAAATGTATAGAGGCTGCTTCCATCCACAGTAAGGTCCTCCATCAATTCGCATCCTAGCAAGCAAGTGAAAGCAGCAACCGTGCAGACAAACCCATGACCAGAGGGTAAAGTGTAGAACACTCCATCAAATGAGCATAAAAAGAAGCGAAAACGCGGAAAACGAATAGTTGCTTGCACCAGAATGCTCCTTTTACTCCGGTGACTGTTATTTCCGTTCATGAGATTCGGTTCAAGTGACATGGAATGATTCATTTAGGCTTGTGCTCTGTATCCACCACGTCCACGACCACGAGGCACTTTGGGCACCTTGGCCCAGACGGTCTTCTTGTGACCAGTATGTTCGGTATTGGTATTGGCTGAAACGGTGTTCTCGGCCAATGGAGTTCTCGCACTTTTCTCACCCAGTACAGCAGTGTCTTGGGACCTGCTGCTGGTGGCTCCGGTAGTAGAAGTTGTTGCAGTGTCAGGCAAGTCGGTGTTGACATTCTTCAATGCATTGCGCTTGTTCTTGTTGTTCGGTCTGTTGGAGTTCCTATGGCTTGGTGCTCCCTTGTTTCTGCTTTCCAGAGTTACGTGTCTGGCAACAAACCAAGGCAATGGTAGTTTGATCTGAACCGTAATATCGTGGTTGGCATTGTCAGGGAAAAAGTAGATGCGCTTCGACTGAGAATCACCAAATTTGTGAAACTTCGAGTTTGGTCTTGTAGGCATAGACACAGTGATAGGAGGGTCGGGATAGGTGACGCCACGAGGCAAGAAAACTCTAGGAGTGGAGCCGAAACTAAGTTCTCCATCGAAGATGTCGTCAACACCTGGCTTGGACACAATCTTGGTATAGGTAGATGGAGGAGAGGTCGATCGCGGCAAGGACACAGTGGTTTCGCTCTGCGCAATGACGAAATCCGAGCTTGTCCTAGAGACGGATGCGACGGCAGGAGCGGGAGCTTGCATCTTCGGAGGCGTCTTTGGTGGTGAAGGAGGAGTTGTGGTCGTGACTTGAGCTTTGCCAAAGAGTCCGTTAAACCTGGCTTGCCAGTCCGATGTTTGGACAAGAGGTCTTGCACCGACGGTGTATGAGTGCACGCTTCGAGGCATGGTGACTGGGCTAGGCTGCTCGCGAGTTGCAACAACAGGTGGTAGCTTGACCTTTGGCTTTGGAGTCGGTAGATTGACGTGAGGGTGCTTGGGGTCACCGCCAAAGACTGGGTGGTCTGCCTCTTCAGGAGGGGGGNNAGATCCACCGTAGAGTGCCAAAGGGAAGAACCTCGACTGCTGTGGAGCCGCACCAGGGGTAGAAGGCTGCACAGGCAAAGGTGGAGGTTGAATGTTATTGGCATACGCAGCGAGAGGAGGCAGTCTCACGCCAGTGGTAACATTGCCAGGGCTGCCGAAAGCTCTCGAGAAGCTTGAGGGACCTGTGGGAAGACGGACTATGCCTTCGCCTGGCATATGCAACTGTTCACTACCAGGAGGAGGATGGTGCATCGACTGTTGGTCGATGGGCGATTGAGGTCCTGCCACAACTTGATTCGTTCTGTGAGGACCTGGCACGTTTTGGCTAGTTCTGTGAGGACCCAAGCGTGCAGTTCCAATTGCACCAGCTCTGTGAGGACCAGGAACCCTTGCCGCAGTGCGAGTAGGAGTTTCGTCTTCGAGCCAACGATTCTCACTGCCTCGTGTTTGTCTGAACGTCTCGGTGACAGTCCAGTTAGCGTGAGCATGGTGAGATTGCTGAGGTGAGGATGGCTTTGTTCTCTCGTTTTGAAGGCGTGCCGCTATCTGTGCATCATCTCTAGCTGCTTGAGCATTATTTGAGAAATTGGTCCATGCCGAAGTATCACGCAGGGGCTGCTGGCGANNGGAGCAGTCTTTTGTGGGGGAGCAATGGGAGCTGGGTAGGCCNAGGCGAGCAGGCTCAGGCAAAGGCGATGCGCCAGCGAGGGCCGAAGCACCGGAGGGCTCGGGCATGCGTGAGTCAAGAGTGGACAGAGAGCCGTACTGCTGGTTCATGGGATCAGACTGCGCAGATCCTGGCTGACCAAAGGCCTTTGGTGAGACACGTGAGGGATAAGGGCGGTTGAAGGGAGCAGTAAACGGCGCATTCTGGGCCTGAGGACGCGAGCTGGGCGAGATGCTCGAGTAGCCTGCGTCGAAGGTACCGTTCCCGATGTGTCTGTTGTTGCTAGGTGGAGGACCCCAGAGTGCGGGTGCGTTATGAGAGGTCATGCTGGCGCTGCCCCACGGCGTGGTTGTAAACGAATCGCCGCTGGAGATTGACGGCAAGCGCGCAGGTTGCGCCTTCTGATCGCCAGGCGACGAGAAGGATGACGTGTTCATACCTTGCAAGGATGACTGCTGGTACGGACTGCGTGTCGGACCATTGGGCGAATGTTGTTGAAGACCAGGCAATTGAGGTGAAGAAAGAGTCTTGTGCGCAGGGCGAGTGATGGAAGATTGGTTCTGACCAAATGGAAGTGAGGACTCGACAGTCTTCTCCTTTCGAGGTGAGAGTTGCTTCACTGGTGACACGTGCGCTTCTGCACGCGGTAGTTGTTCGATCGGCGCAACTGGTTCGGCAACGAGTGCTTTCTCCGGTGACAAAGTCGAGATGGGGGGATCGGGTACATCTGCTTGCTTTTGCGTCTCAGACTCCTTCTTCTCGGCTTTCTCGGCCTTGTCTTGAGATGGCGTCTTTTCGAGGGGCATGCCCAGGGCTTCCATCTTCTTTCTGATCCTCTCTCTTCTCTCAGCTTCCTCGCGTGCTTCTTCCTCTTGTCTTCGCCGGATTGCTGCTTCACGCTTTTCTTGCATGAGCTTCTTCTGTTTCTCGCGCTCTTCCTCAATTGACAAAGCACTAGGTGCAGCACCGTCCGTCTGATGTATCGGTGCTTCAGCAGATTGGGCAGGTGGCTGGAACTCCGCCTTGGCTTCGGGTACCATTTCGGTAGAGGGTTCAGCTGGATCAAAGACCTTGCTAGAACTAGACATGCGTCTGTCACGAAGCATGTTTCCACTGATGCTTGAACCTCTTCTACGGCCCCAAGGACTTGCGTCTGTCTGAGAGTTTGTACGAGCTTGGAAAGCAGCCGAGGGTTCTGCAGGACCGGCTCCAGGNGTGGGTCGTTGCAAGACTGCAGGTTGCCTCTGGTATTGGTCTTGCTGGCGTGAACCCCTACGATGTTCAGGGGCTGGCTCATAACGCCCTGACTGCGAATTGAAGAGTTCCCTGTGCGTTCTCTCACCTTCCNNCTTCCATGAACGGTCGAATGTATCTGTAGCCATCTCGCGTGTAGGTAATGGTTGAGTCAAGGCGTCGAATCCATGGACGTCTCTGTGTGCGAACCTAGGAGGAGCCTGTGCAGGCGGAGGAGGATTGATTGTGATCGGAGAAGCCTTCTCGACCGGAGGTAGAGGTGCCCAAGGCGACTTGATAGGCGCAGGTGCCGTGTTTTTCAGCATGGGAGATTTGTTGTCGGGAGTAGCCTTTCCATCAGCGCCAATCTGCTTAGCTTGCTGCGCAGCTCCAGGTCTCAGGATGGTGCGCGATTGTGGGGCGAGGTTCGAACGCTTTAGCGCAGTCATAGAGGGCTTGACAGGAGCAGCAGATGGAGCAGGAGTGGTGGCGGTCGGAGGCAGTTCTTCATGCGATTTCTCTGCAGGCTTCTCCTGTGGTTGTGGAGGGGCGGTATCCGCATGACTGATAGTGGTTTTGGTTCCGTCCATCCATTCGACCGTCTCGGGAGTCCACTCTTCCTCGTCTTCGTCAATGTCCGCCCATTTTGCCTTCTGCTCGGTCGCTTCCTCAGATTCCAAACGTGTGGCCAGGTGAATTCCGTACTTTTGTTTAAGTTCTTCGTCCGTGTAGTGCTTGGCTGGGGCAGGCGGTGCGGCTGATCTGTGGTCAGTATGCGACACGACGTAGTTGCGCGGGTAGTACTGACGCTGGTTCTTGTTCCACACAGTCCTACCATTCGGTGTGCTCGTGCCATCGCCTGAGCGAGCACGGGGAACATCACGCAGTCCGCTGGTACCGGTTTTCGCAATCAGACGAGGCTTTGCGTTGAGTTGTAGTGTGGCCATTTGAGGGGATGCTTTNGAAAGTGTCAGCATGAAGTTGTGACAGAGGAGTATGGTCGGCGCACGCTTTTCGGCAACTTTGACAGGAGGAGGGGTATTTCCAGGAGTTGTAGCCGTCTTTGCCAGGAAGGACTTTGTGATAGAAACAGGCTTGAAAGACAGAGGCTTCTTGACTGAACTAGAACGAGCGAGCTTGGAAGCGTCTGGCCGGCTGGAGTCTGTGTCGGAGCCTTGGTGGTCGGGTGTTGCATTGTCGATTTCTCTATTGATTGTGCCGTTAAGATGGACATGATCCTGGGACGAGTTGGGGGCTACTGAGGGCGTGTCGGAGTCGTGCGGTGGTGGGAGTTGGTACTGAGTAGAGTCGGGTTGGTGGCCAGCGACGGCGGACTTGTTGTCTTGGTGTGCATTTACGCCGGCGGACTTTGAGTCGTCCGCCGACTGGTCGTTGATCACCACATTATGATGGGGGCTCAGCTCGGCCATAACAGTCTCGGCGAAGGAGATGTCGACAGTGGTGAGGTCGTGGGCAAGTTGCGCGCCCGTGGTTTACTCTTGGACAAGCGGACAAGACGATCTAATCGCGACGTTTGTGGAGAAGGTTGTAACAGCTTGGCGCTCCACTCCATGAAAGTGAGGCTGGCCCGCTGGGAAGGAGCGACCAAAGGAAGCTCACTTGCTCTGCTTTGAACTCTCTGTCTCAGGACACTTTTAAGAAGTCGAATGCTGGCAACTAGACAAACTGATCGGCGATCACGACAGCGGAGATGGCCGTAAATCTGTCCCACGTTCAAGGATCCTACACCCTTTGCAGCAACTTGATCGTGGCTGTCTTTTGATCATATAGCATCATTCGAGCGCGCGGCGGCTAGATTTCACAGCGGCTTCCAGCTGATTTGAGAACAGGATTTGAGTCATTATCTAAGATATCTAGTCTATACTATTCATAACGGTCATCAGGTTTAAAGATCATTTTGAGCGAGGTCGAAAGGGAATGGCGATGTCGCTTCAAGATGTTGGGTGCTGCATCGCATGCAAAGTCGTGGGTTCAGCGTTGAGGATCGGTATCATCAAGATTGACAATGTAATCGTGCATGCGTGTCACCAGCTGTACCAGACAGAAGACACACACTTCTTGAAAATGCACCTCGAGCACACGGTGGATAGAGAGTCCGCTGATAAGGTGTAGTGCTGGATCCTCAAGCGTCGCTTGAACAACAGATTCCTGATGGTTCTGGTAAAGCGAGTCGGAAAACAGTCGTGGGTCTTTCTCACACAAGACCAGGCAGTGGATTGGTATTCAGTCCAGAGCACAAGGGAGTGGTCTTGAATTTGTCTCACTCCTCTTTAAGTGTCGGAGGCTGACGTCGATGTCATGGCTGACACGTTTGTGGCAAAAGTAGTGGTTGCGCTGGCTGACAGGGAGTCGGCGAAAGTCGTTCTGGCCAAGCAGTTCTTGAAGCTCGGTATCGCTGAAATGGATCTGTTGTTCCTGTGCAGTCATGGAAGGCCGCTCCGAACTTCGTCACAACGTGAACATCCTTCAGAGGCTGTTGACAAGGTGCGCACTGCGCAGTATCTGGCTCGTCAAATCCTTCGATACAACGAAGGTTCTCAGAATACTTTTCTGGATTGCCAGCTTGACCTCTGTTGTGTTCGTCAAAACCTCCCTAAGACTCTTTGGCTCTGCCGTCCTTCAGAAAGCACTGCGCTGTATTGGTACAACAATGAAGACTTTCGCAGAGGCCAATGCTTCCCGAGTTACAATGAAAATCGTGGACAGGTTAAGTTCAGGTCGGCGTTGTAAAGTGGCGGAGGCCGTTAAACATATGGCTCCAACTTGTGAGCCATCTTGCAATGGCGGATGAGGCGTTGTTATACACAGAGCAGAAGTGATGAATCAAAGTGTATGGCTTTGAATTGACAACAGGGCTCCGAGGATGGTGTGTTCCCCTCAGCAGAGACGTCGTGTCTGTACTTGTAATCCGAGCCGAAAAGATAGTCGCTTCGTTGAAAAGCGTGGCAATTCCTCGTCTGTCACAGTCGACATGGATGTGAAACTCGTGACAGGAAGCGTTGAGTGACGAAGTGGATCGAACTAAGAACCTGTGGGCGATCCTTGGAAGAGGATTGCCGAGGTGGCGTTCGAGGAGAGGTGATACCAAGACCTCAACGCTTGTTGATGGAGTCTAGATGCTTTCTTGCCTGATGTACCAGCACCTCTGTGGCCGGATCGAGCTGAGGAGTGGTCATAGTAGCCAGAGTGGTTGTGGATACCTCATAGCAGGGTGTCACCTCGGCTGTACTGTTGTACTCGATCACTTTGGACAGAACTGCAAGCGATGCTTCGATGAAAGTGTAGAATTCGACATCCGGATCTTGTGACATGATGGTCAACACTCGATCGACTTTTGCCCAAGCCACTGTCCGAATTGACATCTTGGCGAGATGTGTCGGCGAGATTGACGAGATGCAATGCTTTATCGAAGAACTTCTCTAGGCCGAAGCCAAGTGATCGATGGCTAGCGGCGTCTGTTTTTCATTTGTTCAGCTCGTGCCAGGTGGTTTTGTCCACAGTTCTGTGACGCTCCGAGATGTTTCCAGCTGTGTTCTCGTGTGAGAAATTGCAAGCGGAACTAAATCTGCAGCCTTGTGGAGCATTGGAAGAAGCGACAGGGCCAGGAGGACGGTGAGATTTCGTGTCTGTATTTGCAGTTCGAGCCGAAACGACAATTGCCTTGCTGACGAGCTCGTGGCGGTGTTATTGACATTGCTCTTGGGCTGTGAAGTATGTATAGTTGTGTTGTCGCGTGAGGATTGTTGAAATAAGTATCTTCTGTATGGATCATGGGAAGTTAGATTGGTTGACTTTCCGAAAGATGCAAAAATTAGCTGTATCCAACGACTTTTTCTGGGCGTGGTGTTCAATATTGACCCAAAAGGGGACCAGATAGTGGAGGCAGATTCAGCCTCAGTCCCTCTCTTCTCAGCAGAGGGCACATTTGACCAGTACAATAAATTTTGCGGCCTTCAGTCCAGCCAGGCGCACTCGGCGAAGATTGTTAACGTAATGCCTCGAGATGTAGAGAGTGAATTGACTCCAGAAAGACTCTTCGTTAATGAGCCGCCGATATTTCGTTCTTGATGTCTTGTGAGGATCGCCGAGCTTTGAGCTATTCGTTCGAGCTGTTTGACGGCCTCAATATCTGTGGTCTGACGTTACAGTGACCCAGATAGCTTGACAATAGACAACATCAGTGTCTCTGTGGTACCGGGCAGTTAAAGAAAACCCCCCCCCCCCCCCCCAATGACCGAAGGTGCCTTGACCAGAGCGTGGTGTTTCACTCTTTCGAGGCGGTCAAGGTCTGGTTGTTATGCAGTGTTGTGATGCGGCGTTGTGGAAACTGATGAGATTGTTGCAATGTGCTCCAGGTGGTGTGCAAAGTCGAGGGTGTCTGATGGCGTCTTGGTCGATCTTGTTGTGTTGTCAGTCGGTTGGCGACCCCCTGTCCCTGCAATCTGGGTGGACCTTGATCTTCTTGATCTCTCTCCTGCTTGTCCTCCCTCTTCATATCCTCCTTTCTGATATTGATTTGCAGCATACTCCCTCCTCATGAACCCACTCCTGCACAGTCCTCGTCTCATCCTTTGTTCTTTTGCTTTCTTCCTTGCCAGCTGCAATCCGGCCCAAGCCTGCACCTTCTGCCACTTTCGGCAACCTCCTATACTTCTGAATGTGTTTTCCCCAAGGGTTTCGCGAAGGCTGGCCGAGTTCGGGCATGGGCTTGACACTCATCCAGAACATCCCGATGTCCAATGCTCAGCATCATCTTGACTCACCACCAGCCATACCAGTCAGTTCATCTGGATCCGGTTGGACAAGAGACTGACCACGATGATTAAGATGCTCCGCAGCAAACATTGCTTTGTGATATCTTCCTCTCACACCTCTGTGCTACTTTTACATCTCAGCAGTGATGTTCTACGTTCTTTACGAAGACCCTGATGCGGTCCCTAATATTCTCCAACTATGACTGTTTGAGGAAATCGATTCCACCTTCACACGTCTTACAAAGCTTCGGGCTGCGACCAGAGTGATGTTTGCTGATGTATTAACGGCATATTGATCAGGGGAAATGCCGGCTATGCCATCAAGAAAGAAAAGAGTCATAAACAGTGCCTGAGGCCGAAAGAAGGTCGCCAAGTGCTACGTCATCGCGAGGTCATCGCGAGTCACACTTTCTCCCGCAAAAGCTCCGACGACGCCTGGCTTCTGACTCCACGCTGCCAGACACCTTGCGAGACATAGGATAAGGAGCCAGCTACGCCGGAATCGTTCTGCATCTGTGGAAGCAATGTCTGTCCTCGTAGACCCGTTTCGTTCGATGGTGCACTCAAACGGTAGATACACGCTGTTTCGAGTATTGACAGAAGATTACTCTTTGATATGGCTGAACTGCCTCCTCGCAAACTTATAGATCATGGCTGGCAGCAAGCAAGACGTCTGAAATGCCTATGGAGCCACCAGTGAAACATGAATATCTCAAGTATTCCGTCTGGACTGACACTAATCATGAAAGATACTGTGACTTTCGATGGGTTGCCTGTCGAGACTTGCTGAAGCTGGGAGAGGTGAGGCTGGCCAGAGCAGAGGACACCTGCAAATGAGACAAGTGAGCTCGACCGTCAGACAAACACATTTCAATTCCTGCAAGCTAGTTTGTAAATGACAAAGAACTATACCCATCACTTTCAGCTTTCACAGAGTGGCCGCCCTTCACGATTTTCGCGACACACCAGCCTACTTTGCTCCTCAACTCCTCCTTGCAGCATCTACCTTCCTTACCATCAAAACTACGAGAGTAAGCCTGCGCTGTTCAGCCATGGATATCTGGCAGCAGACAAGACAGCCCCATCTGAACGAAGAAAGCGGACAGATTCTGGCCATGTTCCACCCCCTCAACAACCAACTCTCTTTCGCCCGGAACAAATTCCAGGTCAACATCTACTGTAACTTGGGCGCATTCCAGCTTAGGGGAATGTCCCTTCTTCCCGAGCCAGGCACACCTATCGAAATTATGTTTCACGAGTACGAAAATGACAACGCTACCGGAAACCGAAAGATGAATGGATACTACTACACTGGATTGGTCACCGAGAACCGCCTCCAGAGTCCTAATGTTTCGTTCTGTGCCATGGTCTACGGAGTACCATTCAGAAAGTTTGGTAAGGAAAAGGTCTTGATCCACGCCCGGCTGGNNGGAGGAGATGATGTGGCCACAACGCGTCAGATGTCCATGTACCAGTCTGCTTCGAATGGTCTCACACGTGATGGAGGAGATGACGTGGCCACAACGCGTCAGATGTCCATGTACCAGTCTGCTTCGAATGGTCTCACACGTGATGGAGGAGGTATCAACTGGGACGGTCTCCTGCTCGACTCCCGTGCTCCTGCATCTTACATTGAGAAGAATGTCTGGACCGCATCTTTGAATAGATATCCAGGTCAAAAGGAAGACTTCGAGCAACAGGCGAAGGCTCTCTTCAATCTAGACTTCAAACAGATGGACTTCACAAGACACTTTCTTGAGAATGATACTGGGGTCTCCGTTCTGTTTGGGCCCGCTGGTTCTGGTAAAACCTTCACCGTTGTCGCTACTCTCCTGCTTTATCTCGCAACAAACAAGAAGTATCGTGAAGGAATCAAGAACCTCGGCAACCGTCACCGCGTCCTTGTGACTGCTACCACCGACGCCGCTCTCGACGAGATTCTCCGTAAATGCGTTGCGCAAACTCGTACGCTTGGTTGTCAGAAGTTTGTGCGCTTCNATGGTGGCAATCGTCATACGCACCCATCTGCTGCTAAGGGGGCCGCTATGGCAACTCAGGAAGATACTGATAAGAAAGAGAATAAACTGCACAAGACAATCGAGGAGGTGTACTGGCTCATGATGGATGTAGATGCCCGTAGTGGCGAGTCAAAGTCGAACAGCGAATTGAAAGACTTTGACTTCATTCTCGACTTCCACAAGATTATCACGGGCTGGACCAACGAACATCCCTACTACAAGCAAGTCGTCATGTACGAAGAAGTTATCGCAGATCTCCTCAAGGATGATTCAACCGATGAAGAGCGCTCAGCTTCGTTCGAAAAGAAGAAGGAACTCGAAGCACTTCTGTACAAGGCTTACTTTGATGAAGTCGACGCAGTATTTGTTCCTCTCGATGCAGCATCTCATCCCATTCTGTCCTCTTTCTTCGAGCCCACGCTTTTGGTCATCGACGATGCCGCTATAGCTGTACCCGGCGACCTTCTAACAGGAGTTGTCCCTCACTGCGACACCATCCAAAATGTCATTCTCGCTGGCGATCCAATCCCAGTGGGTGGAAGGGGACTTAACAAAGGAAGAAACGAGTTCTACGATCTTCAAAACGACACTACGATGCGCAAGTGGTACCGAAATCCTGATCACTACAGCAAACTCCAAATCATACAGCTCGCAGAGCAACACCGCATGCGTCCTGAGCTCTTCAAATTGATCAACGAAGTCTTCTACATCGGCTCCCCGACCAATAGCAACTCGGTTGGTGGTTACCTGAAGAACATATTCGGAGCTGCCTACAACGACGGTAGCAGATTCGCCATCAATCTCAGCGGCAAGAAAAACGCCTCCAAGAACTGGCGAAAGTCGAAGTCGTTGTGCAACCACTCTGAAGCCGATTCAATCGTCGACATGGTTGAAGGCCTTCTCAAACAGACACTTTCCAACGGCTCCAGAGTTCAACCTCGAGATATCCTCATCAGCACCCTCTACACCGGCCAGGAAATCGACATCAGAGTCAGACTGATGAGAAAAGGCATCCTTGGAAGTCACAACAACGTGATCCGCATCACCTCTCCCAACAACGCCAGAGGCCAAGAAGGCACAATCCAAATCATCTCGATGTGCACCAATGATTCTGACCCTCTCAACAACACCGAAGAAATCTCAAACCGGGAGAACCTCAACATCATGTTCTCTCGCGCCAGAGAGATGCAAATTGTCTTTGGAAACTTCAGACCTTGGATTCAAGCCATCAAGAACAATGTGGAGGGCTGGGGTGTCAACGCAGAGAGTGCAAAGCGTCTCGAGCTCGTCAAGATCATTGGATCCTTCTGGCCTACTGATGACCCTGTAACTTGCACCATCATCTCTGAGGCTGACTTTCGCTCTGGTTTCTACGACAACAAGCCTCCCACCAGAAAGTCGTTCCCTGATCTGGTGACCATCGAGAGCAAAGAAGAGGGGCAGAGTAAAAGGTAAAGTTAGCTCATCGAGAATGTCAGCATTGGTTTGCGAGAGCAGTAGCAAGGAAGAAGATGGTGTCTGAACTCTATAGCACGCACATTGTATCTCGTCAAAGTAGTCCTTTCTCATGGTGACTGATTCATGTCTGTCCGTTCGGTATAAAGCGCAATCTCTTTGCCAATGAAGCCATTTCATCGACTTGTCGACTCCAGAACGCGTTTCAAATGAGGCTATCCAGGTCAGTGGACTGCCATAAGAGAGGCGTTTTGCAAACCTGGAATCTTGATGCGATATGATGCGCTTACATAGAGCAAGAGCAGTGACTGACAAGGACAATATTTATACAACGTTCCTTCCTTTCAATCATCATAAGACACACGCGCAGTAACATATGCTTATGCAGTTCATCAGTCTTTGTCGTCTACGAAAAGCTCACCTGTGCGAATTGTTTTAGTAACAACGATGTCTTTTCCAACAAGCCCACCAGAGCCACCTGCTCATGAATTCGTCGTTGTTAAATGCCCTCATCCGTCTTCGGGTGCTTTCTGACATAATTCAACAAGAGCATGTTATAGTGCCGTGTTGAACGGATTGTTGGTGGAGACCATGAGAGGGACGTTTTGTAGCAGGCGCTTGTGCACATCATCGATTCGTATCATCTACGGAAAGCGCATCCCATTATTCTGACTTGGCACAGACATTAGTCCAAGCAGCACCGCCCATATTCCAACCATTCACCTGGCTGAGTTTTCATCATCCTTCTCTTGCAAATACATCCTGACTCTTTCCCGGTTATACTAGCTTTCTTTGATAGTAGTGACCAAGTCGTCTACTGGTCAGAGAAGACCAGATATCCTCCCGGTGCGATGTAAGTCAGACCGCCCTGCTCAAACAGTCTGTAGGGATCGACAAANGGTTGGACGTGGGCACTTCCACTGCTGCCTCTGCCAGTCAGGTTGGACACGCGCATGATGACATAGACTCTTTCCGGAACTGCATCACCCTGGACACGGTACTGACCCGCCNNTGCGAGATGTTAACGAATGTGTTGCCTCGTCGAGAATTTGTGACTTACCATTTCGAGTTGATTCTGGCTCATGTGGAAAGGCTCGTTGTGTGGACCATAGGTAGACTTGACCTCAATGCAGTAGGTGATGGCAGCAGAGCCCTTCTTGCCCAGCCAGGTTTGAGCCTGCTCGCATTCACGCTCGACCAGCCACTCAGTGAGGCGGCCGCTAGAATCATGGATGGTAAAGTCGGCAAATTGGCTGTCGTCACCTTCGAATGGCTGATCGGTGTACTTGGTACGAGCGTGACTGGTCCACATCAAGTCCGTGTAAGAGCCGCCGAGAAGGTTTTCGAAAAAGGTGTGCATNCTATAACATATCAGTAGAGTATCTTGGAAAGGAAGTTATTGGTAGCTCACCTTCATCTCGCCTTGCTCACCAATGCGAACGACTTGATCATCATCCCCACTGTCGGAGGTCATGTACTTGCTGCGGTAGGCTCTGGGAGAAGTAGGGATCTCTTGAGAAGAAGACTCAGAGTCAGACTCGCTCTCCTCATCGTCAATGTTCTTGATGTCATCGTCGGATATAGCGTATCTGTTGCTAGACTTGGCAGAGAAACCAGAACGTTGAGAGCCTCTCCATGACTTCACCAAGCTGTCGAGAGGAGCAGAGAAGGTCGACATGGTCATAGACTCTTCATCGTCACTGCGAATCATAGTTCCCCTAGCAGATTGAGTAGCAGTAGCGGTGTTACGCTCCCGCTTATGCCTAGGCTTGGCCTCGCGCTCGAGGGCTTTGCGATAGTCATGGCCGAGTGGAAGAGCGACCTTTGATGCCTTGGCCTGCTTCTGGTTCTGAGCTTGACGGAGCTGGATGTCAAGAGGCTCTTCCTCATTGACTGGCGTAGAGACTTCGCTCGAAGAAGGTTTACTGCTGTCACTGCTGATATTCTTGGCAGGTCGCGAGGAGCGAACAGTCTTGGTCGGAAGCACGATTCCAGCGGAGTCGTCGACCAGTTTGGTGGATATCTTCTCAAAGCGACGCTTCTCGAAATTGATATGGTTCTCCGACAGCATATCCTCAATCTTGGAAATCTTGTTGAGAGAGAGGATTCTGGCAACAATCTGGAGATGTTTTGTTTGAAAGTTGCAAAAGGANGTCAACTTCTCGACCAACTTGTAGTAGTCAAGATCATTGCTGTCCAGATCTTCGGCGGGTACGAAGATCTTTTGATCNCTGCTCACAGAAAAGGAGGCTGCAGCCACTTTGCCTCTGATCTCTTGGTTGTTGATGACCACCATACGGTGTATTGAGATAGATTCCACAGAATAGATCTCGAAGCTTTCGAGGACCGGTTTCATGATGTGATGCTCGTCTGGGTTTGTAAGACACAGCAGATAGTGAACCTTCTCCTGGAACGAGTCGGTCCAGTCCTGCTCCAAAACCGCGTCATCTATTCCCTCAACGACTTCTTGCTCTATCACGCTCTGTGAAAGACGCTTGTCCCAGACTTTCATGTGGTGTAGAAGAGGCTCGAGTCTCTCTTGGTTGGTGATATCATAGTCCAGCAGCGGAAGCACTCCACTAAAGGTTCTCTTCAAGTGAGGAGCGTCGGGAATGAACCAACGCCAATCTCCTGCGGTCGAGAGTTGCAGCTTCCCATCAGTCGCGACCACAGGGAAGATTCTGCGATGATTCAAAGCGTCCAACTTGCTTTTGGGTTGCACTTTCACTCTCATGCTAAGCTCGAGTAGCATCTCCTTGATTCTGTCCATAGATGAGACGTCGTTGTCGAGGATGATCAACTCAGCAATAAAGTGGTCGATACCCGCATCTGGAACCAAAAGGACCGACTTGAAGAGCAACCTGGCAGGGCCATAGCGAGAGGCGAGGGATAGAACGTTGTGCAAGCAGCGTGGTGCGTCCCAAACGCAATTGGTCAGCGTGATCCATTTACCGTTGAGACAAACGAGAGGATAATCCTTGAAGGCTTTGATCGTCTTCTCCTTTGCAGTGGCACTTAGCTCACAGTAATATTGGATATCCCTGTACATCTTCAAGACAATCGACTTGTCAGGCTCAGTAGCACTTCGAGACAACTTGAATAGCAACAAGAGGCAGAAGTTCAGATCTCTGGTAGTGACGACTCCAAAAGCGGATAGTTTTGACCATCGTGGATCGTCCTCATGCAAAAGATCAAGGAAATGAAATCCTGAGATAGACACCGTGGTGAAAGCAGACCGCAATGATGGGAGCATGGTATCCTTGAGCTTTTCAGTCTTGCCATCTGTGCAATCGGCCTGCAAGCTACCAATCTTTGCACGAACTTCCTCACTCGGAATCCTAGAGTCGGTCGCCTTCGGAAGCTTGTGCAGTTGATACTCTTCCCAGTTCTCGTTCAAACACGTAAGCCAGTCGCGGCTTGAAAGAGTTGCGACAATCCACTCAAACTCCTTGGACAAAGTCTTGTTGTGTCTGTCGACAAGCCGAGGAATACTGTGCACACCCAAGCAGTCTTGCAACCAAGATAGCCAACGCACTTGCACTTGCGGCTTGTCATGGTAAGCGGACAAGTACTTAGGATTGATGAAGTAGGCAACGGAAGGGTTCTTTGAGAAGTATTGACTGACAGGCGGCTTGGTTGATGTCGATCCAGGGATATCCATGTGAAGTTCTGACCCACGACGCGGGTGACCTTGGACATCAGCGACCCAGAGGGAGAATCTCAAGTCTTGTGCCGATCTTGCGGCTGAAGGCAGACTGAACACGTACTGTGCATGAGATAGCAAGAGATCGACGTCTGCATTGCGGATCTCGTTCTTGTGTTGTTTGATAATACCTCTATAAACTTCTTCGCTATCAAGGTCTTTTGCGCCGACGTTACGGTAGAAGTTTCTTCGAGTCTCATTGCGGGCAGCCTCGGGAGCAACAATAGAAAGCGAAACGCCTTTAGGAATCACAGAGCTCGCGTCTGAAGGTGGCAGGTAAAATACGATGGGCGGAGGAGGTCTGGCGTAAGACCCCTTGAAGCGCGGCTTGGGGTTGATCCATCTTCCATTGTCCAGTGGTACGACACGCAGAAGCAAGAGTTCATTGAGCCGAACTTTGCCCCAGTCAGCTATGAGCACGCCACAAACCTTCTCGTGCCAGATATCGGGTCTATTCTGGAATTCGGCCTCAGACTTGGAGATGTATGTCTTGAGCATCTCGACAAACTTTTCGGTAGTCAGAGATTGCTTGACCAGAACTGACACTTGGCCAAGATCATACTGAGCCGACAGGTATCGATCGTTGATGGGCGTCAGCAATGGATTGCCCTCTGTATCTCTGAAGAGGTCTGGTACCAGCAGCATGACCTTGGGTGAGCAGAGTTCGCCTGATCGAGATTCCAGTATCTTGGTGTTGCTTACACGAGCGAAGAACTTGTCGATCATCGCGTCGCAGAACTTGAAGGAAAGCTCTTCCTTGGGAAGATATGCAGGCCAGCCATACTTCAAGCGGGTACCATTGAGTTGATGGAAAGCTTGAATGAGTGCGTGCACCAGCTCACGCTGCAAGTGGCGGTTCCAAGGCTGGTCAGCTTCGATCTCCTGACGACTGGCGACAAGCAAGAAGTCTGCCTGTATGAGAAAGGGAAGACCAGAAGAACACAAGGGCAAGAAAGCATAGATGTCTTGCTTGGCGATGACAGGTTCCCAGTTGTTGTTGATTGGGAACGCGAGCTTGATCACCGACTCGGTGATATCCTTCCTACGCTCGGTTTCGGGCATGCCCCGTGCAATGAAGCTGAAGACGACGTAGGCAGACTGTTGGGTCTTCTTGCCATAAGTCTTTGTGGTGGTGACTAGATGTAGACTGGTGTTGGCGATCGCCTGCTCGGTGTGCGACAGAGTAATACCACCAGAGATGTCAGCAGAGTCATCGAGCTTGACCATCCTGATCTTGGACAGGCGACGCAAGAACATAAACGAAGATGGTTCCAGGACTTTCGTCAATTCTTCTCTGATAGAATCACGATCTTCCTGGTTGTCGATCTTCAAGCAAATCATTGTGTTCATTTGAAGGTCTTCGGGAAACACGGGGAAGTCGGCCCAGATAGGATCAACCATGCCGAGAGGAGTGGTCTTGTCACATATGAACATGTAGCTTTTGGAANNTGACTTGAACGAAGGTTCCGCAGTTCAGCTCGTTGTTCCTTCCTTAAGTAGAGTGTTTGTGTTNTGCGTCATGTTGCANATCATGTCGACGTTGGCTTTGAGAGAGGTCTAGTGTGAGGACAACAGTCCTGCACTGAGTTCTGGCGGACAGAGCGCGAGTCTCCTTGGATAACTCAGATGATGGCATAAGCATCGTGCCTTTCTATGGGCCAGATCTCCAGGCTTTATCGGTGGGAGAGGAAGGTCCGTTCATCCCAGGGGCTGTGCTCCATGCGTAATCCCATATATTCGTTCAAATCTTTTTCCTTCAACACAAGGGGCAATGGTCTAGTGGAATGATACTACACTTCTACTCGCTGCTGTGGAAGGTTTTGGTTTGGTAGTCATTGTTGGCGCCCTACCCACAGTAGTTTGGAGCTGTAGAGACCTGGGTTCGACTCCCAGTTACTCCATTCTTTTGCTCTTGAGAGCATCTCCCGTTTGAGCTGTGAGGTGGATTCTGTCTCGATCATGATACGGAGGTGCTACTTACTTTTCTCCAGGCTAAATCAACCACCGCTAGCCAAAGGTCAATCACAGTCGTATCACGACAGTAGTGAGCAAGGACAATTTCTGGTTCGCTCTCCTCCGCAGGCAACTGTGAATCATATATCGTGAGGTGCGACATGAAGGCGCTCCGGTCGGGAGATGTGGTTGAAGCTTTGGATATCGAGCGGAGCTGACGCTCGGTGCCAAGCCATCGGAGAAGGGGATTGAGAGCTACTAACCAACGCCGCGATTTTATTATTATTGGCCTGACCACATCGAATCACCACCGTAACTCCCTCACAATGCAGATGTTCGAAGCACCGAGGAATGCTGGAACTTTGTGTCAGTCACTGCATATCAAGAGCGCTCGCAAGAGGCATTCGCTAACCTCGAAACAGNTCCTGGGCGGAACAAAAATCAGCGGATCAGACGTACGAGACCAATGTGTGCAAGCAACCCAAGCGATATCGAATGTAGTGCGGTCATCCTTCGGACCCAGTGGACTGGACAAGATGATGGTCGACGACATTGGTGATGTGACGGTCACCAACGACGGTGCAACAATTCTCTCCCNNCTACTCGACATCTCCCACCCAGCTGGCAAGATTCTGGTAGACCTGGCTCAACAACAAGATAAGGAGGTTGGAGATGGAACAACATCAGTCGTGCTCATCGCCTCAGAGCTGCTGCGTCGCGCCAACGAGTTGATGAAGATGCGCATCCACCCCACAACCATCATTACTGGATACCGCCTGGCCCTGCGTGAGGCTGTCCGTTACATGAGCGAGAACGTTGCCACCAAGGTCGATACTCTGGGCCGCGAGTCGCTCATGTCCATTGCAAAGACCAGCATGAGCAGCAAGATCATTGGTGCCGACTCAGACTTCTTTGCAAACATGGTTGTGGATGCCATGCAGAGTGTCAAGACTATCAACAGCCGCGGCGACGTCAAGTACCCTGTCAAGGCAGTCAACGTGCTCAAGGCTCACGGAAAGAGTGCTTTGGAGAGTGTCCTGGTCAAGGGTTACGCCCTCAACTGCACCGTGGCCAGTCAAGCCATGAACACCCGTATCGTCGACGCAAAGATTGCCTGTCTCGACATGAACTTGCAANAGGAGCGTATGAAGCTGGGCGTACACATCACCATCGACGACCCTGCACAACTCGAGAAGATCCGTGAGCGTGAGGCTGGTATTGTCCTGGAGCGTGTCGACATGATCCTCAAGTCTGGCGCCAACGTCATCTTCACCACAAAGGGTATCGACGACCTGTGTCTGAAGTCTTTCATCGAGAAGGGTGCCATGGCTGTTCGTCGTTGCAAGAAGGAGGATCTTCGCCGTATTGCAAAGGCTACCGGCGCTACCCTCGTCAGCTCCCTTTCCGACTTGAACGGTGATGAGAAGTTCGAGGCCAGCAACCTCGGTCACGCCGAGGAGGTTGTCCAGGAGCGCATTTCAGACGACGAGTGTATCCTTGTCAAGGGTACAAAGGTTCACACTTCTGCTTCAATTATCCTCCGTGGTCCCAACGAGTACTCGCTCGACGAGATGGAGCGTTCCGTTCACGATTCGCTTTCTGCTGTCAAGCGTACCCTCGAGAGTGGTCGCATTGTTCCTGGCGGTGGTGCTGTCGAGACTGCTCTGCACATCTACCTCGAGGAGTGGGCTACCTCAGTCGTACGTACATTCTCTCTGTTTGAAGATTTGATGCTAACTCAACATACAGNNGGCTCGCGTGAGCAACTCGCCATTGGCGCCTTCGCCCAATCCCTTCTCATCATCCCTACCACCCTCGCTGTTAACGCCGCAAAGGACAGCTCAGAACTCGTTGCTCAACTCCGCAGTCGTCACGCCCTGTCACAACGCCTTTCTGCCTCGGAAGGTGGCAGCGGCGATGCACACACCGCAGCTACCGTACAGCCCGCCACCGAAGACGAGAAGTCGCTTGCCAAGAAAAAGAACTACAAGAACTACGGTCTGGACCTTACCAAGGGTCGCGTTGTCGACAGCTTGAAGATGGGTGTTTTGGAGCCCGCCATGAGCAAGGTCAAGCAGTTGAAGAGTGCTGTCGAGGCATGTGTGGCCATCATGAGAATCGACACCATGATCAAGCTCGACCCTGAGAACCAGGGTGGTGATGACGGTCACGGTCATTAAGGCGAGTAACCAAAAAGCATGTGTAAAAATACCACGGATTCCCGATTTTTTCGCGTAACATTGAATGAAAGATACCATTAGACGTACAACAGAGCTTCCTTTGTTGCAATTTTGTCATGAGTTTTCCGGTAGTCTGAAGAGGCGTATCGGAGAACGAGCATTTCTCACACCAAAACTTCATCAGTCACAAGATACGGTATGCACAATCAATCTTGTGTTGCTCACATTCGAATGTCATGAAGACCAAAGAACGCGACTGATGTGAAGATCGAGGATAGGATCTCGACCATGAATCAGGTCCTACACATGTTGAATCCTTCCGTCCGTAAACCTTGTACGAAACATCGTGATGACAAACCCATTTTCATCGACCCTACTCTACACAGCAGCAGATCAAATTCCATCCAATAGGGCCTACAGCAAATTCATATCACCATGACTGCAAATCTACCGCAGAATCACCTCGCCACATCTGAAACTACAAACTCGCCTCAACTCATCCTGTTGTACACTCTCTCCGCAGCTTTCATCTTTCTACCACGCCTCAACACACATCTCAACATCCCAGTCACTGCCTCTCTGGTTTCTCAACTCGTCATCACTATCGGTTTCTTCGGCACATTGACTTACCTGGGCATTGAAAGTCTTTACATTGTATACAAACTTTTTTCTATATTGCTGAGATGGCTACTGCAACCGAAGTCTGCTACCAGCTTCGCTGTTTACTTTGGTACCCAGTGGCGACTGCCCGCCTCTGGGGTTGACAGGTTTTGGGTCAAGATGGCCACCAGTGTAATTGCAGCGATATGGCTTACATCCAGACTCTTCTTCAAGAACCCAAAATCAGGAAGCGAAGGTTGGGAAGCAGCAAAACGGAACATCGCAGCAAAGCGAGGAGCACAAAAAGTCGCTACAGCAGAGCAAGGAGGCGTGGTGGCAGAGAGTACAGACGATGGACCTGCATGGATGTGGGCATCTTGTGCTTTCGCATACGCGGCTGCAGTATTCGACTCCAAAGAATGGTTCCAGAGCGTGTTGAGAGGTGGTGCAAAGGTGGAAAGGACTAGGGAGTGGGATGTCTTGTGTCTGTGGGCTCCAATGCTGATTGCTGGTCTAGTGGGTCTTGCAAGATGGAGATGGACTGTTGCAGCAAGGACCAGGAGAGTTGATGTGAAGTCTTGTGAGAAGGACATTAGCCATGAATCAGGTCCCTCCATAGCTTGAATCCTTCCACCCCGTATCTCGTATACGAATAGTTGGCACTTGCACCATGAACAAAAGCGTTTGCACTCCTCAAGGGATTTCACAACAACAATCACATCTAACTCGAACTTGTCATCTTTATCCAACCAAAATGACGGCAAAGGAAGGTCCCCGTCCGCCCTATCAGCTCTTCTTCTTCAACCTCGTCGCAGTCGCCTACTTCGGGCCAAGGCTGTATACCTATCTGCAGCTTCGACCATCCTTCTCATTGACCCTGCATTGCATTACAACAGCATGTCTGCTCAGCACAGTTGCCTTCATAGTCATCGACACTTCCTTCGACATCATGCGTCTACTCTACAAACTGCTCGGATTCCTGCTACGGCGCATGCTGGACTATCATCTCGAGGACACTCTCGCAACTCAATGGAGATTTCCTGCTTCAGAGCAAGCGAGATATTGGATCAAGCTGTTGCTAGAAGTCGTCATAGGTGTAAGCGCAACGATCTACATCATAAAAATCAAAGCAGGTGGTTGGGAAGCTGCAAAACGAAACATTGCAGCAAGATACAATGAAAAGACGAAACCGGACTTGGGTACTGCAGAGCGAGGAGGTGTGCCCAAGGAAGCTAATCACGAGCCTGTGCTTATGTGGGCTGGCTGGGCTTTCTTGTACTCTGATGCTTTGTTCGAGTCTAGCGATTGGTTTGTGACAGTACTCGGTGGTAAGAGTGTGGAAGAGTCCTCAAGAGGAAAGTGGAGGTTCGTGTGTATGCTTGCTTCAATGGTGGTTGCAGGTGCGGTAGCCCTTGCTAGACGGAGATGGATCACGAAGGCTAGAAGACTACCCGTGGAGAAGGAACACGTTGTTGAGGGAAGAAGCAAGTGTGTCAGAGAAGCAATAAGTCTGGACATGAGATAGATTTTAGAAGCATTTTCTAAAGCTTCAGAGCGCTTGCCTAAAAACTCAAGACAAGGAAGCCAGGCTGTCTACCAACCACCGCCGATAGTGCTGGCAAGACCAGCCACTCTTTCTACATCTGTGGTCTTGCCAATATCGCTCTCGACCTTGCGGTAAGAGGTATATACTAGCTTGTCTGTCGCTACGCCTGTGATCCCAGACCAATGTGAGAAGATATCCTTGATCTGCGAGTGCGAGATACCATCCACCATTGAAGCATCTTCTGCATCCTCCATTTCGACATCGCCGTTAGCAGAAGACTTTGCTGTCGTAATTGCAGAAGCAGCGTCCACATCTTCAACACCTTCGTCTTCTGTATCTGAAGGTGATGGTGATGATGATGCAGACGAGGATGAGAAATATGCTTCATCGACTTTCTGTAACCACTCTTTTTGTTGAGGGGCGACTACCTGGTCACCTCCGTTCTCTACACCGCTGCTTCGTAGAGCTCCTACGTCTCCAACTTTTATTTGACCACCACCGTTTGTGCAGCCACCTGGGCATGCCATAACTTCTACATAAGCGTAGTCGTTCATGTTCTGACCTCCTGCCGATCCTGCAGCTGCACCAGGCTTGCGAGCACCAGCAAGTCTATTTGCTGCTCCTGGCATGCGTGAAGCGCGTACAGGTTTCAGTCGACGGACCAAGTTTTGAATGTTGCGGAAACCATAGTATCGAGCAGATCTCACTATGGCAGCGTTTTCCGAGTCAACCAAAGTGTATTCAACGACATCAGCATTGCGGCCTCGTTGGATAGTAATCTGGCTGCCTGGATGTTGTGCGCGATACGTTTGCATGACATGCCAGAGATATCCACCGCTAGTTCCAGCGTCTCGCGTGCCATTGCGGGTAGAAGTTGCAGGGAACAGGAATCGATCTAGTTTAGGGTCCGGGAAAGGCGTGCGATGTTGGCGTGCAAGAGGCTTCTGTGGCAATTGAGGAAAGGAAATGCCACGACTTTCAGCAAGCATGAGTAGCTCACGAGCAGTGATTACACAATCGACATCGCGTATGCCCTTGCTTTCGGTGTTTGTACCATCAGGAGACCAATGTATATCTGTCAACTCTTCCCTGGACGCCTCTAGCTTTTTGTCGAAACAAGGCATGATTGCCATGTGCCACACATTNTCCGGGTTGATTCCATATTTCCTTGCAAGAACGCTCTTGATCAATGTGCCTGTCAGGGCTTGCGGTGACTTCAGTCGTGACATGTGGGGCAGTGCGTGAGGGTGTGTTTTCTCGGCGTAACAGATCCAACCAGGACAGGCAGAGGCAAGTATGGGCTTCTTTGGCTTCTCGGCGCGCGAGCCACTAAAGTCTGTCGTGTGTTTGGCTGTGGGTGCGAGGGAGTCCATGACTTCGTCGGCTGCAGCTACCAGAGCAGCCTGACGCATGACGTTAGTATCAATGACCCAAGAGAAGCCACTATTGTTTGCGCCGCCCGATCGCAGACCAGCTGGACCAGAAAGAAGTTGTTGAATCATGTTTGTAGCGGCAGCCTCAGAGACACCATACGTCGCAGCAATGCTGGCACGAGTCTGAGGCGACACGCTTGCGACAAAGATCTTGCCATCTGAAGGACCTGGTAGAGACTCGCCTGACGCGGTCCAGGGCAGGCGTAGTTCAGGGTATGCTTCGAGTGTGTTCAAGACTTCTTGATGTGATTGCAGACTGACGAGGACGGCCTCTGCTGAAGTAACACAACCACTACATGCGAGACAATCGGTCAGGNNGGATATACTGGCTGGTGGGGCTTCGGCGGCGGCGATCTTGTCTTCGGTTGTGACTTCGTAGGCATTTTCTTGTGGTTGCTGTTTCGGAAGGGTTTCTACGGGTTTGATACAGGCGACACCGGGAGAGATAAAGTCGTTCAGGTCATCAGCAGACAGGATGGCCGACATGTTTGCGATTCTTTTGTATGTGGCGGGGGTCGCGAGGGCGGGGTGTCGAATCTATGAGAGCAATGCTTTTAGGCAAGACAAGGAGCAACTGGAGATGCTAAGAAGGAAAGAACAACGCTCGGAGAAACAAAGTCATAGAAACATGAAATCATGTAATTATGGATACAAGGGCGGAGAAGGAAAGAGCGATAGGAAAATAATTCAGTTGGTCAGCATTGGAAATGGAAACCACCAACGTAATTGGCAGTAGCACGCGAGTCGGCCGTTGTCGCCGCGCCTTCTCCGCCGACCGGAAGCTTTGCCAAGGCCGTCGCATCCCTCAATCTTTCTTTGCCCATCATCCATCAAAGTCCACTACTACGGCCGTCAATACCATCATACACACAGTAATCATGTCGCAACAACAGACCAACAACAACACTGGCTTCCAGATCACCAACCAAAACACCTTCGAGGACACCAACCGCAGCGTCAAGTACCTGTGCGGCGACTGCGATGCCGAAGTTGCTCTCAAGCGCGGCGACCCCATCCGTTGCAAGGAGTGCGGTTACCGTGTTCTGTACAAGCAACGCACCAACCGGTACGCTTTTCCTTGATCAGTCCATCAGTCTTCCATTTCTGACTTTTGTCGCAGCATGATCCAGTTCGAGGCCCGCTAAACAGTCCATCCGCTTGTGCTACAAAATCTTCTCGCGCACCACACTACGCGCTCCCTTCAGCGACATCTGCGCCGACACGGCAATCTCGAACTTCCGATACATCCAGCTCGATCCGCGCATCCCGCCCTTCGGGTCTTGCCTGCAAAGGTCACAATGACCCTTTGGCCCATATCCACCCACTCACACGGCGTTCATCTCTAAGGCACAAAATACCATTTTCTACGAGCGCGGCGTTCTATTGCGACTGGCATTATTCTATTTCTGGTTTGAAGGGCTGAGAAAAGAGGAAGACATGGGATGCGGACGCCTTATGCTTGGAGAAGCTATTGATAAACCAATCAATTTTGAAATCAACCTTTCAGAAGAACATGTGTCTCAGAATGCAAAACTGTGCTGGCAGAACTTGTCAAGGAAATGATATGTACAGAGACTATGCTTGGTTATATGTATATGAGAAGAGAGTCAGAGCCAGGTCGAAGACCCATGCTTCTTGCAGACTGACACAAGTATCGCAACGAATCAACAACGTATCGCTGGCGGCTGCGGTCATGGGTATATCGCGCCTGGAAACAAATTCAAAAAGAAAGTGATGAACAAAAAGAAACAAAAAAAAACTATGCTATCACAATTTCGATGTACTCAAATCAACAAAGACATAGGAAATATTGCTCTCGACAAATTATACACCCAGCTCTTTCGCAAAAAGCATTGTCCAAATTGTAAGACTCACATTGCCTCTAACTCGCTGGCCAGACTTCTGCCAACCAGCTCCTCGGGTGTTTGATCACGGGGACTCTGGGCTTCGTTGTCCATGTTGACGGTTGTCTGCTCTTCCTCGTCATCGGCTCCGATTCCTGTATCGACATCGCCAAGCTGTGCATCCTCATCATAGCTTTGACGTCTGAAGACCATGGGGCTCTCTTCGCCCACCTCAGTAGGCTTTGTGTCGAAGTAGCTCATCTTGGCCTCGTTGTTGGCTTGCTGCGGATTATTAGAGAAACTGAGGCTTGAGCGCTGTGATCCATTAGGCCCTTCGGCTGGACTAGGAGTGCGACGGAAGTTTGTTGCGGGAGGGGTCATAAGACCGGACAGGACAGATGGGGATGGTAGCAGTGCTGGTTTAGAAGGCGTTTGCGTGCGGCCGTTAGCCAATCGTGCGGCAGCAGCAGACGATCTAGCAGTGGCTCTTGAAGCCGGAGCTTTGGGAGCAGATGCAGGACGTGCTGTCTCTCTACTCTTACGCCAGTTACCAAATGCTGCGGCAAGAGACACTGCCTTGGGGGAAGCGAAATTGGTCAGATTGGCCAGAGCTTGACCCGTCAGCGAGGGACCTGCATTGATGAGTCGCTCTTTCTCTTGTTGTTCCATCTGCAGGTTGGCACGGATGCGTATAGCAAAGTCCCTGACTGCATCTCTGTCGTACTCTGACTTGGACAAAGTGTCAACGAGCTGGTTGAGGTCTTCGTTGCGAACAGACAGAAGCTCGCGCAACCAGGAAATCTCGACCTCTTTCTCCTTGAGTCTTGCAGGTGCTGCAGTGTCGACGTTTGCAAGCTGGGTTTGCAGACGCTCGATACGAGTCTCACGTTCCTGAAGCTGCTCTTGCAAGACTAGAATAGACTCGCGAAGTGCTTGAGGCGAGATCTTCTCGGGTTCTTCACGCGATACAGTTGTGGCTGCGGGCGTGGCTGCTGGAGTAGACTTCGCAGCTTGGGCAGCGGAAGCAGCTGCCTGTGCTGCAGATTTTGCAACATTCAAGCGTTCCTCCAAATGAGCGACCTTGTCACGCAAGTGCAAAACCTGGTCGTTCGACAGCTCCAGTCTGTCATTGAAGTGCACTGCGGAACGTTGCTTGTCCTCATAGGCATTGGCGACACTTCTTTCGTACTGTGACTTGAGGTAGCTGATCTCCTCTGCGTGCTTTTCGCGCAGATCGTTCAGAGCAGCGCTGCTGGTCTCGTTGACCTTGCGAAGAGCATCGCGTCTAAGGTCGGCCTCTTGCTCCAGTGAACGTTCGTGCCTTTCGCGAGCAGCGTCCGAGACCATCTTGATATTGTCAATTTCATTCTTGGCGAGCATAATCTCATGCTCCAAGCTAGCACGGATTATGTTGGCCTGGCTCTCGGCAGCTTCGATGCTAGATTGCATGATCATTTGGGTACGTTGTACCTCGGCCCTTCCAGATTCTCTCGACTCATGCAAATCACGCTGCAGGCGAGCGCTCAAGGTTTGCTCTGATGTAAGGTTCTCTCTGAGTGTTCTTACTGTCTCCTCATGCAAAGTGGTGGATCTTTGCAGCTGTTCAAGCTGGATTTTGGTGGTAACAGCCTCGTGTGCTTGGGCACGCAAGCTGTGTACCTCTTCCTCCATACTACGTCTGATGCTGACTTCGCCTTCTAGACGAGCTTGCAAGACAACGTATCTCTTCTGCAGTTCCTCGTTGCGGTTTTGCCATGTTGCCTTCTCGTTGGCTAGTTGCTCTGCTGCAGAAATCATGCCATGGTGGATCTTGTCAAGCTTGCTACGCATGTTTTCACGAATGTTGAGGCCATCCGCGATTTGGTTCTTCAAGTCAGACATGCTTTCCTGAAGATTAGCGTTATCACGGGCAGCGACTTCAGCTTCTTGCTTCCACTTCTTTGCAGACAGACGAGAATCCTCGAGTTCGGTAATCAAGCTCGTGACACTAGCCTTCAATGCCGTGCTCTCTACGGTTGCATCGTCAGCAGTTTGTTGGACTTGTTTAATGGAAGCGTGAGATTCCTCCAGTTGGACCATCAGTTCTGCAGCACTGGCCTTGATCGCAGTGGCTTCTATAGCTGCATCATCAGCTGCTTGGCGTGCTTGTTTACCAAAGGCTTGAGATTCCTCCAGTTGAGACAACAGCTCAGCTGAGCTAGCCTTGAGCGCTGCGTTCTCAATGATCGTATCTTCAAGTTGTTGACGAGCCATCTTGATGGTTTCCTGGGATTCTTCAAGCTGGACCTTGAGTTCAAGAGCACCGCTTTTGAGAACCTCATTCTCGCTAGTGACTTCATCTACTTCATTTCTCCACTTGGTACTAGACAGACGGTATTCTTCCAGAGTAGACTCGAGTGCTGAGTTTTCTGCCTCCAAATCTGATAGCTGCTTTCGATCATGCGCGTGGGTAACTTCGGCAGCATCGACACGAATCTCAAGCTCTTCGCGCTGGTTCTCCAAGGAATGGATACGCTGTTCCTTATCGCCCACAGTCTTGCGGAGAAGAGAGAGTTCTTCTTCAGCGAGGCGAAGCAGTCGGCGAGTGTCAGCCTCGCGTTCCTCAATCGTGCGACGCTGGTTGGCCTCTTCCAGTGCATCGGCAAGTGTCTTGTTCAGTCTATTGTTAAGCTCAGAAACCTCCCGTCTGTGCCTCTGGGACATTTCTGGGTTCTCAATTGGTGCAGTGGGAACCAGAGTCTGGCCCATGCGATGCAGTGACTCGTCAACGACATGCTTGACATCGTCAATGTCGAGGTTAGATGATGCAATGCGGGCAATGGTCGTGTTCATGTCCATAATCGCGTTATGAATCTCGGTAGCGGATGAGAGTTGAGAGCCGTTTGCCTTCTGTGAAGCCAAAGCTTCAAGCACAGCAGCCTTGATTTGACTCGCTTTCCTCTCTTGTGCACGAGACACTGAGCGGAAAGGTTGTCGTTCGTCGATAGTTTCATCCTCATCGTCAGCATCGCTGTAATCGACAGGCAAAGGACGATTTGTCATTGGTCGTGGCTCGCGAGTCATGATAGTGCTTACAGCGCGGTGGATCATCTGCAAGCTCTTTTCGAGAGGTGCCAAGCGATGTTCAATAACACCGCCGACAATCTGATCAACTCTATCGTCGAAGAAGTTGCTGCGTGTGCGCAGCTTGCTGACCTCGTCAATGGAGAGGTCATCAGACCATTCGCTTAGAGGAACATCCTCGCTGCGATTGAGACGATTGATGTGAGCGGGGCGTAGCTTGACCTGTTGTCTTGACAGTGTTGGCTGAGGAGAGATCGAGCGGTCCCTACCACCCCGACTAGGACTGTGGTGTATAACACTTGCATTGGGGCTGACAACCTCTGAAGCAAACTCTTGTTGCACCTGATCATACTCATCGTCGTCATTGAGTTGCTGCATAACAGCATCGATTTCGTCGAAGGTAGGCTCTGGGAAGCGAGCTGCTTCATTGTCATCGGTGGGGTAAGGCGCATGTTTTTGTGGCTCGGGCGAAGGAGCGTAATCGAGGTCTTCCACCGACACTTGTGTCTTTTCAGATGTACGCGAGAAGACGCGCGAAGGGCTGAAGTCAGGCTTGGTCTTGTTCGGGTCGGGGCTGCGAAGAAGCGATTCGGTTGGCTGGTTGCTTGATATCGATCCTTGAGGCTTGAACTCGAAAGGCTTTGCAAGTGCTGATAGAGAACTCGAATTCTTCTTGTGACCTTGTTCATTCTGCACGGTAGGAAGCTTGGCCAAAGTCTCGAAATCTTGCGCGGATGCAATGTTGGCTGATGTTTTAGCAGCGTGCCCATTGCTAATGGCTGGCTTGACCTCATCGCCCTCGACCTTTTTATCAAGACTGTTGACTTGTTGAGGCTCCGAAGCGATCGAATCTTGCTCGTGTCCAACACTTGACGTTTCCTGAGTGTTCGGATGAGCAGGAGATGCCGGGCGCTCGGCGAATAGAGGCACATCATCACCATCACTCTGACCAACACGAGCTCTCTTTTGCCTGTCCTCGCTTTGCACGGCACGACCATCTTCATCCTCAGCCTCGGGCTCTTCCTTTACGGGTGAGGATTTCGGCTGAGTAATAGCTACAGCCTTGGATTTTCTCACTGGCTTAGTCGCCTCTGGTATCGCTACATCACCAAAAATGCTAGGAACAGCAGATTGAATAGGAGCTTGATAAGCAATGGGTTGCTGGACGGCAGCAACAGGATTGAATGGGAATGATGAAGCGAAGTTGAAGTCTGATGAGGGCATGACGCCCAACCCCGAAGGTTGGAAAGCAGCAGATGACAGATCCATGTTACCAGCAGACGGATTTCCAATGCTACTCTGGATAGGAGGGCCAAAGTTTGACAGTCCTGGAAGACTAGGCAGGGTCGGTTGGAAGGCAGGGCCTGGTTGGAACTTGAATTCGGGCGCAGCCACACTAAGCCTTGATGCATGTCCCTTGACCTTGTTGGTAGTTTTGTTCTGCAGAGCACCAGCCATTCCAGCATTCGAGATGCTGTCCTTGGCTTCCGGCTTTGCCGGAGCGTTGCTGTAACCAGGGGACTCCTTACGACCGCCGAAGCCATTCACGCCATGTCCAAGAGATGCACGTTTGCCTGGAGGCATGTACGCACCATTACTGGAAGTTTGACTGACGAAACTGTTGTTGGCTTCATCCTCTTCGTCTTGGAGCTGGCGCTCGAAAGACTTTTCCAGGTGGTAGTCGGATCCTTGAATCTCTCTTTCGAGAGCATCACTAATGTTTCGGTTGTGTCGTGGACTGGGGTGAGCGAGTTCAACCTCCTTTCGCGTTTGACGTCTTGGTGTGGCACCAGCAAAGTAGTCCTGCATTGGCTCCTCTTCATCTTCAGGAACTTCGGCCAATGATGGGATCGGGCGCATTGCCGATCCAGGAGTGAGTGTAGGTGTAATGCTTCTCTGAGCCTGAGGTTGAGGAGAGAAGCTCGAAAATACTGATTGGTGTCTGAGGTGAGCCTGTCCAGGCCAGTCGCCAGGCTGGGGGCTTCGAGCAAATGGAGAAGGCATGCCGTATGGAGAGATAGGAGATTTGGCTGGTGGTCCTTCGCTCTTGAGCCTCTCCAGTGCAGGCGAACCTCCCCTGGGGAGCGCATTCATGTTGAAATTTGCCGTTGAAGGAGAGAAAGCAGGCAATCCATTGTGCTGATTTTGCTGATTGGGGAACCCGAAAGGCATTCCCGGCATACCGAATACAGAATGTCTATGCGCATGGCTTCTGGGATCACCAGGCATGGACAGAGGTGAAGCGACAGATGCTGAGTAGGAATGTCCGGGCGTGGGGAAGTGGGCTAGGGAAGGCGTGGAGCGATGCGATCCTCCGGCCATGGCTGCATGCATCATATTGGGCGAAACAGACTGGTAATGGCCAGAAGATTGACGAGACATGGGTGGAGGCTGAGCAGGAGCAAGATCATCTCCCAGACTCACACCCAAGGCACGCAGCTTCTGCTCCATCAAATCATCGACATACGACTTCCAAGTCTGCGGATTCGGTACGAAAACTTTGAAGTCTTTCTGCTGACGCTTGATGATATCTTCCGAATTGTCAGGATATTGTGCGCTACTCTGTGACACAATCGAATCATGGTAGGCCCATGGCTCAAGATCAAATCCGTTCACATTGTAGCCCTCCTCTTCAAAATGTTTTAGACGTGATTGCGCTTCGCTTGCGCTCAGCGGTTTGTTGCCGCCGCAAGCTTCAGGAGCCACTGATGGCAGGGCGATCCAACAAGCCTTTCCTCTCCACGCCAATTTAGTTCTGGGTCGTGGTGGTGGTGTGGATTGCTGCATGTCCGAGTTTGGAGGAGAAGGTAGTGGTGGCAGTCGGTCATTCTTTTGAGGGCTGTTTCTAGCAGATCTGACATCTCCTGGTGGTGCAGGTGGTGGTGGGAGAGGCTTCTCCTTCTGGGGAGACGAAGCCCATCTGGATGTAAATAGCGACATGTCGGGCTCGTTCAGTTGACGTGTGAACTGCCAAAAGTCTTCCTGCTTCAAGGTCAAATTACTCTCTCTAGATTTGTGACCTCTTCGAAAAGAATCGTGCGATACTGGTCGTTGCTGCCTCCCGAATAGGGGACTCGCAGACGTGTTCTTGCGACGATGGCGGCCAGAGAACCAAGTGAAAGGAATAGGTGTCTTGAACTCCTCTTCCTCGTCAGAGCCTGAGTTACTACCACCAGACTCGTCACTCAACCAATTGCCTCTCTCTGAGCGCCACTTGCCAGTGGTGTATTGTTGAACCCAATCTTCCGTCAAACGACGAGTGATAGTATGACGGGACGGTCTCTGTGCGACTGCCTGTGTTGGATTTTCTTGAAGGGCCAATCGCTCTGTCGTGACTGGACTTGGTATGTGATGCTGAATAGGTACGCGAGAAGGCAACAAATGGTCGAGACCGAAAGAAGGGCTAAAATCACGTCCTTGAACTGCAACTCTGGATGGAACGAGGTGTTCGAGACCGAAAGAGATGCTTGGAGAGGGGCTCTCGCTCGTAGTGTGTCGTTGCGATGCAATCGGAGTGCCTTCAGCGCTGAGAGCGCTAGGATCTTGGGTAGGTCGAGTGTACGGTGAGCCCCAGCTTGCTGTGTAGTAGACTGAGGGAGCGTCCGTCGTAGAAAGAACCTCTTCACGCACTGAGCGGGTCGAGCCAGAAGAAGGTGTCTCGAAGACAAGCTGAGGGTTTGCCAGAGTGATTGACTGTCCCGACCGACCTAGATCTGACGGGTCATCAGACCTGCTGCGACGATGAGGGCTGGAGACGGGGGTACTGATGGTCACAGGAGAAGTGACAGACAGCATACAGTCGATACTGTGCGAATGCTCAGTTTCGGGGATGCTTTACCCCGTAGACTTATTTAGCTGTGCTTAGTGAAATTACAAAGCTGGGACCTGCTCGAAATCGACGTCAATACCCAGTAATGCTGCAGGGAAGGGGGAGAAAGAACCGGTCGGTCGACTCGGCGCTACATGTATGTAGAGATGCAAAAGGCTCTCATACACCGCTTCAATCAAAACATCATCATCTGTTCATCAAGGAGAACAGCACATTGTTGATCCCGAGTCAAGCCACAGAGGCTGTGATCAGCCTCCAGGGGTCCACCGGACCCACACGAAGGCATCGAAGGTACAACGTCGTCCGCGGGACGGTCAAACCCAATCACACGAAGACCATGACATGAAACTGGTCGATTAAAGAGAGACTCCGAGTATATCATTTGTATCCGAGGACACTCCTGCCTCTATTTATGCACCTGAACCTATCCAATCCGACGCGAACGCTATCAAAAAAATCAAAAAGTGCAATGTTTCGCAGCTCAGCTAGGCCTTGAGCCTCCGTTCTTCACATCTTACACATACGGGGTCTTGATTGTTGCCTCTCAAGAAGTATCTGCCATCATCGAAGCCATCACCACATTCNCTATGATCAAATTAGTCATGGTTTGAACGAACAAGCAGAGCTTTACTCACAGTGCAACAGAAGCACTTTGCGTGCCAGTCGGCTCCCAAGGCCTTGACCACAATCTCCGTGACTGGGCGTTTGCATTTACGGCACTTTGCGCTGTATCTGTTGGTATGACAGCCTACACACCATGCGTATCCATCCTTTTCAACAAAAGGTGTAGTTGAATCGAAAGGNCTATACAAGAATTAGCAACCAGTAGTTGTTTGAGGACTTTTCAGATCGAAACTCACGTCACCGCACTGTGCGCAGAAGAAATGGCCGACGTGCCATTCGGCTCCACATGCAACAACTACCTCTCCCTCGATGGGTGTCTTGCAGCTCTTGCAACGTGGACTGAAGAACTCGTGGAAGTCTAGTCCGCAGAAGAATCGAAGCGATTCGTCGCCATCCTCTTCCTCTAACCTCCTGACATCTTCTTCGGTGACGCCTGCAGGCAGGTGGACGTCAATGCCCTGTTGACGTTGTCGAATACGAGCCAGGCGTTCCGCTCGCTTCTTGTCTGGCTCTGGATAGAAGGCTACGCACTCAAGGTTGATGCCACATTCGTGACACTTGAAGCATGAAGGATGGAAACGCTCGCCTGCGGCACTCAAGATGCGCCCTGCTATGGGCAATGCACAATGGGCACACAAAGCCGTGTTTCGCCTTACTGATGGTGTCATATGAGGTTTGGTCACTGCTGGGACTGGCATCGTCTTCGAGGGGACGGGAAGCGGACGAGCAGATGCGGGTGTGGGGGTTGGGAGAGGTCGTTTCGAGAAGGGTGAGGATGTCTTTGGCGGCGAAGACTGTGGACGATGCTGAAGCGGTGGTGGTCGGTCATTCTTGACGCTAGATGGNCTCGTTGATGACGAAGACAGGAGGTTTCGCGGTGTTTGAAGACAGACTGATTCCAGGAACATCCGGCTCTTCAGAGAGTGTCTTGGATGGGCTTGAGATAGGATCATCTGGGACGACAATCATTGGAATGTCAGCNNACTCATGACAGAAATTGTTGGCATGGCATCCGGAAGCTCAGTTGGTCTCGTCGCTGGCTGATCCGGAGTCATGATCACAGGAATTGGAGGCGGGCCTTGCTGGGAACGAGGCAACGAGTAGCGTCTCTGCTTTCCACTCAATGCAGCATCGGAAGGGGCGTTTTTCCCTACGGCCAAACACTCAGGCAGACCTGTCGATTTCTCTTCGACCAACTGGATCTCTTTGGGTTTCCATCCTGACTGGAAACTGACAATGGGTCTGCCAGGACTATCGCTGACTGCGGTCGGCTGAGGTAAGTTTGGGCTCCTGTCCTTGCGCTTCATGGCGGTTGCAGATCGTATGTCGTCGCTGCGAATCTCCTTGCCATCCTTTATCTTCGGACTGTCCTCTACAGCATTCTCGGGTACGTTCTGAGGAGGAAGATTTGGTGAAGCTGGGACAGAATCGTTGACGGTGTAGAAAGCGTTGCGAGACTGCGAAGGTGGATTCCTTTGAATCTCGATCTTCTCGTGTTTCTTCGCTGTGTAGCCAGAGAAAGACTCTTTGTCGTCATTCTTCTTGACCGAGTAGCCAGACGGAGATTCTCTCTTCTCGAATTTTTCTTGAGCCAATCTCACTCGAGCGAAAGGGTTCCTTCGAACATGGCGTGGAACTTCCTCCGACTTCGTTTCCGCCTTCGCTGTGGCTTTTGTACTNTCCGCAGCTCTTGCATCCTTCAGTTGTTGTTCATCCGGTTCCTCGTAGATCTTGTCGGTTGGGCTCATAAATCCAGCCTTGATGTCTGCGCTGGGTCGTCGTTTGGAGCCGCTGCTCACACGTCGCTTGGATATTGCGACATCGTTCGCCACAGCGTTTGCGAGCCCTTCATAACTTTTGCCTTTTGCACGTGTGCTTCGAGGTGTAGAGACAGGAGTGGAAACAGGCGTAGCCTCAACGAACGGATCGTCGGGGAGATTGTTAGTGCGAGGCCTCTCAGGGGATGAGACTGGCGAATCATTCGCTGCTGGACGGCTGACTGAGAGAGGAGGATTGTCTACCTTGTCCTTGCTTGTGTTACGAAGGTGGGCACGATAGTCTTTTCGTGCAGCTTTCGCGTCCACGTCTGGATTTGCGTACGCAGAGGCACGTTCTTTNTCAGGGTCGTAACCAGTGCGGTGCTTCCAGACTAGCTCAGCCGCCTCATCTTGGGCAGCTGCATGTATGCGTTGTTCTTCGTCCAGCTCCAGCTCTTCTATGGCTTCGTGTAGGGGCTGTGAGACCAGAGATAACGGTCTGGCCGCATTGGAAGGTCCTGGTTGCGCTACGAGGGAGCGACCGGCGAAATCGTCGCGATTGATGGAATCGAAGCTCTTTTGGCGGCTATGCGTGGTGGTCGATGTTGTCTTGTTAGTGATGGTCGGGATGGACCCGTCGCTAGAAGTGGGTCGATGCTGCTGGCGCTTGCTTGCGATTCTTGAGGGTGGAGGTGGTCTTGAACCGTTGAGTCGTGCGACGCGGTTGTTGCGAAGGTCTTGTAAGTAAGTTGCTGAATCATCGTCGTGTAAGCTCAAGTTGTTGATTTGTTCATAGTCGGGTATAGAGGAAAGTCGTTGGCATTGTCTAAGTGGTGAGGGTTTCTTTGGAGAATGTGGTGTCTTAGGAGGAGAAAAATGAATGTGCTGACCCAATGGTTGATCTTTATTGTTGTCACTGTTGTCAAAAGCCATGGCGAGGCCGGAAGACAGGGATATCGAAATCGTCTTGGGTCAGCTTGTAGGAAGGAAAACTGATGGCGGGCGTAGGATGATTAAAAGAGATACAGCAAAAGACAAAGAGAATCGTTATCAAAACAGAAAATCAATAGTGTAACGAAAGAAACGAGAGTATAACGACGTGGAGGTGAGGTATTCTGGAGCGAAAGTATGGACGATAGGCATGACGGTTTATTTGCACTTCAAAACATAGCAACCAAAAGCTTGGACCAACATGGGCTCAAGCACTCCGATCCACGACCCTGTGGGCGGTCAGACAATCTTCTATGACAGAATTGAGCTGCCCACGCCCTGAACTGACGATCTATTTGAACGTATTCCTTGGAAGTGTCAGGCGGCTTGAAGAGTTAGGCAGCCTGAAGAAGACATGTCATTGTCGAACGACAGATTGGAAGATGATAGATTGGAAGATGATGGCTGTGGCGCGCCGAAAGTCTGCACAGCCGTTGTCTTGGAGAGAAGAACCGCCCTCCCCGACAATCGATATTGTATGACCTACATAGGTAGACCCTAGCCGGTACACGCTCTGCTATATTTGAAAGGCCAGACGAGATTGGGAAGTGAAAGTAGATCTTCGAGAAAAGCGGTCAGTGTGCGCAGGGCGGTCTATCGGTAAATTGCTTTGCCGACTTGCAGAAGTAATAGGGGCGGCTGATTGAGCACCAAAGAGACATGCCAAATCCCGACACCTGAGAAGGACAGCTATCGGGTGGTGTAGCTGATAGCGGTCTATCTCAGAAGAGAATCTGGTATCAGTGCAAGCTGTGAAGACTTGCCTAGTTACGACTTTACTGAGAAGTAGGTATGCACCTGACATGGGGCGGGTAGTGAAACGTGAAAAGCTTAAATGACTGATATCAGGGACAACGGGACACATATGGGGAAGCATGACACAGAAATTCAGTAGCTATCCTAGATAGCTCTTGGTGACAGTCAAGAGTAGACGGCGGCAGTAGGGACTGAAGAGTTGTTGGGTGAATGAATGATAGAAAAAACAAGGGCCAGGGTCGTGGCGGCTGTATAAGACGGAAGCAGCCGATTGTTGATGTTTGGGCGCCAAGAGAAATCAAAGCAGGAGCGCTCGGTGCTTTCCTCCTGCCTACCGCCTCCCCTTGATCCCTTCCCACGCCCATTGCCAACTGACAATCTCCTCGACCACCGTATCCCGACCCTCCAGACCTCTTCATCGCTCACCCATCACATTCACCATGCGTGAGATTGTGTGTACACCCTGCTGTCGCTCGCGCACACAAGAGCTTTGTTGCTAACGTCTTTCTCCTATAGGTCCACCTCCAGACCGGCCAATGCGTATGCCTACCAAATGAGCTCCAATTGATTCGAGGACTGCGCGTCTGACACCACAAACAGGGTAACCAAGTCGGTGCCGCCTTCTGGCAGACCATCTCTGGCGAGCACGGCCTTGACGGCGCTGGTGTGTACGTCGACTTCCTGCGCATCCTCACATAGAGACAGCTCGCTGACTGCCTAATAGCTNACAATGGTACCTCAGATCTCCAGCTGGAGCGCATGAACGTCTACTTCAACGAGGTCAGCCACCAACCGTCGACCCTTCCTCCATTACCTCAATGCTAATGCGCACCACAGGCCTCCGGTAACAAGTATGTCNCCCGTGCCGTCCTCGTCGACTTGGAGCCCGGTACCATGGACGCCGTCCGTGCCGGTCCCTTCGGTCAGCTCTTCCGTCCCGACAACTTCGTCTTCGGTCAGTCCGGTGCTGGCAACAACTGGGCCAAGGGTCACTACACTGAGGGTGCCGAGTTGGTCGACCAGGTCTTGGATGTCGTCCGTCGTGAGGCCGAGAGCTGTGACTGCCTCCAAGGTTTCCAGATCACCCACTCCCTCGGTGGTGGTACCGGTGCCGGTATGGGAACGCTCCTCATCTCCAAGATCCGTGAGGAGTTCCCCGACCGTATGATGGCCACCTTCTCCGTCATGCCCTCGCCCAAGGTCTCCGACACCGTTGTCGAGCCCTACAACGCTACTCTCTCCGTCCACCAGCTGGTCGAGAACTCTGACGAGACCTTCTGTATCGACAACCAGGTTTGTCTCAACCTCATCCTTCTATACCGCTCGCGGACTAACCATGTTAGGNCTCTCTACGACATCTGCATGAGCACCCTCAAGCTCAACAACCCCTCCTACGGCGACCTGAACTACCTCGTCTCCGCCGTCATGTCCGGTGTTACCGTTTCGCTCCGTTTCCCTGGTCAGCTCAACTCCGACTTGCGCAAGCTCGCCGTCAACATGGTCCCCTTCNCCCGTCTCCACTTCTTCATGGTCGGTTTCGCTCCTCTCACCAGCCGTAACGCCCACTCGTTCCGCGCCGTCTCGGTTCCCGAGCTCACCCAGCAAATCTTCGACCCCAAGAACATGATGGCCGCCACCGACTTCCGCAACGGCCGCTACCTCACCTGCTCTGCCATCTTCCGTGGTAAGGTTTCCATGAAGGAGGTCGAGGACCAGATGCGCAACGTCCAGAACAAGAACTCCGCCTACTTCGTTGAGTGGATCCCCAACAACGTCCAGACCGCTCTCTGCTCCATTCCTCCCCGTGGTCTCAAGATGTCATCGACCTTCGTCGGTAACTCGACCTCGATCCAGGAGCTGTTCAAGCGTGTCGGTGACCAGTTCTCTGCCATGTTCCGTCGCAAGGCTTTCTTGCATTGGTACACTGGTGAGGGTATGGACGAGATGGAGTTCACTGAGGCTGAGTCCAACATGAACGACTTGGTCAGCGAGTACCAGCAGTACCAGGAGGCCTCCATCTCTGAGGGTGAGGAGGAGTACGATGAGGAGGCTCCTATGGAGGCTGAGGAGTAAGATGTCGGTTAAGCACATGACCAACTTCTAATTTCGTATTCACGTTGTCCGAGGGGGTAGCGCTTGGATCCTCTTTTACACTCTTGTTCTTTTTCCACGATAACCAAGTCAATGTCCGAGCAGCATTGGGCGCCTAGCGAGTTTGAAATGAAAGCCCTTGTCTTTTTGTAATTACTAAAAGCTCCTCTTTACCAATACCTGACCTCATTTGAGTCAGTCTAACGAGCACGTAAAGTCCTCTATCAAAACATGTGATGAAACATGACACTATTGACTGTGGAACCATTCCAGCATGCATCTCGAAGTAGGTAGCCAGATAGGCTTGTACCATACACCAAGCCGTGTCAGCAACATGCTCCAGCACAGCCTACGGTTGCGAGGACTCAGACATGTGAGCGACACCGTCAAACCACAAAGCATCAAGACACTGAAAGCAAGAACTGATTGATACCTACCACGAAAACACATTTCATTCCTGAGGAAGTGCACAGGAGACCAAACATGAGTAACACTAATAATGCTTTTGATAGGTATGCTAGAGGATAGAAGAACAACAAAGGGGGTATGTGTGTAAGAAAACAAGTCAGACATTGATGAGTTCGTTTGTGCGAGGATGATGAAGACGAAAAGATCGCAATGCTATGCAGAGAAGAAAAAAGGAAAAAAAGAGAATACAAGAACAAAACCCATCAACTCCTTTCTTTCGCCTTTTCTGATTGATGCCTTTCGTCCCAGTCTCTTGAGTTTTTTTCGTGTTTGTGCAGTTGATAAAAAAAGGAAAAAGAGATAAAAATGCCCATATAAACTCCTCGTTTCTTCCTGTATGCCGCCCAACCCGTTCCTTTCGCAAAAGTAAAACGAAAGAACCACTACTACTACAACAACAGATTGGTATAGAGAAAAGAGAGAAAAACAGATCCCTAGAAGCAAGGGCGGAGAGCAAGATCCAGATGAGACATCCTCCCGAAAAACCGTGTCGAGCATGAATAGGTACATTGGTGCGCTGTTGGAAAGCGACGCCTGGGCCCTCCAAAGAATCGGGGACTATTTCTTGTCAAACCCGGGTCCGTATAATGAGGCTGATAGAAAAATCGGAGCAGAGTGCGTATCTTCGTGTTTGTAACCGATCGTTGGGTATAAAAGGAGCAGCGCAACCAACAAAGATGTGTCGCCAAAGATTGGACAAGAATGGTAGGTGTGATTAGGATAGTTCATCAGGGAAGAAGATTAGACTGGCTCTGCTGCGAGGGGTCGACGACCTGGTCCGACAGAGCTAGAAGCAGTTGTGCCAGACAACGCTTAGTCGCGGCATCATCGCGCAACACTGAAGAGAAGGTGGCATCGCGGAGAGGTTCAGGCAAGCATTGGCGGAGGGCTTCACGAGCGCGGGCGTTGTCGCTAAGGCTATGGTGGTCGTTAGAAAGTGATCGCTGAGGAATGACAAAAGCAACTTACCGAAGGAAGCATCTAACGACATGCTTAAGCAGACGGACCGTTTGTTGCTCAACAAGCTGATTAACCATGTTGGAAAGCACGGTTCCGACAGCGTAGAATCGCTCATAAGTCTGGCAAATGTACTGAAGACCGAGATCATCAAGCAAAATCTTCTGAACGATGAAGATGGCTACAGTCTTGCTGAGTTCGCTACCAGTTTCCATGATGCGTAGGCAGAGAGGAATGATCTCGGTTGTGAGGAGGAAGTTGATGACCTCTGAACTGTCGTTCTTGACCAGCGCACCAATGACACCAAGAGAAGTCAGGCGCAAGTATTCAAAAGGCCTCGACTTGGACGTTGTGTTGAGGAAAGGATAAAGGAAGAGAGGGATATGAGCACCCAGGAAGAGACCACGAGTCTCGCCGTGCGAGGCCACACATTGAAGCAAAGCCAAAGCATTGCAGACGCGGTTGGAGGCAGCAGCGGTGAGTTGCGAGGGGTTCAAGAGGGGNTAGACAGAGATGATCTCTTGAAGGAGCGAAGTCATGACACCNTAGCTAACGTCAGCGCATTGATTGGTCGCAACTCGACACAGGGGTAACATACCGAACGAGTGCCACAAGATCAGAGCCAATTCGGGAACTTGTTCCCTCTTCTTACTCAACTCAAGCAAAGCTCCCTCGCGTGTCTGAGGGTTCATCATCTGGGCAATCCACTCGAGTACACGACGGTTCTCGTCACTGACGGCACCGTCACTCGACTGCAGCTGGAGCTGGTGTTCATGCGAAGGCTGCATGCTGGCGGCTGAAGCAACGTTGTTCACAGCGATGCGGTTGTAATGTTGCTGCTGGGCAGCTGCTGCAGCGGCGGCGGCAGCGGCAGCTTGTGCCTGGGCTTGAGCCTGGGCTTGTGCTTGAGCCTGAGCTTGGGCTTGGGCCTGGGCTTGGGCGTGTTGCTGCTGAAGACCATGGTGCGACTGTTGATGGTGATGAGACTGCTGCTGCTGTTGCTGCCATTCCTGGGGCGCATAGTGTTGCTGGTGCTGGTTGTGGTGTTGATGCTGATGCTGGTGCTGATGCGAGAAGACATGCTGCGAGGGCAGCATCTTGGCTGCGCGGGTGGTGAATGTAGACAGATTGAAGGATTGGAAGGGTGAAGCTTCGAAGGCGACGGCGACAGGGAGCGCGAGACGACAAGTCGAGAAGGAGCGGTCGATTGTTACGATATGACTGAGTGTTGGTGAGGAAGGCACGATCAAGATGCACACGCTTTCTCGACTCCGCTCGGCCCGCGAAGCTTATTCGATCTGGCTGAATGGCCCGTGCGCGTAATATGCATGCCGCCGTCAGTGAATGCTTCACTGGCATTGTGCTCTGTGAGTATCCGTCGAGAGTGGATACAAGGTGTTTGACATTGTGAGGTGAGAAAGTCAAAGGGCGTTCCTTTCTACTGCTGTCGTCGAGACGAGACGGGACGAATTGACAACAAATATGCTTCATGACCAAAATACTAGCCGCTGCGTACGTACGTTCATATTCATGCTTCTCGAGCCAAAGGGCTCCAATAATTAAGCCCATAAATCTGCCTCATGCTTCATCCAAACGCCTCTTTGCCTGCAAGAACGCCTGAAATGCCATGTCGTGCCTGTTCGTTCCATTACCTCCACCACCTGCTCTCATCGTTTCCTACAACTTCAGCTCGTTCAAGATGGTTTGCGCCATGTTCTTGTACTGCCAAGTACCACCGTCCACCTTCTTGAACTGGATACCGTGCAGGCTCAACAAAGGTACCTTTACCACGAAGATCTCAAACTTGAGAACCATGCCTTCGCCGAGATCGCTCTGCACGTGTGTTGATGTTTCACCAGCTGCTCGGTTATGCTGCTGACCACGGACCCGTCGTACATCCTCATCATCAGAGCTGTCGCTGGCAGTATAGCTGTTGTCTCTTCTGGGACGCGGAGGTGTGGGTGTAGCTGGATCGGCGTTGCCTCCTCCTCCCATCAAGCCACCAAAGCTGATCTTTCGCCTATGACTCCCGTAACCTGCCGCTGCTTGGTCGTCCCTCGGCTTCTCCATGTCGATACTAGGAGCGTGGCGACAACTGAACCCACCCTTGATCTCGCGATACTCGACACCAAGTTGTTTCAAGACTCTGATGATGTCTGTTCGAATCACAGCCAAAGGCTTTGAGCTGGTTGTTGATACACTGAACAAGCCCTTAAGATACACAGGCTTGATGCCGTTCGGGCTCTCGCCAGCGCTGTTGGTTGCATGAGATGCCTCAACCTCCCTGAGATCTTGGTCTGTCTCTTCCGGTACGTCTTCGGTGCGAGTGTCCATTCTTCTAGCCCTGCGTGCCTGGAAGCTTTCCTTGCGACCGTGACCCATCGACTTTGTTCTCGAAGTGAGCGGCATTGTTCTTGAACCCGAGGCTTCGGCGTCTGAAGAAGCATCACCATAGCTTCTGTCGCCGCGTCTACTAGGTTGAGGGGTCATTGCTGTTGGTCGAGCGCTGGATCCTTCAGAGACTCCTCGGCGAGTGTTATCGCGGTTGTGCTCGGCAGCACTGACGCTGGTAGAGCGCCCTAGAGTGACGCGCTCGGGGGTTGGCGTGAGTAGTTCTGCTGGCTTCTCAATAACAGGTTCTGGGTGTAGTCTGTTGGCGCTTGGATCTCGCTGTCTCCTCATGCTGAAGCTTTTCTTAGGGGTAGTAAAGGCATCGTTGGTTGCTGCTGGGGCTGGTCTTTCGGGGTCCTTGTGCCTTCTGGTGCTCAGTCGGCGGAGCAGGCCCACTGCAGCGCTCTCCTTCTTCACAGGCGTATGCTCGGGTGGCGGAAGAACAATGGCAGGAGATGGCACCGGTGGCGCGCGGTTGGTGGATCTGGCCTTCTTTGCGTCATCCTGCATATCTTCTTCACCATGTGTCCTAGCTCGAGGACGACTTCTGCCTCCTGTTGGTGCCTCTCCAGCCATCTCGTAAGTAGCACTGTTTGTGTAAGCAGCCGCTGGTGGCTGGAGATCAGGCAGCTGCAATGGCTTTTCACCAGGCGACCGTGGCATAGCTAGAGCGCCTGGGTTGGACTCTCTTTCCTCGCGCTCGATCTTCTCCTTGGCCAAAAAGTACACGGAAAGCAGTGGATTGTAAGCATTCAGAGGGTCTGAGCCCAGCTGAACAGCTTCAGAAGAGGGTCCAGTAAGAGTGTCGCGACTTGTCGTGGACTTTCGTCGTTTGTAAAAGTCAAACATGCTACCTTGCTTGTTCTGCGAGTCCGAGAGGCCGGATTGGTGGCGACGCTCCATTGCAACCACAGACTTTTGGTAGTCCTCGGATTGTATGATCTTGGTGAGCTGCTGCTCGATATATTCCGCAGTACCAAAATCGAAGCCATCCATCTTCTGAAGAACTCGTGGATCCAGTGGCAGCTGCAGTGGCTTGCGAGGAGGCAGGTAGTTTTCAGGAGGTCCACCGAATCCTTTCGTCATCCAAGGATGTACCATGATTTCCGCAAGAGTAGCGCGTTGTGAGGGATCAGTGACAAGCATGCGAGCGATCAGGTTNTTGCACTCTGCACTCAACCAAGGCGGATACTCTACTGCTCCCTTCTTGATCTTGGCATGCAACTGAGGCATACTCTGATCATCGAACGGAACCTTGCCACAGACGAGGACATACAAGACAATACCAAAACTCCAGACATCAACTTCAGGACCGGTGTAAGCTTTTGCCTGCAAAAGCTCGGGCGCGGCGAAATAGAGGGAACCACAGAACGTCTTCAGGAGGCCCTTGGGTGAGAAGGTGTTACTCAAGCCAAAATCAATGATTTTGATGTCGCCAGTTTTGCTGATCAGAATGTTTTCGATCTTCAGATCTCGATGCACGATGCTGTTGCGATGACAGTAGTCGAGCGCACTTGCAATCTGGCGACCAAATTTACGCGCTTGCTTCTCCTTCAGGCGACCATGGGAAATAATGTAGTCAAGCATCTGACCGCCATTGACATACTCGAAAAGCATATACCAGTGGTAGTTCGTGCGAACGACATCGCGCATGCCGCAGATGTACGGGTGGTCAACCAAGGTGACAATAGCAGCTTCGCGGGCTGTGCGTACTTCTTTGGAATGATCAGCTCTTTCTCGGTCTTGTGCGTTGCGATGTTCGTCGGTTGACTGGCGAGGGACAATTTTGACAGCAACCNNTAAGGCAGATTAGCATACAAGTATAAGAAGGAATATTGCAGAAGGGGCGCCTACTTGTTCACCAGTCTCCTTGTTGCGAGCCAGCTTCACCTTTCCCATGCTTCCCGCACCGATCGTCTTTCCAAGATCCCAGTGACCAGTGGTTGCGTCGATGGTGGTTCGCCGACGGACGTTAGTTCCAGAGGCAGCAGCAGCATGGGTGCCGTTTGAGTTAGAGGACTGCATTTCCTGAGAATGGTATCTCGATTGACTAGCCGGAGCGGCGTTTCGCGTCGAATCGGAGCGGGCAGGATGACGGGAAGAAGAGGTGTTCTGTGCTATATTTGACTGCTCATAATCGTTCCTAGCGACGTTCGCGAGCTGGGACGGTGCCGCAGAGGCGGAGGCTGAGCGGGAGTGTTGAGATTGCGATACTTGACGACGTGGTGAAGGAGGAACAGGATTTGTCTGCGGGCGATTTGGCGAAGCAGCGACTGCAGACATGTTGCCTGGACGTGAGCGCCCTGGTGAATGGAAGCTCGCGATCGGACTTGCGAGAGTGATGTTATTGCAGAAGGCTCGGAAGAAGGAGCTGGCGTGGCTTTGTTTGGGCAGCAGCCACTTCCCTGTCTCAGAACGCGCCCAAAGAGTCGGATGCTGGCAAACGAACGAAATTAACTGGTCGGCTATCGTCGACGAGTGTTGGTTGAAGCAGACAATGCAGAAAGGAGGACGCGAGTAAGCATGAGTAGTTGTGGAGATGTCATCGTGGTTCTGTGGAGCGAGCTTGTCGCAAAACAATCGAGGCTGGGCCATCTCACCTCCAAACGGCAACTGCTATCTTGAACCGACATCCCACAACCACCGTGACGTAAGTACAATTTTGATAGCTCACTCCAGTTCAATAGCTACCTTGACACGATGCAAACAGAAACTGAAAATGTCACACAAAAGATCAAGAGACGATTTTGAACAAATTCCGCAATTCGCCCTTTACGGCACACCCCTGCCTCGCCTCGACTCCGATCTGAGAGATGACGGCTCATACGTGCCTGTGTGGAAGCAAGATGCTCGTGACGAGCAGGGTCGCAAGCGTTTCCACGGTGCCTTCACTGGAGGATACAGCGCTGGTTACTTCAACACAGTAGGCTCGAAAGAAGGATGGACGCCCTCAACCTTTACCTCATCGCGTACAAACCGTCGCAAAGATGCACAAGTTGCTCGCCCAGAAGATTTCATGGACGATGAGGATCGCGCAGCAGCAGCAGAAGCTCAAAAACTGCAGACCCAAACCGATTTTGCTGGCCTGGGCTCCACCAGCCAGGATCAGATGCGTCGCGGCTTCATGAGCGACCTGTTTAGACCAGCAGGAGAGACTATAGGTGTGAAGCTTCTGCAGAAGATGGGTTGGAGACAGGGACAAGGCGTCGGACCCAAGGTCAGGAGGAAAGCACGTACCGATGACACTGCTGGCACTGTACCTGGCGACGAGACACATCTCTTCGCTCCCGAAAACTCACGCATGGTGGCTTTCAATCGCAAGAAAGACCGGTTCGGTCTGGGTTACACCGCTGGAGAACGTTTGGGAGAAGCCAGATCCAGCACCCAGCAAGATAATGGCGAGGAAGACAATCCTGAGCAGTTCGGCCGACCCGCGAAGCCCAAACCGAAAGCAAAGCGTACTGGATTTGGTGTCGGCATCCTCAACGATACCGGCTCAGATGAAGAAGATCCTTATGACATGGGTCCGAAAATATCGTACAATCGTGTCATTGGGGGTGATCGAAAGAAANAGAAAGGCGGCATCCTCGCAACTACAGCTAATCCTGCTTTCAGAGGTTTAAATCAACCGACGTTTCTGTCCAAAAAGTTAGGACAGAAGCAAAGCAGTGGATTCAGGAAATGTCACAATGGTCGTCTTCCACTTGACGGCTTTGTGCTGGCTTCCCNNTCTCTCGTGTTGACCAGTCAAGAGAACAAATACCCGCCTCCCGATGTTCCTCAAGGGTGGGAGCCGAATAAAGCTGTCACTGCGACCAACCTTGATCAGTCGACTCATGTATTTACTGCCGATGCCGCTCGTGCTTCCACTATGGATCCTGCAAAACGAGCAGCAGTACTAGGAGAACAGCAGCTTCCCGGAAAGTCAATATTCGATTTCATGAGCCAAGCAGCACGCGACAGACTTGTCACGGCGACAGGCAGATCGAATCTTCCAATGGCTCGTGGAGAGTCCGCTCCTGAAGGTTGGCAACGATCGGAGGCCGATAAACAAAGGTCTTTGTGGGATTTGGTACCAAACCTGGACAGTTCAGTCGCAGCTTCGGCATTGCAACGCGGTACGAGTGGCTGGATGCCGTACGCAGAAGACGAGGCTAAACGAGCTCGGTATCGTTCATTTCTTGAGTCTTGCAGCGGACAGCGTGATGCACTACCGGAGCGTGTCAAGGGTTCTACTATAGACGAGTGGACTAAAGAGATGCGTGAATTTGCACAAGCGGCAGAGGTCTTCAAACCAATCTCTGGTCTTATGGCATCACGGTTTACTAGCTCGTCATCGGCACCTCGACTTGCCACAGACACGGCTCCATCAAGTTCTGAACAGTCTACAAAGCTCGAAGATCCTGCTGAAGCCGCGGCGAAGATTGGCATGTTCGGTCCCATGACCCGCACGCGTATTCAGTTCTATCCTACGCGTCTACTCTGCAAACGATTCAATGTCAAAGCGCCAGCCCACGCGGATCCAGGTAATGGCCCTACTGGCGATGACAGTGCCGTTCCAGACAGCAGACTTGAGGTGGTTTCGCAAAACAAGATGGATCAGATGATGCGCGAGACATGGTCACGGCCACCAAATGCCACTGGAGCAAGCAACAGTTCCTCAGCAGAGCCAGCTCAACCTCAAGTCAAGCCACAAGTAAACATCGAGGTCAATGAAGCCATCGAAGCCGAAAGACCTGGCGACGCTGTCTTCAGAGCAATCTTTGGCAGTGATAGCGAAGACAATTAGCAGTCCTGATTGACATACCACCGATGATGTCTACCTTTGCAGTACTTTTGCCAATACACGTCATGGCGCAGGCAATGACGGATCTTCGCGACCCTGGTAACATGAGGTAAGAGCCTTGACAGGAGCCCGGTTTCATTGTCTACGTGACTCTGATGAAGCATTCTCAATCCAAAACCCGGATACCTGGTCGAAGCCACGGACCACGGCAAATAGTACTGCTAGATTATGACAATCTGATTGCTAAGCTATGAGACACAGCCAGAAGCATCGTTCCATGTTCTTCCAGAAGATTAAAGGGGCTGGTATATTCTATTAAAGACTTCATTTGGTGCTACGAAAGCACTCTGGAAGATGCATCCGAAAGTCCATCAATAAAAGAAAGTGTAGATGAACGTTGCTCGTGCCCGCCCTGTGTGTCGTACATTGCTCGGTCAGGTCTTTGTATGTCGATTTGCACACTGACATGTTGACCACTTTGAAGCAGCGAGCACAAGCGGCAATCTTCGGCGCAATATGTAGAATATCAAGAACATGACCGAAAAGGATCTTGCGAGTTTTATTGTTTTTCACGGCATCGGCATTGGACGGCAATATCTGAGCAAGACATAATAAAATACGGTTCACGTAACGAGTATGAAGTTCAGCAGGCTTTTTAGCCGGGATGTCGGTTGGAGAGGGGATTATATTGAGGACGGTTGCCTCTCGGCCCTGAGCAACAGAAAGGGAGCAAGCATTCTGCTGCGCAGTTTCTTATCTGGTTCAGATCCCGGTTCGCCGAGAAACTGAATGCTCTGTGTGCCATTATTCCCAGCCTCTTCTTCCTTTTCGTTGTGGAGAACACGCGGTCAGTTTAGATAGGCGGTATGTGATAATACTGATGGACAAAATCGTCGTAATCGGCAGAAGCCACCAGTCTCGCCCAGGGCTTTTTCGCTGCGCATGTGACCCAAAGTCGAAGCCAGGCTTGCGAGCACGAACTCGTTGAAAAGCATCGAGTGATAGCCAGGCGTGATCATCTACTCTAGGCCAGCAGTGTGAACAATGGATGATACAGCAGTCCCCGAGGATTTGGTCTTTGGCTGACCGCGTCGCCCTAGCAACCACGAAGCTCCACACACACAGATTGTTCGCAAGAGTCCAAAGGCGACGAAGCAAAGAATATCCTTTGCTTTGGAGCCGAGGAGTTCCTGCGTACGTAGGGGGCAAGCGGGCTTCATGGTAGACTTAGAAAACTCTTCCTTTGACTGGGTAACAGATCAACAGCGTGTCTTGGTAGGGCAGACGAGCCAGACTTGTGGAAGCCACGTCTCTNNTGTTTTGCCATTGTGGATATTGTTTCGGAGCAAAGGAACAAGGACAGTNACAGATCAAAGCTCTCTTCTCAGGCCCAAGAGGGCGNNTCTGATCAAGCAACAGTGAGGCCCGCGGTGAGGTCGGCGGACCTGGTGGCTGGTTCAGATGATGGTCAAATGACAGAGGGAACANAAAATATGCACACGCGCAACATGGCGCGCAAGCATCAAGAGAGTCAAAGCAACACGAATCCTTCGTTCCAACCATATTCTAGAAGGTAGCCCAGAGCGTGACTTGTTACAGACTATAATCCTGTAGATCTTACTGATGAGCCGACAACCTTGTCGGTATTACTCTTGAAGCTGATGTTTTGGCTTTTGATAGCTCTCGGGTGGAAATGAAGCCTTTGTGGTGGACATGAGCCGGTCTTCTACTTGTGAGAGCTAACGAGTTTGCTTGGCTCGACAGCTCGTGTGAACATGAGTCTATCTGAGCGTAGCATGAATCTGCATACAAGAAGTAGTCTAGCAAGCTCCATGAGCATATTCGAAATCTCGCAAATCTCGCATAGCCTTACTGAAGAGACCTCTCGTACCGATATTGACATTCAAAAGAACCGACTTGGCTTTGTCGAGACACAATATCCAAAACCCATGTCTTCGGTAAAAACTAATATCAAGGACGATGTATTGGGGACGTGGCTATCGTCGCAGACAGATAGGTCGTCAGCCTTCATTGTGCCGCGCAGTATCCGTACCTGTTGGTGTCACTGCGCTGCTGCACAATCGATGCTACACTGCCGTCCTTACTTGCATATGGCCTCGTGGGCAATGTTACTCTGCATAGAGCACGTGGAAGATGGACATTCGGAGGCAGTGAGGTCGGCTGCGGTGCGACCGAGGTGTGGTCATCACCATCAGACACCCGGTCATCTTTAAACTTGGAGGACATGGTTTATTCTGCCGTCTATGGGAGCGACGTGAACGCATGATTGTCATACAGCCCCAGATACTCCAGGAATTAGAGATCTTGGTACACCATTGACGATTGTAGAGTCTCAACACGGACACCCTCGTCTCAGAGTAATAGCAGATGACGACTTTGATGTCCCGACTCGAGATTTGAGTGTGCCTGCAGCACGTTGCTTTTTCCCCGTGGTGACTGACAGGGGGTACAAACTTGTTCCTGGAGATCCAAAACAAAAGAAGATCGACCATGATACTGTGTAAATAAAGACGATTCCTGCTGCTGCTATCCTTATGACGTGGGATGCAGTCTAAAGCAGGTAGACGGCGCTGCTGTTTTTGCGCGCGAGCTGCGCGAGTATCGCGCGTTCAGAGTCAGATGCAGAGATGTTTTATGCAGGTCCAGTATCCGCCAATCCCCGGCCACCATGGATGAACATGGCGAATCACAGATGAGGACATATCCCACGAATCGCGACTACCTTCAGGTAGCAGCGGGGAGTCTGGAAACACTCGCCTGGTCAATCCGGTAGGTAGGCAGATCAAAGGGACCAACACACCAGATAGGCGCACGGCAGCGAGCTTCATCTCAACAACCCTTTGACATGTCATGAGCAGGTAGAAGGGTCCACCAATCTTTCTCCTGGCTTTTGCTACAGTTTGCGGCACTGGACATCCCGAAAGTCAAATTTGCAATGGTCGCCGGTGATCACTGACGGGGCTTTTTGTCCAAGTAATTATAGCGGCTTGCCAACGGTTTCTCTTCGCTGATGCGTCGAAGAACCACTGGTCTCATCGTCTGGAAGGCGAGCGTGAAGTCAACAATTTGGCTGTAGCCATAGTGGATATCAGACATGTCATATGGGTGCAAATGAATTTCTTCGCGAGTAATCTTATATTAAACCTTGAGGTTTAACTGTAGCCGCGAGCAATGAGCATGGGCCAAGTTTATCATCTGTGTCATCAACAACAGCACAACTCCGAATGCATGCGCTGGTGACTGCTCGGGGAAGTCGCAAGCCAGCCTGACTGTGCCTGCCATTTATTGTTTCCCAAGAACCGAGGGCCGCCGTTTTCTCTCTTGCCATCATTCACTAACTACCAGAGTCACTGCACTCGTCGCTTCCCCATCAAAACAACCAGCACAGTTCGTTTCAAGAGACCAGCAAGTGCAGCCACAAGCGGTCTTCTCTCGCCTTTACTCTCCGCTCATCATAGGCAAGTAGCCCATCTCGCACGGTCGCCAAAAGTCGCACGGTCGTCGAATCATACCATCCACTGTCTAATACAATTGCATTATCTAGCCAATATCTCTGTCGATGTTTTCTGGCGAGTTTCACAAGCTGCATCTATCTCGCACTTGCTCTTCATAAAACACCTCTTCAGGGAGGTTGCAGCCCTGCCAGCCGAGTGTCTCCAAGCTCAAATTCAGGGGCTTCCACCTAACAATAAACCATTCACAAGCACAGGCCCCTGGTCAGTGACTCGTGGTGGTTTGAGGACTCTGACTCTGACCGCCGCCTTTCCGTGCGAAGGTCCCAGCCACCTTAGCGCGCCGCCAGTGCGCCACGAACGGCCGCAAGATCTACGCACACTACGCTACTCTTGCCCTCTGTCTTGGGGGTCCTCACGTCCTCTACCTTGGACACCGAGATTCCTTTTTCCTTTCCATAACAACTCCCACGCTCCTTTGTCTATTTTTTCGCTCTTTTGTTTTCCTCCGAATCTGGATCCGCTCTCTTACCGTACTCCTCGATCCAACAACCATCAAACTCTTATACCCGTTAACCCGCACCGAACTAATCCTAATACACGCCGCTTCCCCTCAAGACAACTTCAACGGCCTCCCGAGTCCTGATTGTCTTGTCTACCGTCCCACTACGTTGTTATCGTATGCCTAGGCTTTGGGCTTGCTGAAACCGGTTTGTCTCTACATCCCAATCAATAGGTAACCAGCCATCTTGTGCAACACAGACTGATGGTTGCTATCCAGAGTTTCCCTCTTTCATACTCTACACTCAACCTGCATTTAGATGCAGTAGAGTATTCATCTCAGTTTTCTAAGCTTCAGCTTGATTTTGTCAAGCAAGCTTATATCGACCATGACTGTGGCCATGGACAACTCATTTCGCGGCTGGTCCTCGAATGCTAACACCGGATCTCTGTGCTTGGAGGACAAGTACGAGATCATCAAGGACATTGGTGATGGCAGCTTCGGAAGTGTAGTCCTCGCAAGGACAAGGAGCGCTGGCGCTCACCTCGTACGAAGAAATACTTTGGTATGTCGATCTTCTAACGTCGCCATCTTTAGATTCGACCTAACCGAACCTTGTAGGNTTGCCGTCAAGACCATGAAGAAGACATTCGAGTCCTTCTCACAATGTATGGACCTCAGAGAAGTCATCTTCCTCAAGTCAATACCGGCTCACCCTCATCTTGTACCGGCTTACGACATCTTCCTGGACCCTCTAAGTAAGAAGCTGCACATTGCCATGGAGAACATGGATGGCAACCTCTACCAGCTGATGAAGACTCGGGACCACAAGCCTTTCGACGGCACTGTTGTTAAAAGCATCCTGTTCCAGATCCTTGGCGGCCTGGAGCACATTCACGAGCACAGCTTCTTCCACCGCGATATCAAACCAGAAAACATTCTGGTCTCGTCGTCGGCGCCCGACACACAGAGTGCCTTCAAGCGATACTCGTCGTTAGTGACCCCTCCGTCAACACCTCCAACCTACA